TGAGAGCACGAAGAGAGACCCAGAAAGGCGAGACCCTCTTCTGGTCGCCTCTCTGTTTTCTTTTTTCCCTTTGAACATGGGCCGTGAATCTCAGTTCTTGTTATTTGATCTCTTCCTCGTTTCGAAGCCTTTCCTTCTCAAACATTAGTCTTTACCGTAATTCTTTCGCTTCTACTTCTATAGATACAAAGTATCAAGGTCTCCCGCCTACGTCCGCCAGTCTATCATCTCGCTTTCATCTACCGTACTCGTCATTTCGATTATATCCCTCCCAGCGATTTTTGAGCAAAAACGTTACAAAATGAGCAGCCGAAAGCCGCCCAAAAGAAGCTTAAAGCTTAAAAATGTTCGCTGAGCATATACTGCATTTGATAGGATTGTCGGATTATCAAGTACTCGGACGAAAAAATTCACTGCGCTGCCACGTCACACAGCGGATTACACCTTTCGCTTGATTGGGGCGGAGCTGACATTTGGCAGGGGATTTTTCGAAGACGAAAGTCAGAAGAGTTCAAAGGCGGATTATACGGCTCAGAATAGATGAAGGAAGTTTGTGTTGAAATGGTTACCGTCCAGCACTTTCTCTGGTCGCTTATCTGACAATGTTTACCGTAATAATAAAAGTGAAGTGCAATTCTGCATTCTGCACGCGACTTCAACTTTGCTCTCCCTCCATTTCCTTCCTGCTCCGCTGATCATTCCAATTCCGTAATCCGCGCGAATCCAATTACGAATCGCCGACGTTTCGTGACGGCTCAAACATCTGAAACAATCCGTCTGTTCTCACGGGTTCGCGCGGCCAATCCAATCAACATTTGGAGCTCACTGAACCGAGCACACGCTTGATTTGTATGCTTTGTAGTTGGAAAAGCGCCGAAAAGTTGAAATTCCCCCTGGATTTCAGTGGGATTGGACAACGTCACATAGTCTTTCGATTCACTGTCTGAGCGGGCGGAGATAAGAATCGTCTGAAAGTTTGAGAGTGGAATCATCTTTTCGGAGATTCCAAATCGTGATTTTCAAACGAATCGGAGGGAGAGCCCCGATTCATTTTGTGATCTTTTGCCTTTTCCAAACTGATGTGTCGCTTTTTTGTCTCTCTCCCATTCTGATCAGTTTCTATTCCACATGCCCCACTGATCGGTTCCGATTTGTCTCTCATCCTTTAACAAATCGAACATCACTTTCCCTTTGTACAGATCTTTGAATTGTGCGCCCGTCGGATGATACGATCATATCAAATTTGCATTTTTGCATTCGTTCCGCCATACTTGAAAAGAACAAAACCGTTTTACGGAAAATCACTGACGCACAGTTCTCACATTCTCATTTCAAGTACAACTATTATGGGGACCTTTCTCTGCAATTCCTTTACTTGTTTTTTACTGGAAATAGGACCGAACTTATTAATTTTTCTCCAAAATCGGTCTCGAGTTACTCAACAGAGCGCGATTTCAATGAAATTCCTACCATAATGTTGTCCTTTTCATCTTCTCCCGTTCCTTCCGGTCGTCTATATTTTGGACCCGCAAACGACGATACGATCATTTGTAGTGGTTGTAGTTTCCGAAAGTATTCGTTGATCTTCACAGATTGTATGCCCAGATTCGGCCCACTAGTTCAGTACCAAATATCCGATTGGCGCGATTGACGCCATGAAAATCCATTAAATTTTGAATGTAGAGTATTGGGGTGTTCTTCTTTTAGAGGGGTATCTCAGCTGCCTGTAGAGATAGCAAAAAGTTTTCCACTGATTAAATGTACAATATTTTGCGCTAAACACTTTGTTAGTTGACAACTTTTTGATACCTCCACCAGCAGTCGAGATAGATTGTCCTGAATGGGTGGTGGTTTCAATCTCTTCATTCCTACAGTATTCTCCCACATTATCCAATCTTTTTCTGCTGTTCCCTTTGAGAAGATGCAGATCACGATCATTTAGATCGTCTCCATCTGATTCCTTCCCGCTTTTTCATATTTTTTCTATATCTTTTCCCCGACTCGTTGATCCAAAACGCCGTCCGTGGTCTGCGTCGATCGTCCCAGTTCCTCCTTCACATTTTTTGCCGATTCAAGATCGGGCACCGCCCCTTTCCAAACTTTTTCATCTGAAATTGTTCCCCATATCTCGTTCCATTCATTTATTCAACCGCTATCCTCCACCTCTCCAGACTGCCTATTCGTTTCCAGATGTGCTCCATTCTAGTCCCATCTTGTTATTCGACTAAAATACACTTTTTTTGCAAACGTCGTTGAGCGAGCGGCGTCATGGGATAGAAATGGTCGCTCAGTCGGGCTGTACTTTACATGTTCAGGCTTAGAAAGCGAATAAAAACAGAACAAAACGTTGGTGCGAGACGAATTGAAAATTTAAATGGACGGGTGGAGGGTCGCCGTGCAATTTTCTCGGAAATTCACCGGGAGCACCCGGCGCTCGCTCTTTTTGTTTTCCCCTTCCACTCGAATTGTGCAAGTTCGCTCCGTTGAACATGTGAGCACAGGGTTCTAAAATGAAAACGTCTTCTCAATTACCCTCTCCGCCCGCTGCCAAAACATCAGCGACACTGAGGAAGGTATCGGAACGTTCCGATCATCGTCCGCATTGAACCAAGCATCCGTAGATCTGCACGGATTAGACAGAGTGAGAGAGAGAGAGAAGGAGAGAAAGAGATGGCAGTGCCGCTTTGACTTTGAGTTTCCGTACTTCGCATACAGTCTTCTGTCGGAAATTGTATCTAAAAACACGGCCGCCGGCGCGTTCCTTGACTGTTTTGAGACTTCAGATGCGTGCCGTCGGATCAATACTGATTCATTTCACTTGATTTTTTGGGATTTAGTTCATTATGATGTAAGCTAACAAAGAGACACAAAAAGCACGCACGAGCAGTCATATTTTGAAAAACAACCTGCTTTGGCAGTGACCCCCAGACATTTCTGCGAGTTTCTCGTTGCTCCTTGCGAGTTTCCATTACAGAGAACTCATCCCCAAAAAATTAGGAAAAATGAATGAGTATTCTTCGAACAGCACGCATCAGAAGTTTTGGCGCGCGGAAAAAGGCTTGGGGAGCGTGACGCCGGCCGGCGAAATAAGCAGCCGACAGTTCTCGGAACGAGGGCTTTCTTCCTCAACTTCTTGATTTTTCAGGTAGTTATTTTCTTTCATGAATTCTTGGAAAGCTTGCATAGGGTGAAAAAGTACTACTTTAATTGTCTGTCAAGGATCTTTTGAGACCAATATTTCGACGCAATCGCAAGAAGTGAGCCCTAGATTGGTGGGATCGATAAAACCAAGGATCTTGCAAGGAAATCGTTGACCAGTGTCTCCTCCGACTGTAGATGAAAACACGGGATTAGGAAACTTCGGGGAACATCCCTTCCAGCCCGCCCGGCCTCAGATGTTTCTCTTTCGGATTCGGATTGTATTGCGAGTGGAGACTACACTTGTTATCACTTCGAAATCCAATCGCTTCCCGATTATCAGTCTACCGTTCCCCATCCAATTATCCTCTCGTGTCGCCTACAATCAGTAGTGGGACACAAACTACACCCTCTCTCCCTCTCTCTTTCTCCTAATTGTTGACTTTTCGGAGGGAATATCTCTCTTCCTCACGCGCAATGGCTACAAAATACACGTGTCTTGGTCTTCCAGTAGACCAAAATGTACCGTCCTATTTCGAAATATAATGACACATTTGCATACTCACAGTTCAGTCACAGTTTCACCAAAAAAAAAGACCGGACAGATCACTCACTTATGGTTTGTGATTCCCCCGCCCGCACACACACTTTTCGTAGTCATAAACTTGCACGACTATGACGTGGCAAACCTTTGTGTGATTTTGATGATTTTGTGTATCCGGAACAACAAGAGAGGCCACACACACACACACACACGCAGTGGCAGGTTTGTCATCATTTTGTACGTCGACTTGGATCACCAATGATTCAGTCGAAAAGTGCGAAATCATTAAAGGATTACTGTAACCTGGTGATCTTTAAAAGTTGTCCATGTACACAACGTTCTATGATACGGTTTGATGTTTCAGACTGCACTCACTTTTGATCATAATCAAAGAATAGACAGTGACAATGACTCGCTATTTTGATAAGGAAAAGTTGAATTACTCAGTTCACCGACACAATATTAGCAGTTTGACAGTTCGAAAGGTCGCGCTGTCTACGTTCACTTTTTGATCTGATCAAAAACGCTCAAATTGCACCCGCTCTTCCATTTTTGAGTAATTCCAGGCCGTGATGTTTGGAAATTTGCACAATTTCTACAAAAATCATCTTTCTGAACATTTCGAGATATTTCGAAATTGTTCGGTCCACAAAATCATCATCAAACGTGTCATTCGCCCGAAATCAGAATTCATCGCAACCTGTCTGTCCCAAAGCTTCTCTCCTTTTCTCGAATCTTGTCCAAAATGTGTTTGATGATGTTTACACGTAGCGATTGTTTGTAGTTGGTCCAATGGTATAGCCTACACGTTAATTAGCCGCGTGCTTCCTCATGCAGCACATCTCCCATTCCACGTCACCAGTAAGCTATACTAAACCCACGCTCCGATATAGTTAATAATTCTTATTCGCCCGGTACTGTCTAGACCATCAAAACAGTGTGTTTGCGCGCACAAAAGAGTACTCTCGGAAGGCACCATCATCATCATCATCATGCGACTCCAAAAGAGCACTCCCTTCCACTATTGTCCGTCCGTCCGCCTCGATTGTTGTAGCCTGCGTCTCGTTTTCCACCTATTTGCATAGTTTCGAAGGGCTACAAAACTGAAGCGAGAGAGCGAGAGAGACAGACGGAGAAACGAAAGCAAAACAGGAACAGAACTCTGGTCACACAACACTGATCTTGGTAGCCACCCGACCCGCGACGATCAAAATGTTGCTCTTTTCCCATTTCCTCTCCGATTGTCATCCTCCTCCCGTTACCTCACGACTCCGCCCTTTTTCTCATCGAATACTCTGAATCTCTCAGGCCCGCAGCGATGTTTTCCACTCTCTCGTCGAGCGCCATCGACGACATTCTGCGGCACGCCGTCCACTTCAGCCAGGGCACCACGGCCGGCGTTGCCCCGAGTCCCGTCAGTTTTATCAGTGCCACGCAACCCGGAGTCGCCTATCCGGGCGTGTTCGACTCTTTGAACTATCACCATCATCACCACGCGCTTCCGACGAGCATGCAGACGACGGCGATTCCGAGCAGCAGCAGCAGTCATCCGACCACCACTGGTGAGTGTTTCATTGTACAGAAGTGTCAACACAAGAGTGCATGATTTTTAATGAATTTACAAAGTCCATATTTTAAAGTCCTTGATGTGCTTCCTAGGACATTTTCCTAGTGAGTCTGAAGGAACGCATCTTTTCTCGCCGTCAGACAGATAGTCTTGAGCCTGTAGCACGATTTCTAGAAGCCCATTTTTGCTATGAAACCTGTCAGCAACAACCAATCAGAGTTTTCGAAGAAAAATTTGAAACAGGTACTTTGAAAGTGATCGTTGCAGTTGAATGATATTCAAAGAACATGACCGACAAGCACCCGGAATAGTTCCAAATTCCAAGTAATGAGTGTTGTGTTCCTCTTCAAACTAGACTCTAGTCCACCAAATTCATAGTTTATATTCCTCAAGACTTTCAACTTAAAACTTGCAGGTCATGGTCGAGGTCGCCGCAAAAATTCGACCATCAATCTGATCTGCGTGGTGTGCGGAGATCAGGCGTTCGGCAAGCACTACGGAGTGAACGCGTGCAACGGCTGCAAAGGATTCTTCCGACGCAGGTTCGTCTTGTCTTCCGATCTTGTGATCATTTGATTTCTGATCTTGATGAGTGTGACTTTTAAAAACAAAGTTTCTCTGAGGCTAAACGATCAGATGATGAGCACTGTTCCCTGTCGAATTGACGAGAATGGAAGGAGTGGAAGCGGCGAAGAGGAAGCGGGGATTAGGCAAATATTATGTACTTTTGTTGGCGAGAGATGTTGATGTTTAGAGGGGTGTCTGAGGGTCTAAAAGTGCGAAGAGCAAAGAGTTCATCTTGATCGAATTGAGAGAGATTTCGGGTGTTTGAACATGCTAGGACTAGAGTCTAGTTGTGAGGGACACTGTATCATTAGCGACATCAGAAAACGCTCGGGCCGTCAAAAAGTTGTAACTTCCCACACAAACCGTACAGTTAAATCTGACCTAGCTCACATGTATGAAAGTGATCATTTGACTTTTGGCTTTAGATGCTGAAAAATTAAAACAGGTCAGATAGTGATTGTGTGTAGTTGAAGTTTCTGTCGTACACTACAGAATACGCGATCTCCGAAATGTGCTTCTTCTGTGATTGGCGCCGAAACACAACCCAATCACTCGGTTCCCTCAAATTACACTTCGCTGAGCTCCCATGACGTTTTCATGTTTCCCGTTCTCTTCTTCCAAAGTTCAATTCGTCCATTTTTGCTTGATATTATCAGCGGCGGTTATCAATGTGTCTCTGTCCATCTACGTGATTCTTGGCAAGACCGAAAAGTTTATTATTTCTTCCCTTTCTCTTCCGCGCGGCCGCAGACGCTCCGATCATATGATCTTTTGTCATGTTGATGTCCTTTTGCGCCAGAAAGGAAGATGTTGTCTCTAATTGTAATATTGCAGTGTTTGGAACAATCGCCAATACTTGTGCCGTTTCGAGGGACGATGCGCGATAGCGAAAGGTGAGGAAGTGCTCAAATAGAAGCCACAAAATAGTGTGTTCACATGTGTACACACACCGCGACAACTTTTTGGAACCCTTCGATTCGTGTGTACACAGTACAAGTCAGACTTTTTGTAGTTTATGTGATTCAATTTTTTCAGAGCACCGAAATGTGTGTCGAGCATGTCGACTCAAGCAGTGCTTCGTGGCAGGAATGAACCCGCGAGCCGTGCAATCGGAGCGAGAGCAGCGAGGTTCAACGGATCAGGTGCAGGTTGTCGAAGAGGACGACTACAAGGAGATGTCGTCGCCCGACACATGCTCGGTCGAGATTCAGACGGACGTCGATGAGCACAAGCTGTCGGACGTGCAGATACCGCTGCCGAGTATGGAAGCGGAGATGGCCAGGTCTTCGGAGCAACTCGTCGAGATGCACAGAGCAGTCTGCTCTCTAGTGGATCCAGTTGTGAAGCGAGAGCAATGGGACTCGAAGATGGAAACGGAGGCGACCGCTACCAAAGTGGCCTTCATGAACGCCTTCTTCAACCCCGGAATGATGTCCCCGAGAACTCCGCTTCTGATCACGGGCGCACGAATCGCAACCGTTCAAGATGTGATGGACGAATGGAGAAGGAACTTTGTGCTCTTCTCCGATTGGCTCCGAGCCCTTCCCGAGTTCAATCAGCTCTCCGTGGAAGATCAAATTGTGTTGGCGAAGAACAGATACGGCCCATTCCACTGGTGGCTCTGCGCCAACTGGACGGTGCAGGCCGGCTGCGACGGCGTCTGCTACTCAAACGGAGCCTACTTTCCCCGGCACGCGGAGGCGCAGTGTGTTCCCGATGTGAAGGGTTCCAGCAGTCGGATGTTCGATTCGCTCTCCGTGCCGATCCACGAATTGCAGCTGGACGAGACCGAAGTCGTGCTGATGCTCGCCGTGATTCTCTTCAGTGACGGTTCGTGTGTTCGAAAGCTTCTCGCGTAGTCGCTCGCTAGTGGTAGTTAGTCGCATGTCAAGTGTCTATTTCAGAGGTTACAGAACTTGCGGACCTCTCGGCGTCCGGAAAAGAGCACGTTCGGGTGGTGGGCAACAAGTTCGTGAAGATGTTGCACCACCACGTCAACTCGAAGGATTACGGAGAGCCGCCAGTGCCCGGCGGCGAGGAGAGCCACAATGTGAGCGAGAGCCAGTCGGCCGTCCGAATCGCCAAGATGATGATACTGCTCTCAGCGACGACGGTTAGTGCTCCTGGCTCCGAACATTGTCACCCACTCTCTTTCAGAACCTAGTCTACCTAACATCGGACAACATCCAGCTGATGGAAGTGCTCCACGTGGTGCCGAGCGAATATCTGTGCCACGAAGTCCAACTCATCCACGATCACTATGAAACGCCTTGAAACTTCAAATGCCAAATCCTTTGTATATTTGAAAAAGTAACGACGGAAGACGGGTCATTTTGTATTCTCAAATGTATTAATATAATTATTGAGCCTTCTTCATGCTCTGCTTATCATGATTTTCTTTGAATACTACAAGAAGCTTTCTATGAAAACTTTCCCCCAACTGTGCTCACGATCTGTAAAATAAATGAATGATTCTTTGGTATTCTTATTTTAGTTTATCGAGATCAATCATCATCAAGTTAAGCACTAACATCCTGAATATATTCTCAAATGTTCATCAGCCGACTGCCTCTTCTTTTCCTCTCCGTCGGCGTGTGCGGTTCCAAAAGCGGCTGACTCTCCCGTTTCTTGGCAGCCTGCGTGAACATTCCGCTGTCCGGAGTCGGCTTTTTACCTGAAGAACTCGTCAGTATTCTGAGATTTTAGGGTTTTACAGAACAAACCAAAGTTTTCAGCGTCTTCTATGGTCATTGGGAGAGGTGCGCCGAGAGTTTCGGGCAGGAAGAATGTCAGAATTCCCGCAGACAACGCCATCAAACCCATTATCATTAGGGGCAAGATTTTGACATATTGACCCTGAAATAACAGAATAAAATATATTAGTGCAGTTTGAAGGTCCCACCAGTTTAACAATGTGCGGAGCCAGCAAGAGGCCGGACCCGGCGACCATACTGCTCATTCCCATTCCGATGGCTCTGACGACAGTCGGATAGAGCTCTCCGGCGAAAATGTAGATGACTGCGAACCCAGCGCCGACTCCGAACTTGCCGATGAAAGAGGCGCTGGCCACGAGCCACGGATAACCGTCCGGGACGAACATGGCGGAGACACAGCCGATTCCACACACGATCATGGTCGCCGCGAGGGTCCAACGACGTCCGGCGCACTGGAGAAGAGGCCAGACGACGAAGTAGCCGGGCAGCTCGACGGCGCCGTTTATGATGAAGCTCCAGTAGTCATCGACGGGCAGATTGGAGACGTTGAGGGTCAGACCGTTGTAGATTATCGCGTTCATCACCCTGGGAGAGAGAATCTTTCAGTTACCGTAAGAACTGTAATAGCGTGTATTCAAAGTGATGTATCTCAGCTACTTGTGAAGATATCAAAATCTTGTCCACTGATAAAATGTGCACAATGCTTTAACGAGCAATTTATTCGTTAACAACTTTTTGATATCTCCATCAGTTGCTGAGGTATGTCGTCTTGAATGTTGTTTCAAAAAATAGTGACCGACTGACCAGATATAAGTGACAATGATGGTCTTCTTTCTCAAGTTGGGTGTCTTGAACAGATCCGTCACGTTGTGACTCCTCTTCGTCTCCTCTTCCTCCGCCGCATTCTGATGATTCTTAATCTGAAACGTCGCAAACTTTTCTTTTCTCATTCCGAAACCCCTCTTACCCTGTCCACCAGCTCATCCACGTCCACATCCGTTTTCCCGTTCATTTTCGCGATCTTCTTCAGCTGCGCCTTTGCATTTTCCCATTTTCCCATCGAAACTGACCATCGCGGCGACTCGGGAAGGAAGAAATAGTAGCAGAAGAGGACTGCGAAGGGGGCATTGCAGAAGAATGTCAGTTGACGCCATCTGGGGATTCACATGAACATTGACTAGCGCTTCTGAAGCATGTACCTTCTGATGAGCATCGCCACGACTCCCAGCAGTGCCATCGCAGCGCCGAAGAAGAGCGAAATCATGAGACCCGAGAAGATTCGGCCCGAGTTTCCCATAAACTCCATACCTGAACAGTATTGAGTGAAGAAAGCGGATCCACGCCAACTCTAAACAGCTTACAGATAATGAACGGAATCTGGAAAAGTGCCGGAAACGCGAGGCCGGTGAAGAATCGCAAAATGATGAACGATTCGATATCCTTTGCAAATGCGTTCGCAGTTCCACACACGACCAACACAATCAGAATGACGAAGAAAGAACGTCGTCGGCCGAATTTATCGGCAATGTATCCGAAGAGACAGTTGCCGATGAAGCTGCCCACGTAGAACGAGGTGGTCGAGATCTCGACCCACGCTTGCTGCTCGCACACCAGGTTGAACTCGGTGACGAGACTGTCCAGGTACGTCGAGTTGTCGTAATCCCAGCCGTTCTGACACGGGACCAAGTCGATTCGGTCGCTGAAATCGAATTGAAAGGCGAGGGGTAGAAGATACACATTCGTCGTTTATTCGAGACTACATATCTCAGCTGTCTGTGGAGATATAAAAACGTTGTCAACTAACAAAATATACAACATTTCTTCGTGAACATTTTATAAGTTCATCACTTTTCGATATCCTTACTGCTAGCTGAGATATATCGTGTTGAATAAACAGTATAGCTACCTGTAAGTATCAACTGGTGCTGAAGTGAACGCTCTGAAGACGTCAATCTGGGTTTCGTTGTACTGTTTGCAGGAAAGAGTTTCCTGAAAATCGGATCTTTTGAGGAGACTACTAATCGTAATGTTTTGATACAAAAGTCTAGCTTGAGCTTACAGTATCATTTGTGAGTGGTCTCAGGTACTCTTTCCCGGCAGGAATATGACATGAATGCGGAGGATTTCCCACCACGAACGGGATGTTGAACGCTGAAAAACATAAATATTGATATTTACTGTAATAGAAGAGCACCCGAGTACCGTTCATTCAAAACGATATATCTCAGCTGTGCTTGAAGTTATCAAGAAGTAGCCAATTGACAAATTACTCACCAACACATTGTGCACATTTTATCAGTTGACAATTTTTTGATATCTCCACAAACAGCTAAGATATGTGGTTTTGAATTAACGGTATTGGCGCGCTCTTTCATTCTGTTTCCTACCCGAAAACGCGGAAGGTAAACTTGCGGGAAGACAGATAATAAAGAAGAATACGAGTTGGTAAGTACCGTAATCGCCGACCTAAAAACCAGAAAGTAAAAATAAAAGATTAAATGAAAGCAGTTGGTACCTGCGCGAGAACGAGATCGAAATCCGGCGCCTTGGACGCAGACATCAATATTTCTCGGCTGATTTCGGCAAAAGTGTCCTAAACGCGAACGAATTGGACGGCGAAGGTCAAAAAAAAGTGGCAGAGTATGTACATCATCATCATCATCATCATTAGACACCCCCTTCAATTAAAACGTCTCTCTTCGGTACACAGAATACGATTGAACGGAAAACTTGAAAAGTATAAAACTGAGAAAAGACCTTTTGATGGAATGGAAACGTCGGGAAAAACGACGTCCTCAGATGATCGAATTGGAAGGAAAGAAAGCCAAAGTTCGGGTGGAAAGTTGTGTCTAATGTGATAACGAAGGAGAACAGTGCCTTTTTGGTCAACTTACCATCGCCTGGAACGACATTTTAACGACGACGACGACGACGGCGACGGAGGGCAGTAATTCAGAAGACAGAAAAAGGAAAAAGGATGTGAAGTGCTCGATGAGGTGATTGGAAAGGAAGGCGTCGAGTGGAGCACAAGTGAGTTGGACAAGTGATTTGAAATAAATGTCAAGAGGGCTGCACCCATTTTTTGAAGATTCGATTCACGAAAAGTGAGAAGAAGGAAAAAAACATGGAAATCTGTCTGCGGAGATCTGAAGCCAACCAGAGATTGGAATGAGACCTTCCTCGACGGCGGGTTTCGCACACAGAGACATTTTTCAACTAGCAAAATCTGCGCCTTTAAATTCGAGGCGGATACGGTAGATTTTCCGGTTTCCGACGGCGTTCTCCTGAAAATGTTGACAAAATAGACTAAAAACGGTTTTAATACACTTTTCTCTTTATTTCTTCACGAAAAAAGTCGCGAAAAGTCATCTGAAATCGACGTTTTATCAGCGAAAAATCATAATCAACGGTATCCGCCAGTGTTGAGCGGAATTCCGTCTGCCGTCTTCCGGGATTTTTTCTTCTTACCGTAAAATAGTAATAGCTTTTCAGATGCCATTTACTAGCCCCGAAGAACGCGAATTTCCACGGGCAGTGACCCAGATACAAAATCTTTGTTGTTTAGTTTTTTTTGAAAAAATTCCGGGAAAAAAGTTTTCTTCCGTCTTCCGTTTTCCGTGTTCCGTAAAAAAATTTTCTTCCGTCTTCCGGATTTCAAAATTCCATTTCCGCTCAACTCTGGTATCCGCCTCATATTTAAAGAACTTCAGCGCGTGAAAGTTTTGCTCCGTGCGAGACCCGCTGTCGAGAAAGGCGAACTCTTTTCTATGAGAAAGACCAAATAATATCGAGTTTATTGTGGATAAATCTATCAATAATCAGTTAACTCATTCCCACACGACTCTGAGCTTGTGCTCCCCCTGCGGCGGTCCGTAGTGCTCGGCCCAGACGCCCTCGCAAGTGCACCCCTCAGGCGCCGGAATGTGGTACACTCCGAAGTGATGTCTCTCCTCCGACGGAAGCTTCTCTTGCGCACCTCTGCAAAAACATCATCCGTCTCTCCTTTTGTTTCCTCCTTCACCTGTAGATGAGCATGACGGTGAGAGTCTGGTTGTAGTCGAGAATTCCGGTGGCCGGCTTGATGCGAAACAGATCGTTCCGAGTGCACTTCACCTTGAACGCCTGCTTCATTTCGCTCTTGTTCGTTATCTTCAGGTACGTCTTCTGCTCTTCTTGCGGTTTAGCGCGAAACTTGATCTGAAATTTGGAAATGTGCAATGGAGAAGGGGATGGAATGGTTACCTTATCGGCCGGCTCTGTGGAAATGTATTGCTTTTTCTCAGCCATTTTGGAGAATCGAATTCAAAAATTTTGAAACTGATTTGTTCGTCGGAAATGAGAGGGGAATAGAGGGAATCAAAGTCACGTGGTTGCGAAACGTCCCCTCAAAACATTTCTCGATTATTCGATTCCACCGGATACCATAATCCAATTACGTGTTGCGCACACGGATGAGATAAGATCTACTCGCTCGCGAAACCTGATCCACCTATTCTTTTGTGTCATCCACACACACACACACAAAAACAACAGCATACGGTGCAAGAAGTCACGCATAATTATATCCGGTCATCAGAAGAAGAAGAAGAAGAAGAAGAAGAAAACGATCCCTCGAGAAGAGAACAATTGGGGGCGAAAAAGGGAGAAGAAGAAGAAGAAGAAGAAGAAGAGAAAAGCGAGAGTGTTTGTTTCCGGAGCGAAATGGCAATATCAAGGAAAGTGGCACTTCGGACGGGCGGCACATATTGGAAGCAAGTGTCAGAAGAGCAATGACGGCAAGTTGAAGAGCAAAAGGAAGTCGGCACTCGGATGGATGGGCTGCACGGGTTACTGTAGATGAGAGGTCGCCAGTTTTCAGTAGGCAAATAGAACCGGAAGAAAATGGCACTAGTTGTCGATCTATGATTCGCTGCTTTGTGTCGAATTGCACTGTTTGAACTGGTTGGGACTGATAAGAGCGAGAAAGAGCCCCACGCAAACATAGTGTAATGTATGCGAGCATAACAGACGACGAAACGAAGAAGAAGAACGATGAGAGGCTACATTCGTCTCTGTACATTTGTCATTTCTTTAATTCTCCTTCTGAATGTACTTATGTTTCTTACGGTAGGTCAGTTTTGAAGCAACCGACAATATTAGAGATTTGACGTTTTCAGAATAGAAGCTCTGATGAGCACATTATCAGTATACCAACAGTGATGCATAACAATGAATACTGTATCGGTTACAACTTTCTGGAAGCTTCCGAATCGTGAGTAGTCCTCCTCTTCAACTCCTCAATTCGTTCGTTTCATTCAGTTTTCGGGAAGACCGCCTCGAACCAGTGACTCTGTGCACTCATGCCACTGCCGATATGATGGAGACGTTGGAGAAGAAGCCGTCGAATTGGGACGGTCCCATCTCGATCGGACTCTTTATCGACTTCCATTCCGCCCACGCGTTGGAGTATCTCTATGACGTTCGCCGATGCGACAAAGAGTTTCGAGAAAAGGTTTGGTCGAGCATGGAACTTCATAATCTGTTCTGTTCTCAGGTGTCTCTTCACTTTGCCTTCCGTCTCATGCCGTTTCAAAACGCGTGTCCGACCCTCAAACTTCCGACTTCCCACCTCACTTGCGATGAATTTCTGAAACAGCGTAATACATTTTTGCATCAAATTCAACAATAGCCTAAACTTTTAGGCTCTACACTTCGGAAAACCATCTCGGCACCGTTCCAACTTCATCCGTACGCACTCATGAGAAACGTGGCGCGATACGGAGCAAAGTCGGAAATTCACTTTTTGGCCGATGGAGACATGCTAATGAGTGACGGGTTTATGAGAAAAGTGAAGCCGATCGCCAACCGAATGATCGATGGGAAACAGAAGAAACTTCTGGTTGTACGGTCAGTTTCAGAAAGAGCGCCTACCTCACTTTGATGGTATTTTAGAAGGTTCGAAAGTGATTTGAATGTGGTTCCTCCTAGAAATCATACACAATTGAAAGAGTTGGTGGAGAAGGAACAGTGAGTGAATGTCATCGTTCACGGTGAAGTTCAGATTCAGAGTGTTCGAGTTCCATCACAAATTCTTCTTCATGGGCCATCAGATACCTAATATAACGCATTGGTTCAACGTATCCGACACCTCGTACCAAGTCTCCGCGTGGCAGATTCCATACTCGTCAGTTTCAGTTCAGATGTTCACTAACTGGTAAGGTTGCCTTCAGAAACGAAGCATGGGAACCACAGATCATTTTGCACCGAAAAGATCTGTACAATACCGACTATTTTCCTTCGAGAATGCGAGACATGACTTCAGTTGTATGCCGCTTTCACTCCGTCACATCTTCATGATTTGCCTCCGTTCAGATCTACTCTTCTTGCCGTGCCAATTACACTTTTCACCTTCTCTCGCACGTTTTCAATGTGCACGAGGGCGTCAAAACGGCCGATTCCGTACTCTCGAAGGCCGTGTTGGCTCATCAGGCAAAGTTTGCGAGGGATCGGTGAGGAACACTCCAGAACGTTTTCGCTATTACTCAAGGTTTTTCAGAGCGTACAAAAGATTTGTGAAAGAAATGGATGAATTGTATCCGAGTACGTTGGAGAGATGCGGAAAGTTTAACATGTAAACTTTATTTATTTATTGTTTTGTTTTGTTTGTTAATATTGTGTGATAAAGTTAGGCCACGGCCATTGATTTACCGTAATCTCAGCGCACTGTTCTCTTGAGACAATGTATCTCAGCTGCCGGTGGAGATATCAAAAAGTTTTCAACTAATAAATTGCTAATTAAGAGATTTTGTATATTTTATCAGTTGACAACTTTTTGATAACTCTACAGACAGTTGAGATATATTGCTTGCAGCAAACTCTTACTTTTCACGATTTCCCGTGACCGCCTGTCCCATTGCCCTCATCTTCCGCTCCAAATCCAGTTCTCTTCTCGGCTTTCTCTTCTTTTTTGTGCCGTCGAGACAATATTTTGACCATTTCGACAAGGTATTCACCACAATTTCCTCCCCGAACATCCCCTCGAAACCCGTTTCAGTTCGCTTAAAGAATGGCGACAGCAGTTGTGCAGCGAAAAGGGTACGATAATGTGGAGTTGAGTTTGAGTGAGGACGACGATCCGAAAAAAGTGGAGACGAAGAAGAAGAAGAAGAAGAAGAAGACGTCGGCGGAACGGAAGAGCAGCACGGAGAGCCGCGAGATCAGCAAAGAAGAGGAGGAGGAGAAGAAGAAGACGGTGAGTGGGCGAAAGACGGAAGAGTACAGTAGGAACGCGTTTCAGGCGGCCACTCAGACATTGACCGAAGAAGAGAGCAAGGAGAAGGAAAAAGAGAAGGAGACAAAAGTGCCTAAAAGTGGAGAAGAGCCGAAGAAGGAGGAGTTGAGCAAACCGACGACGAAGAAGGATCCGTCGACGAAACTGACGGCTCCGGCGGCTCCGGCGGCTCCGGCTCCGGAGGCAAGAATCCCAGCGCCGCCAGTGAAGCCAGCTGAGAAAGCGAAGACCGGATGTTGTGTGATTCTGTGAAATAACTTGAATTGTGAATACGAATAAACAGGGAACGGGTTACGGTAGCCGGGAAGTGCTCAATGGAGCTCACTCACTTCCTCAATCTTCTCGACCCTCTACAGTAGTGGCCACTTCCTTCCAAATTTCCGCTCATCAAGTGTCCCATTTGTCACACTTTCCGGTCGTTTTTGTCGGATTCCCACCATCAGAATAGCCGATCGTCCCTTCCGTTTCTCCCGTGCTCCTTCCCTGCCTTCCCTTCAATTGTTGTGCACAACTTTTAGTAGTTTCAATTTACTTATAAATCCTTCTTCCCGCCATTCGACGACTTTGACGCTTTGCTGCCGACCGATAAAAGTTAGGTGAGAGCGGTGAGAGAGTGTGCGAGACGGCGAGACGCAGAGCATCCCGAGGGAGAAGCTCAATTAGTCGGGGCGAAAGAAAGAGGTGTTGCGGCGAAATGAATGAAAAGGAGCAGAAGAGGAAGAAGAGTATATCGGCGGTTGAAGTTGGAAAGCGAGATGACGTGGCAAGATAAGAGGAAGAAGAAGTGAGAGAGTTCGAGTAGCTTCTCTGGTATTGTACAGTTTCTCATCACATCATTTGGCTCTTGAGATTGAGAGCGATGCAATATACGGGCAGATGTTGTTATAACGGGTAACGTCATCGACATTTTACGGCGAACGCCTGGAGTGATATTGCTTTCTAATTTAGCATTGAGCATGTAGAAAAGATCTCGAAGGAAACGCGCTCTACCGAACGGGACTGTGGTAGAGCGTGAGCAGCTCTGAGCCCGTTTGGTCCCTCTCTCTCTTCCCTTTCAAACCATCCTCCGATGCCTTTTTCTTTAGCTCTCATCCTTTGCAATAAGCAATAGTATCGAACATTACGCGAGACACGAGATTGTGCTTGCTTGTCCTCAATTCCCTGCTTGCGCGCGCCGCCCATCAAAAAGCCACTCGAGCATCTGGCGGCTCGGCTGCGTCTCCGCCTCTTCGCACGCTCTCTCTCGCGCGATACGGTAGCCCGAAAAGACACCTGGCAACAAGGAGGGCCCGATTAGGGCAAGAAGCGTTCCTTTCCACCTCGGCCGCCGACGACGACGCCTTCTTTTTCTCGCTTCACGCTCGCTCCGATTTATGGCACTTTTACGAGAGTCTTGACCGCGAGACTTGGAGGGAACACCTGCACGCTTCGGGTGAGCTTGATGTCCCGTAATCCGATACTTATTTGTTGACCTCAAAAGGGAACGAGAGAAAAAGCATAATTGAGCTCGAGGGGAGCCGATGGAACGGATCATTGAGGATCAGTGGGAGCTTCAGTTGCAGGTGCACACGGAAGGATTAGCGCGCCGGAAATACAAACTCGGCACGTTAATTATGATGAGCATTTGAATTGTTTAGTGCTTACGTATGAAAGACAACAAGCACTCATGAATCTATCGCTCCATTCTGAAACGTGGCAGAGAGGCCTTCCGACTGCTCCCTCCAGTCCAGTTCCATGTGTTTGTTCCTTTTTCAGAGAAGCCCTAAACAAATGTTTTCCATTCATTCGCCTGTCATCACATGTTGTACAAACAAAGATTACCGACTCTACTACTACTGCTTCTTCTTCTTCTTCTGCTTCTTCTTCTCGCCAACTAGCTAATCCGAGTCGCCGCCATTCGGAAATCCAATTCCCGACGCGCCCCCCGAGCACCTAATCCCTGCCGCGTTTCCATTAGTTTTTGCCCGTATCCATCATCGAAAGAACACAATCGGTTTATTCGGGCTCTTGAATGGGTCTCGCAACGAATGCACCACCGAGATTGGATGTCGGATTGCGCAACTTTCGAGAGAAAGAGCAGATGTTTCCGATCGGATTAGCCGACTTTCTCTCTTTCGCGACTGTAAAACAATATTGGGCGATTCGGAGACAAAAGAGAGTCTCGAGACCTTGCAGCCATATGGAAACATTTGTTGGGGGCCTCCTGATGAATGATCATTCCTCCTCGGGCCACGACGTCTAATTATGTAGTCGTCGACGTCGTCGTCTTTCAACCGACCCGCCACTCGCTTTGTCTCTCATTTAAAATGACCGTATCTGAGAGAAGGAATGGAACGAGATTGACTCGTTACGTTAAATACACATTTCGAATGACTGATGACGAACGAACGGCGCCATTTCTCAATTATTCGTATTGAGATAAACAGCGAATATCGTCTGGAAACAGCCCCGAAAAATGTTTGACACACTTTCTAAAATTTCATCAAAGTAGTCCTTCTTCTTGAGAAACTTGATAACTATGTGTGTGTATGTGCGGGGCAGTGACTTTGAAAGTATCCAGGCTTTTGGCGTCTTTAAGTGGCGACAGATCAGGTTTCCAACTTCTTCATGTCTTCTTCTTGGGCTTCCAAGGACCAAGTGGTCCCTTCACACACACACACACACACACACAAACGACTACCGTAGTAGTGGTGGTGGTAAAGACTTAGTTAGTTAGAGTTGTTGTTCAATTTGTTGGCGTGTGGCGTATGCCTCCACTGAATCGAATAATAAAAGCGATAAAAGTGAGTAAGTTGGGTGGAAAGTGGCCAACACAGAGACCCAACCGTGTTTTGTTCATTTCTCTCTCTCTCTATGTGTGTGTGCGTGTGTGTCTACTCAATTAAACACGCATTTAGACGATTAAGTTGTGCCTCGGAGTGAGGGAATGCGAGTAACAGAGCGATGGGTGAAGAGAGAAGTCAAGAAGGAATGCACTTTGAAAGAGGTCAAGCTATAAGGGGTACGGTAGGCTCGAAAGTCTGCAAAGTGACGTCACGTAGTCTGCTCCGCTGCAACTTTCCCCCTTGGCCACAAATCCAATCAAATTCGCTCATTTATCTTCATAACGCAAACACTTTACTCTCCCAAAATCTGTTGTCAAAACGGATGTAATTTTTCATCGAATCACTCAAAAACGCTCATCAATCTTCTCGCCGCGCCGTTCCGGAACATGTTTCCACTCGCCTGATAGCCATCTGTTCGCGGACAAGTTCGATTCTACCGTAATACAAGAATGGGGGGGGGGGCGCCGAGAGCCGCAAACTTGCTCTCGCCCCGCCCATCCGAAACGAGAGGCGCGGCCGCCCGCAAAACTTTGGATTGGTTGGCAGGCGGGCGGGCGGGACAGGAGCGAAACGAAAGACGGAAAAGGAGAAGAAGGGAAGGGAGGCAAATGAGCGAGTCAATTCAAATTTGTGAATTGGAAAGTAGGATGGGGAGGAAAACGGACGGATGAATGTTATGAGATGGAATGGAATGGAATGGAATGGAATGGAATGACGTGGACGAGGAGACTTTCAGAGCAAGTTTGACTGATTACAGTGACAAGTGCTCCGATTTTGGGGCTTGTCCGCTCCCTTCTGGCTTTACGCAAACTCTGACGAAACGCCATATCTCGATCGACTTCTGTGGCTCAATATCTCTATATGCTATGTGCCGCCGACGAACCCATTTCGGCGCACATCAAAAAAGGCGCCTTTTCGTCGTCGTCGTCGCCTTCGGTTCGACACCTTCACACTCGTTTACACATTCGTCTTCTTGTCGGCTCTTGCCGAGATCGAGATGGAGAGCATGGTCCCTTCGAGACGCAGCGCTTTCGGGAGGCATATCTGTGTGTGTGTGTGTGTGTGCTCTGTGTGTCTCATTGTTGTTTTCCAATTTATGGGGCGCCCATTCATTCGAAGAGTAGGGCCGGGGGCACACGAAAAGAGGCGGGGCTTTGAGGTTCCTGAGACGGGCGGCTCACTCGCAACTAGACAAAACCTCGGCCGGAGCCGCTCAACTTGCCAAGGATTACGGTAGGTCAAAACTCGCGTTTCCAATATTTGAAACTGTCTCCTTCTACTCCGTTCGCCGCGAACCTCATAAAGTGAGGAGAAAGAAACACGCATTTCGCGCCTTTTCGTGCGAGTCTCTTCAATCGAATGACATTAAAATGCAAATTTAGTGGCAGTGGTAGTGGTGGTGGTGGTGACTGACCATGCAATTCGAAAAGTGAGACAGGATGGTGGTGATGGTGGTGACCAGTTGCAACAAATGTGCGCGCGCGCGCGCCCTCGAAAGGACAGATGTCACCTCCTGGAAGCGGACAGAACAAGCCGGAGGATTTGATTTGGCGCCAGAAGGCACATACACACACACACATTCATTTGAATGGGAACGAAGCCACGCACCTGCCAGCCAGCGTGGAAGTGTCAAGAAGAGTCAAGTGGTGACGACGTGGCAGTCGGAGGAGTGGGTGGGAACGTCTGTCGTCGACTTGAAAATAAGAAAAGTATCATCGTAACACAAATGTGACGACGAGCCTTGATGAATTAGAAGTCAATGTAATGCTTCACAATTTCCAGTCCCCCGTAGACTTAAAGTTCTCAAGCCTACCTTCTTGTTGACTTGTGTTGAGTAGAAGAGTATGATCGTATAAAGAAACCCCCTTGAAAGTGTTCAGCTCAGACCTACCTTCTTCTACTCCATTTCCGGCGGTAAACTGAAATTTGATCTATTCTCGCTCGAAACCGCCCGCGATTCGCTCCCCGCCCCAAAAAGTTGGTCATCACTCCCATCTCCGTCCTTCTTCTTCTTCTGCGGCGGCGGCAGCTCGTCATTCATCTTGGCGCCCTCGATATTAATTCAATTTTCATCGCCTTATACCCACTCACTTTCTCGTTTCGCTCTTTCTTTCTTTCTTTCTTTCTTTCTATTCCACAAGCGACCCAACTTTTTCGAGCCCAGCTGATGCACTTTTGCTCCGATCCAACTGAACTTTATTGCTCGTCGTTCACCCCGATAACTTGTCCTTCGTCTTCGTCTTCTTCTCCTTCTTCTCCTTCAAATCCTTGAGAACTGTGGATGTGCTTGCTGCTACAGCTGGCACCGATTGCAACAAACAAGCGTCTCCTTGCCCGGAGAGGTGGCTCCGCCCCTTCACGCTCCTTCAGACTCCGCCCACTTTGCCAACTATTGGCTGGATGGGCGAGTAGACGGCTGCGGCGAGCTGTGTCCGTTTGGAGTCGCACCAAGTTCTCATTCGCCTGCCACGTCGTTTATCTTCCGGATTGATCGGATTCTATCTCCTATTCTGCCTCTCGTCGTCGCGATTTTTTTTGGTTTTTGACCGGAACATGTCTTTTCTTGTACATTGTTCTGTTCTTGAGCTTATTTTTCACCTACTGATAATGTAATTATCACCCGAACCTTCAAACTTTCTATCCCACTCGCCTCCTCACTTTCTGTTTACTCAATCCTCCTGCCACGTCACCATTAACCTCTATACAGTAGGCTCATAAGTGCTCTTCGCATCTCCAACTTTGATACTTGATTGCCATCATCGAGGGGGGGGGAGGTCCGTTTCTTCCCAAAGAATCACAACTTGTCGGTCGCAGTATTGGAAGAAAGAAAAAGAAAAGTGAAGATGTCCGAGCTCCTCTCACCTCAACGATTTCTCCTTCCGACTTCCGGTTTTAGACCCAAGGTGCGAGCTACACCTCCTCTTGAGAACCCTTTAAGAACCGCGAACGGCGGAGATGTACTGTAGATGGTCTTCTACTTTCTATTGTAACAACTCGTACTGTCCTAATTCCAATATTTGTAACGGCAAGAGCAAGGCGTTTGCCCATAAGAAGTTTGAAGTTTTATGAAACTTGAAAGAAAGTCAATATAATCCCTAATTCGAAGCTTATACGGAGCCGGGGATTTGTGAAAATACTCAACTTTTTCTGGGTTCGCATAAGCTTCAATTTAAAGCGAATTAAAGCAGGGTTCCATACAGTTTCAAAATTGTTATGAGCAAAAACCACACTTTTGTACTAGTTGAAGTCACTTAAAACTTATCCAATCGTATCCAATCGCAGACAGGTGTCATCACCCAAATATGATAGTAATCCGACCGCCCGATACGCCTACTACCACTGTTATTATAAGGAAAGTGGTGCTCTCAGCAACTTGTGCCCTCTAATCCCGCTCATTACTCATTCGCTCTGACTGATTACTGTCCATTCCACACCTGTCCCCCCCCCCCTCGCTCGAGTCTCCGTATGGGGGTTTAACTTGAGAACGTACGCGCAAGCAAGCAAGCCCCATTACTGTCCGAAAGTGGGCGGAGCCCCATGCGGCAGGTGCACTGTCTTCGGGCCGCCGCCAAGCAGATGGCGGACCACCAGCCCCGCATGCATCCTCCCGCCCCTACTTGGTGTGAGTGGTGCATGCTGGTCATTCTTTACTCTTTTCTCCGTGATTTCTTGTTCGTCTCCTTCTTCTGATTCTGCTTCTTCTTCTTCTTCTTCTTCTTCTGCTCTCATTTTCTAACCTCACTGCTTTCAGACTTCCCCTCCCTCCCATATCAGTATGTCGACAGAAACGGCGCTCAACACCCTCGACCCCACACTTTTGATGTCTCTGCTCATGAAGTCGGCCTCTTCGATTCACACACCTCCAGACACACACACGGACGGCTCCGAATCGCCCGACTCGACCGCTTCGAATTGTTCGGAGACGGGCGGTCCGCCGGCAAAAAGACGGCGAAAGCCAGAAAGTGAGTGAAAAGTTGTTTTAGCACCACCAGCAGCAGCCTAACTCAATTAGCACACTTTCACTTTCTCACAGTTCTTCTGGGAAGAAGGCCCATTGTTTACCGAATACGTTCTTGAAGGGACCACAAAAGGCATCATTCCATCTCGCTCCATAATCCCAATCCCATAGTCTTTGTGACGAAAAAAAAAACTTGCGGCGGGCATCTGTTCTGCTCACTCCGTCATCGTTGTTATGCGGCAAAGTCACAAGTGAGCGCAGGCTACAACCCGTTTTGATCTACTTGCTCGTTGCCACGTCAACTTGCATTACATTACATTTGTAGCGTTTTGACTTGACTTGGTCAGAATCGAGAGCATGTTTTCGGCTTTCAATAACTCGTGCCTTCTTCCCGTTTATACACACCCGCGCGAGAAACCTCGCCCCGATCTAGTGCTAGTTGAGTGATATTAGTACTTTTATGTACAAAAGTGCTAGTTTTCGTGGCGGTCAAAATCTAAATAGAGCCTTCTGTGCATGGCTCACCTAGTCGCGCGGCAGCTGCTCAAACAGTCAGTACTTCTCTTGCTCGATGCATGATGGTCAGGTCCACTCGGTGCTGCTTCTCAGTTGACCACTCTTCCAAATATACACGTTCAAAGTTTGAACAGCCGCTCACTCGATTTTGTCTCCTTCCATCAATCGTGACCTTTTCATTCATTTTCGACTCCAAGTTTCCGTTTCTCTCTCTCTCTCTCTCTTCACCCAAAAAGAGCGAACCCATCTGTCGCCAGCTGTTCGTCATTTTCTTGACGGTCAAGTCTGAAGACCGCCCGTGTTGGTAGCAGCAGCAGCAGCCACATTCAAAGGAAAAGAACAACAAAAAAAAAAGTTTGTTTGAATTAGGAAACGATCGCCGTGGCGAGTGCTCTCCAACTGATTAGCACCCATATTTTTTGCGGCGCCCTAATTTCGGCCAATTTCACACAGGCACTCAAATTTGTGTGAATATCAAATTTCCCGGTGCACAAGGGAAACAACGCAGAAAACCGAAAAAAAACGTTCCGATGTTGGCGGCCTAAACAGTTTTTTATTCGATCACTTTATCACACACACAAACGCATCACCTTCGGGTCGATTTACACCGTTTGGCGACCTGCCCTTCTTTCTCTATCTCTTCTTCTTTTTTTTGTTCGCTTCGGCCGGCCTCGCTCCTTCTGATTCATTTTTTGCACAAACAAACCCTAAAAGTGCTCCTACTCTAACTCTTTTGAGTCTCAAAAGGGCACCGCTAAGTTGTGACTTCCTTCGCGCGGTTCCGGTCCTCTTTAATTGTCCTCCGCACGCGGTTACATCACTCGGAACACGGGCGGCCCCATCTCAAAAGGTTCGCGTCGCCTCGGCTCATTGGACACTTCCCCCCTCCGCTCAATCAAAAGCTGCTGCTGCTGCCCTATTGTAGTTTTTTTACCGCAAGTCTCTCTCTCTCTCTCTCTCTCTCTCCTAGTACTGCCTCATTAATTATGCATTCATTCCTTTTTTGAGCGCACCGCTCTGGAACCTCTTATGATTTACCATCAGACCTGGCAGAAGGAGGAAGGGCGGCGCATATGGTACGGGATTAGAAAGAGTTTCGGGTTGACGAACACATCGGACAGTTGTTAGCTAATACATTTCATGAGCTGACAACTTTTTGATATCTCTGCAGGTAACTGAGATTCATAGGGCAACAAGGATTACCGTACTTTGGAGCACTCACTGAAACGTGTCCGTACACCGTAATCCATGGGTGTTCTGTCACCTAATGGACTACTACTTTCCTCATCTCGAATATCGCCGTCGCAGTTGGGGGGGCAGATGTTCATTTCATTCCTTCCCCCCTCCTCAACCTACTCATTATCTCCTATTACATGACCCACGTCAATTCACCGCTCCCTGATTACCTCGTGACTCGTTTTCAGCCAAAGACATTGTGCGCGTCGCCGGCGAGTCTACCACCGCTTCGTGCTCCGCCTCCTCTTCCGAATCCGTACACTCTGAATCGGAAGCGCCGAACAAGGAGAACAACGACGACGAAGACGGCGACGAGATGACTTGCGACACGAGCGCCCAGAAGATTGTGGACGACGCCGAAGAGCAGGTGAGAGTTTTGGGGAGTACTGTGGGGCGGATAAGAATCTCGGAGATCGAAACGCCAATTAATGCGCGTCCTTGGCTGGCTGCCGGTTCAAAACGAAGAGGAAGAGAAAAGACAGCTGAGGCGAGCACCTGTTCTTCATGTTCTTCGTTCGTTCGCTCGCAAGTATTACTCAAGTTTTTATGCGAACAGCATCTGAGAAAACATCTGTCTTGCCCCCTTCCCTCGCCCATAAATGGACGACGACGACGTTCGTTCGTTCCTTTGAGATACGCATCTTCCAGAACGCTGCCGTCACCACCACCACTGCCACCGTCGTCGCCGCCACCGCCGCCGCCGGAACAGATGTCGTCACGTCGTCGGCGGGCATTCCGTCGTTCCTCTACTCGCAATTTCTGGCACCGTCGTTCCAAAAGCAGCTGGAGATCTTCACGGCCGGCCACGCGATTGCCAACTCGGAGACGTCGCCGTCGGACGCCGACTCGTTGACTTCTTCGTCAGATGCGCAGACGTCGTCGAAGGTGCGAAGTGTCAGATGTCCAGGGGGCGTGCGCGTGAATTTGCATTTTGAGTGAAAGAGGAATGGGAAAAAGAATTGACACATTTACAAAGAAAGAGTCATTCACTTTTTGCATATTTATGAACTGAACCGAACTGAGTTGGCGTGTTTTCTTTCAAAATTTGAAAGTGGGGGCACAAGGGCTACTGTAGAGTTGTGTGGGGGGTTGGGACCAACTTTAATTATATAGTTGGGAATAACACCTTGTACGAGTCCATAACATGCTGAAGAAGGCATTGCGTGACCAATGACACCACCGATTGTTAGTGGAAGAAGAAGAAGAAGAAGAAGAAGAAGGAAATGAGTAGGGGGGGGGTCTGCAGTCGTCATCTTCCAACTTTGATGGATTACTATTATTGTTTTTTTCCCCCATCATCATGCCGATCTACAGTGTTTTCCGTTTTCCAGAGCCCCCTCGACATGTTGATTCCCTCCTCGAGTCCGCCGCACTCGGAGCACTGCTCGCGCCCGACGACTCCCACCAATCTCAGCGGGGAACTGTCGATCTCGACGACGCCCACGATGGACCCGTTCGCGACGTTCACCCCGAACGGCTCGATCCCATCACCGGGCACCGGATACTCTTCGAGCATTCGACGTGGTATGACTTTTCAGTGAAAGTTGGGACTTGAAAACGTAGAAACAAAGAGACTCAGAATCGTTTTTGGTTTGATACTAACTCTCCCAAATACTAACTCTTTTATTAACACACTCACACACACACACACAGAACCAATAATCTGGTCCCGGAGAGTTGAAGTGGAGCGGCATTGGGATCTAATCACATTCTGTTTAATTGTATTAAGTTTCCCCCCGCCGCCGCCGCTCTCCTCTTCGCCTTCATTCATTTACTGAAATAATTCGAGCGGAGAGGGGGGGGGGGGGGTCTTCGGGAGCACTCGCACCTTCTACAACTAACAACTAATCCTCTCTCCGCACACGACACACTCGCACCTCATCAGCTGGCTGCAGCAGCATTCTGAGTCCCAACTTTCAGAGGGAAAACTGGCGTGTCCGACGCCGGGATGCGACGGATCGGGCCATCAGACCGGCCTCTACACCCATCATCGAAGCCTTTCCGGATGCCCGCGACGACCGGACAAGAGTGTGATTCAAAGTAAGTCGGGTGGGGGGTGGGGGGGGAGAGGGAAATTGAGAAAGTGACGAATGGCCGTCATGCATACATTTCTGACTTTTGGCTGACTCTCAAGATTTATTAGGTTAAGCTTCAGCTTAGGTTCTCTTTTCCATCGGTCCCACCTAAAAAGGGAACTTTATTTGCAGTGCTCGCGCTGCGTCAAGATACCGTACTCCGGTGCACAACTCCCGGCTGCTCGGGCAAAGGACACGTTAACGGAAACCGTACGTCGCACAGAAGTCTCTCCGGATGTCCGATCGCCCATCAGGAGAAATTGGCGCGCAAAGGACTGAAGGTGACGCCGCAGAGAACGAGGACTCCGCCCAAGGGACTGTGCATCGGCGGCGGCGGTGGCGGAGAGGAGACGCCGTTGGATTTGACGCTCACCGGACTGCCCGGAGGACTGTCTGCCCAGCAGTTGTTGGCTGCCGCTCAGGCCGGCCTCATTCCGACCAGGTAAGACTTGAAGAAGAAGAAGAGAATAGACGCTTATGTGCTCATTTCAGCCAAATGATGGATGCTCTTCTCCAGCTCTCACAGCCACAACCACTCGCCAAACTCGAGGAGGAGTCGAAGAAGGAAAACGAAATGGAAGTCGACGTGGAGACTTCTGAAGCCTGTCCGACGCTTGTCAAGGAAGAATCATCCGATGCTGCACCAGTTGCTCCTGCTCCTGCTCCTGCCCCAGCGCCAGCCTCCGTGCCCTCCACACCGACAAAAGCCGCCCAGTTGTCTGTCGAGAAGCTCACTTGCTCGCCTACGACGTCATCCGCCCAGATGCTCCTTCAGATGCCCGCTCTCTCGGACGCCCTTTTCAAAATGAGCGCGGCGGCTTCTGCTTCTGCTCCGGCTCCGGCTCTCGCCGCCTCCAATTCGTTTGCCCAATACGCGCCGCAAGCGTTATTCGGCGGTCAGAATTCGATTCTCGCTCAACTGATGTTCGCGCAGTTTCAGCAAGGATTCTAATTCGAAAAAAGAATAGCTGTCCCGATTCAAATCGTTTATTCCGCTCCCTCTCATTTCTCCGGGTCTCCCACTTCAGTTCGGTGGCAATCAATCACACGCGCACGGAGAATACCGTATTAGGACGGCAGATGTCGCCAGATTGCACCGTCCGTCTCTCTCGCTCTCTCTTCAGAGTTTGGACAGTTACTTTTCGGTCATTGACCTTTTCATCAAGTGAATTGGACAATATGGCACTTCTTATTTATATGGCAGCCAATTGAGTGCACACAAAGCAAGCGAAAGCGGCGCGCGCGAAATTCAAATTCCAATGCCTTACAATCTCAGTGTCAAAATATGCAATTGGTTTTGACACGTGTCTAATGAGCCACCTGCGCGCCGAAAACATCTGTCAATTGTTCCGAACTGAAGTCGGGGACGTTCCCATTTTTTGTGAAAACGTGTCAATCGCATTCTCTCTCTCTCTCTCCCTCTTTTTTTCAAGTGTGCTCCATTGCGAATTTTGCGCTAGAGCGCACTTTCCCTGACTAATAACAACCCTGTGTGTCTGTTTTTCCGAATATTTTTTTAATAATATCATATTTGTCCGCTCTCGAATCGTCAGCTTTATGTGCTCTTTTCCAAAATGTGCATTCCATTTTCCCCCTCTCCCCGCTTTGGTTGTGCTTTAATTGTGTTTCTATTTATTTGTCGGATTTGTTTTCGAAAGTTTTGATAATAATTTATATTATCTCATCAACCACCCAGAATTGATATGCCCGCTGCGTCACCACTGTACTCTACGTTCTGCCATTCCATTCCATTCGACTTTCCTACTCTCCCATTCCGATTTCTCCACATTTTCCTTTATTATATAAATTTTATAGGATTTCTAAGGCGTACAGACCGTCAAAACAACAGAAAGGGGTGACTGATAAAGTGGGGGGCATTTTCAAATTAACAGAGGAGGTCTCTAGTTCAGGTAGATGAGATTGGAGAGGGGTCAAAGTAGATCAAGTGCACGTGGACGTGCTCATTCGTTCTGCTCTATCACTTCGTGACGCAAAACGACGTTGTGATAATCTGAAAACTTTTCAGTTATTCCAGAACCGTTTAGGTGCCGCACCGTTCCCAGTTATGTCGCTCCTCAGCTCATCTTCGGTGGATCCGAGCGTAATCTCTGCAAATCACGTTATTTCTTCCTGTTGCAAACTCGAAAATTACCTCCAGGATCGCTGAAAGTAGAATCCACAGAAGTTGCACTGAAGACCGACTTCAACGTCGTCAGCGTCTTCGATCCTTCGGTGGTGACGGCGAATTCGGGCAATTTCGAATTGTCAGGGACGGTTTCCACGCTCGGTTGTGTCTGATTACTGAGCAAATTGTAGCACACTTCAGAAACGTCTATTTCCGGCGAATTCTGAATAAAAGTTTGCTACATTTTCGAAAAAGAGAGCTTACAAGCTCAATTTCATGATTTCGGAGCATGAGCTGAACACGAGAATGGTAGCTCTGATGCTGCATGTACATGCTGTCGCTGGTGAAGAGGCGCATGCACTTCTGAAGTGATCAAATTTAAAAATTAGGTGAAAAAATTTAACTCACCGCACAGTAATTCGTCTGGTTCTCCATGTCTTCCGCTTTCTTTCCGTGCACTTCGTAAATGTGAATCTCGCACTCTTCTTTTCCGGAACATTCGCACTTGCAATACGGACAATAGTAACTGAAAAATAAGCTTCAAACTTTAATTCGATTCGCTTATACATTTCAAAATCGAGTCCCTTCATACACTCGACCATCGTCGCGTAAGTGTAATCGCCGTCGATTCGCATATTCGCTCTCGCCAACTTCTCGCCGAACGGCGACGACGGGAGCAGCTCGTTCTGGCAGATCATAGTCACCCATTTCGACGGATCTTTGCCCAGTGCGAGCTTCGGAGCGCCGCGACGCCTATCCTGCGTGTACATCGGAACAGGAGATCCGCGGATCACGAGCGCATTTTCGGGAATCAGTGATTGACGGCGATTACTGAAAGAGTTGGTAGTTTGAGATGAGCATTGTTGCCCCGGAATACCGCATTTTGGGTGCAAACCTCGAGTAGGGCCGGTAGGCGGCCTCCAGCTCCTCTTTGTTCGTCACGTGCACACGCATATGCTTCTTCATGTTGCCTTTCAGACGAAACTGTTTGCCGCAGAAAGGACACAAATGTGGAGTATAGCCGGTGTGCACGGTACGATGCTCGAACATGTTCGACTTGAACCGAAAGCCACGACCGCAGACGTCGCAAATGTACGGCTTCTGGTCGGTGTGAATGACGGCGTGCTGCTGGAGACCTTTATAGCTCATGAAGATTTTGTTGCACACATTGCACTGATGGACTGCGACCGGAGAGATTTCATCGTCAGCGTACCCTCCGTACTGAGAAATTGGGATTTGATGCGTATCAAACGGGAATTCGTCCACTTTTTCGTTGAATTTCACATCAATTCCCGTTCCTCTGAACTCATCTTCTACATATTCTTGCTCTTCTGGAGTGTCGTCTAAGAGTGACATCTGAAAATTTGATTTAAACAAAAATTGTAAGAAATTCGAGAATTTTTGGCAAAAAGAGCTTGAAATTACTGAAAAACAAAGAAGATCGAAAATCGGAAAGGTTTTCGCAGAAATTACTGTCGTTTTGTCAAACTCGTGGCGAGACACATGACACAGAAAAGTGCTTGCGCCTTTGACACAGTACTTTCGCTCTATTGAAATTTTTTTTTGGGTTTTGCAAGTGCCTTCAATAAATGTTATTCGAAAATAACACGACCAAATTTGAAGATTTTTAAGTTTCTATACTTCTTGTCAATGCCGAACCCAATTCAAACTATTTTCATTTTCATTTTCACACTAAACCTGTACAAATTCTGTAAATGAACCGTCGTCTTCATTCCCACATACAATATCGTCACTCAAGTTTTTCGGATCGTCCTGCTTCATTCAGTGATCCGTCCGTCCGTCCGTCCGTCCGTCCCCGTTCTATCCAGCGCATTCTCGGCGCTCTCCTCGTTTCGCGTGCTCTCTCCGCCGCTATCTTTTCCACTGCGAAACGCGACGAGAGAGGGAGAGAGTACGCACACAACACATGCCATTTTGTCGGCTGTCGCCTCCTACTCGTCCTCGTTTCTCACTCTTTTTGCTCGAAAATGGACGCTTCACGGAGCAAACCGTCCAGTTCGTCGAGTCATTCACCTAGTCCGGCTCCTGTTGTAAGTGTTTTTCCTCTAAATCCATCAAAATCGAAAATATCCGACAGAAAATGCCGAAAATAGTGCAAAACGTCCAAAGAAATTATCAGATTGTGACATTTCGAACGTGCGAAGGGCAAATACTCATCAAACGCGTAGAAAAACGTTTCTGTCTAAAAAAGTTGTCGATATCAATTCAATTTAACCTGCCTTAGCCAATTATAACCCATTTTCTTCTTTTTTCAGACAGGATCCGAGCGGAAAACACGAGATTCGGGTCTGTGCCAAACAAGTGACATTCCCGAGATTCCGTCGTTTTGCATCGACAACCTGAATAGTATTCGGCTGGGAAGAGGCACTTATGGAGTCGTCGAGAAAACGAGATATCGAAAATCCAGGAATCATGAGTTTGGGTGCGTGAAAGACCGCTTAAAAAGTTTATTGTAAATGTTTTTGACACGAAAACTACTAAGAATTTATACAAATCGACTTATTCTGCTGATTTTTCAGACCTGCGGCTATCAAATACGCGAATGACTCGCCGAGCAATATTATCGTTCTGATTCGAGAGGCCAAAGTGATGATGTCACTCCGAGATCATCCGAACGTTATCAAGTACTCCTTTTTCACTCGAAAATCCTGTAGAAATAATATAATTTACAGAATTTACGGGTTGTACCATTGTCCGCGTAACGGGCGAGGAGTAGTGATGGAGCACATGGATTGCGGATCGATGGCTGATTGTGAGGGCGCTTTCTGAGCGCATTCTTTGATTCGAAACGTAAACTTTCAGTGATTTACCTTCGAAAAAGTATCAATTACACGATAGACCACTTCGCCACGTGGATGCGTCAGCTTTCGTCTGCTGTCGACTTCTTTCACGTCAACGATCAGGTTCATCGGGATCTGAAACTGCAGAAGTAGGTCTTCATGTCTTCTTACTTTTTTCTCAACACAGTTCGTTCAGTATGCTTCTCTGCGATCGCTACCGAACAATGAAGCTGTGCGACTTCGGAACCTTCACCTCAATGCACCAATCGATGACCTCCAACCGAGGCACCCCGATCACAATGGCGCCAGAAATCTTCCGCTGCGAACCGTACAACACGAAATCCGACATCTACAGTATCGGCATAATCATGTGGCAGGTCCTCGCGCGTAGCCATCCGTACAATCAGAATCTCTCGGTGCCCGGATTGCTGTACAACGTGGCGACGACCAATCTGAGACCGCCCGAATTGCAGTGCAATCCGATCCTTTCCTCGTTTTATAAAAAGTGCTGGCATAACGATCCGGAGGAGCGACCCACTTCGTCACAGTGCGTCGAGTATTTCGAATGTCTGGAAAATGTAATTAGTTACTCAATTTGAAAACTGATTTTGCTGATCATGTTACTTTTCAGGAGTACCCGAACGGCACCGAGCCTCTGTCTGATTCGACGACGAACGGACCCGCCCACACCCCTCAGCCACGCGCTCTCCGTCCGTCGCCTCCGTTCGGAACGGCGAGCGGATCCGGTTCTCACGGACGTACACCGACTCCCTCGAATCGTCTGCACGCGCCAACACCCGAACGGAAAACGCACCGACGGACGGGCAGTGATCAGACGACGATCGGACTGAACGTACCTTCCTCCGCGTCGGTCTCGTCGGCGTCAGTCCAGCCGGCGGTCAAAGGAACGAGGTCGAAGAGTGTAGCGTCAGATTTGCACAATGCGGCCGCAAATGGGCACAGGTTGGTGAATGAATGAGCAGAATTGCGAAAGAAACGAGAGGCTCGGTGTTGCGAAATAGTCACATGGATTTCTCGTTTTGCAGGTCACCACACAGAGATGCGCCCCCGCCGCCCGGAGTCCGGAGGAAGAGCAGCGACGAGAATCGGATGGCGTTCCTCTCGATTATGGGTGATCACGAGCTGAGGGTTAGATTTATTGCGATATGGATTTCACAGATTTCAACGTTTTTAGCCAATCGAACCAGATGAAAGTGACCTGACGTCCCTGCAAATCTACAATGAACACTGTCAAGAATGCGAAGCGCTCGTTGACGTCATCGATTTGAAAAAGGAAATCATGATTAAAAAGTGAGCCAACGCCCTCCTGAATGCGTGAAAACACAACCTTTGCAGACACGAAGCACTGAGCTTGTGGTCGAAACACGAAAAGCACGCGGAGCTGCTCGAACGGATGCACTATCTGGAGCAGATGATCGGGCGAATCGAGCGAAACAGCGCGTCGACCGACGACGAAATTGCATTCCACACCGAGCGAATGTAATGTAATATTATACACTTTTACCTGCCAATTAAAATCTACTCACTTCTCCTTCTTTTTCTTAACTTTCTACTCTGTTCCCTCCAAACGCTGGTCGCTGCCTCTCTCTTCCTTCCTGTCTTTTCTTCCTTCCAATTCGATTGTTTTTATGATTATTCGAATGTGTTTATCTGTGTGTGTGTGTGTATTTAGTGTCTAGAGATCATTATGACAGTTGTTATGACATTGCGGAAAGCTGAAATGAACGAATTCCGCCCTCCATGTATCACAGTGTGACTATAAAGGGCGCCTTCTTCCCTTCTGCGCCAATCAACCATGGGTTACGGCACGCAGGTGGCTTCTGGAGTCACAGTCGTCTGTGCCGCTTTTCTTATTCCGATGCTCACTTGCACAGTTTCGCTTTTCTACGAAGTCGCTCAAATGCACATGAATGCGATGGACGGAATGGACGAATTCAAGGTAATCTGAGATTTGACGGGCTCGCCGCGAATATTCTGTTTCAGCTTTACGCGAATGGCGCGTGGGAAGACATGCTCCCGGCCGCCCGTATTCCTCGTGACGCCCCCGCCGATCAACAGAAGAAAGAGCCGTGCGACTGCGGTTCGGCGCCTTCCAATTGCCCAGCCGGACCGCCCGGTCCACGTGGAAGACCCGGTAGAAAAGGATCGGATGGACCGCATGGCAATCAGGGAAGGAAGGGACCAGACGGAATCGAAGTGTTCCGCGAGATGATCGGACCGGTCGAGTGCATTCCGTGCACTGCCGGAGAGCCAGGACCGCCCGGAGAGGAAGGGCCAGCCGGCGAGCCAGGAGTTGACGGTCTGCCTGGAAGTCAGGGAAAACCGGGAGAGGACGGACCGCCCGGAGAAGACGGAGAACCCGGATTTCCCGGTTTTCCGGGTTTCCCTGGCGAACCCGGACACCAGGGGAAACCAGGAAACAACGGAACGAAAGGAACGGGCACTCCAGGACCTGCTGGACCACCCGGGCCGCCCGGTGAACCAGGAATGCCGGGAGTCACTGGAGACGACGGAGAAGAAGGGCAAGAGGGACCGGAGGGACCGGAAGGACCGCCCGGGCAAGCAGGAGAGAAAGCCGAGGAGGGACCGGACGGCATTCCAGGAGAACAAGGAGTGCCTGGATTCGATTCGGGTAAGTAGAGAAGAAAAAGAAGAAGAGATAGTGATCGGTATTTCAGGATATTGTCCGTGTCCTCGTCGCTCCTACTCGAAGAACAGTCCGAACGGTGCGCCGATCCCCACCCAAGACACTTTCATTCCGTCGCCATCCGCCATCCCTCTCCCCCCACCACCTTATCCCACCAGATCCCATCCTCCAACTGTTCCGACACCCGCTCCAACTCTTCTTCCAACTCGTTCCCCGCAATCTCGCGGAGATGTTTACCAAGTGAATCCGAGCAACTCTTCGGAGAGTCCAGAATCCGGAGACTTTGTGAATTCGGCGACGATGGGAGAGGGGTACGCGAAGAAGTTGGCAGTCAAGAAGTTGTAATCTTTCGGAGTTTGAAGACAATAACAATAAAGTCGAGAGTCCTTGAATTCTTTGAGAGCTCGAGTTCCAGTTCGTATCATTTCTTCTTCTTGTCAGGACCGAAGACGTCCCCACCGACAGCAGCCAGAGTCTGGTAGTTTGGATCCATCGTTGCTGCCTTCTGGTTCTGAAAAGGACAAAGATGAGATGAGAAGGAGTCAGAGTTCCGATCACCTTGTTGGCCGGCTGCGTCGGTTTCTTTCCGTCTCCGCCGGCAGCTCCCGCCTTCTTGTCCGCCCCGAACACATCTCCCCCGACGGCCGCCAATGTCTGGTAGTTCGGGTCCTGAGTCGCCGCCTTCTGACCCTTGTTCGCCGGTTGCAATGGCTTCTTGTCGCCGCCAGCAGCCGGAGCAGCAGCAGCCGCAGGAGCCGCTCCTTCCTTTTTCTCGAACACATTGTTGTTGAGTCCGGCGAGAGTCTGATAGTTCGGATCTTGAGTGGCCGCCTTCGCGTTTTGATCCTTGGGCGCAGCAGGACCGCCGGCAGGAGGTGGAGCCGCCGGAGCCGCGCCGTCCTTCTTCTCAAATACATTGTTATTCAATCCAGCCAAGGTCTGGTAGTTCGGATCCTGAGTCGCAGCCATTCCGGGCTTTCCGGCGGCCGGAGCAGCGGCGGCTGGTGCTCCGGCTCCTTTGTTCTCGAAAACGTTGTTGTTCAGTCCCGCCAGCGTCTGATAGTTCGGATCTTGAGTAGCTGAATAAAGAAACATACACCGATTTTCTAGATTTCTTCTCACCAGCCATTGCAGGTTGGCCGTTTGCAGGAGGAGCTGGTGCTCCCGGAGCAGGCTGAGAAGCCGGAGACTGTGGGGCTGGAGGAGCAGGAGAGGACGCAGCAGGAGGAGGAGCTGGCGGTGGTGGTGCTCCGTTCATTGACGGATTGTTCGAATCCGCCGCCTTCTTCTCCTCGGCCTCCTCGTTGCCGTCCTCCGTCATTTTCTTCGCACTTATTTCCGATTGATGCAACTTTTCCCCCTTTTTCTTCTTCTTTCCACACATCGCAAGTGTGTAAACGGACAAGATCGATACAAAGAACGTGGAAGAAATCACTGACACTATTTCCATCGTTATCTGCAAACGAACGCAGCATTCTTCGTGGATTCTCTGTGTCTTCGGATACCGAATACAAATGTTTCAGAAGTGTGGATTGTGGAAATAATTGACAGAAAAGTTTCACGCGAAATGGATTGCTCAGTTCAGAGATCCTTATCTCCCACGTAATCAGTTCCTCGCCCTCCGATGCCACTCATTCCCTATCTCGCTCGCAGTTGCAACTTGTTGAAGTGTGAGTTTCGCTCCGTCTTCGCCGCCGCCGCCGACGCGCTCATCGCCGTTTTCGTTCAGGATAAAACTCAACGAACCCATCTTCAATTGAACCCTTTCGAGAGGCAGCAGGAAGTTTGCGACTATCGACCGAATGGACGTGCAAGATATTATTGGAATTGCTTTGAACCTGGCCACCGCCGCCTCGGCTGCTTCCCTCATTCTGCTTCCCGCGTGCGGAGGAGTCAGTTCTCCACTCTTCTGCGATTCAATTCCAAACATTCCTGTTTCAGAAGAAGAAACAGTCGGAGAGCGACACAGCGAGCAGCAAAAATGGAGACGGCTCAACGAAGAGTCCGGCGGCGAAGGACGAAAAGAAAGACGGAAGTTCTCCGGCGGCGCCGCCCGCTGTCGCCGGAACCAACGACCCGAACTATCAGACGATGGCCGGAATCGAGAACAACTTCGGAGCCGACAAGGCGGCCGGAGCTCCGGCTGCGGCCCCAGCTGCTGGTGCTCCGGCGGCTGGTGCTCCGGCGGCTGGGAAGCCCGCGATGGCCGGAACTCACGACCCGAACTATCAGACGTTGGCCGGAATCGCAAACGACTGTTTCGACAAGAAAGATGGTGGCGCTCCGGCTCCTGCTGCCGCTGCTCCGGCCGCCGGAAAGCCCGGAATGGCTGCCACTCACGATCCGAACTACCAGACCTTGGCCGGATTGAACAACAACGTCTTCGAAAAGAAGGAAGGCGGGGCTCCTGCTGCTGCTGCTGCTGCTGGTGCTGCCGGCGGTCCAGCTGTGCCGAAGGATCAAAACGCGAAAGCGGCGACTCACGACCCGAACTATCAGACTCTCGCCGGACTCAACAACAATGTGTTCGAGAAGAAGGAAGGAGCGGCTCCTGCTGCTCCGGCTGCTGGCGGCGACAAGAAGCCAGTGCAACCGGCGAACAAGGGTCAGAAGGCGGCCACTCAGGACCCGAACTACCAGACATTGGCGGCCGTCGGGGGAGATGTGTTCGGGGCGGACAAGAAGGCGGGAGCTGCCGGCGGAGACGGAAAGAAACCGACGCAGCCGGCCAACAAGGTGATCGGAACTCTGACTCCTTCTCATCTCATCTTTGTCCTTTTCAGAACCAGAAGGCAGCAACGATGGATCCAAACTACCAGACTCTGGCTGCTGTCGGTGGGGACGTCTTCGGTGCTGACAAGAAGAAAAAGTAGAATGAGCCCGCCAAAAGAAAAGGAGAAATGCAGTCGGTACTCGCCTTTCATGAATGATATAAATATTTGATTTTTGAATTTGTATTGAGCGTAAAGCACGGTCTCCAGAGCTTACAGTAGTTTTGGCCTCCGCCAATCGTGCATTTGAGCAATAATGGTCAATAGCGGTGGATAGCGGTGGGGTCTTTGACGAGAGGCGGCTACTCGGGAAATTTTCGACAAGTTGCCGCAAAAGTGACGGCAAGGTGCCTCAACCATGCTTCTGCAGTAATCAGCCACGTGGCCAACACCTCCACAGCGAAAACACCTCACATTGTTCTCCTCTGCTCTGCTCTCTTCGTTCGGTTTCACGTCTTCTTCTCCATTCTCTGAATGCTGTTGACTCGCATTCTCCGTGATCATCCTCGATCCGTCTTCGTTCCCTTACCACCCGCTCATCCTCTGCCTGTTGTCCCTGCATCTCTCGTTCTCCTGCTGGAGGACGACGTCTTTCAACTGTTCGCACTGTTCTCTTAACGGTATTTCCAGTCTCCGCATGATCAACAACTTGTGCAGCGTTTCGTCCTCTCGGACGGCTTTCATGAGCTTCGTGGTGCGCAAGAGAGTTTCCTCTCCCACCTCCGGGTACGCTTCCCTCGATCACTTCTCCACGTCCACCAAAAACTCCCACATCATCTGACCTGGCTTCCTGCTCAGATCGTCGAACTCATTCAGCGCCTCCGTCTTGCGGTCTCCCTGGCGCTTCCTCAGTTTCCTCTCGAATTCTTCGAACACCGACTTCATCGATCGCTCGTATCGAAAGAGGGCTCTGAAGCAGAGTTGAGCGGAAATGGAGTACGGAAAAAAAATTTTTTACGGAACACGGAAAACGGAAGACGGAAGAACATTTTTCTCACGGAAGACGGCAGACGGAAGACGGAACAAAAAAATCGTCAATGCAGAACCTTTTTCTCCGGTTTTTTTTTTGAAAAAAATAACTAAACAACAAAAATTTTGGATCTGGGTCACTGCCCGTGGAAATTCGCGTTCTTCGGGGCTAGTAAATGGCCTCTGAAAAGCTATTACTCTTTTACGGTAAGAAGAAAAAATCCTGGAGGACGGCAGACGGCAGACGGAAGAAAACTTTTTTCCCGGAAGACGGAACAAAAAAACCACGGAAGACGGAATTTTGCTCAACGCTCAACACTGCTCTGAAGAATGGCATATTCACGTAAAGATGGAGGATTTGCTATCGCATTCTTTCTGAAAATCGGGTATGAGAAAGAAGGCATTGTTTTGTTGCCTCATACTATAGACTGAACCCTGCTCAAATTTGGTTGGGTTCGCAAACAAACACCGAGGAATAATTTATTCTAGAGAAAAAATCCGGAATACTGAAGAGATCAATGCAGATAAAACCCGTTAAACGAGAAAATAAGAATAGAAATTGTGAACAAAATAGGAGATCAGGCATAGTCGAGGAGTTAATTTTGAATGATTACGTCCTCCTTTTCAGTAACAAGCGAATGAAGAAAGGGAGATCCGAATCCAGGGAATACTTTTTTCTCCAAAGCGGATGTCTTATTCCTCGATGTGTTGGCACAGTTTCTTCCAGAAATGCGCGTTTTCCATAGTCCCCTTTCGAAGGAAGAGATCTTTTGACCGAATGAGTACAGCAGCGAACACACAGAGTTGGTGACACGTAGCTGGCGCATGATGGATTACAGTCGCACTGCACTGTATATATAATATTGACTCCAAGCAGAATAAGTAAAGCCATGACGAGTTTATATGTCGCCGGCATTCTCTGAAAGAGTTTCGTTTCGTTTCTAACGAAATGAGTGGACATTATGTGAACAGAAAGAGAAAGAGAGAGAGAGAGAGAGAGAGAGAGAGAGAGAGAGATGCCGGGAAAAAGGAAGAATCTTTTCTGAGGTAGCAGCTACTTGAGAACTGAACAGAACTCCGATAAGGGAATAGAACAACCTGCTTTATTGCCTTACTCCCCCTCAATGTTTTCTCTGAAAAGAGGGGGACGAAAAGAGAGCATAGCTGATAGCGGACAGCCAGAACTATGATACACAAAACTTCTAACCTGGGCCCCCATACGCTTGCTTCTTTCTTATAACCGCTAGGAAGTTCACGTGTTCATTTCTCAATTTCTCCGTCACAATTATTTTCGTCGCACAGATCAGAGTTGAGCGGAAATGGAATTTTGAAATCCGGAAGACGGCAGACGGCAGACGGAAGAAAATTTTCTCACGGAAGACGGCAGACGGAAGACGGAATTCCGCTCAACTCTGCCACAGGTGATTCGCGATCGGTCTATTGAGAACATAGGCCTATGATATGCCTATCATGAACCAATCGCGTAGAAAAATTGCCTACAATACGTCGATCGCGAAAATTCTCGAATTCGCATATGATAGGCCTAAAATAGGCCTATTCACCCTGAAAAGTGCTCGCGATAGGTCCACTCACTAAATATGAAATTTTCGTGATCGGTCCATCATGCGTCTATTGAAGAACTCGCTCCGAGTTCTCAATAGACCCGCCACGAATCACCTGTGTCTTAGAAATGAAAAAGTGTGCGGACAAACCAAGAAAAAAAAATAATAAACAGAAGGACAAACTCCTCAAATCTTTTATCAATCATTCTTATGGGATTATTCAAGCTGCGAAAAAAAATGATTTTTTCCGTTTTTTTTCCGTTTTTTTTACGTTAAAAAAACCCAATTCAGCGATGAAAAAAACGAAAAAAAAACGGAAAGAAACACGCTGAATAGCCCCATTATTAATATAACTCTTACCGGGTTTGTCCTCATCTTTGTTTTTTTTTATTTCTCTGTTTGTCCGTCCCCACTTTCATTTCTAAAACGAAATAATTGTGACGGAGAAATTGAGAAAAATGAACACGTGAACCTTCAGATAGTTATAAGAAACAACAAAAGTTCGATCGTTAGCTCGGCGCGGGCAGCGGGTCCCGGTTTCAAAAGTCTTGTAAGAATGATATAATTAGTAGTATCCCAGAAAGTGAGGTGAACAAAAGTGAAGAAGGAAACGAAGGAAGGAGGAGGAATTACAATTGGCCTGAGGAAGCGAGCGTAATCAACAAAGTGATGAGTCGGCAGAAGGATGAACTGTGAGTGTTAGAATGAATAAATAGATTGTATTCTCGTATGCTAAAAATAGTCGACAGTTCTCTATTAACGAATTAGCAAGTTTATTGAACACAAAGCGAGTAAAAATACCTAAAGTTTCTGAAATTTGTGTGCTAACAATTGTAAATAGCACTGCGCTTCCGGTCGACTTTATGAGCCGCTGAAGAGTGCCTTGTGCTTCTTATCGGAAGCGAAATGTGCTCACTTCGAAGGTTTTCGCAATGATATCATAAGCAAACCAGTCGGTCAGATTTGATTTCAGTTTTGCGGGGGAGACGGAGTATTCATTTCTTCGCCACTTTCTTGCAACCACCATGCGCCATAGGATACTGCATAAGTGGCACTTCTGCAGTAATTTCATTTCTGTTGTTAGAGAGTATTCTCTTCCAGCGCACACCAATTACGGATAGCTATTCAATATATTTTTTGATCCGCTTTCAAATGCATTTTGGACTAGAACAAATACTACTACTATGGCATACTTGAGGCCACCACTAACAACTAGATAAACAACAACTTCCTTAATGCAGAATCATTTTGAAAATGTCAGTGAATTCCTCGTTAATTGTTTGGGACTACTGTAGATGTGACTGCATTATTCTAGTTTTGTCATGGTCTACCCTGATCAGACTGAGAAACTGTCGCGACAATATTAGGTCTAAGCTCAAGCATAAAAACAAAGTGTCTGTTATGAGTGAGTATACGTTGACTTCGAACCCGGAGCAGGTCGTCTAACTACTTTTTATTACCCAATAACTGATAAGCATTGACGACAGTTGACCAATCGTTCATGATGTCGTTTATAGAAATAATCGCAGAATTTGTTATTTTCAAAGAAGTATCAAAGCTATTATAGGGGCGCCGGACAGAAAGGGCGCGCTGTTCGCAATCTGGCCGAATTTCTAGGCCGCCGAAGTAAAATTCCACTGAAAATGTGGCCTAACTTTTCAAACTCGGCCCCGAGGTCGCTCAATTTGGCATTTTTTAAAAATTGGCATGAACCCTTGACGGTCAAGGGTACAAGGCATTTTTTGAAAATTGGCATGAACCCTTGACGGTCAAGGGTACAAGGCATTTTTTTAAAATTGGCATGAACCCTTGACGGTCAAGGGTACAAGGATTTTTTGAAAATTGGCATGAACCCTTGACGGTCAAGGGTACAAGGCATTTTTTAAAAATTGGCATGAACCCTTGACGGTCAAGGGTACAAGGCATTTTTTGAAAATTGGCATGAACCCTTGACGGTCAAGGGTACAAGGCATTTTTTTAAAATTGGCATGAACCCTTGACGGTCAAGGGTACAAGGAATTTTTTGAAAATTGGCATGAACCCTTGACGGTCAAGGGTACAAGGCATTTTTTGAAAATTGGCATGAACCCTTGACGGTCAAGGGTACAAGGAATTTTTTGAAAATTGGCATGAACCCTTGACGGTCAAGGGTACAAGGCATTTTTTGAAAATTGGCATACGTCTTCGGGTCAAACGGAAGACGGAAGCTATACATTTCGTTAGTTGATCACATTTCATGAAAACATTTTCTAAAAAAGACAAAAATTCTCCCGTGTTCTTCCGTTGAGTTCTTCCGCTCAACTCTGCCTTGTACCCTTGACCGTCAAGGGTACAAGCCAATTTAAAAAAAATGCCAAATGCCGAACCCATGCTCAACGGCAAGCTTGCCGTTTTTGCGGGATTGAACACAAATCATCTCAAATCCTGAATCTTCTCAAATCCGAAAACAATAAATGCAAACATTTTTCAATAAATTTATTCACACACAAAATACTGTGAAGTGGGGGCAGTATGGAAGTCATCGATACGTCGTCACCGCTTGGGCCAGGAACCATCAGTCCTATGGGTTGTACTCGATCGGAAGGTTCTTGCGACGGACCATTCCATCTCCCTGGAACCACTCGCGACGGAACTGCTTCGCTGCGCCGTCGGGCGTGTTCGTCCACTCGATCGTGATGCGATCGTTGTTGGTGTCCTCCTGTCCGAAAGCGAACGCGTCGCACGAGACGGCGAGAAGGACCGCCTCCTTGGGGTCGAGCACTCCGCATGGTGGGTCGACGCCGAGACGCTTCATGTTGGTCGTCTTGATTCCGTATCCAATGCGGCGGGCTGACGAGTTGATCACCTTGATGTGATAGGTGTGCTTGTCGTCGTACGGCGCGTTGAACACGATTTTGGCGTTCGGCTGCGTGGCGATGTCTCCTGGTGGGACGGATTGGGCCATTTGGATTCGATGGAGTTGTGAGGGAACTCGATGAGGGAACTGCCGCAAGCTGCCCCTTTTGTACCCATCGTATCAGGCGATCCGATCTTTGACCGGGTCACCCCTCGTTGACTCAAATGACGTGGCATTCAAATTTATAAAAACAAACGTCGTGCAGTCGAAACGTTCCGTTTCACACTTGCAATTGAAATATTTGATTCGATCAAATCGCTACCGTGATGCAGTCTTCTGATGAAACGGATGATGTTCTGCCGAAGGATGAGGAGGTGTTGAAGACGAAAAAGGACAAGTACAAAGTGATCGCTCTGCTCGGAAAAGGCGGATACGGAGCCGTCTACTCGGTGCTCCGTCTCTCCGACTCGGAGAAGTTCGCCATCAAATGCGAAAAGGCGACGGCGGCGAAGAAGGTGCTTCTGATGGACTGCAACGTGATGAAGGGTGCCACGCAGATCAAGAGTCGGCACTTCTGCACGGTGCTGGATCGGGCGAACGTCAAGGATCGGTTCAACTTCATCGTGATGAAACTGATCGGCAAGAACCTCTGGGACCTGCGACAGGACCGCCCGGACGGCCGATTCAGTCTCGGAACTGCCCTCAAGACCGCCGCCCAGTGTCTCGTTTCCATCGAACATCTCCACAGTGTAAGTGGTCTTGCTAGGCACTTTCTTTTCGAAGCACTCAGGAAAATTGTGCAAAATTCTCTCAGACAAATAATTTCGGGTCCAATTATGTAATTTTTGTTTCCCACGCGAATTTGTCTAACCCGTGTGCGAATCTAATAATTGGATTTGCAATCGACACGGTCTCCAGAGTGGACAATGGGCGCAAGGCGCAAGGGCGCCCATTGTCAACTCCCAATAGAGCGATACATTGGCGCGAAATTCAAATTTTAACAGCAAAATTAGTGTTTTTTGCCAGATGAGCCACGAAAAGCCGATAATTTCTCATTCGTCTCTCGATAGACCAATTGTATAAGCTATTACGAATTTTATAAGCGCAATAGCGTTAAATTTGGTCAAGTCGCAAATCACATTTATCCGTTTGAAGGTTTTTGGCTAAAACTGCGTGAATTTCAGTTGCTTTCCGGTAATTTTCGCGGTTCGAGCGCTCAAAATGCTTGTATTTACGTGATTCTTCATTCTCAAAACCAATTCTGTCTGAAAACGGTCGAGAAAGCGCAAAATGAGAAGTGCGCTTTTTAGGCGGCGATCGGCGGCGAAGGCGAAAAAGCAAAGTCCGCGAAAAATGCGCCAAAACGTCATTAATTCTGAGAATTAGTGTGTTTTCATGTCGAAGAGTCATTTTTCATCGCCGTTGACCACAAAAATCAGAGAAAACTTGCTCAATTCATGAAAACGCCATTTGGCCGAGGCCACGCCCATATTGTCAGTAGAGTGACGTGTCGACATGAGAGTTTGTCGAAAAGTCGATAAAAGTCGAGGAAATTTATGTCGACAGTATCGACAAAAGTAATGTCGATCGACAGCGGACTGTCGACAAATTATCTATCGACAACACTTGCCCAATTTACTTGTCGACAGAATGTCGATAGTCGACAAAATATTTTTTGTCGACAATCGACAATGTCGATTGTCGACAATCGCTCATTGTCGATAGTCGACAATCGCTCATTGTCGATAGTCGACAATCGCTCAGTGTCGATAGTCGATAAACTGTCGACAATTTGTCGACAATTTGTCGACATTCCGTGGCCTGGAAGGGGGCCGCGCAAACCGACCTTCTCATTGCCATTGGTGGTCGGCGCGCCCCCACCCGTTTGGCGCAGTGGCAGAGTGCTCACTCGGCAGTCTGGAGGTGTCGGGTTCGAAACTTTTGACCTTGAAAGATGTTTTGCTTTTTTAGAACATCATTTTTCTTCAATTTATATGTTGCCTCTTTGGTTTCAGCCACCAAACAGAGGCGAAAAACGCGTGCGGCGGACTTGCAGGCGAGACTCCGCCCCCTCCTCTGCCGCCGACCGGGAGAAAACAGGCCAACTTTAAATGGGCGTAACTCGGGATGTACCGAAAATTTTGGAAAAAAAATTGGGAGCGTACTCATATAGAGTAGGGGAACACATTCCAGCAAAATTTTTTTTAGAATTTTTGAGTTTCGTGAAACCCGTTGTGGCCCCTAGTTATAACAATTGTCATATGTACAAAAAAAGTAATAAACACAGAAAAAAAGTTTCGAAAAATGATGATAATTTATTGTCCTCTCGGACTACACGTGATGTTTTCTAGGCCACGGGAATGTCGACAAATTGTCGACAAATTCTCTGGTAAATGATTCTTTGTCTGACCAGAAGATTTCCGAATCTGATCCGAAAGAAAGCGACCTCCTGACCTGGCCAGACCAGACGCAGAGAACTCTCGGATCAGACTCGGAAATCCCCCTGATCAGACTCGGAAATCGTCTGGTCAGACTCGAATGCGGAAGCGGAGCGTCGTATCGCTCCTTGTTTAGCAGTTTGTGAATTTAACTAGAATTTCGCAAAAATTAAAGCTTTATTGATAGAACCAGTAAAAGAAAAACAACCGAGAGGGTGGACACGTGATTTGGGAATACCTAGAATACAAATACAACAACAACAACAACAACAACAAATGCGTTTTTTTCACTTTTTCCACTCTTATGTTATCCTTCTGTTTTTTTCAACTGTTTTGAATCTTTCAATTGATTCAGAAGAAACTGGGAACGCGTGAACAGTAAAATATCGTGGAAAAAATCGGCAAAAAAGTCACCAAAAATGCTCTTTTGGCAGTTGCAGTCTTTGGAAGGGTAACAGAGTGTAAAAAAGTAAAACTTGCAATGAACGTACTTAGAATCCTACTCAGTAGGTGCCGCAGATATTTGGCCGTCATTTGCTCCATTATTTGCCGCAGATATTTGCCCGTCATTTTCCTCATTATTTCCCGCTTCCGGAAGATTCTTCATGTCGACGTGCTTGGTCGCTGTAAGAGAGATTTTCGATTTAATTGTTCGTGAGCATAACGAATTTCATCTCCATACGTCTTGATCATAGTTGTCATTCTTTGCTCCAAATCGGCGAAAACCAGTTCTGCGGATGGGGCGGAATTTGAGCATGAACACCTAAATATTTATTATGTAAATTTCGAATTGAACACGTTCGTCTTACTTGTCAACATCTTCCGCGCAAGCACTGCACACTTTGATCTGTAACAATTTTGGGCCGTCGGAGATTATTCGGCGAAGTTCTGCTTCATTTTTGATGGTTTCGAGATCAAAATATTTGTCCATGGCTGGAAGAAATCTACATTGCAATAACAAATTCTTGATTTTTCAATCGAACGAACCAGATTTCGATTGTGCCGTTGATAGAAGAAAATAAATCCTCAAAACATCTTGATCACTGAGATTTGCCCACTGCGAATTCTCTCCGTTGCTCTGCGATGGAATCAATCCAAGCGTATTCGATAAATCATCAAACCCTTAAATGTTGACATTAATTCTGACGAAGTAATTGATTTTTGTGTTGATTTTGAAATTTAGAACAAAACATACCATCCTCCGGCAAAACTTCGGCCATTATTCCTTGCGGATCTTCTTTTTTCTCTTCTTCCCTTGTGATGTGTTCTATTATAGGGGCACCGGACAGAAAGGGCGCGCTGTTCGGAATCTGGACGAATTTCTAGGCCGCGAAGTAATTTTCTACTGAAAACGTGATCTAACTTTTCAAACTCGGCCCCGAGGTCGGTCAATTTGCACTGCAAAAAGAGTTTCTCAACAGAGCGCCATTTCTGTGCGGTTCGCGAATACATATTATTCTGTTCAAAATTAGTATGAAATCAGTAAAAATAACGTTTAAAGTTAAAAATAATGTTAAAAACATGTTTTTTCAAGAATTTGAAGATGCACAAGAAATGCGCCAGCACGCGAAACGCGCCAGCAGTGCAAATTTCCAAATCTGATCAGATTCGGACCAGATTCCGAATTCACCTGGTCAGACGCGGAGCTCGGATCAGATTCGGAAATCTTCTGGTCAGACAAATAACGATTTACCAGAGTTGTCGACAGTTTGTCGACTATCGACAATGAGCGATTGTCGACAATCGACATTGTCGATTGTCGACAAAAAATATTTTGTCGACTATCGACATTCTGTCGACAAGTAAATTGGGCAAGTGTTGTCGATCGATAATTTGTCGACAGTCCGCGCATTTTTTGTCGATCGACATTATTTTTGTCGATCATCCCCTTCGATAATCGACCCGACAATTCCTCGATTTTCGTGTCGACACGTCACTCTAATTGTCAGCTCTGGAGACCGTGATATATATATATATATATCTATTTGAAATTTTCATAAATAATAAACAGGTTTCACGAATAAACAGGTCTCAAATATCTAGAAAAGTTATCTAGAAAGTTCCAAAGAATATACAGGTAGACGACATTTTCTAAAAATTGGAACCTGAGAACCTGGATCCTGCCATTAGAACCTGATTTCTCAGGTAGAGCCAATGATTTCGTATTTGTCAGTCTTGTCCTTTCGATCGATTTTCCGATTGCTTGCAGTTCGGCTACCTTCACCGCGACATCAAACCCGGAAACTTCGCCGCCGGACGCAAAGAATCCAACGAGCACCACACAGTCTTCATGCTCGACTTCGGTCTCTGTCGCGAGTTTGTGAAGCGCGCCGAGGGGAAGGACATTCGTGCTCCGCGCTCGAGTGCTCCGTTCCGCGGCACGACTCGCTACGCTCCGTTGTCGGCGATGCAGCAGCAGGATCAGGCGCGCAAGGACGACCTCGAGAGCTGGCTCTACATGGTCGTCGAGTGGACTTCGGGCGGTCTTCCGTGGCGAAAACTGAAGGCGCACGACCGAGAGAAGGTGTTGCAGTACAAGCAGGACGTGCGCAGCAAGCCCGACGTTCTCGACGACTTTTGCTACAATTGTCCGAAGAAGGAGTTCACTCGCATCCTCAAGGTTCGCGCATAACTATTGTCGCTTTCCTCATTTCTCGGTTTTTTTTTCAGTACGTGGATTCTCTTGGATACTATGCAGTTCCCGACTACAAATTCATCTACTACTGCATCCAGCACGCGGCCACCGCCAACAAGATCAAGGACACGGATCCGTTGGATTGGGAGCCCGACCGCCCGTACATTGGGCCGATCGAGGTGCCCGGCGACGGAAAAGTGATTGATTTGGACGTGGAGGGCGGCGCGTCGACGAAGGATTTCTCGAAGAGACACGCGAAGGAGAAGGATCAGAGCGAGGCGAAGAGAAGCAAAACGCCGAAGAAGGACAAGACGGAGATCAAGGAAGTGAAGAAGTGAACTGTGTGTCGGATAATAAAACGCTTTTTGTATTTCTGGTCCATTTTCTTGTTTGCACATTCCGTACCAAGACGAGAACGAGGCGATGAATGGAAGGGAGTGGTGGGAAATAAAAGAAATTGAATAATCGGCACGGGAATGGGAGCCTCCCTCGGTCTCCTCCTTATTCTTCCTCTTTCCCGTCACTTTCTTCGCAAATGCTGGCACGGAAGACGGTGAGTTGTTCTTTGAAACTAGGAATTTTGGAAGTTTGTCGTTCCACACTGAGTTGTGACTATTCACTTCCGCGGATATCTGCTGAGCAGAATGTAACAAGTGTGAAAAAGAGGGGAAAGTCAAGAGGAACAGTTGCTTGGAGACGTTGTGCCCTTTCGAACGCTCAACACCCACCTCGTTGCTCCGTTTCTTCTCGTGACTCTACAGTATCCACGGTCACGCTAGGGTCACTTTCAAAGTCTCCAACACAATTTAAGTGCGCCACTTGCAGAAAACCGCAATGATGAAGGCGTCTATTTTCCTGGTCTGCTTGTTTTTTGTAAGTTTTTCCCAGAGAACGTTATGATCCGTGAACGGTCCGAGTTCAGGTATTGAACGCTTCGAACTTTTGCATGCGAGAGAAAGAGCTGACCGACGTGGAGTTCTACAATCTGTTGGGCACCGAGTACTTCAAGGGCAAGCCGTTCAAACTGGTGTGAGTTTCGGATGAGTTCAAATGCTGGGATAGAATAGAAGAAAGAGGTGTTCAGTGAGACTGAATGTTCGGATGTTCGTGACAATTCCACGTGCCTCTACATCATCGATCGCATCGGATACTTCCCCGACGGGTACGACAATCTCATGAATGCCAAGATGATGGAACTTTCAGAGAATGGTTCGTCGGCCGATTCGTCACTCCGGTCCCGAATCTCAATAAAGGCTTTCTCTCGGTTTCCAAACTCACAAAGCCGACTTTCAAATCAAAAAGCACAATCGACACTTCCATCTGGCCAGTGGATATCGGGATGATGGACGTGCTGACTCCGAACGGAGTGGAATTCTGTGAGGGCTTCCTTCATGATTTCGCCGTGTTCTCACTTCCCATTTCAGCCTTTCTCTTCTCGACCGGACAATTTCCGCTGAATCGTGACATCACCGGAGACGTTCTTTTGATCGGAGTGGCCACTGGAGGATTGATGTCGTACATTGGTCATTACTTCAAAAACGTAAAGTTTCCAATCCTTCCAATCTACATCATACACGGTCTCCAGAGCTGACAATGGGCGCAGGTGCGCCCCGCCCAATAGAGCGATACATTGGCGCGAAATTCAAATTTTAACAGCAAACTTTGTGTTTTTTGCCAGATTAGCCACGAAAAACCGATAATTTGTCATTTGTCTCTCGATAGACCGAATGTATAGGCTATTACGAATTTTTTAAGCGCAAGAGCGTTAAATTTGGTCAAGTCGCAAATCACATTTATCCGTTTGAAGGTTTTTGACTAAAACTGCGTGAATTTCAGTTGCTTTTTGGTCATTTTCGCGGTTCGAGCGCTCAAAATGCTTGTATTTACGTTATTTATAATTCTCAAAACCAATTCTGTCTGAAAACGGTCAAGAAAGCGCAAAATGAGAAGTGCGGTTTTTAGGCGGCGATCGGCGGCGAAGGCGAAAAGCAAAGTCCGCGAAAAATGCGACAAAACGTCATTAATTCTGTGAGAATTAGTGTGTTTTCATGTCGAACAATCATTTTCCATCGCCTTTGACCACAAAAATCAGAGAAAACCTGCTCAATTCATGAAAACGCCATTTGGCCGAGGCCACGCCCATATTGTCAGCTCTGGAGACCGTGATCATGTGGTTTCAGCTGAATCTTGTTGGTGTCGACATCGACCCTAATTCCGAGTATTTGGCCAAAAAATGGTTCGGATACGTGGACAGAAGCCGATCGAAAATTCTGATCGATGACGGAGCAGAGTACATTAAGAAGATGGCTGAAAGAGGTGAGTTCAAGGATCTCCATCTCATTTCGAGCACAAAGTTTCCAGGCGAGACCTCGAATGCAGTTCTGGTCGACGCATGCCATAACAACGAGCCGACCGACAATCTGTACTGTCCGGTCGCCGCTGTCCGAACCCCTCGGTTCTTGAGCGATCTATCGAAGGTGATCGGAAAACGAGGTATGCCACAGAGATCTAATTTATAAGCATTTTGTTCAATTTTCCAGGATTCAGCGCGTTCAACACTTATCACAAAATGAACTGGAAGAAAGGGTACGAGGAAATGAGAGATTCCTTCCGCAAACATTTCGAGAAATGTGAGCTGATCGATGCGGACAAGTTGATCAGCAATATGGTGAGCAAAATAGAACAAATTTTTATGCGACTACAGGACGTGTTCAGTTCTTGATTTGTGCGAACCACGACTGGGAGCAGAACGAGGTGGATCAGACGGAAGTTCAACAGTTTTTGAATAAATTTCGCCTTCAGCCCTTCTTGGTGAGTTTTTTGGGTCTCGAATTCTCACACGATCAGTATGTGCATACACTTTTCGTTGAAAACCCACAAAGTACAGTATGCATCAGTTCCGCCGAATTCCTCGAACTTTTAAAACGAAATGATGACATTCCAGCAATATCTGGTCTGAAACGTTGAGCAGCTGCCGGTTTACCCGCGATGCTCAGGGCTCATTAATCAAAAAATCGGCCGAGTGAACCAGCTGCTGTCCCCAGGCATTCGGTCATCCTCTCCGCCATTCTTTGATGCTTCTTCACACAAAATGACATCATCTTTCTACTTTACTTCTCTATTTTTACTTGTTTCTCTTGGTTTCGGTAAGCTGGCCTCCTCCTCATGAATAAACATTTCCCAGTTTTATTGCCAACTGCGCTGCGCCACGTTATTGTTTCAAAGACGATCAATGATATTTCTGACATATAGTCGTAAAAGCAACGCAGTAAAAATGGCTCCATTTAATTGTTTGGCTGAATTTCGCACACACACACACCCTATCACCCGCAGACGTTGTTTTTACGACGCTTCGCTTTGAACATTGCCGCTTACCTTTTTAAGCTTCACCTAGACTGTATTTTCAACCGTATTTTCTTTTGATTCACATATGAATTTGGTTATTTTTCGAGTATTTTTAGCTTAAAAAATCCAGCGCAAAAATCCACAGGCGCTCCTGCGGCCGTGGCCTAACTAAGAACTAGTCCGGTACTAAAAAAGTAATTTATTTTTCAGTCATCATTTTTCAGCTGCGTCTAAATATAAATAAATGATATTTGAACAGCTTTCAGCAAGTGAAAAACAACAAATTTCAAAATATTCAGTCATGGCCGACAAGACCACTCTAACACTACATGACGTCACGGATCACCTAGACAAAGACGACGAAAAAGTTGGTTTTGACCCGCAATACCTCAGCAAAACGTTGTTTTTTTCAGTACGCAGACGCGCTGCAAATCAGCGGAGACGTATTCAGAGAGGTGGAAGCCTTGTTCAACGATGAGAACTACGCGACACGGAACGGATGGTTCAAGGATGAATCGAACGACGAAGGCGACGTCGTCTTCGCAAAGGACACTCCGAACGGACGGATGGTCACCATCTCGACGGAATTGCCCATGTCTCCGGAGGAAGTGATCAAGGAGACGTGGGAAGGGTCGGAGACGTTGCCGGAATGGAATCCGCACATCAATTTCGCGAAGAGACTTGCAGCGCCGACCTCTCACTTCGATGTGGTTACCGTGAGTTTTCTAGTTCTGATTTCAGCAACTCACCTGCTTCGTTGTTTTCAGTACGGAAATAACGACGTTCTAGTCGTCAGTGGCAGGGAGTTCGTGTCAGCAAGAATTTGGAGGAAAGTCGGCGACACCTACATTCTGGCCTCCCGAAGTGTGAACCTTCCGTGGTTCAAATCGACGCACAAGGGAAAAGTTCGGTGAGTAAATAGTTATTTATCAAAAATCAATCAAATTCCTTCAGTGCCCATCTCCATTTGGCGGGCGCCCGTTTCCGTCCGAACCCGCAGAACCCCGATTCGACGCTGACAGACGTGGTGATGCTGGCAGATTTGAAAGGATTCCTTCCGAAGCTCATTGTTAATCAGGTCATGGGACGAGTGATGATCATGGACACGGTCACCAATCGGCGCCACTTTACCGATCTGAAAGCGAAGCGCGACAAGCACAACGCCTAATTGTTCAATTTTATAATTGACGGTTTTTTTTTCGTGTCAACTCACGTGCCTTCCTGTACCATTGAATGCCAAATAAAATCATTTCGAGCTTTGTTCGCATTTCGCATCAGGTTTCCGATATGTCGTCGAATAGATCCAAGAGATCAGATCGTGGAAAAGTATCGGCGAGGTCCAAGAGACAAAAGGGCAACCGGTGGTTGAAGTGCGTTTGCCTTTGATTAAATGTTTATCATTTTTAGCGATGATTTAGGGGCGGTAATCGGGATGGAATCGACAAGGACACGTTGCAATTGGCCGACGACGGAAGCATCCTTTACGACAGTGCGCTCGAGATGCTCAAGGGCTTCCAGAGCTTCTCGAAGGCTCTCGGCGAGGACGAGAAGAAGCATCCGTATGCGAAAGCGGCCAAAGCGTGCAGAGAGTACGCAAAGGAGGTACGAACGGTCCGAACGGAACACAACCACGCTCCAATGATCCATTCAGATGAGAAACGAGAAGGTGTCTTTTGAGGCGGGGGCCGGGCAGTTGGAGGGAATGATGAAGACGTGCCACGCGCTCAAAGAGCACTTCGGATCGAGCATCCTCTCGAAGCTCATCAGTTTCAAGGACACCGAGTGCAAAATCGTCGACAATCAGATGACAATGTTCAAGAAGTTGCACGCGGACTACACGAAAAAGAAGAAGGCGAACGCCGACAAAGTGATTCTCGAGGCCGCGGAGTCGTCGTTCAAGAAGGCGTTGGAAGAGGCGAAGGACACGTTGGGAAAGTTCACGAAGGCGGTGGGTGAAAGTTCGATGGAGCGCACCGGATATGCGGAGATTTTTCAGGGCACGGAGCTGATGACGAGCATCGCGGCGGACGCGAAGACCGGATTCGACGCCTACTGTGAACAAGCGTCGAACTTGTAGATAAACTTGGAGTTAGGCATCGGGAATAAAGAATCTTCTTATGCAAGGGCTGTGAATACGTGGCAACATCGCACTAATTCTGATAACTTTCTCTTTTCCCCCAGTTTTCTTCCGATTCTCAACACTGAATCATTGTGCGGTTCTGTGAAAGAGCGTAAGTTAACGACAAAATGGGAAAATCCAAGTCGAGCGAAGGGAATCGGTGGCTGAAGTGAGTTCTCGGCCATGCGTCCGATCGGAGGAATTCGAGTGGTTCAGAGATCGCAACGGTTTCGAAGAGGAGCTGCTGGCGTTGGCCGACGATGCGAGCATTATGTACGAGAGCGCGTTGGACCTGCTCAAAGGACTACAGTATTTTTCGAAGAACGTCGGTGAAGACGAGAAGAAGCATCCGTACGGGAAGGCGGCGAAGGCTGCCAAGACCTACGGAGGCGGGGTGAGACACAAAAACCCTACTGTTTCCGATGTTCTGCTCTTCAGATGAAAGTTCCGAGTGCTTCGTTCACATCGGGCGCCGAGCAGCTGACCAAGCTTCACGGCGCTTGCGAGGGGCTCAAAGAGCACATCGGATCGACGGTGCTCGCCAAAATGATCAGCTTCAAGGACATTGAGTGCAAAGAGTGCGATATGCAGATGACGATGCTCAAGAAGGCGCACAACGACTACTACAAAAAGAAGAAGGCGAACGCGGAGCAAGTGGCGCTGGATGCCGCCGAAGCGAGTCTCAAAAAGCTGCTGGAAGACGCGAAGAGCCAGCTGAACAAGTTCAACAAGGCCGGTCAGGATCTGATGAACCAGATGTCGACGGACATGAAAACCGGATTCGATGCTTACTGCGATGCGGGATCTGCGTGAAACTAATTACTATACTCTTTTGTCCATAAATGAATGCTTTTGATTTTATTTCAATTCCAGAACAATTACAGAGCAAAATGGTACACGTGGAAATGCATGAAAAGATGGAGGGTTGGGGGGAAAAAGAAATGCGCATGCGTAAATATATGAACAAATGGGAGGGAATATACAGAAACAAGTACAAAATTAGTATCAGAGTTATTCGACGAAGATCCACGACTCGTCGACCTCGTCTTTTTTAGAACATTCTTCAGGGCGCTGCGACTCGATCAGTGCGTGAAGCTCGGCAAGATCACACATTGGCCGGCTCTGAATTTCATATTTTCTAAGGCTCCCGCTCTCATTTCTCACTCCGATCTTCTGAATCTTATCCCTTTCGTTGCCGACGAAAGTCATGAGTGCGCACAGATTGTGATGGGGGTCCATGTACTTCAGCTTCGACGGCGGCATTCCGATGAACGCACACAGATAGATGACGGCGTCGCAAAGTGTCATCCAGTCGGTGTTCATCGACCCTTTTGACCACCTCTCTCGAATGCACAGATCATGGTGGGAAAGCGACTCGGGCGGTCGAAAGTTGAAGATCACTCCGAGCAAATGGACGAGTTGCAGAGTGTTCGTGAAGGCGGCGAACGGGGGATGCAGATCCAGCGGCAGACTGATCGTTCCGTTCGTTAGCTGAATCGCCAGTTTCGCGCGAAGTTTGTCGTTGATGTACGAGTTGCGAATCTGCACGCGGAGCCCCTTCTGAAGCTCCGAGTCGTCTACCAGTGCCCAGTTTTTCGAGTTCTTCTGCTGCGGCGCCACACTTTCCACGTTCACATCGAACACTTGGACTGGAAAGATGCGGCACGCGTGGTTGCAGTACTGCATTCGAATGTTCGCAACTTCCGATTCCAACTTGCTCACCGCTGCTTTTTGTGTCACTTTTTTGTTGGCATATTTCTGCAGATACCTGGCGTGCGTGGCGAACACATTCTGAAAATAAGGTATGTCGGGAGTCATCTGGGACTTTTTGAATGCTTACCGTGAACTGAGACGATTTGGCCGGTTGCTTCTCGTCCAGTTTTGCCATTTCAGTCTGCTTCTTGCCAATCTTCAACTTCACATTCTCCACGGCTTTTCGCAGATGAAGAATTCTGGCTTCCTTGGCGGCAATCTGCTCTTTTAGTGTCTCTATTGGATCGATAATCGCGAGCACTTCCGTCTGAAGCCGCTCTTTTTCTTCGTACCGCATTGTGATGTTCTCGCGGCGAGAATAAAGTTTCAGCTTCTCGAGAGTGCACTTTTTGCACCAGCAGTTGATCTTCTTGTTGCAGTTTTTGCAAATCATTTTCTTCGGCTCTCCGTTAGTGCTGAAAATATTAGAAAAAGTTGCTGAATCGAAAGAAGCATTATCTCGGGGATACATTCAGACAAAGCCTCCCAAACCAAACTGAAAACTAAAAGGAAACATAGACCCGTTGTGTTCAGGACAATGCACACCTGATCTGCGCCGATACGATGCCGCCTACGGACCACTTTTTCGTCTGAATCGTATCGATTTTAGTCACGACGCCGGACGGAATATGAGCGTGGTCGGTCGGCGAGCCGATGCCATCAGCTGTGAATCCTGGCAAGAAACCGGTTACCACTATGCTCAAAAAGTTCATGCTTCAACCGGGGAAACCTAGTTAGTCTACTTCTGAGTTAGCCGTCTAAACGAACTAGATCTTCCGTCTCGATCTCTCTTTCGACGATGTTTTCGTCGGCGGAGCATCTTCGTCCTCACCTGTGGTTACTGTGTGTGAGTGTCTTCGTATCCTATGCAAAACTACTGGTGACGACTTGATCTGGACGGCTCCTTGCTGACTATCCATTCATTTATCGATTTGCGACGGGCGACTCGGCCGATGTCTGAAGACGAGAATGAAAAAGGAAACGAGCAAAGAATTGAATGGGAAGGAAGAGATGTGGGAATGGGGAAAGGCAGTAGTTTTTCGACTGATTACTTGACACTAAAAAACGGCAAGAGATGAGATAACTTTCTTATCAGTTTACAGTATCAGTATATCAGTGGAAGAGATTGAAAAGGAATGAAACCGAAATTAAAATGTGTCGAATATATTAATTTTAGAGTACCATAATAATTGAAATATCAAATGTTTAATTGTTTATAAATCAACTTGAATCTACTTTTTGCATGTATTTCATTCAAATCTTCGAATCAATTTTCCTCAACTGACAGTCGATCGCGCGCGTGAAACCAGGCAGTCGCCCGCATTTTGTCGTCGCGGTGTTTGCAGACCGAGCGCAAAAATAATGGGAGTTTCGGCGGTCCAACATAATAGAACTGGGCAGAATAGAACCGCGACATAATAGAACTGCGCAGAATAGAACCGCGAAATTGATCACGAGATTCAAAAATTATCTTTTTCTACGTAACAATTATTCTACAGAAAGGTTTAAAAGGCGCTGCAAACAGTTATGTTCTGGCCGGTTCTATTGTGTCGCGGTTCTATTCTGCCCGGTTCTACTTTGCCCAGTTCTATTATCGCCGGAGTTTCTGGGTCCAAAACGACCAAATACTTTCAATTAGTACTAATTTAGATAGTTCGATACAATTATTTATTAGTTAAGAGTTAATTGAGCAAAAAGTTCAACATTTTTTTGAAAAGTTAGAGATAGCAGAAATAGACACACGGTAACAATAGTTACGAAGAAGAAACATACAGAAACTCTTCAGAATTGAGTTGTGTTTACAAATTAATATGCCGGGATTGTATGATGTTTTGTTCAAATTTTGACGAATAAGAGTATTGCGTGGGAAAGGAGCGGGAAGAGATAAATAGTAGACTAGGGATAGAGAAAGTGAAAGCAGTGAGGAACTTGGTTCGACCAAGAGGAAAATAGGGAACGGTGGGAGAGAATTCACGGGATCTGGAGGTTCTTCGAAGACAAAAACTCCTCGAGCATCACTTCCTCTTGTTGCGCTTTTTCCGCGTCTTCTGGACGGGAGCGGAGAGCGGCTGGAAAGGAAAAAAATATTTAGAAGTCGGATATTCCGCAAAGAAACTAACAAGTGAGCACACTGGGCGAGTCGCATTCAATTTGCACAATTGTGGCCGCCGATCTCGCCTGCTGCCTGATCAAATCGACTTCTCCTTCTGTGTGAGCCACTTGGCACAACGCCTCCAAATAGGTCATCGCCTGCTCGGTTTGATCACAGAATCGCGAAAGTTTTATGATTTGGCTGTTGACCTCGCGGATCTTCTTGTCGAACTCTGCCGAGTTTCGCATGAATTCGTCGATTTCCATGACGGCGTCCGCCTTTTCTTTGCACATTTGCTGACATCGACCCATTCGGGTGCTGCATAGATTCGCCAGACGGCCGCCTTCCGCGCCGGTCTCCTCGACTTCGGCGATGAGCTTTTGGAAACTGAAAAAATAGTCAGTTTTTGGGAAAAAAATTGATGAGCTCACTTCTGAAGGAGTTCATTTCCGGCGCCAGTGTTCAACACCTCGTTTATAGATTCGGTTGAAACTCTGAAACGAGAAAAATTAAGAAAACTGAAAACAAATCGAAAACTTGCTCCGATCTCCAGAAATACATTTTGAAATTGAGGTAAAATGGGAATAGTGCTGACTCGAAAGGAGTATTTGGGTGCGTCAACGCACCGACTCGCCGGTTTTATGCAAATTCAAGTGAATGTTTGTGCGTATGTGTCAGACGAATCGAAAGAGGAACGGGATGTACTTTGAATCGTACTTCCACAAGCTTATTTGTCACCGAATTCTCACTTTTGTTGCGCGGCCATGTTCGCCGTCACATTCATTCGGAGCTTCTCGACTCCCGTGCTCAATTCTGCTTGCACACTGCTCAGCGTATCCCGCAACGTGTTCAGCATCTCCATTTTGCGGTTTTCTGAAACTCGACTTCATAAATCCGAAAAGCAATGAAAAAGTAGTAAATAGAATAAGCGGATTAGCGACGCGTTTTGAAAAAAACAATATCGAATTGAGACAGAATTCGTTCATATACACGTGTCAATGACTAGAAAAGTGAAAGTGTGACTTCGTAGAGAGGGAGATATGGCAAAATGAATGAGAAACTAGAAAAAGTCGTCCTCCGAATCGGAATCTTGGCCGTCGTTCTGTGAAAACTCCTGAAAAACTGAAAGCTCGAGAAGTTGTGAGGCGTAGGGACGTTGCGCAACCGGCAGCAGCATCATTTTGGCCATTACCACGAGGTCTTCATCTGTTCTTTCTGTTGGCGTCTGTAAATTATCCGTTTTTAAGCTCTGAGCAGTTACCCTTCCACGCTTACCGCTATTATCGGTGGATTCTCCTCAATTATATGTGGCACTGTCAACGGATGCTCTCCGTCGATCTTCCACGGATACACTTTCGTGTACATTTCGATGACGATGACTCCGAGACTCCAAATGTCCGAGCGTCTTCCGGCCACGTCTCTTCCGATCGATACTCCCGGATCCGTGTACTTGGGAGTGCGCCCTTGCTGTCCGGCTTTCGCCTTCTTCAGAGAAGCAAACCGACTCGATCCGAAATCGGCGATTTTGATAAGCCGTTCGCAGTGATTGTCCTTCAGAAGAAGGTTCGCTGGCTTCAAATCCTGATGAATGATGTTTTTGGAGTGAAGGAAATCGAGTCCTTCGAGAATCTGTTTCGTGTACGCCTTCACCAATTCGTGGTGCAACGGTCCGTAGTTCTCGATGTACTCTTTCAGTGATCCCAAGTGCATGTACTCCATGAGAACGTGGATGTCGTTGGAGCTGGTCGGTTCGATGATGAACAAGTAGTTGACGATTCGTTCGTGCCGTAACTCTCCTTAACCGATGAGATAGCAAAATCTTTGTCCAAATTTCTAGAAACTCACTGAGATATTCGACATCGGCCTCTTGCGGAAGGTACCGGCTATTTTTTTGAATGATTTTCACCGCGTACGTTCCTCCTTTCTTGCCCACTGCGATATACACTGTTCCCAATGTTCCTTCTCCGAGTTTTCTGCAAAATTCACGAGTTTTTTCTGTTACTATTCAACATTGGCTAATCCTTACCGTCCGAGAGTGTATCTTGCCGGAATGCTATGCAATTTTTCCGATATTCGGCTCGTGTTGCTCGGCAATCCGTACGATTTTCCGTTCAACGTTCCTGAATTGCTGACACGATCCGCCTGGAAGATTCGCTCAAAGAATAATTTTAAAAGTTGAATCGAAACGTGCGCCTTTAATTTCATCGTACGGTCTTTTTTTTCCAATTTTCGCGAAAATTCGCAAATCGAGTTCGCAATTTTATTTCAAAATACTTATTCGATGTTTGTTTCTTTTTCTTGCTTTATGTTCACTTTTTCTGAAATTTACCTCTGGTAAACTGACAAACAGTGAGTTTGAGTCGGCATCCATAACTCTTGTCAACTTTCGCATTTTCACCGAGCTGAAAGTCTCATCCTCGCTTTTTTGCAACAAAAACTCGACGACCAGCTTGTTGCCATTGTGCTAAAAAACTAATTGGTTTCTTCTCGCTTTTCCACCGCTCAAAAATTACTTTAATTGCCTCGTCGAGCGTTTTCTGTCCATCGACGACCATCTGATACCTACCCATGTCGTACAGAATGTCGTACTTCTCCAGTTTCGTCGTCTTGCGAAGCTTCTCGACAAGCGGCTCAAAGTGTTGGCACGCCCTCGCCAGCACTTCCACCTTCTGATTCGGCCGTTGCGGCTTTTCGGATGACACCGCCATTCCGGTGGGGGATTTAATGACCGCAGCCGATGATGCTTCTTCCTTTCGTCTGCTTCTGCTGCTTATTCTTCTTCTTCTTCTTTTCCCAAATAACCATCACATTACGGGCGAAGTGAAGTGCGGCAGCGGGCAGGAAAAAGACAAGTTTCGAGGTGAAGGCACCTGGAAAACGGCCGTATGTGGGGGCACCGACACAATTGATGTGTGTGTGTGTGTGAAAGGGAGGAAAAGAGTGGTTAGAATGGGAAGGCGGAGGAGGACCAATCGAAGTGAATTCGTGTGCACGCGCTCGTCGCACAGAAGCCGCTTAACATCGTCCCCGGGCCCGGCCGCTGTGCTCTCTTATGGGGTCGTCTCTGGCTGAGTAAACGAACCGCACTGCCAATGCGCGAGTCGGGCCAGTGCTGGCGCATTCGACGTGCGAGAGGAAACATGTGCGAAAAAGACCGACCGGCTGATAAATGACAGTCTTATCAAAACGATGGTTTTGATGGCTTTTTTTGGTGTTTGTGTGTGGCGTCACTGTCGGGTGAAGTCATATCAGTGGAAGGTAATGGAGACGAGTGCGGAAGGAGATTGAAGAGAGCAAAAGTACGCGGAAATTAGGTGATCGGAATAGGAAATGACTGTGGAATTGCGGAAGAAATTAGTCGGCAGAAGGATGACGCAACTGAGATTTTTGGAATTTCGTCGAAAACGTGAAAACATTCTTGAAATGACTGGTGCAAACTGAAACATTCAAAAATGACAATTTGATTAGAATGAGTAGATGAACATTTCTTTACCTAGACTGTCTACAATAGACTATCAGGTTTCAATTGCTCAGCTGTGAACAGATCCTTGAAAACCTGGCAACTTTTTCTCCCCTTCCCACAGTCGCCCTCCAATTTGACAATTCTGCAACACGTGCACCCAAACAAACTACCATTCTCCTATTTCCATTTAGCTGATCAAAGTACGGGTGATCACTACCGGAGGGAGCACAGAAGAACCTACAACAAACGAGGCGACTATTTGAACTTGTTTGAACTTGCGACTGCACAGATCGCACCCCGACTCGACTAGCAACAAATATTCTTTTATTCTCTGCAAAAGCCTCTTGTCCTCCTCCAGATTTATGTTCCCTTCTTTTGACGCACTTATTCGTCGTCGTCAATCCATCCACTTGAAATCATCTTCGTCGTCGGGAGGAGACACCTTATCAATCGCACCTGAAGTCTCGGCTATCCAAATGCGATCCGGTGTGTCTATGAGATGCGGGGGTAGCCCAAAAAAAAACAATAGACGACAAGAACGCCAATCATTCTCGTTTCGGCATTAACTATGTCCTCCTCGTTTGCCTCATCCACAACGTCATCATCCATCTTCTTCTTCTTCTTCTTCGCCTCCTTCTCATCCGAGTGAGGCTTCTCGGTGGGCATGATTGCGCCAGAATCCATTCCCAGATGCCACCGCACTCTCACACAATGATCATCCGATGGCAATTCCAAAGTGTTCGTTTCGTTTGCAAATCGACTCGACTCGACGACTGTGATTTCGTTCATTCCTTCCTTATTCCTTCTACCATCATTTTTCCCTCCACCTCCAACCACCTTCTCATTCGTCTCGGATTCGAGGCCGTGTCTGTGTGTGTGTGTGTGTACATGCCCAGTTTGGTAAGCAAATGAGATTTGTGCGTGGGGGTGATGGCTAAAGTGCACCCGTAGGACGAGTAAAACGAGACAAGGATATGTTTCGTTCCGACCTTGTGTGATGGCTTTGGTTTTTTACTGCTGCTGCCACGTCTAGATGTCACTCACTCAAAAAGGAAGAGTGAACACATAATTCCACCCACTTCTCGCCCGCTTTCCTTCAGCTTTCCGGACAGCTAGTCACAGATCTCATTCTACCGTAAACCGTCTGTTGGGCGCAGTGTGACTCAGTGTGATAAGCATGCCATTGATGACACGCCAAATTAGTGTTCCTTCTTCTTTTATTCTTCCTCTCACCCATCACTTTTTGAAGGCCGCACGCCAGCAAAAAAAAACTTGAATGGTTGCGGGATGCGCTCTTGAAAGTACAAGTCTTCGTTCCATCCCTTTCTGGCAACATGCCAGACATTGCTAATTTTACAAAAGAATTTGTGACCTAGATAATCAAAAATCTCAGTCCGCTTCGCATGTTCGTGGCATACTGTAGACAAATCCAGGTTCTTGGCTTAACTATAAGTTTTCATAGGTTTGACAAAGGAACAAGTGCACTTTTTCTCAGTTTCCCACTCAACCCACTGTGTTTGCAAACTGCTTTTTTCCTCGGACACAAATCCAACCGCGCTCTTCCGTACAACCCAATTAGCTGGAGGAAGCGTTCGATTGTTGCGTCAGAGAAGATGCTAATTCGCTTGTAAGAATGGTGGAATCCATTCGACCGCGCTTAGATTTACCATTTTCTGATAGTGAGTGCAAGGAGTCTATGCAAAGTTTGAAAAGTGAGCCATCGACCGACCGACCCTTGCTCTTCCCTTCAACTCACAAAGTACGTGCACATCTGGCACATTAATGTCGGGCCTCTTCTCATTCAAACGGCAAAAAGTGGTTTGAAGTGATATGTGTGCCGCCATCAGATGCACCCAGAGACTGTCGCCGTTCCACCGCGCTCCTCCCACGCACTCATCTCGTATTCGGTGTTGCGCGGGGCGCACACAGATGTTGCGTATTCGCATTCGCATTCGCATTCATTCCGCCGTCGTCATCGCAATCACCTCTTCCTGTTCGGTCGACTGCCTCACTCCGAGCAGTGGCCCTCCGGTCGTCTTCTTCTTCTTCGTTCTCGTTTTCCTTGTGATGGCCAATCCATTTACAATTGGATCACCGCGATCATAATGTGCGTACGTGTGCGCGGCGAGCATCACACACAGACGAACGGAACAAAACGGTCATTGTCTCTGTTTCTCGGCCGAAAGGTCCTTTCCTCGCTCTTGACGTCTTCCACTTGTTCTTCTTCTTCTTCTTCTTCTTCCTTACCGGTCATGCCCTATTTGCACGGTCACCCCTAAATTTGTAATGTGTGACAGGCGGTAGGTGCAAGACTATTTTTGTATGTTTAAACCGTACACTGCCTCTTTTTGGCCTCATGATAACGAAACATGATCTCGCAGCCTTGCGTTTCGGCAAACGCATAGTTTGAAACAAGTCTTTGATCTATCTACCCGTCCTTAAATATTCGAAAAGGCTAGAGAATTTCTTGTCACCTGTAGATATTTTCCTAAAGTTTATAGTGACGAGAAGAGGCGAGAAGAGATCCGCGTTGCTCAGAAATTCGTGAATGCTTCCAAAATTGATATTTACTTGAGTACAACCAAAAATTGAGATTCCCTTCACCAATCTTTGGAATCAACTTCTTCGTCTTCTCAATCTAAATCTAGGCCACCTCTAGATTCTCATTATCCGAAACACTCACAGTTTCATCTCTCACTCCCACCACCACCACAACCACCACTTTTTTCAACTAATAACACCTTTCGGGGTGTCCTGAAAAACGCCCCCGCGACTCCCGAAATAAAAAGCACCGAAAACGGAGAATCAAGAGAGGTCAACGAACGAACGGCGCGAGGTGTGTTTGGACACGCTGACCGCAAACACTTTTGGAACTCGCCGAGCCGCTGACTCTCAACTCTTTTTTTTTTGTGTCTGCACTGTCACTTGATACATTCGCAGTTTTCATGCGGGATCCGCAGCAATAATAATAGAATGTACTCGGTGTTGAAAAAACGGCTCGCAACAGTAGGTCCACTGTATCCCTCCGGCTGTTCCGCGATCTCTCGTTCGTCCTCATCACACTCGTGTGAATCTGTTTGAACAGTGGCGCCCGGCTCTCTTTCTCTCTCTCCCTCTCTGTCTCTCCGCTCTCCTCCTGGAGCGAAGAAGCATCGTTTGTCGGTAGCCCCCCATATGCTAGTTCATCGGCAAATAAGCATGCCTGTCCTACATTATGTTCTGGTCATCAAATCCAATCCTTTTCCGTTTTTTTTCTCTGTCTGCGCGGATAACAATGGACGAGGCGAGAAGGAGCACGCTTGTTCTACTTGTAAATCTTTCTATTTATCTAGATCCTAGTTCTGAAGGTGGCGAGAGGTTCGACAGCCACGCCGACCCCGCTCCGATGCTTATCTCCCTTACCGCCGATTTTCGTCGACCTCTATAGTAGGTAGTATGTATAACAGAAGACTTCTTTCACCCGGTTTCTCCTCTTGTTGTTATAGCCGTCGCCCGCCTAGAACATCATCACTGCAATCGTTTGTATTTTGAGAATTTTATCGTTAAACCCGTCCCGGTTCTATTCGGAACATCTTCTTCTTCCTCTGCTTCTTTTTAATTTTCCTTCCGTACTCAATGTTGCGAAGAGAACCGACCGTTTTATAGTTCTTTCGGGTAGAAGTCAAGTTCAGTGCAAAACCGATGTCAGAGATACGATGTTTACGGCTTCTTCCCCCTTCCTCTCCTCTCCTTCTCGCATTCTCATTTGTTCTTAGGGTCTATGCTTATCTGTGAAAGATCTAGGATTAAGAGGGATAAGAGGACATAGACGGTCAGAAGAGGTTGAGGTCGGGACCAGCGATGATCAAGAATGACCTTTTATCAGATACTAACAGGATTCTAGAAGGTTCCATCTTGCTCAACTGTTTCCATTTAAGTTGCGAAGCATAGTTTACCCGCTAATTCCTCGTCTCCCTTCCGATCATCCTAGTGTTTTCTTCGTTTGCAAACATCAACTTCTTCAAAGTCCACAGCGTCCGCGCCCCCGCGCCTCATGCTTCAGAGAGAGAGAGAGAGAGAGAGAGAGAAAGAGAGCGAGTGTGCGTGTGAATGTGTTTATTATATGAATTATAACAGTCATCGATGCTTCACACTCCACTTTCTTCGTCGTCTTCGTCGTTCGATTGGTCAAAAGCCGCAGTCCGGAGCGATTTGTTTACTAGTGTGACACGTGTCCGCTGCGTCTCCTACTTCCCCGCACCCTCTCGCCGATCTGCTTCACTAGTTGCTCGTTCTCCAATCACCGCCGGCCTGTCGCAACAGTCGTCTACTACGTACCACTTGCCATTCAATTCCATCCGACCTCTGATCGTGTCTGCGTCTCTTTGTCCTTTCCGTTCTCTCGCTCTCTCGCCGCTCGGAGATGGTTGCAAGTGCAACAAAAAAAACGTCGCCAGGGGAATGAGAAGTGTGCGATCCTCGTAATGTGCTATAATTGCTGTTATCGTGGGTGCGTGACCGTTTTCACATGAATACCGTGCTCTACCAGATGACCTTTCCCTCGACAATTAGCACCGAACACCGTCTTTTTCTCTTCGAAGAGGAAAAAGAAAAAGAGAATAATTGCAAGTTAGAGAAGAAGTGATATATTCGAACCTCTGCCACTTTTTGGCGGTCGACCGGCTCCTCTTTGCGCCGAAATCCTTCTGAAGAGGAGCCGACCGGTTGTTTGCATTTCGGTTTCGAGTAGTTTAAGTGCAAAATTAGCTGCGGTTGAAACAACTGTTCGAGCCTCTCTTTACAGGAACAAATCACGAGATTTGTGGTGACAAGAGTTTGAAGAGCTTCTAAAGAGCACAAATGTGATTCTGATGTTTAGACGAAGGTTTTCCAGCAGTGTCACTAACCTACAGTACCCCAAACTTTAGAATTTGATGATCGAACGAAATTGAATTGAATTGATTCTGATGCCAACCCATTATGCTTTCCCTTCCTTCCTAGTACTAAACCCATTTCCCTGAAAGCAAACACCTTTGTACTGTTTGCATGTTTACTCTGATGTTGACTCTTCAAGAAGTCATCTCAACTCTCTTTGGTTCAATGATTTCCTCAATAATCGTGACGTGGCAGATGGAGGGCAACAACTTTCGTTTTTCTAAAACAACATGTACTTTGAGTGAGTGAGAAAGGGGTCACACCTGTTTTCCAGCTGCTTCTCGACCCTCTCTTATAACACTCGCTTCAATTCTTCCCTCACAAAAATGGCTAATTTTTCTGACTCGAAAGTTTTGAACGATTTTCTATTGACTTGGAGTCCCGCCCATCGTGAACTGCTAATTATAAAAGAGAAAGCAGCGTTTCGTTCTACCGGGCTGCTGACGGTCGTTTAGTGTTCTTTAGTATAAAAAGATGGGTATCTTGGTCGTCTTGCGGAATTCCTGAATCACGAGGTGGCAATATAGTTACTCTTTGAGTCATTTGGGTCAATTGCAGGTGACTTTGTTCACTTTGTGTTCGCTTTTTCTCATCAGAAGACCTCGTCGTCGTCGTTTTCTTCTTCTTCTTCTTCTTCTTTTACTTCATTGAAAGAGAGATCATCGTTTTCTTGCTGTCACTCACTTATCATTCTGGTACCACCCTCTTCGAATGCTTATCGCTTCAGTGTCTCTTTCTCGGCTGATTTGATATGGTATTGTCAATACACCCACACACACGAAAAGTCGCTGCTGCTACTGCTGCTTTGGCTTCGAATAACTGACGAAGACGACGTGGTCGGTTACAACATGTTGCTTTCTTCGGCCGCCTCCCCCCACCACCAGTTGATTCGCTTCCTCTGTATACTCTCGAGGTGGCGCTCGGTGGGGTATGACACAATTATTTTGCAGTTTCGAGATTTCGCTTTTTCCCCTTCCGTCTCGGCTATCATTGATTCGTTTTATCTCTTACTCTCCTATCAATCCGATCTTTTTCCCAAATTCTTTTCTCATCGGGCGCAGAGATGCATTTGGACTTTGCTTCTGTTCACTTTGATTTGACCTTCTCTCTGATCTACTTCCATTTTAAAAATATTCTCGTTTCGCGCTCTAACTCTTGTGGAGTTTTCGTTAATTTCAACGATTCAGTGCAATTTTGAAGAATTTCTATAGAGCGACTGTTGCATTTTACTTTTCCAATCCTGCCACATTTGTAATGTACTTTACTTTGTATCCCGTTCGTCCGGAATTCACTCGGAAGACCGTCATGCAAAAATAACTGCCTCACAATCATTTTGTCCACTCTCTACTTACCTACTCACTTTGCTTCATTCTGATTTCGCGCCTGCGTCTCTCGGATATCTCGATCCTTCCGTGCCCATCACCGACCCCAATCATACCAGCCATGTGTGATTTTATGGCCCGGGAGGAGAAGGCAGGACTGCAAGTTTCACACTTTTTCTTTCCGTCATCCGCGAGAGAGATGTACTCGGCCGCCTTTCTCTCTGTTTTCTTTCGAAATTCGATCCGCTGTTCCTCGTGCTGTTTTCTTTTGTTATTTTTTCTTTAAATCGGTGACAGATTGATAGATAACCGTGAAAATTAGATGGAATGTGAGTGTGTGGGTACGACTGCCTTGTGATCACCTTTTTCCCCTACTTGAAGTTTACTACATCAGTATCGGACACTTTTGGCACTAAACAACACCAACGTTTTTTGTGTCCTTCGCGCGCTGAAAACTTCTATTCTCGGTTGTCAAAACTTTAACCTGTTTCTGCAAAGATTGACAATAAACGCTTGAAATTTGCGAAAATTGTTGAGGACTTTACTAGGCAAGTCCTTTTGAGTACCAGTTGCAGAATTTTGTCTCTGGAAAATTCTAGAAACACAGAGAAAGAGAAAGAGCGGACCAATATATCAACTTCCTCCCCTTCCACCCCACATAGGTTCTCAATCTGTCCACGAAAAACGTGCGGCCATTTCGGAAATGTCGCAATCATTCATAAGCGAAAGGCGAAGAACTGTCTGTCGTTTTTCAACGGAGATTCCATGAATTCTCGTACTCGTCCGTCACTCTTAATTGTTGGCCCCTCTTCTCTTCCGACGTCTTCTTCTTCTTCTTCTTCTTCTCCGGCCACTGTCAAGTGCTAAGTCTTTCTTTGCCCGTTACTAGCCTTATTTCGCATCACATTCCCCACATACACATTGTTTGTGCTAAAGTTCTCTGCAATACTCTCTAGGTGGCTGCAATTTTTCAGTTTTCTCTCTCAGAGCAATCGCTCTTTTTGCATCTCAGGGAAACTGTAGTAGGCGTGAGTTTGTTTCCGTTTCGGTCTACAGTCTTCATAGTCCGGCGCGAATTTCTTGAAACGTTTTCGTCAAACAGCTGTGGAAGATCGAAAGTGCAATTGAATCTAGGATCAGAGAAACAGAAAACAGAATGAGTCACCATTCAATTACAAAATGATAAACCTTGTTTTCGCCCTTCCACTCGTCCAGATTGTTTGATGGATTTGCCTCGATTGACTCATCCTCCGAACTCTTCGGTTCCCTATCGTCTGCCGTCCAATACCATTTATTACATTATTATTATTTTACAGCTTTTGCTCAAATCAGTTTCGAGACGAGTGAGCGGCGGCGGCGCGAAACGCGACGCAAATCGATGAATCAGAGTGCCATCTGACGTGCAATTATATGTCGCCACCTGCTCATCCCTGTGTTAATCATCTTTTCCGTCAAGAAGAACACGAGGAGTGCAACACTATCCGAGCACACCTGAACAGCAAAAAGCCGAGCAGCAGCAGTAGTAGCAACGGCAGCCACGACGAGAGCCATCAGCAGCATCAGTCGATATCGGATCGGCGGCGGCGGCGGAGAGAAGTCGGCAGACGAAGAGACGCAGACACTTCTGCTGTCGACGGACGACGACAACTCGTCCGGTAGAGGAGAAGCCGGGAGCATGCGAGTGGTGAGTCATATCACGTCTTGCAAAAGTAACAATAGAATCATTTTCAGCGTGGCGGCTGCAGGATGCCCGTCACACGTGCCACCTTCACCATCCTGGTCGGCATTCTGTTCGGTTTCTCGGCCACCTACTATCTGACCGCCCTCAAAGCGCTGACCGATCCGATCCTTTGCGGAGCCGACCAACAACTTGCCGTCGATGATCTCGATATTGTGCATCTGAGCGCCGACGCGGACGTCTTCACGCGATCACAGAACCTTCCCGGACATCGGAGGGGTCTGATCCTTGTCGCCATTATGACTGCGGCCAAATACGTCGACACACGTGCCTACAACGTGTGGAAGACGTGGGCTCAGCACATTCCGGGTCGCGTTCTGATCTTCGTCGCCGAGGGCACCGAATCTATTCACGAGGACATGCCGTTGATTCGTTTGAAGGGAGTCGACGACACGTATCCGCCGCAGAAAAAGAGTTTTGCGATGGTGAAGTGGCTGGCGGAGAACATGGCCGACGAGTACGATTGGTTCCTGCGAGCAGACGACGACCTCTACATCAGAGGAGAAGAGCTCGCCGCCTTCCTCAGATCCGTCGATTCGTCGAAGGCGCACGTCATCGGACAGGCGGGACTCGGCAACAGTGCGGAATACGGACTGCTCGCACTCGGATCGACGGACAACTACTGCATGGGCGGGCCTGGAATCGTGATGAGCCGAGAGACTTTGCTGTGAGTTTCGACGAGTCTTTCAGATCTTGTCGGTGCTTTGAGTTCAATTATTATTTTCAGAAAAGTGTCTCCGCATCTGGAGTCGTGTCTCCAACATCTTCTGACGTCGCACGAAGACGTTGAACTCGGTCGATGCATTCGGAAGCACGCGGGCGTCGCCTGCACGTGGAACTACGAAATGCAGAAGCTGTTCCACAACAATCAGAGTGCCATCAAAGAGTCGTACGCGAAGAATATGAAGGAGTTGAAGGACGCGATCACGCTGCATCCGATCAAAGACCCGGCGGTGATGCGGAAGGTGCATCTCCGCAATCGGGAGATCAAACTGCGCGAGACGCGTGCCAAGCGCAGTCTTCTGCACTCCGAACTGAGCACCGCCAAGGCGCAGACGCTGGTGAGAATGACGCCGAATCGAACGATTGATTTGACGCCGTGGGACTACATCAACAACAACAAGATTCTGTTCTGTGCGGACCGAGTCAATTGTCCGCGGCATACGGTGGATTTGAGCATCCGGACGGAGATGGCCGACACCATCACCCAACTCTTTGACGAATTCAACACGAACGCCCGCCAACGTGGCCGTGTGCTTCAGTTTCAGAGCCTTCAATACGGATACATGCGGGTCGAGCCGACGAAAGGCGTCGATTACGTGCTCGACATGTTGCTCTGGTTCAAAAAGTTCCGTCCTCCGAACCGAACGACCATCTCTGTCCGCCGACACGCGTACGTTCAGCAGACGTTCGGGCGGCTCCGAAGTCTTCCCGAGTCGATCTTCCGATCAAACATGCGCGCCAACTCGACGCTCATCGAAGATCCGACCCTTCACATGGTCATGCCTTTGCGAGGAAGAGCGGCCATTTTTGCTCGTTTCGCTCAACATCTGAAGAGCATTTGTGCGCGAGGCGGCGACGATTTGGCGGTCTCGCTGACAATTGTGTTGTATTCGAGTGAAGATGAGATGGAGAATAGGTGAGAAAATCTTTCCAGTGCTCGAAACGATCGACAAATTTCAGAGAAACGATCGAGATGCTCCGTGCGAGTGCCATTCCGGTTGCGGTCATCGAAATGGGCGACGTGGCGTTCTCCCGTGGAGTGGCTCTGATGCGCGGTGCGGAGACGCTTCCAGCCAACGCGCTGCTCTTCTTCACGGACGTCGACATGTTGTTCACTTGCGACGCGCTCAAAAGAATCAAGTCGAACACGATTCTGAACGCGCAGATCTACTTCCCGATCGTCTTCTCGGAGTTTTCACATGAGAGCTGGTCGGAGAACGATAAGCTGCTCGCAGATGCGTTCCATTACGGACGCGGTCGTGGATATTTCAGGCATTTCGGATACGGTCTTGCTGCCATGTACAAGGTGAGCGACACGTGCGAACAGATTCGGACAATAGCGAGGTTTCAGGCGGATCTGATAGATATCGGAGGATTCGACACGAAGATTGAGGGGTGGGGCAAAGAAGATGTGGATCTGTTCGAGAAGGTGAGGACTCTGAAAGACCCTGTGCCTTCTAGAACTTTCCTTTTTCAGGCCATCAAAAACGGACGTCTCCGAGTGATTCGCTCGCCGGAACCGGGCCTCGTCCACATTTATCATCCGATTCATTGCGACGAGAACATGCCGACGTCCCAGAAGGACATGTGTCACGGCTCGAAAGCAGCCAGTCTGGCGTCGATCGACACGCTCGTCGATCAGATTGCACAGTACACATAGCGCCTTCCCCTCGCCTTTCTCCCTTTCATTTCTTTCCAATTGAATACGCGTCGTCCATCCAATCCGGGTACTTTTTCCTCCGATCCCTCCTGAGGCACGCACACACAAGTTTCGGCCCCACCCTATTCTATCTCCATTCCTTCCCCGGTTCTAAAGCATCCGCCTATCTGAAATTGCCGTCACTGAATATTGTACGAATTTTGACACTTGCCCACCCGTCCCCGCACACATTTTTGTCAGTTTTGCATTGCTCTGTTTTCAGATGCCGTCTGAAAATGTAATCAGAGTGCTAAATATTTTAACTGGTAGTTTACGCATTTTCATGTCAAATGTTTATTTCCGTCCCGAAAACCCCCATTCAAAACGAGTATTTGCCCCCAAAAGCTCAGCCTTTCCTTCACAAATTGTCGTTCAAAAGAGTTTATGATTTTCACTTAATTTCCTCCTCGCCACCGAACTGATTCGTTTGCTTTAATTTCAGATTTTCACGCCCCTTTTCACCCACAATTTCAGCTAGCTTTAAACATTTTTATGACCCCCCCCCCCCCATCATTTCAATTCGATTTTGTCTTTTTTGCCATGTTTCTCGCCGTTTTCATTTTTTCCTTTCCAAACATCGGTGCTCGATCCCCCACATAATTCTTTCCTTCTCAACAACAAAATGAAGATACGTCACCATTCAGATTTTGAATCAAACCATAAAATTCATATAAAATTCGACATATTTGAGATTATCGTACAAAATACTAGCAATTGGGTGTGTTTTTTTCAGTTCCAAGCGGTAAAGTGAGTATCGTGAGGCAGGGCAGGGTGCGAAATCAACGGGACGAAGAGCAGGAAGCCGAAGAAGACGTTCCGGGCGAGTCGGAAGATGCTGCCTCTTCTTTCTTGCGTTTCGCGATCAGCTTTTCAATGTTTTTCATCAATTGGACGGCAGGACGGGCGCCCCATGGAGCACGACACAACGGGCACGTCGATTGATCGCCAGCAGAACGGCAGGCCTTATTCCAACGAGAAATGCAGCTGAAAGAATACGAGTTGGATAGGAAAACCCAATAAAAAGAAAAGCTCACTCGGCACATCCAATGATTTTGAGGCACTTTGTGCATCCTTGCGGTTTAATGGGCGTCTCAATGCACATTGTGCAGTCTCCCCAGGTTCCGTCACTGCAAAAAACAAATGTTGCATGAAAACCGAAAAGTTCGAGTGACTAACGGTTCCATCGGTTTTCCATTGTGCGTTGGAATTCTCGCCGGTGGTACGTCGTAATTGTCGTCATTGTACAGATTGAGCTCTCGTTGGTACATGGGAGCATCTTCGTCGAGAATCGGCTGAGTGATATTATTGGGCTCTGGCCGCAGTTGTCCGAAATCGTAGTCGTCCAGGTCAGAATCATCGTCGGAAAGATCGATGACGAGGTTTTGATGATTGGCTGGCAGACGGTACGTCCGATCGGAAGGATCGCGCGCAGCGAGGACAGGATTCAGAAGCTGTTGAATGTAATCCGCAGGGCGTGGGGCTGGTTCAGTGTCGTCGTCATCTTCAGAGCTGCTCTCAGACGAGCTGTCGCCCGATTCCTCGACGTCGATTTCGTCGGAACTGTCGTCGAGCACAAAGTCATCATCGTCATCGTCGTCCGGGAAGTAAGTTGCGTCACTGAAAACGTAAACTCTTCGTCAATGACATCATGATCGGAAACTCACGTTATATCGATCACCTCGGTTCCGCGTCTGAACTGAACACGGTTTCCGTTGAATTCCATACGGCCTTCTGCAACAATTTTAGCTGTGAATCCTCAAATAGCTTCTCTATGTACTCACGCCCAAGATTCTGGTATTCCATGTTGTTTACACCACGCCGCGTCGCCGTACCTCTTCTTCTCGTCGCCGCTCGTCCACCCGACCTACTCGCCGTACCCGCTCCTCCACTTCTTCTCTCGCTCGGAACTCTTCTGACTGGCCCACCGGCACCTCCATTTCCGGTTCTTCCTCCCCGTGGAGCTCTTCTGTTCCCATTTCCTCTGGTTCTCCGTCCCCGCGGCGATTCATCGTTCAGGCATACAATAGATTGTCGTCCCCGTGGAGCGCTGCTCTCTGGCGAATACATATTTTCCATTTGGATCATTCTGGCGTACTCGCGATCCGCCTTCTCTTGCTCATATCTCAGCAAAGCGAGGCTGCAACCAAAAACGCATTGAACAAAAACAAATACGAATATTTTCGAATCGGAATTTCGTCGAAACTCATTTAAATACCTCTGTTCTTCCAATGCACTGGCGTCGAGGTACAGATTGACTGTGCTGTCGTCGTGCGACATTTCTAATTGGTTCTATTCAGAGCACCTAAAAATTGAGACGATTTTGTTGCCGGAACTTATTGAAAATGAAGTGAGCAAAGGAGAACGGAGCGAAATCGAAACCGGCAGAGTTGCGGAGACCTCTCAATATTAAGGAAACCTAGGCCACGGCCGTCTATTTAAATTATCGTAATTGAGGTGCACGCGCGCACACGTACGCACGGTGATTTCTCTTTGGGGTCTCGCGGAGGTTTCTAGTCCGCGACCCCGCGACCCTGGCCGCGGGGTCACGCCGTTCTACTAGGCCAAAACAGGTTTTCCAGATTTTTCTCAAAAACTGGACCGTACAATTCTTAATCATCCGCATACTTTTCTTCTAAATTAAAAGAGCTTTTTTTAAAAAAAAAGAACAGCAAAAAAAAGTTGGTCCCGACCAGTTTACTTTTGGTCCCAAAACATGGCCGAACGGCAGAAGGTCGTCCACGAAGGCTCCGATGCAGCGTTCCAGGGACTTTAGATGCGTGCCGCCGGAGAAATACTTATTCATCTTATTCATTGTCATAGTGAATGCCAGAGTTGAGCGGAAGTGGAATTTTGAAATACGGAAGACGGCAGACGGCAGACGGAAGAAAATTTTTCTTACGGAACACGGAAAACGGAAGACGGAAGAAAATTTTTCTCACGGAAGATGGCAGACGGAAGACGGAAGAAAACTTTTTTCCCGGAAGACGGCAGACGGAATACGGAACAAAAAATCGTCAATTCAGAGCCTTTTTTCCGGTTTTTTTGAAAAAAATAACTAATGCAACAAAACTTTTGGATCTGGGTACTGCCCGTGGAAATTCGCGTTCTTCGGGACTAGTAAATGGCTCTTGAAAAGCTATTACTCTTTTACGGTAAGAAAAAAAATCCCGGAAGACGGCAGACGGCAGACGGAAGAAACATTCTTTTACGGAAGACGGCAGACGGAAGACGGAAGAAAACTTTTCTCACGGAAGATGGCAGACGGAAGACGGAACAAAAAAAACCACGGAAGACGGAAGACGGAAGACGGCAGACGGAATTCCGCTCAACACTGGTGAATGCGTTCATTATGATCAAAACTAACAAAGAGCAACAAGAAACTCGCAAAAATGTCTATAGGCCAATGGGAAAATAGCATTTTTCGAAAAATGGCTGCTCGTGCGTGCTTTTTGTGTCTCTTTGTTAGTTTACATCACAATAAACTCGCTCTGAAAAAATCAAGTGAAATGAACCAGTATTCGTCCGACAGCACGCATCTGAAGTTGCGGCGCACAGAAGAAGGCTTGGAGAGCGCGCCGCCGTCCGCCGCCCGTGCGCTCCTCGGCTGTTCTGAGACTTCAGATGCGTGCCGTCGGATGAATACTGATTCATTTCACTTGATTTTTTGAGAACGTGTTCATTATGATGTAAACTAACAAAGAGACACAAAAAGCACGCACGAGCAGTCATATTTCGAACAAAAACAGTTTTGGCAGTCACCCCTAGACATTTCTGCGAGTTTCTCGTTGCTGCCTGCGGGTTTCTCGTTGCTGCTTGCGAGTTTTAATCATAATGAACTCGTTCCCAAAAAATTAGGAAAAATGAATGAGTATTCTTCGAACAGCACGCATCAGAAGTTTTGGCGCGCGGAAAAATGCTTGGGGAGCGTGCCACCGGCCGGCGAAATCAGCAGCCGACAGTTCACGGGACGACGGCCGAACTTTCTTCCTCTCTCCACTGCACCCCGAGTGCACCAATTGGGGATCAATCGGTTGACAAATATTTCGAAATTTTTTGCAAAAAAGCGTTCAAATCTTGAAAAAAAATCAATTATGCGACAATTCCGGATTTGAATGCGTGCAGAAAACGGAATCGATTGTCGATCAGCCACGTAATTTTGTTTTAATTTTTCGTGTCGAGACCTTGGAATATATATTCAGAAAAAAATTATATTATCGAGATACGCGTCGGTTTGCGACCGCCTTTCAGCGTAATTTTTGCGTAAAATTCTCAGTACAAATTGAATTTTCATGTCAACCACATTAAAAATAAGATATCAAAATAAAACATTCTTTCCATAATTCTACTTCAACACTGGGAAACCACGGATACGTAGGAGAGAAAGGGAAATGGGGTCGAAGAAGAGCAAGAAAACCGAAGAGCAAGAAAACCGTGTACAAGAACGGAATTATATTCGAAATACTTAACAATACTGAACAAGCGATGGCAAAGTTGATAAAACTACAAAAATGCAGAATTAGTGTGGGCAGTTAAGGGACAGAAAATTATTGAGAAGCGGTGGCGCCAGTAGTCTGATAGGCGGTGTTGCGACGGCGACTATCGATTTCAGTCATGCTGGAAATGTCCGGAGCTCCACCCCATGTGTGGCGGCACAACGGACAAGACGGAACGCGCGAACGAATGTTCCAATTGCGAATGCACCTGAAAATGAGATCGAATATGAGGGACTCTCTGAGTTTTTGTCGTTTTTCGTACACTTTGCATCCGATGAACTGAAGGCAGAAGTTGCATCCATGTGGATCGATGGGCGGATCGTAGCACATCGGGCAGTCTCCCCACGTCGTCACCGGTTCAACGTCAGTGGCACGAGGAATCAGAGGCGCCAGCGCACTGAAATAATTTCAGTTCTGTTTGCACAGATTTTTTCAGTTAGGAGACCCACGCAATGTTCGAAATGTCCTCTCCGTTCTGCGATCTCGTGAACAAATTCATGATTTGCCTCAGAGTCTGCACTATGTCGCCTCCGTCCCTAACAACTTGATTCATGAGTTCATACATATCCGGAACTTGTTGGTGTAACATCGGAAAGTTATCCTGTGACGAGAATTCGGGTGATGGTGGCGAAGGAGGCGCGGGCGGCACGAATCCGTCCGCATCTCTGTATCGAATTCTCCGCCTCGACTGCCATAGGTCGGCCTCGGGCGGAGAAACCGAAAACACTCGCGCGGGCGAAGGCGGTCGCAACGATTCTCGAATTTGGCGTCGGAGAGCTCGTTGCGCTCTCAAGGCACTTCTTTGTTGTCGTTCTTGACTGTAACCGGGAAAATCAATGTTGAATTGTGTTGCCCGGTTATTTCACTTACGCAGGAGTTAAACGAGGCGATCGGTTGGATTCAGGAGGCATCTCATCTCCTCCAGGATCCATTTTGAACCGAGTCAAGAAATAACAGCTGCTGAAATCGATATTGAAATCAAACGATCGAATGGACGCAATTAACGTCAAAAACTGCTAATTTTCAAAGCGCTTCGAATCGGAAAATGATGATATTGCAGAAAAAGGAAAGGACGAAGATAACGTTATCGATTGTAAGCGTCAGACGCCGTCGCTTTTTTTGTGTGGTACAGCGTCCTACAGTACACTGCGTACCTTGCACCCGAATTGACGACGGCGCTGGCGAGCGATTGATAAACGACCGAAGAACAAAATAATAGCTAAAAGATACATTAGGGAACACTAGAATGTGGCAGTGGGATAAAAAAGTCACGAGGTTTGGACAGTTGAGAACGAAAATTAGAGAGGGGTTGTTCGAGCGATATCCTTTGCTTTAATTCAATCACGTGCCGGGTCAATTCGAAGCGGTTCAATTCTCCCGATTGGCTGAGTTCGACGCTCAATTTCGGGCATCGTGGAGACGTCGGGTTGTGGATGCCATCTGTTGCGACACAAAGGACACGACGAACTCAGCGACGCTCGATGCCAGCCGAGAACGCATCTGAAATGACAGGATTATGCAATTCTTCCAAACTTTACTCACGCATGACATCCAATAATTTTAAGACAAGCATTGCATCCGTGCGGATCGATCGGAGCTTCGAAGCACACCAGACATTCACCCCATTTTCTGTCGGGCATTCCGATCCGCTGCGAAATATGATAGGGAGAAGATGCAATCCGCGATGCAGCACGTCCTCCACTGGCCCTCCCGCCTCCGCCTCCTCTGGATCTTCTGGTTCGTACTGGCCCTGGAGCTGGTCCAGGAACTCGCGGGGGAGGCAGAACGGCCAAAACTGCTTCAGGCGGGTGAACGTGGATCAGCCGATATCCAGCCGGATCACCATCGTCTCCCGGAGCTCCATTCGGCTGTGGTTCGACCAGTTCGTAGCGCCTTTGCATGGCGGGAACCAGCGTCTCGCGTGGATGTGTGGCTCGTCTTCGTGGTGAGACTGGCGCATTATCGAGTCCTGCGTGAAAACGATCTTCAGGATTTGGTGGTACTGGACTGGGCGGTCTGAAGTGACGAAGAACAATAAGATCAGGAACCGGCGCTTGAGGTGGTTGCTGATCAGCTGGACCAGCCACTGGATCAGCAACAGGCACTACTGGAGCTAGATATTGGAGAGCAGCAGGAGCACGAACATCAATTGGCTCGTAGGCAGGCGGCACAGGAGCATCAATATCAATTGGCACTCGAGCAGGAAGTACAGAAGCAGAAACACCAATTGTCTGTTGGGCAGGCGACACAGGAGCTGGCGGATCGGCAGGAACTGCGGGAGCTTGTGGATGCGCTTGAGGTCCGTCATTCTCGTCGACTTCGTTGAACTGCTCTTGGAGTTGACGGGCAAAATCGAGATCCGCCTGTTCTTGTTGAATTCGGGTGTACAAACGGCTGAAATCAGGAACATTTTTTATCGGTTCAGGTAGGCGGTCCTTGCATTTGCTCATTGACATCGAACAGTGTCAAATCGACGGCGTCGTTCGCTGGAGCGGCCGTCATCGTTTCCCCCGAGCCACACCTTTGAAAAAAAATCGAGAAATAATGAAACGTTTCCAAATAATGCGAGGAAATAACAAAACTGTCTAACCGCAAGCAGGAAATATTAAAACATGGCGTAAATGAATAAATCGACAAAAATTTTAATTTCATGGGCACAAGCGTTAAAATGAGTGTCAAGAAGAAGGGGAATCTGATACAGCAGACGGGAATCGAAAAATTTAGACACAGCGGTGAGTATTTATCAGTTTCAGAGTGAAAATTCAGTGAACGAGGCGCCGAGAAGCGGCGAAGCGGCGATCACGACGACGTGCGCGAGTGCGGCTCTCGATTCGGGTCATGCAGGACACGTCTGGGATGCGAGTCCATCTGTGCCGACACAAGGGACACGACGGGTTCTGCGCCGATTGATGCCAACTGGTGACGCATCTGCAAGTAATTCGTGGAACTTGAACTTATCTCCGAATTCTTACGATTTGCAGCCAATAATCTGAAGGCAAGAGTTGCAGCCGCGCGGCTCGATGGGCGCGTCGAAGCACATCGTGCAGTCTCCCCATCTTGAGTTGGGATTGCCGATGCGAGCCGGCGGCCTGTACGCAGTCGAGGGTCCGGCTTGATCGTCGTCGTTGTAGAGCTCCATTTCGCGGTGGTACATCTCACGATCGTTGTCTCGAAGCATCTGATTGATAGCGTTGGCAGGCGGAGGAGTGTCCGAGTCGGAGTTATCGGAATTTGAAATTTCCGCATCGCTGACCTCGGACTCCGATGAGACGGTATTGTTGTCAATGGCATTGACGAGTAAATTTGCAATATGACTGAAAATTAGGATAAAAAATTTGAAGATTGCTCTATGCTTACCGATTCCGTTCCATAGTACGAATGATCGGTCGAGGAGGACGAGTGACGGGAGTGGGCGGAGATCTAACACGTCGATTTCTGATTGGAATAGGCGCAGCACGGGCTCGCGGAAGTGGGGAACGACTGGCGAGAAGATTCCTTCTGTTAGATCTCCGAATCGGCCCCGGAGCAGATCTTTGTGCCGGTGCATCATTGATAATCGCAACCTGTGGGGCAGGCTGAGCTGGAGGCCGTTCTTCCGGAGCAGCATGACCTTCCTCATCGCTGTCTTCTTCTTCAGGCTGCTCCCACTGTCGGTGCAGGCGAAGAGCCATTTCGCGGTCGGCCTTTTCTTGGAGGAGACGAGCAAGTTCGCGTTCTTGCTCATCGACGTCCATCCTGTTCACATCGACGAACGACAACCGGTTGCGAGGCGCTCGAGGCATCGAGTAGTTCTAGTAGCGAACGTTTCTGAAAAGTTTCGTGCGAGGTGGCAAAACGGAATTCAGAATATTACCAGTGTGCGAATAATTTATTAATTTACCTCAATACATAAAACCCGCCTAAAGAAAAAAGGAAAGTCTGCTTACCAAGTAAAATACAAAATTGTGAACAATGAAATGAACAGAACTGTTTCGGAGAACACGCCACGCGACACGCAACGCGACTCGTCGGAATTGGCAGTGGCGCGGTTTTGGTAGATCATCCGCTCAGAACATGAATCTTTGTTTGACTCCCGGCTCATTTGGCCATTCAAACGTCTTGAATAAGAACAATAAAAAGACAACGACAAAAACTGCAATTTGCGAGAGTATCTCTAGAAGAAGCAGTGATTTCCGCGGAGCGTTCGTCGTTGAGAGCCTCCAAATGACATAAGGGACGATGTAGTAACGCATCTCGAAAAGATGGGCGGGCACGAGCACCAGAAACGATCCGAAGAGAAACAGCATTTTGTGGAAGAAGTGTACGTTGGGAGTAGACGTCACCATGAAGCGGGCGCTGAAGACGTAGAGCGGCGCAAGCGAGACACGGATTCTCGGGTCGGAAAGGAATCGACGCCAGATGTAGAAGGTGAAATGCCGATTGTCGGCAAGAAGATACGGATGATCATAGGAGAACTGGTACACGAGAAGGCCCACTAAGACATGGAGAGCCAAAGCTTTCACGTCTGTCAGATGACGCAAATGGGCGAACAGATTGTTGAGCACTTGAGGCCACGTGTGAACGGCGCTGAATGCGAGCATGTAGAAGAACTGTGCCACGTGGAACTTTGGTTCGTGGGCTTTCGCATCGCCGAGAACAATTTGAAAGTTATTGACGTACAGGAACGCCAAGAATCCAGCGGCAAGACTCAGGAACGGCCACATTGAGAAGGCTGTGAGGATTAGCGTCTTCAAATTGGCGAGCATCGGACGGGAACTGTCGATTCGGGAAGCGAGTACTGAGAATGCATAAATTGCAGCCCAGATGATGTTGGTTTGACGAGTGAGAACGGAGAGAGAAAAAAAAGCAGCAGAGAGGAGTGGATTGCTGAAAGACGAGGGCGTCAAGGAGTGCGATTACAGAAATATGGTTATTTACCTGATTGAGAATCCCCACATTACTGTAGTCAGCGACAGCAGATCAGTGTAGAAAACAACAGACGACGACATGAGAATGGGAAGCATTCCGACGATCGAAGCAGTCAACCAGACGTCTTCCTGTCAAAATTTGCATTTCCAACGAAAATCCAAAAGGAAGACTCACTCTCGCAAACATTCTCCGGAATCTACAGAATGCTGGAATTGCAAAAAGCAGAATGATCGAATTTGCGTATCTTTCGTATCCACACAGAGGCATCGAGATGACGTAGAGAGCCGGCGGAGTTGTGATCAGAGGATTCCACGTGTAGTTTCCAGCACAATAGGATCGTGTTTGAGCTGAATGCCCATTTTTAAAATAAGCTTCTACTTTAAAATGCTCACAGATATGGAAAAATTCATCCATGTACGGATCTGGAACATAGTGATAGACGACGGTGGTGAGCAGGACGTGGATGCAGGAGAAGAACGTGCCGAGGAGGAAATCACCTGAAAGTCAACAGTTCCCATTTCCAGAATGTTTTTGAGGACATTGTTATTTACTTTTCCTCGAAATTGCTCCGAAGGGAGGAGCAATACGAAGCTGCTTTGACATCTGAAAATAAACGTTCAATGTTTTGTTTGAAATCGCTTCAGATGAGTTCCAACGAGAGAAAAATCGATAATAGTCATACCCTGTTGTTTTTTCAAAACTTTTTAGTTCCATTATCTGCTCAAACTTTATAGAATTTCTGTTTTTATTCAGAAACCTCAGAGAATTGTTGGAAAATATTCTTGAGAGAAAATGTGCATACACCTGATTCGACGGCGCATTGCGTACAGCCGCGAAAGTGTACCGCGTTCAATTTTCGAGAGTCCCGAGGTTCGAGGTCAATCTCAGCCTCTTTTTCCGTTTCCTGTCCGTCCACTTTCTCGTTGTCCGATTTTTCGTGAATTCCGACGTGTGCCTGATGTCCCCGAGGGACTTGAGAAGATAGTTTTCGACATGACACTCCACAAATATTCGGGAGAAGAGGAGAGGCTGAGTGGCCGTATAAAATGGGCATGCCATGCTCTAGGATGTCGAAATGGTCAAGAATTGGGCGAAAGTAGTTTTTAGCACAATTTCCGATAAGTTTAATCTTTGAGAAGGGCTACTGTAGAATTCACTTTAGTTTGACTTTGCAACTAACAATTTTGAAAAATGAGCCGTCCTTCAAAAAAAGATGCACGCGATATTTTGTGAACCTCCCCAGAACCCAATTAAAATGCAATTCTTGCCCGCATCAAACAATGAAACAAGAGAAGGGAGGCCCGTCCATCACTCTTCCATCGGAAAGTGCTAATTCGCAATTGTTCATGAATAAATAGAAAGGAGTCGTGCCATCCATCGCCTCCATCTTCTTCTTCTTCTTCTTCTTCTTCTTCTCCTCCTCCGAATTAGGCACAAGACTGGTCCGGGAGAGGGGCTCAAGAGACATCGGAGCACTCCATCATTCGGCCCAGTCTGTCGGTCCGCCCCGCTTCGCTTCGAAACAACACAAAACCGATCCATCTAACACCTCGCTCCGCCGCCGGCGTCCCTTCCTCTTCCCTCCCTCATTGATTACTTTTTCGTTCCGATCTCTTCCTCTTTTCTTCTTGTTGCAAACACCCCATTCACCTTGATTTATGGCGCCGCCTCACCCCGAGACTCCTCCTCCTTGGCCGCCGCCACCGCGAGAGAGGGAGACGAGGAGGGACGACGTTATTGCTTTTCGCGGGTGTTTTATGTGTTTTATGGCACCCACTAAATTGAGTCGTCATGGCGGTGTTCTTAATTGAGTTATTAGGTGACAGCTTCGAAGTTGGAAATGGAAAGGGATACCACTGATTTGATAAAACGGGAGTTTCTTGAATCCTAGGCTCTGAAAGCTAGCACATCAACCTGAATTGGTTTCCGAGTTCTCTACTAGCTTCTAGCTCATTTTCAATGCATTACCCTTGTACCCTTATGAAATTCGAAGCGATTGAAAAATGACTAGCGTTTAATCAAAAAAATCATATAATTTTCCATCTGACCGCCCATCGCCTTGGACAGCAAGCAGGTGGAAGACATCTGCGGGTGCTTCGTCCGTTTTCTTAGCCCATCAAATCATCACTTTTGTTGCATAAAAATGTCGTTTTCATAGTGCAATTCCGCTGTGCGAAAGGACCCCATAAATCGACACTTTATAGTGCGCTCATGATGGGGCCATTCAGTGGGTCAGGACAGTCCTGTATGTGTGTTTGTGCGTGCGTCTCCGTCGACTCGAATGTTCTTGACGATTTTAGGAGCAAGAACAATTCTGTTATCATCAGTCGTCTGCGGCTCCTCGCTTCTTCCTACTCTCTCTGGTTCTCCATCCATTTTTCATTTCTTTATCAATCACCAATCACTCCTTTGCTCCTCTGCGTGCCCTGGTCACAAGCCAGCACAACCCAGAGGGCAGTACTTTTTCATGTGTGTGTGTGGCTAGTGGTCCATTTGATTTGATTTGTATTTCAAATTGAATTCGACACCATCACCACGCCCTCTTCTTCCTCCTGCTCCCTACGGGCGCTGTTGCGAAACAATCGGGACGGGTCTCTTTTGCCCTTCTGAAAAATATGAAAATGTACAAACATAACAGACCTACCTAGCAGGTAACAACAGTACCAGTGGCTCTTATCGCTACGACAAATCGATGAGCGTCGTCGTTTCTCTTTTCCGATTCCAATCTTCTCCCTCCCTCCTCTCATCTTCCAGCAAAAGGGATACCAAAAATGTTTTTGGCATGAATCACATTCGAAATCGTTTCCGAATCAGCTCCAATTCGCATGTTCCGACCTCATTTGACACTGTGAGCATCCGCAGCAGGTGGTCCTCATTCCCTCCGTCTCTCCACTCTACCCACTCTCTCTCTCCTCTTCTCATCATTCATTAGGTCGGCTCATGATCATCTTCTTCGTAATTACTATGAAAGTCTGTCAATTATATCCTTTCCTGTATGCTCATGCTTCGATACGTTTACGCAATTCTACTCTAAACCCAGATTAGAATGCATTGTACTGTAATCTTGTGCCGATTAGATAATTGAGAGATTAGCGCTCAGCAACGTCTTCGAATCGATACTGTGCTCTGTTTATTCTGGGGTCAAGTAATAACATGGAAGTTCCCACCATCTTCGCAAATTTAACGAGTCATTAAGTAGAAACTAACGCCAATGTCAACATTCTGATTGCCTCATTGCACTTTTTTGGCCATCGTTTCTCTTGGAGGCCATTTTGACGGCTATATTATTTGAAAGTTGTTGAGAGAGAGAAAGAGAGAGAGAGAGTGTGTTATCTCAGACCGAGCAGGAATTCTAGGGTTTTCAACGAAATTAGTGTAATCCGCTTGAGAATACTGTGAAATCAGTTTTTGAGTCTTTTCATCGTCTTACCCTTTCTTTTCCAGTTCTGTTCCGTACCAATCCGTTCTTCTTCCAGACACATGAACTAACCCCCTTCGACCGATCACACATACACTTTCATTTCCATCATAACCATGTTCCGAGCGCCGGTCCTCCTCCTTCTGCTATTTTCCGTGCATCTCGGATTCGCGTCCGCCGATGAACGTCTCTCTTCCACGTCGATCTCCTCGATGCACGGATTCTCGACGACACGAAAATGCGAGCCGATCACGATCCCAATGTGCAAGAATCTCGACTACAACATGACCGTCTTTCCGAATCTCGTCGGCCACGTCTCGCAGGCGGAAGCCAATCCGGCCATCTCGCAGTTCAATCCGCTCATCAAAGTGAAGTGCTCCGAGGACATTCGCCTCTTCCTCTGCACCGTCTACGCGCCCGTCTGTACGGTACTCGAGAAGCCGATCCAACCGTGCCGCGAGCTGTGTCTGTCGGCCAAGAACGGATGCGAGTCGCTCATGAAGAAGTTTGGATTCTCGTGGCCCGAACAGTTGGATTGCAACAAGTTCCCGGTCACCGACCTGTGCGTGGGCAAGAACTCGAGCGAGTCGAGCTCAGCGAAAAAGTGAGTGCATTTCCGACCTGGAGATTATGATTCAGTCAATACAAAGTTTCAGAAGCAGCAACGACGTCACATTCGGTGTGTCCACGAGCGCCAATGAAGTCGTGCTCTCGCCGAAACAGTGTCCCCACGTGATGCACACCACCAGCGGCTCTCACTTTTCCCTTCCCTTGCTCAGCGGCCGTCTTCCCGAATGTTCGCTGACCTGCGAGGCCGACAATCAGGTGCCGATGATGTTCGACGGCCGAATCCGTCGGATCCTCCGCATCTGGACGGCCGCCTGGTCCGTCGCCTCGTTCGTCTGCTGCCTCTTCACTCTCGTCACCTTCCTCGTCGATCTGTCCAGATTTGCGTATCCGGTCCGTCCAATTCTCTACTTGACGTTCTCCTATCTCGTCATTTCACTGGTTTACATGATTGGTAAGCGTTCCCGATGTTTCATGGAAAACTATTGAAATAACCTCTTCAGGAGTCGTTGGAGAAGACAATTTCGCATGCGGAACGTACGGATCGACGCCGACGGTGCTTGTGACTCAGGGAGGAGAGAATGTAGGATGCAGTGCTCTCGCCGTTGTCCATTACTTTTTCTTCATGGCCAGCTGTGCATGGTATGTCTGTCATCCGTCCGTTTCTCCTGACAATGTACTAATTTCAGGTGGCTGGTTCTGTGTCTCGCCTGGTTCCTGGCCGCCTATCTGAAGTGGGGAGCCGAGTCGATCGCCGCCCTCTCGCCGTACTTCCACGCAATGTGCTGGGGCGCGCCGGCCGTTCTCTCCGTCGCCGTGCTCGTCACCAACTCGATCGACGGCGACATTTTCACTGGAATCTGCTCGGTCGGCAATCTGAATCCCTCGGCGCTCATCTACTTTTTCTTCGCTCCCATCGTCGGCTCGTTGGGTAAGTTGTTCGCCGATTCGGTTGGCTGCCCGTATGCGCGCGTACCAAATCGAATTTATTTTATTTTTTCGACGACGCCGTTCTCTGTTATTTATCGACCGCCTATTTTCAGCAGTCGGAGCGGCTCTGCTCTTTGTCGGAATCGTGTCGATGGTTCGGATTAGAAGTTATATCAAACTGCAGCACGCTGACGTCGAAAGGAACATTAGCAAGTTGGAGAAACTCATGTTGAGGTAGAAACAGTGGAAGCGGAAACTACAGTACAAACGTCTGGTTTTTTTTTTTAGAATCGTGGCGTTCGCCGTCATGTACGCCCTGCCAACAGTCATCCAAGCACTCATTCTGTGGTATCAAGCGGTTAACATGCCCGGATGGCTCGAAGGATGGCTTCATCACCGGTGCATCCGAGTTTCGGACCGAGAGCTTTTCGGCTTCTCCTACCCTCTGAGCGAGTGTCCTCCGGATCCAAAAGTGGCGAATCCTGAAATCGGACTGTTCCTACTAAAGTAAATAAGCTTTCCAAGCAACTTTTCATTCCAACCTCGCCTCTTTCAGATACGTATCCCAATTGGTGGTCGGTATCACGTGTGCAATCTGGATTGTCTCCTCGAAGACGCTCTCCAGCTACCACAAAGCCTACCTGGCGCTCTCCAGCAAACCAGCCCCTCAGAATGGCGCCCATGACCTGGCGAACATGCGGTGATGCACGGATCTCAACCCGACTAATCCTTAAATCTCCCCCTCCACGTCTGTCTTGTTTAAAAACTCAAACTTTTTGTGACTTCTCGCTCGCCCCAGTCCCTTCCCCACCCGCCGCCAGAATCATTCCCCAGAGCATGATCCATCTTTGTCTCTGTGCGCTCCTCGTCTCGCCACACTTTCTCTCGTTCGCTTCCTGATTCGAGTTGCGACGAGCACATTTTCCAAGAAGCTCTTCTCCACCAGAAAGAGAGAGCGAAGAAATGCGTGAGCCATTCTACCACGAGCACAACAAAGACGAGGACGCGAGATGGGCAAAAATGATATTTGTTGGAAGGGGCGATGGGCGACGAGAAAGTGCAAAAGAGAGCGAGTGCCCCCAGGTTACTGTAGATCAGTTCATATTCATGTTGTTTATCTCCTCTTCTGCCATCTTCCGTCCACGCGTGTACTCTCCTCGCTTAACTCCTTTTGTTCTATTCATATTCTGTTGTGTTCTGTTGTCTTCAGCTCCAGACAAGGTCCCCTCTCCTCTCTTTCCAGTCTAAAACACTTGTGTGTGTGTCGAGCACCTCGAATCAGGGTTAAACTCGTCGATTCATCCCAGTTTTTCCACCCCGCCGCCGTAACAATCTGTCTGTATTTCTTTGCTTATTGTTTCCATCATTGTGTATTTTATCATGTTTCATATATAAATTATTCATTATTGGCGCGGGAGAAACCTAAATGAGGTGGCGACGAATTGGGAAAAAGGCTAATAGTAAAAGTCATGGAAATCCTTGAGAATCGACTTTGAAAGACAACAGGCAAAGCAGACGCCGACGAGCTGGATCGCCGCGAGAACGGCACAGATTCCGCCGACCATCGCGCCGTTTCGGAGCACCCATTCTGCAAGCGACCGGCATTATTTGAGCTGGAATAGAGTGGGTGTTACGTTCGACACTGTGGATGCATCCGGGCTCGAAAAGCGGAGCATTCTCGCGCGCGCACCCCTCCATTTCTTCGATGCAGCACGAGTCGGGAATCGTTGTGAACGTGAGCCAATCGGACGAATTCGTCACTCCGCAGCACTCGAACAACTGCAAATCGAGAGATTCGATGATATGCGAATAGGAGAAGGGAATGACAGTCGACACCTTTTTTGTGTAAATTGTTTAGAACCTTTAATTGATTTAATTGTATAGAACCTCCTTGTAACGTCTCCGGACTCGGCTATGCGCCAGGGCTGGCTTTAGGACCTTTTTGACCCAGTTATCCAATCGGACGCAAACTTTGCAATATTATCAGTATCGATTTGGAATATCTATGTACTTTGCAAATTTACGGATCTGGAGATTTATCGATTTCAGACTGAAAACCCCTATTGCAGTCGCAGAAATCTGGAAATCGCTCTCTTCCGCGCTCTATGTCATTTCAGTGTGCTAATAGTTTAATCGAAATTTAAGGATGAGAATCTGTCTCGTTTCAGTATACCTTCTGATCAGGTAATCGGCAAAAATCCAATCGAATTGAAACTTTCAAGATTTATTTCCCAATCCCAGAGAATGCTGAGAATAGTTACCGACCGGTTGATTGCAAGTAAAAAATGTGATAGTTTTGAGAAAAAGTGAAATATTCGACTCCCTCTCCACATATTTTCCCATTTCCGGTCTCTTTTCTGAATAAGGTCTCCTCCCCATTCACCCGTTTTCCCTAATCCCCGCCCACTCGGATTACCCACTCTCCGTCCATTATCATTTGTCACTTTCCCTCACCTGATGCGTTTTGTCCCAGGCGGTCTCGACTCCCCGACTCTCGTGATATCGAACCATACCCGTCTGAAAATGCAAATTTAATAGATATAGGAAAAAAAAGAGCAAACGAAACCTGAAGTTGATTGGAAATGCCGAGCCGGAAACTGTCGTGTAGGGCGTATCCGATGATGACCGCCGCTATTTCGCATGTCTGAGAGAAGAGGGGGGTAAGAGTGCGTGGGCTGAGACGGCGAAACGTCCAATTAGTATGGAGAATGTGGAAATTAGAGGAGCTTTGCTAATTGGGAATTCCTGGGAAAAGCTCAGAGAGCATCGCATTGACATTTTCGTCACGACTTTGGCTCGACCGCATTTGGGCATAGATTGGGCAAAAAAATTTAATTCAAGATATATCAGCAGCCGGTAGAGAAATCAAAAAGTCGTCAACTGATATCAAAACGTTCACAATGTCCTAATAAACATTTTATCAGTTGACCATTTTTTGATATCTCTACAGGCAGCTGATATACGTCATCAATTCAAATGAACTCACAATTAGAAGAGCGAGGAGAACGGCGAACGAGACGGTCAGACAGTAGTTCTCGCGAATGGCTCCGCAGCATCCGAGGAAGCCGAGAAGGGTGCACAAGGAGCCGATGACGAGCAGGAGGATTGGGGTGGCTAACCTGCAGGAAACGGTGTGCTCCGTGAGCCCAAAACGATCGAGTACCTTTCGTCGCCCAATATGTCTAACACATTGTCGTATTTCAGTTGTAAAATGGAGCCGACAATAATCAGCGATAGCCCACCGACCTGAAAACGGATAGTGTCCGTGTCGGAGGTTCGAATCGAAATACCGTACCCATAGAACGAGATTGGCGAGAAAAAGGAGATATTTGACTATTGTGACGCCTCCTTCGACCATGATTATCGCCGCTTCTTCTTCTTCAGGATGGCATAAGTGGAGAAGAAGACGTCGTCAGATGATGCGGGCAGCGAACAAGAATAAGCAGAAGAGGCGATGGAAAAAGGGGGAGAAAGGCCGGCGACAACACAATTGAGTCGGCGAAAGGGGCGGATGCTCCGAGCCACGCCCCCTTTTGGGAGCCGAGCAGTTGATACTTCTTCTGCTTATTTGTGTTGCCTCTTCTCCTCCACTGCTCCTCCGCTTCTTCATGTCTCTTGAGTCGCAAGCTTTTGGGAATAAGGAATATAGGGAGATGCGAGCAAAAGTTGGCGTCTCTCGCGAAGGGCGCTGCCTGCGGCGATAAAATCTCGACATTTCACTGCTCAAATTCATCAAAAAAATTCGATGCAGCGACCGAGGCGGCCGCAAAGAAAAACAAAACATTTGAGGAGGAAAAACAAAACAAGAAGTGGAAGGAAAACAGACTAAATATCCGAAAAAGAAAGCGAATGAAAACAAGCAACAGGTTAACACAGTATTTAGAAATTGGAGGTCCAGCTGACTACATGGGGCGAGCTTTGATCTGTCCAATGCGTCCTTTGGCAAGCTGAAAAACTGATTTCCAGAATGTTCTCCGATGATATTTATGAATACCTTCCGCTTCTCCTCGGCGAACATTGTTTTGTTGGCCTTCTTCTCAACTCTTCTCTGCTTTCTCGCTTCCTTCACCGCCTTCTTTCTAGCATTTCTTTGTTCGGGAGTCTCTCCTTTCGGTCGGAACGTCGAAACTGTCGAGAAGACGCTCTCTTTGTCTCCATCGTCGTCCTCCATGTCTTCGTCCTCATCGTCGTCTTCTCCCTCCTCTTCCTCCGCAATCTCCATCTGCTCGACAGCCTTGTCAAACCGTTTCAGCGCCTTCTTAGACAGTCCGTTTCTCGGCTCTCTGATGAGCGTCGGATGATTGTAGATGTTGGTGTACTGAGTGGCGAACGACTCGCAATCCCACTTCATTCTCTTGCGAGTGCTCTCGTCCACCTCCACAATTTCGAATTCTTCCTTCTCTTTTATGACGCCCTCCTCGATGAGACGCATTCTTTCGCGGACGTAGAACTTGGCGAGCTGCAAAAGAATAATTAATTGACGAGCCCTTTGAAGTGCTCTTAACCTCCTCATCATACTCCGCATTAGTCCGTCCTTTGTCGTTGACCAGCTGATGGAGACGGCCTGCATTCGGCTCGAGTGCACCTCCGACGTCGTAGTCGTCGCCGTCGAGCTCTCCAATCTGTTCATTGCTGTACTCTTGCTCCAAGACCTGATCGAAATCGTTGTCGATCCCACGCTGATCAGCTCTTTGCGGTCTGATCTCTCCAACGGCTTCCTCTCCGAACAGCTCATCGTCGTCGTAATCATTGTACACCTCTTCATCGTCATCCTCCTCCTCTTCTTCGTCCGAATCCGCAGCGCCTCTCACATTTCGATAGAACGTCGTTCGCTCATCGAGAAGACCGCCGGCGAGAGAAATGAAATTATCCTCGAGTTCTCCTCCATTTCTGTCGTCTGCCACCTCGTTGAGCGCATTGGCGACGTCTTCGTCGTAGAACTCGGCCTTCTTGAGCGGTCCCGTGAGTCCGAAGAGTGGAGGAGCCGGCGGGAATGCTGGAGGTCCCCCGGAAGTTCTGATTGTCGTCTTTTCCACATCTTCTGTCAAACTTTCCAATTTCATCGGCTGAAACTAACAATTGTCTCAGGATAATCAAATCCTTTCCCAACCTCATTGACGCCTCTCAAGTGCTGCATGTAGTCGTAATCGTCGTCATAGTAGACTCCGAACTTCTGCTGTTCTTCCAGATGCTCCTGCGTCGGCTTGAATCTTTCGCTCTTCTCGCCTTTATCCGGCACCAATCGGAAGCTTTGGCTGCTTTTCTTATCGATAAACGCCTTCTTTTTGCCCATTTTCGCTTGGCGAAACTGCGATTGCCCAGTAACCTGAATGAAATATTTGGTCAGTTGAGGAAATTTTATTTCGACAAGAAAATATAATGGTGGATTAAAAACCAGGCAATGAAATTGAGCAGGGACTCTGTCAATCTTTGATTACTTTATTTTACTTTAGGAAAACAAACGGACGGAAAATCCAATATAATCATTAGAGAAAACAAAAACATAGAGCAGGAGGGACAGGATAAATTAGATACCAACCGGAAACAGAAAAAAAGAAGGGTAATTTGGGTCCATGATAGATTCCGAAAGGAGGATAAATGTGGAGGGAGTATTACTAAACTGATAAGGCGAACAAAAAATTCAACAAGTACTGGCGCCTGCAAACTGATTTGAAAGCAGTTTGCAGGCGCCATGAAAGGCAAAAAAGCGGGTTCTTCCACAGATGGGTGAGACGATTTAGGAGACGTGAGAATTTAGAAAGCACGTTGCTTCTGACGGCGTTGTTGTCCGCCCTGGGATCCCCAGTTTCCTCGCTTTCCGTCCTGTCCGGATCCTCCGCGACGGTCTCCTTGGTATCCACCAGATCCCTTCTGCTTGTCTCCCTGCCGCTCGTTCCTGCCTTGAAACCACGACCCGGGTCCTTGGTAGCCACCACGTCCGGTGCGCGGCTCCAGAATCTGTTCGTTATTCTCAGCCAATGTCTGCAGTTTGTCGGACAGGTTGAGGGCAAGCATCTGGAGGCGAGAAGGTTCCACGCGGTGCATGATCAGACAATCGGTCGGCTCGTCGAGGGTCGCAGACAACTCTTCCTGGATGATCATTTTGCTAAAAAAGTATGAATTGGAAAAGTATTTGGAGTTGCATCCGATTACCTGATAATGCTGTGAACATCCTTCTTGGAGAGCTCGAAAAGCGATGAAAGCTTCTTGAGAGAAACGGTAGAGTAGACAGTGGAGTAGGTCAGAAGGTAGGTGCGAAGGGACTCCTCTTGAATGCGTCTGACGACCATTTCCTTAACCGGCTCAGCATTGTGGAACAGGTTCCACACCTTCTGGTTCATCTTCTCGTTGACGATGTACTCCTGGCACTTCTTCCAGTCTCCGTTCAGCATCGCCTTCGACGCAGCGACGACGTGCTCACGAGTATTTTCCGGCGGTCCGGTCAGCGAAGCCTTCTCGCTCTGCTTCAGTTGATAGTGGAAGCTTCGGCTGAGCATGCGACGGCGCATTTCAAACTCGCAACTTGCCATGTGCGGGATCTCGAGAAGCATCGAACAGATCAAGTAGACGCACTCCATGAGCTCCACATTGATGTGCATGTGATACGGGATTTGACGGGAGCGGTCGATCTTCTCCTGCTCGGCAGTCTTCTCGTGTTGGCGAGTTCCAACGGCCTGGGCAAGCAGCTCTTTGGCTCTCTGAGTGTTCTGAATCTCAGAAAGACCCTGATGAGCCTCGCGTATGAATCCGTGACGGAATGCGCAGAGTCCGAGTTGGCAGATCGTTCTGTTGTAGAGGATCTGAGTGTCAACATCCGAATGATCAACGATCGCTTGCATGTGACTCATGAGCAGAAGGTCTCTGGCACGGTGCCACTGATCGTGAACGGCGAGCCAGTAGACGTGACAGAGCATAGCACGTTGTCTCAAACGCTTCTCATCGTCCATAGAGTAGATTTTCTTGCACAAATAGTCCATAACAGCTCCGACGTCTCCGTCGAAGTCGCACTGATCCTTGTACTTGTAGTAGATGTGCTCGATGCGCATCATGTACACCTTGCACACCTCATGCTTGTCAAAGATTCCGAAGTGGTTGCGCAGTTCGACGTATCTCTCAGCCTTCTCGATCAAAAGACACATGTCCTTCTCGGCCTTCAACTTTTCGATATAGTCGTTCGAGTGACAGTCGGCGTTCTGAAGAATCTTGGCCAGTTCGGCATCTAGTCTCTGAACAGCAATCAGGATACTTCCTTGAATGCGGTATTCCTCGTTTTCGTCCTGCAAATTGGTACAATTACAATTGCTTTGCATTTGTTGTTAACGTACCTTGAGGTTTTCATCTTCTTCTGCGTAAGTGACAGAGAGCTTGACGCGATCAGTGGAGATCAGAACATCGAGAAGTTGGTTGACGGTTTGCAAAGCTTGCATGAAAGTCGTGTACTCCATATAGTCGCTGATTTTGGAGTTAAGCTCAAAGAGCGCCGAAATAATGCAAAAGTTGATCTTGACACTTATTCCGAGGCCAAGATTCTTTTCCTCGGACACTTCTAAAAGCTTTTGGAGATTGGCGACGTGCTGGTTGCGATCAGTCGTTCTCTTTCCGCGTCCGGCCATCACCTCGTTCAGTTTCTTGATCATCACATCGTGAGTGACCTCTTCCTTGGGGTCGAAGTACACAACGGACTTCTCTCTGTTAACCGGAGTCCAGCTGTCATCGTCTTCGTCTTCAACGACCTCTTTCACCTTGATCACACGCTTTCGCTTATCCTTCTTGTCATCCTTGCTCTCTTCACGGAACTCTTTTTTCAAGAAGTACCGACGGAGCTGCTCCATCTTGGTGACGCTGTCTTCATCTGAATCATCTCCACTCGTGTCTGGCTCGGACGACCAGCTCGACGAATCATCAACATCGCTGTCGCTGTCACTTTCACTGTCCAAAGCCTTGTCAGCTTGCTTTCCGGGAGATTTCTCAGTCTTGGCTTCTGAGACAATCTCGAGATCATCGTCATCCTCGTCGTCTGGAGTCTCGTAGCCATCCTCGTCTGGATTAGCACGATAGTCCGTAACCAAGTCACCGAGGGATTGCTCCTTGATGTACTTCTTCAGCTTTTGACGGAGAGCTGGAAGAGCCTTTGCGTTGTTCTTTGAAAGGGCATTCTTAGCTTCTTTGTCTTCCCAAAGCTTGTTAACATAGTCCTCAACTTCGACGAGCGAACTAAAACAGCATTTTTTAAAGTTGTGACAGGATGCTAGCAGATTACCGGATGTAGAAACGTGGGTTGCTCACATTTTGACGTTGAAACACGGTTTTCGACTTCTCATATGCTTTTGCAAGCAAATCGAAGCCGGCGAGCAATTTGTTCAAATCCTTATTGCTCTTCGCGTCCCGATTTTGCTTGATGATTCCCTTGAGTTCATCAAACTTCTTGTCCTTCTGAGCACGAACAACACGTTTCTCGTCGTCCTCGGGACCAGCCATGAAGTCGAGGTCATCGCTGTAATAAATTGGAATTCAATTATTCGATTATTCCAAAGCTCTTACCGAAAGTTGGTTTTCTTATTAACTTTCTGATCCTCAATCTCATCTTCGCTCGATTCGGTCTCGGAATCCGAGTCGCCTTTGGCGTGAAAAAAACGAGACATTGCTGAAACAACAGAAATTGATGATAATTCTATGAAAACATAGAGATTAGGTTGCGAAAGGAGAAGTGACGCAGAAGTCCCAAAACAACACATTTCTGCAGGAATTGAGATTATACAAAAGGCAGATCAATGTGCCTTTACGATCAATAGTCTCAAAAACAATGAAAACGTGGAGAAACGAGAAATATACATGTTTTCACCAATATATTGACTAGAAAACGGAATCCGAAGTGGAAGATATCGCAGTCGTTGCAAGACCCTTGGCGCGTTTTCAGTGATCGTAGAATGCGCCAGCAAACTGCTGACGACTAGTCGGCGACCTTTGGAGTGTCGTAATGTCGCCCGGTTTAGCAGAAAGCGGCATTTTCAGAATTCGCCAAAGTATTCACCAAAGTATCAGCAGCTGGAAGAAGAAGGAGCGTGTAGAAGGCAGGGAGAGGACGGCGACGCGGGCGGAGGCTCCGCTCGCTTCCAGTGACTGCTCTCCGAGCATCCGAAGCTGTCATACAATTGGATACACGAGAAAACTTCTGAATCGTCGCCCATCAGAAAGATGATTATTTTAACATTAAATTTATTGATTTTTGTAGAGGTAAAACAAAAATAAAAAATCGGATCAAAAGATAACAGAAGATGCTCTAGCGTGTGTCATCTTCGTCGTTTCTCGAATCGCAGCTCAGAGATGAACTTTCCACCGTCGCCGATTTCCTTTCGATCGCAGTACGGCACCGCTTTAAACGAGGAAACCTTCTTTCCCGTCACATCAAAACAGTACTCGTTGTAGCAGGAAGCGCATACGTATCCGGGCGAGTTGGGCAGCAGGTCTTCGTGCTCCAGAACCATCCATTTGGCCGCTTCTTCTTTGCACAAATCGCAGGCGATGCGACGGAAATTCCTCTCGATGAGACGACGTGGAAAGACGACGCCGTCATGCGACTCATCTCGAATGAAGAGGTCGTTGAAGACGACGAGGTGCTCGCAGACGCCCTGATGAACGAAGACGTACGGCTGTCCGAGTCGAGCTGTCAGGTCCCCGAGTCTGAAATTGGGATATTCATAATGTTGTGTTGAGGAACGGAGCACTTACTTTGTGCTCATTGGCATCGTGTCCATTGGTCCGACATTGTTTCGCTTTTCCGCCCATACTCGAATGTTTCTGGAAACTTTTCCGAGATGATCGCCACCTCAAAACAGTGAGATTCTCTTACTCTGATGGATCGCGACCAGTTGTCTCGTCGACGAAGAACGTGCCGTGAATGAAGAACATGTTTGATGGGAAGAGATTCTGCAATCGTCGACGTGTCGAGATCAACACCACATAATAAAATACTTTGGCAAAGTCGTCGATCGTCGGTTTTTTCTCACTGAAATCCTCAATGAACGCGTAATCGGCGGGACACGAGAACGAGTTGCGCAAGTCTTCCAGCGTGTTTTCTCCAGTCAGCTCGATGCGATCGGTCACTTTCATGAGGCGACCAAGACGGATCTCGTGGTACTCGAGCTCTCGCGTGTATCCCAAATAGATCGACACCGAGATTATCAGCTTGTTCTGGAGAAAAAAGGTTAAAAGGAGATTGATTAGACAGCTTATTCTTACGTAGTCAAGAAGCGGCGGAACGTCCAAATTGATGAGCAGCGGCTTGAGCTTCTTCTGAGCAAGAGGCGGGGGCGTCGGAACGATGTCTGAAATGAATGCGCTAATTTTATGATATGGTTTATGCTCACTAGTCAGATACGGCGACTTTCTGGCCAGCGCACTCAGATCGATGTGATCGTGACGAAGAGATCGGAGAGCAATGGACTTGTACTGCGCGTTGCGGCGCCGAGAGCTCTCCTCGATCAGAATTCTGTAAAAACGCATTCAGAAGGTACTCAGAACTCAGAAAATGCTCACTTCTGTGACGTCATATCGCTTCTCTGCAGCGCCTCGTCCGTTTCTATGTTGAACATCAGCGGACTCAAGTTGCTTACACTGAACAAAAAGTGAATATTCTCAACTGTGAGAAAAGGTCGGCCGGAAAACGCACTCGATAGTGTTCAAAAATTTATCGGCGATCGATGCGTCGATTCCAGCGGTGTGGACGAAGGATTCCCTGGCGGTTCCGCACGGAAGCTGCTCCTGGCGGCACTCGATGCTCTTGGCGCCAAAATACAGAAAATTTCTGGAAAAAAAACAGGGTTTTCCGAGTTTCTTGCTGAAAATCCGACCTGAACATGACCGGCTGGGACACAAACGGTTGCTCGTCCGCTTTCAGAAGTTGATCCATAGACATACTGGCTAAAAAATGTTACTTTATGCGCAAAGAAAAGCACGGAAAGGGCGCGCGCTCCGGTATTTCCTTCGTGGGTGGCCGCCGTTTTCTCTGTGGGTGGTCGACCGTAATCCGGCGATTGCGCTTTGAGACCCACGCACTTTTAAAATTGGTAACTTTTATTTGTTTTTTTTTATATAAAGGAACATGATATAAATAAGTAGAAAGACGTACATAAAACAGACATAATTAAGTAGAAGCATGCTTGCCACTAAAAAATGGGTTAGAGTGGGAATGAAATTATGCGCAATCTTAGCAACAAAAAAAGCGGATTAAAGTGAGAACCGAGTCGTAAGGGTAGATAAATGAAGACGTATTTCAGATGGAGCTAGAGAAGAGGGGGTGACAGAGGAAACTAAAGTGCAAAGAGACCGGTATGAATGAAAAGAGAGATGGGGGAGCGAAATGCATGGTGAGTCATTCTGGAAACGGCTATGTACACGCTAGACAGGCGGCAGAAACGGGCTTGTATTGAGAACTAAAACGAATAGCATCTAAGATCGTCAGATGAATGGTCCGTTGGCGAGCATTCCGGCGAGCATGTTGCTTTCCGTCGGCAGTTTGCTGATCAACGAACTGGCCGTCCTTGCTACAAATGGAGCTGATTCAGTGTGGTTTAAGTTCAAAAAAATAGCCTTACCGATTTCTGGACTTTTGTGGTTGGTGAGTCCTTCCAACATTGCGCCGTCGATGTTCCAACATTCCGCTTTATCCGGATTCACCTCCAGAATTTTGTCGCAAATCATGAGCACGTTGCACATTAGTGTCTGCTTCACGTTCTCACCGTTCAACAGATTCAGCGGACACTCGACCATATAGAGCCCCACGTCCGACTTCGCTTCGCATTGTTCTATCAGAGTCAGCAGGAGCACGATCGCTCGTTCCAACAATTGCTGCCTCGACTTCTCCACCCTGTCGCTTTTGTCGTTCGGATTCGGAAGCTGTCGACTAGCCCACGTGTAGGCTGCACAAATGTGCGCGACAAGATTCTGTTTCCGAACCTCGTCAATCTCGTTGAGCAATCCTGCCTTCGGAACGAACGGCATTCTGAGCAGCACATTGAAGAACCTCAGGATCATGCTCCGAAGCTCCATGATGCCCGTAGTTCTGATATTCTCGTCCGACAAGTAGTTCATCAATTTGCGCAGTATGCCAACTTCCATGAACCTGCACACCTGCTGCACTTCCTTCTCGCCCGGCATCCGTGGCGTCGGATTCCTTGCACTCGGAAACCAGAGCATCAGAAAGTTTATGAGCGCTCGGAGACAGTTGCAGAGTATATCAATGGCCAGCTTCCTCTGTTTCTCCATCGAAATCTCGGCGAGTCGTGGAACCTGACTGGCGATCTTGTGAAGCACATTGATGGCGTCGTTGGAAATGGCGAGCTCTTTGACGGCCTGATTATCGGCCACCACGTTCGAGAGAAACCCTGTTCCGTCGTTGACGACTTCGCTGTCTTGCGTGTTACTAACGAAGTTTATCAGCTGAAAGAAAGACGTGTGAGCACTGAAATTAGGAAATTAAAGAACTTACGAATGGCAGTATTCGATTGAGATCATTCAACGTCTTGAGATTCGGCGAATCAGAGACCTGACTCAGAACTTTGAAGGCAAAGCGGGAAACGCTGGGATTCTGCATCTGGAGCACCGTGCAGATGCCACTGACGCCTTGCGACGCGACGAACGCTTTCACGGCGAGCGGATCCTTGAGCAGAATGAACAGGAATTCGAACAAACCCACGACGATTGCGACGATGTGGCGCCTACTGAAAACATGAAACAATTATAAATAATGGGATTAGTTAGGTGACTTACAATTGCTCATTTTGGCCCGCTTCTGATAGTACAGCTTCGTGTGATTGCAGAAGAACTCTGTTCAAGTTGACGAGCACACTGTTCGGAGGAAGCGGCGGCATTTCCTTGTTCGCTTCGACTGTCGTATTGTTCCAAATCAGAAAGTTCCTGAGAATCGGGTCATTGCTGACGAGAAACCGCAAAACGACGAAGACATCCGTGTGAATTAGATGAATGGGCACGTGCGGAAAGAAGTATTCTGTGAGTGAGTGGAACAACTGCACGAACTTCAGATTCTTTGCCAGTTCTCCTCGCAGCCGCGCTTTCTCCTTGTCCGCAGTGTTGAGCACTTTGAAAATTGTGCTGAGCGATTTGAACGCGGCGTCTGATGCATGCTTCAGATCCGCCTGACTTTGAAAGCTGGCTCGCAGAAAGAAGGCAAACAAATCGCGAAAGTCAGTTGGTCCTTGTTCTTTCGGAGCGAATTGAGCAACGATCTGATGAATGTAGGGAACGGTGGCGGGCAGGCAGGTGAGGTAGAAGAAGACGTCGAGAAGGTGATAGTAGAGAACGGCGTGGTACTGCTGAATGTGCGAAGGAGCGGGTGCGTGAACCAGCTTCATCCCGTCATGAATAATATCCAGAAGCTGTTGGATCAACCTCTGAAAGAATGAATAACTGCGTTTTCAAATCATGACAGTTCACTTACCGGCATGATATTAGGATTAATGTGCTCGAGCTTCGTCTCCTTAACCCATTTCCGTATTACTCTGGTCATTCGATACTTCTGCCCTGGATCCGGGACACTAAACCACACTCTCAACGCTTCTTCGGCCATCTGAGCAACGCTCGCCGGCTGCGTCAGCTCTGGATTTACATTCTCGCACGTGGATCCGTTGGACGAATAGCACCTCTGCGCGTCCGGGAACTGATTCGTCATCGTCGTGTTCACACTGAGCATCGACATCCGATCGTCGCATTGATTGTAGCTGATAACTGACGGAACGACGGTCGGAGCGGACGATTGGGCGTACGACCACTCGTTGTTCAGCCATTGCTCGGTCCGATGCTTCTGATTTTGTGCTGGAGCAGATGGTACGCACGTCGGCGACGGAGAAGAGTAGTGAGGCGTTCTGGAAAGGACAAGAGATGATCAACATTCGAAAGTGTGTTGTTTTCGGAAGACCGTTGGCATTGAAACGAACGCGAGCGCAGTCGTTTTTCCTGTTCCGACCTCCCATCAAGAATCGCTCGTTAGCCCCTTTCCTTTCCCCTCCCATTTCCGTTTCTCCCCCCAATCTTTCAAGTTTCGGGGCGCGGCAACCAATCAATATGATGTGTGGCGACACTCAGATAGGCATCTTCGAGGGTGGGTCTCGAAACGGATTCACAGAAAGAAAGAGAGAACAAACCTTTGCTGTGGATACGCTGGCATCTGATGCTGTTGTTGTTGTTGTTGTTGTTGCTGTTGTTGCTGCTGTTGAACGAGTGCCTGTGGAGGGATCGGCGGATGATGTTGTTGTTGGGGATACGGTTGTTGTTGTGGCATCGGATAGTTGACGGTGTGAGGTCCCATTTGCTGGTGTGGGGGGTGATAGGGAGGCGTCGGAAGACCTTGTTGCCAGGAAGGATGCGATGTCGTTGGGACCTGGAAATTGCACGGATTTTGTGTTTGAATGTTGTTTTTAGAAGTTTTTGCTACCTGTTCATGATGATAGGGCATCTGAGGATGTTGCATCAGATGCGCATTCGGATGATAAGGACCCGGAGGGCCATGAGGTGGCTCGCTGAGCGGAATCATCAACAGACCGGGGGGCACTCAGTTTTCCGGTTATCACAGCCAATCGACGCGCCTGCAATGCAACCGAGTTACGACTTTTTTAGAACCGAAATCGATAAAAATTGGGCAATACGAAGTATTGATGATAATCTTATCAACAGATGACCAAAACGGAAGCCGAAAGAGGTGAGAAAAGAGCGTGAAGCGGAAGAGAAACAAGGGAAAACGTGCAACGCAGGCCGCGCGCATTTGAATTCTTCTGTTACCCACCGTTTTGGTTGTCTCCCTTTCTGCACCCTCCGCGCTACCCACACTCTCTCCTCGTCGTCCTCCCGTCGTCTGACTGGCCGGCCAGTGCGCACGTCTGTTGTGGGACACGAGGAGAGGGCAACGAAGACAGACTGTATGGGGACACTTGTCGAGGGTCAGTGTGACGAGAGACAACACGAGACGCGGAGGCGCAGAGACAGCACGAAGGAAGTGGCGATAGGGGGGCAAGGCGACGGGCGGAGAAGTGATGTACCGGGTGAAAAATGGACGAATGAGCCATACTCCTACTGCCCTACCAACCTAGTTTCTGATCGGAAATGAGGCGCACGCGCGTGGGTTTTATTACTCGAAAGTCTAGAAGAGTTTAGGGATTAGGATTAGAATTCGTCCGCCTCCGTAATGACTCTTCTCAGATCGTCCTTCGTTCACCACACATTTCGAACGTGAAAGTAGTTTCTTAGAAGCCATGACGACGTCCTCTCGGACACGCAGTACGTTTTATTCGCTCTCGTAAATTCATCTTCCTAATTCTTTATTGTCAATCATTCCACAAAAACCAGAATTTTCACAAAACGCTATCCGATCTGCCCAAAACATGACCTGTTCAGATTGTTCTTATAATTGAAGCGATAATTGTTTGGTTTTGACACGTGGATCCCACGGCTGTCTTCAAGTTTTCAAATCAAATTCTCTGATTGCGATCATGATTGAGAGAGTGAGCGGACAGGGGTAATTACTCGGTGTAAGCAGTAATTAGACTACGGGGACTCGCGGAACCTAAACATTTTTGCCATCTCTCATGACTTCAAAAATCAAAACTCATCGTTCAAAATGCGAGCGAAAAAGTGTTCATTTGATTCGGAGCAATGAAAAATGAAAATGAGTCGGCAGCTGCCCCCGATCCATCGCCGATGAAAAAAGCGCGTTAAGCGAGTCGTCGACCCAAATTTTATGAGTTGTCCGAACGACAACGATATTTCGTTTTCGATCCGCAAACCTTCATTGCCATGGTCCGTCAGCAGTCGAACCGTACGCACACATTCTTTTGGCAAACAAAGTGACATAAGGTACCATGTACTAGAATTACAAGTACGTTATCAAACAATACACCTGTGCTTAATAGTGCTCTGTCGCTCAATTTTATGAATTCTAGGCCAGAGACCGGAAAAAAAACATTGAAATTTGACGAAAAATAGATTTCGGCGCTTTTCGGAACGCTTTTTCCTGAAAATTCGGGAAAACACCGTTAATCCGAGTTTCGTGAAACCCATTGCGGTCCTACTTTTAATGTTCAATTCATGGGCTACGACGTGGTACTTAGGAAAGATTGAACCAAAATTTAAAAAAAAGAAGCAAAAACAGATCTCGAGTCAGTTTTTTTTTTCAAATCAAACCGTCCATCCGTCGTCTAATTACTGTTACCTATCGAGTGTCCTTGCGCAAGCACTTGGAGCATGAACAGATGGGCGGACCCATTGTCCCCCAACCCCGGTATTGTTTCATTGAATGGGACGTAAAAATGAGAAGAGGAGAGGAATTCAACTAAAAAGAAGACGAACTCGTCCCATTTTTGCACACCAAAGCATCGTCGTCGTCGGCAAAATTGGAAATTGGCTCATAAATCTTGGGCGAGAAGAAATCCGACAGAAAGCGAAAAAGAATTCGGAAGGCGAGAAGAGAAAGGAATTATGGGTTCTTCGCGCCGCCCATTGATTGAGCCTATCCACGCGACACTTGTTTTTGACACCATTTCAAAGAGAAACTTCTGGAAGCGGCACGAAATCCAAACATTGGCTGGGCAAAAAGGTTTACACAGTAGTTGGGAGCGAAAATTTGAAAAAAAAAACGAAAAGTGAGAGTGTGAAAACTGTTGTAAACGATGGGAAAATTGAAAGCGAGCGATGGGAATGGGAAAACGAAATTGACTCATTCGGAGGGAAAATCGAAGGCAAACAAAACAGTGTGATTTTGAAAATAAGGTAGTTTGAACAATTTGAAAAATAGCGAAATGAAGTTTAAAAAGGTGTTTTCAGGTTACTTAGCGGTTACGGTTAACGTCTGCAAACACCGCACGGCGACAATCGAAAGATTTTAAGAAGACGTTGGTTCATTCTGAACCTTTTATAACAACGTGAAATCCGTCGTCGAGCAGTTAAATTACTTCTTCTCCTCCTCCTTGTTCTCCTTCTCGTCCTTCTTCTTGTCTCCCGACTTCTCCTCGTTCTGGAAGATTCCCTTGTCCACCTCGTTGAGCGTCTCGTACTGCGGATCCTTCGCGTCCGCCTTCGTGATCTTCTCTGGCGGCTTGAACTCCTTCTTCTTGCCCTCCTCGTCCTTCTTCTCTTCCTTGAACAAATCGTCGCCCACTCCGTTCAACGTCTCGTATTGCGGATCCTTCACGTCCGCCTTCTCCACTTTCGTCGGCGCTTTGAACTGCTTCTTCGGATTCTTGTCGGGCCCGAACAGATCATTGTTCAATCCGCAGAGCGTCTGAAAGTCCTTATAAGGGATTACGGTAGGAATTACTGTACCTGATAGTTTGGATCCTTCTTGGCGGCCACTGCGTCCTGGTCTTCGGGCTTTTTGAATGCATCCTTGGCGTTCGCCTCCTCCTTCTTCTTCTCGTCCTTCTTTGCCTCCTTCTTTTCCTCTTTCTTTTCCTCATTTTTCTCCTCCTTCTTGCTTCCTTCCTTCTTTTTCTTCTCGCTCTTCTTCGATTTTTTCTCCTCCTCCTTCTTCGATCCCTTCGACTTTTCCTTATCTTCGCCTTTCTTCGATTTCGCCGACTTTCCCTCCGGCTTCTGCAACAATTTCATTTTGCCCGACAGACCGCCTTTTCTCACCTTCTCTTCCTCTTTCGGCTTCTCGGCCGCTGCCGCCACCGGAGCTGCTTCCTTCGGTGGTTCCGGCTTGACAGACGCCGGCGGTTGCGGGGGAACTGAGGGCGGCTGCGGACGGGCGGCCGGTGTTGCCGGCGCCTTTTTCGATCCTTTGCAGATGCTCCAACTGTAGGAAAGACAAGCGACTCCTGTGAAAGTCCAAATGTGCATTGCCACGTGGTTCCAATCGACTAGTTGCCAGTAAGACGAGGGCATTGTTTCTCCGAGTGACTCGGAACTGAGAAATAATCCTACTCGCGAGGATAGTGGTTTGGTGAAATGAAGATAAATCCAACTATCAGACGCTTCCTTTTCCCGTCTTTTCTGATTTTTATTTTTAGCGAGATGACCTTCGAAGATAAGAATGTCAGTGGGACGCCACGCCAATTCTGGCTTTTCCAGAACGATGACCCAATCCAGTAGAGTTTTAAATCATTTACTAAATGACGTTGAACCGTGAACAAACAACGATATCGGGTGAAACAAGAAACCAGAAACTGGAAGGAGGTTGTCGACGTGCGAGACGACTCCACCACGTGTGGTATTATATGGGCACCGCACAGAAATGGCGCTCTGTTGAGAAATTCTTTTTGCAGTGCGAATTGAGCGACCACGTGGCCGAGTTTGATAAGTTAGGCCACGTTTTCAGTGAAAAATTACTTCTAGAAATTCGGCCAGATTGCGGACAGAGCGCCATTTCTGTGAGATGCCCCTATAATAGATGAGCTGGATTGTCAATCACTGATGAGTCTTGCGTCAAACTCCAGATGACGGCCGTCGATTCGCGGGAGCGGGAGGCTTATCGTATGTTCGTGTTCCTGGAAAACCATAGATATTATTGTGTTCCGTGTTCATAATCTTTTCATAAATACCTGGATGATATTCTGAAGAAATTCCTCGCTCCATTCACAGATTGCCACTTCTTTGTACATTCTGTAAGGTTATTGAGATTGACGGCCGTCTGAGGTCATCGGCATGCGTATTGTCTTTTTTCCCATTGTCCTTCTCGAATTCTCGATTTTCTCATCATCTGCCTCGTGTTAAACTGAAATTGAAAAGCCGGAACACCGAAGACGGAAGAAAGAAGACTGAATTCCGCTGCTGGCCGGCATCTGGCATCCTAGGCAACAGGTAAGGATAGGAAAAGAATGTCATAAAAACAATCATAATCACAAATTCATTAATTTCTCTGGTTAGTAGTGCATGGTGTCAGTGTGACGGATCAGGCCCTCTTGCGGAGCGAGCGGGTGCTCTTGGCGGCCGCATTTCTCTTCGGAGCCTTGCGACGAGAGACACTGCGGCTACGGCTACGGCTGCCGCTGCTGCTGCTCCCGCTGCGGGTCTTGCTGAAACGGATTGTTCTTTATGTTCACTATTCTCTCCTAACCTGGTGTTCTTGCGTGAGCGTCCTCTCTTCGGCGCCGCCTTCTTCACAGCCCTGGTCGATCTTTTTCTGCTGGACGAGCGACTCGAAGATCCCGAACGAGAGCGAGAGCGACGAGACTGGGTGCGGGAAGCCGAACGGCGAGAAGCGGTCGACTTGCCCGAGCGCCCATAGACCGATCCGCGAGACGATGAGCGACGCGAAGACGAGCCACGCGACGAGCTTCTCATCACGGAGCGGCGGGAGCGAGCGGAACGACTGGACGACGAGCGGCGGGAGCGAGACGACTTGGCGCTGAAAACGGAACTTCATCATCATTCGACGGTGTATTTGTCGGGACTCACCTCGGAGAACGGGCGGTGTGGAGGGACGCAGAGCGGCTGCGGCTTCTCTTCGAGACTCTCTTCGGGGCGCGACGTCCACGGCTCACCGATCGGGCAGACTTGCGGCTGGAGGAGCGGGAGCGGGAGCGGGAACGGGAGCGACGGGCCACCGACTTTTTGCTGGAAGTGAAGCGGCCGAGGGCGTCACGAGGGGCGCTTGAAGCGGCACGGCTTCTTCTCTTTCTTTCCTGCGTGTTCATCGCTGCGGTTGATCGTTTGGTTCGAGTTGAGAGGAGTGTGAGTAGACGAACGGGAATGGCCGCTCCTCGGCGATTCGCTCCCTTTTATAGACATCGCGAGATAACCTTTAAGATAAGGAGAGGTCGGCCCGGATGTTAGTAGGGGATCACGTTGATTAGAAGCTCGAACTTTCGACAGAATACGAACGGGAAATTCAAACCGTGTTCACAGATGTTCGCCGTGTTGTGGCCCGAAATGTCCGCGCTCAACTGAACTCACCGTTCCTTTTTGGATCATAGATATTCGAGAAAGAGTTCATTTTCGGCAAATTGTAAGTTCCTTTCAGATGATTGAAAAGAAGCTCGAACTCATTTTAATCTTTCACCATTTACAAAAAAAAGCTTCTGCCAAGAAGTTACTTAAAATGTAAATATAATATTTATGTGCCAGAAATCTAATGCTTTCCAGCATCTTTCCAGCTTAATCGAAGTTTCAATAACCGTTCCGACCTCAGGCCGCCCTCAAATAACCTCACCGCTCCCTTTCGGATCAGAGATGTTCGAGAAAGAGTTTATTTTTGGCAAATTGTAAGTTAACTTCAGATGATTGACGTTCAAGATCCGCTTTTAGATCGATTGGAACAGAATGATCCTTTACGTCATCGGCGCCGCCTGTCTTCTGATGAGCCTGAGTGTCTGTAAGAAGGAAAAGAAAATGGCTCCGAGCGTTCGACAGAAAACGCAATTCACTTCGCCGACTTCGAACAAAAGCGGAGACAGCTCAACCGATAAGGTTATTCTTAGCTGAGAGTTTCGAATGAAAAGAATTGCAGAGTAAGCAGACGAGTCCGACGAGAGAAACGGAAAAGGAAGCTTCGTCGAATAGTAAGAAACCGAAAGACTCGAGAAAAACGGAAGAGCCGCCGAAGGAGGAGAAAGTGAAGAGCGTAACGAAGAAGAATGCGACGCCGCTTGAGGAGACCGCGACACAGACGCTCGGTCCCATCAGTTTGCCGGCAGAAGAGCCTGTGAATGAAGCGAAGAAAGACGAGGAGGGCAAGCGGAAAGAGTTCAAGCCGCCGGAGAAGATTCAGAAAGCAGACGCGAAGGATCCGCAGTACGAGACGCTGGCTGAAATCGACAAGATGATTTTCACTTTAAAACAGAAAGAAGGAGAATGAGAAGAAACCCTGTTTTTGTATTTTCTGTTGAATAAGTCAATGTTTTGAATTTTGAATTGGGTTACTGTACACGTAAAACTTTGTGTATGCGCCTTTAAACGTCGTTTGAAATTTTACCTTTCTCAACTGAATTTTCATGAAATTTCATTGAAAATTTTGTGTTTTTAAATAAAATGAATAAATTCAGGCATGGAGAAAGATTGGCTGTTGTCAGCCCTACTAACAGACGATTTAGTGGAGAAAATACGCGAGAGAACCAGCCAGTCGTCCTCAATTAACGTGCCGTCTAACACCCTCGAGGACGAGTTGCTGAGCATCTCTTCCGGGTCTCGCTTCAATGACGACTTCAATTTCCGGCAGCTTGAAGTAGAGGTGCCGAGGTAATCAAATATCAAATTTCGAGCTTAAGAATGTCGTTTTTGCAGAGAGCAGTTTAGACTTGTGTCTAAGCCACTTCCGTGCTCGAACGGCGTCCGTCGTTTGGCTCTTTTCGCCAATCAATTCCGATTAACTTGCTCCGAAGTGTCCGTTCATCAGTACAATGTTCAATTTGAGCCGGATATTCCGTCGAAAAAATTGAATCGCAAGATTATGAACATTCTACAAGAGCAAGTTGATTTTGGTGCTCCGCTGGCTTTTGACGGATGGCACACAATTTATTCGATAAAGAAAATCGACGTGGATAAGGTGAATCGGATGAATATCAACGTGGCCGGAATGGTGAATACGAAGGAGTCTCCGAATGAGTTCAGCGTCTTCCTCACCTACATGGACAAATTTCAGCTGGACACAAGAGTGTTAGCTTCAATTAAAACTCACATTCCACATCTCATTTAATTTCAGTCGTTCGCAACAGGAAGACGATGCTCCGAAGAGGAGGATGATGCACGCGATCGATACGATTCTCCGTCAGACGTCTTCTAATCGCTTCCACGCCGTGCTCCAGTCCTTCTTCTCAATTACTCCACACAATCTTCAAGGCCACGGTCTCGGCTGGGGAACTGTCAATCTAGGATTGGGACGAGAAGTTTGCTACGGATTTTATCAGAATATCGTCGAAACGTTCGATGTTCTGACGATGAATCTCGACGTGGCAACGACAACATTCTACCGTCCGATCTCCGTCGTCGAATTCCTTGCCGAAGTGCTCGGAGTTCCGCTCGCAACCGTCATTGACGGACGGCCTTTGAGTGACGTTCAGAAGAAAAGGTTCTCGAAGGAGATTGCTGGATTGAAGGTAGAGACGAGATATCGCGGCACTCCGAGACGCTTCCGAGTCGCCAGATGCACGTGGAAACCGATGGAGAGCATACATCTGAGTCTTCCGAGCAGAGGCCAGGGTATGAATGCACTCACTCTCATTGACTACTACAGAATCCGTTATGACGTCGACCTACAGTACCGTCACTTGCCGTGTCTCGAAGTGGGACGGACTCACGATTGTGTGCTTCCGCTCGAACTTTGCTTCATTGTCAGTGGTCAACGGTGCATAAAGAAGCTGAACGAGCAGCAGATCGCCAATCTGATCAAGGCGACAAGTCGAAATGCGTCGGAACGGAAGGAGGCGGTCATGAAGCTCCGAAATCGGATCGATTTAGATGAGGATCCGTACGGAACCCAGTTCGGACTCTCTGTTAATGCCGAGATGATGAAGATCGAGGGCAGAGTCCTCTTGCCGCCCAAACTGGTCTATTCTTCTCCAATGACGAGGCAACAGGACTGCGTGACGACTCCGAACAACGGAACATGGGACATGAGGGGAAAGAACTTCTACTCGGGCATTCAGATTTCTGTGAGTCTTCCAGTTGTGAGTAAAATCCCATTCCAACGAACGTTTTCAGAAGTGGGCACTCGTCTCCTTCGCTTCTTCCTCTATCGTTTCGCCGAACAACATCAGAACGTTTACGGCGAGTCTTCAGAAAGTCGCCAATGAGATAGGAATGCCTTTCTTGATAAATCACTGTTTCTGCAGGTACTTAACCCAACCAATGTTTCAGTTAAACTCCAATTCAGGTACTCCGAAGCGGATCAAGCCAGCCGAATCTTGGATTACTTGCACGAGGAGCATCCGGACCTCCAGCTCATAATCTGTGTCGTTCCGGGCAAGTCGGCCATCTACGGAGACGTCAAACGGAAGGGCGACTCGCTCGGACTGACCACCCAGTGCGTCCGTTCCCACAACGTCATAAAGGTGTCGCCGCACACGCTTTCCAATCTGTGCATGAAGATCAACTCGAAGCTGGGCGGAGTGAACGTCGTCATCTCCGCACGGCCGCAGTCGATCACCCACGAGCCAGTCCTCTTCATCGGATGCCTCCTCTCCCGCAATTCGTCCGGCTCCGTCTCCGACTCGGTCTCCTCTCTCGCCCACATAGATTCCTCCATCTCTTGTCTCGTCGGCTCCATGGACGGACATCCGACTCGTTTCTATCCGATCTTCCGTACCCAACCGCGCAATTCGAACGTTATCGTGGATATGGCGGACATGGTTCGAGAGGCGATCGTCAATTTCCGCGGCGCAACTGGATTCAAACCGCACAAAATTGTCGTTTATCGATCCGGAATCACCGACGAAACGGTCGAGGAGATTCTGCAGACGGAGCTTAGGGGAGTCCGTGAAGCGTGTTCTGCCATCGAGCAGAACTATCAGCCGGGAATCACGTTCATCGGATTGGATGTCACCCATCATACTCGACTTTTCGCCGCTGATGACATTGTGAGTGAAAATGAATCCCTGAAAAACTTAATAATCGCGAACTGGTCATTCTGAATTCCAGGACAAAGTGGGCAGCAGCCAGAATGTGCCGGCTGGAACCATCGTGGAGACTGGCATCACCGTCAACAACCTCTTCGAATTCTATCTGGTCTCGCATGCCGGTATCCAGGGAACGTCCCGTCCGACAAAGTACGTCGTCATGTGGGACGACAATCAGATGCCGCCGGAAGACGTGCACGATATGACTTATCAGGTGAGCTCGCGCCAAAAAGAACATGGCAAATAATTTGGGATTGCAGCTCTGTCACACGCAGTCCCGGTGCACTCGAAGCGTCTCCATCCCGTCTCCGGTCTACTACGCCAAGTTGGTGGCCCAACGCGCCAAAATACTGATGGCTCAAGAGAATTTCAGTCTGGAGAACTTCCGAGTGAGTTTGGAGGAAAAGAGCCACCTATACTTTCTATTTCAGGAAATTTCTCGTCGCTTCGAAGGAATGCTCTTCACTTGACACTTCCAATTTCTCACCCATTTCCAATGTTTCACTGTGGCGGTTTGTTTTTTCGCGTCGCGTTTGCAGACTCCTGTCCGCGCTTGAATTCAATACATTTGGTCGAAATCGAGTGAAAAATCAGCAAAATTTGCACAAATACCTGATTTAAGCCAAATTTGCAATTTCGAGAGACGGACAGGAGTCTGAAAACACCAACCCGTTAGAAAAATACTGCAATAATATCTACTTACTAATCCCCATTTTCACCTAAAATCGGGTATTTCTTCCATATTTCTCATAACGGCCAGTCTCTTTACCTTTTTATGCATTCTTTCTTGTTTTCTGTTCTTCTCTGTTTTTTCTCCATTTTCCCTGATTTTCCAGATTTTCAATGTTACGGTTCTGAGCATTTTATACTTGTTTTCCCCTGAAAAGTCATTCGAAATCCGTTCAATTGTGAGGTTTTATTGCGTGCTAAGCAGCGTGTGTGTTTCCAGAATAATTATGATAAAGAAACGACGGAAGAAAAATTTGGGGGAAAGAAAAGGAGAAGGCTTTAAATTACGAAGAAAAAATGAAGAGAGAGAGAAGAATTTCACCATGAAATAAGCTCACAACTAGAGATTTTGGGGGGAGTTTTTGGAGGAGGACAGGGCTGAACAGGAAGAACGGACGGAAGTCTAAAAGGGAAAAGTCGGGGGGAAAGCTCGTTTTGTCTTTTGTCATAAAAGCTCGCAAATCATTAAAAAAGGAAAAGGAGGGAGTTCGCACTGGAACACATTTGCATTCTAGAGTTACTGCGCTCTATCGCACAAGTCCGCGAAATTCAAAAATGTTGAATTCCGTGAATGGTTTTGCACGGTGATTTGTGCGACAGAGCGCAATCGAATTACAAAACAAAATGAGTCGAAATGTGGCTCAACAGTCGGCGTCTTCGAGTGCGAATAATACTCCCTGGTAGGTGATTCCGTTGATTTCCATCGAGACGGACATTGAGCTCTTTGAACCGTCTGCAACTTTTTATTGTGGTCAAATTCCCCACAACTCTAGAGTTACCTGATTGTTTTGTACTGATTCGAAGGGAATTCGCGCCGTTCGGTTTATCGTTTTCTAATTTCGGCCTTTTCGCTGCAAAGAAACCTTTCAAGTTGCTCGGATTTCGATTCGGATTCTCACCGGGAATGTCGGAATCGTTGCTCGACGTGGATTCACGTCCCGACGCATTCTGAGCGCCCGTCGCTCCGTTGCCGTTGGCTCCGTTCGTGCTGACGGTGAGTCCGAGCGTGTGCCGAGAGATGTGCTCCGCCGCTCGTTGTGCCCTCTCCATATTCCGGTGGTGCGCTTCCAGAATGGCCATCTGATCGGCCCCGTAGCTGCCGCCGAACAGCCCGCTCGCTTGCAGGTTCAGTGTGTTCTCGTCGTCGAGCAACTCTGCAAGGATCGTTGTGATGCAACCGTGCTCCGTCGCGCCCTCACCGTTCCTCATCGCCAGTCCGTTCAATTGCTTATTGAGCATCGAGGCGGCTGCGTTGGCGGCGTGCGGAAGCGGAAACGGAAGCGGAAAAGAGGGCGCCGTCCGTCTTCCGGGAGCTTCCCGCCGATTTCCGTCGATCGCCTGCTGCAGATCCGCCTGATTCGACAGCTTCTCTTTTTCGCATTCGTAGTCGTAGAGGTACTTTTGGTACTGCGTTCGGAGGGTGAACGCGGCCGAAGTGATCGAGGAGGGCAGGTTGAGGCCCTTCGTGATCTCCCGCCACAGCTTCTTGTTGATTATTTCGACGAGGCCTCCGTGTTGGACGACGAGACGGTACAGTTCGTAGAGGTCCAGCACTTGTTTCGCCATTATCGGTATTCGTGTCACTGGCTTTCCTGCAAGAAGATTTTCAAAAACTCGTTCAAAACAGAACATTGTAAATGTAAAACTTGGAGTGTCAAACTTGTCGCGGGCCGGGTCCGGGTTTCAGTACTACAATTTCAAGACATTATTTATGCTCGACAAGTTTTTCTTCAATTCCAGAGCTATTCAGCAAAGAAAAGCAGTTTTGGAATCCCCATGTGAATTTTATCATAACGCTCCCTAAACAGCTGAAAAATCGATAGTTTTTCCCAACACTTTCAAAAAATTTTAACTCAGGTCGACCGGGCCTTGAAAAGTCTTCTAAACCCCTAAGTCGGTCATATGTTCCCACCTATTCTGTGCATGAAGTTGAGCCAGTCGTCGAGCCATTCCTTCCGTTTCACATCGTCCGACAGTTCGTACAACTGCAACAACTCATTTTCATTTTTATTTTCATCTTTCTTTTTTCCGTTTTCCCCGCGGGGCGCCCATCAAAACATGCTCATTTTCCTTTCCGAAATTGGCAATGTAATATGTAAGAGCTAATAAGTAATACTTCATTTCGCCTGCCTAAAAACTTTTCCCCTTCTTCTTCACATAATTAAATATTCGCGGTGCCCCACTCAATTAGCACGAGCGCTCTTCTTCTTCTTAAAGATAATTGATGAAGGAATTGACGCAGTTGAGATGGATTACTGTACTTGTCTTTTATTAAATTCAAAGCAGAAGACCAGGAGCAAAAGTCGTTTTGGTCATACACATAAATCAGTGGGCTCTCCGGATGGCCCGCGACCACTGAAGCCATTATTACATGTTGTAAACTCGCAATTCGCCCATTATATTCTCCACTATCATTATTATTAGTTTTGGTCCGTTTTTATTGCTCGCACGACGGAAAGACAATGATCGCATCCGGATGGCGGCCCGCGGAGAGCCCAATTAGAAAGTGAACAGAAATTGGAAAACTTTTGGCTCTCTGTCTCTCAACAGTTCTTCGATGGTTTCGAGCCCGCCCCAGAACATAATTGTCGGCGGATCTGATGTATTCTGAAGTCTCGTGAAAAAATAATTCCTTGAAAATTCAATAATTGTCTTGTCAAGCAGCAAAAACTGAATTTCGAAATGACGTTTGGTTAACGTACGGCCGAAAAAAAAGTTTAGACTAATTTTCCGCTAAAATTTCGACAAATGTATCGATAATTTATCGAAATAGGCACTTATCGATAAGGAATACTGGTCGGTTTTCACAAAAAGTGCGCACGTGCAAAAAAAAGAAAACATTTGATGGCCTAGCATTCCAGAATGCAGTTTCTCTTCCACGAGCGAAACCAAACTTTGATTGCGTTTTCTCAGACTTGAATGCAAACATTCCGGAATTCTGTTTTTGCTGCATGGAACTGTCAACACTCTTATTTTTTCCAGATTATTATTTTTAGAAAAGACTTCCCTTTAAGGATGGTGCCACGTGGCCGAGATCTTTGTTCTCGATCTCTCGCCAGTCCCCCTCTCTTCCCCACTCTAATCAGCTGATAACGGGGCGAACACAAAAGAAGCGATGGAGGAGAGAAGGAGGAAGAGAGAGAGAGAGAGAGAGTTGTATGTTTCTTTCTTACATTATTAATCCGACAGATTCGAGCCAATCGGCTCGGCAAACAATCCGTCCGGGCGCGCACTTCTCGCGCTCTTCCTCCGCGCACTGATCAATCGAAAAACGAGCCCCCTGCTCCCGCCCGCTTAGATTGATGACATGGATTACTGTAGCCCTTTTTCTTTTGTAATCGATACACACGCCAGAGCTCATAATTGATTAGGTTTCAAGGCGGCTTCTCCTTGCCCAAAGAGAGAGAGAGAGAGGGAGAGTTGGCACAAATAATGCGAATTAGTGATTCGGTGTGAACAATAGACTCGTAAATGTGTGAACACAATGCTTCATCGTGTATGCCCTGGAATACGGTAGGCCCAGGAGAGAGAAGAAGAAGAAGAGTTGTTGTTCATAATTAACTAGGTACCAAGCTTCGTCTCTATGGTAATTGGAGGACAAAAGTGTCGGATTGCCGAGCGAAACGAAATGAAACGAAAACGGAAAAAAACCGGTAATGGTAATGCCCACCTGTTTGAACTGTTCCTCGTAGGACCACGCCGGTCCGGAAGCGTTAATTCCCGGCTCGGAGGGCTCTTCCGACTTCACCGATGTCTCCTTCCGGAATCCGAGCGTCAGGTCTTCGGGCTCTCCCTGATTCGCATTCTCCTCGTCGTAATCGTCGATTCCCGGAGAGACGGCTGTCAATCCGGACGCCAATCCGAGTAGTTGCTGCTGGAATTGACGGTTGTACTGGAACTGGGAGGAATCTGGAAAACGGGAAGAACTCGAGACACTCACCTGGATGTTGAAGGGTGTCTGAAGGGCCTGGAAGATCGGGGGTAAATTGAGAGGCGCGCGGAGATTTGATAAGTTCAATTGTGAGTTGAGCAGCCGTTGGACCACTTTCTGACGGGACTCCAGGTCGGCGAACATGCTGAGGTTCGGCGTCAAATCTGGGGATGCTGGGGCCGAACCCGAACACTTCTGAACACGAATCTTGGTTCTTGAAGGCTCACTTTCTTGCTCACCTCGTCAATCTGATCGTCGTGCCGTTCGTCGCAGTTGCTGCCAGTCTCGTCGTTGGCGCCGGCGGTTCCGACCGTCACCGTCTCCTGCGTCGGCTCCTTGGACATGCTCACAAACAGTTGCGGTTCGTCGATCCGCACCGACATCTGCTGCTTCTGCAAAGAGTTCCTTGTCTCCTTCTCCTTCTCCTTCTCCTTCTTCATCATCATCATCATCATCATCTTCACGGTCATCAAAAAAACGAAGAAGTGGATGAGAGAGGGGGGGGGGAAAAGGGACGAAGAGTTCGGTCGGACGACGTGTCTTGGCTTCCGAAATCTAATGGGTAACACATGTTTGTTCGTCGTCTCGGGCGGGAAAAATGGGCGGCCATTATAGTTTCATATCGCATCAATTAGCGCGGGGGGGAGACAAAGCCGAAGAGGAAGAGAGCAGAGCGAGGACAACTGTTTCGCTCAGAGGTTTTTGGCAGGACGGCACAGAGTGAGAAGTTGTTCGGCAAATGATTTACATCGAAACACAGAGGGAGCTCCGGGAAAAGAGCCGGCGGCCACGGACCAAGTGCCATTTTATGAGGGTTTAATCGAGATTGACACGGGCGGCGGACCGCACGAATTAGACGGAGAAGAGGAGGAAAAAAGGGCGGTCGGAGGGAAGGGACGCTAAAAAAGATCAAAGAAAGGTGTTTCATAGTTTGTTCGAAAAATCATGGAGTTTCAAGATATTCAGATACTTCTTTGTTCTTTTTTTTCTTTTCCCATTTCGAAACACCAAAAGTTTACCACACCTCTAACTAGTAGAGCCTATTAATCCAAATCAACAAAGTGATATAAACACCACTCATTGACACGATCGGAGCAAACGAACGAACGAAACAAGAGCACGAGCCCCCCACCACAAATGATTACCGTAATCCGTTCTGAACTTTGCGCTATATCAATTAGACAAACTAGCAGGGCGCGGGAGAGAGTGTGATAAGCGAGGAGACGCCGACGTCTCCGGCCCATTTTTTGTGTGTGTGTGTATGTTTGAAACACTGTCGTTTTCGTTGTCAATTGGGAAGCGAGAAGAGATGCGCAATCTGAGGCAAACATTTCGGATTGGCGGAGGGGGGGGGGAGAAACGGGGCGCGAGATGATATTTTGCGCCCACTTCGTCGCAGCACACGGCTGATTTGCTCTAGGCGATACGGTAATCAACATTTGTGTGTCGCATCTGCTTGACAAACACTTTGTCCGCCTCTTCTCATAACACACTCTCTTTTTGTCTAATCGAACAAGAGTTTACGGAAGAAGAAGCAGCAGCAGGAGGAGCGGATGATGATGACTTTGGAATGGAAATGAAAAAGTTTGGGCAAAAGTGGGAGGAGACGAAATGCGTCTGACCAATCAAGCCGCATATTAAGGCCACGCCCCCGCGCGCTGGGACACACGAAGACAGCCTGGCTTCTGAAGATGGAAGTGGCGGGAGAGACGCAGATGTGGGAAACGCGACACGATTACGATAGAAAACGGGCGGAGTTTGGTCGAATGAGTTTGAAGTCGTCGCCAAACGGAATTCTCAGCGGAGCGCACTTTCCGACTAGAAACTAGCGCGTAGTTGTCAGAACAAACAGACGCGAATTGTGAAATGGGAAGAACAACTGGATGGAATGGTCGAAATTTGAAGGGTTTCAACTCGAGGATGCTCTCTTTCTTTTAAAACAAAAACGTATGGATTTGCAACTGGACCTTCGGTTTCTTTTGTTGCCCTCAAAGAATGAATATTGTACGTGTCATCGAGAAGCCAACGGGCACGCGCTTTCTTATTCTGAGCGATTGCTCCAACACGGTACAAAACATTGTTTCAGTCAGGCTAATGTCGGGTGCGAAACGAGTTCTCCGGCCAATCAAAAATGCGTCCAGTTGTCAGACACCAAAAACAGAATCGCAACAGTTTCCGCATCTTCGTCTGAATATAACGCAGTCAAACTTTGGTGCTGCTGCAGAAATGGAAGAGAATTTTCCATCTAGGATACATTTTGACCGAAGAAATTAACAAAAAAGGAGTAAAAAGAATGCTCTTCTATCGATTCCTACGGCCAATACAGTCTCCCGTCTAGAACTGATTCTGAGCGGCCTCCAAAGTCAAAATTCAAAAAAATCGTGCGAATCGATAAGAGTATGTGATGATTTCGCCGCCGGGAGCCCCGATCATTCCGCCGTTATCATTAACTTCTTCGCGGGGCCGTCATTTCGCTTCGCCCTCCTCATTCATTTTTTCGAAGGGGGGGGGGTTCGGCCCCCGTCGGCCCGCCGCCACTGCCGCCGCACGGGGTTATGTGTCCGAACACGCTCTGCGCTCTCCCATCTCTTGCCTCCCGCAGTGCTCTTTCGCCCCTCCATATCATTTATCACTTATCTTTTTTGTGATCCGCAAGAGAGCCCCCACGAGAGCGCGCCGGGCCCTTGGCTCGACGGGCTCTTCGATAAATATTGGAGAGGATGATGCGATTCTGTATAGAGAAAGAACAGGCGGATAACAAGATTGATTGACACCGAAGAGCTCATTGCCGCCCAACTCTCAACGATTCCGATGATATCGGTTTGATTGCTCATTCGCGGGGAGAAAGTTCCAAACGAAAGATGGCCGAGACACGGACCATTGAGAGAACACTGTGAATGACTGACAAAGTGAACAAGGAGAAGAAGAAAGAAGAATGGGAAAGAGCAAATGTCTTGTGGTGGAAGGAATGAAATAGTGGATGGATGGAGCATCGACAGGTGCTGATGGATATAATTGGTGCAGAAGCAAATCGAGAGGGAGGGCGGCAGCAGCTCAGGATTAAGAATGCGAATTCGCAAAGATATCTCCCTTGGTCCCCCCGTATTCAGTTCAGTGCCTGGTAACCGGAAACATTGTTTTTCAGTGCAAACTTTGAAAGCCGTCACCTCGCCGAGCTACAGTAATCTTAGAATTGGTGGTACGAAAAAGATGTCAACTAGAGAAATGATCTACAAGATGTCTAGTTTGCACCCAAACATTTTTAGACCATTTTGACATCTTCTGACCCGGCTATGCACTTTTAAAGTTGATTCTTTTTCAAATATTGTTCATGTCGTTGATTTCTCAATTACTCACACGCCCATTAGTCCAGTTGAACTAAAAGTAAACTCAAGAATTCCCAAGAATAATCTGCAAAGTGTGGAATGACGCACTTCTTCTTCTTCTTCTTCTTCTTCTCCATCTTCTTCTTCTTCTCCCATGATTCTTCAGAATTCATCCGCCACTACCGTATGCCGTCTCAATCAAGGAGATAATTGAGTGGTGCACTTCATAAATTAATCAATAAAACAAAATATTGTTTCTCCTCCTCCTCCGCTCATCGTGGGCGGATGGAAAGTGAATACAATTGAGCGCCGGAGGGGGAAGGTAATTACTATGTTGTTATAGAGCATAAGTCAGCTGCTGGCCCACCGAGCACAACGGGACCAGGCATGTATTGTTCTCGCGGATGAGCAGCACGACCAAAAAGGAGTGGGAGACGACTCCAATTAGACACCCGCCAATGACCAACGCGCGGAATTTATGAGTGAGCCAGAGAGAGAGAGAGAGAGCTATTGTAAAGTTTCAAATACAAATGACTATAACCGAGTTCAGACCAGATACGTTTTATGAAAACTTTCTTGACCGGTAGCTGAGAAGAATGAATGCTATTCGGTAGAATTCAGTGCTACTGGCAATGAATGCACAAAAAATGGGTAAACTTGTAAAACAAAGTACAACGACCTCCAAGAAAGTTTTAAAGATAACGTGAATGGCAATGGAATGAAAGGACACAAGGAATAAACGGTTTATATCACTTCTCCCCCCTTCTTCTTCTTCTTCTTCTTTTTCTTCTCCTCCTCTCCTCTTTACACCCTTGAACACATTTATAGCCTGATTCCAGTGACCTATTAATAAAATGAGTAATTTAATGATTCATAGGAATCAGAAATCTGAAATCTGTCGGCTGCTGCCGCCGCTATATCCTCTCACCTCCAACACCTTGCCACGTGTCGTTTGAGAGCTCTAATCACTCATCACTCATTTCTCTCTCTCTCTCTCTCTCTCTCTCTCTTGCTCGACTTCATAACTTTTTCTTTTTTTTTGCAAAGCCCCTTTCCATCATAAATACCTCTTCATATTACACCGATTCACTCGCCGACAAAATAATGATGTGTGCGGCAAAATGGAAGGATTGCCGGATCCATCTTCATGTTTCGACGAGGAGGAAAACCGCCAAAGCGATTACCGTCTTCGACATTTTAATCGGTGTTCGGTTACACGAAACTGGTAGAGACTTATTGTAGTTTTAGGTAAAAACGGGACAAAAAGTTATTAAATGTGCCTGTAATTGGCCACAGAAAAGAGTGACAGGAGGCGAAAGAGACGCCTTCTTCTTCTTCTGATGAGATCATTTTGACCCGTTTTGCAAGTCAAAACGATCGCCCATTAATTGTTTTATTATGAAAAGAATGGAAGTCTTTCGAGGGGGGAAGTGGGAGGCAAAAAGATGTGTTTTGATAAGGTCATCACTGAAATGGACGGAAATGCGAACGGGACCAGAATATTGGGGTTGAAAAACGTCTTTTTTTTTTAACATTTTCGATTTACATCGCGATTTCCGAAGTCTAAAATTTGTTACAACGAATGAAAATCAGCAATTTTGGCAAAAACAACTTTCACCAAAGAGCGGAGCAGTAACCGTAACCCACTAAATTTAAAGGCGCAGCACGCAAAAATCGTTTGGGGAAATGCGTGGCGCGCGCCGCCGGGAGCCCGGGTTCCGTCGATTAATTTTCTGAGCGAAATTGATTTGAAACCGAAATGCCTGCACACTGCTAATTTCACAAAAAAAATTTGAAATTGGCTGAGAATTGCTCTCAAACCGATGCTGATCAGGCGATTTCCGTCTTCACAGTCCTTCCGGTCCTCTATTCCAGTCCATTATTGACTACCGTAATCGCATTTTCATTTTCATTGCCACCATCACCAACTTTGGCCAATTTCAGTCCGCGGCGGCATAATCAAAGAGAAAATGGAAGATGGGCACAGACGGGCAATAAAGAGGAAATCACCCAATTAGGAGAACGAAAGTCCCGAATGAAGCAATGACCGAATGAAGGTAGAAACTGACGAGTAAAAGTTTTACGAGTATTGTTGGAAACGAGAGAATTGATGATAATGATGATGACAAGCGGGGGAGGGGGAGATAAATCTGGTCGCCGATACTTTTGCCTACTACATCTCGCTCTCGGCTGCACTATTTATTGACGATGTTCTTCTCGCTCTTGATTATTGTTGGAGAGCAAATAAAAGTCAGAGTAAGACGATCTCGAGCTGCCCGCACAGACACAAATCAACAATTACTTCTTAGGAGCAGCCTTGTTCGGAGCAGAGAGAGAGAGAGAGAGAGAGAGAGAGAGAGAGAGAGAGAGAGAAAGAGGGAGGCTTTGATTGGAGGGGTCGGGTTTCAATCGGTGTTCGGTAAGAGTTCATCAAAATCAAGTGCCGCGCGAAATGTTACATTCTCTCCCCCACAGACTGCTGATTTTAAAGGCGCAGCCAGACTTTTCGAAAGGGTCCCGCGGTTACCGTAACCTGCTAGTTTCGCCATTCTAGGATTGCTTTCTTTCAAGAGTACTGTAGATCGGAACAGCAGGAAAATATTATCATTGGAGCACATTCGCACGTTCGGCAATGATCGGTTCGGCAGCTAATTAATCAAAACTACACATTTCATTGACCTCACAGCAAAAAACGGGACGGAAATGAGAGTAATAAATCAAAAGTGAGTTGGTCTCCTTCTCCTTCTTCTTCTCCTTCTTCTTCTTCTTCTTCGCGCCCTCCCGTCCGTCCTTCTGTCACCTTTTCATCAATTCGATCACTCTGCCGAGAGAGCACTCGAATCGGAGAGAGCCGCAGAGACAGACAGACAATCGGATAAGCAATTAAAATCGAAAAATTTGACCGACGGAAAAGGGCGCCTGGCGACAAGATCGTATCGGCCGTGCTGTTGCGAAACTAAAATACGAGTCCACTTTTCTCGGAATGTGCTTGTTTGCAAAATGTTTGCCAAATAATTTGTCTTCGCCACCAACATCATCAAAATAATCCCGAAGGCATTGTTGAGCCCGTCTATTTTGGCCACACTGCCGCCCGTCTCGATTCATTTATAAACATTTTAATTTCGAAATGAAGCGCCGAATGAGGGAAAAGAATTGAGAGAAAAAGAGGGAACGACTTGAAGCCGAACAGGTCTGAAGCTCGGGCAACTTGGGATATCAGAGTTTGATTGTACCAACCACTGAGAGTGAATACTGTTCAGAAACAAGACCATAACTCCAAAATAATAGATTTTAGAACAAATTGATCAATTATAAAGTTCTTGAGCACAAAATTTCCAACAACTTTTCAGTTAACCACTTCTCGCAACAGTCCTTGGTTTTTGAGATATAGGTGTCCAAAGGTAAGAAGGTTTAAAGGTAGTGACAAAAAGGTTTAGGACAACTGTAGGTCCAGATCAGGCTCAAGAAATGGTTTTCACTACACATTTCAATGCTATGCTTCCAAACTGAGATTCACTGAGACAACAAAAAGTTCTACAGTAACCAAGTGCTGGGATTAACTGGAGGAAAAGCTTAAGAATCTGTCTGACCAGGCAAAAAAATATAAGTGATAAAGAATGGGTGGTTGCTGCTTCTCCTCCTTCTCCTTCTTCTTCTTCCCGGGGGCCCATCGGTGTCAGAGGGTCCACCGGGGGCCCAGAAGACGAATCTTTTGGAGGAAAGTGAGGAAGACAGAGAGAGAGAGAGAGAGAGAGAGAGAGAGAGAGAGAGAGAGAGAGAGAGAGTTGGGGCCGTCCGAAACGAGGAAAAGAAGTTAAAACTCTGGTGGGGAGGGGCCCGCGCGCGCGCGCGCACACACACACACACACACAAATATGCGACTCTAGATGTAATTTATCATATGAGGCTCAAATCTGCTGAATTTGCTTTTCTTTTTCCGCCCTCCTGCCTCCTAACCCACATCGGTCGTTTTGTGTCTTTTGCTCGTTTCTCGTTCCACCACTATATATTTGGCACAAAAGGCATTTGGGGGAGGACGGAAAGAAAGAGTTGAAGTCGGCGGCGGCGGCGAAGAAGATGATGCATTCCCTTCGTGTCCGTCGGTTCCGACCATCCACAGACTTTTTTCCCAACGCTCAGGGTCTTACGACAGTTGGCAATATAAGTTCCCTGGCCGTGAATCTTGAGGGGACTTGGCGCGAGAGCTGCCGGGTTACGGTATTATGCGCGCACGTAGGAATACAATATCTGATGATGAGAATGAAAGACAAGATCGGAGTCTGCGCCTTTAAACTACAGTATACCTGCCACCCATCTGTCACAAAGTACAGTACCGTCGAAGAAACACTGTTATCCGTGCTCTCCGACACCTCTTTCAGGTGATTTTCACGAAACAAAGTATCACGAACTTGACGCCTTTCTCCTTCAAGCTATCGACACGCTAGAGTTCTGCGCCTTTAAATTTCGGGCGGATACGGTTGATAACGATTTTTCCATTTTTCCGACAAAAAAGTCACAATTTTAGACGCATCTTTGAAGAGAAATGGAGTGAAAACAATATGCGAGCCGGTTTCAGTTCATTTTGTTAACGTTTGCAACAGAAATCCGTCTGAAGACGGCTTTTTCGTGAGAAAAGACGTAATCTACCGTCAGGAAAGGCGCCGAGTCGCACTGAATCCCTAAAAGTTATTATTTTATTATCAAAAACGCACGTAAATGTTCTAGGCGGCCTAGAATTCCCGGGGAATGGAAGAGCGGCTGCAACTTGAGCGATAGAGTGCGGTGGCCAAATTACTAGGAAAAAAACAAAGGCAAGATCTCGAATGGCTGCTTCTTCGTCGGGAAATGGATGTTGGAATCGAAATCAACGGGGACGCCCTCCCACTTCTTTTCCTTCATTTGCTCCATTTCATTTCAATTCATTTTCTTGTCGCCCTTCGCCCTTCGCCTTCGCCCCATTCCGAAGAGAAAGAAGCGCATGGGATAATGGGTCGAATGGCAATAAAATGTGAAGTGGCACACAGATTCGGAGGGATGTCTCGAGCATTTCACTGTACATATTGTCCAGTTGATTGGCGCGTGGAACGGAATGAACGAATGAATTCGAGCGGTTGCAGAGATTATAAAAAACTTTGAAGCCTTCGAAACGAATGGGACAGCCCGCGGGCGAAGGCAGGCGCCCTTGAAACCCGATCTCATATCCTTCATATTTATCAATCAATGTGTGGCTCATCATCATCATCATCATCATATCATGATCGCCCATGGGCTCGCTCTCGTCATATCAGAAATATTACTTCTTTCTCTTCTTCTTCTTCTTCTTCTTCTTCGCCACCGCCTGTCTTCTTGCCTTTTCTCTGCGTCTGCGCTCGAGGGGTTCGGGACGGAAAAGCGGCGAAACATTGAGTGGGTTCGAAGTGGAAAAACGGGAAAGGAAAGGGGAAAAGTGAGTACAGAAGTGAGTCTATGTTTTCTAGACAGAAATACGAGTGTGCGGTGCTAGGCAAAGTACGAAAGGCGTGTAATTCAATTAGGTGGTGGCAGGCACGGAAATTCCTTCTGACGGGGGCACGGTCTCCAGAGCTGAAAATATGGGCGTGGCCTCGGCCAAATGGCGTTTTCATGAATTGAGCAGGTTTTCTCTGATTCTTGTTGTCAACGGCGATGAAAAATAATTGTTCGACATGAAAACACACTAATTCTCAGAAACAATGACGTTTTGGCGCATTTTTCGCGGACTTTGCTTTTTCGCCTTCGCCGCCTAAAAACCGCGCTTCTCATTTTGCGCTTTCTTGACCGTTTTCAGACAGAATTGGTTTTGAGAATGATAAATCACGTAAATACAAGCATTTTGAGCGCTCGAACCGCGAAAATTACCGGAAAGCAACTGAAATTCACGTAGTTTTAGCCAAAAACCTTCAAACGGATAAATGTGATTTGCGACTTGACCAAATTTAACGCTATTGCGCTTAAAAAATTCGTAATAGCCTATACATTCGGTCTATCGAGAGACAAATCAGAAATTATCGGTTTTTCGTGGCTAATCTGGCAAAAAACACTAGTTTTGCTGTTAAAATTTGAACATTCAGACTCTATCGCTCGGAATTACAGTTCTCTCACAACACTTTCATAAATACTTGTCGAATAGTGCACTAATTCTTTGAATGTCAAGCAGAATGAGTCACGCACGAAATCTCGAATGTCTACCTTCGCATTCATCTGAAATTCGTCGAACTGCTTACCAATTCCATCTATAAGATTCAATTGCATAGTCCTTTTCTTCTTTCATTCAAACGCACACACACAAAAAAAGGAAAAACGATGCTCGGCGGGAATTTGAGATTTTGGAGTAGGACGACGAAGAATTTGATTATTAGAAAAGAGGCGAAAGGGGTCAAGGTCGCCCCACTGAACTGGCCGCGTGACCTCTCCGAACTTCCGGCGAACTTCCTGACCGGTCAGTTTTCCTACGATTCTGGCCAGGTATTCGAATCCGAACAGTCTTCATCTGAACCTCACAGTTTCAGAAATAAACATGACAGACCCTTTGCTTCACTTCATCCACATCGCCTTCAACTTTCTGGCCCCACCCTTTCTATTGGGACACGTTATCACACAATGTGGAAAGGTTCGGTTCAACTTGTTTCGATTCTCAATGAACTACTGATTTTCTTCCAGAAAAAGAAACCCGCTCATCCGCATCCGGTCGCCGACGGAATGATACTGTCCGCGCGGAAGGACGACCCGGACGAGGCGAGTCGGAATGCTCCGAAGGCGCCGGCGGAAAAAGGAGCAGTGGCCGGAACTCACGATCCCAACTACCAGACTCTGGCCGGTGTGAAGGATGTGTTCGAGGAGAAGAAGGCTCCTTCAGGTGCCGCTGGAGCTGGAGCCGGAGCACCAAAGGCCGGCGGACCCGCGATGGCTGGCACTCACGATCCAAACTATCAGACTTTGGCGGGCATTGAAAATGATTGTTTCGAGAAGAAAGAGGGAGAGAAGGAAAAGGAGAAGCCGGGCGGTCCGAAAGCCGGCGGACCCGGCATGGCTGGTGAGTTCGGTAGAGCGCACTTTCGTCCGCAATGAATCTTCAATTGCAGCCACGCACGATCCGAACTATCAAACGTTAGCTGGAATTGGCAACGATTGCTTCCAGAAAAAGTGAAATTGATTTGTGGTTGTGTCCTTCTAATAAACTCGTACAACTTTCTGTTTTATTGTAATTTCCGTGACTGTTCCACTCCAGAAACCCAAGTGCTCCAGTTCTGAATGCTCCTCGTTCTTCGGTTTTGTCTATTCTACAACAACCTTGTGTAGTCGGTAGGCGTCCGCGTTTTCATCTCTCAACAGCTCACGTTTGCTCAGAAAGTAACATGGCGGACAACAGTGATACATTGCTACAGCTCGCCCACTTTTTCGCTCCCATCCTGCTCGCCGGATTCACCGCTTCGCAATGCGGCGGCGGCGGCGGCAAGAAGAAGAAGACGTCGATTTCTGAGAAGAATCCGACTTCCACGAGATCTCCGCAGAGTAGCAAGAAGGAAGCGGCGGAGAAGCCGGAGGAGCCGAAGCCGAATGCTCCAAAGGCGCCGGCCGACAAGGCGGCAGTCGCCGGAACTCATGATCCGAACTATCAGACTCTGGCAGGAGTCGATGCGAATGTGTTCGCCGAAAAGGGAGGCCCCGCGCCTGCTGCTCCTGCCGCTGGCGCTGCTCCGGCCGCTGGAGCTCCGAAGGCCGGAGGACCCGGAATGGCGGGCACGCACGATCCAAACTACCAGACTCTCGCTGGCATAGCCAACGACTGTTTCGACAAGAAGGACGGCGGCAAAGGAGGTGCTCCGGCTGCTGCTCCGGCTGCTCCAAAAGCGGGCGGACCTGGAATGGCGGCTACTCACGACCCGAACTATCAGACGTTGGCCGGACTCGGAAACGATTGTTTCCAGAAGAAGTGAACCGGGTTATCTTTGGATTTTCTCTGCAATAAAACGAATCTCGGTGGCTTGTTTTTGTCTTCTCGCGCCTGTCAGTCCGTGCCAGGCACCGTAGAAATGAGTAATCCTTTGCGAATAACAATTAGGAGCCCTTGTTATTCTCACGCCGTGGCGGGCGTCGACAGTACGACGGTAATCGAATGAACTTATAAGAAGTGGCGAGGGACGGACCAGCCCATTCATTCTGTGAAAATGCCTACGAAGACTAGCAGCGTGGAGAACGTATTCGCTCGGCTTTACGAGAAGAAGTACATCCTGGACCGTCATGATCACTGGGAAAAACTGATGAAGATGAGTTGTGAATATCTTTTGTGACAACATTGTGTTCTAGAGAGAATCTCCTAATCGTTGAATTCTGCAGGAGATGAACAAGTTGGATGATGTTCGGATTGTGATGAACGAGAAGAAGACAATGGCGAAAGCGCTCGACCCGCTCAACACCGCCAGAAACCCGTTCACCAACATTTTGCCCTGTAAGTTGTGTCTTCGAATAGCGTCTTCCAACCTTTTTTTCAGACGACCAAAACCGCGTGAAACTGACTAAATCGGAGAGTAACCCGGACGGATACATCAATGCGTCGCACATTTCCCTTCCGGAAGTCGACCTCCACTACATTCTGACTGGATGTGCTCCGGTCAACGAAATTCCGGCGTTCTGGCAGATGGTGGTCGAGCAAAAGGCGCCTTTCATCGCCCTCTTCACCACCGGACGCTGTGCCAGACATGCGACCATCGAGTACTTTCCGATGAAGAGGGACGAGAAGATGACGTTCGGAGAGTATGAGATCAAATGCGAATGTCGCGCCCGTTACAGCTCCTACGTCTATCGTCTGCTTATAGTCACTTATCCCGGAGGTAAGTGTTCATTATCAGATACAATCAAAAGATATCCGAGTTTCCACCAGGAACCCATCGTCTCGACCACATCCAATTCACTCGCTGGGAAGATCAGACCGCTCCGTTTTATCTCGACGCGTTCTTCGATTTCTATGACCTACTTCGAGGTGACAGAGCTATTGAGCCAGTATAAATTTGATAATTTTCAGTTATCGAACAAGAAGACGTACGCGAGAACCCGTCGATTCTGGAGAAATTCCGATTGAAACCGAAAAACGTCGCATCGAAATCTCCGATTCTTCAATGCGCGGCAGGCACCAGCCGCACCGGAACGTTTATAATCATCGATGCGATGGTCCGAATGCTCGAAAAACGGATGGAGCACACGTATTGCGTCGAGGAGCTCATTCTGAAACTGCGCACCCAGAGACGTCGTGCGATCACCTCGAAAGAACACCACAAGTTTATCTACGACGCCGTCATCCACTGGATCCTCAACTCGGACGCCGGAATGGCTCGCGCTAAACCAGGCCTCGAGGCTCACGCGCGGTCTGTTCCAGTCATTTGTGATGACGCCATGAAAATGTACACGAATCAGAAGAAGTGGATCATCAAGGACCGTCAACGAATCAAATGGATTTTAGAGTACACGTCAAACAGCACTGACGACACGGAGACGGAGAAGGAGATCGAGGTGATCAAGGCGCTGTCCGATCGTTACGAGAATGCGAGACTGGTCGAGGATTACTACGGAATGGAGTTCTACGGACCGCGCAACCGGAGAGTTGGCCAGAATCAAATCTACGATAACGCAATAGAAGTCGCTGAGCAAGTGGTTCTTGCTCGTAAATCTTCGGTGGAGCACACAGTCTGAACACGTCCTCCCGACCTTAATAAGTAATCCCCATTTTCCTTCCAGTTATTCCCCCCAGCATGTGAAATACTGTTAGTTTTGACATTTCAAAAAAAGTCTTGCATTCTATACAACCCCGTAATGATTATTTTTGCATTTATTCTTTACTGAACATTTATATTTTTCAAACATATACTTATTTATATCGATAAACATTATTTGGCTGCTTTAAAACCTCATGGACCCATTTGAAAGTTGACAAAAAGAGAGCTTTCCTCGACGATAATGCAAACGCGCTCTATCGAGAAATTACGAATTCGACGGGAAAATCAAACAGATTTCACCGCTTTTTTCTTCCGACGGCTACGAAACGTCGAATTCGGATGGTGAATGAAGCCCGGTGAGTTTTCAATTTATTCTGAGATGCTGTCCGATATCGATTTTCCATGTAGCTCTCTTGAGAGAAACGTAGTTAGAGTTTTTTACGTTATGGGGTTATTCAGGCTGTGAAAAAAATGATTGTTTTCCGTTTTTTTCGTTTTTTTACGTCAAAAAATCCAATTCAGCGATGTAAAAAAACGAAAAAAACGGAAAACAAACATACGCTGAATAGCCCCATTAGAGAAGGAAATCTGTAAATTTCAAACTGTTTTGCAATAATCCAGCATTTAAACAACTGACAAAACATCAATTTTTCATTTTCAGGCGTGCCGAGATAGAGCGAATGCTCAAAAAGAGTCGGGATTCGGAAGAACGCCGTCAATTCTGGAGCCGTTGGGTTCCCGATGTCGGATGGCAAGTGCCTGCTGCTGTCGGCGTGGCCGTCGTAGCTGCCGTCTGTTATTATTACCGTGCCAATCAGGGAAATTTCTGATGATTCACCGATTCTCATGTCATTCCTATGTATTTTCTAAATACGTGTACATTTGCACAAGTTTTGCTCATAATCTGAATGTATATTTACTTCCTCTTTTCCTTGGCCTCCCTTCAGATCCGTTTTCAACGGTCTTAATATCGTTTCGAAACGTTGCTCCAAATCTAGAAATGATTTGCAGAATGTTCGGATCCTCGGGGTTCGGAAGCAACAAGCCATCGATGTTCGGATCGACCACTACCACACCGACGACAAACACGAATGCAAACGCTCAGCAAAATGACGACTTCTTGGTGAGAAATTGAAATCGTGGTGTTTTTGAAATGAGAACGTTAATTCCAGGTTGAAGGAGCTCCGGAAGACACGATTCAAGTGATCAAATTCAGTCCACAGCCGCAGGATAAACCACTGCTGGCGTGCGGAGCATGGGACGGAGTGAGAAGCGCCAAAAGAACAGGATTTCGCATCTAATGTTCTGTTTACAGACGCTCCGAGTTTGGATGGTAAACGACGGAGGCACGTTCGAAGGAAAAGCACAACAGAACATTCCCGCTCCGATCCTCGATCTGTGTTGGACCGAAGACGGCTCGAAGATCTTTGTGGCATGTGCCGACAAGGAAGCCCGTCTATGGGACCTGGCCTCTAACCAGGTTGCAGTAGTGGGAACTCACGACGGGCCGGTGAAGACGTGTCACTGGATCAACGGACACAACTATCAGTGTCTGATGACCGGCTCATTCGACAAAACTCTCCGCTTCTGGGACATGAAGAATCTGCCACAACAGATGCAGATGGCTTCGTTGACACTGCCGGAAAGGGTGTACGCGGCCGACGTGGTGTATCCGATGGCAGTGGTGGCGCTGGCGAATAAGAGAATCAAGGTGTACAATCTGGAGAACGGACCGACGGAAGTGAAGGATATTGAGAGTCAGCTCAAGTTCCAGATCAGATGCATCTCCATCTTCAAGGACAAGAACAACCAGAACCCGGCCGGGTTCGCCCTCGGATCCATCGAAGGACGCGTCGCTGTGCAATACGTGGAAGCCGCGAATCCGAAGGACAATTTCACATTCAAGTGCCATCGATCGGCCGAACTTGTGGCCGGATATCAAGAAATTTACGCCGTCAACGACATCTGTTTCCATCCGCAGCACGGAACTCTGGTCACTATAGGATCGGACGGACGGTACTCGATGTGGGATAAGGACGCGCGCACGAAACTAAAGACGTCGGATCCGCATCCGATGCCGTTGACGTGCTGCGATGTGCACAGTTCAGGGGCGTTCCTGGTCTACGCGTTGGGATACGATTGGAGTCGGGTACGAATTCGGAAGAAGACGTTTGGAAAATTCAATTGTATTTTCAGGGCCACGAAGGAAACACCCAGCCGGGATCCAAAATCGTCATTCACAAGTGCGTCGAAGACATGAAGCCACGCGCCTCCAAGAAGTGATTCATTGTTTCCTTACCTTTATTTATCACATTTTTACACACTATTTCACATTTTCCCCTTCTGACCCCGATTATTTGTTTCTGAACACCCCTTTCGCTCCAGAATTTCAGTGTTGTCGAATAAACGACGAGATGTGCGGCCACCACTTTCGGAAACTTTTAGAACCCGAATTTCATCAATTTCTAATGAGCTGGAAGCGATAACCTGCTAAAAGTTTCCAAAAAAAAAAATGCAATTTCCATCGGTCCCCCATCTCGGGTTCACAATAAAAAGTCGTCTTGTCCCCCTCTTCGCTCTTTTTGATGATGAAATGGTTGTTGTCGGAATCCTTGTACCTTATGTGTCAAGTGGGCAAGAAGAAGAAGAAGAATCCTTGACAGAGATTCGATTAGGATGAAGCGAGCCGACGAGGAGGAGCCAAGCGACAAGAGCAGCAGCAGCCGCCGAGCAGGTTTGTGATCCCTCCTAAAATGTATTCGCGGCGACGTACGTGGTCCGAAAGCCGACGAAAATTTGATTTGGGACGCGTTGAAGCGGACAAAAGACTTGTTACTCGGACCGAAAACGAAGGGAAGGTGTGCGTGCGCGCGTCGAGAATAAACAATGTCCGAAGTGCGCGTTGTTTTGACGGTTTGCCACCTGAATTCGTGACGAGTCGGCCTTTGAATATCTCATGGTTTATGCTGAGTTTGGGAAGAATCGGTGACGAACGGACACGACCGAACAGACCTCAAAGCTATCGGTTTCAGCGCGTCCGGGCGTAAAGCTAACGTATTCTGGTGAATAGCCAAAGAGAAAAACATGACGGAAATACTAAAAAACACTCTGAATATTGTATAAATCGGCACTTGAACAACGGTAGAGCGCGATTCTCACGCACTTCGTACATACATTTTCGTTCTTCCAAAACGAACCTCTCTTCCTGGTCGTAACCCACTTTATGGCAAGAGACACGGACATCTAAACTAAACTTGCCAATTCCATCCGACTCTGTGTTTTTTGAACAACTCCTCCTTCTTCGGCCATATCCTTTTCGATCTCGTCTCAGATTGGTTCTCCCTCCGCATCCCACGCCTTCCTTCCTCCTTCTTAGGGCTCAGTTTCGTTTCCTTCCGTTTTTCCGCTCAAAAAGAAACCATTTTTGATGGGTCCCTCGAGAAGAAACGGGCGGTGCCAAAACCGGAAAGCGAGAAGACGAAAAGGGTGGAGAAGAGGCGAATGGAAAGAGGTTTAATGGCGCTCGGCGGCCGGCAGAAGCATGATGGCGACGAGATTAATGCATCATACTCGTGGAGACGGGCGGCCGAGAAGGTTCGGCGATACGTTTTTGGTGGCCGAAGAGCCACCAGCGCCCATAAAAGGAGGCAATTATCGATAGATACGAATGATTTACGAGGCGCACCGGCTTTGTCCCCGCCGACCAAAAATGGGCTGTTTAGTCGCATCGGGAGCGAGCCGTCGATGATGATGTGCAATGACACCGGGCTTACTGTAGTCGGAGCAGGAATTGCCCAATTTCGTCTATAAAGCTAATTTGCCCTGGAGCAAAGAAAAAAAGAGTGCAACGGAGAGGTTCTCACATTCGTTTAGCGTTTTTTTTCACATTCGGAATCCTGATGAACTCGACTGACACTTATTGGTCGTCGGCACCTCGTGTCTTTATCAGCAGATTCCCCCTTTTTAATAATTCGTTCCCACTTTCTCCAAACATGTGATGGTGTAGGTCTCTCTTCCCGCAAAAGCATGCAAAAGTGGAAAGGGGGCGCAAGGAAACGGGCTGATAAATGAAACATGAATGACCGCCGAGGGCAGGCTTTCCGGCCCGCTCGCATTCGGTATTTATGATGTTTCTGTCGACTTGGGGACCCTGACAAATCGGCCCCGGTGGTGCCTGTTTCCGCTTTGAAATACGTGGCCTCCGACGACGACAACGACGACGATGATGATGATGATGATGATGATGATGATCACGCGACGACGTGAAGCTTCTCTTGCCGCCGCCGCTACGTAATCGGATTTAAAAGGACGATGATGAGCCGGCGAGCTCCACACGAGCAGCACAACGACGACGACGAAGGACGCCAAATTGGATTGAATTACCTATGTGGCCATTTGAGACTCGGCAAATAGGTTACTACGACGTCTCCTCTCTTCTGCTTCTGCTTCTTCTTCTCGTTTTTGGGATTCGTTTGCTTTAGGACCAGATTTAAAATTTACACAGATTTTTTATGAAATTATATGAGATGGGACACAAAAAACGTTGGGGGGAAAGGGAAAAGGAAAAGGGCGAAGAGGTGGAGAATTGGGAGAAGAGAGGGGTGACAAGAGACAAGGACTGTCCAAATTGGGAATTCGGAGGGGGAGAAGAAAAATAATTTACCACATACAATTTATATTATTCGTTTTTTCAAACACAATATAGTATTTAGTTGTAGTTTGAAAAATTGGGAGGAAAAGTGCAGAGTTTAGTGTGAAACCGAGCTGTTAATGGAAAAGAAACGAGCAAAAGCTAGATGGGGATTACGGCACCTAGGTACTGACGGTTCAATCGATCGGAGGGATGGATAATGAAGATGGGTGGAGGAAAAGTAAGAGGGATTTGAAAGAGAAGGCAGAGGGAAGACTCTAATCCGTCGTCTAGTAATGGATTAGTGATTATTTTGTGTGGTGGTTGTGGTGCGGTCGTGCATATTTGTGTGAGAAAAGAAAAAGAGGAGGAGGAAGAAGCGGTCGGATATTAGGAAAACACTACTACAGGCTGGTAAGTAGAAAGGAATTGAGGGGAAGAATGGCAAAGAAGGGAACTTTCCGGGGGACAATCGGGTGGGAAGAGGCTGGAATGCTTCGAGGGAAGGGGAGGACGAACTTCGAGAAGGAATCACAGCGAATTGTGAGAGAAGAGGGGGGAAAAGGGGAGAAGAATGTCGGGGCGAAGTACATGGGAAAGTTCGTTTACTTCTTGACCTCATTGGTCAAAATCTGGAAGAGCTCCTTATCGGCGAGGCAGCCGTCAACAAATTCCTTGAGGGTCAGCTCCTTGTCATTGTTCACATCCATCTTCTCGAAAATCATCTTGGCCCTCTTCCTCGGTGAATCGTCGGCGGACTTGGTCACTTCTGGGCCGAGCATTTCGTAGATAGCCTAGAAAGAAAGAAAAAGGAGAATAAGCTTGAGAAAAATATCTTTGAAAGAGAGCTCACCTCGATAATCTTGATCATCTCTTTCTCGTCTATCGTGCCGTTTCCGTCAATGTCGTACATGCGGAACGCCCATTCCAGTTTCTGTTCGGGCGTTCCGGAACTCGTCACATTAATTGCCAATAAAAACTCTTTGAAGTCGATAAAACCCGAATTATCTGTATCGAACGTGCGGAACACGTGCTCGCAGAACCCTTCCGCTGAGCCCGACGGGAAAAAGTCTTTGTACACTTTGATGAACTGCTCCTTGGTGAGATGACCTTTCGGGCAATCTTGCTGCAAAAATGCGCCACTATACTTTGCTCGAACCACGTCGAAATGCTTACCACGAATCCTTTGTACCACTCCTTAATCTGTTCCTCCGTGAAATTGGTGTTCTTCTTCAAAAACTCCAAATCTTCTTTGGAGAGTTTCGGCTTGGAACCCTTGATTCCCATGGTTTGTGGTGATTCGTCTTCTAGAAATAGGCCTGCAAAATAGAACCGAATATTATTTGTGTCAGAACGACGAATGCATGTGATTGATAAGAACGGCGAGGTAGGCAGAGGGCTGAGGAGAATGAAAAGAATGAATAATAAAAAATAGAAGAGAAGAAGTGGCCAGTGAAGGGGAGGCGCCCCGAATTGATATGGGCGAGGCGGAGGGCGAGGAATATGATGAGGAGCATGTTATATGCACTAAACGGCGCCGTCGCCCGCTGCCGTCTGGTCGTCAGCGGTCTCTCGCCTTCCGGACGAGAAGGCCCGTCCGATCGATGCGGCGACGGCGTATGCGCGTGAGTGAGAGTGTGTGTGAATGCATGGCGGTGAGTGACAGATGAGTGCACTGGCAGATAACGGTGAAGAAGGCGAGACGCAGAGGAAACGGATAGGGGGAGAAGCAAAGAAACGACGGTATTCTCCTCTGAACTGGTCACTTTCTGTTCACAGTTAGTACAACTCTGATGCTTTTTTTGCATTCGAATTTTGAAATTCCAGCTGTTTCTAGTCAAGAAGGACCAAATCACTTCTGATAGTAACAGTTAACAAGGAAATGTTGATCACAGAAACTTTGATCAAGGTTCGATCCACTTTACTTGTAGAAATAGTTGTTCGAACTAATGTTGTTAGTACCGTAACCTGTTTCTCGCAGCCAAAACAGTCAGATTACATCTAAAATCTAGCAAACCAAAGTTCGTGATCTAAATATTCTGCATTAGTTTAGTTCTGGACAGTTCGAAAACCCGCGGCGCAAATTGACTTGGTTTCCCCGTTATCATTCATTTTCCCCTCCCGGTGACGCCTGCTCGATGAGGCAATATTGAGTGAGTATTATCAGTTCGCGTGACATTCACAGTACCATTCAAAAAAAAAAAGAAAGCGTCTTTCTGAAATTAGGTGTCAGTAGCCTTTTTCTCAGAAATTGGAGCTTTTGAGCTGCTGCAACTAGAGCCTTTTGCGACGGGAAAAGAAGAAGAAGAAGAAGGAAAGAGGAGGATGGAGTGACCAAATTTGACACTTGGAAAGCTTAAAATAAATAAACTCTAGTAAAAAAAGAGCTTAGATGCGGAAGGAAAAAAAAACGGAACTTTAGTTAATTCGGGCACCTCATCGAGAAGATGTTCGAGAGAGGCGAAAGACACGTGTCCGGTGTCTGATGCGAAAGGGATATTCCGATGAGCACAGGGGAAACTGCCGAGTGCTACACACACACACACATACATACATACACCAGAATTGCTAATAAGCGCCACTTTCGGCGCCGTCGTCGCATCAATCTATCTCTCTTTCGCTCAGTTTCTGCTCGATGACGCATGCAAAACGACGACGGCGGGGCCGGAGACGACGGAGGCCACGTTGGCAGAAAAAGAGACATAAAATGTGTTGAGCGAGAAGAAAAAGGTGTGATAAGAAGAGTTTCTCGCTTGTTAGAGAAGAGGAAACGAGCGTGGAAAGAGGAAAGGAAAGGAAGAAGAAGCCGGAAAACCACGGCGAAAAAGCGAGACAATTTCATTAGGTGGCGTTCAATGAGAGAACAAACAACAAAACGGAAGAGCGAAAGGGAAAAACGTCAGGAATCAGTCGAATAGAACTCTAGAAACACGTTTCACATCACTCTTATTTCGCAACCCATTTCTCTTCCATCCAATTTATTAAGTACGTTCTGATGACAACATTAAAACCGCGACACAGTTGTCTTTTCGCACTCCGCGCTAACGTTGACCTCGAGCAGCACAATGATCAACTTCAAACTACGAAATGTTTGGCGTGAGCTGTTACGTCTTTTCAAACCACCGAAAATGTCCGGAAGTGGAGGAGAAGAAAACGGCAGACAGACTCTAAACCCTATGGAATCGTCGCCCGAAATGTTTGGAAGTGTGGCCCCTTGAGGACATCATGGGCCGGGCGGGGGAGGGTGTAAACAAGGCGAAATTTGATAGAAGAAAATGGGGGGGGGGCCTCCTTGGAGAGGAGTAGAAGCAGTCCCGGGTTAATGGAGCCGTGGCACACTTGAACTCGACAGAAGGACTGAAATGGCCGGGGTCTTATGACCTGCTCTTGCCTCTCCTCTCCGCTCAATCATCATCATGCCGGAAAATAGGAAAATGCATTATTATGTTCTTGCCGATTACCGCGATACGAGGAGAAGAGAGCAGCCAGAGTGCTCCGTATCGGGCGAGAGCGATGATAAGCAGGAGGACAATCTTGTTACTTGTTATCAAGTGACAATGACGTGGCAAGCTGCGATTTATGTTTGCTAATAACTGTTACAGCACATTGGTCTTAGTTTAAAATTTTCGCATTTCATCTCGGACTGAAAATGAGCAAATGCTTCAGAGAGAAATAGGGTGAACCGTACACACGAGAGAGAGTTGACTTCCGGCCAAAACGGGACTATCTTCGCAAATTTGCACACAATCCATAAAAACTTCAAAAGGGGACCGCCGCCAGCCCGGCCATGACGAATTCATTCCCGGAAAGCAAGCCCCAACGGTGTGCAGCGATTCTTTTTCTCGTCTCTTCTCTCGCTTTCTCTCCCCGCCGTCAAAACGTCTATGGACAGGAAAACAGATGAAAAATGCGGGGCATGTGACCAGAAAATGCATTTTTTATTTGACCGACCGCTTCGTTTCCATAGTGAAAAAGGTGCTTCTAGTGGGCTGTTTACTTCGCAAAGGAGTAGAAGGAAAGTAGAATTTCATACAAACGTGTTCACAAACTGAGTCGAGTAACTCACAAACAAGTCAATTTGACGCACATTCATGAAGGGAACTAACGCAAACGTTTGTCGAAATATTTACCTACGCACACCTTTTCGAAAAGAAGGGTCTCACGACGAAAAGTGTGGTAATGGTGGTTTTGGGGGGGTCGGCGAAAGGAGGGACTCCTTCTTTCCGTGTGAAGTAAATGGAAAACGATGTAAAGCGCGCAATGGAATGGAAAATTGGGGGCGGAGTGCGCGCTGCGGAGCAGTGGCAGTGCTCGCGGAGCCCTGGGAGAAGGCAGAGCAAAGGGAGGAGGCCGAGGGGGTGAGCAGCGGAGCATAGAGCAGGAGCTCCGAGAGCGGAGCGACAGCCCGGAGGCCTCTTTTGCCTCCCGCTGGACGTAGTCAGTCACTTTCCAGTGTGACACTAGACGATGGCCAGCGGGCGGGCAGAGCGGAGACGAGAAGAGAGAAAGAGCTCCGCCTCTGCTTCATCTCCTACTGGTGCTCCACCCGAGACGACTCATGCACGCAGAAGAGAAAGAGAAGAAGAAGAAGAAGAAGAAGGCCTGACGTCTTCTCTCTCCGCTACTGCCACGGCAAAATAAAGCTGTTATGGAAGAGAAGGGCCGCCGGAGAAAAAGAAGAAGAAGTAGGCGGAGCCTCCTCCTGACTCGGCTTTTTTGCTTCTTTTCTTTTTCTTCTTCTTCTTCTACTTCTGTTGGAGCAAAGCTATTCCGGAGTATTTGAGTGCGAAAACGAAAGTATCGATGAATGAATATGAGCGGAGAAAGACGGATGAAGATAAAAAACGACCTTCACTTTTCCTTTCTCTTCTTCTCTTTCTTTCTCGCTATTTCATTCAATCCTTCAATCAAAAATGGAGTTAGAATGAGAATGGAGGCAAATTGACTCAATTGATCCCCATCGGCTTATCTGAATTCGCCGAAACCGCCAGTTGTAACGCTCACGCCGAAGAATGTCATCAGAACAGAGTGAGCCAGACGAGGATGATCCCATATCCTGCGAGCACTGGGCGAAAGAAAGAAGGAGGATAGCTTTTCGCGCGCGAGCGACGGGCACACACACACGGGCTGCTCAGATGGATTGTGTTTTCAGCTGCTTCTTCTTCTGCCAAGAGCCCGATCACTGCTGATCGCTAGGAAGACGTCACGGGAAAGGAGTGATAGGGACTGGGAAAACTGAAGGATCGGAAAGAGAATTGAAAACCCGTTCTAAAAAAATTCAGCTATCGGAATACTTGGAAAAAAGTTAGAGCTCGAAAACATCTAAATGACTGAACTCCAATCTATCTTTCGAAGAATTCGTTTTCGTTGTTTTGTCCGCGGTTTTTTGTCCCGTTCCTCTCTCTTCTCCAACCGCCCGCCCACCCACATCCACTCCTTCAATATTAAAGCAACGAATCTTTTGCTTAGATGTGATTCTTCGAGACAGAAACTCGATTACGGTGCCACAAAACATTTGCGGTCTAGACCATCACACTCATCAACAAGTTGATCCCTTATGGAAAGAAAGCACACTAATCCAATTTCCGGCCGGGGAAATAGTCGACCGACGGCTTTTCGTTTCGTTTTGTTGCCGTTTTTCCCACGAACTTGTATTTCACATTTTGTGTCGTTTTGGCTGAGAAGTAGGAAAAGAAGACGCGTGGAAGTATTGCTTCTAATTAGAACTGCCAGTGCGTCATTGGCGGAAAACAGATGGGAGCGGAAGTAGAAGAAAAAGTTGCTTTGTTCCCTTTTGCGGCCATCAGGGACTCTGATCCTTTGGGCTTTCTTTTTTCGGCTTTCCTTAATCTCTTTCTTTTCGTAAGTAGCTCACTAGTCTCTAGTCGTCGAAATTATCCAAACCAAAATCGTCTGAAAGCCGTTCAGATTACCGTAGATCAGACAAAGTTTTGAAATTGACTTCAGAAAGACCAAATACCTTGTCTGAAAAAAAGTCTGAAAATCGAATTGCTATGACGTTGAAACAGTTGAATTTTTGATCTACAGGTGCTTAGAAGATTAGTCACACTCAAGAATTTTCACATGCTCTAAGCCAGAAGGCTGGACGTACGAATAAAAAAGATTGACGTAGAACGGGAAGGGAAAGACGAAGAACGAACGGATCTGAGATTATCCTAATCAGGAAGATGGAATGGACGGAAATGAGGCGACCACTGACGCCCCGGCGAATTATCTGAGCAACATTCTGATCTCGAATCAAGAGCTCCGGCGGGAAAAATAGCACAATCGTCATTTTCTACTTTTCTGTTTCTTTCCCACCTGAAAAAGAAGTCGTGTGACCGAAAGGACGCCGAACCAAAGGGCGGCTCGGCAGGCGTATCTGATCCTAGAACTCACGTACTGGGGAGTGGGGACGAAAAGTGGCAAGCTGTCACACTCATCACCTTATCACCTCCATTCATCTTTCAGTAAAACTCCGTCTCTAAAGTGTCTGGTGGCTCGGGAGGGAGCCAGTCGTGAGCAAGGGAACGGCGCCAAGAGGGTCAACGGGGGGCATCTTGCAATGAAAACGGCTTGAAGTGCGATAGTAGGCGGAGGAAAGGAGATGATGGCGCATCTCATAAAACAGCCTCCGCAGCGCCCCCGGGACGGGTGAAATGTGACGGAAGCGACGACACGAAGAAACGGCCCATAAACATTTCGAAATGGAATGGGCAGATGGAAGGGGAGCAGAGGCTAGAGAACAGTTGTTCTGGACCAGAAGACGGAGCAGAAGAAGTAAATTTACAAATTACGAAGAAGAAGAAGGCGGCTTTTGAGGAGTAGGAGGAGCCGAATCAAATAATAGAAAAAGGAGACGACCGACTACATACACACACACAGACACGGGAAAAGAAGAAGAAGAAGACGTCGACGACTCCTCGACGCGGCGACATGATTGAATTTAGAATAGGAAGAAGAAGAAGAAGAAGAAGAAGAAGAAGAGGAGGAGAAGAAGGAGTAGTGGCGCCGGAGAAGACAAGTTGTCATGTGAGAAACGGCATGAAGATGTACACGTATGTGGAGGAAGAAGGGGCGGTACGGAGCAAGAAGCACCCAAGAAAGAAGATGTCTCTTTTTCCCAGCCCTTCCGCTTCTGCTTCTGCTTCTTCTTCTTCTTTTGGTGTGCTCGTCAAGTTGTGTGTGACAAGCACCACAAACAATGGCGGATGAATGCGGGAAAGTTTTGTGTGTGTGTGTGAGAGGAGAGCGGGCGAATGGAAGAGGACGGAAGAGGCCAGCCAGCACACGCCACACACACACACACACACACACACATGCACACCATTTCGGACGAGTTGCGAAAGAAAAGATAGGAGCGAAGAGTTGGGTTTTGCGGGTGGACTTGACTCTCTGACCACTTTCCTCATTCTCACTTTTTGGGGTTCGTCGAGAGATTTGGCGGAAGCGGTACGGTAGGAGGGAAGTTATTGCGAAAGCCCGCCACATGACGAGACGACTAGTCAGAGCCATCTGGATTGGACGCGACTCTGGTTGTTTACGTAGTGGAATTAGAGTTGAATCCGATTGAATACGACGAGGGAGAGTATTTGTATGACTGTTCTTTGAAGCATCAGAGTTCAAGAGTGGGATTAGCATTGGCTCACACGATTCACTCAAACTTCTTCAGTTGATTTCAGCATGGGAATCAGAATTGTCGGTCGCAAATTTATACTCCCACTTATTTCATTCTTCTCCTCTCTCGCGGAGCAGGCGTATCACTAATGAACTTGTTGCAGGAGACGGCGACGAGACGCGAAAGACGATGTCCTCGGCAGCAGCGACGACTCAATTCCCATCATCATCTTCGTCGGAGCCAACGGGAGCAGGAGGAGGGGGTCCACTTGTGGTAAATCGACGAAGACAAGAAGGCAACCCGGTGCTCAAGTACGTTCGAAACGTGCGCTACGAATGGGGAGACATCGGACCGGATTTCGAGTGCGGACCCTCGTTCGCCGTCGTCTATCTCAGTTTCAAGGTACGTTAAAAGAGAGAGAGAGAGAGGGACACGCGGTCGTTAGCTGTTTCTAAAATAAATGAAACTTGAAAGAAGCTGAGTCATGGAGTCTGTGCGCGAACGAATGGAAATCGTGAAGAAAACGCCGCACAAACACTTTCTCGTGTCGTTTCATTTTCCCATTTGGAAGAATCTGTGTTTGACGAAAAGATTCGCAGGGCGGAACGGCCGAGAGTGGTGTCCGACTTGCACCGAATGACTTTTGTACTCTTTCTCTTTTCACTCTCTCTCTCCCTCTCGCTCCAACCAACAACCATTTTCTCTTTTTAGTACCACAAACAACATCCGGAATACGTGTACTCGCGAATCAATGGAAAAGCGGAGAATCGGTATAGAAACAAGGTGCGTGCCGCTCTTCTGCTCCGAAACAATAGAAGCGAGCGATAATTGCCCCGCTGTCGTTTAGGTTCTTCTCGGCTATTGCAACATGGAAGAGCCGCGTCATGTGCTCCGTGAGCTGAATATGATCTGTTTCCGTGAGGAGTGGACTCTTGTCGTCGTTTATACGGTAAGGATGACGTGCGAAAACGAAAGCTGAATGTAGAGAAATCGTTTTAAATCGAAATCTCAAGAATCATCATGAGGAAGCATCAGAAATCCTTCTCACCGAAAACTCGATTTGACAGGTCGAGGAGGCGGCCGAGTACATCGAGCTATTCAAGACGACACAGAAGAAGGAAATCACGATCAAGTGAGTTTCTCGGAAAGCCAAAAATGTGGGTGGGGCTTCTATTCTGTGGGCTCGAGACGGCCGTCATTGTTTAAAAACGACGCCACGATGATGATGAGGATGGAGAAAGGAGAAAAAAGACAAATTTTTTTCACGACTGCATTTTCATTCTGCCGTCAAAAAAGGGCGGAGTCTGGTGAGGGGGCTCGCCGTCGGAAAGTGTAATTTCTTCCGGCTCCGGAGGGACGGCGAAGCGCAGAAGCAGATGATAAATGTTTTGAGAAGAGCATGAACAACGCGAAGAAGAAGTTGGAAAATGGGAGAGAAATGCCCGGAAGACAACATCTGCTCTGAATATTTTACCCAACTTTTTTTGTTCGCAGCCTCCGTCTGACGGCTCCCCTCCCGTCCCTTTTCATTTTCAACACACACACACACACATTTGCTGTCTCGGGAGCAACAGCAATTTGCGGGCAGAGGAAGCACTTTGGGATAATTTTATGGGGCGACGAGGAAAAACGTAGAAAAAGAGTAGAAGAATGGAGAAAGTTTGAGGGAAACCGGGAATGAATATAATCAAAAGATGCGCTTCTGAATACAAACTTCCAGAAAGAAGGCACTCGATGACGGAGGCGACTCTTCGATCAGCGACGAACGACGTCGGAACCGTGACGCGGCTGTGGGCTTCCTGACCGCTGCGAGAAGTATCACAAAATCTGACGCGGATCGGTAAGCGACTCAAAACAAGTGTGAAATCCGATAGCCGGCCTTGTCATTTACTCTCCTGATCATCAATCTTTTCACTTCGGATCTCTTGACTCACTGTCTAGACCACTGAAAAAAAACGAAAACAATCTAATGGCCTAGCATGCAAAACTTCGGCCGTGTGCTGTGAACTTCTCTCGGATAATCATTTTTCTCATTTCCAGACTTCTCTTCCATTTTGGGACTCTTCGGGCGATTTCGTTGGCGAAAGAGTCGGAATTATTGGAGTTTATGGGCCTCGGACCAATTAAAGCAAAGAATTTATACAACTTTCTCCATACCACAATTTCCCCCGAATGAGAACTTGTGATGAAACCCCAGTTAATGTAGTTTCTAGTTGAATTGTCACCATTTCCTCTCGAATTGTTGTCGAATAACCAAAGATCATCTCTCATTTGTCTGCCTGTATATGTCTCTCGTATTTTCCATTTTTATCAATTCCAGTTGTCGATAAAGATCAATAAGAACTGGCCATAATTCTCCTTCAGTCTGGGTTTCTTCCGCGAATTTCCTATCTTTTTTAAAAACTCAATTCAATTCATTATTACACATGCTGTTTCAGGTAACATGTCGGACGTGCCCACAGATGCTAATGCCGGATGCCCGGGAACTGGAAGCGCCGGCGCCGGAAAGGCTTCCGGGTGTGCTGGATGCCCAAATCAGGGATCGTGCGCCACCGGACAAGGACCTCCGCCAGATGCTGATGTGCCAAAAATTCAGGACAGATTCAGTAGAATCAAGCACAAAATCCTGATCCTCAGTGGAAAAGGAGGAGTCGGAAAAAGTACTCTAACTTCAAACTTGGCCCGTGCTCTGGCTGCCGATCCGTCAAAGCAAGTCGCCATTCTTGACGTCGACATCTGCGGACCCTCGCAACCGAGAATGATGGGAGTGGAGGACGAGGAAGTGCACAACAGTGCCGATGGATGGACTCCCGTCGGAATCCAGCCCAATCTGACTCTGATGAGCATCGCCTTTCTGCTCGGAGACAAGAACGATGCGGTCATCTGGCGAGGAGCTCGCAAGAACGGAATGATCAAGCAGTTTCTGAAGGACGTCGACTGGGGAGAGGTCGATTATCTGCTCATCGACACGCCACCGGGAACATCCGATGAACACATCTCGCTTGTTCAGTTCTTGCTTCAAGCAGGTCCTCTGGACGGAGCACTCATTGTGAGCACCCCGCAAGAGATCTCTCTTCTGGACGTCAGGAAGGAGGTAAAAACACTAAAAAATTAACGGAATACCCAGTTTTGTATAGGTGAGCTTCTGCATCAAGACCAAAGTTCCGATTCTTGGCGTCGTCGAGAACATGGCTCGTTTCGTGTGCCCCAACTGTGCTCACACCACTCTTCTCTTCCCGTCATCGACAGGCGGCGCTGAGAAAATGTGTGACGACTCGAATCTCGAGCTGTTAACGCAACTTCCACTGGAACCAGCTCTCGCGAAGGCCCTCGACAACGGCGAAGACTTTTTCGAGACGAATCCAGACTCGGCACTAGCTAAATCGTTCTTGGATTTGGCTGAGAAAGTCAAAGCCAAACTGATCTAATCTTTTTTGTTGAAATTCGTTGTTTGAATTTGAATGTTGTGAAAGTTTCTCTTGAATAATTCAGAAATAAAATGATGTGTTATTGCAAATGCTGAGTAGAAGACGTCACCGAAAGATTCCCATGTTCATTGATATCTGATGTTTCTGACAATTCGGAAAACGAAGCATTAGAAATGCACCGCGTGGTAATCACCGGAATGGGCGCGATCACGCCGTTCGGTGTCTCAGTGAATGCGTTGCGAAACGGTTTGAACGAAAGGAGGACGGCACTGAAATACGACGAGACACTCAGGTTCGTGGTAAGTGTGATCTATCGAACTGTTGTTGTTCTATTCGGATCTCAGGTGGGGGCAATATCCGGAGAGCAAGTGGAGAAGCGATGGACCGCCGGACAGCAGAGGGAAATGAGCAGGGCCAGTATGCTGGCGTTGGCGACTGCAGAAGAGGTGACACGGGACTAAAAAGGGAAGACTGAAACTCTTGCAGGCGTTGACGCAAGCGAACGCAGTCGATTTGGAGCACGAGGAGACGGCGGTGAACATCGGAACGTGCATGTCCGACCTGCAGCACATCGGAGAGACCGCGCAGAAAGTGGCCGAAGGACAGACTCGCAAAGTGTCTCCCTACTTCGTTCCACGCATTCTCAACAATCTGCCGGCCGGATACGTTGCCATGAAGTTCTCAAAATCCATTCAAATTTTAAATCATCGTTCTTTTGCCCCTTTGCAGATTCAAAATGCGCGGCGGCGTTGAAGCGACCTCGACGGCATGTGCCACGGGATTGCACTGCATCGGCAACGCGTTCCGTTCAATTCGCTACGGCGATGCTCGCCGAGCAGTCGCCGGAGCCGTCGAGTGTGCTCTAAATCCTATCGCGCTCGCTGGATTCGATCGGATGAGAGCGTTGGCGAGAGGAGAGAATCCGAGCGTGAGCCGGCCATTCGACAAGAAACGGGCTGGATTCGTTCTGAGCGAGGGGGCGGGAATTGTCTTCATGGAGCGGCTCGAAGACGCGAAAGCTCGTGGCGCACCGATTCTGGCGGAAGTGCTCGGGTACGGAATCTCGTCGGATTGCTATCACATCTCAACTCCGGATCCGTCCGCCATCGGGGCCGTTCTCTCGATGAAAAGAGCAATTGCTGATGCGAAATCATTAGGAGCTGAGGATATTGGGTACACCAAAGAGTATTGTATTTGGCAATGATCCGTTTCTTTCAGCTATGTCAACGCCCACGCGACTTCCACTCCGAACGGAGACAGCGTTGAGGCGGAAGCCGTCCGGAAGGTGTTCGCCGGTCTAAACGTGGCAGTGAGCAGTGTGAAGGGACACATCGGACACCTGCTCGGAGCCGCCGGATCAGTGGAAGCGATCGCGACAATCAGTTCGATGAACGACGGTTTTATGCCAGCAAATTTAAATTTGGAAGAGAGCGAAGAGGACCGCGATTTGAATCTACTGCGTGAAAACGAGAAATGGACGGTAGAGCGGAAGAGAAGAGTTTCAATCTGCAATTCGTTCGGATTCGGAGCCACCAATGCTAGTCTCATTGTCAAATCGTGTTAGACACTCTTCCTGTATTTTTAGCTATGTAAATTATTTCAATCTCCTTGTACTTTCATATGAGCACCAGAGAAACACAAAAAGAATACACATGAAATATCGCAGATGAATCACATTAGGGCCGGATGGGAAAGTCAAAAAATAATGAATTCGACTCTTAGAGAATAATGAGCAAAAATAGAAAAAAGGCCGTTTCTTAAAATGAGATAAAAATGATATCATCGTGAACTGAACTGGAGAAAGGTCAATTGTGGGAGGGTAAAAGGAAAATTCCCGATTGAAATCAGTCTCGACAAATGCGACCGGAGAGAAAGGTGAGCAAAAGTTTCCATGGCACGGTGAATGGAATGGCTTTTAAGTGACATTCTTGGTTCGCTGTGATGGATCGGTCGGAGATGGTTGACGAAGGATCGGCCAAAGAAGAGACGTGTACGTGGTCTGATGATAGTGCTCTTCTTGCTTCCACCGGAAATGTGATTCCACCGTTAGCACGGTGACTCGCGCAAGAAGCTCCAAATGCCAGAAATTCCCGGGTCTCAGTGTGCACTAGAAAACTGCGGAGACGTTCCAAACTGGGTCGCTGTAAAGACGAATCCACTCGCTACCTCTTTAGTTGGTCGGCTCCGAGATGCGTGAGAGTTTTATCGGACCGGGCGGCTATCGATGGACTGCGGATGGGTTACGGCGGGAAGGCGGAGCGGGAGCCAAAATGCGGGAAGAAATGGAGTCGGAAGGAGACTTTGTCTGATGATAGTGCTCTTCTTGCTTCCACCGGAAATGTGATTCTACCGTTAGCACGGTGACTCGCTCAAGAAGCTCCAAATGTCAGAAATTCCCGGGTCTCAGTGTGCACTAGAAAACTGCGGAGACATTCCAAACTGGGTCGCTGTAAAGACGAATCCACTCGCTACCTCTTTAGTTGGTCGGCTCCGAGATGCGTGAGAGTTTTATCGGACCGGGCGGCTATCGATGGACTGCGGATGGGTTACGGCGGGAAGGCGGAGCGGGAGCCAAAATGCGGGAAGAAATGGAGTCGGAAGGAGACTTTGTCTGATGATTGTGCTCTACCGGAGGGTGCAAAAAGGTTTTTGACCAGAGAGGCGCAGGGCATGACGGGATTTTTTTATTCTCACGTGTACGCGTTTTTTCTCGAAAATTTTGGTTTTTTCCGTTAGAAATAAGAGACAGCGAAAAGATAGACGCAATTCAAGACGAGCGAAAAAAGCGACTACTGCTCAGCTTAGCGTCCTGGAAGCAGATATATTACCTAAAAGAAAGAACGCCCGCGAGTACTATGAGAATCCAGCCGAGAGGTGCGCACTCTGAAAACGCTTTTTGCTAAAGCTCTAGGTCACGCGTGCGAAATGTTCTTTCGGATTGGAAAGTGCTATGATTACCCTAGAGTGGGACTTTTCACGTGAACCAATTGCACAGGCAAAACCGGCGTGGATAAAATCAGGCTCACCGGCGGGACGGCGAGGGTGAGCTTGGTACATCTTTCGGCATGACCAGGGCCGAAATCCCTTCCTTCTTAATTTTAAGGGACCCTTGTATCACTATATAGAAGTCAATCACCCAACCACCTCTCTTTCCAAATAGATAGGTACTATTACTGTTTATTTGGTAGAGTCTTTTCTTGCCTCTACTCTTTCCAAATAGATTTGGGTTAGGGATTGAACTCGTCCGCGTCACGGAGGATACGTGCCAGGGCTGCCTCGAGTGCCAATAACTACCTTGTACTTGTCTCCTTGTACTCGATCGTTTCATATGAGCACCAGACAAACACAGAAAAAGAATATACATGAAATATCACAGATAAATTACATTAGGGCCGGATGGGGAAGTCATTAAAAACCAAGGAGGTGACTACAACAAAAGACTCGATTGGATCGGAGAAGGAACTACTAAAAAAGGGGAGGAGCTAGAAGGGAGTACTGTATTCGGCGATGTGCTCGAAGAACTTGCGACGTTCGGAGACCGGCACGGCCATCGAACGGCGGACGTCTTCGATCAGATGTTGAGGCACATCGATCGGGTTACTGTGGAAACGCACGTCTGCAATAGTTCTTGGTTGAAATTGTTTATGTCGAATGCCATGACACTCACCATGACGACGATTTCGTTTCTTCTGTTTTTCGCGACGCGCGCGCGAGACTGTCGTACCGGCTAACACTTCGGGGTCTGAAAACGATCCGTAAAATCTTAATTTTTAGAGGATTATTTGTCACTATCGTCTGTTCACATTCAGAGCATACAACGGGAAAACGAAACGATTATTACTCGAAAAAAGCGGAAAGTTTGAAAGCCGTTACACTTTACACCCAAAACGTTTTTAGTTGTTGGTTTCTGTAAACTAAACTCAAGCATTCTCTATAATCCACAACGACGATAGTAGTACTCGAATGCAACCGAACATCGGGAAGAAAGGGAAATGAAAAGAAGGGCAGCACAGTAGCGAAAGGAGAGTTATGGAAACGACATGCGGGGGAAAAGAGAGGAACGAAAGGAAAGAGCCCGCGCAAACCGTTTTGTCTCACTCACCGTGGCATTGAAATACTACTACAGGAACCTGGAAAACGAGAGGAAATGTGGCTAACTGGCGAGTTTTCAGGGATTTCAGTATTATTATTATTATTATTATGAGTCAAGGAAAAGGGGCTCTCGATTTACCTGTCCTCGATTGGCTCAACTTCTCGTAGTTGTTCATTTTCCTCGTCAAATCGCTGATTTCTTTCGTTTTTCGGTCGATTTCCGAGCGAAGTTTCTCATTTTCAATTGAGAGTTCCCTGAAAAAGCGGAAAGCGTTTTGAAGCCAAAAAGAGAGAGAGTTAGAATGCAAAATATGGAAAGTGAGGAAATCGATGGTACTCACACACTGGCTTCTTTCTCGCTGATCAGATTGGCGAGTTGCTCGTCGAGCTGCGAGTTCTCGACGCATTTGGCCGAGTAGAGGGCGCACACGTTGATCAACTCTTCGCGCATTTCGTCGAAGATCTCGCTCTGTCGGCCGATACTGCTGCCCTCTCCGCTCTTGCTCTTCTCCGCCACGTTCTTCAGATCCTCCTCGTGCGCTCTTCTGACAGCCTCCAGAGCCAATCTCGTCGCGTGTTTCTCCTCCATCAACCTCTCCTCGTGCTCCTTTTTCACACTTTCCAGCTCGTCGTCGAACGCCTTCCTCTGCTCGTTGAGCATTTGAGAGAAGGAGGTTCTGACCGAGCTGATCGACTCGTCACTCCGAGTGCTCGCCATCACCAGTTGCTCCTGCAGCTTCTTCCGTCTTCCTTCCTCCCGTTCGGCTCTTTCCTTGAGCACTGCAAGTCTTTGCTCGCATTGCGATTTGATAGAATCCACTTCCGAAGTGTGATTCCTTCGAATTTCCCGGATCTTTTCCTCCACTTCATCCCCAGGAGTCCGTTCTCTCGGCTCTTTCTCCGGCTCTGTCATAGTCCACGAGTCAGAGAGGTATGGAATTGTCACGGCCGACGAGACTCTCTCGAAGAGATCGGTGGTCTGCCGGAGCACGTCTTCCGTCTGCTCCAAGTTCAAATCCACTGAAATACGATCGAGGATTGTGTCGAGAGAGTCGAAGAGATCACTGGCTCCAAGGAAAAGACTGGAGCGGAGCAACGAGGAAAGAGCGGAGAGCTGAGTTCGAAGGGTGGAGAGGATGGCACGTTGAAGGGTGACACTGAAATGAAACTGGTTTGTGTCCTGAACGGTTGCTGGAGGAACTCACGTCTGCGTGTTCTGAGTGATCTGTCTTCTGAGAGTATCCACTTCTTTTCGATAACGCTGAAGTTCGTCTTCGGACGACTTCAAAGTCATTCTCAACTCCTTGATCTCCTGATTCACGGCATCTCTCTTCCTTTTTGTCGAGTCATCCTTCGCTTCATCCAACTGACTTCTGAGGTTCTCCACCTAAAGAATCCTTAGTTATGACCCGCTCCGTACCCTTTCCCAGTCTCACCTGCTGCTCGAGCGATCTGAGTCTCGTCTCATCACTGCTTATCCGGCTGGCGGTTCCGATTTGTCTCTGAAACGGATCGGCAATGAGTTGGAGGTTTCGAATGACCCGCTCGAACGGATCTTCCGGCTGATTCTTCATGAATACAAGCAGGGACGGGTACGAATTTCGAGGGTAGGAAAAGAAAAGATGGGAGGAATAAGTTTTTCCCCGCTCCGTGGAAACAATGATGATGACAATTGGGTTTCGCACGACGACGGCGGGAAAGATGAGAATGCGAAACACGTGTGTGTGTGGCGGAAGCAGATGCTCTCCGAGCAAAGGCCGCAAACACATATGTACTTTTTTCTCGAGAAAACATTTTGAAAGAGCTCAAAGTTGATGAGAGAGTGTTGGTTTTAATCAAAAGAAAGTGAAGATCACCTGTATTTCCTCGCGACCCGGTTTCTCCTGAAGAGATGCGGCCGATGAGTTGGAGGCGTTTCTGGAAGTATTGTAACTTCAGCAGTCCGCTGTGGTTACTGTACTCACCTCTGCCTCATATCGCCCCTCCGTTCCTTGATTCTCGCCACTGGACTCCTTCGCACCGAAGGTGAGAGACTCTCCCCGCGTCCTCTGCCACGTGGATCCGCACTTTCGGACGTTCGGCTCCCCACTCGTCGGCTTCTTCGTCTTCTCGCTGTGTTCGTGTTGTGCTCTTCTTCTTCCAACTCCGTCGAACTGTGCTCATCCATCATCGAGTTCGAGTGATGCGATTCTGGAGCCACGTAGGCGATGTGCTTCTTCTTGACCGGAAGTCCGAGGATGTCGGAGCTGTCGGCCAGGCTGTTTGCGTCATTGGAGAAGGTTTCCGTGAATGTCGGCGACGGATGATGACGGTTTTGTTGGAGGGCAGAGACCCACGAGTCACGGATTCCGGGCGTCATTGCGGACAGCACGTAGCGGCTGCGGCGGCACTGAAAAAGAAGACGATTCGGAAGAGTTCTAATATGAAAGCGCTCACCTTAATTTCAATACCGTAATTTCTCGCGCTGGCCGACGGATAAACGTTCTCGCACTGCGACAAATCGACCGTCAGCAGTGGTTCCGTCGAATCCTCTGCCCATACATCCTTATACAGTTTCAGTTGTAATCCGGCAAGTACGACCCAATGTTTGCACCAGTCGTTGTCCGATTTGCCCCTCAACATCAGCCATCCTTTCCGCAGAGTGTGCACATTCGAGATGTCAATGTTCAGTTTCTGAGTGGGCGCCGTCGAAATGGTCGGCGTGGTGGCGGATGTGGTGGTGCTCGTGGGAGTGGGCTCTTCTCGGGACGAAGGAGAGCACGCGTTCACCGGAACATTGATGACGACGTTGGCGGTGGTCGGGAGGGCGGACGGTGAGGGAAGAGACTCATCGGAGTCCTTCTTCTCGTCGCGAACACTCCTTTGCTTGACACTCCGCACCGATCCCCTCAGCTCTTTTCCCTCAATCATTCGGTCGACTTCGAGTCGTTCGACAGGCGACGGGCACCGGGAGGAAGTGCACGAGGGCACGTCCTTCATCGTATCCTCGCTCATCGGCAACTCGCCGATCCCCCTTCTCGGCGGCCGGATCGTCACGTTCTGCGAGTTGGCGTACTTGCTCAGGTTGTTCTGCCACCAGCGGATCTCTTCGGTCGTGTCCGCTTTTATGTAGATTATCGACGGCTGTTCCTCACGTGTTTTATTAAAAGCGAGAAGAATCGAGTGGGCGTTGCCGGTGATTGCGTGGGCTTCGCAGACACGGTAACAGAGCGACATGTCTATGCTCAGTTGGGGAAGAGTGTCCATCTGAAAGCATCAAAATTAACTTCAGATAATTTCAGACCAAATACTTACACTGTTGTCAATCGCATATGTCAAATCGCCGGAATCGAATAAAGTGAACCATCTGCGTTGCCATCTCTGAAACTCTTTGCTCAACTCAACTTCTTCCCCCTCTTTTTCCTAACTGACCTTTGCCGAGTGGCTCTGCATGGAAAAGTCCAAGTTCGGCGGAGCGACATAAAGAAATCCGCACGCGGTGACTTTGCGATTCATCTGAAACATGAAGCGATATTAGCGAGATGCGAAGTACAATGTTTTGGTCATTCCTCCTCCCTCACACGCAAGTGTTTTCGGGAATCATCCAGATGAAAAGAGATGTGAGCGAGCGAAGGAGAGGGGAAGCCGTGCGAGGAGAGACCGAAGGGGAACTAGTTCTTCGTTCGGCCCGTCCACCATCATCGTTTTATTATTATATATCAAAGAGAGAGACCGATTGGAAATGGAAGGAAAAGGGAAGCGCATCGAGGGCCCGGCAACTGTTATTATACGGATATGCCCGCCGTCCCCCCCTTCACATCGTACAAAGATTATGAGGAGGAAGATGATGATGATGATGATGGATTGGAGGGCTTAATTGCAGAAATCTGTGATATAGTTTACTTTGGAAGAAGAAGGGGGAATAGTACTAATCTCGGGCTCAAGACGAGACGCTTAGAAAGGGTCAATCAAGAGTACGGTAGTTTGATGGAAAGCTCACTAGAGAGAAGGAACTCGCTCTCAGTCTGCGAAACTTTTTAATGAGCAAATAGTGTTTAATTAATGGTGGGTTAATGTTTGCCAAGAGGATTAACTTGAAAAATGAGCATTCGAAACGAAAGTTGAGCAAGACGAAGTTCTGTCGGAGGGATCAGCGATGTTTCGGCGGCGAATTCAAGCTTTTTCAGTGAAACGGAAGGAAACGCTTTAAAATACTCTGAAACGCCCGAAATTTTATTCAAAACTGATCTTTTTTTGTTCGACTGCATTTAAATTAGAGGTTCCCTTCCAAATAATACATTCAAACAGAAATGGCGGAAAAGCTACATTAACACAGCAAAATTCTGATAATTACGCTCTACAGCTCTCCTCCGCGTCGATTTATGCGATATTGGAAAAGTTAGTCGAGTTCTTACTCTGCGCCACTAATAGAAACGTAGAGCTTTAAAAAATCGGAAGAAAAGTGAAATTCAACAGGTTTCTAAATCCTGGCTGAAGAAATAATTGGGAAAATTTCCAAAAATTGAGTTTCTGATGAGCGCGAGTAGTACGGTAGTTATTAAAGGCGCAGAATCAATAATGAGAAAATTATGAGAGGATGTCGAGAAGAAAGCGATCCGCACTGAGTCACAGCGTGGACGTTTATCATTAAAGCGCACTTGCAGCGGAGCATTATTCTATCCGGAGCATTATTCCAATGTACTTTCGGCTTTCTCTCTTTTCTCTTTTGCATAGTCAAAACAAACATGAGCTGGACGAGAATCGAATTCCAACAAACAAACAAACAGATCGGTTCTCTCTCTCTTTCTTTCGAAACTATCCATTCTTCGTGGCGACCGGCTACCGGACCGGCGGCACAAAAATTCAGAATGGAATAGGATTACTCTTCTTCTTTTTCTTTTCCTTCTTCTTCCGTCTTTTTTGTGTTCGATGACAACACAGAAAACACAGAAAACAATAATAAAGCTGGCGGGACGAGAAGAAGAAAAGAGAACGAAAAAGCCACGTCGTCTCGTTTTCGACAATTATCGCCCACAGTTCGAAGAAACCACAAAAGCGTTTAGGGACGAGACGAGAAGAAGCAGGGATCGGTCCTACTCATTACCTATTTGGAAACGGATGGAAAATGAAGAAGCGCAGAGAAATTAGTGAAAAGTAGGCGGATGGATGCGAATGGAAGACCGGGCGAAGAGGAAGGGTAATGTCGAAAACAAGAGAAATGAGTTAGAAAGCAGGTCATTGCGAGGAAAGTGAACACAGCGCCCCGGGGGGACATTCGCACGAGATCATCAGCCGCATGTTCGCGAACCACGCACACGCAATCATTGATAACGGAGAAGAAGCGAAGCGGTGTGGTTGGAAGCGAAAGGAAATCATAATTGACAGAAGAGGACGGGAATCGGAGGATCGCCAATCTCTGGTGATTGCGCTCTTAATTAATTCATTCACACTGTGATTTCACAGAAATTGCGAAATGACACACTGGAGCCCGTAGAACTTGAAATTAGCGGTTCAAGAGTATTCACTCAATTTAACCGAACGTCTAAAAAATGCTGGTTAGAGGTTTGAAACTCTGCGAAAAAGAAGACGAACTTTCTGGGAAACTCTTTCTTTCTGCCTGACTCTCGACGTGCGCATCCTTGAAAAAGTCAAGAACGCGAGACGTCTCTTCTCTTCCTTCTCACTCTTTTGAATGTCAAAAACCGCTACTTGTTGAAGTGTTCGAAATTGAAGCCAATTAATCGGGTCACAGAGACATCAAAAAAGAAGTGACTGAAGAAGAAGAGAAGGAAGAAGACGAAAAAGGAATAGAGTACGGCTGCTGAATAAATAAACAACAAGGATGGAAAATGGAGACGGAATCAATGCTTTCTGGGTGTCCCAACGACCGAAAGTGCGCAGTTTTATGGTGGAAGCAGTGAATGAGCGAGAGAGTGTGCGAGACGGAGAGAGCCGACGAGAGAAGCAGAGCATAATTGCTCGGATGGATGCGGACGCGACGGCAGAAAAACACGTGGAAAGGGGAACGAAAAAGGGATAAGGAGGTGATGGGAAATGGGCCGAGGTGTGATGCGAGAGGGAGAAGGAGAAGGAGAGAGAGAGAGAGAGAAAGAGAGAGAGAGAGAAAGAGGACTATTCAAGTGGAACCGCCGATTCTCGTGGATCGGCATGTATTAACAGTACTCAACTTGCAAATTTAGGTTCCGAGCAGAACACATTTTGTTGAAAATCGAGTCTTAATGAATTTTTTGTGAAAATCACTCAATGAGCGTGAATAAGAACGGCGGTTCGTCAAAAAATGAGTAAAAATGGAAGAGCGACTGTAATTGAAGCAGTTCGGCGAGAACGTTCAAAAAGGATGATGTCACCCGATTCGCACACGTCTCCAATTGTTTTCCAAACAGAACTTCTCGCCATTTCATTCTAAATTTAGACTTTTAATGGGAAATTCGAGACAACGAAAATACTTTTGAATGGGGGAAATCGGAAAGTTGCCAAAAAAGGCAATGTTATCAATGCGAGAAGGAGACGAAAGAGAGAGAGAGAGAGCGAGAGTGGAAACGACAATGTTTGTGTGTCCTTTTCAGACCCTCTCTCTCTCTCTCTTTTGATGACTGACTACAGAAACGGTACATTTCTCTTCGAATCTCACAACAAACGGGAATGGTCGGACAGGATGCAAAAAAACATGGGTCTCGCCACGAAAACAGCACAAAAACTACTGTAATTCTGTGGAATATTCACGTACCTTTGCGTTTTCGATCGACTCGGACGAGTGATTCTGTTTGGATTTGTAGCAATTTTTGCATTTTCCATTGTTGAAAATGTTCGCCTCGAACCGTTTGCAATCGTTCATTCTTTTCTAGATTGTCATGGATGTAGGTCTGAAAAATGGGCAAAAGTTTAGCTGAAAAGGTGCGAGAAAGAGGGGCTCGGTAAGAAAAATGCGAGAGGAAAGTGGCAAAGATTGGTCATTTGTGACCGAAATGTTTTCAACTTTCAAGTCGAACCTTCAAAGTTTACACTAAAAAAACCAGCCGAGAAAGTGTATGACCACCGCAATTTAGTGCGTCCCGCCCGTTTTCCACGAGCCGTTTCGCTTGGCGGACACAGATTTATGAGCCGCCCGAATGACCAGGTGCCCGAGAATATGTACGACGGAAGTCACTCGGAAGGGCCCATAGCTCGAGAAGTTCAAGTTTTGGAGTGAAATGGTCAACTGCAAAGTTGTTGAGCACAACATTTCCCACAACTTTCCAGTTTATCACTTTTTGAAAAAACTCTTGGTTATCGAGAAAACTATCACTTTTTTGTGATGGTCACTAGGTCAAATCACCGGAAACCCCGGGGTGTCCTTATCAGTTGCAAAAACTTCAGCTGCTGCAATAATTTTTCGCACTGATAAGCTCGAAATTATTACTATTTACATAGCAAAAACTTTGAAGAAGGGACGCCGTCAAAGTAATGAGAAGGAAACACGGCAATTTAAACGGTTCTCGAGAAAAGGAAGTGATAAAGTAAAGAGAAGAAAAAAGGGAAGAGATGTGACTTCTTTTCGATTCAAACTGTATCGGGAAACGGAAGAAGAAGAAGAAGAAGAAGAAGAAGAAAAAGAGCGAAAAAGAACGTGTGTGTGTGTGTGTGTGCCTTTATGAGGAAAAAACGACGAAGGGGAGGGAGACCCGAAACAATTAAAGATAGTGATAAGAGAGACGCAGGGGTCCAGCGGAAGACGTTCGATCGGGAGGGCACTCTTGAGGCGGCGGGAGAGAAAAGTGCACGGGATGGGGGCGAAAGAGAGAGAGAGAAAGAGAGAGAGAGAGAGAGAGAGAGAGAGAGAGAGAGAGAGAGAGAGAGAGAGGGACCAGTTGCTCTGATTAGGGGGAGGGCGGTTTGTTTTGAGTTGAGTTGAGCAGGGCGCCGTGTGGATGGGCTCAAAGATTCATAATATCGACAAAACTTTCATCGTTCCATTCACGGTGTTTGCCACTCGGCCATCAGCGCAAACTTTTGCGTGGTCGGCGCTGCTGGGTGCTGCCAAAGGCTAGATGCGTATTCGGAAAAACTCCCCAACTTTGAGAGCAATCGGTTCACTGAGCGTCTGGCTAACGGTTCCACACGCTCACACTCGGAGAGAAAAACTCGGATATTATGAAACTTGCGAAGCGATTCGCAAGCAATTTAATCACGGAACTATGTAGATGAAAAACAACAATGAGTCACAATCAGGAATGGGTAATTTGAGAGCGAAAAGGTTCGGGGGTAATTGAGGGGAAAAGGGCAAGCGAATCGGATAAGAATTGGGGTTTATGAGGAAATGAAGTAGAAATGGGGGATCGCTTCAGAATTTCACGTTGAAACCAGTACGAAAAACAGTGTGGCGTGCACCCGAAACCGGCAGATCAACACAGGACTATTCGGCGGCGGGATATTGTCCGTGTGTGTGTGTCGGCGGTTGTTTTATGGCCGCACACACACAATACTGCTGATAAATTATGTATGTTTGGGACGGACGGTTTCGAAAAAGCACGACGCCCCCACACATGCGAATATAATTATAGGCCTTCCTTTCTCTCTCTCTCTCTCTCTCCCGCTTCTTCTTCTTCTTCTTCATCTTTCTTGTTCTCGCTCTCTACAGTAGTTTTAACAAGTGAGAAACGAGAAAAAGATATGGGAAAGCGAGAAGGATCCGGAAGGGACGGATAACAAACAAGTTATGAACGAACGTCGTTGAGGAGAGAGAGAGAGAGAGAGAGAGAAAGAGAGAGAGAGAGAGAGAGAGAAGGGTTGACCCCTCGGAAGAAGAAGATAACATCTGTGGAAAAGAAGAACGGGAAGATACCTGGCGGACGGTGTAACTGGGCAAATGACATCGTTGGCACTCTTCATCAACTTTAAGGAAACTTAACGGGGACCTTGAACTATTGGACCTGGGACCCAGTTGATTGTACCTTTCCAAACTTTTGAGACTTCTTGAACTTGGATTTTTGCAAACAGTATTTTTAAACTCAAGCTTGGCCAATTAGTACCATCCCTCTATGGTTTCGAAAGTCTGTTTTCAAACGGTATCTCTACTATTTTCAACTAAAGAAACAAATAGAAACAGAAATGTCCTCAGATATAGAAAAAGAATGCCACACTTGTTGGGAACGTCTCCAGGGAGCAACTCTCGAATGTTTCTTGTGCAGAAAGCACTTGAACCCGATCGAGTTGGAGCAATTTTATAGGCGGAAAAACAACGAATGCACGGAGTGATTGCAAATATACGAAATGCGATACTTTTGCGTATTCACTTGTGAAAATGAAAAATGTCGGGAAGACACTGCGCCTGGACTCTGACATATGCGCTCTACGGAACCATGCTCTCTGGTATTTTAATGTGAATCCATGTGAATACAAGCTCAAAAGGGAAAATGAAAAGTCATGATGTTCGCTTTTCTATATCGTTTCTTGTTCTAATCGAGGCACGCAATCTGAACGGCCGAAAACGAATCAAGATAGGAAACATTTGGAAAGTGAGATACTCAGTTGTTTCTACAGTCGTCGTGACGTGGTGGCACACACATGAGCTCTGAGGCTTGAGCTTCGGTGGGGCTCGGAATGCAAACAAAAAGGGGTGGTGGTGGTGGTGATAAGGAAAGAGGCAGATTTGAAGTCTTTGTGTACGTACGAATAGTACAGAACCGGGCGGATATTAGACGGATTTGCGAGAATTGCGTGCGATGATATGGCCTGAGAAAGACATGTTGACAAACAATACGGAAGAAGAAGAAGAAGAAGAAGGGGAAGAAGAAGGGGAAAAACTCTCGGAAGAGACCTTGGAAGTACATGTTGTTGTTGTTGCGATGCGGATAGAACGACGATATAAATGTACAATTTATTCATAATACCCTCTCGCGTATTACCACTCTTCAAAAGGTGTGCGTGTGAGTCATGAACCGAGAAGGGTCTCCTCAACTTGTGCTATTGTCAATGCGCTTGTTTGATGTGTTATAAGCTGATGAATACGGTCTACAGTAATCTTTTTGAATTGAATTGAATGTATTTAGGTGCGGACAAAGACGGAAGGGTTACGGTGGAAAGTGAATCTGTTGAAAACATGAGAATGACAAAGAAAATGCAGATTCGGGTGAGAATGTATTCAAGAGTCATGGATTACACAAGATTATGATGTTTCCGGTCTCCCTTTCTTCTCTATTTTTAGCTCAAAAATGTACAAGTGACAAGGCGGCACGGTCTAATTAGCAAAGAAAAGGCTTCCGCGCCGGCTCCGCGCGGAAACAGAGCAATACACACGAAGAAGAGGAAAAAGAAGAAGAAAAAGAAGAAGGAGAAGAAGAAGCTTGTCTTTCCGCTCGTCAACACTGTTTTTTTTTTGTGCGGCACGGCGAAAACGAAAACGAAGAAACGTCATGGCGGCGGCGGGACCGGGAGTGCGCAAAGCATCAGAGGATGAGGGGGAGGAGGAGGAGAAGGAGTAGTGTCTTTGAAATGTTTGACAAGGATACTGGTTGCATGAAGTATGTACTTGAGGAGATCGCGGACGAAGAAAACGACGGGACTGTGGACACGAAAAGCAGGGAAAGCATGGAAGAAATTGTTCTTTCTGGACAGATTCAGAGCTCAAAGTGAAGTGGGTTCTGTGAAGAAGTTAGAAAATCGCGCGATTTGCGAGATTCCAAGAGGTCCGCGAAAGAGTTTACGTTTGCGGAATGCGGAAGTTTCAGAGTAACTGAAACTTGGATGCAATACAAAAGATCCAACAAGTCTACAAAGTCGGTCAAAATTACAGGCCTCGACAGACCTTCAAAAGTCAAAAGTTTCCGCAAGATATTTGCAAGGTCAAAGTTTCCGCAAGATATTTGCAAGAATGAAAACTAATTGAAAAGTTAAAAAAAAAGAACGTATGAAATAGTGCAAATATCCAAAAGTGCAGTGCTCTCATAATTATGCTCTTCGCCCCTCCTCCGCCACCCTTTTGCCCATTGTTTCTCTCTCGAATGTTTACCAAAATGTGTCACAGAGGATACAATTTGTCAATGGAATTCTAAATAATTAGAAGCAGAGTCTTATGAAAAGTGACGTGGCACCGAACAAACATCAACACGGGAACACGAGAACGGGCGAAAACTTTGGTGGTCGGGAGTTGGAGTGATTGATTAACGATTTACAATTGAATACAATTTCCCGAGCGGAGTTTTCAAACGAAATGCATGATGGGACGGGGCGGAAATCGTGATAACGTGGCCAAACAGACTGCTAATGGTGACAGATAATCAGTGGGAAACACAAACCGAACGGGAACGGGCCGGGAGGACCGCCCGACCCGCCTGGCTGTACAGATGGCTCTTTCCGTCCGTCTGCCGCGCGGACACTCTCCCCGTTCCGCACGCTCTCCGCCCGCCCGCCCGCCTGTTTGTGCCGTGTCTATTATGTTTGAACTCTTTGGCTGCAACCTCCCATTGAGAGCAAAAGCAAAAGCAAGTGGAAGAGAGAGAGAGAGAGAACGAGCCGAAAGCTGCTCCAAATAAACAGGAAGTAGAGGGTACAAAGATAGAGAAGGGGGGATACTGTTTCACATCGAATGACGAACCTACTTGCACTTCTGAGGTCATGGTTTGTTGGTGGTCACAGGCAGAGGTACTGTACGTACGAATGCGAACATTTGACCTCGAAAGAATAGTGAGAGAGAGAGAGAGAGAGAGAGAGAGAGAGCAAACAGGGTACTAGAAGAAATTGCACAACACCGGAATAATTACGCAAATGCATTGGGTAAGAAAGTCGCCTTGAACCCAAGTATCTTTGGATCTTTGGATACAATTTACAGAGCCCAAACAAGTCGTTTGTGAGTAAAAAAGCACACCCTCAAAGTTCAGGTTTCAGGTTTCAAAAAAAAGGTGCCAACCCGAACAGTATCGATTTTGCCAATAATTGGCTCATTATATGCTCATGGAAAGAGAAAAAAACAGCGAGACCTGTTCATTTATAGCGAGACATAATCGAGTTCAATTACTGCGAGTTGCCGGACGACTTGTTCTTCGATTTGCTGCGCTCTGAAACCACAATTCTAGACCCAAAAAGTACCCGTTCCAACAAACTCTTCTTCTTCTTGCTCGCCTTCGACGGAATGCTCTGAGCTGTGGAGACTCCCGATTCGGGAGCGTCCGTCGGGATCTCGTTGGCCGTTTTCACGTCCGATTCGGGCGCCGTCCCCTGTTCCGCCTCCTTCGCCGTCTTGACTCCGCTCTCCGGCTGATCGTCCGTCGCCTCGGCGGCCGTCTTCACGTCGCCTTCGGGAGTGTCTCCTCCGGCCGGCGACGGAATCGACTGGGCAGTCGCGACGCTCGATTCGGGGGTGTCGTTGCGCAGTTCTGTGGCCGTCTTCACTCCTTGCTCGGGCTCACTTGGAGCAGCCGGAGAAGCCGTGATGGAGCCCTTCGAGCCCTTGCTCTTCTTCTTGTTCTTCTTCGATTTCTTGTTGGATTCTGCAAAATATGTTCTAGGGGCTCTCCCTTTCTCACTCGAAACTCACTTTTGGTATCCTTCGACTTCGACTTCTTCTTCTTCTTTTTCTTAGACTTTTCGTTAGTCGGAGGAGCCGAAGCAGCGGAATCCGAGGTAGAAGCAGTCGGAGCAGAATCCGCGGGAGCAGCCGTCTGATCCGGAGGAGCCAGGTAAGTAGAAGCCGGCCCGCCTGGCTGTGGGGCCTGCGCTCCTTCGTTGGTCTTCGGAGCCAGCATCATAGAATCCGCAGGAGCACCGGCAGGAGCCGCTCCCTGATCTGCACCGACAGTCGGAGCCAGACTCAGGGACTGGCCGCCGATTTCTCCGGGACCGTTGTCCTTGGGGGCCAGCATCACAGAGTTTCCGCCGATCGGTCTCTGTTCGACGGGAGGAGCCACTGGTTGCTCGGGGACGGGCGCCTGGACGGGTTGCTGGATTTCGGGCTGTTCTTGTGGGACCGGTTTAGCTTGGACGGGCGGCTGGGGACCGGGCTGCTCGGTGACGACTGCCGGCGGCTGCTGCTCCTTCGTTGGAGATTGCCTCTTGCGACTCGAAGTCGACGAACGCGCACTTTTCGGAGCACTCACGTCATTTTTCTTCGCTCCACTCTCAAATTCCCGTTTGTCACACGTTTCTGAAGATGGACTCTCGCTCACTTGGAAGTAAAAGTAGGCGATGGCGGCGACGATGGCCAGGAAGACGTACACTAACATGGTGTGTCGGCTGACTTTCCGTTGATTCGCAATCAATCAACGCCACGTGTCGGAACTCGAATCGAAGAAGATGGGAGAGAACGATTGGTTTCTTCGGTGGGAAGAGTTGAAACTGAATCTCGGAGCAGTGCGGGATCGGCGGAACGGAGAGCGAAATGGAGCAGGACGAGTTCACGTTTCTTGGGTTTCGTTCGAAAAAAAACTAGAATATTGTCCAATCGGGTCTTTTTAGGCAGAGATCTCGGGGAACCTGGGCACTTTGCATCGTTTTCCATGGGGAAGTGGTAATGCTTCCGGTCTTTCTATAATAAGAGGTTACCTGTCATCCATACTGTACTGTGTGATCGTTCTGAACATACTCAAACTTTAACGCATGAGTCCCACGTGCTTCCGTCTTCCAAAAGTTCTCTGGCAACATTCCTTCCTTTTTTTTCCTTCTTTTCCTCCCCTGATCCCCATTTCATTAATCACTGGCCCCTCTCGCCCGATATCCCCTCCGATTCTCTCTCTCTCGACCGGTTCCTTCATCTCCCTTCCGCCCCCACCAATATCAGCTGTTTGTTGGCTGCTCGCTCCGCCTCCTTGTGCCAGTCTTTCTCTTTTCTTCTTCCTCGGAAACTTGCCAGCCAGTCCCTTCCCCGCGTCCCGCCGACTGACGACAACATGAGCGTTTTCGATCGCGTGAGTTTTGAAAAAGATATTATTTTGTTGTTGTTGTTTCGAGTGAAACTCACTCAGAGAACTAATTGTTCTCGGCTTCAGGTGAAAGCTCAAGTAGCATCAGAGGCCAAATGGTCGACGAGTCCGTACAAGGGATTCGTGGCCGGAAGCCCCTCGAACACCTACGCCGACATTGTCTCAACCGCGTTCGTTTCACATTTTCCTGAACATGTGAAAGTATGCGTTCACTTTCAGATTCGAAGACGCGACAAACACGATGAACTTTGCGCGTCACTCGAAATACGACGAAATGTACTCTCCGTACCTCGGCTCTTTCCGCGAACGACACAATTACACTTCGATAGCGCCCAGCTTGTGCATCAACAGACCGTCCGTTCGCTCCCACTCTCGCTTCCTCTTTTTTCTTTTAACTTCATCGACTTCAGAAATCGATCCGTCGACTACGATCTGGCGCCACACAAGGCCTACAATCCACGACAGTCCGAGTGGCTTCTTGAGAAAGACAAGAAGTACAGGTAAGTTCGGAGAATTCTAGAAAGCGTCTATATCATTCGTTTCAGAGTCCGTGGCTCTCGTAACATCATCCACTCGAATAGCTCCGTCGAGCCCAACTTGCCTCCATTGAGCCGTCGGACCTACACCGTCCCGACCGATACCATGCGGTGAGCGGATCAGTTCGCTAGAGCGCACTTCCAACCTCTTTTGCAGCCACCAGAACCAGTTGCTCTACTGGAACGGCCGTGCTCTCGGGCTCGAGTACGTGGCTCCGTTCCTTCGTCGCGAGGATCATTCGCGCTACGAGGACCGTCGCTACCAGCGCATCTTCTGGTCTCCGCACTTCATCGACCTTTTGCCTTCGTGCCGTCACTCGGCTCATCTGATGCTCTCCGCCTATTAAATCACTTCCAGATGGTGTTTCGTGCTTTCCGCTTTTTCCGTGTCTTGGGTGTAACAATTGCTAAACTGCCTGCCTAATAAAACGACTCGAAACTGACAAGGAACGTGCCCGATCTGCGACATGGGGTTTGAGTCGGCACAAGGCAGAATGAAAGGCTCCAACGAGTGCATAAACCGAATAGCGGGTTTGAGAAAGTATTACACGTTTTAGGGGAGGAAAGTGGGGAAGGAAGAGATCATTTGATTCGATTGGAATCCTTTTAACAAGATTGAATCATGTGGGCTGCAAACTGGAAATAATATAAAAGACAGTTTCCACCGGACGGCCATTCATTCTGCTGCTCCGAGCGCCTCCGAGTCATGAAGATTTTCTCAGTTCTGTTATGTTCTCTACTCATTCTAGGAGAAGTCAGTTCGTTTCCTTCTCCACTTCGGACCAAAGCTACAGTAGGTCATTCATTCTCTTAGTCTGTGTTTTTCTCAAAAAACAACTTTTAGCCAAACCCTCGTCTCGAAGCTCTCTTCTCTCGTCACTTGCAGGATCCGATTCCAAAGTCCCAGGTAAGTTACCGTGAATACTGTGATAGAAGAGCATTCCGATATTGTTCATTCAAAGCGATGTATCTCAGCTGTTTGTAAAGATATCAGAAAGTTCTCAACTGATAAACTGTGAACAATGTCTTTCTAAGCAATTTATTAGTTGACAACTTTTTCATATCTCTACCGGCAGCTGACATATATAATTCTAAATGAACGGCAACTATGAGGACGTGTTCCCAAAGTGAGGATCAGCGGCATTTCATTTTTATCCTCTTTTCAGATACTTCCAGAAATTCGAGCTTCCAGAACTGCAACAGACTTTTTCGGGGTGAGTCTGTTCTGTACATCCATCCCTCAACCACTCTATTTCCTTCCAGAACTGTAGTCCCAATTACATTTTGTGTCCGCGGGACTCTGTGTGCATTCGCTCAATGTACGTTTGCGACGGATTCGAAGACTGTCCGAGCGGTTCGGACGAGAGATATTGTGGAGGGAACGAGGAGGAGAGACGGACGGCGATGGCGGCGAAGCAAGAGTTCAGAGCCATCATGGAGAGGAGCGCCGCCCGTTATTTGAACGGCCCGATGGAGGCCGACAGAGCGTACGTCGTCCTCAACTTGTCCATTTTCGTAGTCGTCGTTCTTTGCCTGTTCACTTCGTGTACCACCTTCTGTGCCATCCAGGTGTGCAAACGTCGTTCTTCTTCTTTGAAGTCTTACCAATGAATATATAACTCAAAATTCAACATTTACTCTACGAGCGAGAGAAAAGGGAACGGGAAATATACAGCTTGGTTCATACTAAACCGGGATGAGGGGAGGAGAAATGGGCTTAAGAGGTTGGGACGAGTTTGAGTCGAGATTTCGAAGGAAAACACGGAAAAGTTACACAAGATTCTGAATCTCGGAAAGGGTTCAGAGACGAACAGAATGAATACCCATAGGATGGCGACAGAGAAGAAGAAAAGGTCATGAAATGGGGTGAAACAGAAAACTATGCTAGTTTTTGAAGAAGTAGCACAAATACACAATATACAACAAAACTACATAAGCAGTATATCGAATAGAAGACGACTACAAGGGAGCAGCAGACTGGATTAGAAAAGAGAAACGAAAATCCTAAAGAGAAAGAGAAAGGAAGCAGTTATTCGGTGATTCCTTTGGCTCTCAAGTCAGCAGCCTTGTCCGATGCCAAGTACTTCTTACGGTACGTTTCGATCATTTTGGCCTTCTGCGTTTCGAAGTACGAGAGCTCTTCGTCGTCGTCTGAACTTCGCCGCGTCCACGTCCTCTGACGACTGTCTTCTTGCTCTTGGACCATCTCCACGGGCTCCTCAAATTCTATATCGTTTTCGCTCTGAAATTGGCTCGGCTCTTGTGAATTCCTACTCAAAATGAGGAGCCAATTCGTTTTCTAATTAGTTTCAAAACTTTTTCACAAACCTCTTCATCCATTTCTTCTTCCAACCCGATTCCGGGGATGAATTGCGACGCGTTCAGTCCGAAGCGTCCCTCGAGAATGTTCTCGATTGTAGACTGAGCCGATCCGGACTGCCTCAGATCCGCGAGGATAGTGTCCGTCGACATCTGCGGGAACATCTCCCTCACCTGCTCCAACATCGTCTGCAACTGCTCTTCCGTCGGCTCGACAACTCTTCCGAACAGTGGCCCGAGGCCCGTGTTTATTTCGATGGTGAACGTGGGAAGGCTGAGGAATGCGAATTGCTGACCGCCGAATCGGTACGTCGTGTTGCTGACGTTGTTGTTCGCGACTTGGTTGGCCGCCTGTTGAATCTCGTCCTGCGGGGATGGGATGGAGCATCGGCAAATGGGGCACGAGGAGTCCTGGGCGAGCCACCACATCAGACACCAGTCGTGGAAGTGATGGCTGCACGGTAGACGGCGGGAAGTGCCGAGCAGTTCCCAGCAGACCGCGCATTTGTCGTCACTGTTCGCACACTTGACGCTCGGGTAGGCGGTCTCGATGTGCTCGAATATCTTTTTGTGATTGCGATGACGGCTCAGCTGCTCCGTCATGCAGTTGTAGGTCAGTTTGATGTGGTAAAGGAAGAATATGCTCGTGAGATTGATGCCCGGCGCGACGATGAGCAGTTGAGCGTAGCTGAGCATTTGAATGGATTCGCAGACGAAGTTGGTGACGAGCTCGAGCCAATAGTTGAAGTGGCGCACCGAGTCGGGGTTGAACGAGAAGACGCGCGACGAGGAAATGCACCAGAACATGATGTAGGTCGAGCGAAACAATGCAAGCAGGCACTGAAATATAAAAATAGGAAAGAATGTGGTGGAGGAAAGCTGACATCGAAGTAAAGAAGGACGGCTTGCTGCCACGTCAGATGGTGCTGGAAACGGGAGACCAAGAAGGACATGGCGATGGAGACGAAGAACAGGAAGAGTGACAGGAACGACATCTTCTGGCTTCCACGGTCACATGACGGCGAAATCTGGAAAAGAGAGGCTGATTACGGTGATGTTGAGCACGGGGACCAACATATTTGAGTCGTTGACACGTGACGAATTGCAAATGGGACTGAAATCCGCAGATTCCGGCCCAAATCATCCACGGTACCACCCGATGCCCTCCTTTCTGCGGTCCTGTCACGACTGACAAGTATACTATTCTAAAATAACTTTCTTTACTACGTAACTAGGTAAGTAAGTAGTAAGGGAAACTGTCGAAACTCGCTTACGTTAGCAGAAAAAAAGAGAAAAACGACTGGCGGGCGACGTTATCCTCTTGTCGAGTAAGCTCCTTGAAGGTTAATTTGATTATTAGTTTTGTGCACACGGCAAGTATTGCAAAGTACGAGTTTATAGCCACCTGAAATCATAATACAGAATTCACAAAACTCTTTTTTCAGTTCTTACCCAGATTAGTGTCGAGTCGGATAAGATGTAGTGGGCGATTTGGAAGAAGGTCTGGCTGGACAGAGCTTCGATGTTGAGTCCGTAGGCCGTCGAAAGCCGCGTGTTGTTGCGAATCTCCTCCTCGAGAAGTTTTTGAAGCTCGGGCTGCGATCGGAACGTCGTGAAGACGGTCACTGCGGAGACGAAGGCGATGAGCAGCGAGAGGGCGAGGTACGATTCGACGGTCGGAAACGACGAACGAGAGATCATATTCACGATTCCCAGGGGCGATGGGTGTTGACGACGAGCGTCCGGGTTGCCCGTGTTCATCGTTTCTGGAAGTCGAACAAGTTAAAAGGGTTTGGCAGAGAACGGAGCGAGAGAGAAAGTAAAGGAGTACTATTCAATTCCGAAAGCCAAAATAACGTTATTGGTAATCCAAGATTCCATCTTCTCAATCTTCTAAATCTCATCGTGCTCGTCCGGAAATCTATTCGCTTTCCAATCTCTTTTTGCGATATGTACTTCCGATCGGATTATACAAATCGCACAGGGCTTCCTTCAGTGACGTAAGGTGCCAATAGAATGAAAAAGAGAAGGGAGCGTGCGAGAATCGCATCGTAAAAGCAAGATGGGAGAAGGAAGGAATTGACCTTCAGTTGATACTCCAAAGGTTTCAAAGAAAGAAGGGAAATGGAAAGAACTGTGGAGGACTGTGAAGAGGTGAACGGATGTTTACTTTCGACTAAGCGAACGATTAGCCCAGATTTCCGTTCTAGACGGAAAAGGAACTTTGAAAACCGATCAGAGAAAACTTGTTGGAAAAGCTTGGGACAAAAGTAAAAATACGTCTTCATTCTTTGTAGTTAGAATTAGAAAAACAAAACTGGAATTGACGTCACGTTGTGGACGCTTCTGACCTTTCTGATTTTCTTTTGTGTCGAGACTCCAAATAACGCCTAATCGGAAGGGTAAGCAGAGGAAAGGAGTGACCAGAACAACTCATAACGGACGGAGCAACAGACGTTCCGGAGATCCGAAGTGAAGGAATTCCGAGGAGCTTCAACAGCTCATCTCTGATATGTCTGCCACTCTCCACTCTCTCGCTCCTTCTCCTGCCCCGAGACTATTGATTTTGAAGAGAGATACGCACGCACCCAGAGAGAAAAAGAAGGGTGCGAGTGGGGGCGAATGAGAAGAGAAGCGACACTCACGGGAGAGGCGGAAGCAACCCGAGCGGCGAGTTGCTACTGGTTCCCAACTTGTCTCCTCTCTCAACTTTTTCTCAATTTTTTAGATAGACCGCCGAAAGATTAAGACAAATTTCGCGAGTGTCGCAGGTTGCCGCGCGTTTTTTTTTGTTTCGTACTTTTCTATACGAAAGGTCGCACAGTTACAGCCGATAATAATTTATGAGCGCGTCGCATGACTACCGAAAGTCTGCCTAAAAGAACGAGAACACAACACGAGCTTTTATATACTTAGAAGAGCGGAACAAAGATAACAGTTTTTTATAGTAAAAAAATCTCTTTTTTTATAGTATAGAAAGCGGTTTTATAGACTAGAAAGTGGTGCCACATGAGGAATTTTTAACGATGGGAACAGAAATGAAATGACGCAAGGGTGGCTGATAAAAATTGAACTGAATTAAGAGAAAACCGTTCGAAATTCAGAATTTGTGAGTGAAAATCTGTCAAGACGTTGCGAGACCTCTCGGAGCTCAATAAGTTTGCGCCTTTAAGTCTACCGTATTCACATTTTGAATCCAATTTTCTGGTTGAAAAAGCTGCATTGTCAACGATACTGTGAGGCCAAACAATGCAAAAAAACGTACTGTTGACTTTAAATTTGAAACTCGTGAAGCACAAAACTGTAAATTTGCACTCCGAACTCATTAAAACGGTCACAAGTCTTTTCCGAGTGCGCGCCATTCTCTTATCAATGGAGAATTTTGACCAAAATGGCCAAATGAATGAAATGAATTCAAAGAGAATAAACAAGAATTCTCAAAAATGTCAGTGTCGAAAACAGTACGGAAACTCGTTTTGTCGCATTCTCAATAGGAAAATTTCAGAAAACGCCGTGCGGTTTTTGGTTCGACCGTTCGAAACGACCACTTTTTCTGCCTTGGCGAAACCGAAAAAAATGCAGGCGTCAAGGTCAAGAAAGAGGAGCGAATCAGTTTCTAATCGGAACGAATGAGAGGGACACGAGACACGCCTTTTTTGAACAGAAAGTAAACAGTTGCGGAAAACAGTCAACTAGTGTGCCAATCGATACAGCACGTGACATCGGAAACCAATAACAAAATGAGAGGAGAGGCGCCTCGACTCAATCCGTTATCAGTTGCATATGATGGTGATAGACACTTCAGTCCACCTGTGTTTTTCATCGGCTAGTGATGTCACAATTACGTAGGTTGTAGGCATTAATCAATTGGGCCTGTTGTAGCAATTGTGACCCTAATCTGAAACGAATTAGCGATCAAGAGGTCTTCTGGTCTGGAAAGTTCATAATAATTTACAATAAATGCACTACTTGCGAATAGAACAAAACAAACATCAAATAAAATGTGCCGACTGCGAGGAAAACAGGATGGTTTGCCTTCAAACCAGTGCGTTTTATTTTCACTGATAGAGCAATCTAAAATATGTCGGAACAATATTCTACATTGAAAATTGTTTAGATGGATTCTGGGTCGGCGTCAACGGACTTGAACCAGTGTCCGCACTCGCATCTCTTTGGCTCTCCCTTGCGGATAGTCATGAAGTTGACGTGTCCGGAGTCCTGTTCGCCTGCAAAACCCCGATGTTTTCACTTTGCAAGAACTTTCTCAAAAATGAAACTCACACATGCATCCGATGATTCTGAAGTCGTAGTGAGATGGGACCAAATTTGGCTTCTGCTTGGTCGAAGCTTCAGCACGGTAGTACACCTTTGGCTCGTAACGCTGAAATTGAATTGATAAAGAATACCATTCAGTTGCTTGTCATTAGTTTCTAATCAATTTCTGGAACATTTCACTAACTCCCTCAGAAAGCTTCGACAGAGTACGTTCAGTGCCATCTTCTATTCTGAAAAGACGTATCTTTGCAGAATGAGATGGTTCACAATTAGCTAAGTAGACATCATTGGGAAGTTATTTTGTTGGCGGAAAATCTGTTCTCAAACACTCGCAAATATTTTTTCTAATTTGGACAAGGAACTCACGTCATCTCCGGCGAGACGAGCGAGGAGCATCTTCTTTTCACGTCCAGTGGCGTGCTCGAGTGGATCCGGGTAGTATCCGTAGTCTTCCGGCGAGGCTTCGGTGGCCATCGTGCGGCGAGCCACAGCGGTTGGAGCCACGAGTCTTTTGGAAAGGGCAGCAACGGCCGTCTTAGCAAGTTGAGCCATCTGTAAATGGAAAATAAAAAATAGAGTTAGAATAAGTAAGGAAAGTGTTTTTAACGCATTATCGATTTTCTAAAAAAATGTCAAAGTCAAGATTTTGCTAATTATGGCGAACGAATCAGATTAAATGGGTACTTGAAAGATTTTTCTTTTCTCAAATAATAAATCTGAATAGACTGGACCCTTGAAATCGGGGGAACAATGAAAAACGGCTTGAAAATTCACTCTTGTTTCGATTTACGGAGCCTCAGTGACGGGCGTACACTCGGCAAACACCCGACGCACTCAGCCCGACGCACAAGACGCTATTCAATGGCGTTTACCGTAGTCTTCGCTTTCAAATTTGAATTGACTCAAGGGCGCGCGCGCTCGTTTTCGGACTTTTGAGGAGAGAAAACGGACGTCGAGCGGTCGATAGCCGTCATTTTCGCCAGTTTGTTCGCATTTGTTCTCCGTTTTCTCAGACTGTTTTCGATCGTTTTGCTTGCCGTCTTGCTGCTCAAAATACGTTGAAATTCGGGAATCAAACTCGTTTGTTTCTGAATCATAATAGTATAGAAAACAGATTGCCGCGTGGATATCGATTGAAGTTGAAATATCCAGAAGAATTTCCCATCAAAAAGATTATTGGGGAGATGATCCAGGAAACGCGTTCAAAATCTCTTGCTCCAATTCATTAGTTCCCTTGCACAGAGCCCTTCATTTCTTTTATTGTATTCATCAGATATATCCATTTGCTCCGATGGGATTAGCTGCTGAGTGCTTGTCGTGACACGAATAACGTATTTCGCAATACTCTTCTCCGCCTAACCGCCGTAGGACTGGGTCGTTCTTTTCGTCCTTGGCCGTCCGGCCGAGTGTCGCTCTCCTCACTGCCTCTGTCCTGGCACTGCCCCTCTGGTCGGTCGCATCGATGTGACAGATGTGTCGAGCAAGATGCGGATTCTCGTTTTCCACCCAATTGCCTTGCCTTGTTTTACTCCCAACCAGCCCCCGGAATATCTAATTGCGTCGGGCTCCTCCCCTCTTTTGGTCCCAGGACGTCTCTATTTCTCATCCGCATCCGCCCGCCTCTTGCCTTCATTTGACATGATGAATAGCAGCCAATAGGGTGCTCTCGCTGCTGCCAGTGCGTCGTAATTGCTCTTTGTGTCCTCTTCTATAGCAGGGCGCCAGGGTTTCCGCGCTATTTAAATATTTCGCAATTCCTTCGAGACCTGGTCCCGCACACTGCCTATGTATGCATTGGATTGGTTTTATTTGCGGGCTCATAAATTTTATAGCTTCTTCTGTCGCCAATTCCTCGATGGGGTTCACTTCCTTAGTTTGTTTTCGATTTTAGCTGAATTTGATGTTCTGTTTGATTGAAACCCATTCAAACTATACAACTGCGTTGGGAATACATGCGGCGTGGAATTATAATTGGGCGGTATAGTGACCTCGTATCCGAGTCGATCCGATTGCGCAGTAATTCTTCTTGGTCGCCTGTTTGTCGCCCAGCGCCGCCGCTATTGCTGCTAATCTCTTTGTCTTCCCCGTTCTCTCCTGGTCACTCATCCGTACCTATTGTCGTCGAGGTGTTGACGCATTGAATTAATATTTTTCTATTCAGTTCGGATCATCATGCGTGAGGTCATCTCCATCCACGTCGGACAGGCCGGAGTCCAGATCGGTAATGCGTGCTGGGAGCTCTACTGCCTGGAGCACGGAATCCAGCCCGATGGAACCATGCCATCGGACCAACAGGCCGACGGAGGGTCCTTCACCACCTTCTTCTCCGACACCGGAAACGGACGTTACGTGCCGCGCTCGATCTTCGTCGATCTGGAGCCTACCGTTGTCGACGAGATCCGCACCGGAACCTACAAGCAGCTCTTCCACCCAGAGCAGATGATCACTGGCAAGGAGGACGCCGCCAACAACTACGCTCGTGGACACTACACCGTTGGAAAGGAACTCATCGACACCGTGCTCGACAGAATCCGCCGTCTCGCCGACAACTGCAGCGGACTTCAGGGATTCTTCGTGTTTCACTCGTTCGGCGGAGGAACCGGATCCGGATTTACTTCCCTGCTCATGGAGCGTCTTTCCGTTGACTACGGAAAGATGTCGAAGCTCGAGTTCTCGATCTACCCGGCCCCACAAGTGTCCACCGCCGTCGTTGAGCCGTACAACTCGATCTTGACGACCCACACCACCCTCGAGCACTCCGATTGCGCCTTTATGGTTGACAACGAGGCCATCTACGACATCTGCCGTAGAAATCTGAGTGTTGATCGTCCGAGTTACACGAACCTCAACCGCATCATCTCGCAAGTCGTCTCGTCGATCACCGCCTCCCTTCGTTTCGATGGAGCTCTCAATGTTGATCTCAACGAGTTCCAGACCAACTTGGTGCCATACCCGAGAATCCACTTCCCATTGGCTGCCTACACTCCACTCATCTCTGCCGACAAGGTACAAACTCGGTTCCGACTGCAGCCACCTCAATACCTTATTTCAGGCGTACCACGAGGCTCTTTCGGTCAGCGATATCACCAACAGCTGCTTCGAGCCGGCCAACCAGATGGTGAAGTGCGATCCGCGCCACGGAAAGTACATGGCTGTGTGCCTCCTGTACAGAGGAGACGTTGTCCCGAAGGACGTCAACAGCGCCATCGCTGCCATCAAGACGAAGAGAACGATCCAGTTCGTCGACTGGTGCCCAACTGGATTCAAGGTCGGAATCAACTACCAACCACCGACCGTCGTCCCGGGAGGAGACCTCGCCAAGGTTCCGCGTGCCGTCTGCATGCTCTCCAACACCACCGCCATCGCTGAGGCCTGGTCCCGTCTCGACTACAAGTTCGATCTGATGTACGCCAAGCGTGCCTTCGTCCACTGGTAAGACTTTAGGCTTGAAGACGTTTGGTAAAATTCGCGGTTTTTCAGGTACGTCGGAGAAGGAATGGAGGAGGGAGAGTTCACCGAGGCCCGTGAGGACTTGGCTGCCCTCGAGAAGGACTACGAGGAGGTCGGAGCCGACTCTAACGAGGGAGGCAACGAGGAGGAGGGAGAGGAGTATTAAAGTTCTGTCATCGGCCAACACGAACATAATCTCACGCCCTTTCGCACTTATTATTCCTTCGTCTTTGCTTAAACGCTTGTTTAAATGATTGTACGTTTCAAATAAATTGAGTTTTCATCCACATATTTAGTAACTTGCTGCAGGCCGCGATAAATTATTTCGAAGCAATTATCCACACTTCATTCGCATCGACTAGTTTACAATAAAGATCAGATGGACCGGAGACACCGTCCGCACAAAAGAGCGCAACGGAAAAGGCTGCAGAACAACTACACTGAGCAGATTAGGGAAGAAATGAACCAACAGCTGGAGAGACGGTTCCAAAATCAGCCGACGTCGTCCGCGAGGCCTTCGTTCTCCATCGAAGCGATTCCGTTGCCGTCGGAGTCGGTGCCACTCGGACATCCGCCGATGATATCTGCGGAAGACTACGTGGAGGAGGATTTCCTGAGGGATCCAAAAGTGACGTCGACGCATTCTGCAGAGATGATACTCTCGGACAGAACTGTACGGAAGGCAGAAGACGCCGAAAGGGATCTGCTGGTGAGCCGTCCGAAAAATGCATTATTTCATGCATTCCTCTCCATTTCAGAGCCGTTCTCGTACCACAGTCGCGACGATCTTCAACGAGTTTTGCACTCGGATTCTCGAGGTTTCACGGGAAAAACGAAGTAATCAGGTCGAAGTTCCGCGCATCGAACACGCCTCTTTTCCATTGCACAGCTGCGACGACGAGGGGAGAAGGAGGAAAAAAGAAGAAGAAAAGCCCAACAACGATCCACCCTCAGACTCCTCTTCTTCTTCTTCTTCTTCAGAATCCGATTCTGATTCTGACGCAGATTCCACCTCGGACTCCTCCGCATTCGAGCATCAGGAAGAACCCGGAAAAGGAGAAGGGGAGGAGAAGCGACGAATAAACCAAGAGAGAAAAATGTGAGTGATCGAAAGAGAAAGTAAAGATAGATGGGAGGATTTCAGGAAGAGCAAACAAGAGAAGTTGGCGGAGAAGGAGCGGCAGGTGAATTTGCTAAAAATGGAAATCGATCGGAAAAGAGCGCATCCGAACGGACTGCACACGGACGTTCCGTTCAACGAACAGGGACTGGGAAACGATGGTCCCGAGTGCAGATGCCCGCCGTCCATCCGAGGCAAAGCACTGCGGCACGGATACTATCCGGGCGAGGACCGGCCGATCAGCTGCCACCAATCGTTCGTTTCCTCTTCCATTCTCCCGCTCCCATCAACAGTCTTTCAGTGGCTCCGATTCGCACTTCTTCTACACTCTGCACGTGAATCCGGTGCCGAACACAAATCAAACATTCAAAACGGCGATGATCGCAGGCGGCGACGAATTCGAATTCGAAGGATTCTCACTGATAACGCACGAAGCGCTTCCCGATTGTATGACACAGAAGCCGATATGCAAGTACGGATTGGAGTACGGTTTCCGTCTGATTCAGGAGAAAGTTCCGGAAGAGTGCTTCGATGCTCGCGATTGTGATATCATGTACGAATACATTTTCCACGAAATATTTGAGATGCTCGACTTTGATCTCCGTCCGAAGCACGTGCCGAAAGAGGTCGCCACGTCACCAGTCATCCACGTGATGCCTCGCTTTGTGAACTTGAAAAACGGCGTTGTGAATCTGTGGAGCACGAAGGCCTTGCTTGCGTACTTCCTCATCAAAGGCGAAACGGAAATGCTCACCGAACAGGACATTGAACGTCTTCTGCAGCTGGAGGAGGGCAACTTCCATCAGCAGACGAACCGGATCAAGCAGGCGATCGTTCTGAATGCGACCCGGAAACCGTCTGCGATCAGAGCCGATTGGTTCGAGCGAGATGTGAACGAGCGGCAGGTGTTCTTCATACACAATTCGATCCGATTCCAAACGTACACAACTGCTTCGCTGCCCCGAATAAGTCATCTCGAACGGAGACTCGCCCGGATGCGGAATCAATTTCAAAACACCGGACTCGCTCATAGGGATCATGAAAAGGTGAAAAAGGAGTTGGAAGGACTGAGAGAAGAGAACAGAGCCGCCCGGACTCTCCGTCTTTGCCAGCCGGTGGAAGGATTCGTGGACACTGGTCTCCGTCCCGATGTTGTCGCTCACATATCGATGGTCATTCTGGCATGCCACCACATTCGATACAATCTTGGGCTGAACGTATTCGAACAGACGATCGGCTACCGGTTCAACGATCGGAAGGTGATCGAATTGGCGTTCATGCACTCCTCCTTCAAAACCAACTACGGAACGCCCACAGATCACATCAGAAACCTAATCAGCAATTGCGGGTATCGGAGAAAGTATGGAAGCGAGGAAAGGCGGGACAAGAAGAAGGCGGCCGGAATGCACAGTCTCTACAATATCATGAGCGGTCAAGTCGGAACGGATCCGATCCTCCACAACGAACGGCTCGAGTACCTCGGGGATGCCGTCGTCGAGATGATCGTCTCGCACCACTTGTTCTTCATGTTCCCTCACCACCACGAAGGAGGTCTCGCCACCTACCGAACCGCCCTTGTTCAAAACAGAAATTTGGCGAATTTGGCGATGAAGTGCCGCATTGACGAGTTGCTTCAGTACGCGCACGGATCGGATCTCTGCAATGAGGGCGACTGGAAGCACGCGCTCGCGAACGCATTCGAAGCACTCATGGCCGCGGTCTATTTGGACGGAGGAATCGCCGAATGCGATCGGATATTCTCGCAGGCGATGTACGGAGACGAACCGGAGTTGAAGAGGGTGTGGGATCACATAAACGAGCACGAACTGAAGAGAGAGGACCCGCTCGGCGACCGCGAACTCTCCTACCAAACGACGATGCTCGTGCCGTTTCACAAGTTGGAGCAGCAGATGGGCGTTCAATTCAACAACATTCGACTTTTGGCGAAGGCGTTCACTCGCCGAAACATTCCGTTCAACGAGATCACGAAAGGACACAATCAACGGCTCGAATGGCTGGGCGACTCGGTCCTTCAGCTGGTCGTCTCCGACTTTCTCTTTCGCAGATATCCGTTCCATCACGAGGGACACATGTCCCTGCTTCGCACCAGTTTGGTCAGCAATCAGACGCAAGCCTACGTGTGCGACGATCTCGGTTTCGCCGAGTTTGTGATAAAGATGCCGAACAACAAATCGATGTATCTGAAAATGAAGGACAAGGCGGATCTGGTGGAGGCGTTCATCGGAGCACTCTATGTCGATCAGGGCATAGAGTCGTGCCGCTGTTTTGTGAGAATAGCGTTCTGCCCGAGACTCAAACATTTCATTGCCAACGAGAAGTGGAACGACTCAAAGTCGCACTTGCAGCAGTGGTGCCTGATGATGCGAGACGAGAAGAATCCGAATCCGCAGATGCCCGAATACAAGACGATCAGCATGGAAGGACCCACCAACAACAGGGTCTACAAGGTCGCCGTCTACTTCAGGTACCAATGGCCTATTTTTGAGAACAACTGCTTTTGAATCGAATTCTTTCAGAGGGAAACGGCTCGCCTCGACGACTGCATCGAATTTGCACAAAGCGGAGCTCGCCGTCGCGGAGATTGCACTGGCTAATGTTGAAAAAACGCGACAGAGGCTGAAGGGAAATTCCAGACAGAACGTAAGTTTTCTCGAGTTCTAGTGTCTCACACCGTTTCTCAAGTTTTCCAGAGTCGTCGTCGCAGGTCGCGGTGATTGGGAGACCATCTTCCAGTCCTTATAACAAATTTTTAGTATTGATTTTTTTCTATTTATTTTGTTGAGTCTTTTATACTTTTGTTACTGTGATTTTAAGAAATTAGAGTCTCTCTCCCAACGCCGCCTTGATGTCCTTCTCCATATCCTTCGGATCCGTCGTCGGTCCGAATCTCTTGATGACTGCGCCGTCGCGGCCGACCAAAAACTTTGTGAAGTTCCATTTGATCGCGTCCACTAGAAATCCTCCTTTCTCGTTTTTCAAAAACTTGAACAACGGCGAGGCCTTCTCTCCGTTCACCTCAATCTTGTGGAACAATTGCGGCTCGAACTTGAATTTGTCGGCGACGAACGCTTGAATGTCGATCTCGCACGACGGTTCCTGGCCGCCGAACTGATTGCACGGAAAGGCGAGCACTTCGAGGCCGTCTTTCTTGTAACTGAAAAAGTGAATTGGTTTCAGAAAGGCATTTCCAATCACTCACACATCGAGCAGCTCCTTGAACTGCGTGTAATTTTTGTTGGTCAGTCCGCACTGTGACGCCACATTTGCAATAATCAGCACTTTCCCGCTGAAAATCACAAAATTTGTTTCAAATTATATTTATCCGAAAACTCACCGATACTCCGACAGATTCACGTCATCGCCGGATGCATTTTTGACGGTGAAATCGTAGACAGAAGACATTCTGAATTCGGAAGGTTTGTGGAATAAAAATAAAAAGAGGGCACTGAATATATTTAGAGCAGAGAAAGTGGTTTATAAAGTGACCAAAGAAAGCACGAATCAGATGATGACAAAACGGAGAAATGGGCGGAGCCGCAGAGCCGTCTGCTGACAAATCGAGCAACGTTTTGGTGTCGGGGAAACGGCCACAACGTAGTGTTTGTGACTTGATTGAGTTAGAACAGAGCGCGACTAAAGTTCATCGGGGCGCACTTGCGGCGGGAGTTGAAAAAATGGCGCTACAACGAAGTAGAACTGTTACGATTTGGAACTCGCAACGTTAAAATATTATAGGGGCACCGAACAGAAATGGCGCTCTGTTGAGAAACTCTTTTTGCAGTGCAAATTGAGCGACCTCGGGGCCGAGTTTGAAAAATTAGGCCACATTTTCAGTGGGAAATTACTTCGCGGCCTAGAAATTCGGCCAGATTGCGAACAGCGCGCCCTTTCTGTCCGGTACCCCTATAATATAACTGCCCAAAAAATTGTCAAAAAACGAAACGGTTTATGCGAATTGCAAATAATTCCCTGACAAAAGTTCAATTTTTTACAAAGATCATTTCGAAACCGAGATATGAATGCATTATCGAAGCGAGCGAAACGTGAAAGAAAGAGTGATAAAATGCGTAGAAAAGTGAACCCGTTAACAATATTCCGGCAGGAAGAGAGATAGAGAGAGAGAGAGAGTTCAATCCAAACTTTCAGGAATCTCTCTCTTGAAAGTTAAAAGTTATCTATAGAAAAAGACAGTGTAAAAGTGAGAAACCCATCCGGGCCGCCAGACCATGACGAGAGAAACGAGGAAGAGCTGAAGGAAGACGGGCTCGGTTGTGCACGCCTGCGCCCGAAGATCCGGTTCGTAGATGAGCACGTTGTCGATCATGTGCATGTATCCGTTTATTCCGGCAATCTCTCCGCCCTCGATGACCTGCGCACGCCGGTTGCCACGTGGCCAATAGAGCTCGAAAACTGAAAACTCATTTTTTGTTGCTGCAAACTCTTCGGAAGTCTCTTACATCTTCCTCTTCTCGTTATAACCACTTTCTCGTCGTTCATCATCACGTACGTTCTTTCCCGAAGATCCGTGTACATCAGAGCCTGAACTTTGGAACAGTTCCAGCTGGAAGTGCTTCTAGACATTACCTGTCCCTGCAGAATGTGCCGTTTGTACACGTACTGAAGTGCTTGCCAGTGGTTTCCGTCGTTCATTCTGGCTACGAGAGACTGCGGCTGCTTGTACCACGCCTCGTTCGTCGGCACGAAGAAGGTGAAGTTCTGCTCGGGAGTCAGCACTTGCCACGGATCCATCGAGTAGCGGAGCTGCAGGTTTTCCATCATGTGGAACGATTGTCTGAAGGAAGGGAAAGTTAGGGCACGCCTACTGATTTTCATCTTACTGTAGCCGACTTTCATTCCTCATAATCTCCCACAAAGTCTGGTACGGCACTCCGAGAACGCGTTCAATGTAGTGGACGATTCCGTTGGTCGCCGCCACGTTGTCCATCATTATCGCCGTTTTGATGCCTCCGCCGATGACGTAGTAAGCTGAGAAAAGGTTTGCTAGGTTTGCCCACCGCAAAAATGTTGTCCTTCACTTACTGACGTTATTGGCGGGCCATTCTCCCTTGATAAAGTACAATTGTCGCATGTTGTCAATCGTATTCACAATTGTTTCGTTGGTGATCTCGTCGGAAGTCAGTTCCTTGGCCGGCACAATGTGCAACTTCAGAATCTGCTCGAGCCAGATGCGATCGCGCAGCAGACGGCGTTCAATTTGCTCCGGGATCCGATCGAACGCCTCGTTCCACGGGGCGAAGAAAGTGACGAGACCGCCCGTCGCAGAAAAGTAGTTGCGGACGATTTGGCCTGAAAGAGCACTGACATCAAATCGGCTGATCCTTACTTTCTCTGATTACCGATGGTGTTGATGTATCTCATGAGCGTCGTGCACTTGTCATTTCGGTAGATCATCATATCGATGGTCTCCGAAACGATTCCCAACACATTGTCGACAATATGAACGACTCCGTTTTGCGTCGGAATGTTCGGCACGAGGATCTTCGCCCAAACGGCTCCTCTTCTGAATTGAGAGTACCTTTCGTACACTTCCGAGACGGCGTACACTGAATAAAGTGTTTTTAGCAAGTCTGCTCTATGGGCAATCTCTTACAATCATATCGTCCCGTCCTTCTGTCAGTGATATTTCTCATCACGAGTTTCAGTTTGAAGTTATCCTCGATGATGTTCGCCGAGAATCTGACCGACGGATAATAGTGCTGTCCTCCATCGTAGAGCCACGGCCACGTGAAGAGCACTCGGTTTGTGCTCGTCACGTGAGCCAGCAGGACTTCTCGGTCCACTCGATTACGATCGACGACTCTCGCGAAGGCGGCGTCGTTCGGAATAAAGAATGTGTGGAAGCCGTTCCAAGCGGAAGATCCATAAATGACGAGGGCAATGTCGGGGGTTCGGTCGAGAATGTCTCGGATTTGACTGAAACGTAGAAAAGTGCGATAGAGCGCAGTTGCCCAAACGGAAAGACTCACGATAGATCCCGATTGTTATATTGTCTCTCTTCGAAAACGGTCATATCGTGCTCTCGGATGAACGAAAGAGCAGTTCCCGGATAAGGACGATGGCCGATTGGGGTGCAGATCTGAATAGTCAAGCGGAAATTTCGGAATTTTCGTCAGATTTTTACTTTGAAGAGGTACTGTTCTCCTGAAATGATTCCCCACTGATTGGACGCGTGATTGCAGAGCATTCCGGCGTTTGCAAAGTAAGACTGAAAAGGAAAATGTTCAATTTTAATTTCAAATCCAGCTAAAGATTCAATTTCTCACAAAGTTTCCCGGATTATTCTCAAACTGCGTAATATAAATGTATCCGGAATTGATGGTGGAACGGATGAGAGTTTGTTTATCCCACAACTTATTCATCGTCAAATCGACCACTTGCGAGTCCACTGAAAACGGGAAAGTTCTGGAATATTCGAAATGAGGTACCGATGTGAGAAAGCGTTTCTTTCTGATCGAGGGCCCGGATATCTGGATTGTATGTGAAGACGTCGTCGACCGGAGCGAATACAGTAATCCGTGCATTACTGTCTTTCATGTAGGCAGTCGCCACCGTGTAGTATCCGCAGAGAGCTCGCCACTGAAGAACATAGGAAAACCAAGCGTTTTTTTTTCAATTTTTTCCTCCATACTTGTTGTAAATCGGACATTCGTTCGGTTTCCGCCCACAAGTCTGCATTGCCGGGTGCTAAGAGGAAAAAGATAGAGAATAACCAGGGAGGCATCATGATGATAACATGAATGGAGGAATAGTAACGGAGAATGATCGATATGCAAGTGACTCAACCTTCACTGCTCGTGGGCGACAGAACATGGGCGGCGGCCGGTTTGTTTGATCAGTGGAAAGAGTGTGGGACGGCGGGAGGCTCAGGCGTTACCTGGGTTCCCTCCGCTTCATTAGCATATGAGAGAAGGGATACAAACAGAACGGGTGCTTCTCCCCTTACAAGCCACCAATCCCCTCCCCTCCCCTCGCAGGAAACATCCGAACAGGTCGTCTATTTATTCTGTCAAAAACCGTGCAAAGTGCCCATTCGACACGGAGACAGGACACGGGTGAGCAGCAACAACACTATACAATAGGAAAATCGGAATACGATTTGAGCTTGCTAATTCATTTATTGGTTGGCCTTTCTCAGTTGGTACTCGACGACGATGAACGGAGCCCAGAATCCGATGGCGAGGAAGGTGACGGCCTTGGCGGCGAATCCCCACTTGTTGTTGATGTTGAACGGAAGACGCTGAAAAACAGTTTTGTCTAATGAGCGGGGAACGTTGCTTTTCAAAATTCAGCTCATAAATACGATAAATAAATATAAATAATAATAAAAACTCACAGCGGAGGCCCATCCGTCGTTGACGAAGGTATTCGGTCCTTGTCCGGTGTAGGTGACAGCCGATGGCGAGTGGCTGTGCCCCTTTCTCATAGCCTGGACAATTGGGCGGATAGCTTGACGGCTCAACATGCTGCTGAAATGATCGGAATTAGAGAGAATTCAATAAAAGACACTGAATTAAGCTAACAGTGAGAGGATTAGTGAAGACCGGATAGTTCAGTTGTTCGCAAAGATTTAAAGTTGATAGCAGACAAATAAACAACAAGGAAACAGAGGAAAAGTAGTCCTGCTATTAGCACAAACGCCATTTTCACATTTTACAATCAAAAGCTCCGAAAAACGCTTAGATAGACGTCTACAGAGTGCCCAGGAGCTATATTTGGTCGCCAAGGCCTCCCGAATCTGATTAGTTGGAAAAGAAGTCGAAACAATCAAAATTGAACTTGAAAACTTGAAAATTTTGTTGAAAAGCTGGGCAGTCCGAAGCAAACAAGTGCGTTTTGACGCGTTGCGGCGCCGCGTAGCGTGTGCACTTTTATCAACAGAGCGCAGTTGCTGACGCCTCAATCTCGAAAATGTTTTTTTCGTTACTATTTTTCTCTTTAAAAAAAGTCATATTTAAGAACAGCTTTGTTTTCTTGTTGAAAATCGGATATCTGTGTTGCAGCCATCATGTCAAAATCAGGACGTCCAAATTTATCGCTGGCCGGAAAGCGAGAAGCGCCATCTTCACAGAAACAATCACGCGGAGGCGGAGCACAAAATAGAGGTGGAGGAAGAGGGTAATTTCTATTTTATTTGTATTTCACATCACATTTTTTGAATTCAGTCGAGGACGAGGTCGCGGTGCCGGACCGCGCCAGAAACAGGAGCTTATTCAGACGGGAGGAGTGTTTTCCGAAGGTTTGGGAGGAGAATTTCCGACTCGGAAGAAGAACACCGACGCTGACGGAGCCCGTGAGTCACTTGTAATCAGGAATTAGTTACATAACTGTGAATTTGTAGAGTTCTCGTATTCGAGACGAGAGAATGTGGCTGGTGGAGCGTCTTCGTCAACTGCGACAGCTGAGAAAAAGGAAGAGAAGAAAGTGCCGATGAACATGGAAGGAAAGGCGTCATTCCAAGGATGGGACGAGCTGTGGCGCAGTGACGACGAAGGAGACGAAGAGGAGCTAAACGCTCTTCATCCCAAAGGAGTCAGTCCCTGTTTTTTTCGAAAACTCTGTCCATTCTGAACATTTCAGTTTATCAGCAACTTGAAGCGTGGAACCATAATGCCAGTTGTCTTGCCGCTTGAAGATCAGCCACAGTTCTTGAATGTCATCAACAAAAGTGCTCGGCTTGCGCTGGAAGAAGACGATGAAATTGACGAAAAGAAATATAGCGTGGATGCTGTGAAATCGGATCGGCAAACGGCGGAGCAACTGATCGCCATGCTGGAGTCGTCGAACACGGATTTCCTTCATCTTCAACTGCCTTCTGTCGTCGGCTCGATTTGTAATAAAATTGAGCAACAAGACGAAACGCCGATGGAAGTGGACGATCCTAATAACGAAATTCCGTCGGGGCCTGCTCCAGCACCAACTCCACGGTTTAGTCTGCCGGAAAGTCGACGCATCGGAAAGTTGCAAGTGACGCGGAAGGGACGGCTTCTTCTGAAAATCGGCGGACATTCAATCGACATCTCGAGCAAGCCGATGGCCGGAAAACAGCAAGGAACGGTGCTTCTGGAGGTCGATCAAACCGCCGAATCGCAGTCAGCTCCTTCCCCGTTCTCCGCACCCGCTCGCAGTGTTCAGAATTCGCTCTATCATTTGGGAAATGTGAAGCATACTTTGGTGGGATCGATGACGTGGTCACAGTTGAATGAGAAGAAAGCAAACAGTGAAAAGGAGAAGCAGGTATGCCACATGGAGCTGGAAGTGAACGGAGCGGACGGAGAAGTCGTGAAGAGAGTGGAGCAGCTGAAGAACGAACAGGCGGAATGGGGCGAGCTGGCCGAGCAATGGGCCAGAGGACTGATCGCCCACTGATTTATTGTTGAATTTGATCTGAAACTATCTACCCTCGTTTTGTTGACCCTGTTGTTAATACATTGTTATCCTTTTTCGATGCTCCGCGTAGCAGAAAAAGACAAACGATTTTCAGAAATTGAATTTGAAAGCAAACCGAAAATGGGCGAATGTGGTGTGAAAAACTAGGGCAATCAGCTTAAACAAAGGCGTGAGCAAATTGGATATAAAAAGTGCTAGTTTGGTAGGCAAACAGAGATCAAATCCCTCTTCTTTTCGCTGCGCCCCCTATAGTTTCCCCTTCGAATTCACATAAATCATTGCGACCGTTGCACTGAAGTCGGGTGTAACACCAATCGTTTACACCTCAATAAAGACGTCGAAATACTTGCTATCACCGCACGGGTTTCGCCTCCTTTTTTACGCCCTCGCCCTCCAAATCCCCTTCTCTTTTATAATTTAGGACCGGACTGGTCGGGCTCCGAGCGGAAGGATATCCAATTAAAAAGTGCGCGCGCTCCCGCTGCGGACGGAAATTTGAAATTTGGAATTCAATTTGTTTCTTTTCGGCCGCGACGCTTTGTTTCCATTTCCACGCGGATGTGTCCGTTTGATATGATTATGATGATATGGACGGCGCGAAAATAGTGCGCGCGAGCGAGGGACGTCGACAAAAAGTGGGCGGGGCTTGGGAAGAAGAGAGAAGAAGACGGCCGGGTTCGGTTTCTCTTTTTCTCTCATCGTCGTCGGCCGCCAGAAGACGTAGAAGAAGGAGAAGACGGAGTAGTTCGAGAGGGGCGAAATGCCACCCAAACTGTTATTATTCGTCCATTTATGCTTCCTGACAGCAACCGCCCACGCCAGAGGCTTCCACGGAATTCCAGGTAATCTTTATCTCCTTTTTCTTCCCTTCTTCTTCTTCTTCTTCTTTTTTGGCTTCTTGTGTCCGAGGACCTCCCAGAGTAAAGGGGTCACGTCCCCAGAGGAACCCAGGCGGTTTTGATGGATGCGCCTGATTTAGATGGTTCGCGAGCAGAAGTTGTTCTGTTTATCTCTATGTTTTTGCGCGAAGAGCACTCAAAACTAAACAGAAAGCGAAAAAGTATAGTTGATTACTTCCGCAGATATGAGCGTATTCCTGAGTTTCTAGATTTTGAGATTTGAAAATGCATACAACTGCAATTTAAATTCCCAAGTTCTCAAGGAGAGAAGGATTCGGGAGCATTCCAGAGACTTTACTTTGTTGAGGACTAAGTTAATGAGAACTTGTTTCAAGTCAATTTTCATGAAAACATACAATATTAGCTGATAATATACTGTAATAGAAGGCCGCCCCTATACCGTTCATTCAAAACGACGTATCCTCGTAGCCTGTAGCGATATCGAAGAGTTGTCAACTGATAAAATGTGTACAATGTTTCAATGAGCAATGTACTAGTTGACAACTTTTTGATATCTCTACCAGAAGCTGAGATATGTCGTCTTGAATAAAGGGAACTGTGCCTTATAGTCAATTTCTGTCGAATTCGGAACGCCAGAATCATTGTGCAATTGTATCACCAGAATTTGTTTCAGAATCACTTTTCCCATTAAAAAAAACGTCTTCCACCTCTCCCTCGCTGTCCGTTTTTCGTGTCCATTCTTGCCTCGATCACCGATATTTCTCCTTGAATTCCTTCAAATCAAAACCACCAAATAGACGGATAGACAATAGACGAAACCAGAAAACTTTTGCGAGATGTAAACGACTAAAGTACGGGACAGAGAGTAGCAGTCAAGCAGCAGAGAGAATAAATAACCTTGATGGAGGGCGGCACGGTGATAACTTGATATACTATTGATTGATTCGTTTTGAAATTTGACCTCCGTGGTGGTTTTGTTAAGGCGGAGAATGGCACCTAAATGTTGTCTATTCAAGACGATGTATCTCAGCTACCGCTAGAAATATCAAAAAGTTGTCAACTGATAAAATGTGCACAATCTCGTTTTGAACAATTTATCAATTGACAACTTTTTGTTATTTCTCTTGATTGCTGAGATATGTTGTGCTGAATGAATGGTATTTGGGTGCTCCACTAAGCTGAACTACAAAATGGCGATTCAGGAGACTACTGCTCGGTGCGAACTCCGACGTGCTGCGAGAGCCGCGACGATGACTGCACGGCGCCGATCCTCGGAGACCACCTCTGCTACTGCGACATGTTCTGCGATCGGGGACCAGACGGCGGTAGGGCACTTGTACTTCCACATCCCATTAATATCCGAATGATTGGCCACGCTGCTGCTTCTTGCAGGAAACGACTGTTGTCCCGATTTTGAGGCCACTTGCCGCGGAAAAGACATCCAAAACGATCAGAGGGCCGACGGAGAGAGTGAGCGGTTCTGGAAAGATCTGTGAAGGAAAGAGCTAGTTTCAGGTTGCTCGGTCGACGGGGATACGCGCGAGAGGAACTGCGAAAAGTGGTCAGTTTATTCCGGTAGTTTTGAGTTGAAATGGAGTGACCCTGTGATTTCAGCACTTGCGTCAACGGATTCTGGAAGTGCGACGGGACGACGTGTCTGATTCAGCCAGATCTTCTGGAAAAGGTGCACATGGGAAGATACTCGTAAGTTCGCTAGAGCGCGTTTGCCTTCCGATCTTTTCTAATCACCAATAATCGTTTCGAAATCCGAAATCCGAAAACCAGAATGCAAAATGTTATCTGTTCCAATATCAGTGACTGACACACTTCCTGACGCGTATCTTCTTCTTCTTCTTCTTCTTCTCAATTACATAATATCCTTCTCGCGTCCGTCTCCTAATTATCACCCCAATCATTATCACTTTCTCTCTCTCTCTCTCTATCATTTCAGATGGACAGCCCGCAACTATTCGGCGTTTTGGGGTCGTAGTTTGAGTGACGGAATCAAGTATCGATTGGGCACTCTGTTTCCGGAGCGGAGTGTTCAGAACATGAACGAGATCCTCATCAAACCGAGGGAACTGCCCGAACAGTTCGACGCGAGGGAAAAGTGAGTGGGCGAGGGACACAGACGGCTGGATATTGTAAAGTTGTAACTTCCCACAGTTACGTTTACCTCTCACCTGGCTCATTTGGAGAAACAGAATACAATTGATCATTTATCAAAAAAGCAGAGATCGCTATGTTTCATTTCTGAAAATAAATTGAAAATAATCTCTCAACAGTCTAGCCCTGGAAGAGAAAAAGAATGTTACCAAGAATTGAGTAAATGTTTGCCCGTTTCAGATGGGGTCCTCTGATCCATCCGATCGCGGACCAAGGCGATTGCGGAAGCAGTTGGGCGGTCTCGACGACTGGCATATCTTCCGATCGGTAACATCCCCGAACTTCCCTGAATCCCACATCCCGTTGCCTCTTTCAGTCTCGCCATTATCAGCGAAGGTCGCATCAACGCGACGCTCTCCTCGCAGCAACTTCTTTCGTGTAACCAACACAGACAACGCGGGTGCGAAGGGGGATATCTGGATAGAGCGTGGTGGTATATCAGAAAATTGGGGTGAGTTGGCGAGGAATGAAGATGAACAGTCTTGTTTGTTCGGTTCAGAGTCGTCGGAGATCACTGCTATCCGTACGTGTCGGGACAGAGCCGAGAGCCCGGACACTGCCTGATTCCGAAGAGAGACTACACGTGAGTCGCTCCCACAGAATCTTCCCCACCGTAACCCCGATTACAGTAACCGTCAGGGTCTGCGTTGTCCGAGTGGCTCCGCGGACAGCACCGCGTTCAAAATGACGCCGCCGTACAAAGTGTCGAGCCGCGAGGAGGATATTCAGACGGAGCTGATGACGAACGGCCCCGTGCAGGCCACGTTCGTCGTCCACGAGGACTTCTTCATGTACGCCGGTGGAGTCTACCAGCATTCGGATCTCGCCGCCCAAAAGGGAGGCGCTTCCGTCGCCGAGGGCTACCACAGTGTGCGAGTATTGGGGTAGACCGTCGAGAGCATTTGCACATTGTTTGTTCGGTTTTCAGATGGGGAACCGATCACTCGACCGGACGTCCGATCAAGTATTGGCTTTGTGCCAACTCGTGGGGAACTCAGTGGGGCGATGAGGGACATTTCAAGATTCTGAGAGGAGAGAATCATTGCGAAATCGAGAGCTTTGTGATCGGTAAGCCCTTCAGAGGAAAAAGGGGCGTGGCCTGCAACTTAAGCATTTGGTCTTTAAAAAAAATATCTCTAAATTCTCGTGAAAAAACATTTTTCGCAGGTTTCGCAAAGGGCTGAACATTTTGCAGACAAACGAAGCATTTTGAGCAGTTGAACAGCAAAAATGACTCAAATCGAAGCATTTTCAGCACGAAACTCAAACTCGATTCAACTTCTCCATTTCTGACTAAAATCCGCACATTTTGAGCGCAAAACGTGCAGAATTTGAATCATTAGAGACGAGAAACGTGAATATTTTGAATTTCGCGGCTGGGCCACGTCCCTTTCCGCACTTTTGGCCGCAATTAACAAACCTTAAATTCTCAGGTGCCTGGGGCAAGGGATCGAAGCGACGACGGCGATTCAAGATGCGAAAGCTCCGCCGATTCAGGAAAATGTTCAAGTAGAATCTCACGTCCTTTTTTTTCTTTCACTCCCGCTTCCTGTTCTGCCGACTCCCCGTCCCTCTTTCTATAATAATCTCACTGCCATCGCAGGGTTCGCCAATCTCTTTTCGTCCTCCCCCCCTAATAAATTGCTTCTTTTCGCTCATCGTTTTTTACACCCCTGACACTTGACACCTTCTCTTCGCGGCCACACCCTTTCGCAGAAAAGAGACGAGACGAATCGGGGGAATTCGGAAGAGAGAGAGAGAGAGAGAGAGAGTTGACGATGTGTCATTCTTCGAATACTGTCTGCTGACCGCAAAAGAACTGTCTACGGCACTTGGAAGTTGACAATAGAACAAGGCGTTCTATTTAGAACGGATAAACTTTGAAAGTGAGACAATTTTGGGATAAAACTGCATACCTAGAACTTTATTTTTCATGTTGACAACTTTTTCATACCACCATTTCTAAGCGTGCTGTAAAAGGTGTCAACTAGTGAAATGAAGTGCGCCTACAAGTAAGCGTCCTTCAATTGAAAAAAGGATAGTTTCCGGTACTGTAAGTTTGAAAATTCGCTGCACTTTCGAATTCCTCCAGTCCGACTAACAACAACAGATCGTTCACTTTCGAAAAACACTCGAAACATGTGAATGATGTTGACCTGAAGACGGCGTCCTTCCGAATATAAACCCGCTAGTTGATCTATCACCGCAATCACATGGTAAACGCCTTCGTTTCGCAGGTAGCAGGTAGATCAGACGGCGCCACGTGTCTCTGCGCCCTCCCGCCCACGCACACTCTCTCCGGCCCCCGCTGACTCATTGATTCCGCTCAAAACGCATCGTCTCGCGCAAGTCATTTTCGCCCCCGTCGACGACAAATTATCCCCCAAAAAATGTTAATTTGATATGACACCGTTTGGCGGCGCCCAGAGACGGAAAAGAGCGAGAGAGGGAGGGAGAGAGAGAGAGAGAGAGAGAGAATCGATTCGGCCGCCCATTTTCATCTCCTTCCCCATCTCAATTATTTCGTTTGTTTTCCCATTCGAACACTTGCCTTCTCCGTTTCCATTCCGTTATGATCAACATCTTCAACTCTCCGATCGACCCGTCACAGTTGGACGAGTTCGCCGAAGGAAAGCAGCAGGAGGAGGGCGAGCCGCAGATTTTCGATGTGGTACGTACTGATGTCTCATCTTCGTTCGGATGCTTCCAATCTTCTATAAACATGTTGAATTGGGGACGTATCTTGAGCTGATTTAGGGTCAAGTTGGACTTTCGCAAGTCTTAACCAAAGGATTCCATTTCTATTTTGCTGCGAAAAGCCCATCTGAAAACGAAAGTGATTCCTGTCATTAAGATCTGTTGACCCGTGTATATCTTGTTCCGAAACGCTAACTTATTTATCCATTTCCTAGTGAGCCTATTGTAATATTTCTCAGTGCTCTTTCAATAAAATTTCGGACAGAATGACGCGCTCTCCAGTTGAATTAGGCTTGTATTAGAACGAAAGAGAACAGTACCCCAACTGCTGTTTCTTCAAAGCGATATATCTCAGCTGTCTGTATAGATATCGAAAAGTTGTCAACAAATAAATTGCTCATTGAAAAATTGTACACATTTTCTCAGTTGATAACTTTTTCATATTTCTACAGGCCGCTGAGATACATCGTCTTGAATTAACGATATTCGGGGTGCCGTTCTATTGCATACTTCACGCAACCCTTTTGTGTGTATTTTCGTGTTCCCAACTTTTCTGTGCAGCTGAATATGAAACTTGTGCTTCACAAAACTAAGGATTTTAGAAAATGAGCTTTTAATACTGTAGTACCGCAAATGTTAGTGGTTGGCACTTTCTTAGTTTGAATTGCTCGCCACTTTCTGATCTATTCCATCCAATGACCATTATTATCAGTGATAATTTATCCTTCGGAAATCGGAAATCTTCCCTTTTGTGGCTGTTTTGTTATTGTTTGCGATTATCACTACGCAATCAATTATTCGCCGATCACAGTTTTTCGATTCGTTTCCCTCAGAATCAGAATCCGACAGGGTGGTTCCGAACACTTTCTCCCATCCGCAACTTTTCTTTCTTCTCGAATCGAATTAGTAACTGTTTCTCATTCGACGTCATCAAAAACACGATGTTTCGGTTGTCCAAAAGACGAGTTCTTTCTTATTGTATTAGAATCCGAAAGATTCGAGTAAATCTTCCGATTTGCAGAAGAAACGGAAGCCACAAGTGACGTACGGCACCGATGGACGACGTGTAAGTCTTCTGAATCCAGTTCGAATTCCCAAGTGCGTCGTTTTCAGATGTTGGACGGCGTCGTCGAGAATCAGCACGCTTCGAACACTCTCTGGACGACGACGATTTCGAGGGGCGTGGCGAATGAGTGGCGCGAAGAAGCCACGGGCACACGTCTTCAGAAGACGAAGAGATACAGTGAGTGGGCACAACAACTTCTCTAGAATGTGTCCTCCAGTTGAATTAATGTGTACACTCCATTCCAGAGTTCCTATTGAGAGGGTTAGTGGAAGGGGCGAAGCATCGTGCAACTCAAAACTGAAAACGATTTCAGTTTTGACATTTCACTCAAAAGCTTCTAGAATGACGTCCCCCCAAAGTTGTTCTGCATGACAAAGTGCGGAAATCGCTCAGAAATAGATTTGCTCTTTCTCTTTCCTTTCATTTGAAAACTTAGGGATTATCCAGATATCCAATCATAGAAATCTGAAGATTAGTGCCCCGATGCCCTTTCACAAATGCCATTTTCAGTCTACAAAGTTTCGTACGACGCGCAGGTGCTCGTCCGTCAGACATATCGCCGTCACGCGACCGCCATTCTCGTCGCCACAAACGTGACCCTCTTCCTGCTTTTTCTGTACATTTGCCGACTGTTTCCGTTCAATAGATGAATGAATAAATTTTGCGAGAGTTTTAAAGAAATAAATAAAGTGAGTAGATAGTGTTTGAGATTGCTTACGAATTTATGAGGGTCAGATGAGGGGGTCTGGACGAAAAAAGAGAGTAAAAGAGGGAAAAAAGACACCCCCACGCGCACATACAAATCGTTTGACGGGGAGATGAAGGATGATACAAAATGTTCCAAAGTTCGCAGGTGTTGTGACTTATCTCATGAAAAAGTAGAAAAAAAGGTCGGGGAAAATGGGATGGGAAAGAGAGGACTTTTGGGCGAGAGTTTTCTTCTTTTTGTCATCGAATCGAATTAGTGTACGGGAGAACTATAATACTTTCAAAAAAAAACACTTACAAACACAGAAACGTTACGGGATGATAGAGCGGGATGGGAATCAATCGAGTTGGGGCAGAAACGGAGAGAAAAGGGCCTAAAAGTGGTGGGAAACAACCCGGAAAAGTCGGGGAAAACAGATACGGTAGGACAGACTACAGCGATGGAAGAGGAGGAAAAGAACACTGAAAACGAAGAGAAAGGAGAGGAGAGCCACGTAATTGGAAGCATGATATGGGAGGACAGGGAGGAGACAAGGGAAAGGTAAGAGAGTACAGAAAAACAAAGCACACAACTCGATTCCAACCGGAAAGGGCACCTAACGGACGCCGCGGCGCCAAGAGCACAATTCAAAAAAGAAACTCTTTCTGTTTTACTTCCAAAACTGGTGGATGACGATGATAAACGAATGAATAGCTGAAGAAAGAAAAACAAGAAAAATCGAGCACAGTGTAGTTTCTTAGGTTGGAGGGGAAGGCAGCTTGACGGCCGCGAGAATAAGTAGACAAGAGGACTACGGTATGAGAAAGGGGATGGAAGAAGAAACGATACAAAAATAGAATAGAACGAAAAATATAATTAGCGTTATATGAATGTGATAATGGAGAGAGTGGGAGAACACAAAACTACCACCGAAGCATTTAGACATCCGAGAAAATGTAGAGGTTGTTGGTGGCGGCCAGGGCGATGATGTTGTCCTTCGGGTGCCACGCCGTGTGCAGTATCTTGCGATTAAACTGCAACTGATCCGACGACAGATCCTCTTCGGTCTGTAAAGTTGCATTCAATAGAGCGTTCTGGTGCGGAAGAGCCCACCGTTTCACCGGTCGACGACAGATTATTCCTCTTCCGTTTCGCCGACGGCACCACAAATCGTGATCGAAGTTGCGAGTGTGGCTCTTGTGGCCTAGCTTCCCACGTCTTCGCATCTGGGGCTTGATTACCTCGCGCGTACGAGCGGAATAGATTGTGATAGGAACCGGTGAGAATGTGCCTGGAACAATAATGTTTAGATGTCGGAGGGAAAAAAGCAGTAGACTTACTTGTCATCTCCACTCCAATCGCATTCGAACTTGTCGAATATAGAATCGTTTTCGTAGAGTGCGCACAATTTCGTTCGTAAATAATTGTGCACTGGGTACGTTTCGACAGGTTGTGACTCCATGTTCAAATCCCAAACCTGAACACGCAACGACTAGAAATACTTTCAGTTAAATTTGATTCTTACTTTCACAGTCAGGTAGTCTCTGGTCAGCAAATATCGTCCGTTGTGCGAGAACTTCACGTCGCTCACAGAGGCGATAATTTCCGAGAAGAACGACCTGGACTGCGGATCTTCCGGCTCTTCGAAAACTGAAAACGAAAGGATTTTTAAAATAATCAAGAGCGCCGTGTTCAACTCACTCTTGGCGTAGGCATCACAAAGCGCGCGATCTCGCATATCACACAATCGGATGGATCCCTTCGACGACGAGTAGACAAACCAGTTGCATTGTGTCGGATGGAATTCAGCGGCAGTGATCACTTCGGTCAGCTCCTCCATATTGGTTGGCTTTATGTCGACAATATCTGAAAATGATTGAATAAAAAAAACGTTAAAAATAGAGAAAACTTACTGAAAGACTCGTTGGTAATCTCCAGATTCCAAAGGTTGACTCGTAGATCATCGGCAGAAAGGAATGTTTCCTGCAAGAGTGGTAAACTATGCAATTGAGAGTCCGATCGTCTTAGTTCTCACCTGATCAGAGTTCACAGTAATGCTATTGACGTGATATGTGTGTGCATTGCCATAAACTCGCCGCGGACTCGCTTCCACTATCAACTCCATGGGCACAATAGAGGGGATTTGCAGGCGACCGCGGAAAGAGGAGGTGCTGAAAAGAATAACAGATTGCTTTGATGCATGAATCAAAAAGACTCGCTCGCTCACTTGATTCTGTTCGTTCGGGGAAGATTCCAGGCGTCGTCGGCAATTTTACGCTCTCTCTCGCTGATTTTCCACAATTTTATCGTCTTATCATTGGTGGAGAGTATGAAATTGGCCGCATTCTTCTTTTTCAGCCAACGAATTTGATTGATCTTCTCATCAATCTCCAAAGATTTAAGGTAATCGAACTCGGGTTCATGCGATTGGAATGTCGAGTAGACGTTGTACTCCCTTGATCGAACTCCTTTCACGTACTTCCCCTGAAATATTCGTATTTCTAATGATATTCACCCGTCTCAAAGTATAAACTAACGCTCTGATCCCTCTGGAATATGACAACACGCCCTCCCTTGTCTCCAGTTGCCAAGTACTCGCCGTCGTGTGAAAATTCGACGCAAGAGATGACGTCGGCTGTAATTAATTTCGAATCGGTAAAAATTTTCCTGGTAGATATGCATACCATCCGTGTGAACATCGGCGTCTATGTTTCCCTTCACCTGGTTGAATTTCCAGTGAATTTGATCTACCGGCTCAAATGTTTCATCGGGTTCGATGGGGCCTTCGGAGGTGTCCATGTCAAAGTCGTTCGGATGCTGTTGCTCCTCCGATTGCTCATTTTGCGACGTGGTCGCTGCCACTGCCGGTTCGTCGACTTCCATGACCATCTCCAGCTTGATTCTATCTTTTCAGGTTCTCTTCCCTTTTCTCAATCACTGGAAACGATGATTGTGACGTTTAAGACACGCGGGACGCTTGATCGAGTAGTAAAGTGCGTCTGAAATGGATGGAAATCTCATTTGAAATTGGATTAGGAATCACAACGGGCGGTAGAAACAGAAAATAAATCCCTTTCGGATGGTTGCTAGGCAGCAAATCTGCGTACAAGAAGAAGAGGAGCGCGAGAATTCCAATGGGATGATTCGACACAAAAATTGATGGCGAAAATTTGCCAAACTTTCTCTGGCTGTGAGTGTAAAGCGAAAAAGGAAAATCGAGAGAGGAACGTCGGTACTGATAGAGAATTGTGACGATAGAGAGGGTAGATATGCAGAGACAAAGGACAATGTTTGTGGGAGAGATGACCGAGAATCACCATCAAATTGTTGCCGAATTGACTGCCGGTGCAGCAAATCGTTTGTTGCCGCCGCGAATGCAATTTGCATGACAAAACGCGCCGCAAAAAACCCAGAAACTGTGTGCGGTAGAGCGCATTTGCGAGCGGGCGCTGCCGAAGTGACTGGTTTTCAGTGCAATTTTCAACCTATTTTGCCGAGTTGCTCTTATTTCATTGTTCCATTTTTGCTGGAAAGTCAATATTCTCTTAGGTTAATCAATCCGCTTGCCAAACATTCCTGAGCCGAGCTGAAAGACTCTGATACTGCCAAAACCTCTCTGATGACGGAGAAGACGTTGACGAAAAACGAAAACGACTAGATGATGCCCACCGCGAGAGCCGGCAGCAGGGGACTCTAATCCATTCGCGCGGCGCAAAAACGCGCGAGATTAATTCGAGCTTCTCCGTCACGTCTTCTGCGTCTCTTTTATCTGCTAACATCTCATTATGCTAATACCATCCATATTGACTTGAAGAAGCACAGAGTGAAAAAGATATATGGATGGGCTCCTGCCGCGGGCTCCGTCTCCAATCATCACCACTTCTTCTTCTTCTCTCCTTTCTTTTCTATTCAAGTTCTCCTTCTAATCCTCTCCCTCACCTGTGCCAGTGTGTGATTCTGAGCATAGGATAGACACAAAAAGGCGGAGAGGCAAAGCAGGGACGACGAGGCGAGCGGCCGTGTGTGCGGAATAATAATGAGCGGGTGAGGCGCGAAATCAGATTAAAACCAGCGCTATATTTCCTTTCGCAGTGTCAAGTAACCAATCGATCGATCGGCCAGCCGCCAACTGAGTCAGACCGCCGGAAAAAGACTGAAAGGTGTCCGAGTGACGAGCATGATAACATGACCGGAGTGGGAATACGCAAGATAGGCGAGAGGAAACAATCAATGATGACTACTCATGACTACATGAACCACAAGAACCGAACCACATACTTATCAGCTGTTGACATGGATAGCGGAGGATGAGCAAGAAAAATGGAGAAGAAGATGCCCCAATTTTTTTCAAGTTAAAAGGATCAGCTGAAACTTGAAATCGAATTTCGAAATAGATATTGATTAGAATAATGACTTAGCAGCAGTAAACTTTCTGATCCAAAGAAGCGATTGATTTAAAAGACTGTCTCAGTAAGCGAACAGAATGCATAAAATAAAATATACAATAGTAGCATACTCTAATTGCCTCAAATTTTCGAGCAACTTGATACCCTCTTTAGGCAACAAAACAGAGCAAACAGCTGATGACTCTCGGACAGAATGGAATGCGAAATTTTGAAAAAATGTCAATTCGAGATTCGAAAAAAGAAACAATCAGAGAATCGAGTGACGTGAAAGAGCAACATGTCGAGAAATATGAAAAACAGAAGGCATGGGACTGAGGATTAAAAAACAATATACGTATATCTTCTAAGCGCGAAAAGGGGAGAAGGAGCACCCGTGTGTGTATGTGTGTATGCCCGCGAGGAGCGAGTGTCAACGACGTGCCATACGAGTCGACGACAGCATCAGCGGCCCGGTGAAGAAGCAGTCGGAGAAGGAGCAGAAGACGTAGTGGCGGGGGAGGAAGAGAAGAAGAAGGCGTCGAGCGAGAAGCGAGAGGAGATATCAGTGTTCTTCCGAAGGGGCGCGAGAAAGAGACGAGAGCGTGCGGAGGGCCGGCTACTACCCCAGAGGAGGAAGAACCAAATAATCGATTGGCTATGGCGCCGGCGACGACCCGAGCGGACGGACGGAGGGCGCAGCGTATGCAACAAGGAGAGAGTGTATGGCGAAGAGACGCAGACAACTCGGCGATGGAACACAAAGAGTGTGCGGGAGGACAATAATCGACAGGAAATACCCCTGTCTCGTTCCGTTTTCACTCACTGTAATACTTGGTTATTTCTCTCACTGCAGAACCGCAAAAACTGAAAAAAAAGACGGAAAACGTTGACTAATAGTGTTCCGCTCCGGTAATGAGTTAGGCTTCTCTCACTCGCTCTTTTTTGGAAGATAGAAAACGTAAATTGTTTTTAGGGGCCTGGCAGTCTATCTGTGGTTTGTGGTCAACAAATTTGAAGAATTCAGAAGAGAGTGACGTGATCGACTTCAAAAACGTTTTGATGACGTAAATCGTAAAATTTACCGCCTGCAACTTTGCTGTTTTATAAAAAAAAACAGAGCTTTACTATTATTCTCTTCTCTTTCGGTTCACATTCTAACTATCCCTACTAAAAATCTCGCGTCGCCCGGCTAATTATAGAAGACGTCTCAAAAGAAAAGTAACGGACAGGAGGAGGGGGAATCCGTAAGAGAAAGTGACAGAGGAATAGAGCCGAGAAGAAGACGTCTGTCTTGACACAAATAAAAATCGCATCGCATCGAAGCAAGCCGAGAAGCAAAAACAATATTAATAAGAAGCCTCTTTTTGCCTGGTTTTTAGAGCCCCTGCGGATCGAGTGACAAGGGCGCTTCGAGCACACTTCCGATCGATCGGTCGCCACTTGAGAGTATGTACTTCAAGTACTCACCTCTCATTACCGCCTTCGTTCGCCCCCGAAACCTGTTTACCGGGAATTTTTGCGACTCGATGAGATATTGCCAAGTTTGTCAAATTTTAAAGAATTAAAGTAACAGGAGAAGTGAGAATTGGTTCGCAGAAAATTATAGAGCTCAAAAAAATCGAGAAAAGAGCTTGTCAGACAACCAGAAACAACAAATACCGCGCGAAAGTCAAAACTCCGTTCAAATGACAAATAGTGCAGTTGCGCGTAAGCGTGCTGATTGTGCTTGCAGATCCGGCGCGCTAACTGACGAGCAGGTTCTGAAATAATCTGAAAAACAAATTTAACTGTCAAAAATAATAAAATTGATGGCAAAAAGTTGCTCTTCATTTGATAAAACTTTGATATTCAAATCTCCATGAAATAAGAAAAAGTAATTATGCAAAAATATCGTCCAACTTGATAATTTGCAAACATGGGAAGCCCTCGATCCCACCAATTTGAACAATTTTAAATAATACACTCAAATGCTTTCAGAGCATAATAGTGGTCCCTGAAATTTCGCGAGAGTTCAAAGTTTGCCTCCGAAAAACAATGAAATTCTGTCTAACGTAAAGTAGAACCTGATAAAATTTTGAAATCAACAATTCTTGTACGAATGGGTTCGAACTGGCTTCTCCAACAATCCCCGATAAACTTCAATTCCAGATTCGCCCACATTTTCTTTCCGACAAAGTCCTATCAGTTCCGTGTGCAAATCAGTTTGCAATTAGAACTGAACTTGATCGTTCCACCTTCTGACTCAAAAACGCACATGTCCAGTGACGACCGCCTCGAAATGCTCTCGATGTCTTATGAATTCCCAATTTCCAAATTAGTTTGACTGATAATCGGCGGCGTGACGTCAGAGGCGTGACTCGCCTGCCGAGCTACCAAGTTTCCGACTCATTCGTCGCCATGCAATACTTTCTGCTCGTCGCTTCGGCCCTTCTCGCCCTCGTCTTCTGTCGTGGCGTTCCCCTTCGACCGACCGTCGACGACAGAATCGGACCCAACTGTCATATGTGCGAGGTAGTATTCACGTCCATTTCTGATCTGTAAAAGTATTTTTCAGGTTATTCTGAACAATGTTCGCTACGAATACCGCAACAACTTTACCGATGTGACTGTCGACCAGCTGCGGCAATCCCTTTACGTGTGAGTCTTCTTCTCTATTTTGACCAGCTCACTCTCCGGAAATACAACATCAGCCCCGTTCTTATCAGAGAGTTCCGGCTCTTTCCCTCTTCTCACACACGCACACAAACACTAATTATCGTTTCAGACAGTGCGACTTGAACCTGAACGGGTTCACAGATCAAGAGTGTCATAAGATAGTCGACCAGGACTCTGCGGATATTCTTCAGCAACTGCAGGACGGCACCTCTTCCTATCGGATCTGCCAGAAAGAGCAACTTTGCTGATAAATGAAGTCGTGCAATGTGTTTGTAATAAATTGAACCGATATTTTTCTGATCTCAGCCCGTCCGTCATGTGTTTCCTTCCTCTTTCTCTTGGCCTCACTGCCTGCTGCTGCTGTTGCTGTTTGCCGAGACTTCTTCTTTTTGTTTTACACGCGCAGACAACACACAAATCGGTCTCTTTCCGTCTTCACAGTTTCATCTCTTGACCTTACCTTTGTCTGCCGTCCCGAAACACACTTTCGCCCAGAACTGGAAACTTTTCGCTCCTATCAATCAACTCAATTTATCGATTGGTTTGTGGTTGTCCACATGTGTTTTGTCCGTTTTCTCTCCGCTTTTCCGCCCGTTTCTCTTCTATTTCTCAGCAACTTTTGCGGGTGATCGGTCACTCATTCTTCCAGACCAAGCCAACAATGCGCTCTTTGCTCTTCTTGCTCGGAGCGTTGACGGCGTTGGCATGGTGCCAGAAGATTCCGAGTAAGTGTTTGTCTGAAAGGTGTCTCAATTGGGCAGGGCTGGGCTTGATTCGAAAAACCGGATTCGGTTTTTAAAGCCCTGGAATTGCGCGAAATTCAAAACATCATAAAGCCTCCCAGCTCGTCGAGTACATGCCAATCTCCCTTCTTCAGAATTTGACGTCTCAAATGCGGAACTTCTGCAAATGGCCAAAAAACTGCGCCAAGTGGACACGAACCGCGCTCGGCCCGACCAGATCAAACTGAACTATCAGAAGCACACGGTGACTCGCGACGACAGCGACGCCGCCTCGGACAAACTTTTCACCCGCGTGGACACTTCGATCTTCCGGAAGCCCTCCTACGAACTGTACCTCAATCTGATGGACAACTTCAACCGACAGACGGGAATCATTGAGCCACGTGTCAGTCAGTCGGAGGAGAAGAACGAAGTGGGCAAGTTTCTGGACGTCGTGTTGGAGTCGAATCCGATGAAAGAGTTGTACAATTGGTTCAAGGCAAAAGGTTCAGTCATCCTGTCCGGAAGGGACTGATCCAATCCAACTCGACACTTCCAGGCCACCCAATCGCCGCCACTCCGGCCTCTTTCCGCTTCTGGATCGGTCAACTGTGGTTCTCGCACTACTCGAGAGCCCTCGGCCGCCCGGACACATCTGGATTTGAGCACGTTTTTATTGGAGAGGTGAGTGGAAACAGATGGACGACACGAGAAATATATTACATTTGAATTCAGGCGAAAAACGGAGAGATATCCGGAATGCACAACTGGGTCAGATTTTACACGCTCGAAAATAATCGGACGGAGAACTTTGACTACAAAGGGTTCACAATAAAGCGATTTGTGAGTGAAGACGGGTTACTGCAGCCGAGGACCGGGATTTGATATTCAGAACATAATGGCGGCGCTCAAGTTCACTTGGGACGGACTTCTGAAGCGTGCCGGCTCGATTCTGATCGGAACGTCTCCGGAATTCGACATGGCCCTCTACACAATGTGCTTCCTGTCGAGACGTGGAAGGGAGACTTGTGATGTTCGTAAACTTCCAGGGTCTCCGCCAATATCAGAATAATACTCAGGTCGAGCTCGACGGCTGTCCCCTCCAGATCACCAGTTTCGAGATTATGCAACAGAATAAGGTCTACATCGGAAGCATTTATCCGACGGCGGGAAGAATCACCGATCAGTGTCGGGCTCAGAATCGTTAAATGAGTGTGCAACTCTCGTCATCATTCTTATTTAACAAAAAGCTAACGGGGTCTGTCCGTTTCTCTCTTTCTTCCTTTCTTTCTTTCTTTCTCCATTTGTCCGGCTTTTTTTTCGTTTCTAAAACGGAAATAGTTGTGACGGAGAAACGAAGAAATGGATACGTGAACTAAAAGCGGAAAAGCCGCTTCCGAGCGTTAGCTCAGCCCGCGCAGCGCGCCCAGGTTTCAGAAGTCTTGAGCGAGAGCTCGCCGAGCGCCTAAATTGACTGGCTCCGTGGCAGATTAAGCCGCAGAGAGCTCAGAAGATGCAGTACGATCCAAACTCGTCCAAAACTTCAAGGGTCAACTGAAAACTCGTCGCGTCAAAGTGCCAACGTCTACGGAATACATACTCTTTTCACGTTTTCCTCTGAAATTATCTTTGTTCAGGCTCCAACCCAAATATGCTCATTTTGTGAGGAATGACAGTTTTATCAAATGAAATTGTTGGTTCTCGATATCTTGCTTTAGAAATGCCTAAAACTACAGTCCTGTAAATCAAACCATATTTATCCACATAAATGAAATTCTACTCGCCGCCCTTCTTCTTGTTCGGTTTGCCGGCCTGCAGTTTTGCGAACACTTGGTCGATCTTCGTCTCGCGGTCAGCACTGAAAGCTCTGCAACTCTGCTCCATTGCACATGCACCTCACTCACCACAGCTTGTTCTCTCTGGCCTTGCGCGTGTTCACCCGCACCTCGAATCCCTCGGCTTTGATGGCCGAGATGCGTCTGCTCAGGTGCTTCCAGCAGCCCTCATCGAACGAGAGCCGCTTCTTCATGGTCCACTGGAAGGCGGCGGTCTGCTCGAGGGCGGCCCTCGCATGCACGACCATCTGCGGCATGTCGGTGCGGTTGTCGGCGACGAGCAGGAAGGCAAAGTGCGAGTTGGAGTCGTCAAGCACGTACTCCTGCTCCGTCTTGAACTCCTCCTTCTTCTTCTGCGGATCCGTCGCGTCCTCCGACTTCTCCTTCTGATCCTTCTTGTTTCCGCACGCGACTTGCCGATCTTCCGGCGGCGCTTCCGTTATTGTCAATTCCGAGATGCTCTCCTCGATGTACGTCACGTCTTCTGCCGAAAGAGTGGACGTCGTCGTCGAGATTGTCAGTTTTCTGGCACGATTCGGCTTGATCTCCGTGCTCCTGTTCGACTGAAATGCTCTCAGTCTCATCCGAATATTATCTGGAGATCTTACACAAAGCGAAACGACTAGGATGAACGTTGCTATTGGAAAACATTTCACAATGAGTTGCACGAAGTCTTCCATGTTTGAAAGCGAAATGAACTTCCGGAAAGTAGAAAATAAAAAAATCTTCCCGATTTCCAACATTTTCATGCTTTCACGTGTGAGTGTGTGTATAATTCATAGATTTTATAGTTAGAGTGAGTAAATATATACGGTGTCTATCCATATCAATCCACATATACAACAAAATACATAAAAACATCCAGTCAAGTGTGAACCACGAAACGATTAGAGTGGGTATGAAAAGAGAGAGAGAGAGAGAGAGAGAGAGAGAGAGAGAGAGAGAGAAAGAGAAGCAAACAGTTCACAACCGTTTCAGAATTATCAGCAAAAAAAGAAAAAAAAACACTTTGAAAGGGTAGTTGACATATAGTTAAGAAGAGGGGACTATTTGGTGGCGGAGCGAAGAAAACGGTAACACAATCCGATGGGCGCGCGGGGAAAACGGAGGGAAGGATCACAGTGAGAAATGATGGGAAATGATGAAAATGCGTATAAAGATGGGAAGACAGAGAAGTTCTAGAAGAGCATAGCGAGAGAAGGATGTAACCGTAATTGCAAGCTATTTTTTGTTACAAAAGAGCGAATAGATGTGTACTGATCACAATACTTTGAGTGTTTTTTCTGTTCAATTTGGTGCATCGGTAAGGTACTCAGTACCAAGTAATTGGTCTATTCTGGAAAGGATTTAACGGGGAACGAATCCTAAATGGAACTGAATCGGAGAAAAGGCGAACGCGATCAGCATATCACGCAGCAGCACGTAGATTTCTGCCTTCGTGGGTCGCCGTTTCGAGAGTCGGACATGTCTCCCGGAACTGAAAACAAAAGATGAATAGATTGAACTCCTCACAGATGTCTCATTCAACTCACCCTTTTTCTGTCGCCTCCTCGTACTTCCCGCCCGTTTTGGTGTCGAATCCAGATCGTCGTCTGCCGTTCCGTTCGTCTCCAACTTCCTAAGCCACTCGTCTGGCGACATTGGCTTAGCCTGCTTGTGCTGCGAACTCTGAAACTAATCGAATGGCTGAAAGATGGGCCCCACTTCCCACTGTTACCTTGAGCACTCGCTTGCTCGGAGATTCTCTCTGGTGCTGAAGTGATCCGGTCTGCGAGGAGTGCACATCGGCCGAAACGTCTTCCTTCGACCACGTCCGCAGAATGTCGGCTCCCTCCTTCTGCGCCTCGATTCTGGCCGGTGTGAGTCCACTGCGATCACGCAGAGACTGTCGACGAATGGCTCCGCGAGCAGAGAACGGATTGTCTCCAGTGGTGGCTCCTTGCTGCGGCGACTCGAACTTCTTCCTCTTCTTGCTTTGACGTCGCGAGTCGCGAACTCCGAACGCGAGTCGTCGTCGTCTCGCTTCTGTTTGCACCAACGTCGTGATGACGCCTTTCGTCATCTGATCTTCGCACAGATCCAACGGCGTCTCTCCGTTTTTCGTCTTCGCGTGAATGTCGCCTCCGTACTGGCACAGCAATTCGATGAGATCTGCTTGGGCCCAGCAAGCGGCTGCATGAACAGGCTGCCAGAAGTCATTGTCACGGATGAGCGGAGAGACGGAGCAGGTGAGCAGGAAAGCGGCCACGTCGTAATACCCATTGGCAGATGCCACATGAAGAAAGGTGGATCCATCTGGAGCCCGCACGTCGAGTTCCTTCCCATGCTGATGCAACGCCTTCATGTCGTCCAGCATCGCCTTCTCCGGAGCTCCTCGCATTTCGTCAATGTACGCCTGAGTAATACCTCTGGCGGCCATTTCACTCTCGATCACATCGAGCGTCTCTTCGTGGTCACAGATGTCGTACGGCATGTTTCCCTCCGCGTTCACGGCAAGAAGATTGGCTTTACTGAAATGATCCACTGGCTCCAGATAAAATCCAGATAAAATGTCTAATAAACTCACTTTGCAATGAGAATCTTTACAATGTTGATGTGAGCGCAGCAGGCGGCCGCATGCAAAGGCGTCCACTGTTCCGTGTCCTGCGCGTTCACATTTGCTCCTCGTTCGAGCAGAAGCAGCATGATCTGCTGATTGTCGTCGATGGCACACTGGTGGAGGGGCGTCAGTCCGTCGTCGTTGTGAAGGTTCGGATTCGCGTTCTCGTTTAGTAACCGTTCGACTTCGGCGTAATCAGCTCGGCATGTCGCCTCGAGCAACTCCACTTCCGGAGAGAAGTGTAGTCGTTGACGGCGAGGGCGTGGCGGCGGAAGGGCTCTTTCCCGTTCGTCGTTCCGTCGAAGCTGTTGTCGTCGTCGATCTCTGAAGAAGGAAGGGCTTGGAGAGTACAGTAATTCAAAGGTCTACCTGGCGAGGGCGATTCTCTCCTGCGCCGTCATCCGCTCGATCTCCGGGAGCTCGGCAATGAGATCGGAGTGATCCATTTCGGAATTCCGTTCTGTAATAATTTTATTCGGATTCTGCTATATTCTAAACAAAAACCTACAGTAAGCTCTTCGCCTCTTCAAGCAAGTGTTTCGCCAGATGACAATGGATGATTGATTTGCTTGAATCTCTGTCGTTTCACCCAGACCACAGCAGATTCATCGGTACAAATGCGCCTCTGAAATAAAAGAGAATTGTTGAAAGAGCATATGAGGACAAAAGTGTTCTGTCAAGTGCAATAAAGAGCACAAAGCACGGAGCACAGAGAATCAGAGCCCTAACGGCAACGGGGGTACATTTCAATCCGAAATATACACATTCTGAGAAGGAAGCTGAGCCTCGCGAGGCCGGGAGGTTTCTTGTTTCGATCAAAATGACCGGAAATCGTCAAGGGAGAGCGGTGGAAATAGAGCAGAAAAAGGGAGTCTTGCGAAAGAGTTCAGGTGACTCAGTGGTTCCGAGATTCGACGCCCTTTCGTCGAGGAACGAATGGACCTACACGCATACTACAACAAGACCACGGAGAGCGCAGGGAGAGAAGAGCATCTGGCCGGCGGCCGGCCGGGCGTGCAAAAAAACACTAAATGTCGTTTTCTCAAAATCATCATCATCACAAATCAGCATCCTCCTTTCTTTTCTTCTCTCAGTGTCCAATGCAACACTTTTCCGAGAGGACCAGGAGGCCACTATCACACATTGGTCGACCGACGGCACGGAAGGGATGGTGGCGGCATGTCTACGTGCCAACCGATCACAGCTCACGACTACCCAGCTGTGAGCGAAACGAAGGCAAATCGGAGGGATGCTGATCGGAACGGGTATCCAAATAAATGGGTCGCGGGAGAAGAAAACCACGAGACGGGGGGAGATCTTGCATCGGGTACCACGAGTCAAAAATAAAAAATCGGGCATCGGAATCGGGCATGTTTTGAGCATTCTGGGTCTAGCTTTGTAAAATTCTACATTTAAATAACTCGGAAAGAATGAACGAGACACCTAGTTTTTACCATTTATGAAGTGTGCAGACGAGCATTGGTGGAATATGATCACATTTTTGAGCGCGCGTCTGCATCAAAACACAAAAGCAACATCGAAGAGAGATGAATGGACGGAATAAACTTTTTGCAAGCTCTTCATCAACCTCATCATCTTCCCGATTAATCAATTCTATGGGAAAACGAGGGCGTGTGATTGGGGCAAGTGTCGCTGCGTCTCGGCGCTCTCTCCACCCGTCCCGTCCATCGGTCAGTCATCACACAATCATCGGTCCGTTTCTTATCAGTCAGGCTGTCCTCTCCTTCTTATTCTTATTCTTCTTCTCCTCCGTTTCTATCATTGATATGCCGATGAAAACCGCATTTCTCTCATTCCACAATCGGTTGCGGAGAAGACAAGAAAGCGGTGGAGGAAGAGATGGTTGGAGAAAGATGTTGTGGGAAAAGCGTTACCGAATTTTGAAAAGACTCACAATAAGTTAGTGTGTTCCGTCGTTCTCCAACTGCTCCGTTTCCTTTTTCTCGACCCCGATGTGTCTCCGTGAGAATCTGAAATTGTGAATTTTGAGAAGAAGAAGAAAAATCAGAGCTAATAAAACGGAGTATAACGAGTTGGAAAGCGGTCAATTTCAAATGAGATCTCTTCATCTCTTCTAAAAATATGAAGACGACGAGAAAGGCGCACGCGGCAGAGAAGCAGAAGGACAAGGAAGAGGGTGAAAGAGTAAGAGTTTATATCAAAAGGTGGCCTTTTCCTCCGGAAATTTGAGATGAAAGCCAAAGAGCCGGAGGAGAAGGAGAAGAAGACGAGGACTACGAGGACGACGATGATCATGATTCGCTATTCCGGGTGGGACTCGAGAGATCAACCGGCGCTCCGAAAAGAAAAGAGAAAAGAGTCCGAGAAGGAACGGGGGAGACGGAGCGGAGCAGGTAGATCAAAAAGTTGTTGCGAAATTCGAAATCAAATGTTTGAACAGCCGAAATTGGCATTCGGAGAAAGGAAATCCGAAAAAGTGCGAGAACTTGTTTAGTTTGTGAAAACATAGAAGGCCCTCTGGGGATTCAGGTGTCTCGACGATGATTTATGAAACTGAGTCGAGTGGGCTCACAATGAACAACAGAACATTTTTTACAAAGGAGAATCAACAATAACTGATTTGTTTCCAGGCAAGCTGGGCATTGCAGTGAGAAAAAAAAGTAAACCGGTGTGGTGGTGTGCAAGTTGTTGCTGATGGGGTGTGCTCGGATCGACGGGTGGGGGAGCTCCCCGGCGGCTCTTGAGAGGAACACGCGTAGCTTGTTTGCAAAAACAATCAAAAGGGGAAAAGGGGGAGTGAGACCGGAGGAGGAGGAGGAGGAGAGGGCGAAGGACAAGAAGAAAAAGAAGAAGAATGGGGTCGACACGAGGATGACCTTTGTTGTGGCGAAAAGTAGTGATAGGAAGGGGAGGGGACTGGTTGGAACAAGGCATGGAACATCAGAAGACACGTGATAACACGAGAAGCATCGGCCATGTGGAAAGGGAAACTTATTGCACAGGAAGTGAGAGAGTGATCTAGATGAGAGGACCGAGAAATGAAGAGCGGGAAAGGTTGATTGATAAGAGATCGCGTTAAAAAAACATTTGCTTCAATTTCTTTGTTGCCGAGAGAATTGGAAAGCTCACGTCCTACATCCTACACCAATTAATTAAATTTGCAGCAGACAAAGAGATCCGAAAGTGGAGAAGAGTTCCCGTTGGAATACCAACTAGTGGTACTTGCTATCAAGTACCTTCTTGCATATTCATGAACTTTCTTCTTTTTCCCTATGACGAAGGATACCACGGTTATTCGTTTTGAAGTCGAATAGAAGAACATTGCGATCAAACACCTCGGGAAAAGAGTGCGCACAGAAACATCCGGTTCACAGTGACAGTGTCTCGGAGGGAGCTTATCACCAGTAACCAGTGATAAAAAGAAAAAGAGCGCCCTCCCCGTGGGTGAGTATGTATGGTTGACTCACAGCGAGCACCACGGACGGACCGAAAACGAGAACAAACAATAATGACTAACGGACGGACGGGACGGGAAGAAAAGAGCGACGAGAACACTGAAAATGTGCTGAAAACATAGGCGGATGCGTGCATTGAAAAATGGAGAGAGAGACCGTGGAAAACATATCAGTTTTCATAAACTATGACGGCCGGCTGATTCGTAAACGGGACGAAGTGCGCTTTTCATTCTGACACTGGACATTCGACACCAAAAGCGAAATTTCGAAGCGATTCTTGTTTTGCACATTTGCGAAAGAAGCTTCGCTATTCATGTCACTTTTGCGGAGAGACAAGTCCTCATTAAAACTGAAATCCAACATTTCATACACAAACGCGTCTTCTGGGTTGTGACTCATCCCATTTCGCTCATTTCAGCGTTGACTTTTGACGGAAATTCGAAATGAGAGAAAAGATGGCGGACGAGAGCGAGGGAGGTGGCATTCCACGAATAAATAAATACAAGGATGATGCTCAGACACGGACAAAAACGGGCGCGAGCATGTGCACACGAGAAACACTATTTCATTATCCGGCGGAGCATCATCGTCTCGGAGCCAGCCACTTGTGCTCCAGAAGCTGAACGAGAGAGCAAATTCGCTAAGAGACGGGCCAGAGAATAAAAAGAAAGGGAGAGTTTAAGTTTAATTAAAACCATCGGCTCCACCCTCCTCTCCATCTGGAGCACCAAGGAGCAGCCAGCTTCTTGCTCTTTTCACGAATAAAATTCGGCAGAGCAGCGACAGAAAAGAGGGCGCGAAGCCCGCAGACTTCGTCCTTTTCAAAGCTCCCCCGTAGATACAATCTATGCTCTTTTACACGTTGTCAAGTACGGGCGGCTCCGTCTTTGTGTCTTCCGGACTACAAAAACAAAAAGAATGGCCCATTGGCCCCTCTCAATTTCCGGTTGACCTAGCAAAAAGGGGAAGGAGGCGAAGAAAGGAACGCCAACAAAGTGAGTTAGGACAACGGATTTAGAAACAGAATAAAGCTCATGAGGTATTGTTTTTTTTGCCAAAACATGCATGAAGGGTGTGTGCGTGTGTGTGTGACGAAAACAGGTGAAGTCATCGGATACTACTTCTGTCTTCACCTGCTTTTTCTTCGTTCTTTTTATCAAGAAACTCTAGAAATGGCACCGTTTGATTAGCAGAGACTATTCATGACGAGGTGGACAAACTAACTATATTATTCTATTGGCACGGGGTCATGGTAACCGAAATAAACAATTGGAGGAGGGCGGTCGGAGACTGCCAACGAATACCGGAAGCATAATAATTAGCAGCCGGTGGCCTGTCGCAGAGGCCCGCCATTCAATGATTGATCTCTCTACGAGCCTGTCTCTCTCTCTCTCCTCTTTCTTGACGACCTTTCCATCCTGTGGGCGAAAAGCAGGCAAGAGTGGGCTCCGCGCAAGAGCAGCAGGACAGTGAAAACTGTGGACGGCGCAACAAAATTCCAATGTTCACTGCTGTCGCTCCACGGCAAACACTAACAGAGTACAACAAGCGGCGACGAGAAAGATCAAAACTGCTCGAGTGAAGAGTTCATGAAAACTATAAGGTTGCGAGGATAGCGGGAGTACAAAGAATTGTGGTTCTTAAACTTTAGTGGGAAACCAAAATTTTAACGTCTACGTATTTTCTATAACCACGTCAGGCTTTTTCGCCAAACGAAGACAATATAATTGCGAGTTTGTGCACCCTCCTGCCTTCTCACCCACACCGACGCCAATACAAACAAACAATGAAATCCGTCGGAAGCTCTCTCTCTCTCTCTCTCTCTTTCCTCGTTTCTCGCTCACTGTTTCGGAAGTCGCGCGCCGCCCGGTTCGGCTCTAAACGAGATTGCGTTCGGAACGAAACGGTTTGGGAGACCGAGGCAAGAAAAGAAATCGATGCGGAACGAACTGATCATGATCTACCGACGGGGGAATTAGCGGCAGAATCGGGAATGGGAAGTGGAATTAGAATTAACAATCAAGCAGAGAAGGAGTGAAATTGACGAGGCGGAACGCTTTTTCATCTTCTTATTATCGAAGCTTAGGAATAAGTTGTTCCTAAGCTGCTAGACGGAGAGACTTATAGGAAGCTAGGGATCATTGGATGAAGATAAGTTCATTGGAAGTTTTAAGATTTCCTAGTCAGCGCGTTAGCTTTTGTTGAAACGGCACACCTATTGAAGTGAGAAAGAGAGGGAGAAGGAGACTGTTATCTACAACTGTTCTCTCTTCTTTCCTTCTTCTTTCCTTCTTCTTTTCTTCTTCTTACTTTCTTATCGCCGATCGATTTTCGTGCCAATCGGCGAGGTCATGATGATGGAATGGAAGCCAACCTGTCGACGGCCGTGCGTCGATCAATTTGAAGAGGATTTAGTGAAAGTGGCAGCGGAAAGGGAAGTGGGGAAACAAGTATTCTTCTGAAGAATTCTAGATTTCTAGCAATCCGAATCTAAAACCAAATATCCTTAGCTCCAATTTGAAAGTATTCGTCTTCTTGTGTTTTCTTTCGTTTCGTTGTTTTCAGTGGGCGGATGGACAAGTTGCGAGAAGAAGAAAAATAAATGCATCGCATCTCGCATCGCATCGGTTTCAGAAAAGGGCACTTGTGAGGGAAACTTTTGCGAAAACATTGTGGGGGTGGAAACGACGAACGGCCTCGGAGAGCTTAGAGCGTGGGAGCGGATTAGTCTTTTCTAAATCTTCCGAGGAAGAAAATTATGAGAAAAGAGGGATTTGTCGAGAAAAACTTTTCAGCGTTACAGACTTATAGGATCATTGATTGCAAGGGGAACAGGAAGTCGAAAATTGAATGAACAACTGCGGTGGAGCATGTGTTCAGACAAATTGAAACGTCGAAAAATGCAATTTTCGTTACGAACGTAATTTGTTCAAAAACGTACTGATTGTGTGTGTTCAGTGAGTAAAAACGAGAAATGGAAGAGGCAGAGATGTGTGGTCAGTCAGCGTTTTACGATGCCAAACTTCATCTATCTGGTGGTGGCCTAGAGCACTTTTCGAATAAACGCTGTCCGGATAGTTGTCGGGTGTTCACTTGAGCGCGATTGTGGCTCTATTTGAGCGGAATGAGGCAAAACGGAACAAACTGAGAGCAAAGGGTGAAATGGATATTGTTGGTTTGGCCTTAGATCCCGAAAACTGCATAAAAGAGTGCCCGGCGAGGGCGGGCGGCAAAACGAACACCTCATTATTTGGTGTCTTCTTCCGAATGCATCCCGAAAACGATCCGAGGGGTTCTTCCGAATCTCTTCTCTTCCTAATTGTTGACATACTTTTTTCCCTCCTTTTCTGGAACACAAGCGGCGCGGAGACGCAGGCGATGTGATGAAGCATAAGAGAGAAAAAGCAGGCGAGGTTAGGTTTGTTGTGTGGATGGAAGAAGCGAATGAGCGAATGAATTGTCGACGGACGGACGGACGGACGGAAATGGACGGAGCTCGCAGCAGAAGAAGCAGAAGAAGAAGAAGAATGTGAGAGGGAGAAACATTGCGAGACGGAGAGAGACACAAACACGATCACCTCCACGTCGCATGCAAGGAACGACACGAACGGCCGACTGTGGATGCGGGAAAAGGAAGAGACACTTTTCATGGGAATCTTGCAGTTTTCTCAAATGTAGGTGGTTTCTCAGCTATATGAATAAGACTGCCCGAGCCATAATTCTCCTGTTTTTTTTTCCATTTCACCATTTTCACCTGCTAATTTGATTGTTTTCATCTCTCATCAGAAATGACATCAAAAGGAGACCGACCGTGACAATGCGTTCGGCGACGTCGTCTTCTTCTTCGTCTTCAGAATAGGATGGAACAAAGTAATTGGGACTACGTGCAAAAACTTGTTGGAACGGAGAGAGAGAGAGAGAGAGAGAGAGAAAGAAAACATTGCGATGGGCCGGTTTTGTACGGACAACTAAAAACTCTCGAAAAGTGAACGTCCGTCTCATCCTCTTTCTCCCTTTAACCTTGCGAATCAGAATCAGATTGGGAATCAGGTTTTGCAGAAAACAAACTAGAGAATCTTTGGAAAATAGACAGGAGAAACCACATCTTGTGACCTTGGGATCTGGTATTATATTCATTCCATATCATTTTATGATAGACTATAAGTATCGTCGTTTTAATAATACCTTACAGTCGTACAAAACAGAAGAGATGATGACACGGGCATCCGGAAATAGTATACATCTATTTTTCTGTCGTTCTTTCTCCCGTCCCTGTTTCATCCCATAATTGACACGCTTCACTTGTTTATCATTGAAAAATTGGATGAAAGGAGCTAGGAGAAGACATCAGAAATTAGGTTATATTGGTTTACAATTTGCAAACGAGTCTCTACAACCAGAAGTTCATGACAAGTAGGTAGAGAGGGAGAAGAAATTTGCGCGAATCGAATCGCATCGAATCGCCCATGGCTATTTGGTTTGACTCGTCAATGGAGAAGCGGAAAAAGCGTCGGAGGGGAGAGACGCAGAGACGGAGAAGACAGTCCTCTGGTACGAAAAGGTGAGTAGTCGGGCCGGCACCGTAAGGCAAGGAGACTGTCGACTCGAGACCCTCCGCAGTTCCCACAATCTCTCTGTGCGCCTCCCGCGCAAGACGCGACCTCTTGGGAGGCCGATTGAGAAAGTAATAGAACGGGTGGAGCGAGAGAGAGAGAGAGAGAGAGTGGAGCAAACAGAGAGACGGAAGCATTGCGACGGACAGGGACAGGTAGACAACACATCGGAGAACGAACAGTGGTCCCCTCGGGTTGAAATTGTTGAAAATAATGTCATTCTCAATTAGTACTTGAGTTTTGTTACTATACAACACATTCAGATTGGAAGCCATGCGGAAAGGATGCGGAACGATGCGGAAAGAGAGAGGCTTACTCATTTATTCGGTTGCTGTACTCTGATGTATTCAAGGGCCGTTCAAGTGGTATACGGTGAACGGTGAATGAGAACACATCGAGAAGAACGGGCTGGAGAACTTTTTTGAACATTTCAAATCAAAAAGAAGGAGGTCAACGTTTTGACATAATTTAAAGAGCATCTCATCGGAGAACGTGGTGTCGCTAGGAGATTCTCTCTCTCGACAGAGAGAGAGAGAATCCCATTTCATTTCTATTTCAACGCTTCGATATTTATACGAATGTGTCTATTTGATTCAAACGGCCACACAGTGAATTCGGTAAGTTATATCGAAAACTATGAACTTACGGCATTGAAAGTACGAAAGTTTGGAAATCATAGATGGAAAGGGAATAGTGGGAGAACGTTGTGACACAATCGAAAACATCGAAACGCCACGCAATCGTACAGCGGTGTCAGCCCTCTTTTATGCATGATCAAAGCCAAGTGTGATACGAATTTGGTGACACATTTAATCGAGTGCAATATGCAAAGGAATCGGGCTGATAATCAACAAAAAATCCCGAAAAAACAACAAAAAGAATACAGAGAAAGTGAGCTACCGCAGCGCGGGGAACAAAGAAACAAAATATGAGTATGCGCCTTTAAATTGTGTTTTGAGAATGTGATTTCAACACTTCGATGATTCATATTTCGGGCGATTTTTTTAAATTTTGAATAAAAATAAAAATTTAAATGTTTGTTTTTACCTCTTGTTGACAAAAAAAACAGAAATTGTTTAGAACAAATGAAAATGAAATTTGCAAACCACAGTAACCCACAGTAATATTTCCCTATATATTTGCCCCGGCGCGCTCTCCGCTCTCTCAATCTTCTTTGATTTCTCTTATCATTTTTCTTGTCTCGAAAAAATCTTAAAACTTCCAGTTCTCGTTCAAAAATGCATTTATTTTCTCTCAAATATTCTCTCAAATTTCAAACATTTTTATTTAGGCGGCTCACAAAAACGGACAACGACGACGACGAAAATTCGAATCGAGTTGGAAAAGAGAAAAGAGGCAAAATTATCAGCAAAAAGTGAGTTTCCTTTGTTCGCTTATCAATATTTATGACGAAATGGCGGCGTTGTGAGTGAGAAAGGCGGCGCTCCAGAAATTCTGATAGAAATTCCGGTATTCTTCAGTCGTTTGCACAGTTCCGATTGACGATTTGACGGGTTCTCTGTGTGGAAATGCGTTGAAAACCCTTCTGACCCTCCACTCACTTCGACTCTATCTTCTTCTGTTTTGTTCTTCGATTCTGGAACCAGACCTTCACCTGATTATCACTCAATCCAAGCGATTCCGCTAGTTTGGCTCGCGTGGCTCCACTCAGATATCCGGAATCGTTGAAAGCTCTCTCCAACTTCTATGAATCCACGAACATGTTAAAATGGGCATTTAATTCCGACTAACCTCCAACTGCTCGTCGGTAAAAACAGTTCTCGGTCGTTTCGGGCGCTCCAAGTCGAGTTTAGCAGGAATTTCAAGCATTTTCTCAGCGCCATTCGCACTTTTAATGCGAATAACACGGACGAAATCGGCGTCGGTAGCAGACGGCATGTCGGCAGAAAGTGTGAATGAGCTCTCCGAGAGCAGCAACATATGGAGAGGTCCAGGAGGGGGATGACACTTGAAAAGTGGGTGGGAACTGAACGGCTGTCAGCAGTAATTGCAGTCCAATCTAACGCCGCCGTATTGTTCATCTTTCTATTCAAGTGAGAAGGAGCCAACTTTGAATGGGGAAACAAAGCAAGAGCATTTGGATTGGATTGGATTGGCTTACTTGAGAACTGTTTAGAAGAGCGAGAGATATTTGATGCTCCGCGTTAATTGATGAACGTCGTGGGCGGTCCCGTAATTACTTGTACCTAAGAACTGGAGATCCGCATTTAGTACTTCCCATTTCAGAACAATTCAGAGCTGAAGTCCATCCCATTTGCTTTGTATATAAGAACATAAAGGGAAAATAAATAAGGTTTTATTCATCAACGCCTACAAAAAAGCTGGAAAATAGTGATCTACAGACACATTCAATTATTAGTGGTAACAATTCCATAAATTGGCTCTGACGATTGAATTTCCGAGACAACCACACCAGGTAGAATGAGAGAGAAAGTGGGAAGAGAAAGAGAGACGCGGAGAAAAAACAATCAGTTTTTGAGTGATAAAACTGAAAAAATCGCCGATATTTTTGTGTTTTTTTTTTTGGTGCAAAAAACCACTTTGATTATTTCGAAGAGGGGGAGTGAGAGTATGGGACTGGGTTAGGCTGAAACACCTAAATACGCTAGCGGTACCTTACAGATACTTTTTAAAAAAACGAAAAAAATTGCAAAAAAAGCGGGTGGGGGGGAGGGAACAATAAAAACTGACTTTCGAAGAGAGTGAATTAGACAGTATTTCAACATTTTTGTACACGCTTCGAAGAGAAAATCGATTAGAAATGACTATATTTTTGATGAGAAGAAGCTGGCAGAGACGGATGGGATGATGGACTAGGTGACACTGGAATTACATGTACTATCGATCGATTTGGATGAAAAAGAACTGAAATATGCAGAAGAGGAGGTTCGAGATTATCAGAAAAGCGGGGTTTTTGATATTATGAAGTAGGATGGATGTTCGCTTTAAGATATTAACTTATTAGAATGATTTGGATTACTGTAGGATGACAAGAAAGAGTCATTTTTTGATTGATGTCCGTTATTTGATTTGGTTGGTGAGAAAGAGGAGCAGGGAGAGAAAGAAGAAAGAGTGAATGTACAGGAGAGACGCAGAGACACACGTACGCACACGCAGAGGAAAAAGGAGAAGCTGAGAGAGGAGACGATGACGTCATTCGGGGTCCGGCCTGCAAGATGTGGAGCATTGAGCCAAATAGTTTCGGGTCGGCTAGCTCAGTCCGCGAATTGAGCTAATTTGAAAGATTTCGGGTTGGAAAGCATGAAACTACGCTATAGTTTGTGGGAATATTTTGACGGAGAAGCTTCTTGTGTGCGTGAGAGTATATATTCGAAATGTTCAACGTTTCATAGAAAAAAATACTCACTTTGGATGATTCTGCCGAACGGGCAGTGAGTCAGAGGACAGCTGTTTCGGGAGAGCTTGACCAGCACCAATCGAATCTTGCGGCTGAAAAATGGATGTCTAGAATGCTGATAATCGTCTGGTTTTCTAACCTTCGCAGGCTTGCTCGATGTCGGTTTCTTAGTCTGGCCCACATTAAACACAAAGTTCTTCCAGCCTAATCTTCGGGTTCCGTGTTGCATAGCGGCGGTCAACACGGCCTTGTAGATCTGTGATTTCACAAATCTCGGATACGAATCTTTAGCCATCAAAGTGAAGACGTGCTCTTCCGAATGGTAGAATGCGAATCTCATCTGAGAAGCATCGGCCGCCTTTGAAATGCAATCGAGTGTCTGATCGAGAGTCCTCGAGTCGACGTTCACTTGCGCGGGAGCTCCCTGAGCCAGGAATTCTTCTCGTATCCGTTCGGCCTTCTGATAGATCTGCTCATTCGGCGCATATTTCAGGTCTTGTATTGCAACCCAGAATCGTATATTTTCCGAGGAGAACTCTGATTCCAAGAAGGTCTCAAGCACCTGCCGACCAATCTGATCCTTCACCAACTCTTGCACCGAAAGTCCCCATCGTTTTACCCGTTTCTCGGAGGGAATCTCAGTGCCATTCCTAAAAAAAAAACATTTTTTGAATGGAAGCGGCATTTCAGCGGACGCACGTGTCAGTTTGCTTATTCCAGTAAGCGCCGTCGTCGCTAATCCAGGGGTTAGACGGCTGCGGCGCCTGCAGAAACGGGTCGAACTCTGCTCGCTGATCCACCCACGTCACCATCCTGCAACAGATCACATTGATCAACAATTCTGAACCCCATCGTTTTGACACACGCCAATTTTCTGTTTTCGTACGTCATCAGTAGTCTCTATTTTCCACAATACGTTTTTTAATTATCGCCACCGCTAGCACCTGTTATCAGCAGCAGAGCGCACCAATCAAGACTATTTTCGGGTGCCGAAAGTATTTTCCACCTGGACGCCTCAAAGCTCTAACAATTGTTAACGCTCTCATAAAGTTATAATAAGAAATGCGAGAGTGGCCGCCGGGAATGGTAACTCGAGCCCGGCTCATTGGCTTGTCTTTTGACGGCTTCGTCCTGTCTGGATGACGTCACTCACGTATCGGACGCCTTCAACGCCTTCAGCCACGGTTTCGTCTTGATCGCGAACCGCAGTCGATCCATTAGACATCGGTAGCCCTGCGCATTCTGTCGTCGTATCTTCTTCTCCAATTTCATGTACGGATCTTCAAGAAAGTTTGCTCCGCCACGGCCGGGCTTCCGAATTTTCCAGAACGCTCGTTCTTCCGAATCGAACACAACTTTGTCGACTTTCTTCTTCTCCTTCTGCTGCTTTAATTGTAGTTCCGACTGTTGAACTATAAACGCCCACATATGAGCGAGAACATCGGCTAGTCTGAAAAAGGGTATAATTTGGGAAAATTAGAGCGGAAAAGTTAAGAATTACCTGTTGAAAGACTCCACTTCATCTTCTTCTAACCCGTGTTTTTGCTCGTTTCGCAGCAATCGTTTATTGAGGTAGATGGCTGAAAAAGGAACAGAGTTCAAGCGAATTGGGCGAGGATTAGTGCTCGAGCTTTCAGAAATGCCATGGCATTAAAACATCTGAAAATTGCTCTCGAAAGGGTAGCAGGCGCACATAAATCCCTTCCAAAATTTAAAAAAAGAATCGAAAGTTTACCGTATTCGACATCAGGGACAAGTTCGGCCTGTGACGGCCAGAAATACGGCCTCTGCAGCCTGTACAGGGTTCCGTCGTCTCGAAATGGTTGGCCCTAAAATAAAGAACATCATTCACTCATAACTAGAGACTTTTGGGAAAAACTCACGTGCTCGATAACCGGGAAGAGGTAGCCATGATGGAGCAGCAGACTCGCCAGATGGCTCGCTTCGGCCTCGTCCTCAGGACCACCCTGGAGAAGGGCGTGAACAGAAAATCACGGAAATGATAAGGGACTTACTCTTTCGAGAACGAGCGCTATCAACTGTTGACCGGTGATGGCGTGCGGCACGGCGATTCGGAAGTATTTGTGCGTTTTCAGCTGCGCACCTTCCATCACCCGCTTTGCGAGCACCTCGATCTGAAATTCGTCGCATTTTTGAACAACCGGAATCGAGAGCTAGTGAATGACGAATATGTGCTTCATTTCGATCGACTACAGAACAATTGTAGCGAGGGGACTCACCTTGGTCAACGGTGGCATCATACAAAATGCGGGGTGTGAGTGCTGCGTGGCTCAATCAATTCGACAGCGTATATGGGCTTCTGCAGGGCCTCCTCTCCGTTGATTATGTGCTGGCGCCAATCTGTAAATCGGCCATAAAGCCCACGTGGCACGGATGATGGAAGATGATGATGGAAGATGATGATGATGATGATGATGATGATGGGAGGAGGAGGGAATGAGAAATAATAAAATAGTAAGGCCAATATGCCCCTCTCTCTCTCTCTCTCTCTCGCTCTCTATCTCTCTTTCTCTGGCGCGCGCTTTCTCTCTCTCTCTCTCTCGCTCCCGCTCCCTCTTCCTTCTTCTCCGGGGGCTGCTGCTGCTGCTGCTGGGGTGCGTGGTGGGCGGGAGAGGGGTGCTTATGTGTGAGTGAGTCAGGAGAGTGAGCGCAACCGAGTGAGTGTATTTGTGTGTGTGTGTGTGTGCGTGTGTCGACGATGGCGAAGCCTTCTCTTCTGAATCGCCAGACGCAGACGTGCAAAGTCAACAGCACGGCGGGGCTGAGACGGCGAAAGCGGGCGCCCTTCGCAGGGCCCTGCAGCCCAATGATTTCCGATAATCGAGCTGTCTGGGCTCTCTCGCTTCGTCTGCGGCTGGGGCTCCGAGAGCTCCGAAGCTCCGAGAGCCCCCTATGTGTGTGTCAGTGTGTGTGTGTGGGGTGCGTGTGCTTCTTCTACTGCTTCTCCTTCTCGTTGCTCGCCCCGCGCGAATCGATCTCGCCGTCTCGGACCTCTGCCCTTCTCTCTCTCTCTTAGTTGTCACAATCAGCAGCACGCCGGGCTTCTCCCTTCCCCTCCGCCGCCTCCGTCTCTTCGCACCGTTCACTCTTTCGTCGGCTTCTACTGGAGATACGTCTCCTTCTTCTTGTTCTTCTTCTGCTTCTTCTTTCAGTTGCGCACGCGCGCGTGTCTGTGTGTGGCTCCTCTACTTCTTTCCCCTTTTATTCAATTTTGATGTGCGACGGCGACGACGAGCTTTCCCCTCCCCTCTCTTTCTCTCTCTCTCTCTCTCTCCCTTCTCTATACGGGAGTGTGTTGCTTTTTGGTGCTGGTAGACGAGAGGATACTACTACTTTCTACTCGTCTTCTCACACTAGTTTTGGTGGTAAAAAAGCGCCGAGAAAAGATGAGATGGAGAAGAGGAAGATGGGTGCACACGAACGACGACGCCGGACGACGGTTGGTTCAAAAGTCTTTCAGAGATCACTTTCTGAAATAATTTCTGTTCTTATATTATTAAATATTCAAGTAATTGCTTCAAGATACTGCTTTATAATACAGAAAAAACGAAAATCTGAATATTCTATACTTTCTAGAATTTTTCTAGGATTCAAGACTTCAGGTACTGATCAATCTGAGCAGATCAACAGGATAATCGCGGCGGCGATTAAAAAGATCAAGTGCATCCGATCGGTTCCTTGTTGACTCAATCCTTCCTTCTCTCCCCAATCGTCGTCGTCGCCTTGATTCGCAGAGAAATTTATGCGTAACAATTCGACTCCTCTCCTCTCAGTGCAATTCGACACTCTTTCGGCTGATGTCACCAGGCAAATGTGGGCATTCTGAACGATACATGGGAACTTGAAATGATAAACAATCTCTCACAATCCATAAAGTAGTCGGAGAAGGAATACGGTGTTCATGGCGGTGTTTGCACAGAATTATTCTCAGCGCGCGCGCCCCATCGCACTCTCACGTACCCACTGGCCGATGACGGAGAGAGCACGGGAGACGGAGGGCGCCAGAGAATCAGACAGACATCGTATTTTCTGTGTTTGTTCATCACGTTTCGCCCCTGCGATTCCGATTTCCCATGTTTAGCAGCTCTACGTTTACACTTTTTCTCATCAGAAATCGTCGTCGCTTCGTGTCAAAGCAAAGCATGTTATCGATTTTCTCAGCGTTTATCATGTGATTGTAGGGCAAACCGGAAGAGAGTCGTCGTCGACGACGTGGCCCGTCTCTTCCGAAACAGCACGGCGAAGATGGCGACGACGAAGTTCTACACGAAACAACGGTGCAATTGGACGGAAGGGAGGGACGCGAAGGTGGACGAGGTGATGCGCGAATGGATGCACAAGTGAGCAAGAAGCGGGAGACGCAGACAAACTGAAATTTAGATAAAAATTATTGAGAAGCCTTTTATCAACAAAAAAAAACGCGACTATTCTTTGGTTTCCAGATTCTGCACATTCCAAGACGTCAAAATTTGCATATCGACGTTCAACGTGAACGGAAAAAGCCCTTTGTCTGTTTTCCCGACGTGGTTCTCTCAAAAACGGGAAGATGTTGCCGATTTTTATGCAATCGGGTGAGTTGGTTAAAGACTGGAAAACATGGAGCACGTGGAAGAGTTAAGATCAAAAAAATTGTCAGCAAACGATAAGAAAACTGAAAGATAAGGTGTTTTGGTTCTTTTCAACCCTCCCAAATACTATTGCTTGAAAAATGGTGCGTTTTTAGAAGCAAGTAGTTAGAATTCATTTAAACTTCAATGAAGAAAATTGCAGTCTACAAGAAATGGACCTTTCCGTCGGCACGTACATCATAGACAACACGAAAAAGATGGAAGAATGGGTGGATTCGATACACAGCTCACTTCCAGGCGGACGAACTCATTATAAAGTGGTAAAGAATTCGATCTCATTTTTAATTCTCATCCTTGACCTTTTCCAGATCCGTTCAATGCGTCTTGTCGGCATCTTCGTCATTGTCTTCCAGTCGTTTCACAGTCAGATCGAAGTGAGCGAAGTGAACGTGAAGTACGTGGCAACTGGCATTTCGGTGCTCGGCAGCAAGCTAGGCAACAAGGGCGGAACGGCCATCTCGATGAAGATGAACGACACGTGGGTGTGCTTCGTGAATGCTCATTTCGCCGCCGGCAACAATGAATTGGAGCGGAGGAATCAAGACTTCAGAGATATCAACGACGGCGTCGTTTTCTATCCGAGCAGCCAGCAGGACGGATTGGTGAGTTCGTCTCTTTTTGATCTCTCCGCAAATTTCAATTGTTTTTTTCAGCGAGATCGAACTCTCGAAGTTCCGGTACTAACCCTCATTGATCACGACGTCGTCTTCTGGTTTGGCGATCTGAACTATCGACTGAACACGGAAAACGTTGGGATTTCCAACGAAGAAGTCCGACGGATTGCTTCGAGTAATCGATTCGGAGAGCTTCTTCAGTACTGCCAGCTCCGCGAGCAAATGACTCTCGGTCATGCGGGAGTATTCAAAGATTTCGAAGAGCCGACGACATTTGGATTCCGACCCACGTACAAATACGATTGCGGAACGAACACTTGGGACACAAGCGAGAAGGGAAGAGTTCCCGCTTGGACGGACAGGATTTTGACGTTCAAAAAGTACCCGCAAGTCGGATTAGACGTTATGTAAGTGTTATAACAGTCCGGCTTCTAAGATTTCTAAGAGAACTTTCCAGACGACCTATGGAAAGTGTGGAGACGATCACCGTTTCGGACCACAAGCCCGTTCGTGCGATATTCAGTTTAAAAGTGAAAAAGATTGATGAGAAGGGCGCGAATCTAGTTTACGAGGAGGCGATTCGAGAAGCGGACAGAAGAGCGAACGAGGCATTGCCGCAAGTGCAGCTCAGTGTGAACGAGGTCGACTTTGGAGTTGTCAACTATTTGGAGCCGAAGACGCGCAGTGTCGTCGTGCAGAATGTTGGAAAATCGAAGGTGAGGAGAGCAAAAATAAATTTTTCACATGAAAAAAAACAAACAACACTTTTTTGCATAGAATTTTGGTGAACGCGCTCTATGTAGAAAACTCACATGCATTTCCCACCCAGTTCGTTACTAGTGAGACCTAGTTGAATTGGTCGATCAATGCGATGTCGCTCTCTTTCGTTTTCATAATAATTTGCATGTGACCCGTTCCCGTTCGTGCTGCACAGCCGAGGGAAATCCCTCCGATCGGCACCAATTTTTCGTTGTTTTTCCATCAATCAAACACGCAAACACACAGTGATCAATTCATCACATGACCCCCATCCTTTTGTGTAAATATTCCCCGTTTTTCCAGGTGCGCTTCTCGTTTAAAGTTCGTCCGAACGCGCACAACAGTCAGGAGATTTGCGAGAAATGGCTAATGGTAAGCGAATGAAAAAGGGAAGAAAAGATGGTTGTCTGATTACTGCATTGTTTGTTCTCTTTCCTGTCCTTTTGAATTAGAAAAGAAAAAGAAAAAGCGTGCGAGAAGATGGCAGAATTCCGGTTCGAGATAGAAATCTTCTGGGGCTTCTCCCCCTCGTCCTACCATCCCTCCGCCGCTTTCTCTGCCATTTTTCGGGAATATTCCGATGTTCTTGCCTTCAGGTGACACCGACACACTATCAAATACCCCAAGGATCTTCCATGGAGGTTCGGATTGCTATCCGCTTGTTTGATTTATTCATTTCATTTCCAGATTAATCTGACTGTCTCCATCACTACAGACATTGTCCGCAAGATTCCGGGCATGTCACGAAACGGACAGCTACAGGAGATCCTCGTGCTGCACTTGGAAAGAGGAAGGGACTACTTCATTCCCGTGGCGGCCACCTACAACAACTCGGTCTACGGAACCTCTCTCGATAAACTGTTGGCGATGAGACCCAAAGCGGAAGTGAACCTTATTGACTTTGTGAGTAATGATTTTATGAATGTAGTACTCACTGCGCTTCCCAGGGAGATGATTTCTCGATCTCGTCCGATGACTGTCCTCCCGACGTTCCGCGCGTCGTTTATCGCCTAGTCCGAACTCTCCGAGCACGCGGAGCCCATCAGTTGAATCCGAACGAAGACCAGGACAATGCCGTGTTCAACCAGATCAGATCGGCTCTCGAATCGGGTCATCCGGACGATCTTAGCAAAACGGGCTCATCGTTCATGCTCTACAGCGCCCTTATTCGGTTATTGGACTCTCTGGACGAGCAAATCGTTCTGGAGGGAATGGCAAAAATGATACACGGCGAGATGATCAAGTACAGGACGGATGCGAGACAGTGAGTCGCTTGTGGCGTGTCGAGAATTCCAGAATCTTTGCAGGCTGTGGTCAGTAGTCCGTTCCAGTCTTCCGAAGCCGAACCAGGCAGTTCTCGAGCTCGTTTGCCTGATGCTTCGCGAGTTTTTCAGTCAGAAATACGAACTCAAAAGTGCGTTTTGCTCATTTTTAGCGTACTAACCAATTTCCAGCTTCAGATCAACTGTCCCTCTGGTCGACCGTTCTTTTCCGATACGAATCGGACGAGAAGTTGCACGGAATGTTCAGCACCGCCCTGTCGACAATGTGCGAATACGGGCCAGACGTGGCGCTCGGATAACTTCCGCACTTATTCTCAACTGAGCACACTTGCTCTTGGTGCATTTTCACTCAAAACGGGTTCCTTTTTTTTATCAGTTCATCGGTTTATGTGCCTTTTTCACTTCGTTCCCTGGGCCATTCATTGTCTTCCATCCATAGATATCCCCATTTTGCCATTTTCTCTGATTCTTTTGTTGTATTTATATCTTATTTTTCTTGTGATATTAATACTAAAACCCTGTTCAAAACTAACCGATTTTTCTGATTTCTTGTGAAATTCTTTGCATAAATTTTAGCGAATTCTTCTTAACCACTGCTTACATGTATCTTCACGATTACTCGCGACATTCCGATTTCGGTTTGATACTTTCTGTTTCCCTCTCGTTCTATAACTTCCATTCGTTTAATTTCAAGTTCAGAATCCTCAAAATGTCGTGGCTTTTGGCGGATATGAAAAAAAAGATGAACGAGGCGAAAACGACAATAGAACAGAGCTTCAAGCAAGTCGCCGAGACTACTAACATGGTAGGTGAACACACGAAACATTCGTTATCGCTTCGATAGTTTAAGACGGAAAAGGAGCAAAACGAGGAAGAAGCTCCAGTTTCACCCGAAGAGAAAGAGCAAAAAGAGCCGATGAAGACGGAAGAGGAACCGACGTCGCCTCAAGAATCAACCGCCGAAGCTGCAAAAAAGTCGATGGTCGCTCTGTTCGGAGGACTGAAAGCGGGCAGTGGAGTGGCATCGACGAAGCTGTTCGAGTATGCAAAGGATGCGACGAAAAAGTTAGAGGAGGTCAAGAATGCCGTTATTGAGAATGTGAGCAGCATAATTTTCCCTCCTAATCGAGATCTTTCCTGCAGACAATGCTCGGCGATCTGAACAAAGAGCAAGATGAGTTTGAGAAGAAGCTCGAGGAAGAACGGGAGAAGCTCAAGAATATGCCAATGCCATGGGAAGGTCTTCCGGATGAAGTTCTCGCCAAAAAGCAGATGATGTCGTTGTCCACGGACACTCGCAACTTCCTTCGCGACTCAGCGGCGAGCAGCGAGTATTCTTACGAAGAGCAGCAGGCGATGGCCAAGCGGCTTCTGAAGGAAGATCCTAATCTGGCCAACGTGCGGTTCCAATTGGTGCCAAAACAGTGAGGAATTGTAGAGAGAATAGCATCAAATAACACAAACATTTTCAGAGTGAAAGAGAATCAATTCTGGCAAAACTACTTCTACCGAATCGGGCTAATTCGTCAATCGATGATCGGACAAACTACCGGAAGAACGACGCCCACAATGACAACTAGCACTTCCTTAGTCGTCGAGAAAATAGAAGAGCCGGTGGAGAAGGCTGAGGCTCCAGCTGAGCAACAGGCCAAGAAGCTAGAAGTAGAGGAGGCGACGGAGAAGGAGCCCGAGCTGGACGTGACACAGGAGAGCGAGGAAAGCGAAGAGGAGAAAGAGCCAGTTCTGGAGCAGCCAGCGGCTCCAGGAGAACAGACTCTGACTAGCGTTGGTTAGTAAATGTGTGGATGTATTCTGAAATTGAAATCATTCTTTCAGATGAGGAATGGGAACGGGAGATTCTCGCCGACCTGAACGACTACGATGATGTCGTTGAGAAGACTGGCGGAAAAGACGAAGATGCGTGGGAGGCAGAGATTCAAGAGCTCCTCAATGCCGAGTAAAGCATTCATAATTTTAGAAATCAGCTTTCATTCCTATTGACTGTTCGTCCCGTTCGTCATGTAAATCTGTAAAAACCCTTCCCGTCCGACTGTGTAATTTCAATGAATATTCGTGATTCATTTCAATTAATTCGCATTTGTTCCTTTTCATTTGGTTTCTGAGGAAAACATTCGTTTAAACCGAGATTCAATTTCTTTTTCATTTTCTGCTTATTATTTCCAGAACATTGTCCGTTTCAGAATGGACGCGAGTTGCCTTTTCAAAGCGCTTCTCGCCACCAACTGGGCCCTTTTTCTCTGGGACCAATACATCACGTGGCGGCAGTACAAGTGCGTTTTCTGTGAATTTTATTAAGACATTTCGACTGTTTTCAGAGTGCATCGAGAAGCAGAAAAACGGCCGAATGAGGTGAAAGAACTGATCAGTGAGGAGGATTACAAGAAGGCGAGGGACTACAAAATAGACAATCACCAGTTCGCGTTCGCCCACAATTGGTTCTCGCAGGCGCTGCTCACTGCTCAGCTCATCGGCGGATACTATCCGTTCCTTTGGTACGCTACCGCCAACTACCCATTCCACGTGGCAGTCTTCCTCTCCGTCAATTCGGTCATCGAGACGTTCATCGATCTTCCGTGGGACCTCTACTCCACGTTCATCATCGAAGAGGCACACGGATTCAACAAGCAAACGATCGGCTTCTATCTGATCGACAAATTGAAGAAGATGCTCGTCGGATTCGTGCTCACCATGCCGATCGTCTACGGAATCGAGTGGATCGTCGTCAACGGCGGACCGTACTTCTTCGTCTACATCTGGCTGTTCGTGTCCGTCGTCGTCCTCCTCCTCATGACCATCTATCCGTCATTCATCGCTCCGCTCTTCGACAGATACTTTCCGTTGCCCGATGGAGAGCTCAAGACTAAAATCGAGCAGTTGGCCGCCTCCCTCAGCTACCCACTCACAAAGTTGTACGTGGTGAACGGCTCCAAAAGATCGGCTCATTCCAACGCATACATGTACGGATTCTGGAAGAACAAGCGCATCGTGCTCTACGACACTCTATTGAGTGGGTCCGAGAAAGAGAAGGTGCACGAGTTGTACGTGGAAGCGGGAGAGAAGATCGAGGAGAGCGAGAACGACAAGAAGAGAGGAATGAACAACGACGAAGTGGTGGCTGTGCTCGGGCACGAATTGGGTCACTGGGCCCTCTGGCACACCCTCATCAACCTGATTATCAGTGAGCAAAGCCTAAAATTCGTTCCTAAAGAAGCCCTGTTTCAGCCGAAGTCAACCTTTTCTTCTCCTTCGCCGTATTCGGTTACTTTTACAAGTGGGAAGCTCTTTATCAGGTAACCGAAACTACTCGCGAACTCTCTTCATCTCTGTCTTGCCAGGCATTTGGCTTCACGGACACTCCGCCAGTCATCGGAATGATGCTCATCTTCCAGTACGTGCTCGCCCTTTACAACCAACTCGCCGGCATCGGAATGGTCATTCACTCGCGTGCCGCCGAGTTCGGAGCCGATGAGTTCGCCGCGAACCTCGGACACGGAGACAATCTGATCGGAGCGCTCACCAAGTTGGGCGTGGACAATCTGTCGATGCCGATCAATGACTCGCTCTACTCGTGGTGCTCCCACACTCATCCGCCGGTCGTCGAGCGAGTCGCCGCCGTCAGAGCCTTCCAGGCCAAGAAACAATAATATGCCCCAGATTATACTTGTATCCCGTCTGCCAAAGCTATCAAAATGACATGCCAATTTCAATATTTCATTTATTTATTTACGCTTCAATGTGATTTCCCCCCAACTACTGTCGCATTTTCTCTGTTGGGTTTCTAAAAGATTTACGTTAACCACATGTCGACTAGACACCAAACAAAGAGCGCAATGTCAAAACGGAACATTGCACTTTTTTGTGGGCTCCATGTCTGTTGCTCTCTGTGTTCGACGGCTGTTGACACCTTGTGCGAACGAGCACAAAATCAAAACAGTCTTCTTTATTTCTCTCGCTCTCTTCCCATTCCGCTGCCTATTTGCTCGCACCCAAACAGTCTCTGTTTGCTGCTTTTTTGAGCACATTGCTCTCTTTTCGCGACCAGCTCTCCACCACAACATCAGGCTCTCTTTTGCCAGTTATACACATTTTCGGCGAAAAAACGGAGAAGATCACAATATCATATGTAGCTGTACCCATTTTGAGAGGAATTCCAGACAAAGGTGTTCGGTTTCCGAAACGCGAGAAGGCAGGGTCTACAGTAGTCCCTCGGGGGTTGGCGGCGCCGCCAAATGAAATCATTTTCTCCGCCACTCGTCTTTTTTGGTGCTCTCGAAGAACACCACCACTTCTCGCCCTCCTTATTCCATTTCGCCTCCTTCTTCTTCTTCTTCTTCTTCTTCTTCTTCTTGTCTCCATCGTCGTCGTCGTCGTCGTCAACTTGTTGTGTGCATCTTTTCTTTTGCTCCGTGAGCTCCAATAATCGGGGAGCAAAGAGGGGGGAGAAGAGCGAGATGAAGGGGGCGGACTGCACAAACCACTATATGTTTGGTCTTTCCTTCCATCACATTCCTACTCTTCATTCATATACTCTTTATGAATCACCTCGAATTATCATCCGTTTCTCCCGAGCACCTACTGTGTTTTGTGAGCTCAACGTGGCGGCTCCGGTGTCGTGTTGGCTTTCCCACGGCCGTTTTGGCTTTCGGCTCACAAACCAGTTGACTCTATGAACTTCTAAGCGGTCGGATAGAGCACTAACAGCTAGAATTAGAACTTGGCTTGGCTTGGACCATCAAAGTCCTATTCGTCGCTCTTATGAATTGGCTCATAACTCAAAAATGAAACATTTTGAAGCAAAAGTATCAATTACAAAAATGATGAGCACAAAATTCTCTACAACTTTTCAATTTACAGCTTCTTGAAAGAATGTTTGGTTCTCGAGATACAGGCCTCTAAATTTGACAAACGTGAGCAATTGAAATGGGCATTTTGAATTCCGCCTCGCCCTCTCATTTATCACCCTCTCTCCCCCTACTTCCGCTCATTTTTTCTTTTTCATATTCCACGTTCTTTTCTATTTTTAACACCAATTCGTCATCTCCAATACGCTCTCACCTTCTTCGATATGAAAAGAGAATCGAGAGCCGGGCGGGCCGGCGAATTGCAGACTAATCCGGAGGAGGGATTACGTGGCGGACACGAAAACAGCGATTGTGCCACGTCATAACTCACAATGGGATTTAGTTGAGGCTACTGTAGAAGCGGAACACTACCGTAATCCTTCGTAGACATTCAAGACGTTCCCTAACAAGTTGTGCTCCTCAAAAAAACACTCGAATCACTCCTAATCTCTCTTTCTCTCCAAATCCTTTCCGTTTTCGATCGGTGCCTAATCTCATCCGATTCCTGCTCATTCCACGTCACAATGACTCACACAGTTGTCATTGGCGACCCAGGAAACGGCGGGAATGGAAGCGGAAGAGCAAAGTGTCGGCTTTCAGTGAAAAATGATCCTTTTCTGCAGTGATTTCCCCTTTTTGCCGCTTTTCTAGATGAGTTTAGTATATAATTGGAATAGGAAAAAGAGAGCAAGAAGCGGAGCAGATGAAGAAGAAGAAGGAGAAGAAGGAGAAGGGAGGCATCAATTAATACCCTTCTCACTTGAGAAAACCGAGAGAAATACCAACTGAGTGAGCTCTTCTTGCTCTCCGAATGAGCCGTACACAAACGGGAGAAGAAGAAGAAGAAGAAGAAGAAGAAGACGATGAAGTGATCGTTGAGTCCTTTGCCACTTTTTTGAAATAATAACGGGTTCTGGAGATACACGCCTCAAAAGATAGTTCGTACTTTGCCAAAGTACTGTCGTATTTCTTGAATTCATCAATCATATCGATGCCACGTCACTTTGATCCTTTGGGGAATGAGCAAAAAACTCGGAAAGAAGAGCTCAAACTCATTTGTCACACTTCACCCCTTCCTTCTTTCCCTCTTTTCGCTTCTTTTTTTCAGAAGTCACTTTTCGCGTCCGCCCATTGACCCATTATGCCCTTTGCCGCCCATTCATATTTGTTGATGTTATTCGCCCGAAACTTCTCTTTCCTTTCATTCCCCCCCAGCACGACTATTGTGCTCTCTTCTGAAAAGAAAGATGCCACGTCATAACGAATTCTCGAAAGTTCTAAACCATTAATAATAATTCGATGCCCATTCGAATTGCATAAATGGGAAGGGAAGGGAAAGTCGTAAATAAATGTCAAACATGAGTGAAACGAGGACGGAAAAGCAGCGGAAGAGGACGATAATAATAATAATAAAAAAGTGGAGCGGTCGTCGGTTTCTCAGAAAGATTTCCATCTTTTCGGAATGAACGACGACGACGCGATTGACTGGTATGAGTCCCTTGTGAGGAAAGGCAACAATCGAAGCAGACGCATTTCCGGCGGAAATTGATGAATTGCGTCTGCTACGTGTCAGCACCAAACAAGTACTGATTTTCTTATTTTCTCTTTCTCTAGAGCCTGAGTTTCCGCTTTTCTGTGCACCTGAACTCTCATGCTTACTGTAGTCACATGCCATGTTTTTTTTTGTTATTTCCACAGGAATCTTCATTCCTAGTACTTTATGTTGACTCCCCAAGACTACTGTACCTCGTAGAAGTTATGACACGCAGGGTTGAGCAGTATTCCGTCTTCCGTGTTCCTGGATTTCAAATTCTATTGCTTACTTTGAGAGCCGTCACTTACATGAGCTACAGTAGCTTTGGGAGTGATTGCATGTGATCGTGAAGTCACAAAACATTCTTGAACCTTCTGTACGCATTTTCATTAAAAGTCGGGACATTTTCAACTGAACCCCCTTCCTCACTCCCAGAATCCCTTTCAGACAAGACCCTTCTCTCTCCATCCGCAGACCTCCCTCCCTCCCTCCCGCCTAACTCGTTTCCTGTCTTCGTTTTCTTTTCTCGATTCTCGCTGTGCCAGAAATCACGCGTCTCCTCCTCCTCCTTTCTTCGTTTTCGTGACTAATCTCCGGAAATTGGTACGGAAGGAGACGTGGGCAAAACACGCGGAGCAACGGAGCAACGAGAAAGAAAAGGGCGGCCGGGAGGGAGGAGGAAGAAGGCGAACCGGAGACAGGTGCAGCAGACTTTCACGTGCGCTTACAATCGTTTCCGAAATTGAAATATTCTCATTTTTTGCAAAATCTGTCAGTTTTTCATAGTTGTTCGATGAAACCGTTCGAAAATGTGTTCTCTGTAACATTTTAAATCAGAAACAGTCAAAGAAACGAGCATTTTTGATGAAATTTTAAGAAAAAGCAGAAAAATGCATTTGCCGACGAGACTGAAAAGTGCGAGGTACTCAGTCCAGTGGAGCGCGTTTGATTTGCGCGTCGAGTGAGCAAAGCTTGAGGCTCCAGTTGGTTATTTCTGAAATTGCTCGACTTCTGCGGGAACAAGAGAAGAAGCTGTCCACTCTCTCTCTCTCTCTTCTGAAACCTTCTCCGCTCTGACCAACCGACGGCCTTCAAAGTACTAACCTGTTGCCATCCGCTCTGCGTCTCTTCCTCTCCCACACTCTTTCACCCTCTCTCTCTCTCTCCCTTCCCTACTTTTTGTCTGTTTTTGTTTGCCGCAATCAGACGGGATTCTGTGCGTCTCTTTTGCCATCATTTCTGTCAAACGGGAAATGAACATGTGACCCGTCCCAATTTCCCGCTCGTTTTTGGTTTCATCGAAAGTGTTTGACTCATTTCCCTCGCATATTGTCGAGTGAAATCGGTGGAATTCCATTTGAACGATGCCATGTGACACTTCTGAATTTCCTCTTTTTTTATTGGCAACAAAAGAGTGGGAGGGTCGGGCCGTCCGTGATTCACCGCACATCTGGCCGACCGGGAACGTGAGCGCTTTGACTGACAGCGCCGAGAATAAACGAGTGAGTTGCTTGGCGGAAGCGTCGAAGTACGGTAGTCGGAGGGGTACACCGTGACGCCAAATTGCACCAAAATGGCCCTATCATATGCTCGCTTCCCTCCCGCTAATCTCCTTTTCATTTCTGGCTCATTTCCCACAAAAACCTCCCCACTTTATGGCCATTTTGATTCCCTAATCTTCGCCGTCTCGTCTCGTCCCTAATCCGCCGAATTTGGAAACGAAATCCGCTCCCGAAATATAGAAATATATAGCTTCTGCTCGTTGTGTTCTTCATTTTTTTTTCCCCCCTCCACAAACTATTATCTGACAAAAAGAGGCAGAAAGTCGAGTGGAAATTAGCGGAGAGCTCTCTTTGCTTGCCGCCTCGACGCCTCCTTTCTGCTCTTTGTTCATCGTGAATACGGGCGAAGAGAAAGAGAAAGGCAGAAGACGTCGGGCACCGAAGGACACTTTCGTGCCGTCGATCAACAACTTTACGAAGGGGCAGAACACGAGAAATGCTCTTTCCGACGGATACTGTAGTGCCACGTCGACACTCTCTTCCGCTCTCTCTCTCTTTCTCTCTCTCTCTCTCTCTCTCTCTCTCTCTCTCTCTTCAATTTCTGGTCATCCCAAGAATGTCGGAAAAGTTATCATTACGACCGGACGCAGGGTCCCCACGCGGGTGTAACATCTTTCTCTCTTTCTCGCAACATCTCTCACTTCTCGATGCTCTCTCGTCGCAACTGAAAATCTGCGTCTCTTCTGGTAATGTGGCTCTCGCCCCTGATTTTGTGATCGATGATCCAGCCGGTGAAGACGGCGAAAACGCTTTCCAGTTGGCCGAATTTCGCGTCTGAAATTGTGCTACTCATCAAATTCTAGGGCAGAAAGAAGCATGCGAAACTCAGATTGAGTACTCGTAGTTCGATGAAATTCACAATTTTTTGAGAGTTTCAGGCCCGTGTCATGACAAAGCATTGAGCATTTCGGTTTCTTTTTTAAAGTTGCGCGGTGGAGCGCGATTGTCTGTCAAGAGTCCCCGTTCTCCCTGTAAATACAATCATCTGTTTGTGTGCAATCCTGAAAATGTGAGGTCAAACACGAAAATATTTGCGGCTCTCTTTCTCTCGCTCTCCTTCTCCTCCTATTCTATTTGGCCAACCTTCTTTTTTTTCTGTTCTTGTTGTGATTGGTCTGGGAATCCCTTTCGATTCTATTTTTACTCTCTGAACTGGGTTACTGTATTTTTTGTGGCTCAGAGACAGAGGTCGCATAGAATTTCGGAATGCAAATCAGGAAGCGGAAGTATAGTGAGAAGCGTGGAGCCAGTATGCAAATGAGCCGCCCAATCGGAAACTTCTGGAGATTCAATTAACCGGGCCGGGCCGAGTGGATACTTTTCAAGGAATACGGTAGTCCCTTTTGGCTACTCCCACTCACTCACTACCTTGTCTGAGGGCACCCAGAAGCCCGCATATTCGTATCTTCTTCTTCTATTTTTATCCGTTTTCCCACCATTATCACATCCTCGAGAGCTTCCTTCCAGTTGTATCAATTTCCTCCGTTTCCCTCTGCTCTCCCGGCTCCCCACACTCGCTCGGCGTTACACCTTCTCCCGTCGGGTACATGCGTACTCCCGTCTTCTCTACTCGAAAGATTAGTTGTGTGGAGGGCGTGAAAAAAGGTTGTTCGCTCTCAAAACTCGTTCCTTCTCGACTCTTGACCACAAATTCGCTGGTTCTTCCTCGCTTCCTTGCCGCCGCCGTGACAATGTTTTTGCCTATTTCTCCTCCTTCTTTCCTTTCTCCACTTTTACTTTTTAATCGTATCGTTTTGGCAGAAAGTCACCAGAACGTACTACTATTTACTCATCCTTCTTCTCTCTCTCTCTCTCTCTGCCACGTCACTCTCCTCTCTCGCTCGTCGCTTCAAGCAAGTTCCGAGCAAATACAACAAGTAACACGGGGTCGGCCGATGATCGTCGATTTGTTTGGCCTCCGAACTACCTTGCCATTTGTCACTTCTCTTCTCAAGTTGATATGATACTCCCGCTTGGATTACTGTACCTACTGTTCTGGATCCTAGTCGTTTCTTTTGAGAAGTGCCCCTAGTTTCCAGAGCAGAGGAGACAAAGTCAGGCCGTGAGTAGGCCGTAAGCCCTTGGGCCAGCCCATTGGAAACCTGTAGTTGCCTGAACGGTCTCTTCTGCAAACAACTTGCGTTGGCAGCGAACGTGTAATAAGATCTTTCGAAACTTTCTATCTTCTTCTTTTTCTTCTTCTTTTTCTTCGTTCGCTCTTTGTCTCAAGTTCCCCCTAGTCTTTGTCTGATCTCAAATGGTATCATCGTGACGTGGCATAGATCACCGCCTCTAATAGCGGGGTGTGCTCCTGAAAATGAGTGGGCGTCACCTCAAGTGTCACGAGATCCAGATGTGTTTCCCCTTCTGTTGTTCTGCTCTTCCACTCGCCAGTTAGTTGGTAAAACTTTGCAACCGTAAATTCCGCGAATGCCTTGTCTTTGCGTCGTCTCCAATTACATTCTCCTTCGGTCACATAAATCATCAAAAACCACTCTCGAAACGGTCGAAAATGTCATCACTGGTTAACTTTCGGGGACCGCCCGTTTTGCCCCCTTCCGGTCTCGTTTTCCAACCATATTTTGATGGGTTCAAATGGGATTTTCGCCTTTTTAAACCTTGCCGTCTCGTCCGAAACTCCTCACTTTTCAATTTTTCAGTCCTCACAAGTCAGCCGATTCGAAAATGTCGCGGAACGTGGGAGTGCTCGGCCAAATGTCCGAAATCAACGATCATTTGTATCTGTCGGGCGCCGGAGTGCTGAAGCCGGAGAAGATAAAGCAGCGGAAGATCAACATGATTGTGAATGCGACGACGGAGGAGCCGTCCACTTATATGCAGGGTGAGCAGCAGAATCGGATGGGGAAGAGGATCGGAATGAAGAAGTTTCAGGCGTGGACACTCTTAAGATTCGCATCGAAGACCATCCGTACGCCAGGCTCAGCGAACACTTTGACACCGTCGCCGATAAGATCCGCAATGTTAAGGTAAACTAACCATTTTCCTGTTTCTAATAGCTGATTACCATGAAAATGACAATTTTTCGAGTTCGGTAAATTCACCCACTCATAAAACAGTACTCTTTGGCCCGTCGTTCCCCTCAAAACGACCATAAATTCAGTGAAGAACGTCAAGAGCAATTACGGAAAAAACTAGTTTCCATTTCCCTTTCACACAAAATTTGCGAACCGAACGCGTTTTTTTTCAGGAGCGCGGCGGTCGAACCCTAGTGCACTGCATGGCCGGCGTGTCGCGATCCGCGTCGCTCGTCATGATTTACCTGGTGAAGCACGAGCACATGACCCTCAGACAGGCCTACCACTACGTGAAGGCCGCCCGTCCGATCATCCGTCCCAACGTCGGATTCTGGAAGCAGATGGTCGACTACGAGAAGCGATTGAGGGGCACGTCGTCGGTGAAAATGGTGCAGACGCCGGAGTGCGACATGCCGATTCCGGACGTGTACGCCGACGATTTGCGGAGACTTCAGATGCAACGGGAGGCGGCTAGACACTCGCTTCCGAGCAGTCAGAGCTCCGCGAGCAAGCACAGAGCCTTCTCGGCGAGGTGAGCATCAAAGGGAAGTGTGTACATTAGCATGATCTTTCCAGCACGTACCGCCCATCGCCTGCCACGTCGTCAGCGCTCACTTCGGCGTCGCTCCGTCGCGCGTACAGTCCGTCGTCGCTTCCGTCGTCGAGCCTCGCGCTCACCTCTTCCTACAGCCTCTTCTCGCCGGCGCCCACCAGAAAACCACGTCAGAGCCTCTTTTCGATGTACTCCACCTCGCCACGTCACAACTTTTTCTCGGCGTTCTGATCGTTTGTAGGCAACGCTTTCGCCTCCCTACTTCTTGTATTATACTTATTTTTCCAATTGAAATGACCAAAATGATATATATATATATTTTTTTTTTCTAAGGCAATTCCATCGGATGCCAACCCCCAAAAAAAGATGAAATAAGTATTCTGTCCGTTTTGTATCGCGAAGAAAAGTGGTCACGGGTTGATATGAATCCCCACACAAACACCCCCCATACAATCAACATATTCGCCCCTTTGTCGCTCTTGTCACAAATCCTCACCCACCAATTTTTCTGTGAATATCATTCCGATAAAAGTTCGTAAAAGTTGAAGCGTTATTTTGTTCTTCACACACCCTTGCAGAACTGTCAAACTCTCATTCTGCAGCTGTCATCTTCGTCTCGGCGCTTTCTTCAGAATCCCATAATTTTCAATGCATTGCCGAGTACACTTTCCACTCCTTTTGCCCTTTTCCAAATTTGTTTCCGGCCGCCGCCCGTTTGTCGTTTCCACCTCCGACAATTATCGAATTATAAATGGAACAGTAGACTTCGAGGAGGAGCCATCCGTGGCCGAGAAACCCATTCCGCGCCGATTTTTGATTTATGCTAAGTGACTTTTCGACTTCGTTCTGCTCATCTCTTCACCTTTTTTCTCCATTCTCTTTTCCTCTTCTTCTCACAATGTTCCTAGGTTTTGAGGCTGTTACCCGCCTCGGAGACGTTTATTATTACACTAAATCAGCCAGTAATCAAAATCTACAAAAGCTTTTTCTTAGCATTCTAAAGTTTTTCGTATTTTTCAGAACGTTTTTTAATTTTGCGTGGTTCTCCGGAAGAATTAGAAAAGTCGTAGCGGTTACGGTGTGCAAGAGAGGTCCGCAAACACCACGCAAAAAACGAACTGTATTTTTTCAGTTTTTCTCGCGAACAGTTCTATTTTTTCCATTTCAGATAATTCTCTCTTCGTCTTTTCAAATCAATTTCCGTGAAGATTTTTATCAGTCGGTTATTATTTTTCGACACTTTCCGAATGTGGCTGAGGAGAAAATTGACTGAATTCAGAATTTCTACAGTAGTTCCTCCGAAAGCGTACAAATTAGGGATAGGATAATTACAGCTGAGTCAAAAGTCCGAGTAGGTCCCAAAAAGTTTTTTTTTTCATATTTTCGAGAACAATTTCTAAACTAGTCGCCTCGCTCGCAAGATTGGAAAGAGTCACGCGGCGCCGCTTGCGAAAGAATCGAAAAGGTAAAGAATGCGTGAAATAAATGGCACGTTTGCTCCTCCCATCGTGCTTACCTGAATAATAATAAAAACGACGGCGACGACGATGAAAAAGGGAGAGAAAAAGAGGAAATGACGGAGAAAGGAGTCGTCGTGCTGCTCGTTTTTCTCCCCCGGAAGAGTGCAATCTTTCACTGCCACCAACCAAGGAGCGTTTTGAAGAATTTCGTGGGCTCAAGAAAGCATAAAGGATGCAAAGAAGAAGAAGAAGACAGCAACGGAGTTAACACCCGTCCGTCCGAAGAGACAGCGTTTGATACGCGGACGTCTCCCTTCCGTTTTGCTTTTTCTGTTCTTTTAGTGTAAAAAAATGTGAAGATAAGAGCAAATCGCGATCTCAGCGATGTGCTAATATCAGATAAAATCTAGAAAGTTCTATGACCGCTCATATCCTTCCTCTTTTCCGATGTTTGAATCTTCCAGTCTGAAAGATCCCTTCGTGGCTATCCGATCTTTTTGACTCCTGAATTATTAACCGTTCACTTCATTGCCCGTCCTCTATTATCGAGTTCATGTTTCTCTTTCGAACGACCAATTTTTTATACATAAATTTCAGATGCGTTTTCTGCATCCCCCACTCTTAATCTTTCTCCTCGCATCTCTACCGGTAGCAACGGCTCTCATCGAATGTCTCAACTACCGTGTTGAGCAGGGTGCGCCGATCCCAAAGGCAGTCAGAAATGTAAGCGTCCAGGTTAGAGTTTTTCGAATTACATTGCAACTTTCAGCCCAGATGTAGCACGAAAGCCGAGTACTGTGTCAAAATCACCGGAAGCAGTGCGGAGGGTAGCCAACCGTTCGACGCTGGAAGATGCGAATACCCGGGCGAATGCGCGGAATATGGAAATGGCTGCTTCACCAGAGACGACTCTGCCGGAAAGACAGAGCACGTCTGCTGCAGCAATGAAAACTTTGCCAACCACAGCTCATCTAATTCTGTTATCGGTTTCCTCATTCTCTTTATCACTTTGATTCTTCTAGAGTTTTAATTTTTAATGATGCCTTGATAAATTGTCAATTTGAAGAAGAAACCGTTTTTTTTAAACAACATTTCATTGAAAACAAAACAACGATTTACTTCTGGGCCTTCTTCAGCTTAGCCAACTCGATTCTGACAAGTCTGTTTCTCAACTGCTTGGCCTTCATGAGCTTGTATCTCTCGAAGTCGGTGAGCTTGCTTCTCTGAAAAATAGAGTGAATGAGGAACATATATTAATATCGTCCAATTTTTTCAACAATAGGTTGACATAATTAGAGAGATAATTGAAATGAGGTGCTCTAAAAAACTTACGATGGCTCTCTGGGCAATCTTCTTGGCCCACTGGGTCTTCTGGAAGTTCTCGGCAACCTTGGCGGCATCGAAGGCGGTCTGGACCGACTTGGTGCGCTGTCCGACGCGAACCTTGATGACGAACTTGGTGAGGTGGAGGTCCTTCAAGTTTCTGACGCTGCGGACGACTCCCGAGGATGGTCCGTCAACTTGGACCTGAAATTATTGTTTTAAATTACAATTTTCAATCTAACGTTGATTCTTCATTCTAAAAACACTTACTCTGTTTCCATCGATAACGTTGACGATGGTGGCGAGCTTGCCCTGGTCGTTGCCGGAGGCGATGAAGACGACGCGCCCAATTTGAACGACACGGTTGAAGACCATGTTTTCTGAAAAAAAAAAACAATGATTTTACGGACGGAAAAAAATCAGAGAAAAATGAAGTAGGTTGTGATGATAGCTTGCTGAGGATCTAGACAAATGCTATTTTCGCGAGCAAAATCAGGCCGTTTCGGTAAAAATCGATAGAGCATCGAAAAACAAGCTTTTTGAACGTACATTATTCTGAAAAATTCGGCTGAGACACGGCAAAAAACGCCCAAAAAGAAGAAAAATTTGGGAAAAATACGGAAAATGCAGTCGGTGAAGGGGAGGGCTACGGTGCTTCTTTCGTGGCGAGACCCACAAGAGGCGGAGTCTGCAACTCTGCGGCGCGTTTTTTCGATGCTTTTTGGATTCGGCTTCGCGAGTTAAAATTGTGGCTTCTGCTGGTGATTTGCCTAAAAAGATCTGAAAAACGACAAAAAAAATAATCAGAAAATTTGTGAAAAATACATTCGGGTGTGAAATTTTTTGATGTGGATTCGGTCGAGTTCGGTGTAAGATGTACATTTTTATTCAGAAAGAATAGTATTTTATGAAGAACCAAAGCATTCAATAAATATGAAAATCGTGTAAGTCGCAACATTTAGTAAACGTAGCGGGAGTCGATAAGTTTCACAGCTGCTTCTTCCTCCATCCGGTTCATAGCGTCTCGCAGCCTGGAAATCGACGAATCGGCCAGCTGCTCGAACTGATCCAGAAGAATCATTGTGGGGCTCGAATCGTCGCCGCAGGAACAGATGGAAATAAGCTCAATCATATGGTCGCAGTCGAGCTGCTGCGCCAATCTCTGCCACTTGCACTGGTCGTCGAATATTTTTGACACTCGAATACGGGTCAAGTAATCCAGGTTGCAGACTGAGTCACTGAGTTTTGGATTGCGTTCCCACTCGCTTTGACGACGCCGGGAAGTTCCAGAAGACGTGGATGGGCCCGGTTGTTGCTCATCTTCAGATTCAGAAACGGACAAGGTGGCGATTCGGGGAGTCAAAGTGTCGGTTTCTTCCAGAAGGGTCTGAGCGTCTGAAAAAGCGGAAAATTGTTTTTTAAAAAGTCAATTCCTCTCTATTTTACCGTTTAGAATCTCCTCTCTCGTTCTCTTCACCACACGATTTCTCTTACTTTCTTCGCTCGGCGCTTGGTCCGGATGAGACCTTCCGAAGAGCGGAGATCGAGAAATCGCCAGGTCGTTCGGCACTCCAAACGCTTCTTTCTTCGGCAGTTCCGGACGATCTCCGTTTATGATGTTCTGAACTACGTGATCTTCGCTGTCGGCCAAGCATGCACCCTGGAATAGAGAAGTTTCTCGGAATTTTTCAAATTCCACTCACTCTCGAGTTCTGTTTGTTCGCGTCTGCTCCGTTGTCCAAAAGGAGTCCGATGACTGGGTAATTCACATTTTTGAGTGCCAGACTCAACGCGGTCTCTCCGGATTCATCCTCAATATTCGTGTTCGATCCTCTCTGAAAATTTTCAATTCTTTTAAAATTTTGTTTTTCCCGAGACCTCCACAAGCAACTGAATCGTCTCAAAGTCGTTCATTTCAATGGCGTGCAACAGTGCGTTCCTCTTCTTTTCCGTATCTAACAGGTCGATCAGGGCTCCCGCTTCGAGAAGCATCTCGATCAGCGATAGTTTCAAGCGTCTGACGGCCACGTGGATCGGTGCGTACCCTTCGGAATTCAACTTGTTCACATCGAATCGCTGCCCTCGTGACGGCTCCAGTATCTCTTTGAAAATCGATTCATTGTAGGCGTCGCCGAGGTAATGCAGAACCTGAAAATGAATTTTCTGAGCCGTTCTGTTCACAGACCCTTTCGAGACTTACAGTACTGCCGTGGCTATCGGGAATGTCGATTCTCGCGCCGTGGTTCATCAAATAGTGCACGGCGTCCGGGTCTCCAGCTCGAATCGCACAGTGGAGAGCCGTCAACCCATGATTGTTTTGCAAATTTATCACTTCTAAACTTTCAATTAGTCTGTGCTCAAACTGCGGAACGCTCACCTTCTTTTTGATCTGCCGGCAGCACGGAGAGGAGCAATTTCAGCGAGAAGCTCTGTCCGTTCTTGGATGCCACGTGGAAAACACTGAATATCTGGTCATTTCAATCAGTTTGGAAAGTGCGCTCCACTGATAACTCACGTGCTGCCCTCGACGTCTTGTCTGGAAATGTGCGAGGCGAACGGCTGAAGAAGAGAAATTGTGTCGCCGTTGGTGGCGAATTCGATCAAATTATCGAAAAGTGCAATGTCTTGAGAGTTGGAACGCGGAATTCTCGGCACATATTTGAACGGAATCGTCGTCACATTGTCGTCGGAAGTCGAGAATCGCAGTTCCAATTCGGTTTCCGACTCGACTTTCAGAGAGGGAACCGTGAACATTACGAGCTGAAATTGTCTATTTGGAATAGCCTACCATTCAAATATACCGAATTTTTCCTGTTCACATCGATGGCGGTCTCTTCGAATTGCTCGCCTAGAAAATGAATATGAATGGGCTCGGCGACGTCTCCTGGAATCGTTTCTCATTTTATTTTCATTACTTTCTTCCATCTGCTCGCTCTTTCAAAAGAGACTAACCAGCTCCAGAGCACGTGGCCCAGACGCGATCGCCGGCAGAAGCCTCGCAAGTTGAGATGTCTTCGACGAAGAGTCGACGGTTCTGACTCGACGATTTGTGAACGGAGGAGGGCGGAGCGACTATCTGAAAGTGAATTCGTTCTTTTAAAAGTTTCATTTGAAAAACGCGCCAACCTCAGAATCGGACCTCGACTTTTGCACAACGTTCTCGGTGCCGTTGGCCAATTCAGCAGAATCCGTAGCGGGCATCTGTTCGCCGGAAAGAAGGAAAGTTCGAAACAATAAGCGAAACGAAACGAAACGAACGAATAGATATCGGAATGAGGAGAGCCGAGGAGCCGCCTGCTCGGCACTGTGTGTAAACCTCGCGAGATGTCTGCGTCTCCGAGCTCCGCACGCTGGCTTCTCAATGGTTCAAGCACTTGGTCGATCGGAAGAGAGCGCGAGGACAATCCCATGACAATCTGATGGATATGATATTGGAGGAGAAAAAGAGAGAGAGAGAGAAGGAGAGAAGAACACTATGTGTTCAGGTCAACAAGTGTGAAATCGGGGCTGAAAGTGATTCTTGAGATTTGTGACAGTACAGTATACCAGTATACAAGAGAGCAATCTTCAGATCTTCATAAAAAGAGAGCATTGCATGTACGTGCGTTTGCGTGTAATAACAATTTAAATGCGTGTTGTCTACTCCAGATTCTAAACGGAAGTTATATCTCCCGTTTTTTCTGAACCTCGTCTTTCAGAAGGCACTGTTTTGGCCATTTTCATCTCGAGAGTGCAAACGCGCTCTAGCGCACTTTCAGCTGCATGAACTTCTTTGCTTCGAACCATTTGCAAATTTGCAATATTTGGCGCTTCGGCAAATTTTAATTTGCAATATTTGCGATTCGGCAAATTTTCAGAAAAAATGAAGCCGAAGTCAAAACCACCATCGCCGAGCTCCACGTTCTCCTACGAAGAAGACGAAAAGATGTGGGAGTACATTTGGAATAAGGTAAAATTCAGTGAAAGGTGCATCCTCAAGGCCGCCGTTCGACCAAATCAGTGGTCGTTTTGGAATCCGTACATCGAGAAGAACGGCTGTAAACGACAACCGCGAGGACTGGCCACTCAGTGAAATTTTGTTCTAGAGACACTAACACGATGTCTCTTTTGCAGCTTCCGCATGAAAATGGCGCCGAATCTGCACGCCGCTCCGATGTCAAAGCGCATCAAGGCGATCCTCTACTTTGTCTACAGCATTCCTGTCGATTCGAGTTTCCTTCCAATCATCAGAGCGTTTGCTCCGGATATCCAGATCGATTCGAATAGATGCCTGACTCGCCTGATCATAAAATCAAAACACGAAGAAGATACCAAACAGAAACCGGTTCTGATTGAAGAGATGGTGCTGGACAAAAGTAACCATGTGCCGATAAAGTTGGAAGAGCCTTTTGTGGTGGATAAAGTGGAAAGAGTCATGTTTGCGGAGTCGCCGATGGTCAACGACCGTTCCCAACCGCTGCTTCGAAGTGTTCGCAACCAACACGCTCAAATTTCGCTGGATATGATTGCAGAAGTCCGCAACAGAACCTTCGACAGAATTAAAGACATTACCGATTCAGAACATGTTAGCGATAAGAGTTGATTAAATTATATTCACATTTCAATATTCAGGTGATCCCCTTATTCCAAAAAGCCATGGACGATGTAATCGACGAGATTCTGGCTGGCTCAAACTGAACTCGCTCCGAAGCTGTTGAAGTTCTCATTTTCATAATACTGCATTCGATATATTATTTTTCAAATGAATAGTTTTAAAGTTTTGCATCTTAAATAAGTTTCTCGCGTTTTTAGTCTAGTTCAGTTTCTTGCGAATACTTCCTTTTTCAAATTGAAATTAACCAGAGAAACGGCCGATTCTGCAGGAAAAATGGCCGAGTTTCTCTTCGAAAACGGAATGAAAGAACCGAAAATTGAGGAGGACTTCGAAGAATTTGAGCTTTTCAAAGTACCGGATCTATTGGAGATTGAAGTGAAGCAGGAGGTCCAAGATGAGTATGATACACAATTCGGCGCCTCGGAAACGGAAATACAAAATGAAGTTAGCCCTCGAACTGAGTCAACGCAAAAAAAAAATGTAATTTTCAGCTTTTCTGCCATCCCGAAATGAAGGAGAAACACGAAACGACCATTCCATACAATAAAACATGGCAAAGTCTGACAAAATTAGAAAAAGTTTGAAAAAAGCAAGTTTTCAGGAACACCTGAAAGACTGCCGATCGAAATTCTTCGCAGACTGGAAGAGGCCTATCTCGCAAAAAAGTACGCCTCGAATAGCAAATTGTGGAGCTACGATGAGATTCGTCAGCTCTCCGCCCAATTGGACGGACTCTCCGAGCTTAATATCGCCAGATGGATATCGGAAAGAAACAGCGTCGCCCGAGCAGTGGAGCAGCAGAAAAACCCAACGATGACCGCATCACTCGATATAGAACAGAACTTCGACTTCGTTCCACTGCAGAAATGGATCAGAGAGAAACCGATGGACGAGATCTTTTGGAAAAACACTTCTGAACAATCAAAGCCCATTGTATTTAGACTCTAAATTGTTTTGTGAAAATACAGCGCTTTCAGACCCATAATCTCGATGAGTCATTTACGGACGATGAGAAAGAAGACGTTGAGTTGGATGAGTCGGTCGACCTAGTTGATGCGAAACCGGTAGAAGTGAGACTACGAGATGCTCGTCAAGCCATTTCCGATTTTTTCCGCACGAATCACCATCCATCGCCTGAAGATCTCCGCGCGTTTTCCGATACATACGGCGTCAGATATCGGTCGATAGTTGAAAGTTTGGACAGGAAACGAGCGTCGAAACAAATAGTCTGTGAACCGAACGACAGCTGCTCCAGAATTAGTTCGTATTTTGCCAGAGAATCGGAGCCGATCAGACTGTTACCGATCAGTAAACACAAGGAGAAAATTGTGGAAGAGATACTGGAAAAAATTATTTGGACGAGAAAATGTTTCGATATTGGAAGTGTGCATATGGTAAACGTCTTCTCTCCAGAAACGTTAGACGAAAATGCGTTTCTAGTTGATGGATCTAACGGATTTGTCGCCGACCTACCTCCGTACTCAGTACAGCAAATGGAAGTACCGACTGCTCAACGCGAAACAATTGAATTACGGAATCGAAGATTGGAAGCGAGACAACGCGATGGGTACGGTGCGAAATGAAACAACTGTTGCAAATGAAAGGGCTTTCAGATCCGAGCGACCTGTCCCTTCCGATCCTTCGACAACTGGAGGACGCCTACCTCAAAAAGAAGTACAGTTCGGCGGAGAAAGAATGGAGTGGCGAAGAACTGCAGAGGCTTTCCGAGCAACTAGACGGATTGTCCGAGTACACAATCAACAAATGGATCAAAATTCGAAACGACGCCGCCAAAAACATTCTGCCCTACATTAGTCCTTCAAAGCGGCAGGAGATGAAGAAGGGAGGAAAACGTGTGGAATACAAGACAAAGCTGCTCCTCGAGGAATTTGAAATCAACCCCAGACCGGATAGAATGAAGATTGAGGATCTGGCGAACACACTCGATATGACATTACACGCCGTTCGAGGATTCTTCGCCAGACGACGTCGTTTGATGAGACAAGCAACTTCACAGCTTTCCTGATTTTTATTGATATGTTCCAGATGAATTTTTTAATTAAAGGTTTTTTTTTGGGTTTTTTGGGAAGACTGGAGAAGACACGTGTTGGTTTTCAGATTTCTGCAACTATTTATTCTATGCGAAATTAAGACAACAGATATAAAAATGACAATTTAGAAAATATTCAATTCCTTTTACGGTAATAAAAATCTTAGAACATAAAAAGCACTATTTTTACACAACATTTTGTGAAGTTTAAGATGTTTCTTATTCGTGGAGGCTCTTAAAACATTGCTTAAATTCGTGCCGGAACAGGGTCATGCAAATGTGCTCTACCGAAAGTATCGAAAAGCTTCGGACAAATTCGCCACAGTAACTTAAACAATCAATTTAACCTCAAAACTTCTTCTTGGTCTCCGTCATCTCCTTCTGCAACAGCTCTATCTCTCTGTTCCTCTCGTCTCTCACATTCGTCGCCAAATACACGACACTGTTTGCCTTCGTCATCGCCGCTTCTCGTTGCAGAACTCTCTGTTGCAACTTCTACAAAGAATGTTCGTATGTTCATCCGCGCCCCACCGAACAGACCTTGTTGAGCGCGTTCAACGTCATCACCTGCTCGTGCCATCGCTTTTTCAGCCCCCGCACCTCCGCACTCTTCTCCGATTTCTCGTTCTCAAACTGCAGCAGATCCACTTCATTGTGAGATTTCAGTTGTCGTTTGAGGAATTCCGATCGTCGTCTGGATTATTTTGCGATTGGAACGAAAGCAACTTCTGGTGAACATACCGTATTTTCTCTAGCTTTTCCCTCTGCTCCTCAGTCGTTTTCTCCAATTGTTTCACCTTTTCTTTCAGCTTTTCTGACTTTTCGAGATCCTCTTTCGCTCTCTTTTCCTCATTGGACTCCACCAGAATGGATGGTTGTAATTTCCGTTCTTCTGGAAGAAAATGAAAAGCTTACGTTCCCCTACGCTCAGGATTCTTTACGTTGATTAAGTTCGGAAATCCTCGAGTTCTCTGCGTTCCTGAGCTCCTGCGCGGCCCGATCCGCCTGCCGTTCGTACTCTTCCATCGTCTTTTGAAGTCCTTCTTTCTAAACTTTTCAAAGTTTTCAATTAGGTTCAGTGAGGTGCACTCGCCTCTTCAATAACTCTTCCCTTGTTCATTGCCAGAGCTTCTGACTCTCTTTTCAGCTGAATTATTTGCTTTTTGAGGTCTTCCAGACGCCTCCAGTTCCTCGACGGCTTCTCTGACTTTGACCGTCCTTTCCGAGTACTTTTGAAGCTTCTGGAGGACAGTGCATTTGGAATCTGCAAGTTCGAGGTACTGCAGATATTCCCTGGAGTGCAACAATACCTTATCCATCTTCATTTCCCTCATATTTTGGATCTTCTCCTCTAGATTCTCCAGGTACTTCGCTCCCTTCGCCATCAAAACGGTCAACTCTCCGAGTCGTTTTTCCGCACTTTTCTCTTTCCTAAACACCCATTAACCTTCGGAAAGTCTATCAGATCCCTCACATTTCCGAATCTTCGTTCAGACTGACGAGCAACTTCTGAAATTCATCCGAAATTCCCGAGTTCTCAACCTCGAAAATCTTGATTCTCCGTTCGATTTCCTCTTTTTTCGTTTCGTTTTCCATTTGTCTCCTGCATTCAAATGCAATAAAACACAAGCTAACCACTGTATTGCTCACTCGATTTCTTTTCGAATCTCCCGTTCTACCTTATCGAAACTCTTCTCACTTTTCGCTATATCCGCACGCAAACGAGCGATTTTTTTGTCCTGCAAGTGCGCTCTATTGAGAAAAGAGTTCACTGGAGCACTTACCTGCGCAATCTTCTTTTTCCTCATTTCATCCAACTTTTTCTTAGTCTTCTCCAACTTAGTCTTCATTGAATTCTCAGTTCGATTCAGGCGAAAACTGGCATATTCGGTCTGCTTCTCGAGTACTTGACGCCGCTTTTCATTCAACGATTTCAGAATATCGTCAACTGAAAATGGCAAGGACATGGATGGACTCGTAACGAATTTGGTCACTTTGTTTCTGTCTCTGCGGCAGTTTCTCCTTGATTTCCGCAATGTTCGCCTCGAAACTCAGCAAATTGTCCTTGTTTTTGAGAATTTGCTTCTCGAAACTTGTTATTTTCTGAAAACGTTCATAACGTGAACCTGTTGCTGATGACGTGGCTTTCCTCCCTCCAATCAGATTCTGCTGTTCTTCGCCTCTATTCCCTCATCTGTCATCACAGCGGATCAACGGATAAAGTTTGAAGGTAAGTACACTCCCTCCGCCTCATCAGCTCACCCGAATATTCAGGAAAATGGGACTGTTTCAAGAAGTTTGCGACGCCGCCCAAAAGAATGGATTCGTGCTCCCGTCGGCCGGTCAGGTCGTCCGCTCCGCCCAGTGTGCCAGTGGTGCTCCGAGTGCCCAGGCCCCCGTCGAGTTCGGATCCGCCAGATTCTACACTCTGTGCGCGCTCGGAGGATCTCTTTCGTGCGGACTGACCCACTTTGCGATCACTCCTCTGGACATTGTCAAGTGCAGAATCCAGGTGAGCCAGGAGTTCGATCGAATCAGCCGACACCACTTGCGTTTTTTGCAGGTGAACAAGGAGAAGTACGGAAACATGGTGCAAGGATTCAAAGTGACTGTGGCTGAGGACGGAATCCGTGGATTGGCTCGTGGATGGGCGCCCACCTTCATCGGATATTCGGCTCAGGGACTCGGAAAGTTCGGCTTCTACGAGGTCTTCAAGAACGTCTACAGTTCGGCGCTCGGCGAGGAGAACGCCTACGTCTGGAGAACTGCTGTTTACCTGGCCGCCTCCGCCTCGGCCGAATTCTTCGCCGACATCTTCCTCTCTCCGATGGAGGCCATCAAAGTGCGCATGCAGACGTCGCCAACCGCCCCGCCCACTCTCCGCGGATGCGCTCCGATGATCTACCGTACCGAGGGACTCACCGGATTCTTCAAGGGACTGCCACCTCTCTGGGCCCGTCAGATCCCGTACACAATGATGAAGTTCGCCTGCTTCGAGAAGACTGTCGAGGCGCTCTACCAGTACGTGATTCCGAAGCCGCGTGCCCAGTGCTCCAAGACCGAACAGCTTGGTGTCACTTTCATCGCCGGATACATTGCTGGAGTGTTCTGCGCCGTCGTCTCTCACCCGCCCGATGTCCTCGTCTCCAAACTCAACCAAGATTCGAACGCGAGTGTGGGAAGTCTGGTCAAAAAGCTCGGAGTGAAGGGACTCTCTGCCGGGCTCGGTCCGAGAATCATCATGGTCGGAACTCTGACCGCCCTCCAATGGTTCATCTATGACTCGTTCAAGGTAAGGATAATGATGAGCAGTCACGTGCGAACGTTTCAAGTTTCAGGTCGCCATGAACCTTCCTCGTCCGCCGCCACCTCAGATGCCCGAGTCGCTCAAGAAGAAGCTCGGACTTTCTGGATCTTCGGAAGCCGAGCCTGCTCCCTCGGCGTCCTCGTCTTCTGCTGCTCCAGTGGCTGCAGCTGCTGCCGCCGGAGCTGCCGCTGCCGCCGCTGCCAAGGCAATCAAGTCTGCCAAAGAGAAGAAGCCGGAGAAGGCACCGAAAGCCGAGAAGAAGCCGGAGAAAAAGGCAGAGAAGAAGGGAAAGGACTCGCACTAAGGGATCCCCCATTCACAGGTCAAGCGATATTCATTATGTGCCCCATTGATTTGCATTCGTGTAGTAAATGGTCAGTAAAAAACTCTTTCGAAACCTTTTTCCGCGTCTCCATCCGCTGTCGCATTCGCTCGTTCTCCTCCGCCATCATCTTGTTGTCCGCCTCCATTTTTCTCACCGACTCGATCTTCTCTTTGTACTTTTTGTTCTGAAAATTCACTCGATCGAACAAAATAAGCATTAACTGTTGCTCACCATATTGGCGAGCTCTTCATCCAACTGCTGACTGACTTTCCGCACGTGATCCTCCACACTCTTCTCATACTTTTCGAGCTCTTTCTGTAAAAACCTTGTTTCAATAGTTTACAAGCAAACTCATTTTTTCGTACCTCATAATCGGGCATTCTTGATCGGAAACGGAGATCTTGATCGGAAACGGAGAAAATTGAGAAAAAAAAACAAAAGGAAAAGCAGAAGCCGCACAAAAAAAAGACGACAAAAATGCGTAGCAACAAAGCAGAATGCTCATAAATCGAAAGGAGCACTTTACGTTTTTCTGCGGAAAATCTCAAAATTTCGTAATTTTTTCATGTGCTTGACTGGGGGCAATGCACCGGAATTCGACACTTCCGGCGCAAAAATAAATTTCGTTGAAAAAGGAAAAGTGTCTTTTCGATAATATTTCTCGAAAATCTTCGCGAGAAGATATACATTCATTCCGAGTAATGTTACAAAACTTTGCAAAAAAAAACGTTCACTTTCTTCTCACATTGCTTATTTTCTTCTTGTGAGCTCACTCCTGCGGCTGTGGTGGTTCCTCGGCAATCACATTCTGGAGAGTGGATTTCTGAGGCGATGGCTCCGTACCAGAAGGATCGGATGTGGTCTGAGCAGGTAGAGGCACCGGCGACGGCGAGGGAATCGGATCCTGGGATGGCGGAGGTGTTGGTGCAGAAGAGGAAGAAGTGGAGGGAATAGAAGGAGCAGGAGATGGAGTCGGAGGAGTCGGAGGAGTCGTCAGAGTGGCGGGAGGAGTCGGAACGCCGGGACGGGCTGGCGATGGGGTGATGATCGGGTCGGAGTTCTCCTGAGACTGCGACTTCTTCCCCTTGCTGGCTTTCTCATCCTTCTTCTTCGGATTCATCTTTTTCGCTTTCACCTTTGCGTACGTCTCTTTGAACTTTTCCCATTCCTGTTCGTTTCTCTTGTGCCCCTTCGAATGGAGGTATTCGAGAACACATCGGAGAGCGTAGACGTACTGAGGAAAAGTCTGGAAGGAAGAATTGAATGAGTCGGACTGAGATTCTTGAGAACCTGCACACTCCTCGCTCGATCTTTTCTCAGCAGAGCGAACGAATCTCTCACGTTGGCTCTCTTCGGGAAGCGGAGAGCAGCAATCATAGACTCGACGAGCGCGAGGGTTCCAGTTCGGCCGACTCCCGCCGAGCAGTGCACAATTATCGGCTTCCTGAAAAACAGAAATCTACAGTAATCCGGGGAGTACATTCGATTACTTGTCCTTGCGAACAGCCGACAGAATACGGAGGAGCGTCTCGCACGAATCGGGCATTCCGTGGTCCGGCCAGGCTGCCCATTGGTAGTGCGTCAGCTTGTGCTCTCTTCCAGTGGCGGTCACAGTCACTTTCAGAGTACGCTGAACCACTTTATCAGTCGATTGGTCACCAATTTCCAGCTCGGTCACTGCTTCGGTGGTCACGGACACTTGCTGAAGATCGAGTTGGCCAACGATCTCTCTGAATTTCGAAAGTAATCGTTGCAAAAGGCGGCTCGCTCACGAAATGTATTTAGAGCACTTCTCGACCCCCTCCTCGAAGAAGCCGCACAACATGACGATGGACGTGGACTCGAGGGCGACTGCCATCTTCCAGAAGTCGTTAATAGTATGATCCAGAGGCCCTTGAGTGCACACAAAACGATCCGGTTTCGAGCAGATGCGCACTTTGCTCGCGTGAATGTAGAACGACTCGTCGTTGGGATGAATGAAGCGGGTGCGGTCCCAGCACTGGATGTTCGGGTAGCGATTGAGATCCATGAACTTTGTGAACATGCCGCACTCGGCATCCGGAATCTGAAACACTGTTGGTCTCACGGGTACCGGAATAGTCTCATACGTTGTTGCCGACTGACTTGAACTGTTTCGTCAGTTGCTGCGGAGTGCTCGTCATGACAGAAGACGCCCATTTCTTGATAAAATCCACGCGGAATTCCTTCTCTTTCGGCTGAAAACACTACAATTCCGTATGAGTTTTCTTCTGCTCCTCACGTCTTCATCCTTCTTCTCACTGCACAACTCATCCTCCTTGTCGTCCTTCTTCTCCTCCTTTTTCACTTTTTCCTTCTCTTCCTTCTTCTTCCCCTTCACAGCCACATCCACATCGACCCCCGACGGCTTCTTCTCCACCAGAGTATCCTCCATCTCCGCCTGCTGCTCCACCGATCTCTTGCGGTCCAGTGGTACCGGCTCGTCGTCCTGCAATCTCGTTCCCGTCTGATCACAGTCTGATCACAGCTCTTTTGCTCACATCTTTCTGGGCGCTCAGCTTGTCCGTGCTCCGTTTCTTGCCCAGTCCAAGTCCTCCCGGCTTCTTCATCTTCCTCGCTTCCGCCTTCTTCCCGCCCGCCGGTTTCATCATCATCGAATGCTGTCTGTCGCCGCTTTTTTGCATGTTCCTCTCGTGTTTCTCATTACTCCCCGTCTGTAAATATGCACAATTTTCTCCGAACTTCCGAACTTCCGAGAACCAACCGGTTTCCGAGCAACAATCGCTTTATTTGGCATCGGTGCAATAACTGGAGCTACAATATTTTAGTGTCAAATGGATGCGAGGAAGAACGAACCTTTTTTTGTCTGATTCATGGATTACTTGAATACTCGATGACTGTGAATAAAATGAAGATAAGTTGAGAGAGCGAATGTTGAGAGGGAAGCGTGAAATCTTGTGAGGGTTACGCGGAAATTTCAGGCTTCCAATAATATCAGGATACCCGGCAAGATTCTTTGTTTCTCTGCACTTTTCCCCTCTTTCCCATCACATCACTTTCTATGTTTATCATCTTTTCCATATCAAACTACGCACGCTTGTTTGACAACCTCACCCTATATAAACTGACTAAACATTTCACAACTGATCGATTGATCAGCAATGGCTTTCGAACTTCGAAATGAAATGTCTGCTGTTGAGATGTACGTTTTTTTTCGAAAATAAAACACAATTATCAATATCCGTTTAGCTTTGACGAGTCTCGAACTTCAACTGAGATAAAACAAGAGATCGCGGCGTCGAAAATGCCGATATGCGAGGTGATGATCGAGACATACTACGACTTTGTTCACATCAGTGTGGCGAGAAGGGGAAAAGAGTATTCGGGATGGATTCTGTACGATTCGGACCGTCTGCGTAAGGAGATTACGGAGCCAATGAGCATCGGAGAGGAACGATTTGAGCACTCGTGAGTTCATATTTTCCGCCGGTCGTTTTTATTGTAATCTCTCCAGGAAGCGCGAAGGCAACGAGCTGATTCTCTACCACCAGAGCCGTTTCACCGGCGCTCTCTCCGTTCTGAGATTCCTCTTCGAAGTGTTCACTGGCCCCCTTCAGAATGTGACTCTCCTGACCGCAACCACTCCGAATGGCAGCATTGCCCGCTTCTATGTGGATTTGTTCCGTCTCAATTCTGTCACTCAATGCGAGAAAGTGCTGATGTTCGAGAACGGAAGATCCTCAAAGGCAATGATCGACGGGATCCTGGATCTGGCCACCGGGCTCAAGAGACTCGATCTGAGATGTCCACTTCCTGACGATTGGAGTAATCCAAAAGTGAACACGAACTAGTGTTATCAAACGACAATTCAACTTTTCAGATTCTGAAACTAGACACACTTTTATCGTGGCCGACCGGATGGTTCACCACGAACGACTTGCTCTGCGTGCTCGACGTGGAATGTGCTCAGCTGAACGAGACGAAGCTGGATTGCAGAGCATTCAAAGCGTTCATGCTCAAATGGCAAATGACGGAGGACACGAGACTCAAAATGTTGGAGATCTCATTCAACGGCAACTGGGAAGCATTCGAGCACAGCGGATTGGAGGTAAAGGAGTGGGATCCGAACGAGAGGGACAGCCATTATCCGTGAGTTGATTGCGCTTTCCTTGGTGCCAACTGCTTCTGTTCTTCGCAGAGATTTGCTCGGAAAGGAAGATTCCGACTGGCAAGACTGCGAGTTCGCCCTCGATATCCAGAGGAAAGACGGACTGCTCGCCTCGTTCTGGAGAAGAGAACACAGTTTTCATTTTGTCGTCTGGCACGACAGACACCCGATTGCCACGTTGCGCCCACATTCAAGTAAACTGGTGAAGCTAGGGCCGGAGCAGTTTATGAGTGACGAGGAACACGAAGACGAAGATGAGGACGAGTGATTTCTTTATTGTGGATGTCATAAACATGTTACAAAAAAAGATATGAATTATCTATGGAATCTGTCCAAACTCTGAATGAGTCCGAAAAAGTCGCCGACGAGTTTTTGAGCCCGATAGGGGAGGATTTGAGTGCTCGGAAGTACCCAATAGAAGGCCTTCGGAGTGACCAGATACTCTTGTTCCGTCTCAATTGCCTCGAATATCTTCTGCACGACGTATTCCGGAGTCAGAATCGGGAACAACCACGGAAATCTGTGCTATATACAGTGAATTTGAATTCCCCGCGAATGGATCAGACCTGGTAGTGGCACCGGTTCCATCAAACATGGCAGTGTGCACATAGTACGGACACACTAGCGTCGCCTTCACTCCACTCTTTTCAGAAGCCAAGATTTCAGCGACGAGGGAATCATGGAATCCGACGACGGCGTGCTTTGTGGACGTGTAATCGGCCTGAGGAAACAGTGAGAATCTGAAGATATCTGAAGACGTACCAATCCGGCCGAAGCCATCTTTCCAGCGGCCGACGCAATTGTGACGATGTGGCCGTTGTTCTCATCGAGCATGGCCGGAAGAAACTGTTGAACTGTCTGAATGGAGCACAGGTGTGTGGAAGGCATTTACAGATTTAGATTTACATAGAAATGAGATTTCACATTCACTGCAAACGATCGTTCAATGTCTTGCACCGTGCTGTCCAGAATCAATTTGGCTAAACTATTTTCGTTAGATGAGCTTTAAGGGCTAGCTCACCTGTGGCCACACCCGCATTATTCACCAGAATATCAACTTTTCCGACATCTTCGATAACTCTGCCTGCCACTTCGGCTGTCTTCTGCGGGTCGCACAGATCCACTTGGTACGCGTGGGCTTCTCCTCCGTTTCTCTGAATCTCATCTCTCAGCTCTTCGACCGCGTTTCCGTTCACATCCCAGAGGATCAGCACGGCTCCGCGAGCAGCAATCTTCTGGGCCAGAAGCTTTCCGAGCCCGCTTCCAGCTCCGGTAATTAGTACTTTCTCGCGATTGAAGCTCTTTTTGGGAAGGAGAGAATAGGGAAGGATGTACTTGAGGAACGATTGGAGGTAGATATGGAGAATGCGGAGAACGAGAAGGGGAACTTCCAAAGGGTTCATCGGAAACCGATTGATCTCCGAATGGCAAAGGAATGCAGACGAGATGATATCAGTGAGAGAGAGAGAGACGCCGAGAAAGAGCGAGAGGTTTGATAACGAAAAAACGATGATATTGTGTGGGACAAACAAGCAAAAAGTGACCTGGCAGACACGTTAAGGTTGATGCGATGGGACAGGAGAGACCAATGTTCGAGATGGAAAAGTATTGACTTCAATTTTTTGTAGGGGACAAGAAAAAAAGAAAGTTATTTATTCTAAATGTTGTACAGATTGCAGCACACATTGAACAACAGCCAAATCAGATCGCTCGTGAAAGTTTATTCATTCTCATCCTTTAACTTTGAAAATGTCGTTATTGTTCAGTCCGGCCAGCGTCTGATAGTTCGGATCGTTCGTGGCCGCCTTCGCTCCAGCGGCTGCCGGCGCCTTAGGAGCAGCTCCGCCCCCTTCCGCGCCCTTATCCTTGAAAATGTCGGCGTTGTTGAGACCGGCCAGTGTCTGAAAGGACTCGCGTTGTTATTCGTTTTTTACAGAACAAAGTCACCTGGTAATTCGGATCATTCGTGGCCGCTTTTCCGCCAGCCACGGGTGCTTTCGGAGCTGCTGCACCGCCAGCGCCTCCGGCTCCTCCGCCTCCGAAGACGGCGTCGTTGTTGAGTCCGGCGAGCGTCTGGTAGTTGGGATCCTGAGTGCCGGCCATTCCGGGGTTGGCTCCAGCTGCTGGAGCTTTCGGGCCTAGAACGACGCTATTTAGATTCACTCACTCAAAAAGGTTTCCTCTCACCTTGAGCTCCTCCAGCGGCTCCACCGCCACCTCCTCCTCCTGCTCCGCCGGCTCCGAAGACGGCGTCATTGTTGAGTCCAGCCAGAGTCTGGTAGTTGGGGTCTTGTGTGCCGGCAATCGCAGCCATGTTCTTCGGAGGCTTTGGAGCATTGGCCGCCGCTGCTCCCGGAGACGCAGGCGCCTTCTTCTTCGGCTCCTTCTTCTTCTTCGGCTTCTTCGTCTTCTTGTCCGACTCATCCGAAGTCTCGTCTTCCTCTTTTCCCGTCGTTTCACAGTCACTGCTGTTGCCCTTATTCTTCTTCTTCCCGCCGCCACACTGGACAAGAGACAGAACGGTCGGCAAAACAAGCGAGAGATGGAAAATAAGCCATGGCTGGAAGTGAGCATTGACATGGAATACGGAGCGGAACGTACCTCCAGAAAAGTGAGTAACTTTGTGAGCACCTGTGATGAAGTCATCGATTTGTTCACGGAAACCGAAATGAAGAAGATTTCGGTTGTGAAGAATCCAATGGAAGTTCGCAATGATTTCGACAGGAACACGAGGTAGTTAGAGAAAGAAACACGTGGATTCGAAATCTTTCTTCGGCTATCAGAAAGCTTGAACTTCTCATGAGGTACACGTGGAAAAAGAGTGGTATGAGGAAGGATGTGTCGATGTTCAGGGAACGATCCTCCGGTTTTCCCTCATCTTTCATTACGTTGCCATTTCATTTCGAAAGATTTCAGTCCGCTTCACAGGTAATGACGTCATATTCGAGAATATTGGGGCGTCCGAACGGCTTCTTCCGAGTGACCTACCAAACACAAATATGACCCCCTTTGCCCCGTTGCCCCGTCTTTTACCCCGCTGTCTGAGTATGCTGCTTCCTGCCGCTCTCTCGTCTCTCTCTCTCTCTCTCTCTCTCTCTCTCTCTCTCTCCTTGTTTTCCGCTTTTGCAAGTCTATCGATTCCTGGCTTCCATCCTGAAACTTTCAGACTTCCAGCCGTCATGCCCTTCGAACTCGAGAATTTTTCGACAGATGTCACCCATCAGATCACCAGACACATGTCACCTTTGAATATGTGAGTTCCATTAAACGTCTTCTCAAAGACTTCTGAATCTGAATCTTTGCAGTCTCGAGATGTCGTTCTGCAATTCCGATTGGCGCGAACTAATGAAGACGTTCAAGTTTAGGATAAAATCACTCTATGTGAATGTGAAAGGTCTCAATCAAGGTCGGAAATCCATCTGGAAGCGTAAGATCGTCAAAGAGCATTTTCAGAACCTTCTTGTGGCCTGGCAGCCATCACTTTGGGAGTTCAGCTGTGGAAACGCGGCTACATGCACTTCTTCTTCTACCGAAAAACCCAAGAGGAGATCGAGAATCAGATTGTTCTCGGCGAACGGACTGTCCATCGTTCTTTTGGTGGGAATCAGTTCAAATGGTCAGTGATTTCCCCGACAATATTGACGTTCAAATCGAGTTTCAGCAAAATCGACAGTACCTCTTACAAAGTGTACACGACGGAGCCCGTTGGCGCGTTCAAGAATGTGCTCGCCGATATGTTCGAGATGTTCCCCGGGAGCATCGATCATCTGAGCCTCGGCCACGTGGAGGAGAGCGCCGACCACGTCATCTTCCATGTTCTGAACAACCCGCTCGTCGGACGGTGCAATTCTCTCTCGATCCCCTCCGGATGCGGCATTTCCTCCCGTTTGCTCAGATACGTTCTGGCCATGGACGGTCTTAGACAGCTCTATTTGAATGCGTCCACTCCCGTTAACTTCAAATTGCACAGGGTACGCTCACTTTCGAAACCTTTCTTACTTTATTCCGTTTTCAGAACATCAACATCTGTCACGTAACGCTCCCGTACGGCGCATGGATCACTCGTTCCAGCCTAATGTTGCTGAACGTAGAGAGCATTTACATGGGCGATGCACGCGTCAATCTGACCGATCTGAACGAGTTGATCCACGCGTGGCTCAAAAGCGATCGCAAGAAACTGCTCCGCGTCTCGTTCAGCTACTCCAGAGGCTGTCCGTGGGAACTGGAGAAGAGGTCGAAGAGGGATCTGTACGATGGGTTGGATGTGAAGACGTGGGACGAGGTGAAGAGCACACGGCCGAGATACTTTGAGTACGAAGAGTACGTCCTTTGAGCTGAATATTATGAGTCTTATGACGATTAATTCTTCAGATTGAACAAGAAGATCGACTGCTCGATGGGAATGGATATCACTCGTTCGGACGGGGCCCTCGCCACCATCAATTCCACGAGAGACAACGTCGACTTTGTCGTGTGGAAGTACCCATAAATGTTTCGCTCTCTTCTTTCACTTTCATTCTCATTCCCTACGGTTTCCGTTTTGACTATCAGACCCGAACTCTAGAGCCTATACAACTACAATAAAACTTGAACTATCACAATTGCGAGTGCGTACACTGAAAAATGGGAGGTGAAATTGCAATCATATTGCGATACAGTTGTTTGCGTCCTCTCGGCACTCTCGTTTGATAATATACTCTTTGTTAAATTGTGCGAGAAGCTCTGATAACGCTCATTTTGTGCCAACTCTTCCTCTTTCAAACTCATCAATTCGCAAATGTACCAAGAGCGTAAAATTGTTGAGCTGGTTTCTGATGCAAGTTCACTTTTCCCTATTTCGTCGAACTCATTCATAATGATTCTAGGATCATGATCCGATCGAGAACGGCGCTGAAGACGAACAGTTGACCCAGTTCCGCGTGGTCTCAGAAATCCATGCCGAACTGATTGAGTTCGTCAAAACGAAGCTGTCGGAATCGATCGAATTGCAAACGTTCGAAGTGGACCGGGAGATTGAGTTCATGGAGAAGTGAATTAGAATCTATCCCCAGAATCATTTGAATTTCCTAGAAAAATCACTCGTCTCAATCGGTCTGAAACGCCCACTTTCAACAACCACAACGAGCAAGAAGAGCGTGAGGATTGGGAGCTGACAACGGAAGAAAGAGCAGCTCAACTGCAGCAAACCGAACGACGTCTGAACGGTCTCCGGAGGAGAAGGGACAATCTGTTTTGCAGAGTACAAAAAGCACTGGACTCTCTGAACTGTGACGGTCTCGAGCAGGTCAGAATTGTGAACGGAAGGTGTAACGTCGATTTGTCAAAGTTCCATGTGAAGAATGAGGCATGGATTTGTGCTTTGAACACTTCTTTGGGTCTCAAGAAGATCAAACTGATCTGTGATAAAATATCGGTGTTGGAAGTGGGGAGAGAGGCGACGTTTTGGTTCGATGAGGTCAAGGGACTGCTCGAGAAATTGGAAGAGAACGAGAAGCAGATTGCACTTGGATTGATTGTGGAGATGGTGAACTAACATTTTAAAATCCTCATTTTACCTAAGTCGGTTTTTAGGCATTCTGGAAGTCGGAAACTACCATAGAAGTTGATAATTTATACGTGGATTTGATGTATTCCCTCTTTGACAACGCCTTCTACAAGGAGACCATCGGAAAGGGTTTCCAGCAGGTTCCGTTCTCCCAGTCTGGAATAGAACACGAGCTGGTATCTCTGAAAGTGATTTCTGTTTTCTTGAAGACAATCAAACAGGTCAGTGATTGTACGATAACCGTCGAAGCATAATATCGCTTTCTAGGAGGACCGAGAGAGTCTCGAGCAGTTTACCGGTTATCTGAGCAGTTCCCTGTTGCGAACGTTGAACAATGTGCATCTGGAAACCCATCACATGAATTCTGTGATTACCGTAATCGAGGGAATCGAACAGCAACTGATCTCCACGAGCGATCAGTTCGACAGAGTCTTGACCACCTTCGGGCAGAAGATTGGCTGTTTTGAAGGGTGAGATCTCACGTTCCACCAGCTTCTTCTCATCGGAGCATCTTGCAGATCCCTCAGACATCAGATGACAGGCATTCTGAGGAGATTCCGTCCGAGTGTCTCTCCTGTACCTGATCAGACCGCCCATGTGCCCGTTTTGATGGCTGCCATTTCGGAGACGTTATCCGTACGTCATTTCACAGTGACCGAGCATTCGAGTGTGGCAAGTGGGCTGAATGATACGATGGAAACGCAAAGACGGCTGGAGGAGCGGAGAAGAGTGGAGGAAGAGAACAGAAATAAAGAGACGGAAGAGTTGAGGAAGGAAGTGGAACGATTGCGACTTGCCGCGGAAGAGGAGAAGAAGAGGAAGAACGAGTTGGCCCGACTGGAAGAAGTCAGGAGACAAGAGGAGGAGAATAAGAAGGAGTTGGAGAGGAAGAAGGAGGAAGAAAACAGAAAACAGAAAGAGCTGGAGGAAGCAATACGGAGACAGGTTGAAGAAGAGTACAGAAAACAGGTAAAGGAGCGAGAACAACAGGAAACAGAAAGGAAGAATAAGGAGGCAGAAGACGTGAAGAAGAGAGCAGATGAAGAGAAACAACGGAAAAAAGCGGAAGTGGAAGAGTACAAACGAGCCAACCCGTGCACCTTCCTGAGAAACGTGCGACTCTTCCTGCACACATGTCCACAGAAGGTGTACAACGAGTCTGTGCTCAACGGAAAGATCATCGGTCTCTACTTCTCCGGTTACTGGTGTCCGCCCTCGAGAGCCTTCACCCCTGTCCTCAAGAACTTCTACAGTCAAGTCGATGTCCACGGATTCGAGATTGTGTACTTCTCCCAGGACAACACTCTTGCGGAAATGCAACTATATCTTCAGGAGCACCACGGTAATTGGTTCAACGCGGAATTCGGATCAAATTTAGGAGACCTTCTCTACAACCAGTTGGGATGCACCGGAATTCCCACTTTGATCATTATAAAACCGAACGGAACAGTGATCAGCAGCAAGGGACGGGAGGAAGTGACGAACTGCACGAATCCGATTGCGCTGCTCGACATTTGGAAGAGCGGAAGAGGGTGGTTGTGAAGGTGGAGCGAGAGAAATCTATTTTTCGTTAGCTTAAAGAAATAAAAATTCGTAGCCGACCTTGTACATTTTCAACCAAAATTTAATGACCGCTTGCCTACTGATTGCATGTTACGGATTGGACAAATCTCGAACCTCTTGAACTGATTGCATTCAAACGATGTTCTCAGTAGAAAGACATTGGGTCCAAAGTCCCAATCCGTTTCTGAACGGTACGCTCCTTACGTACGTCTGCTCACCAGATGACGTGGCAGAAAATCGAAGAGTTCTCCGCAGTCACTCGTCCGTCCATTCCCCCTTTTTTTTCACTCGAAATGCGCCCCTTCATGATCGAAAAAATGCCTTCTCTTGCATGGAAGGCCATCTGTGAAGAAATGGAATTCATGGATTTGTAAGAGCATCTTCCATTTCCCCCGTTCATTTTTCTCATTTTCAGATTGAATCTCTCACTTTGCTCCAAAAATTGCAAACAAAATATTTCGTGGTGTCGCATCAAAGTGAACACTTTTTGTTTCGAAGCGAACAACAAAGGACACCTTACTTTCAACATTTCGACAGCCAGATTCTGCGCAGGTGAGTATGCAACTCGTCAGTATCGAATGCTTTGTTTTCAGTCATTTCTTTCCGCGAATCGACTGCAATTGACGTGGAAGACGATTATATCGTTCCGCTTGAAATCAACCAAATCCCTTTGAGATTGTCGTTTTCCTCCAACCGAATTACCAATATCCGCACCGCCAACTCTCTGTATTTCTACTCTCAAAACGTTTTTTCGGAAGCCAATGCGTTCATTTCGCATCTTCTGGAATTGTTTCCATCTCCCGTCAAAACCGTTGTTTTGACTCCGGAAGACAGTGAAATGATGGGAGTTTTACTCAGATTTCCAAGCATTCAGAAGGCCGAAAATCTCGAGTTGAATGCTCGGAAAATGAAGAGAAATGATGTGGAAACCCTGCTGGGAACATTGAATTCTTTGAAAACGATCAGATTGGAAGAGGCTGAAAATTGGTTTCAAATGTCTTTCAGTTTGAAATACGAAGAAATTCTGGTGGAAGGCACTCAAATAACTGCTGAAAGCATTAATGAATTTCTGAAAAATTGGAAGGAGAGTTCAGATGAGTCACTGAAATATTTGGAAATTAATCTGAACGAACCGGTTGACGAACGCGCTCTTTTGGAAAGTTTGGAAGTTAAACGATGGGATCGAGAGAAGAGAAACGGACATTATTTGTGAGTCAAAGTGTGATTTTCTTCCAATCCACAATATTAATTTCAGGCGAAAAGAAGGCGCTGTCCGCAATTGGGAAAACTGCGAAAACGCCTTTGACCTTGAGAGACCCGACGGCTCCCTCGGTTCTGTAACTATCAGAAATCGAACTGTCCGCTTTCTCGTCTGGACTGAACGATTCCCCTTTAACCGAATCGAAGCTCAAATGCTGGACCCCCACTTCGTGCATTCCCATCAGCTTACAAGCTTCTCACAATTGATGAACATCTAGGATCGAATAAATCAAATAATTTTAAGAGAAGGTTGATGCAGAACAAAAGACCAGTACGAGAGAAACAATAAAACAGGGTATGAATATGGATGGAGGCAACAATTTTGATATATAAACTACAATAAAGTTTGGTTAAATCATATGTTAGACATGGAAAAGAAACGTAAAAGATGATCATCGCCAAGACGTAAAACTGCTCGGTTTGTTCGCATTCGTGGACGCTCCGCCTCCAAAGATTGAAGAACTCGGTGTGGCATTCGTTTTGACTCCTCCTCCGAAGATTGAAGACGTCGCTTGTGTCCCAGCGGCGGCGGCCCCTCCTCCGAACAACGAAGACGTCTTCTGACCAGTCGCGAATTGAGCAAATCCTCCAGAGGTGTTGGTGGATGACGTGGAAGCGGTGGCTCCTCCGAAAATAGATGCGTTCTTGCTCAAGCCTCCTCCAGCAGCCGCTCCGAACACTGGCTGCGATCCGAACTTCGGCGCTCCTCCGAAGACTGATGACGAGGAAGTTGGAGCCGTTGTCTGCTGTTGCGGTGCATTGAACGAGAAACTCGGCTGAAAGAGATAGTAAATTGATTTGGCCGCTGCATATAAAACTCTACCTTTTGTTGCTGCTGCTGCTGCTGTTGTTGTTGGTTGTTTCCTCCACTGAAGAGCCAAGAGTTAGAAGACGTGCCGGTTGCTGGTTTCGGAGCGAAAAGGTTGGAACCGCCAGAAGTGTTTGTGGTGGAACCAGAGCTTCCGAGTCCGCTCATGAATCCTCCCGGTCCGCCTCCGTTCACCATCGAATCGTCTTCCATTCCGTCGTCGACGTTCGGAACGGACGGGGATGCGGCAGCGGCAGCCGCAGCTGCTCCGAAAACTGTGGACGGTTTGGCGGCTGGAGCAGGCGCTCCGAAAGATCCAAACGACGGTTTTGCTGGCACCGAGGCGGCAGTGTTGAAAGAGAAACTGACTGGAGCGGCTTGAGCAGGAGCAGCTCCTCCAGCACCCTGAGTTGACTGGGCAGAATTCTGTCCGAAACTACCGAACGGCGACACGCTCGGTTTGGCTCCTCCGCCGAAGATGCTCGAAGTTGGAGCTGTTCCGGTCGGTGTGCTTTTGGCGGCCGCTCCAAAAATACTGGAAGTGGCGGCAGCAGGCGTGCTCTGAGTCTTGAGTCCTCCTCCGAAAATGGACGAATTCGGGGTCGAGGAAGATGTGTTAAACGCTGGAAGATGTTGATCAAGAGAACTATGGCGGGCTGCAAACTTGAAACTCACAAAAACTGGGTGTTTTCGTAGCACTCTCGTCCTTCTTCTCTTTCGGTGTCGTCTCTTCAGTGACGGGGAGTTCCGGAGCCTTCTCTTCGACTTTCGGGGCTTCAGTTGACTCGATAACCTTCGCCTCGACCCCGAGTTCTGACGCCTTCGGAGTCTCTTCCTTCACTTCGATCACTTTCGGTTCTTCTTTCATTTCTTGTTTCGGCTTCTCTGGAGTTTTCTTCTTCTCCTCTGGCTTCTTTTCTTTTTCTGAAGTCAGCGAAGATTCGAAGATAGACGGTTTCGTGGCAGCCAAGGGCGACGTGGCAGTAGTGCTTAGTGTTGGTTTTGCACCGAACAGACTTCCCGAGAAAATGGAGGAGGATGTGGGAAGCGGCGAGGCGGCTGGCATGTTCTTTCCTTCCTCTTTCACTGTCGGAGTTGTCACAGTGGAAGTTGTCACAGTGGAAGTTGTCGTTGCCGGTTTCAGAAGCGGTGTGGAAACAATCGGGGCAGCAGGAGCAGGCTTGGCCGGAGATTCGACCGTCACGACGACAGTCTTCACGACGGGCGGCTCGTCTGCTTGCGTCGTGGCGTCTCTCCTGGCAGACAGCGTCGTGTTGTTCGGAGAAAAGCGCGAAGAAACCGTCATGACACGCCTCGGAGTCATGCTCAACTTCAGAATCGCATTCGAGAGATTCGCCGTGTCAATTGGATCCTCCTTATTTCTAGGAGCAGAGGTCGGTTGTTTGTACGACTGCACAGTCACATTCCTCGTCTTCACAGGTCCTCTCTTTTGGATTCGAGCCACCAATGATTGTCTGGCTTTAACAATTTCAGCATCTGTCAGGCTCTTTGGGTCTGACGTCTCCTCCTCCAGAACGGTCAGTTCCATCTGCTGCTTCAGTTTTGGGTTCTGCTCAATCTTTTTTTTATTCTGATTCTTCGCGTCGCGTTGGAAATGAACGAATTCCAGCTCAGTGCGTTGGATGCGTTCACGCGCTTCGGTGACGATTTTGGAGACGTTACGCATCACTTTCAGAGCCACTTCGATTTCAGCACCGGAGCGGAGATGACAAAGGTTGGAATTGTTGCGGAGAGGAGAGAGAACTGCTTGTTTTCGGAATGTTTCCTGAAGAAGGACAGTTTGATAATTCAGATTTCTACGTCAATACCACTACCTTTTCGTTCAGAGCTTTTCTCAACTTCTTGATAATCTCTGCGCATTCCACGTATTTGCCATTGAGCATGTCGGCTGCGGTCTCCAATTTGTTGAATCTCATCATTTTCTCCGTCTCCGAAATGTCCCTCAACCTCTCGAGAATACGTTCTCCGTCCTCTTCTCCAGTCACCAATTCCATTTTTTCCTCAATCTCAAAATCCATTTCTTTGACGGTGTGCTTTGTCCGTTCGGCCATCCACTCTATCGACGACAGCAGGTTCTTCAACTCGTCCGTCACTTCTTTCGAATCGTTCAACGACGATTTCACCACGTCCGCACACTCGAGAACTGCGGATTTCGCATTTCCGACGGCGAAAGACATCTTCATAACGGTGTCTTTTGTGGCTGACATGGATAAGTTCGTATTCTGAATTCGCTCGATAAGCACTTTCTTCTGCGCCGCCAGTTCTTCAGCTTTCCTGACTTCCGGAGGTATTACTGGGACGGGAGTGGCTGGAATTTGAGCGACTAGAGCAGCCGTCGGTGTTTGTGGAGGAGCCGGGGTAGGTGCGTTCTCCTGTGCCGGAGGAAGCGGCGTTTTCGTGTCACCGAAGAGTGAAGAACTTCCAGAAGTTGGTGCGGCTCCGAAGAGAGAAGACGAAACGGGCTTTGGAGCTTGAAGTGTGGCTTTGGGCGTCGTCGCGAATAGTGAAGGTGTTGTAGGAGCCGGAGCCGGAGCAGCTTCCGATTTTGGCTTCTGATCGAAAACTGTTGATGGTTGAGCAAACGGAGCGGAAGGAGAAGCAGTCTGAGCAGCAGGCTTGGCAAGTCCTGAGATCGGAATGTTCTGACTCGGTCTGAAGTAAGGTAGCGTGAAAAACACCCTCTAAAGATCAAAAGACTTACAGTTGGCAAGAATTGTGAGATTGGAAAGTGCTAATGACGTGATGGGCAGTAAGAACTCCGTCGTTGGTGAGACACAGTACCAACGGAGATGGGCGGTGCTTCTGGGATCCATCAGGTTCTACAATTTAATAATTTTCTAAATTGATAATAAAATTCAGACTCACTCAAAGAAACCTCTTCAGTCATAGTTCGATCGATCGCCATTCCGATCGGAACAGTGTCTTTTCCACCGGAAGTCGTCGGCAGATAAATGGTCTCCCCCTCCACGGGCACCCATGTCTGCCAATCTTCTCTCTTGCCAATTGTTGACACTTCACTAGTTTTCGAGTTGCCAACAAGGACCACGTTCCAATCGACGAGCAATTCAGTGGCAGAGAACAGCTGAGCAGGCAGTGTCCATTTAGAGTTCGAGTAGGATAGCTCGTGGAACTTCATCCATTCCGTGGGCGTGTCTTTCTTGCATCGCATCAAGTACGCATCGTGATCAGTGCCTCTTTCGAATGAAACAAGCCATTCTGTGGTGGCGAGCCAGCAGAGTCCCGTCACTTTTCCATAAGCTGGCTGATGGTCCGGCCCAAATTGACTGCGGACGACGCCGAGTTCTGGCTTCAGCTGTACCACTTTTCCGAGCGAATCTCCAATTGTCAGCTGTTTGCCTTTCGGACTCCAACTGATGACTGTCGTCACGGCTCCTAACTTTCCGATTCCAACGAGTTTCTGACTAGATGGATTCTTGACATCGATTTTTGCAACGAGAAGACTTCTGTCCCTTGAAGCGGCTGCAAATGTATCCGCAAACGCTGGATTCCATTCGAGCACAGTTCCCTGGTTGGCTGGCTCCGTTCCGACGCGAGTTTTGCAGAGAGCTTTGAATGGGCCGGCGGAGGAACAAAGGGTTTTGATGTCGAAAACATCGACGGAAACGTCGCCGTTATGAGTATGAAGTATGGCGAGAAGAGTGCCGTCCGAGTTGATTCCCATGTCGTTGACAGAAGTGACGCCGACAAACTCCACAGATTTGACTGGGAAGTCTGTCACGTCGACGTTCATATTCTCACGAGTCACTTTGAAATCGAGCACAGATTTTGTCGGAAAGCAAACCATACTGTTAGCATTCACGAGAGCAAAAGTGACTCCGAGCTGCGAAGACGTGGCGAGATGATTCCTAGTGTTGTCGCTTCCAGAAGACGTCGCGGAACAGTCTCCGGTGAAAAGCCGGAACTTTCGGCACGTGTGAAAGTGGAAATCTGTGACCTGCGAGACGTCCTGTGCCACTTCATCGGTCGCCATTTCTGCAAAAGAAAGTATATTTCTGAAAAGAACGAAGCGAGATGGCGGACGGAGGAGCGGCAGTAAAACCGCCCGTGGACAATGCGAAAATGTTGTCGGACTTGAAGATTAAACTGCTGCACACGAAGCGAATGATGCTCGGGTTGCGACAGGAACTGCGCAACAGAGCAATGCTTTGGGAGGCGGCTTTTGAAGAAATCGAAATGTTGGAAACAATGGTAACGAGAGAAAGACTTTTGAAAAAAATCCAATATTTTTTTCTAGGCTAAAGAGGCAAAGGTGAATCTGCAAAAGATGGCGGAAGACTTACGGAGACAAAGAAAGGAAAAAGCAGGAATGTTGCCGCCGAAGGAAAAGAAGGAAGAGGAGAAGGATGAGAACGTGGACAAGGAGGGAACGGACGACGATAAAAAAGAAGAAAATTGAACTTCCGCTACATTTTCTACATGTTATCAACCCTCATGAAGCCCTTTACTTGTGGGGCTATTATGTTTGTTTTCCGTTTTTTTTTTCGTTTTTTTACATCGCTGAATTGGATTTTTTGACGTAAAAAAACGAAAGAAACGGAAAACAATCATTTTTTTTCACAGCCTGAATAACCCCATTGCTTTGTCCTTCGTACTAGACTTTCAGAACATAAAAAGATTCATTATGAGCTGAAAATCGGCAAAATTACACATTTTCAGTGAATGAGCTTTTGAGTAAAAGCGTAATTTGGCGCGTTATGAGAAATATGACTAAAATGAACGTGTTTTTCGAATGTTTCGAAGATTTTTTGCTCACTCGCGCCGCTGCCGACTAGTCGCCGACCTTTGGAGTGTCGTAATGTCGCCCGGTTTAGCAGAAAGCAGCATTTTCAGAATTCGCCAAAGAATTCATTGAAGATCAGAAGAGAACAAAAGTAAAAAAGCATAAAAAGACAAGAAAAAGTAAAAGTGACTAGGTTACAAATTCGAGAATACATTTTCGGAACCCATATCACATTTATTTTGCTTCTTTACAGCAAAATTCCTATACTTTTGAAAATGTAGTGAAATTGATGCTCGAGATGCTGCTCTTTCAGCATCCGGGGGAGACGTCGTGATATTCTGATGGGCGAGGGATTTTGAGATAACTGGAGAAGTCGTGTCTCAAAACTCTGAACATTTTCCAAGCGAACCCCTCCCTATCAGATCTCACGACGCCATCTTCTGACGTGCGAACATCTGGCCCTCCGAGCGCAGCCACTTGCGTGCGATCCGCCCGCATCGCTGTCCTCTCACTGTCTTCTTCGCGCTCCTGCGATATGGGTTCCGCAAATGTATTCTCGAATTTGTAAACTAGTCACTTTTACTTCTTTTTGTCTTTTTATGCTTTTTTACTTTTGTTCTCTTCTGATCTATAACGCATTCTTTGGCGAATTCAGAAAATACCGCTTTCTGCTAAACCGGGCGACATTACGACACTCCAAAGGTCAGCGACGAATCGGCGGCAGCGGTGAGTGAGCGAAAAATCAAACTGCTTCGATTCACCTCCAATTTCTGCCAAATTCTCTGTCGGAAATTGGTTAAAAATGGCTCCGAAAGGACCGACACCTGAAAAAGCGCGAATGGGTCTTCCGGATCGGTGGCTGCATTGTCCGAAAACCGGAACGGTTTGTGGAATAGTGTTTTATACGTTTTCTTGCATTTTTCGGTTTTCAGCTCGTTCAAGACCTTTTTTTCCCGTTTAAAACGCCGCTGTGCGCAATGTACGATCAGCAGATCAGCGAGCGACGTCTTCAGTTTCATCCAGCCGATGTGTTCTCGAATCCGAACCTTCAAGGTCGCAAACTAGGTCTCTGGATCGATCTCACAAACACCGATCGATATTATTTCCGCGAAGAAGTGCGTGCGAATACATTTAAACAGACGGGGAATTCTGATTTTATTCAGGTTACCGAGAAAGGGTGCATTTATCGAAAAATGGCAATGGCCGGCCGCGGAATGTCGCCCACCGAAGAAGAGACTCAGCAGTTCATCGAGTTGTGCAAAGAGTTCCGAGAGAAGAACCCAGATCAAGTGATCGGAGTGCACTGCACCCACGGATTCAACAGAACCGGATTCCTGATTGCCGCCTATCTGTTTCAAGAAGAAGTATGGACATTCCAACTAAGAAGTGTGTATCGTTAAAAAGCATTGTTTAGGGGTACGGGCTAGACGCAGCGATCGTGTCTGTTCAAGAAAACCGACAGGGAGGAATCTACAAACAAGACTACATCGACGATTTGTACGCGCGGTTCGATCCGACCGACGACAATCCGGTGGCGGCTCCGGATAAGCCCGACTGGGAAAGGGAGTACGCACTCGGAGGCGGCGCGGCAGCACAAGCGATCGAGAGACCGTCCACGAGCACGCCGACTCCTACGAACGGTCAGTTTGGTTCGGCTGAAAAGCATAAGCGTTCAAAGTTACAGGAACGAATGGAAACGGACACTCGCGGGACGGTAAGAAATCTGCAGCCGGTGCGAAACAGTTCATGGACGGATTGGTTTCGGAAGTTCGATTGTGTGAAGACGAAGGAAAGAAGAGCATGCTTCGGGCAAAGGTTCTCATTTCACAGTTCACCGATCCGTCGATTTCATCAGAATTTTCAGATCCAACAACTGTGCAAGTACACAAAATCCGGTTTTCCGGGACTCCAGCCGGTGTCTCTCAGCAGGAAAAACATTGCTCTTCTGGAGAATGAACCTTATATGGTCTCGTGGAAAGCCGATGGAATGAGGTTGCAATTGAAACATGAAAATGTTTATTTTTCCTTTATTCTTTTTCAGATACATCGTTTACATCAACAACGGTGAAGTATACGCTTTCGACCGAGACAACGAGGTGTTCGAACTGGAGAACTTGGACTTTGTGATGAAGAACGGAAGTCCGTTGATGGACACTCTCGTGGATACGGAAGTGATCATTGATAAGGTTGGTTTGTTTCTCAAATACATTTTACAGTTATTTTGCACTTTTCAGGCGGAAGTTCGAGGAGAAATGGTCGATCGGGCGAGAATGTTGATCTACGATATTATGAGATTCAATGTAGACGCATTAGAAAATTCAAAATGTGAATTTGTTTTTTCAGAACTTCAATGTGATGAAGGAAAGATTCGACAAAAGGTTCGAAATTATCAAAACAGAAATCATTGATCCCCGCAACGAGGCGTTCAAATCTGGCCGTCTCCGTGCTGAGAATCAGATAATGTCGGTGCGAAGAAAGGACTTCTGGCTGGTTGCATCCACTTACAAATTGTTCGAGCCTCAGTTCGTGCAGAATGTCGGCCACGAAATCGACGGTCTCATTTTCCAGCCGAAAAGAAGAGTGAGCCAGAGGTTCCGGAGCCCTGAACATCACTGATCTATTTTTTCAGCCGTACGAGCCGGGAAGATGTGATACAGTACTCAAATGGAAGCCGCCGTCCCACAATTCCGTCGATTTCCTGTTGAAAATCACAAAGTTCGTTTCCGAAACCCAAACCTCAGCTTCCCATGAAACTATTTCAACAGAGTGTGCCAGCAGGGAATGCTTCCCGAATGGAGGGGCCTTTTGTTCGTTCAAAACTCTCGCGAACCGTTCGCTTCGATGAAAGCGACTGCCACGTTGAAACAATACGACCAGAAGATTATCGAGTGCACGCTCGAAGTGGATGCTAATGGAAGAGTGAGCGGGAAATGTGCATTGATATGCAAAAAATAATGATTTTCAGCCGAGAGAGTGGAAATTTATGCGAGAACGTACCGACAAATCTCTGCCAAACGGACATCGAACTGCCAGTAATGTGCTCGAAACGATGACGAATCCAGTGACCGAAAAGGACTTGCTTGAGTACGTTCTGTGTTTCCTGTTGAAAAAAAATTGTTCAAAAAAGCGATTCTGATCAAATTGTTTTCGAAACAATTTCTCGATAAAAAATGTTTTTTAATTTCTAAAAATTGTTTTCAAAGTTTATCGATATGAAAGACTGAGTAAGTTTTGTAATTTGTTTCATTACATTGCATCGGCATAAATATTATTTATTCAGATACATCCAGCACTGCCTCCGAGTGCAAGCCCGCAACCAACATCACCAACAGATGCAGATGCAGAATGGAGGGCCTCCCGACGCGAAACGACCTAGAGTCCAATAGACACACTTTTTCAATGTATTTTTTTACAAATATGTTTTTCATCTCTCTTTTTTACATCTCTTTCAATTACTTAAACCTCCTTTCATTACGGTTCAAAATTTACTCTCTTCTCAACGTTTCCTTTGGTATTATTCTTTCTTTCAATGTTTCCTCCATCAACTTTCAATTCTATATTCCTAAAGTTTTTCCTGCCTTTTCTTAAGTTTACTTTCTTTCTTTTTTCAAATAAATTTGTTATATTCAATGGGGTAAAATTATGGGAAGAGGCGTGCCCAAACAACCGCGGCGCCGAGCTTCTTCCCAAAACATCGTTCACTTCACTGTTGATTCAGCCTTGAGACCGTCGTCACAAAAATGGATCGTCAAGACGAGCAAAATGCGAAGATTCTGAAGACAATCGAGAAATTCTAAAAGGATTCCTCGAAAAAAGACGTGGCGACGATGCAACGCAAACTTCTGGAGTTTGGCAGAGAAGTGGAGAGAAGTTGGGAGATTGTGAAGGAGGGTAAGTGCGCTCTTTTGATAATCGGAAGAACGAGCACTCAAGTTCAGAAATGAAGAAGGAATACCCGGTGATCCGAGAGTACGAGGAGGAAAAAGCGAGGAAACTTGCTGAGGAGAAGGCCAGAAAAGAGAGAAGCCGAAGGAGTAATTGTGTTTATTCGAGAAATGAAGTCTTTTCGAGACTGTTGATAATTTCAGAATCATTTAGAAAAAGAGTAAAAAGTGATTAAATTCAAAGTTCAATTCAAATGCCCGTTATTCAAGTGGATCCGTATGCAATTGCAGAGTTATCGTGTCGAAATCGTACTGATTCGTTCCGGGAATCCGCGGAAGTCTGTTGTTTCGCATTTCCGTGAACCTGCAACATGTGAGGGGTAAATCGGAAGTGCGCTCTACGGGTAACTCACGCCGCATAAGAGGGAAACAGTTTCGTCCACAATCGTGCCGTATTCTCGGCCGCCCAGAGCGGTTCGAGCACTGAGAAGCGATAGTTTCGGACGCGAAGAGTAATGAACATGTTGACTATCAGATTCTGGAACTCGGTGTTCGAAAGAAAAACGTCATCGTTCTGGAACAGATAGACGACGGGCTCCGCATTTTCCGGCCGCCACGGAGCGATTCCAAAGGCGAACTTTGGGATCCAATCTACGGCTTCCACTTCTGCGTACGTTTTTAGTGCTTCTCTGAATGCCTCGAATTCGATCGTTTCAACCTGCAAACGACAGAAATCAAGGTCGTTTCCATCAGCGTTATCATCAAATTTTAATTCCCGCCCATTTCCGCAAAGTGTGCGTCAAGGTCGACTGCTGACGTCCTTTCGGTCGCTGGCGCACTCTCCCGAAAAATTTTTGTTTCGCAATTCCTTTTGTAAAAAAGTTGTTCATTTCATGACTATTTCTACCAGTTTTTCAATTATTTTATCTTCGAAAATTAAACGAAACAATTTAGGTAACCATGCGCATTGAAAAATGCTACTTTTGCTCCTCTCCCATCTACCCGGGACACGGAATTCAGTTCGTCAGAAATGACAGCACAGTAAGTGATTTTCTCAAATAATTTTAATTAAACTGATAAGAAATCTTTCAGCACAAACTGATAACCTGTTTCTTTACTATTTTCGACAGTGAACATTTTACAGGTGTTCAAATTCTGCCGATCCAGATGCAACAAATTATTCAAGAAGAAGAAGAACCCGAGAAAGCTCAGATTCACGAAGGCGTCTCGTCGTGCTCGCGGAAAGGAGCTCATCAACGACGCAACCCAACTGCTCGAGCAGCGAAGAGATGAGCCAGTCAAGTACGAGAGAGCCCTATTCCAGAAGACGGTCGAGGCTGCCAAGACAATTTCCGCACTGAAACAGAAGAGGTGAGTCAGAATATTATTCAAAATTCTCAAATTATATTGTCTTTTTCAGATACGGAAATTTGATCCGGAAACGTCTGCAGCCAGGAAAAATCGTTCAAAAGAAGGGACTTTTGGCGAAGGTCGACAAGAAGATGCATCTCATTCGTGCTCCAGTGGCCAACAAAGAGGGAGTCAAGACGAGATCGGCGATCAAGGAAAAGAAGAAGACTACGGAGGCTATGGAGACCAACTGAGTTGGCAATTTTATCTCTTCATTTTTGTTACTTGTTATTTGTTGTTCCACTTTCTTCATCCTCTTCACACATTTGTAAATACACTTGGATTTACGAATTTGATCAGTTGTTCAGAAATTTTGAAGAAGTCAATCAGAGTGGGTAGGCTGCAGACGCATTTGCAAGTGACTAAACTCTTTTCCGAAACACTGATAATGGACGTTTTTCAACGAAACCCAAGGAACAATAGAAACGGAAACTTGCTGTGTAGGCTGATCAGACGAAAACAAAGATTACGTCATTCGAAGAAAGTCCTGCAGCTTCCAGAACCTTCCGAAGTCCCAGTGTTCTCAAAAAGATCGGCATCAACGCTTGCACTTCCCCTCTCACTTTCAGAATCATTACCCGCTTGTGTGGTGTGATAGCGGAAAGAAGCAGTAAAGAGGAAAGGGGAATTCGGCCCGCTATCATCCGCCACCTACCGTCGGCTGCATTTCGTCGCGAACTTGATCGCGCAGCACGATGACGTAATCGGGGAGCAGACGGCGTTCTGCGCGGAAGTCCTCGATGATCCACCGGGCGACGCGGCGGATCATCGCCGGCTCCAAGTGCGGTGACGTGGCTTTTTGGAAGTGAAAGTACTCGATGAAATGGTCGGCGCACGAGGTTCCGTTGAATGTGAACTGCAAAGAACATCTTGAAATTCTGCTCAGCTCACGAATAGAGATCGTAGACTTACCACGGCGGTACTCGGATTGTTGTAGACGCCCGGAGTGTTCGGATCTACCGTACCCTGGATCATTGTGTACCCGATGAACAGTGTGTTCGTGTTGACTCCACGGAGGTTTTGCCTGCAAACACGATCGTTTTTACTAGTATTCGAAGAGCCGCGCTCACATGTACTGATGAGCTCCATTTCGTTGCTCAACTTGCGGTCGCCGCCGACGGTCCATTCGGGAGAGGTGCTGGAATGAATAATTGGAAAATGAAGAGAAAGTGGATGATGAATGTGAAAGAAGAAGAAGAAGAAAAAGTACTGTACTTTTTAAACATTTCGTCGTGACAAGAGCAATTAACCTCCAAAAGCGCGGGTGAGGAAAGAAACGAGAGAGAGACAGAGAGAGAGAAAACGATAAAAATAGGCGAAGAGATAGTGTTGTCAATTTCAACGAAATAGACAATACATCAGAAGAACGCTCCTCGACGACGACGACCGCGTGCGAGCGCCGTTTGTACGTATTAGTGGGACACACGAGGAGAAGAAGAAGGAGAAGGAGGAAGCGACGAAGTGGGAGGGAGGGAGGGAAGAAGGAGAAGGAGAAGGGAGACTGTCTAGTGATTGCTGATTATCACTTGGAGACGTCATTTACTACTGACCACCGTCGGCGCTGTAAATCATCCCGAATTGGCGGTCCGGAAGCGTCGGAACAGTGGAATACACGGAACACGCGACGGAAATGCTCTTCAGAAAATAGAGACGTAAACTATTTTTCGCATTCTTCTTCACACGACCAATTGCAGTTTGAACTCGCGGGGTCCAGTTGCAAAACGTCTGCTCGGTTGCCAAGCTCTCTTCTGAACAGCGGTGTGCGGTAAAAATTCGGAATCTCGGTTGTTTGCTTCTGTTAGATCAGTCTACAGTAATCTTTTCTCAATGATTCGGAAGTGTCCGCCCCTTCCGCGCCGCCGTTGATTTCTGATGAAACGATGAAAAAAAGGCGCGGGTGCAAACCCCCCGAGAAATGGGCGCTGACGACGCAAGACGATCATTAAAGGTTATCTGACGCGAACGAGTCGGCTGGCCGGCCGACTTAATCGTTTCGGCGGCGTGGGAAAAGACGACACAGAAGTTTGTGTCCGTGATAAGACTGAAAGTTGGCAGTGACACGAATAGTCCCCACGTGGTCTCCTCCGATTACGGTTACGAAGCGGCAGCATGATGGATGGGAAGGCAAAACGTCAGCAGAAGGAGAAGGAATTCCGAGGGAAACGAAATCTTATCAGTTCGCCTTGTTTTCCTTCTCTCTCTCCCTTTGATTTTTTGCTCTATGGCCTAACCAAAAAGGCGCGTATTTAGTTAGATACGCACGTGCGAGACGAAGGGGTACGGTAGTGGTGGCGCCATACTCTGGAGACGGAAACGCAATTAAGTGACATCGAAGTTCAGAACGATGGAGAGCAAGTACTCTTTTAGTCATGTGGAGGAACAATAAATGGAGGGCGGTTTGATATTTCTTCTGATTCCTGCTGACCCATCGCCGTGATATCTCATCTAACGGTCAGGAAGCAGACAGATATTCACGAGTTCCGACAGCAGCTCCCGATGGAAATTTATAATAATCAGTTAGTTCGAACAAGCAGAATAACAATAGCTATCGAGGGAAAATGGAAAACAAGAAGAAACACATTTCCGTTCGCTTTTCTCTCGATGATACGATGACTAACGACCCGTCGTCTTCTCGCAGATAAGTCTATTTATATAATAATCTTTACACTTGGACTGAAACTGTCGAGGTATTATCATTTACTGTAAGAGAAGGGCACCCCAAATATTGTCTATTCAAGATGATTTATCTTCTCTAGCAGTAGAGATATCAAAAAGTTGTCAACAGCTAAAATGTACACGACTTCTTAATGAGCAATTTACTAGTTGACAAAATTTTGATATCTCCACCGGCAACTGGGATATACTATTCTGAATGCACGGCAGTGGAGTGCCATGCCAAGAATACGTGTCGATTCCAGCGGAGCCGATTATGTGAGATGACGAAACGAATGATGATTGGAGTTGTCGCCTACAACATGATTCCAACAAAACGACGTCGTTTTCCGAACCGATCGGAAGGTGTGGCTGAGAACCCGCCTCCAAGAGTGATGAAATCTCATCCGTTCGAAACTACAATCGAGTTCAGTTATGTTTTGCAAGGAATTCCATCGGCTCTTTGTTGAAATCTTTGTAGTTTTCGACTAGTCAAATGAACTCTGATCAATCGTTTTATCCGCTACAAACATGAATGACGCACGATTACCGTTTTGAGAGAATGACAATACTTTTGAAAGTATTTTGTGTGTGTGTGTGTGTGTGTGTAGGTTCGAAGGTGTGAATCAAACAGCTTTTCTTAGCAGTCAATAAACAAAAGTCTCGAATAAGTATTGTCGGTCTCCAGTCATGTAGGTCCCGGCGTCCTTCGGCTGAAATTTCTTCACCACGAGCACTCCCTTCTTTTTGTTGTACGCCGTCGCTCCGGACGCCACCTTCTTCTTCGTCTGCAATCATTCCGTCATGAATCGAAACTCTATTCCCCCTCACTTTCACATTTTCCCAGTATCCACATTTCGTTGTGTTCTTTCCGTTGCACACTCGCAACAAGTGCTCAATCGTCTGGTCTTTCGCATTTTTGACCTGTCGTCTGTAGGTCGCAGCTTCCGGAAGGATGATGTTCGCCACTCTTCCCTTCTGAAATCAGAAGACGTACCGAAAAGATGGAATGGTACTCACTTGCACATTCATCCCAGTCGGTCCGCTGCCATAAGGATCACTATCGGCAAGACAAAGAGAAATGAGACAGAGAACCGGAAGTAGCAGTCGACAGATCATGATCTAGGAATGAAGAGTGCGATCGGTGCGTGCAAAGGAGGGATAATCCGCCGAAATGTTGCATTTGGGCAGAAACATTAGGAGAAACAACTCAAAATATTTAAGTTCAAAAGTTTATTGCACTGAATACATTCGAGTCACTAATCCTCGGCGGTGGTGGCCGAGTCCTCCTCGTCTTCCTCCGTCTGTTTCTCGAATGCGAACTGCTCCAGCACACCGATCATTTTCTCAATCTTAGCCTTCAGCGGATTCGTCACATGCTTCAGACTGTACGTCAGAGCAATCACGTAGGCGAATATGTACTGCGGGAACGTCTCGACGGCGCCCGGGCGCTGACCTCTCACCGCAACCATAATGTCCTTGATGTTCGGTGCTTCCCCCGCACGGAGTTTTTCGATAGCGGCCGCTGAGACGACGAAAGAGCCGGCTCTTCCTGCTCCGAACTTGCTCACCACTCCGCTCGTTGCATCTGGGTCCTGAAACAAACCATATAGATGTGTCCAGGATGTTTGCTCACAATTTCAGACTCGAATACACTGGCAGCAGTGGCGGCGGCTCGCGCAGTTTGCGTCGGAATCTTCGCGTCGTGCCAAAAGTCACAAATCTCGATCATCGCGAACGGAGCCTCGGCACAATCTTTCGGAACCACTTCGTAGAACAACTGATCGTTTATCTGATCGTCACTGCGAAGTAACACTTTCCGACTGTTCACTCGGATAGTTGTGTGCTCGACAAAGTCTTCGGGAAAGTATTCCGATTGCTCCTTCTTGTCCATCTCGTCCGCACCGAACAATACGTACAATCTCTGGATCTTGTTGGCGGCTACCATCAGCCAGAACGCTTCCAGCGACTGCGGGTTTTCGCGGAGCGGCAGTTGGGCAATGATGACTTTCATGGGGATCTGAAGGCAAGGAATGGGGGCCGCTTTCATGGGGCATCGTTACATTCGGAATCGTGATTATACTTCCATGATAGAAGAAATCGGCGGCGTCTCCGTTCTTTACCCTGTTCGCATCGAGCAGTTCGGTGTTGTCCGATTGGCACAGATCGCTGTTCTTCTCGAACGCCGTGCACTTGTTCGCCTCCACTTTCATCCTCTCCACCTGCTGGAACTCCTTGTCCAGAGTGCTCTTCAGATCGATCTTCTCCAGCTGCTCCATCCAGCACTTTGTTCCCCTCTCCACCTTCTCTTTCTGAATGAACGCATCCATCTGACTTTCCGCCGATCGCAGTCCGATCAGCGAAGGGCTCTTCGTGAGTGTCACGACTTTCGACGACTGCTCATTGGACGCACTCCGTTCGGCCGACTCCTTCTTCTTCGTCTGCTTCTTCTCTTTCGTCTCCTTTTTGTACGCCTTCGCCGTCACTTCCGCCAACTCGTTCTTGCTCGACTGAGCACTTAATTTGCTTTTCGAATTGGAGCGGGACACGCGTTTGCCCTTGCTCCGTTCCGCGCTTTTCTCGCGAGATGCCTGAAATGCTTCGAGCTCTCTTTTCTCGGACCGTGCCTGCTCACAGACTGACCGTGCTCGTCGATGGACTCTTGCCCCTCTTCTTCTTTTTGAACTTGTCCACGAATTTTTGCACTATGCTCGTCTTCGATTTTGTTTTTTTGACAGGATCTGATGCCATGAAAACTGAAAGTGCGGGATGGAAACCGCCGAACTCACTGGATGAATGCATCTTTTCCGCTCGTCAGCAACGGTAATATTGAAAAGTGATTGTTCCACGAACGTTCGGTTCGATTCCAAAGCCCAAAGTTCACGTACATTTTCAAACGTTTTTATTAAATTAGATAGACTAAAACAAACAGCAATCACTTTTTCAGCTTCTTCGGCTTCTTCTTTAGCAGCTTTCTGATCCGCTTCGCGTAATCGTAGGCGAGGAACGAAGCGACGTAGGCGGCGACGCTCGAAACGACGAGAAGGGCGCACGTGCCGAGTTCGAACGCGAACAGTTTGTTCCTGAAATAAAGAATAGAGTAATCACGCTCGAAATGGACTGCCTCACTTGTTCTCCTCATCTTTCTTCCTCTTCTCCTGTATCAGTGCTTGAGCTCTTGGCAGAGAAGAAGGCGTCGTCTTGTGTTTTTCCTTCGCACCATCCGTATCATCACCGTCGTCGTCTTCATCATCAGGAGAAGCGGTTGGTTGGACAGCTGGGGGAGCTGAGGGAACAGCGGAAGGAAGTGGAACTAGGTGAGAAGCATCGGTAGAGATGGAATTGGCGACAGCTGAAGTCGAATCCTCGGTCATGGAAGAGTCAGTGATAGTTGAAGTCGAACCCTCGGTCGTTGTCTCTTGAGCAATCGAGGTGACGAGCACCGCAGGAGCTGTGGTCTCAAGGGTACTGCTAGCAACAGTGGTAGCATCAGAAACTATGATAGCTGTATTTGTGCCGTCAGAAGTTGTGACATCAGAAGTTGCGATCACAACACTAGTAGTCTGAGGAGTTGTGGCCTCAATGGTAGTGCTCGCAGTTGTGATTGCTGGACTTACGATGCCAGGAGTTGTGTTTGAAGGAGTTGTGACGTGAGGAGCTGTGATGTCTGGAGTTGTACTCGCAAGAGTTGTATTTGTTGGAGTTGCGACATCAGGAGTTGTGATCACAAGAGTGGTCGTGGGTTGCTTAGTCGTCGCATCTTCTGTCGTTGGCTCGCTCGTCTGCTTCACAGTTGTAGGAGCATCCGTAGGAGTACTCGCAGGAGCAGAAGTTCTGTTGGCCACGGGAACTCCAGGCGGTTTCTGAGCGCCTGGTGTCGTCGAGGTCATGGAGACAGTTTGGAAGGCGGTTATCGTGACATTTGGCAGAGAAGTAGTATTCACCGAGGGAACGACGTTCATTGTAGTGGAAGGTTTCGTAGTTGGCTGAACAATCGGTGAAGTTTTCATGGGAGTCGACGGACTGTCCGTTCGTTTAGTCTCTGATGTTGTTGATTTGGCTTTGTGTGATGTGGAACTCGTCGAACTAGCTGCCACTACTACAACTGGACCGACAGTATTCCGTTGTTGGGTTGTTGGGTTCATAGAAGTTGACTGAACGCCTGGTGTCGTCGAGGTCAAGGAGACAGTTTGGGAGGCGGTTATCGTGACATTTGGCAGAGAAGTAGTATTCACCGAGGGAACGACGTTCATTGTAGTGGAAGGTTTCGTAGTTGGCTGAACAATCGGTGAAGTTTTCATGGGAGTCGACGGACTGTCCGTTCGTTTAGTCTCTGATGTTGTTGATTTGGCTTTGTGTGTTGTGGAACTCGTCGAACTAGCTGCCACCACTACAACTGGACCGACAGTAGTCCGTTGTTGGGTTGTTGGGTTCATAGAAGTTGACTGAACGCCTGGTGTCGTCGAGGTCAAGAAGACAGTTTGGGAGGCGGTTATCGTGACTTTTGGCGGAGAAAAAGCGATTGTAGTGTTCACCGAGGGAACGACTTTCATTGTAGTGGAAGGTTTCGTAGTTGGCTGAACAATCGGTGAAGTTTTCATGGGAGTCGACGGACTGTCCGTTGGTTTAGTCTCTGATGTTGTTGATTTGGCTTTGTGTGTTGTGGAACTCTTCGAACTAGCTGCCACCACTACAACTGGACCGACAGTAGTCCGTTGTTGGGTTGTTCTGTTCATCGAAGTTGGCTGAACATCAGTCGTGGTAACGGGAGTCGTCGCAATCGGAGTGGCCACGGATTTTGGGTTTCCAGTTGTTGGATCAACTGAAGTCACTCCTTTTGCAGTACTCGCTGGTCCAGATGTGGGAGCCGCGGTGGTGCTAGTGACAACTGTGGGGAACGTTAGAGCGGGAGGAATGACAGTTGGCAGAACAGAACTGTTGGCCGAATTCCCGCGTGGACTGGCGCTCCAAATGATGACTGGAATCGTCCTGATCTCCGGATCAAGAGAAGCTGTGACAGTTGAAACGGTATTGGGTACAAAAGCCGACGGTGTGGAAACTGAAGAAGTTGGCACTAACGATGGACCAGATGTTGACACTGAAATAACATTTTGCAAAGAGGAAGACGACCATGACAAACCTGCGGAAGGAGCAGAGGTAGGATTCGCTGTGGATTTGTAGTTAACTGTCGTCCTGCGATCTGAAATGAACACTTTGTAAAAAATTATGAGGAAAGTAGGCCGTACCGCGTGATGTGCTGATGCCCGGAGTCGCATTCACCGCAGAAGCTGGAGTTGCCACTCTCGTAAAGACGAGCGAGTCTGGTGTAGCTGTGAATAATCATTGAAACCGGAAAAGGAAATCAAATATTCTCACCCGCATTGCCAGTTGAAGTATGCGCTGTGGAAGGACGATTGGAAGGGACAGGAGTGTAGTAGTTCCGAGTTCTCGGAACTGGAGAAGTACCGACCGGTTGGATGAGAATGACGGTTCCTGTGCTCACATTCCTGCTACTGCCGGCGTTGGTTCCGTTCTGCTGAGCACTATTCTGATTGCCTCCGTTCAGCTGGCCACTCGGGAGAGCAGTACTGCCTGCTTTGACCGTGGACTGAGATACGCTTTCGTTTCCAGTGGTACCGGTGTTGCCTTGGCCACTCGGGGAAACAGTGCTCTTTCCGCTGCTTGTCGCCGGTGCTACGCTCCTAGTTCCAGCGTACCCTTGTCTGCTCGGAGGTGCAGTTCTGCCTCTATTTCCCATGGACTGAACTCTGCTTCCGTTTCCAGTGTTCACTTGGGGAGTACTGGTCCCTGCAGGGTTTCCGTTGCTCGTCGGCTGTTTTCCGCTTCCTTTTCCCGTGTTTCCAGCTGCATTTGTCATTAGGGCGCCGTTGAAAGCGGAAGCGGGATCTGAACAAGTTAGACTGCTCATTGGTTCTTTTCCACGAAGTACCTGGAACGTTGTCACCGGGATCGATTCTCTTGACACGTGGCAAGTTCTCATTCGCATTTACGAAGCAGTTCAATCCATAAAACAGAAATGCTAGCAATAGCCACTGATGAAGTTCGAAACACCTCATGTTATCAACGAGCGCGATGTTCGGCTACCTGAACAATCAGAAGACGTTCAGACGCAGCTGAAGCAGTTTTTACCTTTCTTCGAAGAATTACTTTTCACACAGGGAATGCCGTCGTAAAATATGACAATGAAATTGTGGAAAAAGAAACGCGGTTCGATCGTTTCCGTTTTATGCATTAAGTTCACGGGAGTCTTTTTTATCCTTTCCATGTTTTTCTGATAACGTAGATGAAATGGAAACAGTGTCACAAGAGGAATGAATTTCATTAAAAGACACAGATCTGATTGACAATAATCACACAGTTCTTGTGACAGAAGACAATCAATACAGGTGTAGGAAAGAAAATGAATGAAAAAGTTGAATCGGAAGGGGAAAAAACGGCAAAGCAGTCGTTTATGCGATTCTCCTCGCTTTGAACACGGTGGCCCGGTCGATTCTTCGACGTTTCTCGTCTGAAATGAACAAGTCGTGACTTATTCTATGGAATTCAATGACCTACATTCTGTACGCAGCAAACAGATCGGCCCCTCGTTTCGCGTATTCGTCGGTTGCGAAGACAGGCTCCGGAAGGGAAACGACCGAGCAGCTGGCAGCAGAGAGCAGCCATGAAGTGGACGGTCTCGTCGTTCGTCCGGAACACATTCCCGTTGAAGAGCACGTTCAGGACGAGCGGCTGCGCTGTGATCACTTCGTTTCCGTTCTTCCGGACGACCGTGTGGTCGATCGCTGTCATTGCCGGCACGTTTACAAATTCACCATTCGGTTTGCGGACATAGATTCTGTTCGAGTGTCGTTTCGTTGCAATGAGCAGAGCGAACGGGATCTTCTTAGCAGACTTCCTCTTAAGATGAATTCATCAAAAAGTCGGGGACTCCGTCGCGGATCGCTTGAAACTCGCGTTCCAAGGACCTTGACCATATAGTACTGCCCCTTGGAGACCCATCTCGGTCCGGGATCTTCCCTCTAGCTGCCGCACACATGCTGATCATCTTCTTTTCTCGTCAACGCTAATTGGAAGTCGCCGATTAAGACCTGCGGATGTTTGCTGCAGTTGGAAGCGAACTGAAAACGTTTTTCTAGCACTCTAATTTTTCACCGAACTCACCCCAATCGAACTGGGCTCGTCGCTTTTCTCGCCATTCCGATACGAGCGAATCCCGGACGAGTGGCACACGTCATAAGAAATAATAAGAGTATTAGAAGACTCGCCTCAGAGATGTTTTCTGAAACAAAGGACACTTGAAAGTGTGATCTCTCTGCGATCTACAAGGGAGTGGATGTGCACGACGCCATCGAGAAGGTCAATTTTCCGCTCATTTTCGTATCTGAAAATTACAATTCCAGATCTTCCAATCCTTCTCGATGAAAAATTTAGTTATTATTTACTGTGATCACAGCTAACAGCCCTTGCACGAGTTGATCAGTGTGATAATGAAGCTGAGTTTTCGCTGTCCAAAGTCGGCAGATATTTGCTTGAAAAACGGGGTGCGCACAGCTGAACGATTGTCACCGTATACCATAAAACTACGGCATTTTTTGAAAATTCCCGCGAAATCCAGACGGCCGTCCGTCTCATCCTTCCGGGAGAGCTCGCCAAGCACGCCGTTTCCGAAGGAACCGAGGCCGTCACCTAGTACACCTCCAGCAAATAAGCTCCCCGAGCTCCAAGCTGGTCCACCGATCCCAACGGCCCTCTTTAGGGCCACAAATACCACACAAATCCATTTATACTCATGTACTTTCAATAAAAACTTTTTTAAAATTATACTTTGTCAATTATGCTTCAGCCACGGTCTCCAGAGCTGACAATGGACGGAAATGCGCCCCGCCCAATAGAGCGATACATTGACGCGAAATTCAAATTTTAACAGCAAAATGCGTGTTTTTTGCCAGATTAGCCACGAAAAACCGATAATTTCTGATTTGTCTCTCGATAGACCGAATGTATAGGCTATTACGAATTTTTTAAGCGCAAGAGCGTTAAATTTGGTCAAGTCGCAAATCACATTTATCCGTTTGAAGGGTTTTGGCTAAAACTGCGTGAATTTCAGTTGCTTTTCGGTAGTTTTCGCGGTTCGAGTGCTCGAAATGCTTGTATTTACGTGATTTATCATTCTCAAAACCAATTCTGTCTGAAAACGGTCAAGAAAGCGCAAAATGAGAAGCGCGGTTTTTAGGCGGCGAAGGCGAAAAAGCAAAGTCCACGAAAAATGCGCCAAAACGTCATTAATTCTGAGAATTAGTGTGTTTTCATGTCGAACAATCATTTCTCATCGCCGTTGACCACAAAAATCAGAGAAAACCTGCTCAATTCATGAAAACGCTATTTGGCCGAGGCCACGCTCATATTGTCAGCTCTGGAGACCGTGAATTCAGAATCAAAAATCTTTCTCATCAAGAAGCTTGCTCTTCGCAACTACCTGTCATCCCATTAACAGTGAATTCTCGCGTGCTTTCATGTTATCTTTCACGCAATCTGAACTCTTTAATAAGAGCTCTCATGTTTTTCGATGGTTTTACTTCATTCCCAATATCATCCACGGTACGACTCAGTTTTCTGCGGAACTGTAAGCTTGCATTTGTGTTCGAAATAGCTGACGGCTCTTCAGGAGCACTCGGGAAGCACGCAATTCGAACACGACGAGAAGGTCAACTGGAAATTTGCGACTATCGGCAATGGACATTCAAGATATCATCGGAATCGTCTTGACTTTGGTCACCGGGAGCCTGTCGCTGTTCCTGATGCTCGTATGCGGAGGAGTGAGTGAACGGATGGAAAGGCAGCAGGGAATCGAGAACTTTCTTTCAGAAAAAGAACAAACCTGTCGATGACGACTCTAATAGCAGCAAGAGGCAAGGAACGGAACGAGATGGAGACGCAACGGAGAGAACTGAGAGAAAGGAGAATGGAGCGAAGCCCGCTCCTGCGGTGGCTGGGACTAACGATCCGAACTATCAGACCATGGCCGGCATTGAGAATAATTTCGGGGCGGACAAAGCGGCTGGAGCTCCTGCTGCTGCCGCTCCTGCTCCTGCTGCTGCCGCTCCTGCTCCAGCGGCTGGAGGAAAACCTACTATGGCTGGTGAGAAAATGAATCCGATTCTCGGTTGCGAATGAAATCAATCAGGTACCCATGATCCGAACTACCAAACACTGGCCGGACTTGGAAACGATTGCTTCGACAAAAAAGATGGCGGTGGCGGAGGAGCTGCTGCTGCTGCTGCTGCGCCGGCAGCCGGAAAACCCGGAATGGCAGCGACTCACGATCCGAACTATCAGACATTGGCTGGACTGAACAATAATGTGTTCGAGAAGAAGGAAGGTGCGGCTCCTGCTGCCGCCGGTGCTGCAGGCGGACCAGCCGTGCCGAAAGACCAGAATGCGAAGGCGGCCACTCACGATCCGAATTATCAGACTCTGGCAGGACTCAATAACAATGTGTTCGAGAAGAAGGAAGGAGGAGGCGCCGCTCCAGCTGCTGCAGCTCCGGCCGCCGACGGGAAGAAGCCAGTGCAACCAGCTAACAAGGGACAGAAAGCGGCCACGATGGATCCGAACTATCAGACTCTGGCGGCGGTCGGGGGAGATGTGTTCGGAGCGGATAAGAAGGCGGGAGGAGGAGATGCCAAGAAGCCCAGTCAGCCAGCCAACAAAGTGAGTTGACCTGCATTCCGAATATTGAAAGAATAGCTAATTTCAGAATCAGAAGGCGGCGACGATGGATCCGAATTATCAGACATTGGCTGCAGTCGGAGGAGACGTTTTCGGTGCCGATAAGAAGAAAAAATAGTATTAGTGTCCCACCTGCGTTTGTGTCTCAAAATAAAAGTACATCACAAATAACCATAACACTTCTACAACATGTTATCGAATCCGTAGCACGGGTAGACGAATTGACAAATCCTTCCATCATCCTGACCATCTGGACATAATTCAACAAAAGAATTCAAATGTGGCGGATGACCTCCAGCCGTCACTGTCCTATAAGTAAATCTTTTTCGGTTGCAGTCACACTCTCCAGCTTGGCTCAGCGCCACGCGCGAACAAAGAAGAACAAGAGGGACGCGATGAACAATTGAGCAGAAACGTTTGAATAAGAATAAGGAGAAAATATTGTTGCAAATCGAGTTTATTAACAGAAATTCAGTGGATTTGACATTTTTGGCCCTAAAGAGGGCTGTTGTGTTCGGTAGTTGGTTGTAGGGCCACAAATACCACACAAATCCATTTATTATCATGTACTTTCAATAAACTTTTTTAAATTATACTTTGTCACGGTCTCCAGAGCTGACAATATGGGCGTGGCCTCGGCGGCCAAATAGCGTTTTCATGAATTGAGCAGGTTTTCTCTGATTTTTGTGGTCAAAGGCGATGAAAAATGATTGTTCGACATGAAAACACACTAATTCTCAGAATTAATGACGTTTTAGCGCATTTTTCGCGGACTTCGCCTTTTCGCCTTCGTCGCCGATCGCCGCCTCAAACCGCACTTCTCATTTTGCGCTTTCTTGACCGTTTTCAGACTGAATTGGTTTTGAGAATGATAAATCACGTAAATACAAGAATTTTGAGCGCTCGAACCGCGAAAATTACCGAAAAGCAACTGAAATTCACGCAGTTTTAGCCAAAAACCTTCAAACGGATAAATGCGATTTGCGACTTGACCAAATTTAACGCTCTTGCGCTTAAAAAATTTGTAATAGCCTATACAATCGGTCTATCGAGAGAAAAATGAGAAATTATCGGTTTTTCGTGGCTAATCTGGCAAAAAACACAAATTTCGCTGTTAAAATTTGAATTTCGCGCCAATGTATCGCTCCATTGGGCGGGGCGCACTTGCGCCCATTGTCAGCTCTGGAGACCGTGGCGCGTAACAAATGTTTCCTCGTCGAGGAAGAAATGGAGCTTCTGATGTTCTCGCGCAAGAGAAAGTGCCCGCAAAAAGAGGTGTATAGTGGGATGAAACGGGCGCTAATCTAATTTATGCGGACTTCTCCATTTCCACAAAAAGAACGAACACCCTTTTTCGTCCTTCTTCCGTCAAGAAAATGGACGGAGAATACTCGATTGCACATGTGTTCTGCCCTGAAAAGAAAAGTAAAAAGTAGGTGACGATGCCAAGGGGACCAAAGCAAATGTGTGTTTGAATGGGATGGAAACAACTGGAATCGGATTGATATGCCGTACAAAGTTCATTTCGGATGAAATTTCGTTAGCAATTTGGAAAACTAGGTACGGGAAGTACTAAAAAGAAACGATTTCCTGTTCGGGAGCAAGATTCGAAGCGGAGTTCGAATAGGGGTTTAGGAATGTTACAGAAGTAGTGGTACTTTGAGTAGGACAGGAAATGGATTGTGGAGGAGAGGAACACAATTAGTTCTAAAAAATTTCTACAAATTAAAGCTCCAGTGATAGTTAATAGGGATGACATATGAGAAAATAAAAAAATAATAGCAAATTATGTGAGAGCATTGCATGCTAATCGAATTGAAACAGAATATGAATTGAGGTGTAGTAAGGATACAGAAGTACAATGGTTAGGAAGAGGATTGTGGAAGGAGTGAGTAATATTTTTCCAAAAGCTCAACTACTGTTCTTAGCATTATCGTCGCTCAACTTTTGACGGCCTTTTCGAACTGAACCAATCCGTACTCAACTTCACAGGCATCAACTCGAACTCCGAGAAGGTTCATGTTTCAGGTTTGGTGCGGATCGGTTCACTCAGAGCTGAGAAAAGTTGAGCGAGGGACATACTTATGAAAAGATACATCGAATTGTCAATTAGTAGATAGTGTGATGAGAATAAAGTAAGATTAATGTAATGTAATGTAGTGAGATAGTGAGATAAGTGAGATAAGGAGAAATCAAACAATACGCTAACACTCGAATATGGTGTCCGCGTATGCCAGCCACCCCGGCATACTGTCAAAGTCGATGCCAACAAGTTGCTTCCTCAATATGGAAAAAGAAAAGCGGAATGTGCACTGCACGCAAGAAGGATTCAGAAGAACTAATGGGGTTTGAGAAGAACTTTGGAACATGTGAGGATTGTGGAGAGAAGACGGATTTAGGCGATACGTTTGAATCTGAACGAAGAGGTCACGTAGGCCAGACGATTCGTGATCGCCTCGAAATCGATGCTTCCGTCGTCTAGCGTATCCACCGGGCGTTTCAACTCAGGTGCCACACTGCAAAGCAAGAAATTGCACGAATGGAACGAAAACTCGACACACTAACCTCTTGTAGCAATTGAACAAGTCGCTTCCTCTCTTTGCGTAGGCGTCGGCTGCGTAGACCGTCTCCGGGAGAGACACGATTGAGGTGCAAACCTGGTGCTCGCAGCACAGTGCCGCGAGGAAGTGAGACAACTGAGTGTTGCTGGTGAAGATCGCATCATTGTGGAGGATGTTTATGAGCATCGGCTGGGCAGTTCCAGCAAGCGGACTGTGGCTGACGAAGATCATCTCGGTTCCCTCTTTCCTGACGATGCCAGTGTCAATGGCGGTGAGCGGGGGGACGTTCACGAAGCCTGAAGACCATGCCAATTTACACAATTGAACAGCTCTATTCACTTTTTTGGCCACTCATGCACAGACGATTGGCGTGGCGCTTCGTGACAATGAGGAGGGAGAAGGCGATTTTCTTCTGGGATTTGCTGGCACTCAGATAATCGCGGACTCCCTCCTGGATCGCTACGAATTCCTCATCTCGGACCATCTTGTACTGTCCCTCAGAGACTCCGTCGCGCAGAATGATTATATTCTCCGGGAGCTCTTTCCGGTTCTGGTGATACTGTCCAAGTATAGCCCTTGCCCGTTTTTTAAGGATGTCATCGTTGACCTGTTCTTTTCTCGGTCGCTGAAGATGGAAGTCTCCGAAGATTTCCGTTGGTGCACGACCGGTGTTGAAAGCGAACTGAAACCCACTCGTCTTTGGGGCAACTTTTTTTTTTGTACTTACGCCGACTGAACTTGGCTCCGTGCAGACGTCTCCTAATCTATACTGTCTGACACCGGAACTGTGGCAGACGTCGTATGAAATGACGAGGGTCTTTGCTTGGTCTCCCCAGAGTGCGCTCCTAGAAATCAACCCGAGATAAAGATACAGCAAACTTGATTCCGGACCGGGCCGAAGATTTTTTCGGCCTGGTCGGCCAGTACGATACTATTCGAATGAATGCGAGGTGTGATGGAAAAAAAGAAACTGCGTGCGGAAAACGTTCAAAAAGCGGGTAAAGCTTTATAAAGTTGCTAAAAGTGGCACAGTTTTATATTACAGACCCGCGAAAAAAAAATGTTCGGTCATGTGAGACAAAAACATCTTATTTGTGCTACGAACCGAATTTTTGACACTTATCTACAAAACAACTATGGATGGGCAAGGCGAGACCGTGGACACAAGTTTTCGAGCACCGCGGATCCCGTAGAAAGAAACCGTGAATTGGATGCCAAGGTTGCAATCTATCGTTCCGCCCACTCTTAACAATTGTTCGGTTTTTATCATTATTTTGGAAAACGTTGGAGGCTTCCGGAGGGGAGAATTTGAAGTTTGGCCCGGCTCGTTGCCACTCGGGGATAAGCAACTTACACGTCTGCGCTGGAAACTTTATGATTCAGTCCGCCTGCCTTTAAATTCAGCTTGGCGAGCACGTTCCTTCTCGTATCGAAGCCGCTGAAAAGTGAAATAGAAATGGCATTCATAATAGAAACTAACAATATGCGAAGGCTTTTGTCGAAATTGACCTGCTGAGTGGGGATTTCGTGGAGTCGCTCCGCCAACTTTAAAAACGCGTGCGAGTCCAGTGGGTTAAAATCTGCGTAGATCACCATTATACGCTCCTTTTTAATGTTCAATTGCGAGGCCATGGTTTCCATGTTCTAAACAGGATTTTATAAAGGAATGAAAAAAGATTTATATTAGTATAAGAACTAGTAAGGACTTTAAAGTACAATTGTAAGGATTTCTTACCATGTAGAGTTCTTTCCTCCACTCCACCGAGTTTGTCACTGCAGAGATTTGTACCATATCGACTGTCGGCATCCGGGCTCTGGTAATTTTGGATGTTTTACAATCATTGAAACTTGCAAGCAGCAACGAAATACTCGAACATGGCCGCTTATTGGAAAAATCAGTGCTCATAAAGACTCTGTGCAACTTTTCTTTGGTTTTTCGTTGCTGCTTGCGAGTTTCAACTGCCCACCGGTTTTGGATTACTGTGCCCAGGACTTGGACGGCGTTCGGACCCTGGAGCTCTTTTTGCAGCGCTTCCAATTTCTTGCCAACGTCCTCTTTCTCTCTAATCTTGTTGTCGTAGTTGTAAAAGATGCGAATATGGTCAATACAATTGGCCGGAGTGACGAAGCTATCGGCTTTCGGCATGAACCACTTGCCCACCTAAAAAAGATGCGTAGAGTTTCTTTGAATACTCGGACCGAAAACTAACGGCTTTTTCATTCGGCATTGCCAGGCTTTGAGCATTTCTTTTGTACAGAATTCCTGGAGCCCGAATTCGAACCCCGTCAACTTTGACCGGATCCTCGGCGATCTCTACTCCGAATTGTTCAAATGTTCTATTCCGGGTTAGTATCTGCATTTGAGTTCCAATATCCTTGGTACGATCTTTACGTTCGCCAGGAGTAACTGGGGGAGGCTGAAATGAAATTGAATTCTGAATACTAACATCTCACAGTTACTTACCGCTTTGCCATGTTTCGGGAGCAGCTTTTGACCAGGGCAGATTTTCAGGAGTTCAACCGGGTAACTCAAAGTCCTCTTGATTTTTGTATTCGGTTTCTCAGGATTCGGAACCGTGATGGATCTTTGCATGGCTCTAAGAAAGCCGTTGAAATCGCCGAAACTTCTCCCGGATATCCGAGCGCTATCGTGCAGAAGAGGTCTACCATCCAACCACAGATTATCGATGTGATCTCCGACACCACTTATTTTGAATTTCGATGGAGGATCAAAGTCGGTAACCACTTTCATTCCTTTGCCATACTTATTCGCAAGGTCCAGGTCCGACCATGCATTTTTGAGGAGGATTCCGAGGGCACCTTCGCAGAAGAATCGGGTCTTTTTGTCTGCAAAAGTAACTTTTACACCAAATTTGTTAGAATCGGCAGCGGGGATATAAGGTGTGAGCATCGCAAAACCTTGTCAGTTTCGCTTTACCGCAATCCCACGTGAAAACCCGATTGCGACCTTTTTCAATTTTTAATTAATTCACGTGGAGAGCGGTAGAGCCCGATTGCCAGAGTTCTACGGCTGCAATAGTGAACGTGCCTACAAAAATTCAGATGTAAAAAATTTGCCCGCCCCATAGGTTTTGTTATCATTCTCGTTAATAAGGCTTCTCGAAAAATAAGAAAGGTTAAGCGGGGTATCTAGTCTTTAACACTCGCCATTTGTAATTTGTGAACAATCCCTGAAGTACTAATAAACAGGCGCCGAAATATTTTTTGATTCATTTGCTACTTTGCAGGGAGGTTACCCAGGGCCCAAATAATAGAAAAACGCCAAATTTGGATCCATGAAAAGTTTGCTCCATGAGCTAGGAGTAGCCTAGGACTCGAAAAGGGTCAAAGCTAAATAAATGTCTAATCCTTCTGAAAATCGTTTTCGCAATTTTTTTTGAGGCGTAGTGTAAATATCACAATAAAAACCTTTGAAAATTATTTTAAAGAATAGATGTAGTACAAACTTTTAAATTTCTTCATGTTTTTCAGGTTTCCTGAAAAAATATTTGCTGACGCAGAAACTGACTTCATATTTGAATTCTACGAAACAAAACGCGTCGATTTGATTTATAAATTCTAAAATCGAGGAGGCCATGTTTTGAGATGAATAGACTTTCTTCAGCGATGTTAAAAAATGGAAAAAACAGTGCACGCGTTGCGTTTTTTCCATTTTTTGACATCGCTGAATAACCCCATTAATTTGATAGTAGCATTTAATTAAATTGCTATTGAGTTTCCAGAGCTGTTTGTTTCAAACTGCTAATAATGCGACTTTCAAACAATCTTCCTCTCAAAAATCCTGTTTTGAAAATTTAATGCCAATCAGATATTGGACAATTTTAAATAGACTTGACCCGACCCTAGCCGAGTCTATTGGATATTAAGAGTATAGCTTTAAACTCACAGTGAGCCAAAACGTGAAGATTTTGTTCCGCCAATTTTAATTTTGACTCGAGTCCTTCGCGCTCCTCGACCTTAACTTGGTCCAAAGTCATGTGTCTAAAATTCTTGTTGAATATTTGGTTGCCCGCCCCCGAGACGAGGTTGGCGTCGAGACGAGCATTCATGGTTAGGGCGAGGCTCAACATTTGAGTCACGGCCTTCGATTCATTATCCAGACCTTCCGAACGGACGTTAATCCCTTGAAGCTTTCTAGGCTCCTTCTCGGAGTCCACTGACGCTTTGATCGTGACGGTGGTGATTCCTTCGCCGTAGGTGAAGAACTCCTTCTTGAACGGAATCGGCAGTTGCTCCTTATTGAATTGTTGCTGGATTTGTTCGCGACCACCCGGTAGCCTTTCGACCAGAGCGTACAGAGTTGATGCTCCGTCGTACGCATACGGGCCCAATCTGACGTCTGCTAGTACTCTGTCAACCAGTGACAGACACGCGGCTTGTCGCTGGCGATCAGAGGGTCGATTTATCGGTTTGTCGGGATTGTTGGAGGCGGAGTCTTGGTTGTCTCTTCTACCTTTAGTGGCTTTGTTCTTATTCGGTAGTCTGTCGATCTCGATTATAACATCGTATCGGTATACTTCCTTATTTTTGATCTTCGTTGGATACGAGTTCGTTACGACGCGGAGCGTGTTCCTTTTATCGAGTAGAGCGAGTGGCTTCACCGCGAGTGGCTTCACCGGCTGGGGAGGCTTCGACGATGAAGTTTTGGCAGGAAGAGCTGAACTCAGACTAGCCATGGACAGTTTGTCAGCGGAAGCAGAGGTCGATGGGCCACTGGTAGTAGCAGACGAAGGACCAGCAGCGGAAGCAGACGAAGGACCAGCAGAGGAAGCAGACGAAGGACCAGCAGCGGAAGCATACGAAGGACCAGCGGGAGATGCAACAGGCGAAGCTTCGGCAGCTCCGGCAGCGGCTTTTTCAGCAGCTTCGGCAGCGGCTTTTTCAGCAGCTTCGGCAGCGGCTTTCGCAGCAGCTTCTGCAAAAATGGGAGTCAATGAAGGAGATCAGTGTCGAAGGACAGTACCAGCAGCAGCCTTTTCCTCGGCGGCCTTCACTTTCGCAGCACGTTCCTGGTCTCTTTTCAGCTTCGAAGCGGACACTTTTCCAGGAGCCATTTCGATGACGTTGAACAAATCGACACGCTTGACAGAGAACCTTAAGACGAATTATTATTAGAAAATGCGTTTTAACGTTCGAAACGGAAATAAAAGAAGATAAATAAAATATTTCTCGAAATGGAATGCGAGATATTAAAAGCTACTCTGTTTTAGGTACAATAAATTGCAATTTGATAAGTTTGTTTTAAAAGGCTCCATTCGTTTTCGACACAAAACGCTTTGCAACCGGTAAAACAGATAAATTATTGTTGAAAATCGTGCGAATGAACAAAGGAAACGCAGTGAATGAAAACAACAGCGAAACAAACATGATGAGAAATAAAGAGAAAAATCGCGGATTGCCGCCGAGTAGGTCACACAGTAGTAGTAGGTCAAAAAGTACAATAACCAAGATTTACGTCTAGAGCAGCATTAAAACAACAACTAGACAACATTTACGAAAATAATACTTTTTGCGAAACTTCAAAAAATGTAAAAAACAATTCCGGCTCGCTGGTTGAAGCAAACACTCACCATTGAGAAATGTCTTGCTCATTGGGAGGAAAATTAGAACAAAAACTCACCATTTCTTACAGAGAAATAAGCGCTTAGTACTAGTCACATCCAGCTGGATGTATGTACGTAAGTACGTAGTCCGTTTTTAATACGAAAAACTATTTTGGATTTGATTGTAGGACATCATTGGTTCAGAAACAGCCTATTGATATTGCAAGCAGTTCACTAGACAGAAAACATGTTCAATGTCTATAGACGAAAATTCCTTTTTTTTTCGATTCGGAACACTACGTTTTTAAATTTTTTGCTGGATCATTTTCAGAAATTCGTAAATTTCAACTAATATATATATATTTCGAGTTTACCGTCGTTTATTTCTGCCATCTAAATATGAGAGGAACTTTTTCGTTCGGTGCACGAAAGTGAGAAGACCAGAAGTCGATGTCATACCAAGTTTATTTCGGATTTCGGAACAAAAAAACACGGACGACATCAAAGAAAACGTTTTTTTAATGAAAAATAGCGAAAAAGAAAAGCGGAATGTGCATTGCACGCGAGAAGGATTCAGAAGAACTGATGGGGTTTGAGAGTAAGTTTGGAACATGTGAAGATTGTGGAGGGAACACGCATTTAGGCGATACGTTTGAATTGGAACCGAGAGTTCTCGTAGGCCAGACGATTCGTGATCTTCTCGAAATCGATGCTTCCGTCGTCTAGCGTTTCCAGCGGGAAATTCAGACGGGGTGCCACACTGCAAAACAAGAAATTGCACGAATGAAACGAAAACTCGACACACTAACCTCTTGTAGCAATTGAACAACTCGCTTCCTCTCTTTGCGTAGGCGTCGGCTGCGTAGACCGTCTCCGGGAGAGACACGATTGAGGTGCAAACCTGGTGCTCGCAGCACAGTGCCGCGAGGAAGTGAGACAACTGAGTGTTGCTGGTGAAGATCGCATCGTTGTGGAGGATGTTTATGAGAATCGGCTGGGCAGTTCCAGAAAGCGGACAGTGGCTGACAAAGATCATCTCGACTCCCTCTTTCCTGACGATGCCAGTGTCAATGGCGGTGAGCGGGGGGACGTTCGCGAAGCCTGAAGACCATGCCAATTTACACATTTGATCATCTCTATTAACTCACTTTGTCCGTCATTTATGTACAGACGATTGGCGTGGCGCTTCGTGACAATGAGGAGGGAGAAGGCGATTTTCTTCTGGGATTTGATGTCACTCAGATAATCGCGGACTCCCTCCTGGATCGCTACAAATTCCTCATCTCGGACCATCTTGTACTGTCCCTCAGAGACTCCGTCGCGCAGAATGATTATGTTCTCCGGGATCTCTTTCCGGTTCTGGTGGTACTGTCCGAGGATCTTCTTTGTCCGTTTTCTAAGGATGTCACCGTCGACCTGTTCTTTTCTCGGTGTCTGGAGATGGAAGTCTCCGATAACGCTCGTTGGTGCGCTACCGGCGTTGTAACCGAACTGCAATTCACATTTCCCACTAGCAACCCTTTCTCCATAACTCACTCCGACACAACTCGGCTCGAAACACGGCTGCCCCTCTTTGTACTGCTGTATTCCTGAGCTGTGGCACACGTCATAGCTGATCACCAACGTTTTCGAATTGTCTCCCCACAGATGAGCACTGGAATCGATAGCTGTCAAGACAGTTGGTGAAGAGTGAAAAACTCACATGCTCTGGTGGCCAACAACTCGGTGATTCAGGCCTCCCAATTTCACGTTGATCTTCGCCAGAATGTTCCGCATCGTGTCTTTCCCTCTACAAGAAAATCCGATTTGGAAAAAAACTCTTAGAGCCACTTGAAACTCACGGTTTCGCGACACTCCGATCCAGATTCACTTGTTGAGTGACCGCCTGCTGCTGCCTTTCCATCAGTTTGAGGAAGGAATGTGTGTCGAGAGAGCGGTAATCGGCGTAAAGAAAGATTGGCACGCTCTTACCGCTCTCTTCCGCTTTCTTTTTCCAATCAATCATTGCCTAACGAACAAAAGGATTGAAACGATTCGGGGGACATCTGAGCTTACTGATCTGAGGGAGCTCTCCCAATCTTCCGACTTGATGTCCTCCACTGACACCGACATGTTCGGCAATCCGAGAGAAGAGGCAGACAACCGAAGACTGTCGCCGAATTCTCTCACCGTTCCTATGACCTTTTCCGAGTTCTTCTCGTTGTACGTGTTCACAATAATGACGACGTTTTTGTAGAGTTTTGAGGTCTCGATGAAGGCTCCGTTCGCCTGATTCCAAGAAGCCTAAAATCGGAATAAACTGCAAGAAGAGCACTGATGAGTCACCATTTTGTGCAGCCTCGGCTGCGTGAGCACATCTCTCGCTCCGTTGAGTCCCGCGTATCGGATGCTCGGCGGCGGGATAGCAACCGCCGGAACCGTGATCGGTTTGTTGATGATCTCGACTCCGAGCGCTTGAAGAGTTTCGTTTTCGGAGAGGATCTTGGTCTTTCTTCCGATCATCTCGGTACCACGATGACGAGCATTTGGAAGCGGTGCTCTCGGCTGAAATGAAGTTGGATTCTGATTCTTGTTAACATCTCACAGTTGCTTACCGCATTTCCATGCTTCGGCAGCAGTTTCTGATCCGGGGCAACGATCAGGTTCTCAACTGGATAACTCAAAAACTTCTTGATTCTCTCGCCCTGTCTCGCAGGGTTCTCGATTTTGATTGATCTTTGAATGGCCGGCCATTTCGGGTTGAACTGTTTCACATTCTTCCTGGACTTCTCTGCGCAATCTTCCAGAAGAGGCTTTCCATCATCCAACCTGAGCTCTCCGATAGGCGGTCCCACATTTTCGATTTTGAACTTCTGCCGGGCATCATAGACCACATTCACTTTTAGTCCTTTGAGGAATTTCCTCGCTGCGGACTGACTCTTCAGACATCTTGCTTCGAGCTGCGTGAGCGGACCGTTGCAGAAGAACTGGACCATTTTGTCTGTAAAAGTATGTTCCAACACTTGCAGCTCATTTGAACTCACAGTCTGCCAAGATGTGCAGGTTCTCTTCCGCCATCCGGAACTTTGATTCGATTCCTTCCCGCTCCTCAACTCCGTTCTCGGGAGAGGCTCTCGGTTGCGTGTTGAATATTTGGGTGCTCCCGTCGGTGATGAGGAATCTAGAGAGGCGAGCATCCATAGTCAGAGCCACGCTCAACATCGAAGTCACGATCTTCGTGGCCGATTCGAGACCTTCCGAAAGGACGTCTCTCACTTGAAGGACCGGGATTTTGTCGTTCGGCTTGATCGAGAGGGTGACGGTTCCCTCGCTGTCGGAGAAGTATTCTGATTTGAACTTGGCCGGCAGATTCTGCTTCTCGAACACGCGTTCGATTGTGCCCTGACCGAGGTCGACGAGAACGTAGAGTGTGGATGCTCCGTCGTACGGGTACACCGACACGCCCAGATCCTGCAGTACTTCGTTGACGAGCGACAAGCAGACAGCCTGTCGCTGGCGATCACTTCCCTGTGTTCCGGTCAGGATTTGGTCGTTCGGCTTCGCGACGCCGGAAGCTCGGTTGGCTCTCTTCGAGTCCCTCTGGATCGAGATGACGACGTCGTACCGGAAAACCTTCTTGTTTCCTTTGATCTTCACGAGATACGAGTTCGTTTCGACCACTATTGTGTTCTTTTTCTCGAGCAGAGTGAGCGGCTTCACTGGATGTGGACGATCCGGCTTCGAAGGCTTTGGCGGTTGAGTTGTGGCAGGAAGGGCCGAGCTCAGACTAGCCACGCTCAAGGTCGGCGTGACAGCCGGAGGAGCAGCCGGAGGAGCAGCCGGAGGAGCAGATGAAGGTGCAGCGGGGGCTGCAACAGGCACCGGTGCCTCGGCAGCGGCTTTCGCAGCAGCTTCTGCAAAAATGGGACTCAATGAAGGAGATCAGTGTCGAAGGACAGTACCAGCAGCAGCCTTTTCCTCGGCGGCCTTCACTTTCGCAGCACGTTCCTGCTCTCTTTTCAGCTTCGAAGCGGACACTTTTCCAGGAGCCATTTTGACGATAAAATTGGATATTGTAAGTGGACGGATACACTGAAAGCGTCATCTGACTTTCAGGAACGCACACACCAAGAAGAGAAAGAGAAATAGATAACTAGACACCTGTCATTTACACTACAATCTACAAGGAAGAGGAGTGGGAGAAAGAGTCTCTCAATGTCAGTAGTGGAATGGCTGAAGGATCTGAGAAAGAAACCAGAGACAAAGTTCGAGTGCTCACAAGTTCGCCAAAAGAAGAAGATGGAGGTGGGAATCAGAAAGCGAATGAATGAACTGCCTCTCTCTTTTCCGTTCCACAAGCTCCGCCCCTCTTCTAGATTCCTCTTCGCGCCGTCTCGTCGTCTCGTCTCTCCGTTCTCTCCTTCTCTTTCCCCCTCTTCCACTCGTTTTTTGCATTTTTATCTGACGTTGGTTAAGCGGAGGCCTCCCCCCCCCCCTTTGCTCACTCTTAGACGGGAGAGTGCGGAGGAGCGAGAGACGCCACAATATCACCAAAACAAGATTTCGACATAAAGAAGAGGTTGAAAAGAGTGCAAAACAGATAGAAATAATGAATCGAATAGGCTGCGGTGAAAGGTGGAGTGAAGATTTATGGAAATCAAGGTATTGAATACTTTCCAATCCTTGTACAATTCGCGGAATACACAGTCGATTTTCATAGGCTCATAAAATATCAGTTTTTATTTAAGCTGATTCATTTTGATTGCCAATCTTGACAAACAAACAAACAAAGTGCGAACGATGATTGAGAAAAATAGAAAAAAGAGGGCAAGAGAGGAGTCAGCCGCTGATCGGCAGAGGTTTTCAACTGTTTGTTTGTTCAGAAATGTTCTCGAATGCAGGGGCGTTACGGTGTTTCCTATCGTTATTATGAACGAGGCGGGTTTTGCTCACTCTTAGAGTTATGAAATACATCAGTCATGTGTTCGCGTGTTATTATAGGGGCACCGGACAGAAAGGGCGCGCTGTTCGCAATCTGGCCGAATTTCAAGGCCGCGAAGTAATTTTCCATTGAAAACGTGGAATAACTTTTCAAACTGGGCCCCGAGGTCGCTCAATTTGCACTGCAAAAAGAGTTTCTCAACAGAGCGCCATTTCTGTGCGGTGCTCCTATAATAAATTCTGAAGGCCTCTTCGAAAAGCCTGGGACAGCCCTGTTTCTGGAACAGAAAAGATAAGAAGGAATAAAATGGCTAACGGATTAACGGACTTGAATAGAAAGTATGAGTGCTCAAAGAGAAAGATCACGTGCAAATCCGATCGTCATTCGACATTTTCTGCTTATTACTGGGCAGGCACATGACCATGTTCTCACACGCGTCTCCTCAGTAATGATATGTTAAAGCTCGCGAAAGCGTGCTGCTTCGTTGAAACCATCTTTGGGGAAAGCGAGAAATGTTCGGACAAAAAGGGAAGGGAACTTGGAAAAAAAGAGGATAATTGCCCGTTTTCGATTCTTTTTCCCGTTTGAATGCTTTTCGTGTGCAGTGTGGCAACTCTCCAATCAGAAGTCTGATGAAACGATTGTATATGCAGCTTCTTATCAATCACGTTTCTAAATGAGTCAGTTCGAAACAACCAAAACATTCCGTTTCGAAAAAGAGTGTGAATAACTTCCGGCGTTTTCCATTTTATTTATTGGCTTTCAGATACCGTTTCTAATTTTTCTGGCACTTTTCTAATACAGTATATGGTTTGTACAGTGAATGTTCCCAATGTGTCTTTTCGTCGATGTTCTCGCCGCTCGATCTCAATTTCCCAAATTCCTGAACCACTAGAGTGACCAGTACTTCCACATCTCGTGGCTTGCGAGAGAAAGGCTTCCGAGTAAATCGATTTATTCGAAGACAAAACCGAACACAAACATTGACAAAACTGAGAAATACGAGAAGGAGCGACGAACTGATCGATGGAATGAAATGACAGCAGTTTCTGTGTTGGCAATCGCCTTTTGAGGCAAACAAGAGAGCGGAAACCGGTTTTTTGGGGGACATTACGCTTAAAGAATACAAGTAAAAAGGAAACGGCTATTCTCTGTCCGTTTCCTCTTTTTGATAAGACTTTTTCCTGTCAAACTTGTCAAATCCACAGCTGTTTGAGAGTATGTTTTATGTGAAAAAGGACATGAAGCATTCAGCAGTGTGATTAATGAAACAAGAAAAAAGTTGAGAGGAATAAATACTGGATTCTTCATGACATAGCCGTCCACAAGTCACCAAGCTGATGGCTTGCCGAAGGTCTGTAAATCTTGAGCCCCTTTGAGACCTTCAGTGAAATATTTTGCTTACCGGAGCGGTGGCCTTCGTGAACTCCTCGTACGATTCGAGGATGCTGTCGTAGTCCAGTTTGGCTCTTCTCAGCTCGAACTCGGCACGACGGACTGTCTCCTCCGCGTCGGCTGGAATAGTATCAAATTCATTCGACGTCTAAAAAATAGTCTTACCGATCTTGAGCTTCCACACTCTGAACTTCTCCTTCTCGCTTACTGGACTGTCCGCTCGCTCTGCTATTCACATTCATTGATTTCTCGTTTCCGATTCGTTCTCTTACCTCTCTGAAACGTGTTCTCCAGTCTCTGCGACTTGTCGTCGTATCTGTGCGGCGCCCGGAAGCTTCTGTCTCTCGAGTCTCGCCGTGATCCTCCTCCGATCCGATCGTCTCTGCTGATCGGCCGCCCTCCGAACGGATTTTGCGGCGGTCCGCCTCCGTTGTTCCGATCCGGGGTCGGACTTCGGCTCATCGGTCTCTGCCCCTCACGGAACCGGTTGTAAGTCTCTTGACTACGCTCGGATCTGCAGAATAATTATCAAATTGAAATCTATCCGCTTGGCACAACTTACGTTCTGTCCGGACTGCGGCTGTTCCGGTTGCGATCCCCTCCGAACGCCCCTCCACGGCCACCTCGTCTCGGTGGTCCTCCGCCACCATTTCCGCCTCTTCCGCCACGGCCTCCACCACGACTTCCACCTCTCGAAGTGTACATTTCGACCTGAAATTGAATGGGAATAACGAAAAAGGAAAAGGGCAATGAATTTCTGCGAAAACTGAGAGATCAAACTACGTAAAAATTCTATGAGATTTGCACATTGTCCGTACAAACGAATGTGAGGGCAGGAAAAACGATAGATGGGGCAGCCGGCAGACGAAGACCGATCCCTTCGAAGCAAGGAGAGGGAAAGCGCCACTCGTCCTCCTAGGAGCTCCTCTCCGGTTTTTTCCCACAACAAAGTATGCACTTGCTCCGAAACAAGTCGACGGACACGTACATCTCAGCGTTCTCATAACACTCTTCATTTCGTCGTTTCACACTTATAGATACTTTGTAAAAAATATGTGCTTTTGATGGATGAATGGGGTAGGTGCGTGGACGGTTAGTGAGAAGAAACAATGGCCACCTGACGAGAATCTACGGTTAAATGGAAACGAGAAGGTGTGGTGGGGGAGGAGGAGGCTATGGGAACGCATGAATAAATGAGAGGAAAGGAATGAATAAGTTAGCAGAAGAGAGACGAAGATCAGAAGGATCTATTTGTCAATGATAATTTACGAACACAAGGAAATAGAGGAATGAGAACTTGCTGAATGGAATGACTGAGACGGCTCGGCTAGACACATAATCAGTGACTAGTCGTAGCCCTCTTTTATCGGTTAAATTGAAAATCAAATTGTGGGAGAACGAGGTAAATTAGATAATACCGCACCGGCCGGCAGTGGGCATTCTTTTGAAAAATGAGATCAGATCGAAATAAGCAACGGAGCAGGGTTCGGGAACATGATGAGACGGTGAAAAGCAATAAGATTATACAAAGAGGAAGGATCGTAATGAAATATTTAAGGGGTAAAATGGGTGAAAACGTATTTATGTTTAGCGGGGATTGCGTAGATAGCGTGCGTTGCGATGATTCAAGCAGTACGGGTTGAACTTTTGATGCGACTTCGGATCCGGTGCGCCGCTTAGCATTATAGTCTGAAAACAGTTAATGAGAGAGAGAGAGAGCACATATCATTTTAGAGTACCTGAATGACCCATTCGGAAGTGACCTTGCTCGCTCCGATCTTGTCGGCGTAGGTCATCACTTGTGGTTCGAATGTTCCATCGACAAGAACGACGTCGAATTGAAGATGTGTTTCCTCGAGGGTTCTCCAGTCATTTTCAACGGTGTTTGCTCCGAGTAAGTGCAGGATTGGCTTCCAAATCTCGACGAACGTCCCACCCGGCCCGGTTTGAGTGAGCTCGCGGGCATCGTGCGTAGAATGCACATAAATAGTTTTTCCGGCGAGAAGTTCCGAAGGGTTTTCTGGCCTTGAATTAAGGAATTTTATTCAGTCACTATTCACAAAATAACTCACGCTGGCATTTCTTGGCCTTCTATGTAGATAGAAGTGCCGGCAGGCAGGACAAAGTCTTTGAAATCGATGCATTCGCCTCGCTCTCCACATTCTTGGAGCCAAACGTTCTTTACGCACGGAATACCTCTCGCAAGCGCTGCCAAATACTTGTGTGTACGATAGAAGGTGTCTGAGATGAGGATCGGTGTCAGATTCGGATGACTTCCCTGAAAGTCCTCAAACCGACATCAGACGTCTGTAGTCTCTCAATAACTTACGTCCAGTTGCTCAACCACAATTCCTCCGTTCTCAACCAGGAAGCTGGTCAGATTTTTCTTCCTGAACACAGGCGGAGTGGGCGACGTCGCCGAACGATTAGCAGAAGTGAGCATAAACAGCTTTCCGGCAAAAATGCTTTTTCCGACGCCTTTCTCATCCATGGGCAAAACGTCGTCCTCGTCGTCATCTCTTGGAGTCGAGGCACCTCTCGACTGAACTAGACCTTCGACCTTCTTGCGGCCTTTCGGCTTTGGTGTCGGATTAGTGAGGACCGGCTTTCGAACACGATGGGTTTCACCGAAGGAAGCGATGTTGGAAGCAGTGATGGCGGTAGCGGTTTGCTCTTTGATTTTAATGTAATCGCGCCATTCCGCCTGATCGAATGACAGCTCTTTCCAGTCGACAGTCTTCACTTCGCCAGTCGGCACTTCTTCATCGTCGAGCAATCCAATGGTGAGCTGCCCTTTGGCCCACTCTTTCGCACTGAAGTCGCTAGGCGGGACATTGACTCGAACGTCATTCTCTTCAAAAATCGCCGTCTTTCCAGTAGTGACTGCACGGAGCGGTATAATTCCTGCATTCGGAACGTCTTTAACCACATTATCAGCAGTGAACTGCAGCTTGAATCGTCCGAGGCCATCGCGGTCGGCAACGATGACGGCTGGGTAGAAGGTTTTTTGGAAAACAGCATAGACACGAGATCCCGGAGCGTGCGGCTCATTATCATCTTGCGGCTGATCGACACGTAGTTGTTCCTCGTCGCTCAGCTGCTTATTTATGATGGACGCCTGTTTCTTGGCCGGAGTTATGGCAGCTGCCTCACTTTTTCTCTTTCTTCCACGATTAGCGGAAGCTGGAGTCGCCGATGGGGTCGGCTGTTCGAGCTCCTCCATCTCGACGTCTTCCGGTTCCTCGTTACCCTCCTTCTTTGCTCTAGGCTTCCTTCCTCCTGACGCAACTGGCGCCTTCACCTTCGCTTTTTCTTTGGACGGGGTCATATCAGCGAGAGAACGGCGATTCTTCGAGTTAGAAGTAGCTGAAAAATATTGTTTGACGGCATCTGCCAATATTGACTTCAAACCTGGCATCAGAGAGACAGCGGACTTTTCAGTCATTGAATATTTGGGGGCGGAAGATCCGACTCGACCGTACTTGACTGTTCCAAAACTTTGCACCTCGACCTAAACACTTCCTCTGAGATTTGAGATTTCGATTAATTCACTGGATACCTGAATATTCTTTAGTGGATCCGGATGGTGCTCCATTTCAGTGTCCATGTCGTACGGATCGAACTCATTCTTTTTCTTGCTCGACGAAGGAGCGCTTCTTGTTCCACTTCGTCCCTTCTTTGCATGTGGAGTCTCAGTCGTTTCTTCGCCTTCCTCCTCGATGACATCTTCAGTCAGCGAAGTTTGCTTCTTTCGACCACCACGAGCCGGAGTGCGCTTAGACGCGGGAGTAATGGGAGCCGACTTCGGAGTAGTCCTGGTTCTAGCAGATCTCCTGGAAGATGTCGATGGCCCGGCTTCTTCGGCTTCGGCGGTTTCTCCTTCCTCTTCTTCGTCCTCTTCTTCTCCATCCTCAACCTCTTCAACTTTCGCAGGTGGCTTTCGACCTCTCGTCTTTTTTACTTGTTCTTCCTCAATCTCCTCATCTTCTTTTTCTTCTTGTTCAACGATATTCGACTGTTTACCTTTTCCTCTTGTTTGTCGTGGAGTGGCTGGCGTAACAGCAGCGGCAGAACGTCTGCCTCGACCTCCTTTCTTAGGAGTCTCGGCTTCAGGTTCCTCTTCTTCCTGTGCCTCCTCAGCAGACTCTTCCTCCTTTTTGGCAGCGGATCTTCTTGCTCTTCCCTTTTTGGGCGATTCTTCAACGGGAGCCACCTCATCTTGATCGTCTCCAACATCCTCAGAGTCTTCAGGTTCTGGGGCCTCTTCTTCTTTTTTGCTGCTTCTCGACGCTTTTCCTCGCTTATTAGTTATTTTCTCTTCAACTGGCTGCTCGTCCTTGTGTTCCTCCTTCTTTCCTTGCGATGCACGACCTCTTGTTGCACGTTTAAGTGTCGCAGACGACGAAGTTGGGGCGGATGCAGCTGCAGAGAACCTTCTTCCGCGTGTACGACGAGTAGAAGACGTCTCTTCCTCCTGCTGCTCTTCTTGTTCTGGTTCCTCTTGTTCTGGTTCCTCTTTCTCTGGTTCCTCTACTTCTTCAGTCGGTTGCGCTTCTGGAGCAGCATCGTCTTCGGGAGGGGTGACCGACTTCTCCGCGGATTCGTCGATCACAAGAGATTCCGAATCATCTTCCTGTTCACCTTCTTCTAGAGCAGGTTGGTCAGCAGCCACAATTTCGGGCTCATCGGCTTGTTCCTCTTCCTGTTCTTCCTCCTCTTGCTCATCATCATCATCATCTGCGTCTTCAGAGAGAACAGTTCGCTAAATTTCACTAATTAGAGCAAACAGAATTGAGAAAATAACACACCTTCGCCTTTTTCTTTGGAGCCTCCTCTTCTTCTTCGTCCTCAGCATCATCCTCATCCTCTTCTTCTTCTCTTTCCTCTCCATTTATTTCTGTTTCCATCTCTTCAGCAGTTTCGAGAGCTTCCCCGTTTTCTCTGCTGGTGTCCATTGAAATTATCTTTTTCTCAAAAACTTCATCTTCTTGCTCAGGCTTATTGGTATTCTCCGGCTCAGGCGTAAGCTGCGCAACGTTGTCCATCGGCTCTTCGTCTGGCTGCTCAGCCCTCTCTTTGTGCGTTGCAGACTCATTTTCCGCGTTGGTTGGGGTTGTATCAACGGGTGTTTGCTCCTCTACTCCAGCTTCCATGGCAACTAGAGAATCGTTGGCTGCGCTTGACTCTCCGCTGTGTGCTTCAGGCGTTGGTTCTCGAGCAGCCGCAGCCTGTGAAATAAATCGATATATCTTGAAAAAGCGAGGAACGTACGGAAAACACTGACGACGACTTGCCAAAGAGACTTTTACTTTTGTCTAGTACAGAAGATGTGAGGGGTACACTGAAAAGATGATTATTTTTTCAGGCACCGAAGCACTTGTCTAACCTCTCCTGTTCAACCGGTGAATGTCCATCCTCCACTTCTGAAAATATACGTTTCTCTACATTTGTTGGAAAATGTCGCTATCTGGCTGTATTCATTCAAACAATTTGTCTCAAAAAATCTTAGAACTGTTAAACTTTCTTTAGTAAATGTATTACCAAGTGTATTGTTGGCCGACGACATCTTGTCTTGTTCTAGCTAAATTATCGTTGTAATCGGCGGTTGTCTGTAATATATGTAATGTATTCTGATACTCATATTTAACCTGCGTTGTTCATAAAAAATAAATGAAAATCGATTGATTTTATTGGAAAAGATTTTTAAAATTTCAATTCAAACGCCCGCGGCGCGGTTCGAGTTCCGTTAGACGCGTTGCGGTCACTGCTGAGTCGCTACGCAGCGAATGTGGACGCAGGTTATGTGGTATACGGTAACACTAACTTCCCAGCAAAAAAATTTTTTCCTCATTTTTCCTACAGAAATTTCGAATTTTTAGCACAATTTTCAAGTTTTTTTGAGCATTTTGTGTTCAAAATCACTTATTCGAACAACTCAAACGATGAATTCTTTGTTTTTCTGTTATTTTGCTCGTCCGAGAACGTTCAAGAGCAAAGACTAGGTTTTTGGATTTTTCGTTCGGCATCGTTATATTTATAAATTTTTTGTTGTAATTCAAAATTTTTAAGGTAAAATGACGAGAGCGACCTCCATCAAGGACGTCGATCAGCACGACGCTGTCAAGTCGATCGCTCACTTCCTGAAGAAGAGCGGAAAGGTCAAGGTTCCAGAGTGGTCCGACCTTGTCAAGCTTGGAGTCAACAAGGAGCTTGCTCCAATTGACCCGGATTGGTTCTACACTCGTGCCGCCAGTCTTGCTCGTCACCTGTACTTCCGCCCGGCCGGTAAGCTTTATTTTTTAAAATTCAGTTGAGGATAAAATACTTCCTCTAAATAACCGGATTTCTTTTCCAAGAAATGGTAATAGTGAAAGGTTTTGTTTGCAGGAATCGGAGCCTTCAAGAAGGTGTATGGAGGAAATAAGAGACGCGGAGTCGCCCCGAACCACTTCCAAACTTCGGCTGGAAACTGCCTCAGAAAGGCCGTTCAGCAGCTCGAGAAGATCAAGTGGGTCGAGAAGCACCCAGACGGCAAGGGAAGAATCCTATCCAAGCAGGTAAATTTTTTCCTTTCTCCGTTAACCTTCAGTTAGATAAGTTTTCACAAAAACACTGCTAATATTTTTCAGGGACGCAAGGATCTGGACAGAATCGCCACCAGCCTCAGATCCTCGGGACAACAAGCCTAAACACCCGTTGTTTGTGTTATAAACGTTGTTGTTTAAATATTTTTTACTGAAACATGTCAGGATCGAAAAAATCGGCGAAAGTTCGAGGGTTGAAGCGAATCAGTACTGCTTTGTAGTAGTTGAATGATTCAGAAGAAGTTTCTTTTCGCAACGAGCTTTTGGATATTCTCAGCGCTCCATTTGTTGGTGTAAGCGAAGATGTTTTGTCAATTTGAAAAACCAGACGTGCAAGATTTAAAAAAAAATAGATTTTTTAAGGGTGCAACTCTGAAGATTTTTTTTATAACTTCAGTTTTGATTTATCGTAATAATTTATTAGGCCTAAATATATTATCTGGAGGGGGGACAAAAGGAATGGGAACATTGTTTCAATCACAATGTGACAAAAATCAACAACAATTGTCAACGGGAGTAAAATAGGAAAAAAATTGAAAGTGGGTGGAAATTGAGCGTTTAGAAGATCGATTTTCGAATAGCTGACACGGTTCCTTCGATAGACTTCTGCGAGTGCGTTGCAATCTAGAACGCATCGAATCAGGACCTCTCATATAAGTGCGGGTTTACTTACAAAATAGAAAACTGAGAGATAGGCGAAGACTCCGGCGGCAATAACAAGTTCGAAGACGGCCGGCTTGACTCTTTCGGCGACCAGTCTGTTCTGAGTGACTCCGAAAGCCTTCGCATCCGTGATCGTGACTGCGGACTTGGAAACGACGCCGTATCCCGCAGCAGCAGATGCCAAATTGGAAGCTATGTTCTCGGTGGCCCGCTTGTCTCCGACCGGACGAGGTCTCGATGCAAATTGACGGATGAAGTGATGGACTCTTTGCTTGTCAACTGCGTCCTTCGAGAGCATGCTCACTTCAGAAGTGACACGCGGATCAGCAGAAGGGCCTGTCTCCGGAAGGCCGAGGATGTATCCGAGGACTCCTTCGGCAATCAGACGGATGTTCTCGATAAGCTCATCCTCATCCAAAGAAGACGGAAGATCCAGAATGGAGTTACGGGCAGGGTCAGTTGGAGACGGAAGGGTGGAGAGAGTGACTGCCGGCATCCGCTTGATGTTGAATTTCTCGTGCTCCCAAGAGCTGGCTGTCGTCAGAGAGATCTTCTTCGCAACCACTTCGATGTTCTTCTCCGGAGCGATGTTTCTGCAAAAGTGAAGGTGACGTGTGTTCGATGGAATCATCCGCACCTGAGTCTTCTAAAGAGTTGAGCGGCCGCAGAGTTCTCCGATGGTGCCTTTCCAGCGTGCATGTAGAGACCGCCTGTGTTACGGCCGATAGCCTCGATGCAAATGGCCAAATCGATTCGGTCATCTGAAGGCACAAACTTTTCAAGTAAAAACTTCTGCCTTGCATGTTCACCCTTCCGATTAGCAGCCGATTCGACAAAGTCTCCGGCCTCGAGCCCTTGCTGGAACTCATCGATCCATTGCCGAGTTCCCTGGAAGTTGAGCTTTCCGGCGGCGGTCCATATGAACAAGAGGTTGTAGGGAGGGCGGGTGCTCGGAGTATTGTAGAACTTGGAGAGAACGGCGAGCAGCTCCAGAAGAGCGACGATTCCGGAACCATTGGAGTCGGCTCCAGGAGAGACACCGGGAAGGACCGAGTGACTGTCGTAGTGAGCGACGAAGGCGATTGTCGGGACAGCACGCTCACCGCTGCTCAAGCGACCCTGCAAATATTATTTTCTTTTGCCTCTCAGTATATTCTAGGCTCACCACAATATTGAATGGCTTGTAGTTGGCGGGTAATTCCGGAATCTGATCGGAAGACGTGATACTTATTGTGTTGCCGGAAACCGATTGAAGAAGGTGCTGTACGGCGGTTGGCGCCTTGTCCGCACGATTATTAACGTCTGAAAATGCTAATTTTATAAAGAATAACTCGTATTATGCAAACCATTGAGAATGGAGATGGCGTCGTCGTTGTATGGTGCCACATAAACAGCCAAATCAGTTTTGACATTGGACAACTTCTCTTGGAGATCGAGGAACGCCTAAAGAGGCGATTGATTATTCAATTCAATAAGGAGATTATGCCGGCTACCGCGGTGGGTCAGGACTACACGATTACCTTTCTGTCGACGTCGTTCAGTTCGTCGATATTGTCCGGAATGAAGACGAGAACTGCGCCTGCGGAAAGATTCCACATGTCGTCGACGTCATGAGTCAGAAGATCACGCCACGTTGTCACCATAGTTCTGAAACAAAGCGAGAATTCAAGAAGTGGCCGTCTCAGTTCGTTTCTAAATAAATACCTTCTGTTGGCTCGAGCAGCCAGAGAGACTGCTTCGTAAGAAACATGATAGTTTTTGCTTCCGTACATGTTCCCGCTGATTTCGTATTGATGAAGACGATAAGAGTGGAATTCCGTTTCGACGACGTCTCCGACTTGCTGGGAACCATTGACCTGAACGTTTATATTTTGTTAAAAGACAGTAGGAGATTAATAATAGACTTACGACGCAAACGGTCAGCATCAGCGTCATGTAGAATACCAAGGCGGGATTCCGGAAGAAATCTAAAATTTCTTCTTGCATCTGAAAAAAATAAATCATCATTTAATTGTTCACCCGACTGATTCATTATAATTCTGCGAATTTCTGATAAGATTTTCACGTAATAGAATTTAGCATTTTCGCTACTATTATTGGCAAGACAATACATGAAATATCGAAAGAATCGATAGAGAACTTATAGTTTTCAATGTGCGAGCCGGGTTTTCCGAGAGGAATTCAAATGATCCGTCATCTGCTACCGTACCCAAGCGCACTGGAGATGGTCGATCGTGGCGAGACCCGCTCGCCCGCGAAAACCGCGACGCGCGCACTCGTTCAAAGTTGGATTTTTTCCGACGTTTTTGGCCGTTTTTGACACGTTCTGAACGACGATTCCCCCAGTGATCTCGCAAATTCATGTTGACATTATTAATTTTCCATGATATTATGCTCTAAAAAAAGTGAATTTGAAAGAAAAAACCAATTTCAATGCAAATAATTCAGTTTTCTAATGTGAATATTTTCAAATTCATAAATTTTTGCTGTTCCCCAATTTTTTGAACCGGGTCTGTTCTCATTTAGCATTCCGCTTTCTTGTGCACACCAGTACTAAGAGTTATCTTTCAGGTATGTCTACCCTGGAGGATGGAACCTCGGAGGACCGAGTCGCTAACGACGAGTACAAAATTTGGAAGAAGAACACGCCGTTCCTATACGATTTGGTTATGACGCATGCTCTGGAATGGCCTTCGTTGACTGTTCAATGGCTTCCACTTGCCGAAAAAGTTAGTGACTTCCAAGTTACTCCATTAAAATGAACGTTTTCTATACAGGACAGCAAAGACTTCACAACTCATCGTCTCATTCTCGGAACGCACACTTCCGATGAGCAGAATCATCTTCTCATTTCAAAGATATGCATGCCAACTGACGATGCTCAGTTTGATTCGTCTCGCTATGACACTGAGCGCAGCGAATACGGAGGCTTCGGATCTGTCAGCGGAAAAGTTGAGCCCGACGTGAAAATCAATCACGAAGGAGAAGTGAACCGCGCTCGCTACATGCCTCAAACGTCGAACATCATAGCCACAAAGTCGCCATCGGCTGACGTCTACATTTTCGACTATGAGAAGCACGAGAAGAATCCGCCGGCCAACACTTTCAACCCGCTCATCAAGTTGAAAGGACACACCAAGGAGGGATACGGACTCTCCTGGAACCCCAACCGAGCTGGCTTGATTCTCTCTGCATCAGATGACCAAACTGTCTGCCATTGGGACATCAATGCAAACCAGAATGTTGCTGGCGAGTTGCAGGCCAAGAGCATGTTCAAAGGGCATGACTCCGTGGTGGAAGACGTCGCTTGGCATGTTCTGCACGACGGAGTCTTCGGATCTGTCGGAGATGACAAGAAATTGTTAGTTTGTATCACTCATTCTTTTTTACTCAAAAACATTTGATTTTCAGGCTCATCTGGGATGTTCGTCAGCCCCAGCCCGTCCACTCCATCGATGCACACAATGCCGAAGTGAACTGCCTCGCTTTCAATCCGTATTCCGAATTCATTCTTGCCACTGGATCCGCCGATAAGACCGTCGCTCTCTGGGATCTTCGCAACTTGCGTCTCAAACTTCATTCATTCGAATCGCACCGCGACGAAATTTTCCAAGTTCAATGGAGTCCGCATAACGAAACCATTCTCGCGTCGAGCGGAACCGACAAACGCCTTCACGTGTGGGATCTGTCCAAAATTGGCGAGGATCAGTCGGCGGAAGACGCCGAGGACGGACCGCCGGAGCTTCTGTTCATCCACGGAGGTCATACGGCAAAGATCAGCGACTTCTCGTGGAATCCAAACGAGCCATGGGTGGTGTGCAGCGTCTCGGAAGACAACATTCTGCAAGTGTGGCAGATGGCCGACAACATCTACAATGAGATCGAAGATGACGTTGCATCGGATGTCGTCGAGCGCGCGCAGTAAAACTGCTTTTTCTAACTTATTCGTATTATTCATCCTTGCATCTCTTCTTCCCTTCACACCTAATCCATCAATCTGTTCGCATTATATTTTTCCCCCCGCCGCTGCAAATCTGTAAATTGTCCTAAATTTCTAATTTATCCTTTTACCATAATTATTGATTCGAAATAAAGTCGATGGTTGTCTCGATTTCTCGCTTTTTTTCAAAACGTTTTTGCTGTTGTTCTGTGAATGTTGTGATAGCACTAATACTTGTACTTCTTCCGCATCACACCTCTAGTTCCACACCACCTCTTCTTTTTTTACAGCATAATGAGCGACACGGAGTGCGAAGACAAACCAGTGAGTCGGGAGCACAGAGTTTGGAAGAAAAACGCGCCATTCCTGTACAACACGGTCATCACGAAGGAGCTCGAATGGCCCTCTCTGACTGCTCAATGGATGCCGGACGTCATCAAAGTGAGCTCATTGCCCAGTTGTATCACCTTCCAAACTCTTCGTTTTCAGCCTGAAGGCGTTGAAACCTCAGTGCACCGGATGTTGCTCGGCACGCACACGAACAATGTTCAAAATTTCCTGATGATCTCAAAATTGACGATTCCGACACAAGAGGCTCAAATTGACCCGTCGAAATGGAATTCGGAAAGCGAAGAGTTTGGCGGATACGGAGCCTCCAGTTCGGCCAAACTGGAACATGAAATTCGAATTAATCATCCGACAGAAGTGCACCGAGCACGGTACATGCCGCAGAATCCGATTATAATCGCGAGTCGGGGAACGGAGGACGATGTGTTCGTTTTCGATTACACGAAACATCCGTCCGAACCGCACGACAACGGCTTCCGTCCGCAGTTGCGACTGAAAGGACACCGCGGCGAAGCGTACGGTTTATCGTGGAACAAACTGAGAGAGGGCATTCTGATCACCGCCGGCTATGACCAATCGGTGAGGTCAGTTATCGAGAAAATTCATAAAATCTTCTTGCAGATCTGTCTATGGGACATTAATTCGAACCAGACAGTGTCCGGGGAAGTGGGCCCGGTTTCTCGTTTCGGAGGACACAGCGGAAATGTCGAAGATGTCTGTTTTCATAACTTCCACGAAAACATCTTCGGATCGACCGGAGACGACTGTAAACTGTACTGAAATGATTGCATTTCCTATTTCTCGCTATTTTGTTCAGAAATCTTTATGATCTGCGTGCCGACAGACGGCCCCGACTGTCCGTCATTGGCCATACTGCCGATGTGACCTGTCTCGCATTCAACAACCATTCCGAATACATTCTTGCCACTGGATCAGAAGACAAAACGGTGGCTCTCTGGGATATGCGAAATCTGAACAGGAAGATGTACACACTGCACAATCACGTCGACGAAATATTCCAAGTGCAGTTCAGTCCCCACTATGAAACTGTTCTGGCTAGCAGTGCTTCCGATGAGTAAGTCCTTCTACGGAGTTTTCGGCAAATCGCGTTCGTTTCAGCCGTGTCGTCGTGTGGGACATTTCCAAAATCGATCCCACCTCGGCATCCTCGTCCCGTGCCGACGCCGAGGACGCGACCCGTCCAGAAGTGATCTTTATCCACGGCGGTCACGAAGGAAAAGTTGCCGACTTCTCGTGGAACCCGAACCGTCCGTGGACTGTTTGCAGTTGTGACGAGTACAATGAATTACATGTGAACAACCACCTTCCCGAACATTTCATTATTCTCTATTTTTGCAGGTATGGGAAGTGAACGGCGATGCAACTATTCGCGATGACGAAGACGGACCCACCGAGTCCACCACTAACCCACTCCCGACTGTCAGGCCCCCGGCTGCAGGTCCCTCATTCGTTCCTGGTTCTTCCACCGTTGCTGGTCCTGTTCCGCCCCCTTCCTCATGAAACTTACCTATTTTATCTCCTTTTCTGCTAATTTATCATTTTCCTCATATTTGTCGATCTTTCCCTGTTTGAAAATTCCACCGATTCCGATGAATGAATGATTCTCTGCTCGATTTACTCAAACATTTGGTGATTTCCGCTTCATTATTTCTCGGCGCTACGACGGAATAGAACTGTTACAATTTGGAACTCGCAGTTCTATTTTAACGTTGCGAGTTCCAAATCGTAACAGTTCTATTCCGTGTTAGTTCTATTCCGTTAACGTGCCTATTTTTCTTGTTTACAATGGAGCGCACTTGCTGCGCCGCTGCGCCGCTGCCCCGCGAACTCAGTTTATCAATCAATCAACCAGTTTTCTCATTGTACTTCAAAATAGCTCCATTTGCAGTTAACAAAAATGCTGAGGAATTGGAGAGTATTGACCCGAAATTTTGCAAGTGTGGGCGAAGAAGCGGTGCCGAAGGTCGACGTCAGTTTGTGAGTTTTGCTTAGTTTTTGTTGTTCTTAAATAATGAATTATTTTCGCTTTCAGTCTCCGCCCGCGCCACAGAATCATTGCCTCCGGCGGAATGCCTCCTGTCCAATTCGACTCGGAACGCGAACGTTCCGCACGTCGCGAACGCTTCGGGAAGTACGGATTGGCGAGCGGAGTGCCCGTCGAGGAGCTCTACCCGACTGCCGAAGAGATCGAGGAAGAGGAGGCGATCGGACTGTACAGAGAGCTGAACGACGTAAAGAAGGAATACCTGGAGCTGCAGAAAAAGAAGAAGGCGGCCGAAACGGCGAGATTGGCCGAGCTCGAGAAGAACTTGAAGAAGTACCCAGCCGCTCTGGCGAAGTACGAAGCGTCGCTGGTGAAACAGGAGAAGGAGAAGGACGAGAAGGAGTTGGCGTTGGAGAAGAGGATCCGGGATATTCAGGAGTATTTCGGATATTGGATGGACCCGAAGGACCCACGATTCGAAGTGATGCTGCAGCAGAAAGAGGCTGAAGAGAAGAAGGCGGCGAAGATGGCAAAGAGGGAAGAGATTCAGAAGAAAAGATACGCCGAGAACGTGCAATGATCGGAAATACCGCCTCGCTAGATGTAGATCCTTGTTTTCTTGTTTTTCACTTTATAAATGTTTTTTTTGTCCCTTTCTCTCGACACTCCTCCTGTGAAACCATGGTTACTCGCCATTGTCATACTCTGTTCTGTCGTTTTTTCCTATCCAAACATGTTTTTTCAGCTTCAATGGCTACGGAGCATTCTGTTATCGAATTCCTCCAACCGAACGAGCTATCCTCGTGTGGCTACTGCAAGGGCACACGCGGAAACACATCGCGCATAGGTTGGTTGGGATTAAAAGACAACAACGTTCAGTGTTCATAATCGTGGTCCAGTGCTGCTTTTTCACTCCCTCTTTCCTATTCTCAGTTGTCCGTTTTAAGCTGCCGTACAGCAAGGACAGATGCCGGCTCCGAACGCGGAAGGAAGTGGATCCGGAGAAGCATCCGGACAAGATGCGCGAAATAAAACTTCTATTTCAACCGGTATGGGGCTTCTGAATGCATCACTTTAACATCTTTTTGTCTTTCTTTCTCTTTGTGCTCCCACCTTTTTGTTCGTTTCATGGCTCCATCTATTCAGCGATGCTTATTGTACGAATAACTGCCGATAATTTCCAAGACTTTGAGGACGCCGGTTGGAGCTCGTAAGTGGTCACCTCGTCCTTCTTCTCCTGCCTTCTTCAGTTCACTCCAACAAACAGCCGCATATATTCCCAATTCAATTCAGAATTATCTGTTCTTTGACGCATGATAAAAAACGCACGAAAAACTGCTCCATCTATTCAGTTTAAGTTTGAAAAGTTTACAGGCAGCGCGTGGGCGCACAAGCTGCTCAATGGGGACTACCTCGAACTGTTGGATTTGGGCTGGAGAAGGTGGGAAGAAGTGGGAACCTCCCCTGGAGGCGGAAGATCCCTCCGTTCATACTGTTCCCCACTAACTCGATGCATTTCAGATCAGGACGGTATTTGTACAAACCGAACAACTCGGTTACATGCTGCCCGCAGTACACAATCCGTCTCGACACCACCCAGTTCAAAATGTCGCGAAGTCAGAAGCGAGTGATGCGGCAGATGAACGAGTTTCTGAAAACGGGCAAACGCCCAGCACATGCTGTTCGTGAGGAAGATCCGGTGAAGAAGAGAGATGAGCAACAGATGCACGCGGAGGAGGCTTCACCTACTGGCGCCGCTGGAGGTAAAGTCGTGTCGGAATCTCAAGAGGGACAGTCGGAGAAGCCTCCCCGGGACAAGAAAAAGAAGCAGATCAGAAGGGAGAGGTGGGAGTTGTTTCTGTTTTTGAAATAAAACAACAATAAACAATTTTTTAGATTCGAGAAGAATTGCCTTGAACGCAACATCGACCCGGAAGCCATCCGAGAGAAGCGTCGTCAGAAAGAAGAGGCCCGTCGACGCACTATCCAGTCGTACATTGACGAATGGAGGCCAGACTGGAAGCACAAGATGGAAGTTAAATTGGTGGATACGAAGACGGCGGAAGCGGACGCCCGTTCGCAGGAATCGTACGATTTGTACAAAAAGTATCAGCGGGTAGTGCACAAAGAAGAGGCCAGGTTAGGCGGATGGAGACGATTTCTGAGTGATTCGCCGTTGTTGAAGGAGCAGAGAAATGGGTAAGAGAAGCGATTCGTGTCTGGATTCCAGTGCTCTTTTTGTAGAATAACTCTCGGCTCTTTCCATCTCTGGTTCCTTCTCGACGATAAAATCATCGCCGTGTGCGTCGTCGACTTTCTTCCGACGTGCCTCTCTGCCAAATATATGTACTATGATCCCGACTACTCATTCCTTTCCATTGGTACTTATACGGCACTCAGGTGAGATTCAAACGACGGAGAAACTTCTGAGCTTCTGGTGTTTTTTCAGAGAAATCCATTTTATTCAAACACTGCCACAGACGGAGCGCCAGCTCATTTACTACTACATGGGCTATTACATCCATTCGTGTCCTAAGATGCGCTACAAGGCTAAGTTCCATCCGAGCGATCTGCTTTGCGATCAGTCTCTCCGTTGGGTGCCTTACGAGGAGTGCCGTCGGCTTCTCGACGCCTCAACTTCTGAAAATGGATGCGTCGCCTTCTGTCCTCAAGCCCAACGTCCTCCGTCCTTGCACACAGATGATATGACCATCATCGTTCACCAAGTACTCACTCCTTTCCCAATAGCTATCGAGGAACACGAAAACGCCGATGAAGCCAGAGCAGTCGCCGAGCAAGTTCGTCATGTCGCAACGCTTCTGTCGCCGAAACTCGATGACGTCTACTTTTGGTTCAGCGAGTTCAATACATAAATCCTTGTACAAGCTTGTATCTACATCCACTTAAATACTACGTCAATCGTTCTTTAATTTAAATGCCGTTCAGTTCCGCTCCCCGGTGTATTATCAATAATGTTCGTATTTAGAATTATGATGGTTATGTATTCAAATGCTATTTTCTCGTTATTCTCATGAACTTTAAGGAAATAAATGATTTACGGGAGTTTCTGGTTCTTCGAAGCGTGCGGGCGCCTGTGCAAATACCGGAACATACGCAATTGCGCGGCATTTCAGTTGCTTGCAGACGACCGACGTCGACGTGTACGGTTGAGTAGCCACTGGGTTTTGATCGCTCTTTGTCACTCATTATTCAGTATTTTTTCACACGGAATCTCAATTACGAACTGACTGATTACAGAGATGACCTCAACACGGGTTCTCCTCGTGCTGCTCGCCGCCGTCGCTTGCGTCGCGGCTCAGAATAATCCGATTTTCAAGAAGTGGGTTGAAAGAGCCTGAAGATTGCTCAAACTGGAGCAATATTCGGGAAGACAATTGCTTACAAATATTTTAAAAGTTCTAGGTTCGAGTACAAACATTCGTTCCGTGCTCCGAACCTCGCGCAACGAGATGGATCGATTCCATTTTGGATCGTGAGCGGGGACGCAATCGCTTCTGGAGAGCAGCTCCGTCTGGCTCCATCGATGAGATCTCGGAAGGGAATTGCATGGAATAAACGGGCGTTCACGGAGAGCGAGAACTTCCAGGTATCCCTACTTTTTAATTCAACCGGTCATTTCTGATGCTTCCAGGTCGATATTGCGCTGAAAGTGGGCGGACAAGGACGTTTGGGAGCTGATGGACTCGGAATCTGGTACACTTCTCAGCTCGGATCCCTCGGACCAGTGTTCGGAGCCAATGATTTCTGGACCGGAATGGGATTGTTCCTCGATTCGTTCGACAACGATGGACAGAAAAACAACCCGCAAGTCTCTCTGATGCTCAACGACGGAACCAGATCCTACGATCATCACACCGACGGATCGCAGCAGATTCTGTCCAGCTGCCAGCGTGACTTCCGTAACAAGCCGTATCCAGTGCGTATTCGCATCGAATACCTCAAGAACGTGCTGACTGTTCACATTGACGACGGAATGCAGCCAACGCCGCGCTACGAACTGTGCATGCGCTCCGAGAACATCTTCCTCCCACGTAGCGGATACTTCGGAGTGTCGGCGGCCACCGGAGGACTTGCCGACGATCACGACGTTCTCGACTTCTCCGTTTTCTCTCTGTTCAACGAACAGCAGAAGCCGTTGCCAGTGGCCGAGCAGATTCCGCAGCAGGAGAAGCAGAAGTACGACGAAGAGTTCGAGAGACAAATGAAGGAGTACGAGCAGGAGAGAGCCAAGTTCAAGGAGCAGCATCCGGACAAGGTGAAGGAGGACGACGAGTACGATCCGAACAAGTACTACGAGGACGCCACCGCCCGCGAACTTCGTCTCATCTACGAGTCACAGAACGCCATTCATCAAGTCATGCAGAACATGGATCAAAGATTGGCGCAGATTCAACAGGCGCAGCTCACCGGAAGCGCTGCCGCTGTGCCCCAACAAGCAGCGGGAGCGGCTCCAGTGCAGGCGGCAGCCGGAGGAGCTAGCTTCCAACAGCACGAGAAGAACGAAGTAATCACTTCGCTTCGAGACCTCACTCAATCTGTTCGAGACATGAAGCAGTACGTAAATGAGATCTTCACGAAGACGTACAATATGGAGCAGAAGTTGACCCAAGGAGGCGGCGGCGGTGCAGCAGCTGGAGGCGTCGACAGCAGCATGCATCAGAAGGTGGACTCACTGCTCAACGAGCTCAGGACAGTGAGAGCCACTCAGATTCAGACGGTTAGCATCTCTTGATCTTTCCCATCAAACTATCTTTGCTTTCAGAGCGGTCCCGGAGCGGCTGCGAACTGTCCGAATGTGTCGTGCGTCTCTTCGACCATTTTCCTGGCAATCATCTTTGTCCAATCCGCCATCATAGTTGGCGTCGTCTATGTGCGAAGCAAGCAGGACAAAGCCAAATTCTACTAATTTATGCGTGTTGTCTACACAAAATATATCGTCTTTCCGCCAACGAAACTGTCGTGAAGTCTGATGTTTCGTACTCAATACGTCGAATTTCACGCCCACAGTTCCACTAACGAATAACTTATCCAGTCGGTTAGTAAAAACTGGTTAAAATCTCGTAAAAACCGTAGATTTTACTGCTTTTTTACCAGGTCTTTTTACCCGTCTGAATACCCCTAAGTCATTTTTTTAAATGAAAAATCTCGGTAGAAAAACATCGTCTCCTGTTTTTTTGTGTTGTGTTATTTATTTTTGAGGGATTCTCTATCGTTTCCCCTCCCGTCCGATGGTATTTGAATGGTGCACTGATGGTTGTTATCTTTCGACCTGTAATTTAAATTTGAAGTGAGATTCTTGTAGAATAAATAAATAATTTTTTGATGGAGAAGAAACGACTCGAATCCGGATGTGCGGCCGTGCTCCAAGGAATGGCCGGCAAGAAAGTAGCCGTCGAGCTCCGCGACGAAGCGTATGTGATCGGAATTCTGGATAATTGCGACTCCGATTTGAACATGCGCATCCAGAATGCGACGGTGATTCGGAATGCGCAAAAAACAGAGGAGCCCGAGTATATGGTGATCGGAAGGCACGTAAGGTAATGAAAAAGAGAGAGGAGGAAGTGCGCTCTACGGCCAATATTAACAGATTCGTTCATTTCGAGCACACGGTTGATCCGGAGGCGGCGATCCGACGGTGTCTGAAAGGAGCGAGAGCGGGGAAGCCGCAGCAGAACAGACGACTCGATCAGAAGCAGTTCGACACCGGAAGAAAGACTGTCCATCAGTGAATTCGAATAATTGTGAACTTTTCATTAATTTAAATACAATTCTCGTGGAATACCTGAAACAAGCACCTAGTAGTTGCAATACCAACGAAAACGAAAAAACCGACGAACTACTCGATCTTCTTGGCCTCTTTTTCTGCTTCCTCTTCCTCAATCACGTCTTCTGCTCCGAACACAATCTCTCCAAAGTACCTGAATTATTCTTAATCTGAATTGCATTCGAATGCGCGGTGCACTCACCAGGCAATCAGCGGACTCAGCCAGTAAACGAAGAGATGGCCGGCGTGAGAAACGCCCAAACAGTTGAAAGTGCACGCCCACGCGACGATCGGATTCGCGTACATTCCCGTATAATTTATTCCTGAAATTTGTTTCGGTTCGCTTTAGAACGCACTTCCATTCGCTTACCAATGGCGCAGAGAAGTCCGGAGAAGAGGCAGTTGGCAATCGAGCACAGTTTCGTATCGCCGTCGTATTTCTGCTCGACCCACTTCTCGAATCCTTTTGCCAGAAACGTGGCCGCCCCCTCAATGATGCATCCCGTCGTTATGGCAACCTGAATGGAATTTATGATATCAGAAGGCTGCCTGGCGAGATTACTGTAAGATCGGAAGTGCAGGAATCCTGATCGAGCAGCTCCAAATGAACCGGATGCACTCCGATCTTCCAGAACAATCGAGCGACGAAATAGGAGAGATAGGCTGAAGATTTATTGCATATCAGACTTCCGACAGTTTCAAACTAACCGGCAGCCAACTGGACAAGGAATACGTAGGCGGCTCTGCGGAGCGCCTTGCTCTTTCGGTAACAATTGGTGACCAGGGGACATGGATGCGCGACGGCGTCCCTTTGGAAGTAGCAGTTGGCCAATTCGATGACAGTGATCTCCACGAACACTCCCAGAAGACCGTAGTTTTCGAGAATTGTGCCGACGTCGAACATCGGAACGCATATTTGCAAAGTACCGATGAACTGAAGAAGGAAACTTGCGAAGGCATCGAGTTTACGTTTCGTACCTCGAGAATGAGAAGAGCCGAGAGTCGTTTCGGATTGTCGAACGACTTGATAACGAGGAATCGGAGCAGTTCGCACAGGGCGAACACGGACCCGTAGAAGATGAGAGATGCTACCCAGATCCTCATTTTCACTGAAAAAGCTGGTTCAAGAGGGAACTTGTGGAATGGCTGGGCGGTAAATGAGCTCCCGGAGCTCCCGGGCGGCTCGGCTCAAGCGAATCAGTGTGACGCACTCTTTTCCCGAGCTCCTGAGGATATCTTTTCTCTTTTTTTCTCAATTTCGATTCTCTCTCACTCTGAGTCTCTCCGATCACTTTTATCTCTTCTCGCAGTTCATTCATCCTTCTGTTTTGCGAGCAAACAATAAGAAAACAACTCTTTTCTGCTCAATACGACATCGAAAGAGCACAAAGACCGAAATTGTGACTTACTGATAACAATTGCAATGCAATGCCCATAGTCCCGAGACGGCAAAACGGTTCGCAGCGAGCAGGGTTCGAACCTACGCGGGCAAAGCCCATTGGATTTCAAGTCCAACTCCTTAACCACTCGGACATCGCTGCACAGCTGGCCGGCCCTCCTGTTGTGTACGGAGGGAAGAGGGGCAAAGAGTGTGTGTTTATGTGAGACCTCCCTTCGAGTTACCACCGGCGTGAGCAGTGTGTGTTCTCGAAAAAAAAATTTTCAGGAATACCTTCCTAGCCTTTTTCAGGGCTCTCTCAGACCTTACCAGATAAGATAATCCTTTTCAGGACAACCTTCCGAGTCTTTTTCAGGGCTCTCTCAAGACCATGCGAGACGGTGCAAATATCATGTTTCGGCGACCTCATATACCTTCGTCCGCCAGGGCAGATCCGACCTTGTGGGCGTGGCCAACTGTTTGGGATCACCGTCAGGGCTGGGCGTAAAATTTTTTTAACGGATCCGTAAAAACGCAAATTTACGGTTTCAAGAAGCCGTAAAACACGTAAATCTCGTAAAATCTGAAAAACCAATGAAGCGTACTGTTTTTGTCAGGATCTCACGGAAAAAATGAAAACTAGCATACAATTCAATATAATTCTAGCTTTTCTATAGTCGCTATCGTTTTTTGAACGTTTTGGTGTCTTCTGATGCCTAATCTTGTTCTTACTGATCAAATCAGGCATTTCTGATTTTAGACAATTAGTACAAAAGAAATAGATTCGAGAAAAATCTCTTTTATCACAAAAAAGAAATTTGAAAACCACCGTAAACGCAAAATCCTTGCCCTGATCCCAAATCATTGGCATAACTCCATCAATTCACACCCGTTTTTTCTACTTTTAGTTACTTTGTCCCCCTAAAGGAGACATTCCAAAATTAGAAAGCTGACGCTAAATTTCTTTAGGTCATTCCCAGGTTTGTACCTCAACTTGGGTAATTAAACCAAAAATAACAGCGCGCGTATCGACAAATGTTTTGTGGGCAGCCGACATGTCCGAGGGACCGCGAGTGTCTGCTCTCCCGTCAATATCAGCCAACTCACATTGTCCATCGAGACATTGTTCGCGAAATTGTCATCGACATAAAGTGGCTTTGACTACTTGGACTTGTTCTCAATTTACGATAATTTTTATTTGAACCATTCCATCGTACTCTTCCCCCTTATCCAAGTGAAAAAAGGCAAAGACTCGAGTAAAACGGGAAACAATGAGCGACGTGAACGGCCGTTAACGGGAAGAGCGGTCACACGTGTGTTCATTCAGAACTCCCGCCATAAAAATTTGAATTTATTTTCGAAGGGCGCTACGCACCGATTCAAAATTTTCGTTTGCCGCCTTTACGCCGGCGTACGCCCATTGGCTGCGTGTCGCCCCTGTGCAAACACCGTTCTAGATATTTTGCGTACTTGGCACCAGATACTACGCAAATTTTAGGCCAGCTGTTTATTTATTCAAATTAGAGAGTGCGAGATTGAAGAGACGCCGACGATGTTCGGTAGGGCGCGCTTGCATGCGCGTAACAGTTCGAACGCTCGTGCGGTCAGCTCGAACTGATCAACTCGAATGTGCGTTCTGTCGTCAATGCGCCATATATTACGCGCAATAAAAAATGTGTAAAACAGTGAAACCTCAAAGATTCACGGTGCTGTGCAGAAATTTCTAGAAATCGGTGGAACTTATGCTCACTATCAGAATGCGAAGTACATTTTTAAAAGGCCAAAAGAGTCTCGTAACTTTTCGGTTACTCGATCGACGTTTCTCCAAGACGAATTCACCTGAAAATGAAGAAACCAATTCTTTCAAAAATTGACGTCGCAAAATGCGAAATCGGCGAATCTCTGATTTTGTGCTTTTGAAAGAAATGAACTGAACACTGCGCCTACTGTATTTAGGTTACGATAACAAAACATATCTGCCGTCGCGAGACCCACATCATATTCAGATTCCTCAGCTTGAGATTACCGCATTCTTTCCAGAATCTTCGAATCCCCCCCCCGGCGGTCCTTCTTTTTCCTCTCTCCTTTTCCCTGCCACGTCGAACTTGTTGACGACAATGCACTTGCCGTCCCGTCCCCGTCCCATCGGGGCACAAACACGAAGGGCATTCCCAGTGTGTGGTCGCCAGAGAGACATTCTGGAAATTCTGCCCGCCCTTCGGCTGGTTTCCCTCTTTTTCGTGTGTTTTTTGCTCTCTTTTCGATTACGATGAAAAGTGACAAAGAAAGATGAGAACGGACTCGAGCCAGTTGGCTGATTTCGTAATCGGATGGGGGAATTGAAACTTTTGTGAATCATATTAAAGAAATTGAAGGCAAACATAGTTTGCAAGTTTTCATTAATTGAAGTTTCGTTTGAAACACTCGCTCGTTGTTGGCACGACAATGAGCCAAATCCGTTTGTTGTTAAAGATTTCGTAATGCGTAACTTTCAAAGAACGCTCTTATCACCTCGCCCAATTTACCCCCCACTTTGAAGACATTCTTTAGTCTAGTGTCTGAATGCTTTTCCTTATCATTTCCGTAAATAAACTTGCAAAAGTAGCGCGTTATCAAACGAACCGGAGCACAAGATGGAAATGGAATGAGTCGGATGAATGCTCATTCGAAAAGGTATCTCCCTTCTTCCATTCCGTCTTCCATTATTCGTGGCAGGTTGAGCGAGAATCGAAAGGACGCCATAAATCTGTCATTCTTCCCGAGTCCCCCATTCTTTTCCGCCCGGAAATTACACCTTTGTGCACTTTTTGGCGCTTTCAGTTTTGTGCTTCTCGACCACCTCACAGTTTGGGAGAGTCAGTAAATATTCCTCTTCAAATAAATAGAAAAAAGCCATAAAACTGTGTCAGCAAACTTTGACCGTGGCCGAAAACTTGTTATCAATTCGTTGCGACATTGAAACCTACAAGTCGGTTTACTGTAGGAAAAGCTCTGATTGGCTGAGGATAGTAGTTGTAAAATAGAACTCCAACCCATTAGATCTAGTCAAATATAGGGCCATGACGAAACATTCAACAATTTCCAGACAGAGTCATGGCCTAGAAGAAACTGATCATCGGCCCGGCCCGGGCCGTGAGAAGTGTGATAAGATCTGAAACATCCTGCCGTCAGCAATTTTCAAACAGTTTAGCACATTTCGTCGGATCCCCTAGAGATCTCTCCTGTTCGCCCCTCTCTTTCAGCCTTTTCCGTCAAAACAAGACAAGAACCTCTCTGTTTCTCTAAACTCTCTCGTCCTTCCACACTCTCTCCTCTTGTTTTTGCCGTTTGTGTTCCTTTTTTTGTCGATTGCGAGCGAGTGAGGGTGGCCGCAGGGAAAACAGAAAAAGCAGCAGGCAGCAAAAAAGAGGAGAGTTTTTACTTCTCACTATGAAAGAGCCCCACACACTCTCAGAGGTTCTACTTGCTCAATGCACTTTCAGTTCGGCCTACCGTAATATTCTCTCTCTCTCTCTCTCTCTCTCTCCTCTTTGTACAGTATCCGCATTAAGTTTCCGCCTAAAAGTAAAGTGTACTTTTTGTTGTTGAGTCGAGCCAAAACAAACCGAGAGTATCGAGCTTATCATTTGCTTGACAAAATACTGTAATTTTATGACATTCACTAAAAAAAAACTGAGTTTCTCCAATCCATCCCACTTCTTTGACATTTACGTCATGCTCAAAGTTCATCTGATTCTGACGCCTATCATTATCCTCCGCGTTTCCCTGAAATCTGCCTCGTTCGTTCGATCTCTTCATCAAAGCACGTCGTCAGGATTACGGTTTGTATGAACGCCTGAAAGTACCGAATCGCAAGGACACTTCCTGTTTTCTGTCTCTCGATTCCACCGAATGTGTGCCTAGTGGGCGGAGCGACGGGGCGGAGTGGAGGAGACTGTCAACATGTTATTCCGTCCCCCATCCCCCCTTCCACCACGCATTCATTTCCCCCATTCCTTTTCAGATGTCATCCTTGTTCAGTTTTTGCGGAGTTCTGCAACTCTTGCCTTGATTTTTGACTGAGAGTTGAGCGGAATTCCGCCTTCCGCCTTCCGCCTTCGTCTGTTCTGAATCGTAGATTGCTTTGAATGCTTCTTCTAGGAATTACTCCGCTTCCAGTTGTTCTGAAAGGTGGAAAACTTGGGCAGAAATGTGCGCTCTCCGAGTCTCCGATCAAACGGAACATGGAAATCCCAGATGACTGCGCAAATGTTTCTGACGCTTTTCACTTCCAAAATCATCTTGTGTACTTTCTTTTCAACGCGTGACAAATGAGAATTGAATGAAACGACTTACCGTAGAAGGATAATCCGTTCGTGCACCTTCTTCTCCTTCTTCTTCTCCTTCTTCTTCTTCCTCTTCTTCTTCCTCTTCTTCTTCTTCTTTCACTCTTGATACACACGTTTCCATATCAGAAGCTCTTCGTTTTTCGCTGAAAACCGCCAGCGCCAGAGTGAGCGGAGACGTAGCGTCGACGACGGATTACACAGCATATTCGAGCATATATAAGGAGAGAGCACTAACTAAGCTTTTTCGTTTTCTCTCTCTCTCTCTCTTTCTCGAGCGCCCTCCGCGTTCTGCACACTCTCTCGCCGCCCAACTGATTGAATTGACTGGAAAAGAGCACGTATCTCGTATCTTCTGGCGGCTGCTTTCCTCTCGCTTTTCACTCCTTTCTCGCTCCTCATTATTCATCGATGACAGAGCAGCAAAAAATGGATGAAGAGGAAGAAGAAGAAGAGGAGCGAAAGAGCTCTCGGGGAGCCGAAGCCAAGAGCCGGAGGGGGAGAGAGAGAGAGAGAGATGCCTTGATTATACCTTTTGCGAGCCGCTCGTTTCCTTTCGCTTCCTCTCTCCAAAAAGTGCACCACACAACTCTGCGACGCCCGTGTGCGCCACGGCGCCTCCCGTTTTTGTTTCGATTTCCGGTGGCCTCGCTCCAGCTATCACCTCTTTCTGGCTCAGATCGATGTCAGAATGCGCATGCCACGTGGCTTGTACATCTCTTCTCGCTTCAATTACATACTTTCTCGTCTTCTGATTCATTCGAGAGTGCAACTCCCATTTGCTGCTCAGCGAGCACAACTTCTGTTCCCCTGTCTGCGTCTCTTCGTCTCCGCTGCTCTTCGTCTCTCCGAATGCTCATTCGGGGCGCGGCGCTCGGTAGATTATCAGTTTGACGACTTCGTTTTTGTCTCACGTAAATCATGCGTGCCACGTCATCTCGCAAATGGCTACATTCACGTCATTCGGAGATTTGGGCCAACTCTATAAGCTGCAAATCGGGCTCGGACCCTATGATTTCACTTTCTTTGCCCAGTTACTGTATCTTTACCGTTCCCGCCCTTTTGTTTGCCTATTCCGGGGCACGGTCCAAAATATTTGCCAACTTCCCCTCCCTTTCCCCCTTTTTCAGTTTTTTTTTTTCCGAAAGCAAACGCATTCACTATCAGTTTTGAATATTCCAGAACAATGTTAATGGACTGCAGTCTGTCGGGCGGTGGCCAGCACGGAAACGCCGGAAACCATCATCATCAGCAGCAGATGGGCTTCAATCAGTACAATCAGTTCAGGGACCGCAAAAAGTCGTGTGGTGGGTTACTTTGGATTAGTTGGATTGCTTCGGATCAGCCCGTGATCTTCCATTTCTTATTCCGATTCGGTCTGATCCGAAGCTCGCCTTCAACTGTTCATTATTTCTCATCAAAAAGTGTCTCAAACTCTCGATTTCTCGTGCTCTTCTTCGTGTCCGCATGCCTTCTTTTTCCCTTTCTCTATCTGTTGATCAGCATAGAATCAGTTCGGTTTTCCTTTTTGTTAGGTACTTCTTCGGCGTCCTCGCCCGTCCAACACGACCGTCTTCCGGCCTTCGCGCGCTTCCACATGCATCCAGGACCTAGTTCCGTCATGTCAGGTACCTCTCATCGTCGTTCCCGTCGTCCAGTCCGTCTCCGAAGTGCCCGTTCATCCGCCACGTCATCTTAGAATCCACGACCGCCTCTTCGTCCGTTTGCACGACGCCCACACGTTCCGGAGCGACGACGCCCACGCAGCAGAGCTACGAGACGATGAACCAGACGGCGCCGTTCCAATCGCGGCCTCCCGGTACTCTCCGATCGTTCACTCAGGCGTTCCAATACCGGAACAATTACAATCATCATTCAGCAGGTTACCCACATCTTCTAATGCTTTTTTCAGATTTCATCTCGTTCTAGACATAGAAAGCTTTGAGCATGATTCCCTCCCATAGATAGTTGAGATATTGAGAAATGAATCCATCCCTTTTTTGCCACGTCATAGTGGGGAACATCCCTCGGATCCTCATTCATACACACCTTTGGCGTCCGCCTCAAACCGGTTCGCCACGCTCAAAACAAGAAGTTAACCTCGTCCCTCCTCAGTCTGTTTTCCCTTTTAAGTGTTGTTGTTGTTTGGGCGTTCGCGGATAGGAACGAATGCGAAAAAGAACGAGTTTTGGGCCGTCTCCAGTGTGTCCGCCAACCATGCATTTACTGGTTCTCTGCGCCTAGACGCTCTGAAAATAAACAAAGAGATTACTCATCTCTCTTTCCATCCATTATGAGCAACAACAAGTGAAGGGATTGATGAGACAAGCAACGTCAGTCACTATAAGGGATGCTCTAAGGCTTGAAGATCGGCTCATTTTGGCATCCACTTTTCTTTTCCTTGCATCACTCTGAAATGTGCTCAGTGAAGCCAGTTCACGTGACTTTTAGCTCATTCCGCTCGAGCTGATATTATCCGTACTATTGAGATTCGGCAAGCTACTGATGAAATATCGCATGCAATAATAGTGTTCTCTCTTCAAAAGTTTTGTTTACCGCCGCCCACCCAAAATAATGTGCCACAAGTGTCTGGCTTCTTATCACTTCCGTAGTCTAGGCGCGGAGAGAAAGAGCAATTTGAAAAGTGAAAATGGAAAACATTGGGCGTCCGCCTCCAGAAAGTCTACATGTTTGTCCGCGCCGTGCCGCTCGTGGCGCCGCGCGGCAGCCGCGAGAGGGAACGGCGCGGCACGTTCCAATGCTGGCTTGTTTACGTAAACAACTCTCACCCCTCCTCCTCTCCTCGTTTCGCCTGGTTCTGCTTGATTTTTGTTTGCGCCGGTCCTGTCTGCTTTTGCGTCTGCGTCCTCGTCGGGCAACTCATCATCATGCTGACTACTAAGGGGGAGGTCTGCCTGCAGCTGCTGCAAACACCCTGTCTGGCGCCGCCCCCTTTCTCTGGGAAAAGCAATGGGAAGTGAGTGAGCGAGTGAGGGGGGGGGCATGTTGTTGTATTCCGAAGAGCGCCACAAACCGCCCCGATGCTTCTCAAGCCGACGCTTCTCGCAGCCACCTCAGCTGCCAATCAGCAACAAAACTGTAAGCGAACTGGTTCCGGGGAACTTGTTTTATGGTAGTGCTCCATCCTTGTCTATCGTAGCTCACTATGACGTGACAAATCTTCCCCCGGTTAAAAAGAAACATCTTAGACAACAAAGAAAACAACGTTGCACATTCAGATGACTACCGGAAACGATCGAACACGCTCCTGTCGCGAGGATCCGATAAACGATGGCCGAAAAGAGACATGGGCCCGCAGTTCGAGCTCCGCTGCTGCATTGACCCGGAGGTACCACTCTCACTCTCCCTCTCATCCTCTCACTCACTTCTTCCATTCCAGATCCTCCGCATCAACGTGGACCGTCAGTACTATTTCGAAGACGAGACAGTAAGAGTGAACGGAAGCGTCTTCCACAAACGGACCGACTACGAGAACCTGCTGTCGGTGATCCCGAGATCCAAGTTCAACGGGATTCACATCAAGATGGAGGACGACTGTCCGCAAGGAGGCGACGACGTTCGTCTGTGTCTTCTGAAGAGTCTCGGAGCGCATAACCTGCGCAGCGTGAACTGTGTGCAGTGCAAGGACGAGCTGAAGGTGTACGACAAGTACCCGCTCATCGACGGAGTCTTCTACATCTCTCCGGTCTCGCAGTTCGGCCCAAAGACTGAGATCTCTCTGGACGGCCGTCGCTTCTTCCTCCAACAACTGTGCGCTCGCTGTCTCTGGTCCGATTGGTCGTGCAAGAACTGCGGAAAAGACGACTGGTTTGACGGAAAGTCCATTGTGCTGGGCACTCTTTATTACTACGATATCGGTGGGTTCGAAGCTTCCGAACTTTCCCTAAAGCGCGGCCCCTTTCAGTTTCCTCCGGCCGCTGCTGCCCATCCGCCTGTCAGTCCTGCAAACAGTCCCTCGGCGTCCGTGACCAGCTCGCTTCTCAACTTGCCAGCGTAAGCTTTCCTGCGCTCTCTTTTCTCATAGAAAATGAGTTCATTTGCAGGGTAACTATGCCACCATCAACGAACAACTCACGTGCCAATCGTGCGGACAATCCAAATTCCATCTGGTCCGCGATCTGAAGACTGTCCACGTGGCTCGTTCTCCGAACTTCCTGGAACAAATATAATTAATTACTCACTTTTGTCATCTTTCTTCTGTTTGTTGCTCTTTTTTTTTGTCTCCCTGTTTCTACCTCGCAAAAGCCCTTTTAGAATCTCGTTCGAATAGCTCCGATTCTCCCGTCCCAACCCATGTCTACCTCAAATTGATATGCAAAAATGCTCTCTAGACATTGAATCCCTCCCTTTCTATGAGCATCTTTATGCACAATTCGTTCACATCTGCAATTGCTATGCAACAATCTACCTCAGCGGCTTCACTGGTCCGCACCTCTTTTTGTCCCCTTCTCCCCCCTTCTATATTGTACTCGTGACCATGCGCGTCTACAATATAATATTGCCCCTTCTCTTGTTTTTACCGTTTTTTTCATTGTTTCTTGTTTCTATCCACAATTGTGTTCGTCCCGTGTTTCTTTGCTTTCCCCGGTGGTCCCCAGCATCGCCCCTTCACTAGTTTCACCCCTCTCTCCAGAATATCCATCCCCCGTACATATGTACTTTTTGCGAACTACCTCATCTCCTCTTAACTTTTTTTCCATTCTTCCCCCATTTTGTGTCAATGGTCCTCTTCTTCTTCTAGCTCTTTTTTCCCCTAGTCGTCCTACTCACTTCATAGTCGTTTTCCCAATTCGTTCTAGTTTTCTTCTCATTCATTTGTTCGTCCTCACTTGTATTTCTAGACCGTCCGCTTTCACGAAACGTTTTCCACCGACAAAAATGGGATTTCATCGGAATCATTCCGGAGATTTTGTATGTTCGTCCACGCCTTCTTTACATTCATTTTGCTGTTGCTTGACAATATAGAAAACCAAAAACAAAAATAAAAACGATAGAAATGGACGCTCTTTGTTCTATTCCGCCTTTGAAGACCATCGTGTATACAAAAGAATCCTGATTGTTTTGGGAGAAAAAGTGACGAATTCGATGCTCGTCTCATGGTAAATGTTTTCAAAGAATCGAACGGTATAAAAGGACGGCTCAAAGAGCAGCGTCCAACTTTCACCGCGTTCCCAGAATGCAGTATTCTATTCTGGTATGCCCAAAAATGCACACAGTTGCAAGTCACCTCTTTTCAGTGCATTTCCCTTCTTGTTCTGTGGGCGACGTTCATCGAAGCCAGAGATAAGGATATCGGAAAAGATTCCTACGAGACGGGTGACTTCCCAACTATTATCGCATCCAAATCAAAGATAAACCCTTCCAGAAAAGTTGGGATACTGTCCACGATTCGAGAAATGGTTCAGATGCGGAAACGGGTGCGAGAAGAGCTGCACTCATCCGAAACAGCCAAAGGTTCGAGAAACGGGACTTTCCTGAGGATTTCAGCAATTTTCAGCGTTGCAATCTGCCGTGCATTCCGTACTCGTGTCGCTGCAAGAAAGGGTACTACCGCGACAATCAAGGAACCGGCAGATGCGTCCGGAGACACAAGTGCAAGAAGTGGTGAAGTGACACGAATTGATTTCTCCGCTCTGTTGAATACTAGTTATGTTTGCTTATGAAGTTTAATCGGCTTGCTCATGAACTCCTTTTCTATTTCGTTGACACGGGCGTCGAACACGACATCAATGCGCTTTTGTGCCATGTTGCGACAGAGTTTGGCAACGTGCTCCGTATCACTAAAACGCTTATGAGTCACTAAAGATACTGACCTGGCGACGGACGGATTGGTTAGAATAGAGTTTCACGAAGAAACCATTATTTTTCCCGTGACATTGCCCTGCTCCGCTGCCCTTACTCTGATGAGTTGTCGTCACCAAATCTGTCGGTATTCCCGGAAACGATGCGTCACTTCTCTCTCCTTCTTCTCGTCAATGCTTTCTTGATTGTCGCCGCCGATGACAAGTTCATCTTCGATGTAACATTCAATTGCGGTTACCACCAGCGAGAATCGTACAACTACAATGTGCAGTTCGTCGAATGGGATTTCAGCAGCCCGAACGATCAGCTCACCCAGCAAAAGATCGGAATCGCCCGCCCGGGAGCCTCGATCTTTCAAATGGAAGGCTCGCTGAATGGAGACGAAATTTTCTCGAGTGTTCGTTTAATGCAACCTCAAAACAACTACAAAATTGAGTTTCAGGGCTACGAAGTCGGAATGAAGCTGTTCCATGACTGCACCGAATACGAGAAGCAGTACGAAGCCACGATTTGGCTGAAACCGCTCTGTGAGATCGGCAAGGGAATGTGCCACTACACGATCGACAAGGACATCAAGGACCTCAGAGACACGTCGACCTACGAGGCGAAATTGTCCTACCAGTAATCTGGAATCCGACGCGACAAAGATATGAGATGTTCTGCGGCTTTGGATAATAAAAAACTTGAATTTTTGTTGAAGTTTCAGCTTGTTTGCTTCAAAAGCTATACATAATGTAAAGAATCAAGTTCACAGTACTCCGACTCTCATTTTTTAGATTTATGCGAGTTCTCCGCTGCGTTTTCGAACGTTTCTTTTCGGAAAAAAACAGTCTGTATTCGTGACCTAGTTTTCATACAAGTGCACTTTCTCGGCCGCTGTCCGAATTTTGAAAGCAAGCTCGAATTTTATTTTTTTTCACGCAGTTTCGCGTTCAATTAGGTTGACCCCACGTGACCTCATACGTGTCTGCCACGTGGCACAGTCGATCCTCAGCAAAATGGACAGGCAGAACATCAGTTCTCGGCTTTGCACCGATTGAATAATCACCAGCACTCTGCGAGTATGTCGGAAGGTCAGTTTCATCGCTTCTTTCTTTACAAATCCTAAAAAAAACTTTCATGTTTGCAGGAGGAGAATCAAAGCCTGAGAAAAAGAAGGACGGCAAGAAGGGTTTCGACACCCGCAAGTTCCTGATCGATCTCGCGTCTGGTGGAAGTGCCGCTGCCGTTTCCAAGACCGCCGTCGCGCCAATCGAGCGCGTCAAGCTGCTTCTCCAAGTGCAAGATGTCTCCGCGACGATCACCGCCGACAAGCGCTACAAGGGAATCATCGACGTGCTGGTGCGCGTGCCGAAGGAGCAGGGAGTTGCCGCTCTTTGGAGAGGAAACCTGGCTAACGTCATCCGCTACTTCCCGACCCAGGCGCTCAACTTTGCCTTCAAGGACTACTACAAGGACATGTTCCAAAAGGGACTTGACAAGAAGAAGGATTTCTGGAAGTTCTTCGCTGGAAATCTGATGTCTGGAGGAGCCGCCGGAGCGACGTCGCTTTGCTTCGTCTATCCGTTGGACTTCGCGCGTACTCGTCTGGCTGCTGACGTCGGAAAGGGAGCCGATCGTGAGTTCAAAGGACTTGCCGATTGCCTCGTCAAGATTGTCAAGTCTGACGGTCCGATTGGTCTCTACAGGTGAGAGAACAAAAAAAGCAAAAACTGAAAGTTCTTTTATAGAGGCTTCTTCGTCTCTGTCCAGGGTATCATCATTTACCGTGCCGCGTACTTCGGAATGTTCGACACCGCCAAGGCAGTCTTTACCAGTGACGGAAAGAAGCTCAACTTCTTCGCCGCCTGGGGAATCGCCCAAGTCGTCACTGTCGGATCGGGAATCCTCTCCTACCCATGGGATACCGTCCGTCGTCGCATGATGATGCAGTCTGGCCGCAAGGACGTCCTCTACACGAGCACTCTCGACTGCGCCGTCAAGATCATCAAGAACGAGGGAATGTCCGCTATGTTCAAGGGAGCTCTCTCGAACGTCTTCCGTGGAACTGGTGGAGCTCTCGTCCTCGCCATCTACGACGAGATTCAGAAGTTCATCTAAGCACCCCAATAACCAAACCCCAATGTTCAGTAATTGTTTCAATGAAGACTGCGAATATCGTACTTTCTGGGTCATTGTCTGGCCGAAAAAATCGTTCGCGGCCGAATACCCATGCGGCGGCCATCCTGAGCAGCTATGACTCCGCTAGTTTGTGTGGCACGAATTATTGATTAGTTAGCTCAATTTGTTAGAATGGAGGAAGGCTCTTTCCACATCGGAGCTTTTCCTCTTATTACTCAATGCCGTTTGAATAATTTTACGGGTGAATCTGGTGGACGGATCTGCATGAATAGGGAAGGAATTACTCCTCAGCAGCAGAAGGGGCCAACGTGAGAAATTCTGATCATTACTGCCAACGATATTCATTTACAGATGCGGGTTAGTGGCACTTTCCATGTGTTTGGAATATTTCGGAGTCAAAGTGAACGTTGAGAAGATTCTGGAAACAGCGAAAGAGAAGGGATTCACGAAGCAGGGAGAAATGTATTCAGCCGACTTCCTCGCCGACCTCACCAATCAATTCCTCCCGAATTCTGCAGTTGTTCGTGGCTTTCCCGATGCGAAAACCCTTTCTCAGTCGATTTGTGACGGAAAGCTCATTCTGATCGCCTACGATTGTGGTCCGAATTACCAGCCAGTTCAAGTGAAAGGACACTCGGCGCACTGGTTGCTCGCGGTTCGAAAATTTGTCTTTTTTTAAGAAAAATATATAATTTTCAGTGTGGATTCGTTGAAAAACGCAGTGGGCACGGATTTCGGACGACGAGGGAATCGACGGAGAATCCGGAAGACGTGGCAATTGTCGGATATCAAGGGAAAAGCACGTGAGTTGCTCATCAAAAGGGAATTCTGTCAATCCGGAGAATTCCAGAACTCTTGATGTGTTTCCATTCTCCGAAGTGCTCGTCAGCAATGCCCAGCTATTGGAGGCCGGATTGAAAAGAGATCCAGCCGAGTACATCATCCCGAACGCGAGCGATCTTTCACACATTCGAAACCGTGTCGTCGAAGTTTACATAAAGACTTGATTCAGACAACCGAATTTCATTTACAACGTGTTCAAATTAGAGAATTAGAGAAGATCATAGTGAGGATACAGTTTTGAGTTGTGAGATGGGCGGTGAGAAGTGAGAATGGAAATTGTTTCACTTTCCGGTCGATCCGAATCCTCCAGCTCCACGGTCCGTGTTCTCCAGGTCGTCGGCCTCTTCGTATGTGCAATGGGCAATGCGCTCACAGATCAACTGCGCGATTCGGTCGCCTTTCTTGACCTAAAATCACTTGGTTCGAAAAAATATTTAGAAAAGCAGTGCTACCTCGAAAGCAGTGTCATTGAAGTTGAAAAGAAGCACTTTGAGCTCTCCGCGATAGTCGCTGTCGACGACTCCCGCACCAACATCGATGAAGTGCTTGGCAGCGAGTCCGGAGCGCGGCGCAACTCTTCCGTAGTATCCGAACGGAAGCTCGAGCTGCAGTCCCGTCGACACGCAGAACTTTCCTCTCGCCGGCACGACAACGTCTTCCGCGCTGTACAGATCAGCTCCGGCAGCAGCCGCCGATCCATACGTCGGCATCTGGGCATTCTCGTTCAGCTTCGTGAATCGGACAGTGAGCCGGGAATGGACGGCAGGTGCGTCAATCTTCGGCTTTTTGATGAGCGTTTCATTGTTTTCGAGAAGGGTAGTCATTGCGGATCTGAAAAAAAGTTTGTGTAATCGGAGATTCCAAAGATTTCCAGCAAAAAGAAAGTTTAAAAACACAACTTAACGCATAAGATGAGTTCAAAATCCCGTTCCATTTTGTCGCATTCATAGGCGCACTGAGTTTGGAATTATCTTGAGAATCAAAATGATTTCTCTGTTGTTCGGAGCATAAAAATTTAGAAAGAGATATCGAAAGCGAATTTGAAGAGGAACAAAAACTTTTCGCGCCCGATTTTGCCGCTGAATTTGAAATTCGGCTCCCTTGTTCGGTAGAGCGCGTTTGCATATCTTCAGCACTAACCGATTCTGCTGGAAGCTGTGAATACGGTTTTTGGGTGGAAAATGAAAGAAACAGAAAGTATAAAGTTATTAAAACACTTATTCAGAAAGTATTTGATAAGCAAATGCATTGTCTATGCATTGAATCTGATGGATAGATAGTTGCATAAAGATCAATTTTAAGAAAGATGACATATTCACTCGGAACATATGTTGAATACACTCGAAATTTTGGTAGAAGGTACAAAAATAGTTTATTATGTGAATAGTCTGTAATATTCGTTCCCCTGCACAGACCAGCACAGCTCCGCCGATCGAATTACAGCATTGCTCCGATGCCTCCGTCTCACTTCAGCTCTTTACAGCTGCAGAACAATCATCTCTCGTGCCTTCGAAACGATTTTTGTTTATATTCGCTCCCGGACCGCCCTTTTCCCGTTCTCATCCTTCTTTTCATTTGTTCTCATTCTCCACCGAGAATGACCTGTTTCCCGTGGTCCTACAAGCTTCAGAAGCAGCCAATGATTGTGGAGACTCTTCCGACGACTCATCCGATCAGAGCACGTCAGCAGCAACCAGCTACCGTTCTCGGAAACAGACAGCTCACGGTGACTCAAAAAGCTCAAAAAGTGTTAATTGCATTTCCCCTTCAGGCGTTCGCTCTTTTCATGGCTTCACTCGACGTCTCGATCAGCGTCGGATACTGGATTTCCACGGAGAACACCGCCGTCGGCCCATACGTGAGAGCCTTCTTTCTCTCAAAGCTTCTCGAATAAACCGAAGGCTAATTCAGGCGGTGCTGCAGCTCGTCCTCTTCCTTTGGCTCATTGGGAACCTATTCACCGGTCTTCTGATCATCGTCTACATCCATTTCTTCCAATTCGTCATTCTCTCCTACGCTCTCCTCCAAGAGATAACCCAAGAATTCACGTCATTCAATGCCATGTTCCCCCGGCTCAGCCAAATCTTCCCGCATTCCGTCTACATTGGCATGCTTGGGTGCGCTCTAATCTGTAAGTTTCCTATTTCTTCGATATTTCTAAAAAGTCTCTTTTTCAGGGACCATCGCCCGCTTCATCGTCTCCCGCCAGGCACTCAACTACATTTACCAAGAGAAGTGCACCGCTAAGATCGTAGCCCTGGAAGCCGATCAGAAGCCAATTCTCAAGCAGGCCTATTAACTTCATTCCTAAATACAATTTCGTACCCATTCCGAACGCACAATAAACCGATTCACTTGTAGCTGAGTTTGTGTATTCAATAAGCTTCCCATAGCTGGCGTAGCCCCAGTCAGTGTAAAACTCTTCGACAAAGGCCAGTCAGTGCAGTGACTCACAAGAATGTCAACTAGCGCTTTTCTCTTTACACCAAACTCCACCCCGCTTTGTTTTTTCCGTTTTCCCTCCGATACTGTAGAATCTCCGCCCCTTCCTCGACTTTCTCCACCCGTCATTTCACCTTTAGATGGCTCCGTTGGGAACCCTGAACGTCTCCGACGACATTCGTCTCGAGAATCGCATTTGCGAGGAGAAGTTCAACACATTCAATGTGCCCATTTCGGTCAAGAAGCCCGATTTTGAACTGCTCCAGCGGGTGGAAAGAGTCTGTGTAATCCTGCTGCTCTTCGAGATCCTCGCCACGCTCGTCATCATCAATGTGACGTGGAACTGGTGCTGTGCTCTATTCGTGAGTTTTGAAGCCTCCGAAGTCTTCAAAGTCTTTAAAATGTTCAGTTGATCCCGATGCTGTTCCGTTGGGCGGCCTTTCCGACGTCTTCCTCAATCACCCACTCCCTTCCCTCGTTCATTCTTCTCCATTCCATGATCATCGCCGTGGAAGCCGCCGTCATGATCGCCTGGACCTATGTCTCCGTTCTGGCGATGGAATGGAAGGAGAACTCCGAATGGATGGTTTTCCTTTTCGGTTTCATGAGCGCCGGTGAGCACCTGAAAAGCTTCCTTTTCACTCCAAACTTTATATTTTCAGTTCTCATCATCCGTTTCTTTCTCGCCATCGTTCAACAGAAACAGTACAATCGCATTTGGATGAGCCACGTCCTCTCCGAGCGCAGCTACTTCTTCACCATCGTTTGAGAATTATTCAATATAAATCTGTTATCTTATCAATCGGCTTTTCAGTTTTCACAAAGTTAATTGAATTCTTGTACATCACATTTTCGCATCAGGGCCCTTTCATTTTTATATGAAAACTGAAGGAGTGGGAAATGGACAGGAAATGTTTTGCTGGGAAAACAACTATGAAGCTTGAATTTTCAGAGAAATCCTACAGTAATTTGTGTTATCGCTGCGGGATCCCACCAAATAATGCAACTCTGCGCCTTTAATCGCTGACCGTATTCAATTTTCGAAAAAGAAAAACGGTTTAGCGTTCGCCGTTTCTCGCGAATTTCGTAGTTTCTTGCATCAATTCTCGAATTTATTTTGTTAATTTACAAGAGTAAAATGCGAAAGGGAAAGTTTCTCATTGTGAACGAGCCAAACGGCGAGGCGGCCGAGCAGAAACTTCGAATTCCGGCTGAAGTCTGCGACATCTTTCCGGCGCAAGTGTACATTCCGCGTGTGAGTTGATATCGAACTCTAAAACGTATACTCAAAGCATGATTTTTCTTTCAGCTCGAAAAAGGGCTCAAAGGAGTCTACTGCGTTATGCTCAGTCTGGTCCTCCTCACTATTCTCATTCTTATGACCACTTTTTTCAGCAATGGATACTTGATCCCGGTGAGGGTATAGAAATTTTTCTTGCTCAAATTAATACTTTGCAGATCGTTATCGAAGGCTTTTTTCTCATTATGTATGTGAAAGAGCACGTTTCTGTGCTTTTCTATCATCTGATCTACCTGGTAAGTATGGCTCTAAACTATCCGTAAAACAGACTGCTTTTTCAGATGATCAATTTGTGCGGTGCTTTAGTCTGTTGTGTCATTGGCGTCCTTCCCGATAATTCCGGAACTCGTCAAGATATGAACAATGTTCTCCCTACTACCGACAGACGCATTCTTTGTGTGTCCGCTCTCGCCTTCGGACTCTGTACGAAATAGTTCCAGAAACCCTCGAAACATTTCTTAATTTCCAGTCACATGCTTCCGTCTGGTGCTTATGATTGAATACAGCATTTGCCTGTACTATTCGAACCTCCGCGACAAGTTCAAGAAGGGAAAAGTCATTCTCCAGCCTCTGTAAAGTTCTTCATCAACTGTTTTAATTCTGTTCCTCTTTGTTGTTATCTTTGTTGCTTTTATCTGTTGTTGTTACATGAACTCTCGATACACTCCTCCACTTTTTCCAGAAGGCGTTCAAGGTCATGCTCCTACTTCTTCCCGTTCAAAACGTGCATCTGCTGCCCACCAGCAATTTGAATTCGGCGCCTGTTTCTCTGCGTCTCCGCATGCGCTCACACACTCTTTGTTTGCCGTTCATTCGTTTCTGCAACTTTCTTGACTTACTCACGCATCACACAAACATATTTTAACATAAAAAAGAGAAAAGATAGCATTTCGCAATAACTGTGAGCCTGACGAATTGACAGATGGTACTTGAGATCGGCGGATAAAATCAGTTGCTGATGACTCACTCCTTCCACCAGTTTTCGATTCAATTTTTCTTATCGCTCCTCTCTTATTTACTTCCTTTGAAACAGTTTAAAACGAATTTGAATTCGAATTGTTATCAGATGCCTCGCAACCCGAGCACAACCACTCCCCGCAGCCGAATGAATCCGACGACTCCGACGACGCCTTCTGGCAGACAGCGTCCCAAAAAAGAAACTCTTCACTATTTGGCTGCCAGTTCTTCGACCACTTCCGTTGATGCTGCAAGAACACTTTTAGGTGAGTTTTAAATCAACGATCAACCGACAATCAGTTTGATTTCAGAGCGCGGAGCCAATGTAAACGCAATCGATCGAGAAGGAGCCACTCCGTTGCACTACGCGTGCGTGCACGACAACGTGGCAATGGCTCAACTGCTGCTCACGTTCGGAGCCGATCCGATGAGCGCGGACAAACTTGGAAGGACCGCCTACAGTATCGCCAAGGGAAACACGCTGAGATTCCTGCGACGGTACCGTAAGAAGGACAGTCAACAGCGTTTGGGCTTTTTTCGTCGGTTCTTCGCGTGCCACTCCCGCAACGAAACTTTCTTCGTCGTTCGTCAGAATCAGAATCCGAGCAGTGCAATCCATCCAACTGGGCTTGCGGACGCCGCATCGACATCATTCAACCGAGGAAACACATTGACGAATTCGTATCGAAATGCCAAAAAGAAGATCCGAGCGACGTTCCACGCGATCCGACGAAGCCACACAAACAGCTCCGCCACTCTTCAGGACGTCGTTCTCACTTCTGAAGGGCTCAAAACAGTAACAACACCCAGTAGAGCTGTCAAACAGGGGCTAGCTGCGAAACGATCAATGTCCGTTTCGGATCTCCCAAAGATCCCGGACCGGAGAGCCATTCGTAATGAGGACCAGAAGACGAGAAGATCGCCGATAAAGAAAGGAACGAGAATGGGACGGTCGAAGACTCCAGACGCTGTTCCCAATACGAGACAGACTCAGACTCAGAGACCGAAAAGATCAAACAGTCAAGAGACGAAGCTGAAGGCGATGCCGTCGTGGGATCCGATGTCTTACTACAACAACGCGAGAGCGAGAGCGGCTGGCCTTCGTCCTGCTCCGTCCGCTCCTCCGTTGTCTCCGGACCCTCCTGCCGTTCAGACAACTCCAAAGATTCCGAAGGCGAGAAGCAAGAGTCCTGCTGCCAACACAACTGCCTATTTCACCGCGGACGAATCACTCGAACTTCTGGGAAACGACTTCAAGAATCTGAACACTGCATCGAAGACGCCTACGGCAAAGACGCCTAAGAGGACTCCGAAGAGAACACCTTCCAAACCTTCTTCCTCCGCTTCCTCGTCGGCCGAAGACGAACAAGAGCAGGAGTGTCTGACTCCAACCACTGTGGACGATGGAGAATTGCGAAAGATCAAACGGCTCCGTGACGGAGAACTGAAATGCGAACTCAAAAAATACGGAATCTCGCCTGCAGGACCGTTGGATTCCAGAACGAGATGGCTTTACGAGAAGAAGCTGTTGAGCGAGAGACGGAAGATTACGAGCAAGGGGTACACTCTCGATGTGGATGTCTCCACGTTTGTGAGTTTTTGATTCAATTTCATTTCTCGGTAGACTATGAATTTTGCAACTATTAGACCACTTCTTGTAAGCGTTAATGTCTTTGAAATGAAGAATCTGAATTCTCAATCAAATTTCTATATTTTCCAGAGATACTCGCCGCAACTCGAACTCGTTCTGAAAAAGGGCCGTCTTCCCGCAGACTTCGCATTGAGAGCCCGTCAATGCGACGAAAAAGTTCGCACGGATTTCAGCGGAAATGGTTTCGGATATAACGCATTTTGCTACCTGCTAATGGATCCGCGGATTCTGGGGAGCGACGTCGAGAATCTGACCCTGACCAACTTTGTTCAGTCGATATTTTATGTGGGAAAGGGATCGAAGAACCGTCCGTTGGCTCATTTCATCGATGCGCGCAATGAGCGGAGAGAAAACTCGAGCAAACTGAAGAACAGTGAAAAGCTGAAAACGATCGACGAGCTGTGGTCGCTGGGACACGGCATTCCGAGACACGAAATCGGTGAGCGCCAAAAAACCATTTCATTTTTATGTTTTTTGTTTTCAGCGCACGGAGTGTCGGACGAAGAAGCGTACGTGCGTGAGGCCAGTCTCATCGAGGCACTCAAACTCGCCAATCTGAGCAATAAAAAGTCGGGCGAGTTCCACGGATCGGCCAAGAACTGGGACAGCATAATGAAGGCCGAGTATGGCACTTATCTGCTGGACCGAGCCCTCGCCACTCTTAGACTCGAGGGAATCCGTCTGATCACCGAGGACAACCTGCCCGAAGCCATCTATCCGTACGTGACGAATCGGCGAGGAGCAGCCGGCGGTGTGCGGACACCAAAAACACCCAAATAAATATCTGCTTTTTGCCTTAATCACTTTTCTCGAAACACACGAAACAAAATTTCTTCACTTTCTTTTTAATGTATTTTCATAGACATGTCTATAGACACCCTAGTCCCTAATAGCTTTCTATTCACTTTCTGATCTCGTAATGTATGTCGACTATCATTCTGACCTTATTCTTGCTGATGAGGGCAGAGTCCCTGTATGTTATTTTGCCTGTTTTTTTTGCCATATTCTAAGAATTGAGAATAAGTACTTTTATTGAAAACGATGCATGCAATTGGACTCATTGCAACTCCTCCCAGTCGTCGTCATTCTCAGCCTTTCTCATTGCTTTCTCCTTCTTCACTTGTTTCGTTTTCGTCTTTAAAATGTCGTTCATTTTGTTGAGCTTCTTCCGAAGCTTATCCTTCTCTTCCTGCTCTTTTTTCAACCGTTCATCCATCTCAGCCATCCTTCTCTGATGCTCTCTTTCTTGCATTCTCGCCACTTCCCTCCAATTCGCCGCTAACTTTTTGTACTTTTCCAGTTCGGCGTACACATCTTGATTCATTTCGGAACGATCTGAAAAGAAGGAAATACTTAAAAGAAGAGGATGAGGAGAAGGAAAGAACGAAAGAGAAGAACGGAGATGTTCGATCGGAACACCTGCCTTTTCCGGGTTGCGTTGGCCTGGAGACGAGCGGATCTAATCGCATAATTGGGGGAGAATTGGAAGAGACCAAAAAGAAAAAGGAAACATCTACTCGGACAAGATTAACAAAAATACTTTATTCGTTCAAATACCAAAAAAAACGATACGCTCAATTCGTCTTCTTGTCCGCGCCAAACACATCAGCTCCGACGGCCGCCAACGTCTGATAGTTCGGGTCCATCGTCGCCGCCTTCTGGTTCTTATCGGCCGGCTGCACAGGCTTCTTCCCCCCGTCCTTCTTGTCGAAAACGCTGTTGTTAAGGCCCGCGAGTGTCTGATAGTTCGGATCGTGAGTGGCCGCCTTCGTTTCCGGCTCCTTCTTCTCGAACACATTGTTGTTGAGGCCCGCGAGGGTCTGGTAGTTCGGATCCTGCGTGGCCACCATTCCCGGATTCGCATTGTTCGGCGGTCGCGGCCCTGCTCCGCCGTCGTTCTTATCGAACACGTGGTTGTTGATGCCGGCGAGTGTTTGGTAGTTTGGATCGTGAGTGGCTGAAATGAGAGATATCGTTGCTACATTTAAAAAAAAGTGCTCAGACCGGCCATGGGCGGTCCGTTAGCAGGAGCAGGAACAGTTGCCGTGGGAACCAGAGCTCCGATCGTCTTAGAACCGGACGTCTTGGAGACACTCTCCGCCGTCGGCTCGTCGTTCTTCGCACTCGTTTCCGACTGTTCCAGCTTCTGGCCTCTGTTTTTCTTCTGAAAATGATTCTGAAAACGCATTTTCCCGAATAGAATAAACCTTTCCACAGACGAGAACGACCAGTGGAGCCGAAGCGATCACGGAGAGAATTCCCAACATTATCTGAACTCTTGAGAACACTTGCCGAATGAAAACTGTCAGAAATTGCTCGACTGAATGCGAAAAGAGTTTTTTAATAATGCTCTCCGTACAAAGAAACATACTAACATGGTCCCGAAAGGCCATGGGCCAGGCCACTTCAAATATCCTATCCACGAGCCTTCTTACCAGCCGCGAGAACATCACTTCTAGGTTCAAAATGGCTTTTTTCATCATCTGTGCAAACAGACCGTTCAGATGATGGTTTGAGCATCAAGGATCAATGAAACAGATTCAAATGAAATATCAGTATCAATCGGAAGCCCGCACCTGTCCGTTGTGCTAACTCCCGGCGCCTCCTATAAAATGCCCGCTCCTTCTCCGTATTCTTCACTTTTCGGCTCATCCGTTCTGGTCAAACGAAGCCCTCCAAAATGTTCACCATCGTCTTCTCGCTCCTCGTTGCCACGTGGCTCTCCCCGGAGTTCGTCGTCGAAGCCGACGTCGGAGCGGATCTAAATTGCACCACGTACAACGGCACCGCGTTCGTCTACACCCCGACTGCCACGATCTGCTCGAACACAATCAGCGACGCCTCGTGCGCCGTCCTCTATCCGGCCACAGCCGATGGCGCCGTGGCCGCCGGCACATCGAACGGCCGTCCGCTCACTTGCTACACAACCGCGACGGCCACTCCGGCTTCCATTGTGCAGGACATGAAGACTGCCGCCATTGCGGACTGTCCGGCCACTTGCGGATACTGCTGCGAGACCAGTGCCTACGATTGTGCCAATGTTGCTTGTGAGTAGTTCTAGTTTGAGGTCATTCAACATCTGACATTCAGATCCACGTCTCGACTGTTCCACCATCACCAGTGCCCAGTGTCTGTCCACCACGTGGCGTACCATCATCGCCGAGGACTGTCCGTCTGCCTGCGGACTCTGCGGATCCAACGGATGCGTTGACGCCGTCGTCGACTGCGCCAATGACGTGAGCATCTGCACAACCGTCGGAATGCAAGACTTTGTCAACGTGAGTGTCTCATTTGTGCCGCCCATCCGATCTTCTTTTTCCAGACGTACTGCCAGTACACGTGCGGCCGCTGCGCCTCTTCCAGCACCACCGCCTCCTCCGGATCCTCCTCCTCTTGCACCTCCTACGCCGCCGACTCGAGCTCCTCGTGCACCTCCTGGGCCGCCAACGGATTCTGCACCAACACCTTCTACACGACGGCGCAGAGAATTTCCTATTGTGCGACGACGTGCAAACTCTGCTGAGCATTTCCGACAAACTTCTTCAGACAGACCAGAATGACAGTACACGCATGGGCGACGACGATAAGGATTCAATTGAGTGATAAATCTATCCGATTTCAAGACTGACCACCTTGAACGAAACTTGAATGAATTTTTTTCAAAGTGGCAAAAGCTGCGCAAACAAAACAATGTTGTCAGCGATCAGTGAGACACCAATTATTTCGTAAATATTTATTCATACACACAGGAAAATACCATAAAAGAGGAGAAGTGAAGTGAAGAGAAAAAGTTAGAACCCGTAGAAAACAATGAGAACGAAGGTGAGCAGGAGGGACGGCGCATCGGCCGAATCCACTTGAATGGCGCGAAGTTCTGAAATTCAATTTTTCAAAAAAAATACATATTTTCCCTCCTATTTTCTAGTCTGTCCATTAGTTTTCCGCCCTCAAATGGCCAGTTCCCACGGGTCGGGGTGGGCGCTAAAAATTAACGAATTCCGCCGATTCTGATGTCTGTTTTCGCTCATCCAAAAGCGGACTTTGAATATAAAGTGACGTGGCATGCCTGAGTGTGTGGTCGGAGCATTCCGGGATTCGTGCCGTCGTGCTTGCGAGTAGAACTCGAGTTGCGATGGAGCGGACACCGCGTCTGAAAGTACACAACATTTCGGAAACGGACAGTGCGCTCCATTGAAAAATCTCGACGGAGCGCAAAAAACAGGCAGTGAATGCTTAATGCAGAAGTGAAAGAAAAACATTCAAAAACTGAATAAGAAAGTAGAGACCATTGACTTCTCCGTCGTTATGTTCGTTTTCCACTTCGCCGCCCTCGTCATCTTCCGAGTATCCAGAAGACGTTCCGGATCCTGAAACGGTGAAAGTGCGACAGAAAACAGTCCACGTGAGAAGAGAAAACGCATTCGGACATGAAAAGAAAAGCGAAAAGTGATTACTGTGACAACATTCAAACAGTGACAAATTTGAGAACGGCGAAAACAACCTTCGGGAATAATGTTGGTGTGCGTGAAATGGTCGTGGGAGATTTCTGCAACAGAAATGATTCATTAGGGCAATTGAGAGTTAATTGGCTCACGAGAAAGAGTGACTTGCGAGTGATGGATGCCGTTGTCATTCTTCGCAACGCATCGGTAAACGCCGAAATTCGACGGCTGCACGTTTCGCATTTCGAGAATGTGGACGCTGTGATACTGGCCGGAGACTGTGTGCGTCTGCAAAGAAACAAAGATGCTCATTGGCTGCTCATTTCCACAAAAAACGCACCATGGCCACATTGTTGTTCTCGTAGAGCGGCTCGCCGTCCTTTTCCCAGCCCATCTCGGGCCTCGGCCACGCTTCCGTCGTGCAAACCATTCGGGCTATCGAGCCGACGCTCGCCTGCACGGTCTCCGATTGGGCCTGCACCAGCGGAGGGACTGAAAACGACTCATGAATCCCTCTTCGCCCAGTTTCACTTCTAAATTCTTCTTCTTTTCGCCGACAAAATCGTCGTCAATTTGAATTTCATGAATAAAATTTGGACGACAAACACTTTCTTCTCCTTCTTCTACTACTTCTCTTTTTGCGGGTGGACTCGATAAAATGATGAGTGTGTGCTCGGTGAAAATTGGAAAAAAAGAGGAAGCGGAAAAGAGACGAGAGGGACATAGAAATAAACAAGTTGTTACGAAAGAAGAAGACACCGAATTCCGAATTTATCCGGGCGGGTTGAGTCAGGCACTTACATGTGACGAGAAGTTTGACAGTCCACGACTCGTCCGGCGGGATTCCGTTGCTCGCCACGCACACGTACTCGCTCATGTGCTTTCTCGACACTTTTGTGAGGTGGAGCACGGGTCCGTGGAACACACTCGCTGAAATTATATAGTTTTGGATGGACGTTTTCATCCCAGGCTCCCCGGGTCTGTCGTTTTTTTCCATATTCTCCTCAATGTGCTCATTCTTTTCTATCTGCCAAAAGAATCAAATAGGCGCGCTCACAAGAGAGAGAGCGAGAGAGTGCGCTAATTGAGTGGATAAAAGATGACGGACCCCCTCTTTCTCGTTCCGGGAGTACTCGGGTAATGGGATTGAGCATATGGTATGGGAAACGAGAGAGAAGAAGTCAGAATAACTATGCGAAGGGTAATTAGATGTTCGTGAGGACCACGCTCTCATAATAATAATTTGCTTAATGTAGAGCTTAGCACTTGTTTGTCACTCGTTGCCACTCTGACTCTTCATGAATGGATTTCCACGTGGCACGACACTTCTTGAGCTTTTTCTTCTGTGTGCAGTGGAGCGCGGATGTAATAAACCCGCTGGCGTCGTGTCAATTAGCCAGATTGCGTAATGCGTGTGCAAACAGGTATGGGCTTCAGCTGTCGCCATCTTGACTCCAGATGCTGCCACATCAAAAGGAGCACGGGCGGAGGAGAATACGTTGCCGCTTCTCTTTCTCTTTTTGTCCCTTTTCGGCACTTATAATTGTCTTCTCCGCCTAATTACTCGCCGCCCGAGAGACTAATCAAGCGGCGCGCACAAGATTTGATTATGGTTCGGACAATTGAAAACGGAAAAAGAAGCGGTTTCGCTTCCGCCTATGACCCCCAAAAAGTTGCAGAGAGGTGATCATCGCAAACATGGACAAGGCGGAAAGATTTGTAGAGTTGCGGTGGGAAGAGGGGCATCGGATGACAAGAGTGCAAAGTAAAGCAGAGCAACGAACCTCCGAAGCCGGTGGCGCCGTTGTAGCGGATTATTTGACGATCCTGACGTCTCCAGATGACCGTCGGGATCGGGTTTCCGTCAGCTTTGCACGTCAGACTCACGTTGTTCCCTTCGCGAACCTCCACCGCAGCCGGCGTACTTCTCGAGACCACTGGGGGAACTGCAAAAAGAGATTCTGATGTCAGCCGATTCGAATCCTTGTTTCATTGGAAAATATCAAATTTCTCCGTTGGTTTTGAGTTTTCCCCTCGGCTTCCGGCCAAATTTCATATTTCCGCGTCGAACAAAATAGCCGAAAGGGTCAGGATTCCCAGCCATTTCGCAACATTAAGAAATTAGGTCGCTTAATGGAAATTCGAAACATTTTGGTCCGAAGCACAAAGAAAACTTCCCATAATTACCACGTTTCGGAAACATTAACGTATTGAGGTGGTTCCGTCCGTTCGGTCGTCCATTGTACTCTCAGCTTTTCCGTCTCTTGTCACCCTTTAATTACCGTCGCCCATGACTTCCGTTTGTCAGGTTGTTGGGTCCGAAAGACTAATAATTAAACAGGCGTTCCCGTCTTCTGATCCGCGCGAGCAAAAAAGAAACGCCTCGGCGTCTTCTTTTTCTTCTTCTCCTCCACGACATTCTAATTTGCATACAAATCTATTTTCACTCTCTGCCGCTTCTTCGCACTTTATCTCGTGTTGGGAAAGGCAGAGGATTAAGGATTTCGTAAAGAGAATGAAGAGTAAAGTGGAATGAGTAAAAGTAAAGCGTCGCGAACCTTTAACGTCGAGCTCGCCGCTCGAAATTGTCACTGGCTCCGTGTTGATCTGACACGAGTAGTTGCCGCGGTCCGATTCCTGCACGTTTTTGATCGTCAGCACCCACTCGTTGTGCAGATCACCCACGCGCGGCTTCAATTCGTATTTGTCGCGTCGCCGAAACACTTTTTCGTCGAAAGAGAGCAGTCGCGGTGGCGAGTCCGCTTTGACAAATGCTACCTATAATGGATCGGTTTTCGTGAGAAGAAGATGGACAAGATGAGCAGTGGGAGGGAAGAGAAACACGAAGACGAACCATATGACTGCCGAGGTCGTTCACGATGCAAGTAAAGTCGACGTCTTGACCCAGAAGAGCCACTGCGCTCGACATTGAAGGCTGCTGGATTGTCGGAGGGGCTCCGCGAGAGCATGCTGAAAAATAATCTATTCTTTTCATAAAGTTGTGCTAGATTCTCTCTATCGATCGAACTCTTATAGCTGAATGTTCACTTGTGTTTTTGTGTGCACCCTCTTCCCACAGGTATCGTTCTCTTTTTTCCGTTTTCTTATTATTCTCAAAAGACATCGTCTTGAATCATTCATCATCGTTTAGCGGCCCGCCCCGACGCGATTCGACGTCTCAGTCTTTTTCGAAGAGCACACAACAAAAAATGATGGACCGGCCGGAATTTTGACAAAAATCGCAATGGACATCCGCATGAAAAACAAGGAAAAATAAGTTGTATTCTGAACTGACCGTCGAAAAGGTGGCACAGAATAGTGGGGAGGACTAGAAACGAAGAAGACGTCGAGGACGGCGGAGTACCGTTGAGCGACATCTCTGACAGCTAAGATTGAAACTTTTTGGCGGTTTGAGGGGGTGTGCTTGCCGCGCATCGTTACAACTTATTGTTAACTAATAACATCCCGCGAGAATCGAGAATTCTTCCCGAGCCAAATCAGATTTACTCTCCGACTCGCTCACTCATCTCACAAAAAGCGAAAGCAACTCACCCTGCTTGAATAGAAGTAGGATACCACAAAGAACAGCGAATAGGTACATGCTTCTACTGGGAGGCTTCTGAAGGAGGGCACTGAAGCAAAGGGGAGGGCAGGTGGCCAGGGAGCTCCCGAAATGGGCGGGGTTTAACGGAGGGGAGGGAAGAAGACACAGATGGAGTCAGGCGACGGACGTGATGAAAAGAGGGGAGGAAAAGGAGAAGACAGAGGGGGAAACCCTCATTCCACTCCTGTTTTCCGGTTGAACACACCGTGTGAAATGAAAGAAGACTTTCCTGTTTTTGAGACCATTTCGTTCGAGTTTTTGTTTTGCATGCATGCTACATGTGGACAAAATAATCGCGTCACCGGGGGATTTGGGTACAACTAGTTCCGTGAACTGGACTACTCGAACTGTGAGGTGCTTGTCAATCGATCGAAGAATGATTGTTCGAAAAGCCTGTGAGGATCCAACCAGAAGTTCGAATTATCAGGACCATCAGGGTCAGATCTGAAAAAAAAATGTATTAGATGGAGCAATAATTTCCAAATTTCCCAACTTTGATTCAAGTCTGTTCAATGCAAAAGCATGGATGGGAAGTCCTTAGCGTACGGAGATCCGCGGGAGTCGAAGTGTAAATTTGCGGATTCCACGGAACTCTGAAAGACATCCACGCTTAAGGAAATAGTTGAGATACTGAATGAACCTGGTTGAATACAAAACAATTTATTCATTCAAATTTCAAATGAGAAAGAGAAAAAAGTATCCAATCGTCGTGTCCTGTGGCTTCCATCGTCATCTTCATCGGCATCGTCAGAAATTACAAAGAGAGTCTATCAGATCCTGATACTCCTCGGGAATCCCATTCGTCGTCTCCTTGTTCTTTGTCCTTTCCACAGTTTCCCTAAGAATCAAGTTCTCATCATCGATCGTTTCCATATTTACTCTGAGCTCTTCCAGTTCCGCATTCAGTCGTTCGTTGTCCTTTCTCAGTGCTTCGTTTGCCAAAATAGTTATATTCAGCGCTTCGCACCGATTTTTCCACATTTCGTGCACAGATTGCAATGCGAACTCGGCAGATTTGAGCAATTCCGACGGGCCGTCGGTGGCTACGGGACGTTGCATTTCGCAAAGAGCCTTTCTGACCAGCTGATGTTCGTCGTCCAGCCTTTCCAATTCAGCTTCCAATTCCTCCTCGTCTTCGTTACGATTCTGAATGTTTTCCGATAGTCGTCTCACTTTTCGCTCCAGAACACGATTGTTCTTCTTCGCAGTTTCCAGGCGCTTCTTCACGGTTTTATACTTAAGTAGCATCACATCTATATGGGATTCCAGCTCCAAATTGCGCTTCACGAGATCGGAATTCGCATTTCTGAAGATGACTTCTTGCGTGTTCAACTTCTTCTTCAAAACTATGTTCTCATCATCAATCAGTCGCAGGCAAGGCTCCTCCATTGTCGGATTGTCAAACATTGCCTTCCAGCTATTCGGCTCCGTGCTGTCAACATTTTGTTGACCGGAAATGCGTTGGAGGAAAGTTTTACGGAACTCGGAAGTCGGAATGTTCAGGAGTCCAGGCATTCTTAGTTGCGGGAGGGCAGGTTGGGATCTAAAAATCGATTGTTTTGCTAGAATAAGAAAAAATAATGCGAAGAACGAACGGGAGAAGAGAGCAGGCAATGTGTGTCTGTGCACGTCTCCTGGTGTACAATGAATGGATAGGGGCCGTCTCCAGAGGACGTCTATGGTCTGATCTGGCAACGGACAAGGGAAGACTATCAAAAAAAGAGAGAAGAGGTCAGCCAAATATGTAGAGACGAGACCAAGAGACGAACGTTCGAACGAATGAGCAAACTGTTCGCATACTATTTTCGTGCACATTACCTCCGCTATGTCATCATTTTTGCCGTTTTTAGATTCTTTTAGATACTTACCGATTCAACCCAGAATCTCATCGATCGATTTTCCCGGAGTTGAAGAAGACCTCGTGATATCCAGATATCCATATATATATAGAAAAGTCTCAACAGTTACTGGTTTATGCATTTCGTGGGCAGATCATTATTTGGAAGATTCTGCTCAGGATTTTTGAAAAGTCTTGGAATTATTCGAACGTCAACATACAAATTTATTTAAAATTTTTTATGCATTGAGTTCGTGCGGTTACTGACTCTTTTCCAGTGGATAAAATGATAAAAATGCGTGATGACTCTTGTAAAGCGCATTCTTAGGAACATTCTGCATCATTATGAACGGTCTAAACGGTCTAACAGTAGTTTCAATATTAAGCATTTGGAGTCCGGTGCTACTTGGAAAGCTGAAAATTATTTTGTTTTCTCGTTTTTTTTTTTGGAGAGAAAATCAAAACTTCCTAAACTATGGATTGTTTAGGACTATTCCTTTCTCTGTGATTTGCTGCCATTCTAAGGTCCCTCGTTCCAATAATTCCATCCTATTCTCTCTAATTGTGCACACCGCAATTATCTTCTTTTGGGGCATTTGAACGGCTCCGCCGGTGCAACGTGGATTAGCGAGCGATGCACCTGGTCAGATGGGCGGGACGATTACCCCCTCTCCGCCCCCCGCACCGGCAATGCGTATAACTAGGCAGAGGAGAACATCCCTAATTCTTATTTTATTCTTTGCCTATCCCCGTCTATTATTATGCAACGAGAACGCTACAATCCGCCGAGCACCTCGGACCAATTCTACTGCTACGGATGCAATCGGCAGAAGAGAAAGTGCCAGGAGCTGATGGACCAGCAGTACCTGATGTACGTCGATGCCACCTCGACGAGACATGAGCTCGAGAAGAGGATCAGCCAGCTGGAGCTACTGGTGCAGTTGGAGACGCTTGAGACGGAGAAGGCGATGATGTTGGCCGACAGACCGAGGACGAAGGCGCCGAAGACGAGCGAGAAGGACGAGGAGAAGGAGTCGTTGAAGAAGCAAGTGGAGGATCTGACAAAGATGAACGAGAAGCTGGCCGAGGAGCTGCGGAAGACGACGGTTCCGGTGAAGAAGTTCACGTTCGACGAGTGGAAGAGCGGAGTCGATGAGATGTGGAAGGATAGGATTGAGGAGTTGAGTTGGCAGCTCGTCGACAAAGAAGAAGAGCTGAACAAGTACAAGGAGGCGTTCGAGAAGCAGAAGAGGATAACGGAGAGGGCTCGAAGGAAGAACGCCGAGATTCAGGAGACCGTGAACGCACTGACCAGAGAGCTGTCGGAACTAAAGCGGCCGGAGCAGCAGTGAAGTCTCGAATAGTTATTTTATTGTACTTTTTGATTTTAAGAATGGATTCTTAATAAATGATCTGAATAATCACAAGTCATCAATTTCCGACGGCTTCTTCAATATCACTTTTTCCATTTTCAGTTGTTTCATCTGAAATTCCTGTTCCTCCGCCCGCCTGATTTCATTTCTCCGCTCACCTTCAAGTACTGTTCCTCGCTCAATTCGCTCGCCTTCGAATCGAAATCCCTTTCGAACGTGGAGTTCAGTTTCCACGCCGTCGCCACGTGGTTCGTCCACAGTTTATAGAAGAAGAGACGCGTGCGCTCCGACTTTCCCATGCTGCGGTACTCCTCCAGCATCTGCTCTTCCGACTCGTCCAAATCCGGTGAGACGAATCCGGCGTTGTGGTCGATGGCGCGACGGCGGAGAAGATGGAGGATGACGAGGACGGTCAGCGTGTAGTAGATGGTGTTGATGAGAGTGGTCACGTACTCTGGCTGAAATGTATCCAGCTCAATTTGTGAGAATCTCCCGATCCCTCACCACCAAATACATCTTATTCGGCGGTGTTTCCTTCGTTGGGCCGTTACGCTTCACCGGATAGTGCGACATTGGAATCATGTTGAAGTGGTTTATGAAGACTAACTGCAAAAAAAACAATTCGAATTTAAACTTGATTTCAGTCCTATACTTTAGGCGTTTTTCCTGCTGAATGATTGCCAGCTGCGGCCAGAATGTCGCTGAGAAACGGAGCATAGTCGGCGCCAACTGACTTCAGAAGTATGAGAATTTGTCTAAAAGGTTGGGAACATGTAGAAATTTTCGTTATCAGGTAAAAGCGTACATGATAAAAGCGAAGGCATTCATTTAAAATATCCTTGAGCTCGAACTGATAAGTTTTTCGATACTTTCAAACTGGAGTTCACGTCTTGTTCTCTGTTTAATCAATGCATTTTGAATTTGAATCTGTTCGGTACCAAACCCAACCATTATTAACTGAGACTCCGAATGATCCCAATTGAGGCCAGTTTGCACTGGCCTCAATACATTACTATAGCACCCCCTTCTCGAGTGGTTCTTGCTGTGTCCCCCAGATTACACACTGTCCAATCTTGTCAATGTCGAGGGCGGCAGACATTACTTGTAGTGACGTGGCAGATTGCGTATGACTTGGCAGATGGCCTTATTGCGGTTGCGTAGGCTGCTCAAATACCGTACGCGTTGTCTGGTCTCCTATCTCAAATCTACGCACATTGGGTCATTCGGTCGTTTTTGCATGACGGACAGTGGCTACCTTCTCTTGTATCTTCTCTTTTTGTATTGCTCTCTTCACAGGTTGCTACATTACAGAAGTCGTGAAAATGAACGGAGCAGTCTACAACAACCAACAGGTTCTTACGGCAATGACCAAGGAGGAACTGATCGCGGAAAACGCGAGACTCCTTTTCAATTTGGAGCAAATCGAGAAGGAGCTCATTAAGGCAGGCAACTTTTCGAAAGAATTGACGCACCAGGTGGCGTTCATCGAACTGAAAGCCAAGCGGCTTCTGGATGAGAAGGAGGAAGAGTTGGCGGCGACGAATCAGCGCACACACCAGTTGGAGGAAGTCGTGAAGACGTTGCACGCGGACGTGGTGAAGCTTCAGACGCAGAGAAATGGCATCAGGAACTTCCTGGAGAACAACTTCCCCGATTTGCTGTCCGTGGATCAGAAGTGCAAAGAGCTGACGGCCGAAATGGAGAAAATGAGTTTGGCGCTGAAAGAGAAGGACGAGAGTGTCACCTCACTCACGGTCGACAACAGAGCACTGGAGGAAGTGAGTTATTAGTGATGCCCAGATTAATGTTTATGAATTGGTTTTTAGAAGAACAGAAGTCTCGACAGAATGCTCGAGCGTCTCAAAGGGCGACGGAACTCTGCAGTCACGACTCCGGAGAAGACGACTGGAACGGAGCAGAAGAACGACACGGACACGGACGTTATCGAAGAGGATTCGGCGGATTGTTCGGGAGAAGAAGGCAGCCAAACTGACGAGGAATCCTAACTACACAATTCAAAGCTTTTCTCTCTTTTCTCCCTACTGTTACCTCCCGGTTCATTTCTGCTGTTCTTTTTCTCTGATGTGATTGATTCATGTGCTTTCGTTAATAAATCGGGTCGGCTATTGAACGCAATCTCCGACCGTTCTGCGAGCATAGCGTAATTGTTTGCGGCCGCCCGTTCTGCAGTCGCTGTCCGAATGCCCCACAGGACCACACGGCCTCTGCCGTCCTCCTTTCCTCCCCTGTTGCCCGCCAATGTCGGTATTTGCTCGTTGTACTCGGGTCAACCGGAGAGTACACTTTTCGTATTTGAATTCCATCAGAAGGGCCTATTTGAACGGAGCGGTCACTATCGAAAGAGGTGAGAGCGACTGCACCTTTTTTGCCTTCTTCATCTTTATGAGTCATCAAAATTTGAATTCCACGGCAAAAATCGCTCGTTTGAATTGGCTCCGCAGAGACTAAGCTGTGTTGGCACAGTGCCATTATGAGAAGGCGATATTCAATGCATTTTTCGCATTACGCAACCGCAGTGGTAACCATGTGACCTCTGTGATCCATTCGACCTCCCGTCAGTTCCGAGTTGCTCTCTCTCTCTCTCTCTCTCTCTCTCTCTCTCTCTCTCTCTCATTTCCTATCACATTCCTAATCTATTACCATCAGCCAATGATTCTCCCCATTGCCTGCCGTCCTTCTTCGAAGTGATTACTGTTACATGTACTTCTTATCTGCAAAACGCTGCCAACGATCATATTCTTTCGTAAGAGCAGGCGATGTGGTACCGCCCACGCACTCTGTCCTATATGTCCGTCCTCATTCACTCGGTCCTTTTGGTTGGCCACCGATGCGTAATGGTCAATGTCTTTGAAGAACTTGATACCGTAACCTCGTGACGTCTTCTCCCACTTTTGAACATAATTTATCGCTTTGGCAACTGCTTAGGCTCGTGAACAAGTTGGAGACAACGTATTCGTTCGCTCGAGGTCATCGGTCCGTCCTCCATTTCCCCGTCGCGCGCAGTTTACATCGTAGTGCCTTCTCCCGCGGGTGACCCTTCCCTGGCACTCTCTCGCTCGCTCTCCCTTCACTCTCTCTTCGCCATTATCGATTCCCTATTGATTTGCATATTTTCAGAAAACATGTCGTCCTACGCCGAAGTGATGGAAATGATTCTGGAGATTCCGGACTCGGAGCACGCAAACCGCGTGGCAAAGTGGGCTGCCACTACGTATCGGAGCCAGATGGAGATGGCCGAAACGGTGAAGAAGATGACGGAGGAGAAGGTGTTCCTGGAGACGGAGATCACGAAGCTTCTGGACGAGAAAGAGAAGCTGTTGAAAGAAACGGAGGACAGAGAGTACGAGTCTGACTCCGATGACTCGGACTCGGACTCGGACTCGGACTCGGACTCGGACTCCGATGACTCCGACTCTGACTCCGACTCCGATTCGTCTGAGGAGGACTCCGACTCGGACTGCCATGAGTCTCTCGATGACAAGGAGACTAATTACTATGCACTGAACGAGGTGATCGCAAAACTCGAGAAAAAGCAAGCTCAGTGGATCCGCGATGAGCAGGCCTATGTGGTGCACTTGCAGATGCTTGAGGAACGAGTCGAGGAGGCGGAAAAGGCGATGGCCGAGAACAGGAAGGAAGTGGAGATGCTCCTTCAGAAGTCGCTCTTCGAAGCCGACGGAAAACACGTCTTGAAGCAGCAGATTGCCGCATTGGAGGCGTCGTGCCAGAAGATGGATGAAGAGAAGAAGGAAATGGAGATGATGCACGAGCTTGCCGCCCTTGGAGCCAAGTTCAAATTGGTCGATACGCAGAAGCAATTGGAAGAGGAGGTGACCAAACGGAAGAATGCGGAGGTGACGGCCTGCCGCACCCATAGCATGATCGTTGCCCGAGAGACGGCCATCCTCGAGATGAGAAGCGCTCACAAGAGGGATAAAATGGAATTGCGCAACGTAGGTTAAATACTTCCTTGTCAGTCGTCTGAATCTAATTTTTTACAGTCGCTGGAAGATGCCATCATACAAGTCGCGAACTTGAGAAATGAGTTGGAGACGGCGCAAGAGGCCACTGGATTACTGGAGAATTTGGTGGCCACTCGGAACGATGAAGTCGCAAAGATGAACTGGGAAATCCAGAAGCTGGCCAGACTCGTCGAGACGATGGGAGTGATGGATTCGGAGGACGAAGAGGAAGACGAGGAGGAAGAGAAAGGGGAAATCGACGAAGAAGAAGGTGAGCAGAGCGACTCCGACTCCAGCTCCAGCTTTGAGCAGATCGACAATCTTGAATAACCTAGAATGCCATTTCTCCCCGATTCTCCTTTCCCTCCGACCCAAATCACTTTTTTCACAAATATCTCAATCAGATTTCGCAAAACTGCAACGCCAATCATATTCTGTGTGCAATTAATAAAGTAATCATTTCGGTTATTTTCAATCCGACCAAATATAGTTGAAATACATTCGTGTGACATAGTACATGAATGGGTTTAGTACGCGCAGGTCTTCCAGCAATGGGTACGGTTAGTATAGAAAAAGGTGCCTATAAAAATATGTACAACGCTGAGAAATGGATAATATACAGGATAAAGGAAAGAGTGAGTGCATTTAGAAGCTCAGAAGCGTGGCGTTTCGAGTCTTTCTACGTGGAATCTGCCTTTTTGCGAGTCGGCGGTCACTGTCGACTGGACGTCGTCATGGTTGGCGAGCACATTTTCCGTCGACGGACACGGTTTGAAAGTGGAAACTGAAGACGTGGAATGAGTGAGAGTGGAGAGTGGGGTGGAGCACGTGACGACGCCATTTCCGAACGAAGATACCGAGTAGACGGATTGGGTTTCTGGAACAAAAGGAACTCATAGTAAGCTATGATAATTGAGTGATAGGCTACTTCGACTGTCGCGGCGTTCCGAGGAAACCGAATGGAGTCTGGAGGAAGACGGAGAACTGGCGAAAAGATCGTCGAGGCCGATGGGCGAGAGCGTCAGTTTGCGTGGCATTTCGGCGTACATTTGAGGAGTCGAAGACATGCTCACTTGTAGCTGAAACAGAGCCAATTTCCATGATGGGCTTATTCGGATGTACCTCCTGTTCGGGTGACCGCACTCCGAATGGGATGGCGTTCCGAGATGCGTCGTGGTTGTGCGTGTTGTCGCTGTCGGGCGAAGTATGGTTGAAATTGGCGACGAGAGCTGGAGAGATGCCGACGATCGGCTCAATGGGGATCTGGAACAATTTAATTTTCACTTTGCATTTAAACTCGCGAAGACAGTTCAAACTGACTGCATCTCTCACAATCTCGGGCGTGACAACAATTGTCGGATGCCCGCGCATTTTCTTCTGTAAGATCGATATTATCGGTGCTCAGAAAGCTAGAATACGAACCCAAGAGCGAGAAATTCTCGATCTGAGACTGCGACGATGTTTCCATTGCGGATTGTAGTGCATCGACTGCTCGGCATCCAGCTGATCAACGACGAAAAGGATCATGTTCTTCGTTTGCCATTTCTTGTACTGGGTCCAGTGATTTACGAACATCACCGAAATGAAGATGGTGTACGCGAAGAAGAGAACGACGGCGACGAATACGAACAGGGCGAATTCTAAAATGAAAAGTATTTCAAGGAGTGAGACTGATCGTTTACCCATCGAAGTCTCGTTCCGAATTTCCAGATTCCGACCATTCTCGTCATTTTCGCGGTTTTCGAATGCAAAGTGATATCTGAAACAAAGAAGGATTCAAAACGGTTTCAACCGGAGCTTCTCACTTCTGTCCGGCCAACGCAGCTCCTCGAATGCATAAATACAATGCGATGCATGCGAGCGGAGTGATGACGACGATGAAAGATAAATCGACGAACGGATTCCGATTCTCCGGGTCGTTTCTCTGTTTTTCGTACCCTCGTTGGCGAACGTAGTCAATGAAGTTGCGGGACTTTCTGCAAATAAAGCAAAATATCTAAAACTCGTCCGTTTTCGCTCACTGTGTAATCTTGAACGCGAACTTGCATATCTCGCAGTGCTTCGTCTTTGTCAACGTGAGCCAGTGTTCCAGACAGCTTCGATGATACAGTCCCATCGTTCCGGAGCATCTGCACGGGGAGATGAGCGGCTCGCCGGCCTGTTTCCCGAGATACGGAATCGATGTCTCGCCGCACATGCAAATCCGGCAAACCGCTGGACCCATCGACGTGTTCGAGTCCTCCATAATTCCCGACTGTAAAAAGGAAAACTGATGAAACGTTCTGTAAATTTGAAAAAAAGAGGTATATATTGGTTCAAACGAAACGAGTTCCGAACTGATTGAATGCTGGCGGTTTTGAAGTTTTGAAACTTGCGCGTAAGCGAATACCGTAATTTTAAAGGCGCATAACTTAACGCATTTCGTTTTTCTGGTTTTCGTTCCGTTTACTCCCAACTTTTTCGATTTTCTCGCCTCGAAAATGGTTCAATTGGTGGAGACGTCGCAGGTCGTTTTGTCAAAATGTGGTATAAATCTTCAAAAACGAAAAACCAGCTCACTCACGACTGTAATCACTTTTTTCAAACTATTCTTTTCAAAAACTCGTTTTCAGAACGACGATCTGATGAACACTGCATTTTATGAGCCGGAAAACGAAGACGAGTTGTAAGTTAAACATGTAACTTTCCTATCCGAAGAAATATTTTTCAGTGAAAACTTTGCGAAAAATCTAGCAATCGAAGTGTTGGACTATTGGGAGAAGCGGCTCGACAAGCTCACCGAGAAGTACCCGTTCCTGATGCTCAGAATCGTTCCGATCTTCGTCCAACTTCTTCTCATTCTTCTAATCACTCTCTTCTTCTTCGTCACCGGCGCCTCTCGTTCAGCGGATCACAAAGCCGCCCATCTGTATCATTTGTTGCTCTGTGTTATTTTTTGAATGTATTTATTGCATCGTGATTGCCCCTGGTTCGAAACTGTTTTATTAACAAATAAAATCAACAATAAGAAGACTCGGTCTCTATAAAGGTCGAAGCCACGACTTGGCAATCGAGCTGTACCGTCTGGCGAGCTCGTTGTCCGACTCTTTCCCTTTTCTGCATACATAAACGAAATAATGAAATGATTCCCCGAATTCGAACATTTCGACCGACCAACTCTTCTCTCTAAGCAGCGCCGGAATTCGGAAGTGCGGCTGCGTGAACGAGACGGAGATGAACATTCCGTTCGGCTTCAGAATCCGGGATACCGACGAGAAAATGGCCTCGAGGCTGCGGAGCGCCGAGTCGGACGGCTCCCACGCGCTCCGCTCCGTCACGAGAATCGCCTCGATCGTCGCCTTTTCAAAGACGACGTCGAACGAAGAAGAGGGGCAGTTGGAGAGCGAATGAATATCGTCGGCGATCCATTCCATGTACGGGTGCTGCTGTTTTCCGTTTTCGATCAGAACCTACAAGTTCTATTTCGATATGAATGTCAGTTCTGAGTCAGAACTTCTGACCTGTGAATAGTCGATATTCGTAATATTTTTGTAGCCGAGCCCCCACAACTGCATCGAAACTTCGCTGGAACCGCATCCAATATGAGCAATTCTGAATGTTTCCAGTTTCTCTTTCTTTCTTTTATCCCTTCAAAACCTCGATTGTTTATCGACCAACGGCGTCAAAATGTGCTGAAATGCCTCCAGACCACTGAGCCATTCGAACTTCTGCTCCGTTTTGAACCGCTCATCCCAGTAGTCCATCCGAGCATACTGACTGTTCGACTCCATCTGAATGAGTACTCACTTATGCCATTCGAGTCCATTCTTCAGCAAGTAGTGCCCCGACTGGTATGTTGGCCCATCTCTTCAGTACAAAAATGCAGGGTTAGAATGATTAACATTTATAATTTTCTGACGGGATATTTTTCGTCGACATTAAACAAAAATGTTTGAGTCTTCCCGATTGATGGAAAAAAGGGAATCGACAGTGAATAAAAGGACTTATAAATTAGGAGATGGGACAGTGGATAATCCGGAAAGGGACAAGGATTTGGGGGGACAGAGAGAAGGAGTCGGAAAAAAATCAAGATGATTAAATATCAGTGAGAAGATGCGAAGGAAAGTAAATCTCCACGAACATGTAAGTGGAAAAATGGAGATGGGACGATCGAGTGCGAGGGGAAAGTTTCGAGCGCCAAAATACAGATAAAATTTATACTTTTCGAGTAGGATATCGTTGGGTGCTTTCCTTCTCGTTTCTTCTAGTACGGAGCGAATCCCGGACGTCTTCTGATTCCACGGCCTCTTGGCCGGTAACCGCCCGAGTAGATGTACTTGACGATGACGTTCCCGCGTCCTCGACCTCCGCCACGTCCACCGCGGAACGGAGGTCTGTTCGTCGTTGAGAGTCCCGGCTTGTTCGTGCGCTTCGGATCCACCTTTATTTGCCGTCCACGCAGAAGACTGTCCGACATAGCCAACGCGTTCTGCATTCCTTCTTTCTCAGTGAACTCGACGTAAGCGAATCTGAAAAATACAAGATATAACGAGGGTCAATAAAGAAAAACCAATTTACCCTTTGGGATGTCCAGTGAACTTGTCACACTGGATGGTGACACGAGCAACGGATCCGCATCCGTGGAAGTGCTGCTCTATCTCTTCGGCAGTCGCTCCGTAGTCAACGTTTCCGACGTACACCGATTTGGCATCGGCCTCGGCCTTCTCTTCTGGAGTGAGCAGTGATTGTGTCGAGATGCTCTGACTGCTAGTGTTCAAGTTCATATGTCCGACCATCTCATTCTGGATAGCCTTCAGCTTCTTTTGTTCCTCCTCAATCTCGTTCAAGTCACCCTCAATGGCAGAAAGATCCTGTAGAAAATCAATAATTGAAAATCTTGTTGTAATAAGCAAGGTGCTCACCGCATCGTCCTCTGTGATGTCGTCGATGTTCAAAACATCATCGTCAATATGGTTATCGCTCATTTTGTTGTCGGAGTGTATGCGGAACACTGGAAAAAACTGAGTTGAGAGCGCTTTAAAAGAAAGAGAGAACAAACAGAAGAAGATTAATCAAACTGCGTTTGGAGATCAATGCAGAGAAAGGGATACTTTCTCAAGATAAATTATCGCCGTTAGTTGAGTTTATTCTTAACTGATAACGCTTCCACTGTTCAGAGGCGCGCGAAAGAAAGTGAGTACTTTCGAAGGGTTGCGAAAACGATGTGGAAATTCGAAACGAATCGACTCAATAACGATTTTTGGAGCAAAGAAAGAGAGAAAAAGAGAGAACGAAACGATGGGAAGGAAAGCGATGAATGAATTGGATGGAGGTGTATCGGCCACTGTCCGCTCCCCAAAAAACATCTACACCTTCGTGAACCACTGAAAAAGGACGCAAAGGGGCGGAGATGCAGGCGAGAGAGTGTGCGAGAGCATGCGTGTGCGTCGAGACGCAGACAAAAGAGTCGTGTCGAGACCGCGACGCTCTGTCCAATAGAGCGCACTTGCAGTATATTCACTAAGCTTCCTTTTAAATTTAAAAATAGAAATAATTCTCGAGAAAAAGGCTTCTCGTTTTGCGCTGAAGGTTTTTCATTTCTTGAATTTGGTGTGAATTAATTAAAAAAAATTCAATTTGTTTCAGTAACGTTGGAAAGAATGGCACCGAGAAGGAAAGGCGCACGAGCTTCTACAAAAACTAGGAATGGAGACAATGAGGGAACTCCAACTGATGAGCTCTCCAACGATTCAAGTGAGAGAAGGTATGAAATCAACGATTAATAATTGTAAAACCCTGATTTTTCAAAGCTCCGCCAGCAAATCGAGAGAACCGAGTTCGGATAAGGAAGAAGACACACCCAAGTCCCCGGGTTTGATTAAGAACGAGGATAGCGAGGAGGTGGAGGAGGAAAATGAAGAAACGAGCAGTGACGAAGACGCCGAACCGGTGAGTCTTTTTACTGACGAAACGAATTCGAGTCATCCCAACAGATCGTTCTGAATGTGACTCAACGCGAGAAAAGAGCAACCGCCGGTAACAAAATGGCTGCATTGTTAGCCTCTGCGGATCACGAAGATGAATTTTATAAAACGGCATACGGAGGCTTTGAAGAGGTAGGTTTTATTCTAAAACCGGCGCCGCTATATCTACCGGAGGGTGCATTAGAGTTTTCTAGTAATTCAAGCGATTTCACGACGTTTGAATTTCAGCCACAAAACCGCAGTAGCAGCCTGCCGGAATCGAACCAACGAGCTTAGATTCGCAGCAGCGCGCGTTACCAATACTCCACACAGGTGAAATGCGGTTTAGCAATTATACAATTGCGCTAATTCTAGACAAATTCTCGGCAAATCTATACAAAAATTACCAAATATTTGTTCGGGATTTGTCTAGAATTAGTTTAATTGCTAAACCGCATTTCACCTGTGACAAACCAACGTGGGTGAAATGAGGGCGAGGCGTGGGCAAACGGGCGGGAGGCCGAAATCATACCCTTATTTGGCCCACATTCAATTTAAAGTTTGAATGTGAATTTGAACGCGTCGGCGCCTTTTTTTCCTGAGTAGGTGAAAAAAATCGCGTCAAGCCGTACGCCTCTCTGGACAAAAACCCTTTTGCACCCTTCGGTAGATTCATGGGCCACGTCTCCATTATTTTTACTGTAGAACAACGAAGTGGACAAAGAGTACAAATCTCCGCAACATTCGGACGATGATCAGGTTGACTCGGACTTTGATAAGTCCGAGGAAGAAGATGAACCGGTCAGTGGTGGCGAAGAGGACGGAAAACCACGCAGGAAGAAGAAGAAGTTCAACGTGAGTGTGTTTCCCTCTGAAAGGGAACTCTATCATTGCGAAGGGAAGTTTTGCAGGAGCCGAAACGTGGAATCACAGCCGACGATATTCTGGCAAAAAACAAGAAGTGGGCAATGGCTCGGCTGGCTGGAAATATGGTAGCGGCTAATACGGTAGATGACAAGACACAGGCCGAAATGCTGAGAGAGGCCGAAGAGACGGCGAAGGTGAACATTGAATCGCTGAAAAAATATGAAGCGTTCGAGTTGGAAAGGAAGAAGAAAAGAGAGAAGAACACGGCGAGGGTGTTCCCGCCAGGACCGAGGGAGCAGATCAAGATGACATCCAGTGGCACGACTGTGACTATTCGCACGGAGATCAAGGTTTGTGTTCCTTCAACTATTTTGAGCTGGATAATGCATCCCTTCGGTTCCCCAGTTCGTTCATAATTGACCGCTGAAAGCTGTCCTGCTTCCTATTTCCATTAAATTTCAATTTTCTCCATTCGGATCTATTAAACGTAACAATGGAAGTGAATTTGTTCTGCGCTTGTTAATGTGCTCCTCCCATTTGTTGTCATGACATCCTTTGCTCCGTCTACCTCATCTCTCCTATATTTTCATTATGCTCCTTTCCTTTCCAAGGACAGGACATATTTTATTGATGCGCTACCCCTCAAACAGAAAAAGACGAGTCAGAAGAAGGAGAAGAAGAAGAGGCGGGAAATGCCCGTTTTCCGGGGATTTCGTCGGATAATCGACCCGCTGGCAGAAGTACCCGCCACATGTCCTTGAGCCGTTTTCCCGCTTGAGAAGCCCATTCCGGGAGCCTCTTTTGTTCTTTCTATCTTCTTTTTATCCACTTTATCTTCTGTGGACATTTCCTGAGCACGAACATCATCGTGCCACCGTCTACTAATCCCTTCTTACGAAACTACTCTGTTTGTTGTGGCTGTTTTTTCTGCGATACTGCTCCGTGTCTACGTTTATCTGATTCCATGTTTTTTCTCCGCCGTCGATGTCGTCTTCGTCGTCGTCACAAACTTTTTTCTGTGCGCCGTCGAAATTGCATCTCATTTCGGCAGAGTACTCGTCGCTTTTCTGGAGCCAAACGAAGAAGAAATTGCAAGGGGCTAGTGGTGCCCTCCTTTTTCATTGCCGAAAAAGAGAAATTCCAACCAAAATGTTCTGAGACTGAGTTTGGGTTGATTTTGTCGTTGTAAAAGGAGGCCGTCGACGACAACTCGTGTCTGCCAGTCGGCGTCTCTCCCTCTGGAGTTGCCGCGCACACGACGAAGCCTGGAGCTGGAGCTGGTGCTCCTTTTTCTCCGAGAGAAGGAGCAGCAGCAGTCGGCAGAGCAGTAGTAGTAGGCAGTTGGGGCTGGCTGCCACTGGTTGCTGTGCTGTTGGCTGCTCGACGAGCACAAGCCTCTGCCCTCCCCCTCGTTGAGCAGCCCGTGCTCCTTTCCCGCGGACCTCCGTCTCCTGCTCCTCCTTCAGTGCTCTTTTCTCTTCTTCCCTCGCCACCATCTCCGCCATCCTGGGTTCCCCATCTCCGCCACTTTCACTGCCTTTTGCACTTCCCATCTATAATCTTTTGGGCTCTGCGTCTCCGAGGGTCCCTCGCCCATGCATTCTATCTACGGAGAATCTTCTAAGCCCATTGACGTCGGAAGAAAAAGAAAGACGCCGGAGGCCTTCTTCTGCGCCGAGAACTTTGGAACTGACAACAAGAAAACAACCCGTGCCATTCTTTGTTCAAGAATTGATTTTCAAAAATCTTGAAGCCTGACGACGGGCTGTCTTCATCTGTTCCTCCGCCTCCTGTCCCGGGCTCTCCCGCGCCCTTCGTCTGCTTCTTGTCTCTTCGTCTGCGTCTGCGTCTCCACCAGCTTTTTCTGGGCTCCGGCGGTTTCCGCTCTTGTGACGTCACCAACGAAGGCTCTGCCTGGGTTCATTGGAGCGAACTTGGATTGGAGAGTTGTGAAATGCAGTTGCAGGAAGCTGTTAGAAGGCGTCCTCTTCTTTTCACACGTTTTTCTATAAAAAGTACGTGTGAAGGCACTAATGTGCGCAAAGGTTGAAAGTCAAAGCCATCTCAAAAAATTTATCTCTCCATTTTTCGTAATTGGTTTGTTCTAGAATCCTTCTCATCCGTCATAATTTCTCAAAAAATCGAGCAGACATCTCAAGGTTATGTTTTGTTAAGAAAACATGGAATGACCTTGTTATTTCTCCATGTGCAGGTTTTGTTTTCGTCAGAATTCGAACGCGCCAGAATAAATAATTGTAGAACTCACGGTGCACATGTTCGCTCCACCCTTCCAATCAGACATAACTCTATTTTGCCGACGTTCTTTTCCTCTCATTTCAAACTCATTTTCGTTTCTGTACCCGGTACGGACGGCACCGTGGCTGAGGTGGCAATGTTTGCAGGGCTGCTGTTGCTGCTGTCGCGAGAAGCGATTAGTGTATTCGGGTTGTCGGTAGTAACATCGGTCGTCGTTGTTGTCAGTACTTGTTTGCGTTTCATATCTCCTGCCTAGCCGAAATTCGTATTCCCCAAAGTTTCAAAAGTTCACATTCGCGTGGACATTCGGCTGTCGCCTTCCAAATAAATTTCCTGCAACCTTTGCGCGGCGTGAAAGTTGTCAAACTGGACCCACAAAGTGTACATTTGGAGAGACCACTCGGGGAGAGCCCCTTTCTGCTGCTCCCCACGCCTTTCTCTTCTTCTTCTCTCCGCGGACGCTTCTTCTTCCATCTTGTCGCCTCCTTCGGCCTTCTTCTTCATTTTCATTGCTTCTTTCTCCCTATTTGCTCTTCTTTCTGTGTTTTTTTCTCGTTTAACTTAGCAGCTTTGCTCTCTATTTTTTTCTCGAATTCATTTGAGCAGTACTGTATTATTCGTTTGCTTACTTTCGCTTGTGTTGCACACAAATTGTTGGAAGAAGAAGAAGCGTGCGCACCGCCCGCCGCCTCTATGTGTGTGTAACTGACTGACTGCGGGTTGCGGCTCGAATTTCACGTGTTTGACCATTTTGCCGTGCTCCCCGTGCTCCGCCCTTCCACTGGGAGCCCCATCCTCCATCCCGTCTTCTTCTTTTTCCTTCCAAAAAGGTTCTCTTTCTTATCTATCTGTCTCTTCGTCGTTTCCTGCTAAGCTGGGAGTAGTTTGTGAGCCCTTTGCTCCCGGAATGTGTGTGCTTTTCCTCCTTCCCATCCCCAAGTTCGAAACGATCTCTGTTCTGTCAACGAGTGAGAATAAAGGTCGAAAGTCCGTCGAACTACCTCCCCCCCCCCCATCTTTTTCATGTGCTCCGGCTCTTCTCAGCTCCCACCCAGAAACCAATTTGACTCCGTTCAATGCGATGTCGCATCCATATGGCTCCGATTTGTAAACGATTCCATCGTGTATACCACTCGAATGAGCTCGTAACTCTCCACGGCAGCTTGTATGGAGTCTGTTCAGGCCATCATCGAAAAATTCGTTCTCAATTTTCCGTTTTCTGTCTTTTCACCAGTTTTCTGTCATCCTCTTCTGCCACTCCACTCGCAGAGAGCGGACCTCTAACTTTCACTTTCAATCGGTCGCCTTCTTCCAATTTCATGTTTTTTGAAAGTGTCTCTCTCGCCCCCTTCTCGCTGTCTGTTTTCGGCTGGTACCCATTTCCGCCCTCTTCGTCTCCGTGTGTGTCACCTTTTCGAGTTGTTTAGGTCAAAACAAGATTTGATTCTATGCTCATTTAGAATTTGTTTACCAGGTACCTTCACTCCCGGGAATAATCGATTAGTTGTTCGTAATTGTTCACCCCTTCCATACCAATTTCATGGCTTTTTAGTCGAGAAAGTTGAAATCTGTGCTATCAGATGCACTTTAACGGCTAATTGTTTGTTGATTCTTTCTCTCCGCCGTCTCAAGCACACATACACCTAGCATCGCTTGCTTTGTTATCATTGTTTCTATTTTATCAAATTAACGAGGAGAAGGGCGGCGGTCTGCTTGCACGCCCTTCAACTCCTCTAAATTAGTTTTCGTTTCCTCCCCGATTTTCGAGTTTTCAGCTTGAATTCAGTCAGATTTCCGCACAGAACTTTGGTTCGCGTATCATTAAATCATAGGATGATCATCTAATCCCATTTTAAGACGATCAATTTTCTTGCACACCCCCATTTTTAGACACGTTTGACTACGTAATTACAGTTCCGCGTTGAGTATTACGCACCACAAATGAACACGATTTTATTCGATATGACAGTTAAAACTTCAATAGTAGGAAAGGATTGATGCTGTGGCAGGCGAACTGGTCGAAATGGAAGAGGACGAAAAAAAGAGAGAAAAACAGAAGGGTTACTGTGCCCGGTGGACCGTGAACGATGAGGGAAAGGTCACTAGAAGGGCTCTCGTTCAGAGTGTAAACAATATTTACGAAATGAAAATTTATGTAAAAATAACGATCAGCATTGTTGTTCCGATGATTTACCACACTAGACTGCTTCCAAGTGTTCTGAGAACACTTTGAACGCCGCACACAAGTTCGATAGATGACCGTTCCCGTCTGATTAAACCGGTCTGCTTCTTGATTCGAAATGACACGTGGCCAGCACGCCTCCCACTTCCGTCCATCGTTGTTCGTGTGATCAGGTTGAAATGTTGAAATCTGAAATCTATAAATAGCAACAGGCGCGTCATTCTCATTGACGAATGTACCCAAAGAAGCTTTCGTTTCTCTCCTTCTCTCCAACCCAATTCCCGTGTGCTCCCGTGTCCGCACAGTTCTTCTTAGTTAGTAGCTATTCCACCCCCTATTTACTTTTCGAAAGATCAATGCAAAGCGTCCACTGACGTCACTTGTCCACAAATCAAAATGTGCGGAAGCTCGCAATAGCCGTGATTAGGATTACGCCTTCAGCCCACGTCTCATTCTCGCAGCTCACCAACCTGAAGTGAAATCATGCGCGCAGAGACCTTTCCAAAAGTTCAGTAGCTCATTTTCGATTCTCTCTTTGGCTGGGCCGAGTTACGGTCAATCACCATTTCGCAAATACCATTACTCCTGAACTTTCGTCATTTCTCACTACTTTTGTATCTCTTTGTGTCTCTCCCAGCGGTTTCCCCCTGACCGATCACTGATTCTTTACCATTGTTCCGCAGCACCATCTCCGATTCTTCTCGTGTTTTGGCTGCTTTTCCCCGATTCTAGATTCTATTTCCGGCCCGCCTACACATGTTGCTGGAATCTGTGTCATTTTAGTTGTATTCCATCTTTTTCTGCATATGTTTCTCGGAAATACTTCCCGGCAGTTCTATCAATATTTAAGCGGATAGGAGCTTTACTCTGCATTTTTGGCAGTGCTTTTGATAAACAAAATTTAAGTGAAAAGCTATCTTTTCTTCTCAAATGAGTAGATTTCTATTTCTAGAATTGAAGCGGATGTCTAAATGTTCAATGATACAGTATCTCGACATGAAAGCTCTTCCTTTTACAGTCACATTCACATCATGCATATTCAATAAAGCATGGGATTGTGGCCTTTGTTCAAACACATCCTCCAACCATTCAAATATAGTTTCCCTCCGTCCTAACATCCCAGTCTTTCGTAAACGGCCTCTTCTCCTTTCTGCTCTCGTCCTTCACTGAATCACTTACTTCGAAATGTATCAGTAGTTGAGTGCTCTCTCCATCCCTCTGTCTTCCGTCCGCTTCTCCCCAGACACTCTTTCCCTCCTGTTCTCTCTAATCTCTCGCGCTTCCCGTCCCGTTGACCGCTTACATCGATGCGGTCCGAGAGCCGCCAGACCGAAGGGATGGACCCGACCGAGCGGTCGAAACTCGTACGCCGCTTCGTTATCACCTTGTCTGCGACTCTCCGTTCGTCTCACTCTCTTGCCCTCCTGCGCATTATTCATTCGTCGCTTTCGAGTCATTCATTCAAAAGTGTTATTCATGTCACTTTTTCCACAAAAAAGTAAAAGCAACCCGTCTGTCTCCATCTTTCTCTCTCTCCCTCGTGCGCATTCCTACAATACACCAATCACATTAGATTTATTATCACAATCGTAATTCATTCATTTCAGCAATTCAAATGCGAACGACCGCGAGAACGCAACGTCTGTGCAGTGACCGGTCGACCGGCTCGTTACTTCGATCCAGTGACACGCCTGCCGTACTCGTCAGCCTACGCATTCAAGGTTATCCGGGATAAATACAATAAGCATCTGCGGACAATACGAGGAAATGAAGAGGTGAGCATTTCGATCTTCCCTACAAAGTTCGGTTGCTGAACGGGAGAAAACTTTCTAAGGAGCTCTCTAAACAGAAACATTTGCAGATAACCAGCTACCTGAACCGTCTGAAGGCTCTTCCGACGCCGCCGATGTCTCCGAGACTGTCCTCCAGCCAGACTGGACCGGTCGCGAGCCCACCAAAGGCCGCAGCTGCCATTCCGACGACGTCTTCTGGCGCGAAGCCGTAGAGAAAGATGCCTTCACTTGCCGAGCGTCATCTCTGTCTCATCCGCATTGTTTGTTCTTGTACATATCGGCCCCGTCTGTCTTCTTGGCCCCCCCGTCTCTTGCAGCTCATCACTCCCTCACAGCCAACACAATGCTCTCTGTCGCTCGCCCTCTCTATTTCTGTGTCTCATTTGCTTGTTCGTCTCCCTCTTCGTTTCGTTTCGCTTCTTTTTCTTCCTTTTCTTTTTTCTCCGCCACCGCCGCCGCGCCGCTCCGAAATTCGTCCAATTTTGCCCTCCTCCCTCCCTCCCTCGTCGCCCTCGGTTGCGCTGTGCTCCTTTTATTTGTAGATCTCTTGCAAACTTTCCCCCTTCCTGATCTGATGATAACTCCCACTTTTTATCCCCCCTCCAACCAACCAACCTACACGACTTTTTTTGCGAGAGAGACGAGAGCAGCAATGTATCTAATCTAATCCCGTTCTTATTTTCGGTACTTTTCCGTTTATCAAGACAAGAATTTATCATGTTTCTTCCATATTGTTACGTATTATTTTTTATTTCGTTTCCAACCGGTTCCATCTGAAACCGTGACAATATCTGCAATTTTGCACTTTTTCTTATCTTATCTTTTCCTCCTTCCCTCATCAAAAATTTTCTTTCTTTTTCCAGTACTGGGCTGCTTGTTGAGAGTCGTCTGTACGTGCCGAACCACTCGCACCGAACACGTACGTCTCTTCTGAATGTTCCGAAGCTCATCCACAATCCCTTGATTTCAGAACAATGGAGAAGAAGGTCGACGAGAACGCGACGTTGATGAATGGCGTGGATCCAGCGGGGCAGCCTGCTGAAGAGCCAGAAACTTTCCTTCAGTTCGTCTACAACCGGAAGAAGGGAACGGTGTTGGGACGGAACGCAAAGTCGTGGTTCCAGGTGAATATCCTTCTTCCGCACTATCCCAACATTTCCACCTTCAGATCACCGTCTTCTACATCATCTTCTACGCGCTTCTCGCCGCCTTCTGGCTCTCGTGTCTCGCGCTCTTCATGAAGACGCTGGACCCGAAAGTGCCGCGATTCTACGGAAAGGGAACGATCATCGGAGTGAATCCGGGAGTCGGATACCAGCCGTGGCTCAAGGAGAGACCAGATTCCACCCTCATCCAGTTCAATATCAAGGATCCGTCGAGCTACAAGCCATACGTCGAGCAGATGAAGACCTACCTGAACAAGTACGAGAACTCGAACGCCACTGAAAACCGCGACTGTGGAGCCGGAGACAACAACGACGTTCTCGAAAAGGATCCGGTAAGTGGAGTGTTTCCATACTTTTATTTCTTGAACTGATTCTTGTTAGGAAGCCCTGCCGTGCCGTTTCGACCTCTCCGTGTTCGACAAGGGATGCAGCGAGAAGAGCGACTTCGGATTCAAGACTGGAAAGCCGTGCGTTGTGATTTCACTCAACCGACTCATCGGATGGCGTCCAACTGACTTCCCAGACGGTTCGGTTCCGGAAGAGGTCAAGGACCGTTACAAGCGCGGATCGATCGCGATCAACTGTCGCGGAGCCACCAACGTCGACCAGGAGCACCTCGGAAAGATCAACTACATGCCACCGAACGGAATAGACGGACGCTACTACCCATATGTCTTCACCAAGGTTCGTGATTTTCAGAAGAATTCTGAAATTTTTAGAGGAGAAAAATCATGCTATGTATTAGTATGTTTAGAGACCGTTTTTACGAGAGTGTCGCAAGCTTTTACGGGCTGTAAAACGGTGATGCTCTTGTGTTGCAAAACGGCGGAAATGAAATGGAATTGAATTGGCCGACGAATTGTTACAGCGGGCTGAAAATAGATTGATTGGCAACCAGTTCCGTGACTTTCAGGGATACCAACAGCCGATCGCTATGGTCAAGATGGAGACGCTGCCACGCAACAAGCTGGTGATTGTGGAGTGCCGTGCCTACGCCCTCAACATCGAGCACGACATCACCTCTCGCCTCGGAATGGTTTACTTCGAAGTGATGGTCGAGGACAAGCCCGTCGAGAAGAAAGAGTTGTAAATGACTCGATCTCTTGAGCCTTAGGATCCAAGTGCCTAATCCCCTCGCTACCGTAGTCCTCTTAGCTTCCCCGTAGATTCTCCGTGGTTTTTTGTCCTCTCGCCTCTGAAAGATATCCGATTGTCACTCAGCAGCAGCTCTGTTCTTCATTTTATCTTCATTTTTTGGAAACCCTTCTGGGGATTGCTCATTCATTGTTTTGTCCTCTCTTTTTTATTTGTTCCAGTTTCTTAGCTTTTGATTCATGTCAACTTGACAAGTAGTCCAACGTTTTCAGAGTTTATAATGATGATAATAATCTGTGCAATTTGCCGTTGCTAATAATTGATACCCAACCACACTTAGTTCTTTTTCAACTACTGTCTCACCGTTGGTCACTTTCCATTGTTGTTCCGAGTCCGGAGGCAAGTGCGCTCTTTCGATCACTGCATTGGCTTCCGAACCCGAAACGCTTTCACACAGTGTTTAGCCCCAACTTTCTCGACGAGATTGGTTTTTTGTTTCTTCTTGTCTTCATACGATAGGCGCGGTGTGGACGGTCGGCGGGAGCATCGGTATCGTTTCGGAAGACCCGCCGCCTCCCGTCCGTTTTATTCCCTTCTCTTTCTAATTGTTTTATTCTCTTTTTCTTCATTTTAAACAGAACTTGTTCGGGTTTTGTATAAACTGTGCTTTATTCTCACAGATTATGCCTCTCAAGAAAGAGCACAGTTGGTGCAAAGCTCTAATAAGTTCTGCTCTTTCTCTCCCATCTTCAAAACGATCCCATTCTTATTCTAAAGCATTTTCGTTCCGAAACATGCGCGTTTCCCTTCCCTCTGTGTGTCCTTCTCGAATTTTTCACGAGAATCCCTCCCCCGCTGAAAAGATTTCGCCCATTTCTCCCCGACTTTAGGATAAAACAAATCATTCGCAAGATTTATGATTATGTTCTTTCGCATTCTGCCCCCGTATTGATCGCTTTTCGATTCATCTCCTTCTTTCCAATTTTCAAATACTAAAAAATTGTCACTCTTTTTATCTTCTCTTTCAACCCCTTCACATCTTCGTTTTTCCCACTCCCATCTCCAAAGAACACCCCCCCCCGATTTTTGTGTCTTTGAATAAAAATAAATCTTAAAAACGTAAAGGAGTGCCTTGGCCCGACTGAAGTGTCTTTCTTCTCCAACTGAACACAATGTGGCTGACTCATTATCGAATATCTGACACCACCTCCACCACAAGAACATTGGCATACTTTCACTTCTTCATCCGCTCCTTCCTGTTCTCTCTGAGGTTCTTCAGAATCTTTTTTTTTCAAAACAGAAGAAGATTAGCGTCTTCTTCGATTCATCCAGATTCAGTGAATATGAACGGCTCAAAATCATATTTATTTGCACGAAATTTTTGCATTCTGTAGCTAGACAGATTATTGTGAATCCAAACGTTGCAGTCTTCTTGGACTTGAATTGATGTCTGTTTTGTCCGAGTTTCAGACCGATCGTATAATCGTGTCTCGCGATATAAAACCAGAACAGGCCGGTTGTTGCGAGAATCACAACCTTTTCGGCGTCTAATCCACTTATCTCGAGACCAGATAAGCCGATCAGTCTGAAACTTGGGCCCAAGATACTTCAATCCAAGTTCAAGAAGCCTACGACCCATTCGGTCCGATCGGAATATCGCAACTGAGTAAAAAATGAGACCAAGACGGTCTTTTTACCCATTCTTGATCAGAATCGAACAAATAATGTGATGTCGATCAAACATCTTCTTTCATATCTAATAATATCTCTCCGGTAATGTGTCTGGTTTATAAAATGTACTTAACTAGCATAAGTATAGAAAGTGAGAACGGACATCCTTTGTACAGGCGGCAAATGCGCTTCATTGACTTTACGCACTAAACCCACAGAGAAGTGGAACCTTTCATGGTGGAAAATGTTTAAGCTAACCCATAAAATACGTTGAGGATAGATTCCATTGCTTGAATTCAGCCCGTCTCTCTCCGCATTTCCTCCTCCCGCTTCGTTCATTTGTCACGCGATGATCACATGTGCGTATCGTCTCTCTCGCGTGGCCTGCCGGTCCGCCTGGCACCGTCGCGGGCCTGTCGGATGGTGTCCAATATAAATATCTTATGACTCACTACTCGGCCCTCTCCGCACATGACTCCTCATCTCTGGGTCTCTCCGTTCCGCGTCTTCTCTCCGCACATTGTTCTTTCGTCTTGTTTCCTTTCTACGGCCCACTCTTTTGTCTTTTTCTTTTTTCGACACCGTTTGCTCACCTTCAGAAGCTCATTTTCAGACAACACTGCCTTCGCCACTGGGTCGGACGTCGTTTCGAACGTCGGCGGAACATCCGGAGATGACGGCGATGCGGGAAGCGCGCGGAGACTCGGCTTCCGCCGATCCGATCAATGGGACACGCGGAAAGACGACGATAAATGACAGGAAATTCGCGTTTCTCAATCAGGTGAGAACAGAGAAAAGAATGTGTAGGAGAGTTGAATTCCGGAATGTGCTCAATGCTTTTCACAGAAGAGCACATTTGCATACATTGAAACACATTCGGGCGCGCTTGGGAGAAACTTTCCCACGAACCCGGAGAAATTGGTTGAACTTCACACACTTGAAAGTCTCTGAGTCATACTGAACTTTATATCGAACGAATGTTTTTCATGAACACAATTATCGGTTTCGTTCAGATCACCCGCCCCGATTACCGCAGTCTTCCCAACTCGACGGCCACGTCACAGTCGTCCGTTCCCTCCACTCCGATCACGATTCCATTGAAGATGGACGGCGGCGAACAGACGATGTTCCGAGAGTTTGGAGCTCCGATTGCGACGCCCGAAGACGAATTGCTAGACGACCTGGAAATGTGAGAGCGCTAATATTGATAGCCTTCTCAAAAATGCATAAGAATTTCAGTAAATCCGAACCGCTTCTCTCGCCACGTCGCACGTTCACAGACTTTGAAGATAACCGACGGGATTCGGAGGAGAAGGAAAATCGAGAAGAAGACACAGAAGCGGAGACGACGATTCGGGAAGACATAGAAGACGTCGAGATGGTTGTGGAGACTAGGGACCAGTCGAAAGTCATTGAGGATCAGGATCAGAAGATAGAGGAGAACACTACGGAAGAGCAGAAGAAGCCAGAAGTCCAGAAAGTATTTTCGAATGTTTTGAGGAACGACGACTGCATCAGAATGGTCGAGAGTGCCCCAGAGCTGACGAATTCGTTCCAAGAAGAAGAGTCAACGACGTCGTCTTCAGAATTTAGAACTCACGAGAAATCGTCATCTCCGGAAGCGCGCCGAATGTCTCCCTCTCCAGAACAAGAAGAAATCGAAGCGGAAGAGATCCGAAAAATGACAGAGTCGTTCGGAGAGCCACGGAAAGCGGTGCTCGAAAGAGTCTACGATACGGTCGAGGAAACGGACGACGACGAGACGGAGACAGAAACGGAAAACGAAGAGGAGGAAATGGACGATGATGTGCAGAGACAGGTGCGAGAAACAGAGGGAAAACTGAAATGACACCCGATTCTGTAGGCTTCATTTACACCCCATCAAGTCTTATTTTACAGAAAATGACTTAGAAAGGTCGAATTTCGAGCACTTCTCAAGAAATTGGATATTGAGACTCAATGGGGTTTTCTTCATGATTACTCGAAAACTTTGCTCTCTGTAAACGAAATGTTAGATTTTCGGTTTTCGATTCTCTCCAAAGTTTATTTTTTCTAAAGTGTGCTCAATTCTTCTTAATCCTTTAAAGAATTCTTTGTTATAAGCATTTTTTACATTTTTTGTGAACTTTGAAAAAACCTTTTTCTGGCTTCTGCTCTCTTTTCTGCAAAGGCTGGCCACCCAGAGAGCTCTCTCTTTCGCGCTCTTTGTTCCGTGACAAGAGAGTAAAACACATGATAGATGGGAGGGCCACAGCTGAGCTTCTCCTCCTCTTTTTCACTCCTTTTGCGGGTTTATCTCGTGCTCCGAATCTCGTGATTCCGTCCTCGCCCTCCCAATCGTATTTATTCTCTGCTCACTTTTCCAGTTTCCGGCGCCCCACAAAAAATGACCGGAAAACCAATTAAATCGGTCAGTAGTGTTTACGAGACGCACATTTCGAGCCGAAGTGTCGAATTTCCAGGCGGCGGCTCCTTCTTTTCTTCCACGCGCTCGTTCAGTTTTCTCAGTTTTCCCATTCTAGATTGACGCCGTTTCAAGACCCGACGATTCGATGGTATTCGGCTGGAACGGAAAGTCGAAGGAGAAAATGGAAAAGCCGACGAGCCTGCCGCTTCGGTACGAAATAGAGGCCGACTGCTCGACGCCCAGAAGAGCAGAGTAAGTGGAAAAGTTCAAAGAGTTCATATCGTCCGTTCTTTCTTCAGATTCTGCATCGACCCAGAAGACGACGAGAACACCGGAGAGCATCCACAATCAACGGCATCCGGAGACGAAGGCGTCCTCCAACAGTCCCTCATTCAACTTCAGAAACAACTTCGCAAAACCGACGTTCGTTGCTCCCGCCTCGAAAAGATCTGTGAATTTCAACAGGTTGGTCCCCTCGAACGCACCTTGAAAGTAGGCCAAAGATGAGGAAGAAGAAGTAGTTACGGCGCGTCGCGAGCGAGTAAAGTGGCCCATAGGCGAACAATTGAAAGGCGACAAAAAGTGGCGCGGATTTACAATAGATGGCAGTATAAGTTTGCACACGCACCTTTTCTCTTCGAGGTCTAATTATACCTCGGATGACCTACAAACGGAATAGGATGGCGGCCAAAAAAGCAGGAAAGAAATAGAACAAGTTTTGTGATTAATAAGAATCGCCAGTGATTACGATGACTACGATTCCCCGACTGAAATGACGTCGGTCCCCCGTCTCAAGATTCGCTCACTCAAATTTTTGATCTGTGTACCGTCCGTGTCGAAAATAGCCAAAACGTATGTCGTTCACTCGCTTGACGGTCTCCCCCAAATGTGTGCAATTTCGGCGTGAAGTGGATGAGCCAACAATGTCCGAGCAGGCACTCACACAAGTACCTGATGATCTTCTTCTTCTCTTTGATGATACAAAACTATCCCGTCGCACAAACGCGTTTGTGATTCATTTTTATTGAAAAGAAGAAGAAGAAAAGGATCGAGAGCACTCTTCACATCAAGACGAACACTCGCGAATCCATTCATCGCGTCTTTTTTTTGGTTGAAAAGGTGTATTTACGAGTTTATTACCGTCGTCTCAGTACGTTTGTTTGCGCTCGGAATTTGTGTGAAGGACGAGTGAGCGAGCATTCTGAAGCAGTTCAAAAATCGGGAAAAAAGTGACCTTGCCACATCACATCATACATCTGCTTCAATGGGAAATTCAAAGACTGTTTTTCGAATTGTCTTGGTTTTCTACAAGTTCGGCGAAGCGTTCGACTTCTGGAAGCTGGTCCCCTTTAGATTCCCCGGCTTCACTCATCCGTCCTCCTTTTTCTGACATCCCGAGGTGTCACTTCCTCTCCGATTATCGTACGGGTCACTGAGAGAGAGAGACCCTCTTTCTGGGGCCGTCTCAATCCCTAAACCGACTTTCGATTCCTTCTAAAGTCATGCACAAATATTGAGAAGGCCTCCTTCTCTCCACTTGGGCGCATTTCCGGAGAAAAGAGAGAAGGATCGGATTATTTGCATATACATACACATACGGACGCCGAAAGACACTTCCTTTCATGACGAGTACTTGATTGCAGCGTGACATCGACAGCCTCCGATACGAGGTCGACTGGAAAGACAAACGCATCGAGTATCTGCAGAAGACGTTGCAAGAAATGGAGGCGTCGCAATCCACGTCATCACGATCCACACCCGCTTCTTAATCACTTCTTTGCCATTTCGCAATTTAATCATCATCATTGTTAGGTGCTATATGTTTGTGCGGCGATCCCCTCAGCAAAATTCGCTTTCATCTCACTTTCGTTCCCTCATTCCCACGCCAATTTCAACGTTCCCCATCTCACTAACATATTTCAGAGCTTTCTTTTTCTCCCTCCATTCCATTCGCTTCCACAAGTGCTTACGGCTTCTGCGCCTTTAAACAACGAAACAAATGTACTTTTAGTTTTTATTAAGCTTTTATGCTGATAAATCATCGTTTTTTTTTTTGGTTTGGTTTGGTATGCAGAATGGGAAATTGATTGGGAAGAGTGGGTGGAATGTGTGGGGGGTGGGGGGAAACAGAAAAGGTACAAAAGGGGAAGGAATCACAGAGAAAACACAATCAGGGTCTCAGGATAGCCTATTTACAAAAGTAGATATGGAGAACGGGGAAAAACGATTTTTGTGAGGGGCGGGATCAGTAATATGCGAGAAAACGGAGATCCGACGGGATATTTGGGAGCGGGAAAGGCATGGTTGCAACGAGCCGGACTTCTTGGAAAATCCATGAAACCCTATCAATGTCCCTTCAATTGAAGCTTGTTGAATACGGATAAGCTTAAATTTAACGGAAATATCAACAGGGTTTCATGAAACTTAATTCACCTGCTTTTTCGGGCGCGGCCCGTCGCGACTATGGGGAAAGGGATCAAATTGACACATTCTGTGCATTTTGAGCCAAACGTGTCAACTTTCTGGTGAATGGAATACATTAGAAAGAAGAGGGGATATGGTTCTAAAATGCATTGTAAGGTGTGTAATGAGAGCTGGTGTACGGTGGTGATAAGGAAGACGGTGGAGGTGGAGGTGGTGCACAGAGAGAAGAAGATGCGTGACGGTGCGGATGGTGGTGCGCTTCCCAAACTGAAATTCGGTTGATTTTGAAGGATGACAGACGGAGAGAAAGAGGGAGAGAGACCCGTGAGGCATGGATTGATTAGGCTCGAGTTGTTGTTGCAGAAAGACATTATGGTATCACAGATTCTGAGGGCGGGCATCACAGCGAGAGGACTCGTTTTTGGAAGGATTGACTTACAGTTATTCGAAAATGGAGAGTGAGTAATTGGATCTACGACCTTCTAGAAGGTACCTGTTACGTGCTGGTTTCCACATTCACAAATAGGCGAAAAATGATAGGAAACGGCGGTGAGAAAGAGTGTGGGAAAAAAAAGAAAAAAGTGCTAGAAGGGTCAAGATGAGTACAACATACACGGCAGATGAAGAGCACTCTTCTCTCTTATTATCCGTTCACGTCGGCCATTTTGTTACGCGCGTATTCGATTCGAAGACCGCCGCGATCGTTGGCCGACACTTGGAATCCTTGAAGGGAGATCATGGCGTTCGTGGCCTTCTGAAGGTCGGAATACTCGACGAACGCCACGCAAGAGCCGTTCTTGTTGTGGAGCCGGAGGCGTGTGAAGCCGGGAAACGCCTTGAAGACTCCGCGCAACTGCTCCTCGTTCACATCGGCCGACAGATTGGCGACGAAAAGAGTGGAGCAGGCGGAAGTGGAGGCTTGTGATTGCTGCTGCTGGGTCACTCCGATGCTCGCTGAAACAATGTGTTGACTCTCGGCTCGGGGGGAGGAGGAGGAGGAGGAAATGGCGAGAACGGCGACGGAAACGGTGAGGGTGCTAGGTGCTTCGTTATGAAAAAACGGCAATTTTAGGTCTCTAGAAGACGCTATGCAACTGCTGCCTGTTACCCATCAGATTATCTCACCTGCCGGGTGCAATTGTGCGGCGGCGGCTGCGTACAGCGGCTGATTGAATTGCTGGAGCGCAGAAGCAGGCAGGTAGGCGGCCTGGAGAGCCTGTGCGGCCTGCAGGTGCGGCAGCGAAAAGGCGAGAAGCTGGTGATCGTTGAGCAAAGCGGCCGATTGTGGATCTAGAAGGAGGTCCGGCTGCATCGGAGCCAGGAATTGACCCATTCCGGCAGCGGAAAGCGCCGACTGCTGGGGCGGCGGCGACTGCTTCGGCCTCGCCACCTTCGTGTTCGACTTGGCTAGTTCTAATCGGAGCACCTGTGCGCATTCCGGATCGAATCGAACCCCTGTAACAAAAAAAAACCAATTTCTGTTAAGGCTGAGAAGTGTTATGGGAATTTCCCAGCGGATCTCGTCAACTTGCTCACCTTGCAAAAGCTTCCTAGCGTCTTGAGCGTCTTGTTGCGTTACAAACGTCACGAAACCCACTGGAGACGTTGGTTTTCCGTTTTTCGATGTCATTTTCAGAAGGGCGCCTTCATATCCACGACATCCGCGGAACAAAAGGTACAGCTCGCGGGGCTTCGCGTCCATTGGAAGACCCGAAACGAACAAGGTGCGGACCTGAAAAGAAGCACGTTTCGATGAGTAAGTTTATGATTTCTGTTACCTGAGATGGATTCGTGACCTCGGAAGAGACGCTGTTCAACGATTCCATCGAAACGGCCGACGCCAGGCTCGGCTTCGGGCCGTCCATCTTCCGTTTGCGGCTGTTTTCAATCGTTATGGCTGAAAAGAAAGAGAGGGAGTTATTATTTGCGATGGACGGAAGAACGAGGAAGAAGAAGGAGAGAAGGCGATGAGGATGTCGAATGATGAAGGACAAACTGAGGCGGAAGGCGGGGCACGGGCGGAGAAAGAGCGGAGCGCGCGAGAGGAAGGGAAACATGCATAGCAACCGAGGGGGGCAACCAATGAGCACACGACAAAGTGAGAGCCGAAACGAATGGGATGATGGAGACGTGACATGACAGCTTTCAGGTAGCAAATGAGGGATTAGTGCGACGCCCGTCGCGCGGCGAATTCTTATTCTTATTCTCATAGAAAACGCATAATATATCTCTACTTGGGACAACTTCCGTTCTTTTCTTCACTTTTCGCCTCTTTTCCACCCTATTATTGCTTCTCTAGTTTTGTCTTGTCCAGTACAAATAAATAGCCAAAAGAAAGCTAGTCATACGACGGCCACCCGGGCGGCGGGAGAAGAAACGAAAAAACAACTACTGATAAGGGAAGGGAATGGCTGTGGGAAAGGGAGAAGAAGAAGAAGAAGGAGAAGAAGAAGAAGAGAAATCACCTGGGGGTGGGGGTAAAAGGGAAAAGGGAAGTGACCTTCGATGAGAAAAAGATGGGAACGAGAAGCTTCTTCTTCTTCTTCTCCTTCTTCTCCCTCTTCTTCGTTCCTCGTCGTCGTCGTCGTCGCCAATTAATTGGTATCTTTCCCCGTCGGTGGCGGCATTTCCCTCGTTTCTTTCTCATTTTCTCTCCCCCTCTCATATCCCACCAACTATTACACTTTCCAAAGCGGCGAAAAATGAAAAAGGTACGAATTTTGGCGCGATGGCCGAAGAATTCTGCGGCCGCGGAGCCCGTGGCTCAAAACGGCAGGGTGGCAAATGTCATGAGTAGGGGGTAGAGGGAAACGAGGAGAGACGAGGCAGGAGGAGGAAAAAGAAAAAGGGAAGCGAATTGCATTTCATGCCTTTTTTGCAGAAAGAAAAAGAAATCCGAGATGGAGCAATGAGGACGAAGGGTTTGATGATAAGGAACGAAAAGGCCAACGAATCGGTTGGCTTTCAGAATATTTCTATTGATTTGTTTTAGTGCAGAAATAAATTAAAGGGAATGAGCATTTGACATCGAGAATGTCGCCCATTAACTCAATTTTACCGAGCCGGCAAACTAAACTTAATTACAAAACGGCCAGAGAATTGGGTAATATCCGTCAGCCTCATTCCGTTATCAACTCAGAAGTCCGCTAAAGTACAAGATGTTTCGTTCGCTTGACTGGAACTAATTGGAAACGTCCTATCTGGGAGGCATTCGATTGTTGCGAAAAGAAAAGATAAGAAAGAGACCGTCTCCGAGCGGACGTACGAGCGAATAAATCAATCTTTGCCAATGGAGTAATCGAATGGCAATTCTTCGATTTGGGTACGTACTTGCACATTCAAAGGTGAACATGGAGTCTAGGAAACGATCCGAGTTCCAAAGCATTGTAAAAGGGCAGTTCATGAACACAGTCATCAGCCTGAACAGGTAATCCGAACCGGCCCGTCCGAAAAAAAAACGAGGGAAAGGTAAACGGAGAGAAGGAGGAAAAGAGTGATGAAGGAGGGAAAGAGGGCGGAAAGAATGATGGGTGTCTGGGCGGGGCCGTCCGTCCGTCCATTCCGTGTGGCCACCCCACACACACACACTCACACACAAACGCCCTCTCCAGACGACGGCGACAGTCCGTCAGGTAGGCAGGCCTACGACGAAAAAGGACAGCCTCCTCCCGTCCAAGGTTGTTCTTCTGCCAATGTCTTCTGGATATGAGAATGGAATGCGATGCGTTTGTGTTATGGATATGGATGCGGCGACAGTACAGTCGGGCGGACGGATCTTTGACCGAAGTCGGATGGGCGTGGCTTCTCCTGAAGACTTGACTTCTACCGTAATCATTCCACTTCTACAGTACTCCCTCCTCAAACCAGACGTCTTCTTCTTCTTCTTCTTTTTCGCGTGAACACACTCTCATCCATTCACTCGGCGTTCACAAGGTACACATTACGTGAGCGCGGGCGGCACGCACCCTCGCTCACTCATACACGCGCACATCAATAATACAGGGCCCCCCCACTCACTCCCCGACTGTGACAGTGTCTCTGCGCGCGCGCGCCGGCGCCTCCTATATTTGTGTCTGGTTGCCCTATGCGTGAATTGCCTACAAGGTGGTATTTCTCGAGTGGCGGCAGGCGGGGGTTGGAGGAGAAGGCCGCCCGGTTTTATGTGTATGTGTGTGTATGTTTCTTTCGAACACACATAGTTAAAGACTTTACGGATTAAGAACGAGGGTCGCCGGCAAAAAATCGGAAGGTTATGGGGTAATGTTGAATAGAAAATTATGTCACAGTTTATTCGGTCTTCCTGCTATTTCAGGAGTTACGGTAGAGAAATCACGCGATGCCTACAAAGTGACATCAGTTTCAAACAGCCCCCGGATCCTGGATTCGTTCAGAGATGTTTGGTCTTCTGACCGTACACGGACACTCCCTTGCGCGGGAAATAATGGAAAAGGCAACAACTTATGCAAACTAGGCAATTTCTCTCCTGACCATTCTTTGATTCTAGAATAAAGTTTACAGAAGGGATCAGGTCATGGAATAACCGTAAAACGATCGTGCGCTCATAAACGAACATTACTGACGAGATGAGATCGAAATTATTTCAGACGGGAATGATTTACCACGGAGCTGGTGGGGTGAAGAGTGAGAGGAGACACGACGACAAGATAACAAGATAAACTCAAGTGCGCACTTACTTCACACTCTTTTTCTCTCTATCACTTGAGAGGGGACGAAAAGAGAAAAAGAATGAGAGCACTTCCATAAAAGTTTGTTCCTTTCTCTCTCTCTTTCTCTCTCTCCCTCGCCCGCTTTCTCAAATATTTACCAATAGGTACCAATAACCAGGGAATGAGAGTCGGGTCGCAAAGAATGGGCGCGAAAAGAACTTGTCTCCGTTTCCGGAAGAGCTGACTGGCCAGTACATAAACAAGGCCGAACTGGAGGGGAAAAAGGCGAGAACCAACCGAAAACTCTTGGCTCTCAACTCGACACAATTGAGGTGTGAACAATGCGAGAGCAAGGTGCGGAGCCGGCGAGTGAGCAGGCGGCCGCGGAGAGAATCGAGACGCAGACGACGGCAGATTCAGTCACCTTTTGTAAGGGGAACGAAACATGGAGGGGTTGCCGGGGGAGACCGATTCCTTTCGCACATGCATTTCGGAAAGAAGCTCCCACACGGAGAGCTCATTATTAATCGAGTGGTGTGCTCTTTGCGACACGAAAAACGACGGAAAAGGACGGATTGCATGATGATGATGATGATGATGAAGGAAACGAAGGGGGCGACGACGAAAGCGTTTGTCTTATGAATCATACACACTTTCTTTCTTTCTTTCCTTCTTCCGAAGGGGTTCCACCTGGCACCAAGCGGACAGCAGCCAGCAGGTCAAGCGGCGCCCGAATGTTGAATGTAAAGAGGGGAATGAGGGAGAAGAGGTTGGAATTAGTTTAAGGATTCTCTCAGGCCCGACGATGTTGGTCTTTGTTTCAGGAGAACGACCCACTTCTCAAGGAGACCCGGTTACAGTACTTCCGTATAATCCATCATCTGCCATCCCTCCTTTCCCTCCTTCACAATTATTCTCAAATTGAGGCTTTGCCACGTCAGAACGGATCACAAAGTACGGCTTGACAAACGAATAGAAAATGGGGTATTTGGGTTGTGGAGAATCACGGCTCCTCAGCTGTTTTGGCGGTGGCCGTTCGTACTCGATTTTACGATGTTTTCGGTGGCATGCGTGCCATAGTTTGTAACCTTCACACAAAAAAAGATATTCAAAACATTCGAATTGAAAACACTTTAGAAATCGAATTAGTTTTCTCATTTTCCTCTTCTTCCAAGTGCCTAATTCGTATTAACTGCGAAAATTGAGGAGAGAGGATAACTGCAACATGTTGGTAGTTGGGAGAAAGAGTGAGAGTGGGGGGGCAGTCCCATCAAGTATGTATGAGAAGACGTCCTACTTTATTATTTATAATAATCGCTCTTGTTCATACATTTTTGAACGGTTTTTGGCGAAGCAGAAGACGTTGCGGCAAGAAGGCGTCGATGAGCAGACGCCTTCTGACGGCCGAGGGATTCTTCTGGAAGAACTCGTTTCTCGATGTCTCCTGCCGTGCAGATTACTCGCTGAGAACGGGATCCGAGGCGACAAGACACGTTGCAATCCAATTACGAATACTATGGGATTTGGAGGGGGGAAATCGAAACGGACATTTGAAACTGGAGAGAAACGGGAAGAAGGAGAAGAAGAAGATTGAATGGGAACTGTTTTTGGTACGAAATGGGCGGCGCTTCTGTATCGTTCGAAATGCTATCGGGAAACTACGAAGCCAGGAACTAAACTGGATATGAGACAATCTCGCTCTACCGTTCAAGTAGCAGTAGCTCTTCCATTTTTGAACAATTCTAGGCCAGCTTCCCACGGTTGACGGTTTTCAGCCAAAAAACATCAAACTGATAAATCCGAATTTCGACTCGACCAAATTTTACGATCTTGTGCTTAAACAATTCCTTCTCACCTAGCTCGGAGCGCAAATGAGATATCAATTATGCTTCACGGCTAACTTTGCTAAAAACAAGACAATAGTCGAATTTCGCTCCAATTTTCGTTTTTGCGGTGGAGCGCACTTGCACTTGGAAAATCATCATCTTCGCATGATTTCATGGTAAAACTTTGAATTTGCAGGCTTTTCCCGGCCGCTGGCCTAGAATTGAAACCTAATAATGGAAGAGAAACTGGAATCTAAGCGGAAGACACAATTCATTGCAGGTTTGCACTCAGCCGCATCCATCGTTTTCTCTTCTTCTTCTTCTCCTTGCCCGTTCAAATGTCACCTACTAATCATGTCAGACCAACTGAAAGCTTCATTCTCCTCGAAAACTTCGCCGGCCCGCGGTGCCAATTATTGTGACAACCTGGGTGTAAAACGGAAAAAAACGAGAAGAGAAGACTGGAGGAGAGGCGAGGGGAACTCGGTGAAATGGATCAAGACGGAGAAAGTGACGGGCACGAGTGTTCCTCTTTCTTTCTTTCCTAGTACTAGTTGGGATGTTGCCACTATCAAGATCGGCTGCTGACGAGAGATGACCCACCGCCGGGCCGCCACACATAAATCTCGTCCTTTTATCTCCATTTGCCATTCATTCATTTGCGCGCAAAAGGAAACGATTAGGACAGAAAGAGAGAGAGAGAGAGGGGGAAATGTATAGGAAAAAAGTTAATGAACACGAATAACATGGGATTCAGAAGTTAATCTTGAGCCAAGAAATAAAAAAACTGAAACCAAAGGAATAAAACAAAACTTGTCGTGTTCTCCTCCGTCTCGAGATAATTATGCTTCTTCTCTTCCTCCTCCGTCTTCGGCTACTCGATAGACAATAGGCCTAAAAATGGGCGAGGAGGACGGGAAGAGGAAGAGTGGGCGAGACAATTTTCAGAAGAACACAACAAATAGAGTCGTACTGGCAGCGGAAAGAGGCCATAAGCCCAAAAACTAACAATGAAAGGCTCGGCCACGGAGAAACACTTTTATGGCCGCCAAATGGCAACGTTTCCGGATTGTTCCACGCCCCGGTTTCAGTCGGTTTCAGAAGGGTTGTTTCCATTTTGTTTCCACCTTTTACTCCAACGGCAGTGCAATGAGGTAAAATATGGTGAAATTCGATACGGACGAGCAGTTTGTTTGGAGGCTTTCGGATAGAAGAGAGAGAAAGAGAGAGAGAGAGAGAGAGAGAGAGAGAGAGAGAGGAATCAAATGGTGAGTGAATTCACGAAAAGATACAAAACAAGTCGGAATTGGAAGCACCTTTTCAGCGTGGCCATGAACTTCCACGTCTCGCCAGAGGTCACCTTTCCATGCCCTCTCGAATCTTCCCTCACAACGAAATCAAATCCAATCCAAACAATCCGAAACATCGAAGCGCTCTTGACATTCACGAAATTATTTTTGTTTAATTCTCAAGACCACGATGTTGTGGACCGTCGTGAGTTTCCCGCCCCCTCCGCCTTCCAGATCCTCCCGCTTTCAGCTTGTCCTGAGCGCCCTACTTTCCGCCGTTCTCGGCCAATGCGGCAAGAAATCCAAGCAGAGTGACGTGGGTTTATTCTTCTTCGGAATAACGGTAATCGATTTGTTTCAGGACGGGAAATACGAAGAGTGCGCTTTCAAAAACAACGCTCCTCCGGCTGCCTAACTCGTCAGCAACGAATACGTCGAATTATGTCTTTGTCGATTCCCTTTCGGATTCGTCCTGTGTTGAATAAAGTGATTATTTGAGAGCCCGTGTCTTACTATTATCCGACCAGCAACTCGACGTTTCCAAACGTCGACGTGTCGATACGCACGTGAACTTTGACAGTGCATTTTATCGCTAAATAATTCACGTTCGTTGTGAAACGTCGGGGAGATGTCGGAGAGCATTGAAGCAAGATCGGATTCCAAAATAACAGCGGAAGACTGAAGGGTGTGGCGTTGCGAACTGGAAAAATGATAAAAAGTGATGGCAGAATGAATCAAGAGCTATTTAACGGAATGATAAGGGAAAGGGCAGCCTGCAGAAAAAACGGCAAGTTTCAGAGAGATTTGGAGAAAGGATTACAGCGTCAGGTGCATCGGGATCATCAGTCAAAACTTGGATTTCTCCATTTTGTTCCAGAAATTTTAAGAGACTCCTTTGAGTTGAGTTCCTGTTTTTCTTTGCAGAATTGACCAACCAATCTGTCGTCTATGCACTCTCTTCAAGTGTTTTCAGAGCTGGTGCAGCTGACCGCCACGTCGCAGATGTTCTTCAGGATCTTTTCTGTGTACTCACTGATTTTCAGCTCGGACCGCCCAATCGTTCCGATCTTTCACGATTCGTCCGTGTTCTCCACTTCATTCAGATTTCCCATTTCATTTGGAGCCAGCGGTTCCCATGTCAGTTCGCACATTCTTCTTCTTCTTCTTCTTCTTCTTCTTCTTTTTCTCCACTTTTCTGTTTCCCAAGTACATATCGGCGACTCAATTGGCCGCCGCTTTGCTCTATTTTCTCACACATCCGGAGGGAGTCAAAGAAGAAGAAGAAGCTGAGTTGACCCAAAAAAGAGGATAAATTAGAAAGCGATTCAGTGGGGAAGAAGAAGAAGAAGAAGAAGAAGAAGAGCACTGAGGCGTCAGATGACTGCCGAAGAGAGTAGAGCTGGCTGATTGCCAACCCGAAAAAGAAGAAGAAGAAGTAGTGATTCTGGGATATGTTTTCCGGTGCTTCGTGGGTCTCAAGGGTGCTCAATTCGATATCATTCTTCTCGTTATTATTGGACATTCCCCCTCGGACGACCAAGACCACGGCCGCCTTTTTCAACCCAAATAGCAAATACCCGTTCTTCTTCCTCTTCCTCTTCCTCTTATCTCTTTTTCATCCGATTGTCTCTAGCTTAATACTGGACGTTTTTCATGCGGAGTACAGTAATCCTTCCGGCTCACAGAGCTAATTTTCCTCAGAAAAAGGAAGAGTCGGCCTTTGTTCGGGCGAAAGCCGAGCACATTTTCAAGGATCTTCGAGAGTTTCCAACTCATTGAGCACTTTCTTCTCTCTTTTCACTTTCTCGTGTTGCAGACGAATTCCACTGATTACGAACAGACTTGTTCCCTTTTTTCTTTTTTCTTCTCTCTGTTTTCGTTCCATGATTCTTGTTTTTTGACATCTGAACCGAGCGGATCTCTGGTGGCTTTCTGGTGGTTTTTGAGTCGGTGCCCTCCATTCCAAATTCGATTTCGACCATGTCTTCTTTGGACGAACACACAATTGCCACGTCATCTGAGCCGTCCGTTGGGCTCAGATTCTTTGCTCACATTGGCTCCACACTTTGGAAATTGGCAATGAATCAGGGCGCATTCTTCATAACGTTTCCGTGGTGTTTTTGAGTCGGCACAAGAGCTGGGAAATTGTCCGTCCCGCGCTTTTTGAGGGCCTGTTGGACTTTTCGATCACTTGCAAGATTCCGGAGGCATAGCCCGGCTTTGTTTGGGTCCGATTAGAAAATTGCAAGTGGTTCAAAAATCCAAGCGCAGACAGGCCCGGCCCTGATCATCATTCAATAGAGCTCACAAAACTAGGGAATATTTTCCGTAGACCTCGTTTTCCAACCCAATTACCAATCACTTAGCACCCGTCTGGACGTCTCGAATTTCTTTGGATTTCCTCGAAATCTCATCCGAATGTAGTCGGTCGGTTTGTGTCCGTTTTCGCTCCAAATCATCGCACTTTCGCACATGTCATCCGCCCGTTTTCGCCGCCCATCCCTTTCCGAAACGAGAGAGCACTGCGAATCGAGAGACACAGACATGCTCCGAATCTGATTTGGTGCTAGTTAATGGCGCCTGCTCCCCCTCTCATGAACGCATCCGTGCGCCCGCTCGCCGAACATTTCGTTTTCCCCCTCCCCCAATCTCGATTTTATTCTGAAACACTCTCAAACTCTTATTTTTCTTCTTTTACTTCTTTCCTCTCCCCCTTCGGGGACCACGCAGAGGTTGGGGCTCGCCGAGCTCGTGAATCATACGCCAGAAGTCAGTGCATTTGTGCCGGCCGCTTCCGTCTTTTGTCCCTTCCGTTTTAAGTGGAAAACAAAAAAAAAGTTTCAGAGGAAATGTGGAAAACAGGAGGAGGACGCAAAGAAGAGATCTGAAATCGGATTGGTCTCCCGGACAGCAGCAGCACCGCCGTTCACAATGTCGCTGCTCATGTTCCTCGGACTCGGACGCGTCAGTTTTCTTTTATTTTCGATTTCGGAAGGTTAATGAGAACCCGGTCATGCCAGCAATAGATAAATGTTTCTTATTCAATCGAAAACCGGTGAAAAACAAACCTATCGGGTTTACTGGTTTTACTGGTTTTTTACCAGAAGACATCTCCTGTCTTAGCTAAATAAGTAAATTCAAAGTTTCAAGTGGAATTTAGAAAAAGAGACAGAAAGTTGGAGGAATCGGATGAGTTGTTGGGACAAACGTTCTGAACAAGAAGAGCTCGCTCCCCCATTGAGCGACTCCGTGAGCCGAGATCGAATAGTTCAATGAGCCGTGGCCGGAGCACGTGCCTCGGGTCTCGGAGCCATCGTCTCGGTGCCTGCCGGATGACGTCTTCCGTCCATCGTCGGTCCATCAACCCTATCTTCGACTTTCTTTCCGCAACGTTTTCCGCCATTTCTCTCCCTTTTTTCGAAGTGATTTTTGCATGACGGACATACTTGTCACTCCGTCTCTCCGCCTCCCCGCCTCTTTTCCCCTTTCGTCCACTTGTATACAAATTCATTTTGCTTCGTCCTTTTGCTCCGAATGCCGTCTGGACGGTAGACAAGTGAGATGGACGAGGACGACGACGTCAAAAAGTGCGTCGCAGATGACGATCTTCTGAAGGCGTTTCTCGAAGAAGACTTTAATTCCGAGCACTATGATTCTATTTGGGAGGTATATGAAATCTCTACCGAACTTCAATAGAGCGTATTTTGTCAAAAACGCTTCAGATCGCATAACTTGAATATTTTAATCCTTTACTTTTCAGTGTCTTCAACACAATCGGAGAGCGATCGCGGTCAACGGCTTCATAATAGTTTTTCTGATAATCTACACCACAATCGGCGGCTTCATCTTCCTCAATTTTGAGTATGAATACCAGCAGTACATGAGGCAGAATGCGACACTCGAAAAGCGGCTGTGCATCGAATCTCTCCTCAACAGGGACAATCGGTTACGGCTGACGCGAGCTTCTGACGTGGCGGCGGTCATTGCCGAGCGATGTCTAGCTGAGAAGGTGAGCAGAATCTGCAAACGGTTTGCCGCCATCACGGGTCGACTCTGCCCGCTTGGGCTCAGTAGACCCACGCTCTACTGAGCTATGGCGGCCGATTGTGTCGCGACATTCTTCCCGGTTCCGTTGGCCGACAATAGTCTTCCTCTCAATCTGATTACACGTTTGCAGGTGAAGGACGATCGCATCCAATGGTCATTCAAATCGGCGGCGCTCTATTCTCTCGGCATTCTGACGACTTTGGGTAAGTGAGGCCGAGAGCCCCGAGCGGTCACACTTTGTGAGTGATGAGGCACAGACAAATGGACAGTCCTGGGGGACGAGTGGCAGAGGCCAAAATGCAAATGTACTTGGGATGTGTGTCCGCGAGAGAGCCTTTTTTGATCTGAAACGAAGAGCGGAGGAGAGGAAGAAGAAGAAGAAGAAGAAGTTTGAGACACTTGTCAAAACAAAAATTTGTGCGTCCGAGGAAAACGCGTAATCCTTGTCGTCGCCGAGACAGAGTTTGTATATAAACATGCAAGGAATCGAGAAGAAAAAGAGAGACGGGTGACCGGGGACACGAATTCTGAAGGGACACTGACACTCGATCATTTTCAGGTTACGGAAAGATAGAGCCTCAGACGATCAATGGCCGCATCTCTACAGTCATTTACGGCTTCTTCGGAATCCCTCTGACCGTAATCCTGCTCACAAACTTCGGAAGATACCTCGAGGCAATGGCGACGCGCTTCCGAAGACTGGTCACGTGTAGAAGACGTCGGCCCGAGGACGAAGAGGAGTGCGTCTCCGGAAGCACTCTCTTCTTCATCGTCCTCGTTTATCTCATCCTCGGAGCCGTGATGATCCCTCTGATGAGCGGTCAGTTCGACTTTTTCAACGGAATTTACTACGCATTTATCTGTTTGACTGCCATCGAATACGGAGACATCGTCCCTCAAAAGTGAGTGCTCCACAGACATCGCTCTGATCGTTCCTCTGAGCGTTCTTCAGTAATTGGTTCGTGCCCATCAGCGTCTTCTACATGTGTACGGGACTCGCCATATCAACCATTGCTCTAGGTGAGAATCTGCTTCCATGGAACCACTCGAGGAGGGAACCATGGAGACCTGGTTACCATGGAATAAAGTGTTTCATGGCAACGAATTGCCAAGCGACCCGAAGAGCCGATGAGGTCGTCAGGGGGACGATGGGAGTTCCATGGAAACGGGGAATATTACTGGGGGAAGCACTCAACCTCGCCCCAATCGCATTTTCTCGTTTACCCAAAAAAATCTCCATAAACCCACATTCCATTTCCGCAAAATAACTAACCACTTTCAGATATCGGATCAATCTATGTTCGAAAATTGCATTTCATTGGCAAAAAGATCAAAAACATTGCCAACATTCGCATTTGGTTCGGTGCCAGAAAGTGGGTTTTCCATTCGCAATCAAATACGAATACTGTCTATTCTGCAGTCTGGAAGTGAGAGAACTGATCACCGCCGTCGGCCAGAACATCGGAATCGATCAGAATGTGATAGCGGACATCGACATAGATACTTTGGTGAAAACGGCGATTCAAGTGAAGTTGGGAAGACTCTCAAGAGTGCCGCAGACTCACATGATTGTGGAGGGCATCTGGCCGCCAGAACTGGTCCCACTTTTCATGAAGGTTCGTCCAGAATGCTCTTGATTCTTCGTACTACTCGGGTGTTTTTAGGATGGCCAATTTCCATTGTTCGTGGATTCAGAAGACGACCTCACCGACATCCGACCCAAAAAGTTCTCAGTTCACTTTGAAGACGAACCGATGATCTCTGAAATCGACGACACTTCTGACTCGGAAGCGGCCGCCGAAAAGTCGGTCACCACGTCTTCTCGCCTCTCTCCGATGCCTCCCCGTCGACCGACGCACATGAAACTGGAAGAATCGACAGGCAATCGGCATTTGTTGAATTGAATCTGACTTTCCGGTTTCAGATTCTTCAGACCAAGCACGGCGTGACGTCATGAATACGTCGGAAATCACTACAACGCTGACGTCGGACCTCTCTACCGACACTTGAAATTTATGCCTGATTTTTAAATAACTTTTATATTGATTTTTCTATATTTTCTATCAATGAAAAACTTCAATTTGCCTTATTCTTCGAAAAACACGTCATGTTTAGTATACGGTAAGCAAAAGTCTGCAAACACCGCACGAAGAAACTGCACTTTTTCCCAGCGCGACTCCAACATTCTTTCGAATTTTCTCGATCCCATATTTATTGTTCAAGACGTGGCAATTTTTTTACAATGTCCTCCGACCCGTTCGTATCTTAATCTTCACCGAACGCGATGAAATTCTAAAGTTTAAAGCGCTAAAACACTAGTCAAATTCGTTCCTCGTTCCTGGCTGAAACATGTCATGTTATTTTGTGAAAATCGTCCGTTCAACGCTGAATTACTTTTTAAAGCGTGTTGTTCTGCCTAAACTTCCGTTGCGACTGACAAGTACTCTGTTTTCTCGGCTCCGATGTTCCGCTACTCAACGTTTCGAAACCGCGACGTCTGGACACCCACGTCAACTTTCACAGTGCAATTAATCGCCAAATTCACGTTAGTTCCGAAACGTCGTGTTTTCGTAATGCCGGGTTTGGAAACGCCGGGGAGCCGTTTTTCACGCTTAGAAATCAGTTCCTCCCCATTAATCGGCCGGCTCCTTTGCTTTGTTTTAATTCACTGTAATTAAAGTATTTGCACTTGTATCTCCGTCGGTATAATTATTTACAAATATTGTTCAGCTGTAAGCTTTAGCATCGCGCCTAATTATCTGGTAACTTTTTACTTATAACACAATGTTCGAGGCAATTGCTCTTCTGGCGTTCAAGAAGGCGGGAACCTCCCACTTCTACATTATATGTTTTCTACCTCCAAACTCGTCCATACAAAAGGGTTAGTTTGTTCGCAGCGATTGCGTAATATTTCAACCGCCGTGATGACGAATCTCTAATAACAAAACTTACTAAACTAAAAACACACTCAGCGATGTGTGTCAAGCCGCTTGATATTTAGTGCTCTAAAATTTTACAGACTTGCAACGGGCCGGGCCGGGCCGGGCCAAAATTGGAAATTTTCCGGCCCGGCCCGGCCCGGGAGGATGCACCTAAAAAAATTGCTGTTTAAAGTCGCAAAATTTTCACAAAAATTACGAAAATTTTCTCAAGAGTGGGCGGAGCGATTGATTGCAACTCTGGCACGCCATTTTAGCAATTTTGCCGCACGCGTTTTCCTCTTCCTTCATATTTTTTTTGCATATTTTTTTTGAGGTCTAACTTCCGGGCCGACGATTTGCTGGCCCGGCCCGGGATTTGGCAAGTCTGAAATTTTATCCTTCACAGTGAGTCATTTTCATCCTCTTCATTTCTCCGTTTCCTTCGAATGGTGTGATGTCGCCGGAGCACAAGCTAATCAGTAAAGAGGTCTCGATACCCGTCTCGAGACTCGCCCGCAGTCTTTTGTTGGTGGGGGCTGCCGCCTTCAGCGTGTTCTTCGTTGGCTCTACACCACCTATCGATTGGAAAGGCGGGTCTTTTCTGCGTCTCCGCAAAGTGCCTCTTTTCAACGCGCTCTCAGTCTCTCCGTCTTCCTCATCATACGACCTTCCTCCTCTCAGCCAGTGTCACCCACTGCCTTACTCTTTCCTCTCTCTCATAACCTCCTATTTAATCCCTCTCTTCGTTGTTACCTGGCAACGTTATGGCGCCTTTCTCTGCCGTACATAACGTTCTGTTTTCTCACTTATCTTCTCATTTGTGTGCGAGTGCGCCTCTTCTTTTTTCTTCTTGTGACTCATCAGGTAAATTTTTTTGTAGACCGTCAGCTCAGCGTTAACTATGGCCGAGAAAGTCGAGCGTCAGATCAAGATTTCGTCTTCGGACAACGAAATCTTCTTGGTAAAAGAATGCCCCGGGGTTCCCGCTCTCTTCTTGCGGCCCTCGTGCTGCCTCTTCCAGCGGAAAAATCAATAAACCTCGCCACACTTGCATTACGGGTGGCTGAAATAAAGCGTTTGTCCTTGATTCATTGTGAACGACATGTGTCGGGCTGTACGCCGGGTTGCGAAAAAATCACAATGGCATCGTTTCAGGTCCCGCGTAACGTCATTCGTCTCTCGACCACCATCAATACGCTGCTTCAAGACCTCGGTCTTGATGACGATGAGGGCACCAACACTGATCCGATCCCAGTGCAGAACGTCACTGCTCCGATCCTGAAGAAGGTGATCAGCTGGTGCCAGTACCACTACAACGATCCGGCTCCGGCCGATGATGCGGACAGCCGCGAGAAGAGAACCGATGACATCGCCAGCTGGGATGTCGAGTTCCTCAAGGTCGATCAGGGAACCCTGTTCGAACTGATCTTGGTGAGGACCATCACTATTTCACTTCTGATTACTATCGATTGATTTTCAGGCGGCCAACTATTTGGACATCAAGGGACTCCTCGACGTCACCTGCAAGACCGTGGCCAACATGATCAAGGGAAAGTCGCCGGAAGAGATTCGTCGCACTTTCAACATCAAGAACGACTTCACCGCTGAGGAAGAAGAGCAAATCCGCAAGGAGAACGCTTGGTGCGAGGATTAAATGTCTCTCCCCACTCCTTTAAGCCCCTGCACATTTCCTTCTGACATTTCTTCTTCCCACGTCTCCCAAATGTCCTAATTATGGTCTCCTCCAGAGCCCCACATTTACTCCCACTTCTGACTTCATACTTGAGAGTGAGCTAGTTTTTAAAGAATGGAATCCAAAATTTCCTCCTCTCAGTCCCCTGTAAATTTAACACAACTCTTATTTGTCCCCGAATTCTCTTGACTTTACTGATACCACCACCCGTCATCTGCTGCATATACGTGCATTGTGGTTCAATGAAACAATGTTGAAGAAAAAAGGTTTTGAACTTTTATATTGAAAGAGAGACCCGTTCTCATATTCTGATATGGAAAGTGCGAATGAAGTCGGGTGATCGGGAGACGACGTGCTCGAACTCGGCAAAGTTGATATTGGAGTCTCCGTCGAGATCCGCCTCCTCTATGATCCTTTCGATTATGAATTCCACTTCGACGTCGCTCAGTTCGTCCCTCGTCAGACTTCGGATCATTTTGCTGAGATCGTCGTGTCCGAGCAGTTCGTCGCCGTCGTAATCTGAAGTTGAACGGGGAATTGGAAGCCGAAAGGGCGGAATTTACCGTAGATTCTGAAAGCGTATTTCAGTTTTAACTGGAGCGGAGCCATCTCGGAGAACACGGAAAACATGTCGAGAAAGTCGTCGAACGAGAGATTTCCGCGACCGTCTTCCGAGAAAACTTCACAGATTCGCCGTTTGAACGGATTCTCCTGCAAATGAATCATTGCGAGGGGGAGCGTATCTGATTTCAAAGCTCTGATGAGAATGGATGAAGTAGGCGCAAATGATGAAGTGCAACGGAGCGCACTCTCTTCCCCGGGGACTCCGAAATACGAAAACGGGGCGGAAGAAGATAACGAGCCGTGACTTTTGATGCACTGCGAAATGAATGTGTTCCCGATGTTTGGAAATCTGGAGTCGGAATAGCAGAATACTTGAAATCATTGCCGTCCGCGCAAGTGGGAACGTTCGCTTGCGGAATGCGGAATGCGGAATCAATTTGTAATTTTAAAAATCAATTCGGCAGGTTTTTCTAATAGAAATTCACCTGATAATCAGGAAAACATGACAAAATATGTCATTATTTGACAAAATGTTTTATTCCGCATAAAGATTTTGCGGTATGCGGATTCCGTGTGAGAATTTCCATAAATTTCTAAAATTTCTTCGTAAAAAGCTGAAATTTGAGTGAGTTCATAATGATGTCTGCCTATCCTAATCGTATGCATTAGACCAGATAATCTGGCCCTACGTCAGCCCTGAGACTCCGTCAGCCCCGGATCTTTCAATCTGAAGAGGAAGAGTCCGAGATTACTGTAATCCCTTTGAGCCTTTCAAGCTTAGAAAAGCTTTAGAATCCCACTCACTTTCAACTCGGGCATCTTCTCGACTTCCTCGAACGTCAGAGTGGTGATGGCGGGCCGGTTGCCCTGCATATTCGTGGGCACCTTGTGAGGATTGAGCGCGTAAAACCGTTTGTACAGTCGGATGATGTCCTTTCGCGTGAAGAATGTGCAGTCCTGCAGAATCGTGTGGAAATGTGGCGCCGTTGTCAAACTCTTCTTGATTTATGACCCCCTTTTCTGCCATTCCTTTTTCGCGTTTCGACCCCCGACGCCTCAACACTTTTGGGGAGCGAGCCGAGCTTTCAACGAGATTTTTATCTCGCAAACATTTTTGAAATATTTCGAAAATTTGAAAAGATTTGAGATGGAACACTTTGCAAGCGTCTCTTTCTCTCGGAGCGGACACCAACCTGATATTCGTCCAACTGCTCTCGGGTGAAGACTCCGCCCTTCGAGAAGAGGTTCAATTCGGACAAAGAGCTGGCGTTGTTGCCCATCTGATACAGCTGAAAACCCGAAAAAGGATTGAGTGCATTGAGAAAGTGCTTTTCTGGAATGGCGAAGAAATGTTATAAAGTCTTGTGCGGATGCCTGGGGGCCCACGGAAATCGAGGAGGAAATGAGAATGGGTTTGGGGTGGCAGGCGGGAGCGAAGAGAGCGTTCTGGAAGAGGAGACGTCAGGGAATGGTGTAACATTAGACGGGGCCACGGGGAGATGCCGCGGGCCGGGGGACCCGAAGAAATGGGAGAAGCTACACGAGAGGCGCCTCTGACATTGACGAGAGAGCGACGAGGGACGTCGAGACGCAGACGCAGTGATCGGACAGGCGAAGGATCGCTCCTGGGAACGTGTTTGCTCATCAAGCTGGGACCGCTCCATTAGTACTGGGACCACATCGTTCTTGAGTAGAACCACTGTGATCAGCCGACCGCAGCGAGCACCTGCTCAAGCGAAAGCTCGTCTGCACGAATGGGAAAGTCTATCCGAGAGCCGTTTCGTTTTTGGTTGATTGAAGTCGGAAGACGTGCGCAATTTCCGCCTCGCCAAACACGACGTTTCACCCAGATTGAATTGAAACCTTTTTGAGAAAAGAAATGCTCCGTACGGCAGTCGGTCTTTCTGGGTCTTTGGGAAACGAAACAAAGTGAGCAACAAATACTAAACTGATTTATTAGATTCCGAGTAGCAGATCAAGGATGTTCGAAAGTCGCCGTGGTAGCGTTCGTCGAGTTGGTCACGTCCTTCGCCGCCATCTCGTCCCGGGTGTCTCGCGCCGATTGGATCGGACGAATTCTCTGAAACCATCAGTTCTTTCAGACCGCAGCCACGGAATGCTCACCGAGTACACAGCCACCAACTGCTTCTCATTCACAAATCTCGGGTGTCTGTTTTTTCTGGAATTCGATTCGGAAGAGTTGAGATCCTGCCGTTCGTTCTGTTTCTCCGGGATCGGGTCAGCAGCCTGTGAATTGACCAGCGATCGGATCGTGTTGGAAAAGACGAGATGCGGATGAAAGTGCACTTCGTCCCTCTTCGCCAACTCCTTCACTGGCTGGAACACATCCAGGATCGCCGTCTCTTTGATCGCCTTGAGCGTCAGTTTCTTGTCCCTGAACATCTCGATGTGGTCCTTTCCGACTGTGATCGCAGGATCCATGTCTTTCTGTAAAAGTAATTTCATGAGCAGTGTTCCTACTTTTCAACCGACCGTTTCCTCTTCTGTCGGCTCCATTCTCTCCGCCCAAACAGGCACTCCGTCGGCCGTCAGCACACTCTCCTCCGGCAGTTTCAGTACATCTTCCAGCTTCGGAACGTAATCGTAGTTGTCCTCTTTCGTCACCTTTGCAGCCGAAGTCGGCGCCTTCGACTTCTTCTCTCGGTAGAACGAAGAGGCCTCGTCGAAGCAAGCCGTCTGCTCTTTTCCCGGCGAATCGTACCTCACCGGATGTGACTTCTTGGACACTCTGTCCAGAAGAATCGGATTCGACACTTCTTTCGACGGCGTTGCTCCGCCCAGCCTGACCTTTTTCTCCAGCAACTGCTTCAGGAGCTCTTTGTCCACTTCTCGATTCCTCACTTCCACCTTTTTCGCCGCTTCATTCTGTTGTTTCTCTCTCTTCTTCTTCCTCACTTGTTCCTGTGATCCGTCCGAATTCTTCTCCGATTCCTGCTCCTTTTCCTCTCTGTTCCAGTCCCTTTCTTTCCTATCCGACTGCTTCTCCTTTTTTTCCTTCCGATCTTCTCCCGTTCTTCCCTCTTTTTCTTTCCTGTCCGACGACTTCTTCTCCTTCTTTTCTCTCTTTTCGTCCCCCGTTTTTGCCTCTTTTCGCTCTCTGATCTGAGCCGTTATCGACTTCATCGCCGCCTTCTGTCTCGCGGATTCTCGTGACGACGTTTTCGATTCGCGTGCTTTTTTATTCGTTCGAGTTTTAGTTTTTCTTTTCTGAAACAGTCGGTTTCTGATCGCATTCGAGAACGATTTGAATGAAACGTACAGTTTTTCCGCTGTTAACGGTTTTATTTTTACTACTTTTTGAACCAGACAATTTCCGACGAACAGAAGATCCTCGAATCTTCCGAAACGAGGTGCCCACCATTTTGAAGTTTGGAAAATGTAAAAATGGTCTGCTCCGATCGAAATTTTACATTTCCCTTGGCAGGTTCACGTTTATTAGTACAATAGACACTTGGACGGATGCATCACGGTCAGTGGTTCAGCAGTCACTCTTCATCAGATAACAACCTCTTCCTCATCTCCAATCATTTCTTGTCATATCAAAAAATACGTTTTATTGTGATCACAATCGCATTTCAACTGATCAGCAATAGTTCTTGTACTTCTTGCACGCGATGTCTTTCAACTGAACCAAATGGGGACGGGCATTCGAATAGGAAGAGCTCAGATCGGCGGCGTTGACGATGAAAGTGCAGACGGTCGGGGAGGTGATCAGCCAGCTGCAGACGCCCCTCAGAAGATCCTGGCATTCGGACCATTCGGACGGAATGGAAAGCTCTCCCGAACAGAACTTGCACACTTGCTCGAATTGAGCCACCGAGACATTCTGAAAAGGGAGGATTCTGAATGTGCTTGGGGAAGAAATAAAGTACCGGGAGAATAAAAATGAGAAGAACGGACAGGAAGACGCTGGGGAACTGCATTGTGAAGTGAAACTGAAAAGGAAGGAATGCTTTTATTCGACCTTCCGGCCGTTCCCAGAAAATTTCATGTGAATTCCAACATGCGAACGCTCAAATGTGCCTCGTTTCTCTGCGTCTCTCCTCCAGATCACTCTCTCCCTCAGCTCCGCCCGCCTCTTTGTAATATTCTGCTCAATTTACGCCCATTCAATCGATTCCTCTTTCTTTTTCAGACACCAAAATGTCGTCATGTATAATTCTGAAGGCCGCCAAACTCGTCGCAACGCTGATTTTCCATTCGACCGTTCTTTTCTTCGCCTCCATCGTTTTTGTTTATTTTCTGATTTCTGGGAGTGAAAAATCGAAAGAAAGAAAAGAAAAGGAGCTAGATTCTGATAAGCAAGCTCCGAAAGCAATTTCGTAAGAATTGATAAAATAAAATGTAATGAATCGTGCTGTCAATTTCAGATATCAGCTCGTCAAGTACACCGGAGCATCCCATGATTTCAATGTGAGCTTCGCCGGGAAATTTGTTCAATTTTCCGTCTCGTCCGGTGAAATTCTGAAGCTGCGCCAAATACAAAATGAGCCGAACTTCCTTCGAAATCCCCAACTCGGCCCGTGGAACCGCTTAACAAGCTCGGATAAAAACTCTTCCCCCAAAAAGAAGTTCGCTCCAGTGATAATCTCACTACAAGAAAACATGTGGCTTCAGAAAGTGTTTCAAAATGACAGCCTCGACTAATCAAAGAAAAAATTACTAAACATTTTCATTCGTGTAATATGTTCCGGTTTTCAAAATCTGTAAAAATTTAAATTTATCACCTGGTTTCTAATAAAGAGATGGTAAAAGAGGGAGATAGCAAAGTTAAATTATAGAATTATAGGATACCAGTAGAAAAAGAAAAAGAAACGAGAAACAGAAAAACAATGAGATTGAAAAAGTAATTAAAGAGGAAATCAGATCTTCTTCTTGTTGCTCAACGAGTCGTAAACGGCGAGCGCTTGTGCAACCATGCTGCCCGGATCGCTGAGATTCGCCGGAAGAACGACTGTGTTCGATTCCTTCGCGAGATTTCCGAAAGCATCCACGTACTGCTCGGCAACTGTCAGGCCTGCCGCATTCTTTCCGCCCTCTTTCTCCAACGCCGCCGCGATTCTTTCAATCGCCTTAGCCCGAGATTCCGCCTTCAGAAGGACAGCTTCTGCTTCTCCGCGTGCCACGTTCACTCTCTCTGTCTGAATGGCTTCTGATGCCAAAATAGCTGATCTTTTTTGTCCTTCGGCTCTGAAAATAGGAAGGCATTCATTCAGTCCGCCCCGATTTAGTTCTTAGTGAGCTTCTCACGTGTTGATGGCGGCCTCTCGGATACCTTCCGACTCCAGAATCGCCGCTCTTTTCTTGCGTTCCGCTTCCACTTGCATCTGCATCGCCTCCTGAATCTTTGACGGCATATGCATGTCTCTGATTTCGTATCTCATGCACTGGATTCCCCATGGCGCCGACGCCTTGTTGATAGCGAACACGATGTTTTCGTTGAGCAGCTCTCTCTCCTTGAACACTGTGTCCAAACTGATCTTTCCCACTTCACTTCGCATTGTCGTTTGCGCCAGTTGGGTCACTGCGAATTCCGGATCGTCGACACCGTACGACGCCTTTAAAAGTAAGCATTATTTTATTGCTTTTACCCGAGCATCACTTTGTAAGGATCGAAAACACGGAGATAAAGAACTCCGTCGAGTCGCAGCTGCACATTGTCAACTGTAATCGCTCCTTGCTCCGGGATTTCAATGGCGATTTCTCGAAGATTTTGCACAAATTTGATTCTGTCTATGACTGGCAGAAGGAAGTTAAGACCCTATAAACAGAAAACCTTGTTTTATTTCAATGACTATCAGTCCAACCGGTTCTAGAATTTTGTAGAACTTTCCCATTCTCTCGACGACCCAGGCTTCCTGTTGCGGCACGAAGTTGATGACGGTGTTGGTGGCAGCATGGGCCTGTCGTGCCGAAGTGACCGACAACGGAAGCGTCGAGCTCCTGAACCGATTGGTATTTTATCAAGTTTTGCGGAAGGAATTGACTCGCCTCAGAAGAGCCGCCGAGTTGAGAATAAGTCGCTTGGTGAGAGCCATTTTCTGCAAAATCATGATTAGATGAAGAGTCGAAAGAGCAGAGAAAAAAGGGATGAAGGCAGGCCAAGACAGCAAAATTTCGTCATGGCCGAGGCCGGGAGGAGTAGGAAACCTAGGCCACCCACATTCCACGACTTCTTGTCGATTTTTAGCCTTTTCGAGGAAAAAATTGAGTTCATAATATCTGCAAATTGAATCAACTAAAAAATTTAAAAAATTTTATTTCTGAAATTTCAATGCCACGGCCTCCTCCTAATTATCATAAAAACAGAATACTGATAAAATCTATTCACGTTTCTCCAGTACCAGTTCAATCGTAGGTCCCTTTCTCTTTTTTCTTGTACTACTTGAAAAGCTTTTGCTCCTTTTTCGTACATGAGAAAAAATGAAAAGAAATATTCGTTATCAAAAGCAATTTCGATGACTAACCGCTCGTTTCCACCTCTTTTCTTATTCGCTCTGCCATGAAAACGATTTATAAAAAATACTTTATGATTCAGTTTCCTTTTTTCAGCCCAACCATGGTCGACGCTTTCTTGAGTATGGACATTTACGAGAGCTTCAACCTGTATTCGCATCCTGAAAAGTTCTTCCTGGAGCCGACAGACCTCGGAGGCGGAGCGGCTTCGAAGCATTATCTGGAGATAGATAGGCACACGAATGTTATTAGAATCGTTGGTAAGTCATTTGAAACTTTAAATTTTGGACAGCTTGATTTACTGCAGACTCCCGGAAACAGCGGATTCCAATTGCCGACACCGACATCAAGTTCATATATGGAATCCTGGGAACAATAAAATTAGTATCCGGATATGCGCTCATCGCCATCACAAAGGCGTCGCTCGTAGGTCAAGTGAACAATCATAACATCTGGACGATCAGTGACACTGAAGTCATTCCGTTTAAAAAGACGACTCTCCATCTAACGGAGAAGCAAATCCGTTACAACCGGATGTTCATGGACATGCTCGTGCAAGTGCTCTCCATCGGCGGCTTCTATTACTCGACGACTCTCGACCTCTCGCGCACTTTCCAATGGCTCCAGGAGAATGCGGTTCCGTTGTTCAAGACGAGAAGTATGATAGACAGAGCAAGCGAAAGATTCGTATGGAACGGACATCTTCTGTCGCAGATCCGGCAGGTGCCGGGCGCGGAGAGATACACTCTACCCGTCATTCACGGATTTATCGGGCAGAATCGTGTGAATGTGAACGGAAAAGAGATAAAGCTGACTATCATCTCGAGAAGAAGCATCTATCGGTGAGCTAGTTGCCTTCCACGTTTTACTAAACTCTTCATCTTTCAGCGCTGGTGTTCGTTTCTATAAACGTGGCGTCGATTTGGACGGACACGCCGCCAACTTCGTGGAAACTGAACAGATTGTCGAATACGGATCTACCGAGAAGCACCTGACCTCGTTTGTCCAACTCCGCGGCTCAATTCCTTTGCTCTGGTCGCAGAAACCGAATCTTCGATGGCAACCGACGCCAACAATGAAACCGACGGATGATCAGCTGGCAGCGTTCACTCGGACCTTCTCGTGGCACAAGCAGCATTACGGAGGGAAGCACGTCATCGTGAATTTAGTGAATCAGAAGGGGAGAGAGAAGAAGATAGGCGGAGAACTGGAGAGGATTTCGAGACAGGCCAACATGGACTTTGTTAGGTAAGGAGCAAACTGAAGCGGTATGAGAAGGACAAACTAGATATTCAGGTATCATCAGTTTGACTTCCACAAAGAGTGCCACGCAATGCAATGGCATCGTCTGGATTTGCTCCGCGAGCAGCTCAGCCAAGAGATCCAGCAGTTCGCATTCTTCTATCTCTCCCCAAATAGCATGGAATCGAGCCGCTCCCAACGCGGTTTCTTCCGCACGAACTGCATGGATTGTCTGGATCGGACGAACGTCGTTCAGTCGATGCTGGCTCGCGAGTCACTGACCGAACAGCTCCGCATGCTCGGTGTTCTGCAGCAAGAGCAAAAAGTGCAGGATATTCCACTTCTCGAATCACTTTTCAAGCACCGTGAGTTTTTCATTTTATAGAGCCCGCTTTCATTCGGAGTATTTAAGTGTGGGCTGATAACGGAGACGAGTGCAGTCGTCAGTACGCCGGCACTGGAGCCCTCAAGTCGGATTTCACGCGGCTCGGAAAGCGAACGTACATCGGAGCGATGAACGACGGAGTGAATGCAGTATCCCGATACGTTCGCAACAATTTCGGCGACGGCTACAGACAGGACGCCATCGACTTGTTCCTTGGAAACTTTCTCGTCGACTCGTCCGATCTCCCTTCTTCTCTTGAGACGTCGGTTCTTTCGACCGATCAGAACGGCCTCGCCCTCATCGCCGCCCTTTTCGCCATGTCGATGACTATTCTCTGTCTTTTGGTCGCTGGTCGGTTATTCCGAATGTACTCACCTCATTACGTTTTCTTTTTCAGATAACGTCACGGCCACACTCTTCTGGATGGTAATTTTCTTCGTTTGTATGATGTTCATCTTCCTGAACGGCGAGGAATTCGTCAACACTCCAAAATTGAAGCAAGATTGACCTCGCCCACTTTTACTGATCCCCCTAATGATTTGGTGTATTTATTGCTGTAGAAAGAGAGATATTCCTATTTATTGTAGATGAAAGAGTCTTATAAAATGTTTATTGCGATGCACAATATATTTATTAGAAACAACTAAAGATTGGCACTCTAACACAGTAGGTTTTATTTTCTCAGAAACACGAAACGATTAAAGTGAGAGACCCATTTGAAGAGCGGAAATCAGTGGAAAGATGGGTAAGGAAGGAGCAGGAGAGAAAAGTGACAGGGCAAATGGGATGGAATGGAGAACTGGGAGGTTGTTTTTTACATCGGATTGATTGGAAGGTTTATTTGAAGCGTACATTCGATTCACATCTTCTTTTCGTAGTTGTTATGCGGCGTCGGATCTTTCTGAAAACATACTTCTGTAATGAATTAAATTCCGTCTGCAAAACCAACCACAATTTGAGTGTCCATCGCTTCGACTATGCTGTCAATGCCCAGAAGACATCCCTCATCGGCGCCGGAGTACGTGAGGTCCTGACGGAATTCAGAAGTTATTACGAATTCTTAACACGATATTACCTCGAAGAAACCGGAGAATGTCGAGTGCGCGAAGTCGATAATGCACACTTTGACGGCGTCGTCGTTCGAAGAATCGGCAGCTTCCGCGTCGAAAGCGATGAGAATGGAGGCAGAGAAGAAACGATATCCTTCGAATTCAGCAAGAAGAGAACGAAGTTTGGCGAGTCTGAAAGGACTACGGTACATTCCCGAACAACTTGAAGGACCGCTCACTTTTGGCGTATTCTGGCCGCCCTGGATCGTCCGCAGCACTTGACGAATCTCTTGACGTATCCTCTGAATCCGGCGGCGTCGATTCTTCTGCCCTCCTGTTTCTCCACATACGAATACGTCTTCGTCTCCGCCTCGTACATTTGCATGCCGACGACGCGGACTCCGAGCGTCGCCGACGTCGAATGTCTGCACTTCATCAGCTGTCGGTGTCGCTTCGATTCGCTCGCATCGTCGCCGTGCTGCCGCGTTCCGATTTTGAGATCGAGCACGCAGGGCCGAGTGTAGTGGGCGACGACGTTCTCGAGCAGCAGGAACGGCGTGGGGTCGGGCTCTTTGAGCATTCTCTCGACCACTTTGCACTGGCATCCGGCCGCCCATGGATTCCACTGCTTCTCCGTGTCGACTGTGACGCGGCCTTCCTCGGTTAGCCGGAATCCCGTGGAGGACCTCTCGTGTTTGCTCGACGACTTCTTCTTGTGACAATCCAGTTTTTCGAGTGCTTCCACGACTATCTGTCCCGTGGATTGGTTCACAGACGCTCGAACTTCCACTTCTTTGCAAAAAGCGGGCGAAAAGTGCTTCAGCTCCGAGTTCATCACTTTATAGAACGCCATTTCGCGGAGATTCGACGGTTTAGCCACGTGGCCGTTGCATAAAAGTATTCCGAAATGTCCTCCTACCTGCAATTCAATATTCTCACTGTTTTCTAATGAATTTGCTCATTACCTGATGTCTAAAAGCGGTTAATTCCATGATAATTGTTGGCTAAATGAGATCGTTGACGAGGTGTTTTCGGGAGAGAAATTCTGAATGAAACGAAATATGGTGTGAATTAGCATGAGAAGGCGTGGCGAGTAAAGCGATGCGAAGAGCGGAAAAGAAGAAAAAGACAAGAAAAAAGAAGAAAACGTCGGAAATGGTGTCTCTGTCACTCGTGCTCACTCACTCTCTAGCTTTCGGACTCGAAAAAGGCGTGTTTTGGTGTTTTCGTATTAATATTAAGCGGAAAAGAGCACGTTTCATGAGCTTGTCATATCAAAAGGGGTGAGTTATCATAGAGAACGGATGAATGATGACGAGCGAATGGGACTAAGACGGGCGGATCAGAACGGATGAGGCTGGAATGAAAGGAAACGACTTTGAGGGGATTCGATAGGCTTGACGGGAGATCTCTGAATGCGGACGGCTCTGATGAGAGGGCAAAGTGTCACGATAAATGTATTTATCACGTAATGAAAAGAGACACTTTTTTTGTGTGCCTGTCAGTGAACTGTCAGAAAGGTTTTGTGGTGCTTGAAAAAAAGCCGTATAAAAGAAATTGTTTGTGGGACAGATCAGAAGCCACAATTTTCCTTTTCTCCATTGAACGATAAGAGGGTGAGTGATTAATCGTCTCTTTCGTTCCAAAACAAATGAACACCTCCCCTCTCTCTCTCTCTCGGTCGATTGACCATTTCTGTCTGTCCCCGAACGAAAAAAACACATTGCTTCCTCGCCGACCCATTAATCGCCACGTCATGTGCCTCCTCCCCTAATCCTATTTTGGGCAGGTCTGTTCATTGGGCGGCACAAAAGCTCGAAAGATTGACAGATTTCGGAAGACTAAACGAGGAAGTGAATAAGAAAAAGCAGCGGAAAAATACGAAGAAGAAGAAGAAGAAGCAAAGTTGTTGTTGAATTGTAGTCGTCGGCAAAAAATGAGAAAAGAGAAGAGAAGGCGAGATCTGCCACGTTTTCCCATCTGATTCTGTTTGCTTTTTCGGCGACGGCGAGGGCATGCAAACATGGCAGTTATCTGTCTTTTCACACAAAACAAGGAAGCGAAGGAAAAGGGATGCTCGCTTTTTTCCAGGAACAGATTAGCTCGAGGATCTCGGGGAGCTGCAGAAAGGCAAAAAAAAGTGAAAAACGTGAGCGGTGGAGCATCCATTGCTGAAAACTCAGTGAGAAATTCGATAAGGAAGTGCGTTGTGAGGACTTTTTCACTCGTGACTTCAGCCCAAGGGAATCGAGATTAGAGCGGTCAACATTTTACTTGAGCATAGGACGACCTATGCATTTCGCAATGCATTTCAGGCTGTAATAGTGGAAAGGAAATAGGCTATGCTAAGTAATTTTCAGAAGGAATTCCGAAAGAGGAAGAAAGAGGAAGATCTTCACTTTCCACGCCTACGCTTTCATGGAATCTCGATATAAATGGAGGCGTGAGAAAAAGGATATAATGTAGTTTAGAAGATTCTCAGAAAACAATAATGGTTGTTCGCCAGGAGAACATTTTGAACTGGACATACAATCCGATTATGTTGAACACAAAGAAACATGAGACCGAAAACTTGAAACCGGAAATCAAAAACAACGCATTTAGTCTCTCAGTAATCTATTTTTAACAATGCCAATTTGGCCTCCCGCTGAACATGAACTCTAACCCGACGAAACTCTGTCTTTCGAGCCGAATCTTTCAAAGTCTCCGTCGGGAACACAAGACGTCAAAGTGACTCGACTCGAGAATCACTTTACAACTTACACCACCATGCAGTCTCAATGCTCTGCTGGCACAACAGGTTAAGCTTCGCAGGATCAGGCCGGAAAAAATGAGTGCCCAGTGACGGGGATCTTTGGAATGCACGACGAGAGATTTGTGTCTAGAACCTGGAAGTGGAATTCAAGAGGTGCGACCAGGTGACAGAAAGGGTACTAAATAGAAGGTTTAGGAGAGAGAAGAATGGATGAGTGACGGGGTGAGTAAGGCGGAGTGGCGTGACATGGAACGGATGGGGAGAGAAGAATCCGATACGGAAGCAAACAGAAGGTGTCGAGCAGCAGGTGGATTTGATCAGGATGCGATCTTTCTCAGAGACTCTATCGACATTCTCGGACTGACAATGATAACGAACGTTCTTCTGAATTGAGATCAGATGCTTCCAGACCAGATGCCATCACGCTGAGTCGCTTGATCTCCATATTCATCAAATCTCGTTTAGCTTCGAACTAATCTATTGTCACCGTCCTTACTAGTAGTCGTATTAATGTGTAATCATTTGATTGACATCACATAGAACTACAACTGAAAAGAAGAACAGAATAGAGTAGGCGGGGGAGGGATCAATCCGCTCGTTCTCCCCATTGCCTCTACTACGACCGCATGTGTTCGTTACGTAGTGAAGTGTTCGCGGGAAGTCAGCCGATGGGACAGGATTCGTCGCCCAATCATAACCGATATGAATTCGAGACACGGGCACACAAGCGGAGACTCGGAGTGCGCGACAGAGCCCGCACGAGAGGCGGTGGCTCGGAGAGGGACGAGACGGCGCGGGCAGAGAGTCGTCTCGGCTCTTCGGCTCCTTCTGTCGGAGCAGAGGCGAAAGAAAGAGAAGGAAGAGAGCGCGCGGAGAGTGGAGTGCCCGGCAGCTCCCACATCCCAAATATTCTATTATTGCCCCTTTTTCTTTCTCTCTGCCTCCTCACCCTTCTCCAGTTTTTTGCCCCTCATTCCACTACAATCCCGTCGAGTTCAATTCTGGCGCTACAAACTAACTCTGTCAGCTTGTGTTAATTGTGTTTTTGCAGACAAACCGAAAACGTTCTCTTGTTTGTAGTGCTTCGAAAGGCACGGCGTCCGTCTCGATGGCCGCCGTTCGCTCGGGACTCATCGACATTTTTGTGAAGGGACAATGGCATCGCGTGCTCGCAACTCTCGATCCAACTGCCATCACACTTCAGGTACTTTTTTTCAAAATATTGAAAAGAAAAATGCAAAATTGGAATGCATATTGCCTCTGGAAGAATGAACTTCGAAGAACTCTCTGTGTGTTCTCTTCTTTATGGAAATGCAAGAGTATTCTAGAGTTCTGCAAAACACTCTAAATTCGAAGAACAACGTCTAAAGCGACGTCTTGCAACCCGAAGTCATCCTAATGAGCTCTGCCGTCTTCTCAATTCTCCTGGCTCTGCGATTAGCTTTACTACTTCTGCAACTAACCAAAAACCATCCTGGGAGGAAAATAAGAGAAAATGAAGAATAGTCTTGCCTTCACCACGCTCGGCTCATTTTTCAAATCGTAGAAGCTCTGAGAGACAACTTATTAGTCATCCAATTGTGCGGAGCTGTCAGAATGCAAATAAGACAACTCAAGAAAGAAATGTGGGATAGATGTTCAAGATCTTCAAGTGAAAATCTCCGACAACAAATTTTGTATCGGGTACAATATTTCATGCCGCCTCTTTTCCCTTTTTTCTCCTCATCATTAGTCCCTTTCCGCTGGATGTGCTTCTTCTTCTGTATTGCGTATATTTGGCATCGTGTGACCATGTCAACGATTTCCGAAGACGTTGAAGCGAAATATGAGAAAACCCCGCTGCTCATCAAAAAAGAAGACGTCCGCGTTGCGACGAATCCAAAAGTGTCATCTTCTGTGTCGAGCATCGCGCCGACTTTTGCCAATTTGGTACGACGTTTTGTGGGGTGGGCACCCGTCAGTCCGATTCTATTACCATGTGGAAGAGTGAAATTGAGACGGGCGGCCGAGAGAGTGATTTATGTAAATACGTCTGACAAGAGTAATGGGAATCTTGGGTTCAGAGATCAGAGAAGAAAACGACGGAAAATACCAATTTCAGACCATGGAGCAAAATGAGGTGGAGTCTGAAAAACGGACGGTGCGAGTGGTGAAGTACGATGGAAACGGATTGGGCATTTCGATAAAGGGCGGAAGGGACAGCAACCTGCCGATTATCATCAGGTAACTGAAAATTCATCACCTTACGTCCCTTTTCAACCGAACGAACACGTACTTTCAGTAAAATATTCAAAGGAATGGCAGCGGATCAGACGGGCGAACTGTTTCTCGACGACGTCATCGTCTCAGTAAACGGAGAAAGTCTTCTGGATGCCTCGCACGACGAAGCCGTTCGAGCACTTAAAAGAGCTGGGAGAGTGGTCGATTTACAAGTTCAGTACAGGCGAGACGATATGTTGCATAGGGAGAATATTGTGGAACACATCGAATGGGACGATGACGTTCGTGAACGAGTCAGGACGATCGGACTGAAGCTGGCGTACGTGGCACGAGCAGGGATAGACGCGGACGCGGAGAGTCGGATACTAGAGATGAGGAGTCCGTCTGGAAGGTATTCCCTGGCGATGCGGTGCTCGAGCAGCGAGGAAGCCGACGGATGGTTCGAGGCCCTCCACGCATGCACCACGTGTCTTCTGACTCAGGCACTCGCCCAGGTCAACATTATGCTCGGCAACAACCCGCAAGTGAGGCACATGGGCTGGGTGGCCGAGCAAGTATCAGAGAACGGAATCTCGATGTGGAAGCCCAAGTTCATGACTCTCACGAACAGCGAGATCCTTTTCTACGAAGCGGTTCCGCAGCTGAAAGCGGAGTGGGCGGAGCCTCGATTGGTCCGCCCGTTGGTGGCCACGCGAGTGGTTCAGACGAGCTCGCGGAGTGCGCCCGTCATCAAAGGACTCACCGACGTGATATCGTTCCGAATGCGAACGGGCACTCAGCAGGGCGTCAGGACGCACACGATTCGTGTCGAGACCCACGCGGAACTGGCGAGATGGGTGCGGGCAGTGGTCATCGGCGGATACGAAGCATGTCTTGCCACGTCACAAGTCTCGGCGCCCTGCCTTTGGCGCGGCGAATCTTGCGAACTAATCGTCAATTTGGACAACGGGATTTCGCTGCTCTCTTCTTCGGGAGAAGTGAGCAAAGTCAAAGAAATCGAACAGTTTCTAAATTCAGGTACTGTGGCAACATTCGTTCGAAACGATTCGAGCCACCGGCGATGATGGCGGCCGTTTTCTATGGATTGATTTCGGACCTCCACACGGCGAACAGGTAAATGAGTTTTATTATGGGGAAAAAGAAAGAGGAGGGAAAACAATAAACAAGTAACAAAATGGAGTGAAATAAGAAATTAAAATGAACTTCGATGCAGGAATTGGATCTTCTGAACTCGGCAAAGCCTGTCGTCTTCATTTTGCACTCATTCCTCGCCACCAAAGTGTATCGATTGGGATTGTATGCGTGACAGGTTAGTTCATGGGCGCTCCGTAAGCATCCGGCATGCGCTCGATAGAAAATCGGTGATTGACGATGTACATGATGGGCACACCCGGAATCTTGCGGATGCGGCGCTTCAGGTCACGATCACAAGTGGCCACGATGTAGCATTTATGCTGAAAATAACCAATTTTTGCAGATCGATTCGACTTCATCTCGTTATTTGTTCCAGTTTGCCAAAAAAGATTGCAGGAATACAGCATTCCACCACTTGCCTCTTCGCGTCATACTAGATCATAATACTAATTACCTTGTTAGATTTTTGAAGAAAAAGAGAATAAGCTATGTTTCGAGTAGAAATTGAATCCTACCTGTGTCACTCTTTGAACAAGACAGTCGTCGGCATACGTTCCCTTGTGTTCGCACTTCAGACGTTGCACTCGTGGATCTTTCAGCACTTTCAGAGCGATTTTAAACCTGCGGACCTTCTCCAATTCTGCCAAGACACAGTCTGTTGCGTAAACAATAGCTGAAAATGTAGAATTGAAATGAATTGTTTCGAAACTATTCTATTACTTATATGACGTGGAAGTACTTACTTTTGGCAAAGAGACAATCCATGAATCCTTGAAACATATCAATTCTGTTCTTGACGGCAAAATTGACAAAATTTGTATCGACGAGCACGTGGAACGGTGGTCCGAGTTGCGTGTTGTATCGCATGAACATAGCCGACGAGATCTTCGGCCTATAAACGAACGAATAAAACAAGAGAATAGGTTTTCCGATCAACTTACGCATGCACTAATTTAAGCGCTTGTTCATCTTCCTTCGGTGTTCGGATTACTCTCTGCTCTTCTTTTCTGAAATGGTTAGGTATGAAAGTTGTGTAACATTGAAAAACGCCGCTAACGGCACTTACATTCTGTTATCGGTTTTCTTGACAAGCTTGTTCACAGCGCTCTTTCGAGCGTTAGACTTCAGACGTTTACCCATAGTCTGAAAATGTGAAATTTGCCTCAAAAGTTGAGAAATTTGGCTGAAATTGAGAGCTCGTGTTAAAAGTCCGCAGAATTGGCAGAGGTGTGTGCGCAACCACGCATGCACCGAACCTTACGCGCAGAGCGGAGTGTTCAAGGAAAGGACACTGGACATTGATGCATTCAAATTTACCCGGCTCGAGAGATCTCTGCCTGCTTTTTTATCAATTTCAATTGTTTTCTTCTATTTATATCAAATTCCCGTAAAGCGTGACATGTGTAGTGCGTATTTTTAAAGTGTTCCCCCAGTGTTTACCGAAATTTATGAGAGAAAACGTTATAAGAATCGCTATCAATAACATATCCAAATGTGCGTTGAACTTGCAAAAACCATCGAGTTTTCATCATTTTTCTCCCCATTCCTACAATTTCCAATTACTTTGTTCGTGTTGGCTTCTATTTTTATACCGTATCACTGATTTGCGATCTAATTTATATATTTATTCATCTCTTTGTTTTTAATCTTTTAATCTTTGCAGAAGTGGTGACAAACCAGTATGACCAAGGAAAATGATAAAAAACCCAAAGAGAAGCCAAATCAGCGCAAGGTATGTTAAAAACAGCGGAATTGATTTTTACTCCAGTCTTTCGACAGGTTGCTTTCCGAAACGAGGCAGTCGACGCGCTGGCAAACATCTCAGACGAGTCACTTGTAAATTTTGCGAAAGCAATGGAAGTGGCGAAGTTGGACTGTCAAAAGTGCAGACTTCACGAGACAACACACAATCCAAAGTGAGCATTCCATGCGTGACGTCACGCAACTAACCGTCCAAAGAGCTTCCAGACATCAGAACTGTCGCGACAATCCGTTCTGCATCAATCGATTGGGCCTGGAAAAGTTTGAGAAATTGATCAATCAGGAGTTGGAGAACAGAGAAGAGGCGAAGAAGGTAAACCCGGAGAACTAGTGTGAAAAATGGAAATGTCTTATTCAGGATCAGAAGCGCCGTGATTTGAACGACCAGCCGGCGGGTCTCGTAAACGGAGGCAACTTCTGTTACGTGAACAGCTTCTTGCAAGTGTGGTTCAACGTGCCGGAGTTTCGCCAGATAGTCTACGACTTCCGACCTTCCGTTTCGTTCACTCCGTAAGAAATTCATATAATGGACTGATCAGCAGTTTCCACTTTTCAGGTTGCCAGCTCCCAGACTTGATGTTCAAGCGACGATGTTGGCTCTGCAAGACATCTTCTACACTCTTCAGACCACTCCTTTCGTAAGTTATGGCAATAAATACTCAAAGAATTACTCGAGATTTCACAGAACCATTTGTGTGATCTAAAATGCTCCATTATTAAGTTTTATCTCGATCCCGATTTTTCCCAATTTTGTATTCAAATCGGATTCTTTAGACGGATACTGACAAAACATCCAATCTAGTCAAGCTGCTCCGCCTGAACTCCGAGCAACAGGATTCGCAAGAGTTCGGTCTCAAGTTCTTCAATGCCCTCGAACGATGTCTGCCGGATCATCCGAACGGAAAAGTGATACTCACTCGCCTGAAGGATATGTTCAACGGAGACATGTGCACACGGATACAGTGCAAATGTGGGCACAGTTCCAGACGAGTGGAGCCGGCCATATCGCTCACTCTCAACATCGAAGGTCATTCGACTCTCATTGATGCGCTCAACGCGTACTTTGGAGAGGAACAGTGAGTACTTCTAGTTTTTTATTGATTTGTTACGCATTATCTTTCAGCCTCGACGACTATAAGTGCTCCGGATGTCAGAAAACTGGAGACGTTACGAAACAAGTGGACTACGTGAAGTTGCCGCCGGTCATCGTGATTCAACTCAATCGATATAAGTACACAGCGAAGGGACGTCAGAAGCTGAAGACGCAACTCGCATATCCCAGGGAGATTCCCGCATTGGCATTCCAGAGAGTCGATCAATCCAATCGTCCACCGGCGGAGATGTACGACCTGTTTGCGGTGACAATTCACGAGGGCAGCAATGCCGAATGTGGACACTATTACGATCTGATTAAGTCTCCGTTGAATCAGAAGTGGTATCGCTATAATGACGAAACGGTCGAAGCGCTCGCGAAACCGCCGGGAACCGATAAGCCAACTAGCGCAAGAGGCGATAAGAGTAGAAGGAAAGAGAAAGAGAAGACGCCGACGGATCAGAAGGCGTGCTACGGACTGCTCTACCGACGAAGAGACGCCGTTCTACCGCTTCCGCATCCCAAACTGCCTCCAGATGAGCTCGTCGCCGAGTCGAAAAAGCTGATTGAAGAGCAGTTCGAAGGACAAACGAAGCGGAAAATAGAGAAAAGCGAGAAGAGAGTGTACGATCTGAGAAGAAGAATCGAAAAATTGAAGACTGTTTACACCAAACTGGAGACGCACAGCGACAAGTACACGCAGGCTAATGAGATCGCCTTTCTTCCGACTTCCCTGCTTTTGGACATTCTGAGTCAGGAGTACGAAGCAGCGAAGGGAGAGAAAAAGAAAAAGAAGAAGGAGTCGTTGGACAAGGAGAACGATACTAAAACGCAAGAGCAGACTGAGGATGAGGCGCTAGCCGCAGCCATCGCCGCCTCAGAAGCAGATCAGCTCCAGTTACTGTCTTGCCAACCTTCGACTTCTGCCGCCGCTCAAACTGAAGTCGTTGCAATGGAAACTGGAGACGAACCAGACGCGGACACAAGTGAAACGTGTGAAACTCCGAATCAAGAAGCCGCGGCCGATATCTCAATGGAATCGGTGGTCGATCAAGACCAACCGATCGATTCACCCCCCAAGGATATCGACATAGTTGCGATTGCAATGGAAGAATCGGAACTTCCGGTTGTCGAAGCACCGCCCGAGAAAAGGACTCGTCAGCAAAACGGGACCGCCAAATACGTGTTCTCCCGATCAAGTCCGCGGAAATCGACGAGTGGAGCGAACGGAGGCACTCCGAAGCCGACGCTTTCCACGCGCGTTGCTTCTGCTCTTTCTAGCCACGAAATGGCGATCTGTGGGCACGGGAAGATGTCGATCGATCCGATCCTCTACGGAGACGTCAAAGCGGTCGCCAGAGCACCTGCCATTGCGCTACTGCGTGAATACGATTTCCGAGTCAAGAAGGTCTTTGATAACGGGGACCGAGAGTTTCCGGAGCCACAGAGAGACCGAGAAGTGTTCGTGTTCACTGCGTAAGTTGTTTTGATGCAAAGTACGCCTTAAAAACTACGTTTTCAGTGCTGATATCTGCATGGAATGTATAAGGGAAATGCGGCAAGAAGGATTGTTCAACAATCAGTTGGAAGACGACGACAGGATGGTTCGCAAAGTTCTGAAGGAGGAGAAGCAGCGTTGCTCTGTGAAAGGCTTGGAGCCGAAGTCAAGCGACCACTTCTACGTGGCGAAGAGCGCTCTTGCAAATTTCAAAAAGTCCGCACAGACCGCCCGAGAGGAAAAGTTGGCCCTTCGGCACACGAGGAAAGGAACTATGTACATCGATTCGGTTTCTGCGGTAAAATGACTTTCAGAAAACAGTTCAATAACCGACTATTTTCAGCAAAAAGCCGACGCTACTTACCCAGCTGCGATATCGCTCAAAAGATTCCGAGGAAGACCACGTAAGCATCCTCTAGAAGTGCCGGAAAAGATGCAGAAATTGGATGAGAACGGGCTAATTGAGGCAACAAACGAATCGTTTACTGTGGAAGATGAAGAGGAGCGCGTCGAGCCAGAGTCGCCGAGAAAGGTCACCCCCACGAAACCGGTGGAGTCAATCAATCCAGATGCTTTGAAACCGACCGAGAAGATTGAGTTCAACTCGGAACTGCGCTGTTCGCACGGAGGAGTCAACTACAGTCAGTTCAGACATTCGGTCTCTCCGGAAGAGTGGGCCCATCTGAAGATATACTTTGACGATTGCTTCGAAGTGAAATGCTCCGAACCCGTCTGTGATGAGTGCCGCCAACAAGAAGTGGATGCTCAGAACGGTTCGGATAACATGCGACAGTTGGTCAAAGAGATGCGAAAGCGAATCAACGACACTCTGAAGAAGGTCGAGTCCCGGTCGGAGAAGAGCACGGAAACGGAGGACGGAGAGGAAGTCAAGTTCGGAATCTGCAGTGTTTTCATTGACAAACTCAAGAAGCTGACGACGAGACAGTCGACGAGCCCGCCGCCCATCTGTCAGGAGTGCCTGATCTGCCAGCACGAACTTCCTTTCAAGGGATTCCTCACTGAGGTTAGAGAATTTCAGGTTCCGAGAAGAAAAGAAATACCGTTGATTGCAGGACAACCAGAAAGATTCGCACGTGATAGGCGTGACAGAAGAAGAATGGAATACTTTCCTGAATGAAGTCCGCAAGTTGGAACTGGCCGGTGGAGAATCTCAAGCCACACTTCCAGCGCCTCGCCCGATCATCATTGACAACGGACGTATTGTCGAAATGTGCGATGTCTGCTACGAACAACACATAAAGTTCACGGAGGAGCAGAAGTACATGTTCGACAACGAGAACATCTACGTGAAACTGGTTAATCTGGCCGACGAGGAAGACATTGCAAAGACAAATGGAAAGTCGCGAAGAGGGCGGGCGAAAAACGTGTACGCCGTCAAAATGTCGTCGTCGAACAAACTGATGGATCTGAAAGTGCAGCTGTACGACAAGACGCACCAGCTGCCGAACGACCAGATGCTGTATCGAACTCTCGGAGGAGAGCATTTCGACGTGGCCAACAACCAGAAGACGTTGTTTGATTTGCGTGTCGCGCCCAACAATAACGATAATGTGAGTGAATTGTGAAATAGTTTACGATGAATTTCGATTGTTTTCAGCCGCTTATTCTAGTGGCCCAGCAGTTCTCTCCATCCGGATCTCAGAACGAGGAATCCGGGGACCGTGCTCCGGAACGTGGATTCGTGGACACTGCTCTCGCTCATTGATTTCCATGCACAACCCGATGTTACCCCGCCATGTATCAGTTAATGGTAAATCTTGTTTGATAAGATTATTAATCTCTTTCCTGTTGACTTCCAAAATGATGTTACGCTTTTAAAACGCGCGAGTTCTTCGCCGTTCCAGCCTTATTAGCCACCCACGCACTTTGTTGGATCTCTGCTAATCTACTCCTCCATAGCACCCCATCACCATTTTACTGACCACAGGTCTTTGTTTTTTGCAAAATACTCCGTTATAAAGCTTCCTCTATTCGCAGAAAACTTACTGCTCACAACTTGAAAAGTTGTTCAGACATAAACATAATCGTTGTACGCTTAGAGGACGGACTTTTTCTTCTCCTTCTTGTTATTCACCGGATTCTCCGTTTTTTTTTATTCGAAAACCGTTTTATTTCTGATAAATATTTGTGCATCTTGCTTTCAGTGTGCAGTCCGATCTGGAAAGTGAAAGGCCCTCAGTTTCCCATTGCGCGAAGCAAAGAATTTTCATTGAAGAGCCTCCACTTTATTATAAAACAGTATTGTGGGGGCAAATGATAAGCCGGCTAAAACTGATACTTGAATCAAACTATAGTCATTAATTAGGTTATTATGGCAAGAATTTAGGAGAAACATATTTAAATTATTACTGTGGAGATCTGGAAAGACGTGCTCACGTGGAGAGGTTGCCGACTTGACGGAATATCGACTTGCCGCTGTCTGGAAAACGTCCCATTCTCTGAAAATGAACACATTTCGGGAGGATGAAAGAACGGAAGCCTGACCTGAAGGATGATGTAGTTGTCGTCGGCGGGCAACGTGTCCTGATTCGGCATTGCTTCGAACGGTCCGAGGTAGCGGGTCCGCGATCTGAAAAAGAATCTTGAATCAGCGTTATGCAGACAACATTTTTCTCACTTGGCGAAGTATTCTCCGGGCGAGAGAAGGCCTCTGAAGAAGCGATTGAAGTCCTTCGGGATGGCATGCACGCCCGGCATCTGCGTGGGCGAAAGGGCACGCCGACGGCGTCGCTCTTCCGCCGGCGGCACGTTCTCCTCTCCGTTATCCTCATTCTGATCCTGATTCTGGTTGCGCTGCTGTCTCTGAACTTGAATGGCTCTATGCGCGTGTCCGTTCAACTGTCGCAGCGGCCGAGCGTCCGGGATGGGCATGGCGCGTTGCGGAGTCCGACGGAGCACTCTTCTGATTTGGAACGGCTCCCGCGGAGGCGGCGGCGTGGCGGACACCTCGCGGACGTGCTCAATGTGTGCAGTGGCGCGCTTCCAACCCGTCGGAAAGCATTGGAATGGATCCGCGGGAGGTGGCGACAGAAGATCGGCTTCGATCTGGAAGAACGTTCGCACTGAATGGGAGGGAGGGAAAGGCTCACGGCTCGTAATTGCTCCCAGCGGAGATCGGGAATGTGATTCATCGTGATGAAGGTAAGTGAAGTGAATTTGAGCGGAGCAAAGAAAACGAAAATAACAACAGAAATCCAAAGACCTTCTCCAGCTTTCCCGCGCTTTTCAGACAAAAATGAGACAAACCAAAAGTCGAAGTGGAAGCAAGGTAGATCAAGATCAAAGACAAATTTACTCATTTTACGAACACCTGAAAGTGAAGAGGGGAGTAGAAAAATGGGAAAGGTGAAGAAAATAAATAAAATACTTATGCAGGGAACACTGATAATCATTTAGTTTCCGACTTTTTCCGATCGGCGAGTGCCTGGTAATACCCGGTGTGGTATCCGCTCATGTACCAGCTCATCAGCATGCTGCTCAGGGCCTCTCGCTCACCGGCCGGCACCATTCCGACAATGTTCGGAGGGACGGGCGGCGCGAACGAAGGAATGGGCACGGACGGCATCTGATCGAAGACGGAACGGACGGATTGGACCGCTGACTTTTTGGTACGAGTCGCTGTAAAACCAGAAAAGATGAGATTGGCGATGGAAAGCAAAGCTTTTACCCTGCTTATCACCGTTTTTTCGCTGACTGTCCAGTTCGAGAGCTTCTGCCACCGCTTCCTCGTTTCTAAAAATACTCCGCGTTTCATGAAAACATCTCAATTCTACTCACTCCCAAAGATGCTTCATGTCGACGACGGCTTCGTTGCCGTAGAAGAGGAAAGTGACGCCCACGTTGAGGTCATCTCCGATCCAGTCGATCTGCGCCGCGTAGTACTCTGTGTTTCCGTTCTCCTCGAACGGGGCCATGCACGTTGAGCCCACTTTCCACTGAAAGCATTTCAATTGTTCAACGAGCTCTGCCGTTCGCTCACCTTGTATTCCTTTCCGTCCTCTCCGGTGAACTTCTTCTCTGTCAGTCTTTTGGCTGTCATTTGGTTCTGAGAAGATGAATTTCTTTCAGAGGTTTATTTTCATTTTCAATTCACTTACATTGACTTCTTTGATTGACTGCTCGTACATTTTTATGAGTTCCGAATCGTCCCAGACGTCGTCCATTTCCATTTTGTCCTAAGAACAATTTTTTAAATAAACCAATTTCTCAAATATTAAAATATTTACATTTTTGTCCCACATTTGTGCCATTTCTGTTGATTTCTCGCTGAAATTACGAGTTCTCGTCGAATATTTTTATTTTTCGAAAGTGGAAAGCGTGCGGCATGGTTGCAAAAGGACGCGCGCCGTTTGCGTTTTTCGCCACGCCTATCAACATATTTCTTTCGAGGCAAAAAATACTTAGGCTATCAGGCTGCCGGCCGCCACAATTTCAGGCTGGATGCCGAGCGCACAGTGCACGGCGGCCCGGTTTTCCTGGGTCATTTTGATATGCTGAGTCGATTTCTGAAGAGACGGCCAAGAATTGTCCTACCGAAACAGGATGCCGCGGCCCTGTTTTTGACAGCCTTGACAGCCAGAAGCTAAACAGCCAGAAGAGAGTTCGCAGTTACAGATGTTTATTTATTTACAAAACAGTTAGATAGAGAAGCGACGAATTGAGAAACAGAGGAGAAGGGGGGAGTGAATGAGAGAGGACGCGAAAATAGACAGTTAAGAGGAATCTAAACTTGGAGAGCGATTTTCGAGTGGCTTCAGGTTTTAGTTTTTACAAGTCCTTGATCGGGTCGTTTTCCTTTTTGATGGAATAGGCCAGGTAGGCGTAGAAGGCAGACCAGACAGCGTACGGAATCAGAAGGAGTCCAGCCTTCTTGTCAATCTGAAAAATATAAGTTTAGACTTCACTTCTTTTCTGAATTCACCAACCTTATAGAAAGCGAAGGCAGCTCCGGCAGCAGTCAAACTGACGAGCGTCGTGTTCTTCCACAGACATCCGAGCTCCTTCTTCTTAATGATTGGAATGGTGGCAAGGGCGAGGGCGATGTTGGCTCCGTACAATCCAAGCGCCAATTTGGTGTCGTTGTAGTCGAATCCTCCGCCGTTCTTGTAGACGAGATAGGAGGCGTATCCGAGTGGCGAGAGGGTCAGAATATCGACAGCCGAGTAGATGCGGATGTCTTTCGGAGCCCAGTTCGGCTTCTTCACAGTCTGAAATATTGATAATTGTGAAATTCGAAAAGAAACTGAATACTGACTGACCTGCCACCAGCTTGGCACAGAGTGATCGGTGGCGAATGAGACGAACGCAGCCGTCGCGGCTCCAGCCGGGATGAGCGTCGAGAGGATGGCATTGCGAGTGTCCTGAAAGAGTGGATCAAAACAGATCGAAATGGGATAACCGACCTGAGTGGTCCAGAATGGCATCGTTTCGTAGGCGGTGAGTCGACAGTGCTCCTTGTCAACAAACTCTGAAAAACTATGGTTTAACGAGGAGCAGAGGAGGTCCGACGAGCAAACAGATACAGAGAGGAAAGGCGGTTAGACTCTATACACTTTCGTTATCACTCTGCGAATCCACGCAACAAGCAGTTGCCTTTTGCATCATTCGCTCTCTTGGGCAGAGACCCCCGTAAAGCGACTGATAAGTACTCTGAGAAAGCAAAGAAAGCAGGGAGGAAAGGCCGTTGGTGGCGGTCGATTCTTTCTCGTTCGAAATGGCAGTGAAAGAGGAAAAGAACAAAACAACAAACTGGGCGCACGAAAGGAGTGTGCAAGGGGCGGAGGGCGTCAGACAAGAGGACATCGACGGCCGCCAAACGAGTAAACACGCGGGGGGCATGCCACTGCGGATCGATGCTGCTGAGAGCCTCGTCCGGCATGCTTTATGTTTGAAACGGACGGAAAAGTGCACACATGTTGATGGACATTGGAAGAAGTTTGGTGGAGAATCGGTTTGAAAATTAAATTGAAACAGAGCATGCAGTTCTGCGCCGATTGTTCTGTCGAACAGCTGTGATCTGCGCGCGTGAGGGTGTCGGTCATGCGGGCGGTCACAACAAAAACTGAGAGCATATCGTGAGAAAAAGGCCAAAGTACGCGGCAATATAGCGAGCACGACATTCAGAAACATCACTCTTTTGAAACCTTTGAATGCGTCACGAGCTTCTGGAACGGAGTGAGGGAAGTGCACGTGTTGCCAGCTCTTCTCGAATGATCCACGATGCTCCTCGCTCATTTTATCAGACGAGCGGGAAAATATGTAGAATGGGGTTAAGGGGATCCGAGGGAAGACTGACAAGAAATTGTAGACTTTCGATGAGAGAAAGAAGCTCGTAAACACACCGCGTGGCCAGCCAAACAGCAAAATAAACTAGTTGTTTTGCACAGAAGATAGGTATTGTTACGATTGAAAAGAAAACAACTTTGCAAAAGAAAAACGGAAATGAGAATAAGATAGAACTGAAATGCCTTTCATTCGGAAAAATTTTGGAGAGCAACAAATCAGAACGAGGGGAATTCTGGAAGCAGATTGAACTGAAAATTCGCGTTTCAAACACAACATTTTACAAAAGAGCCGTAAGGAAACAAGGGATGAAAACGAAGAAACGCAACAAAAATGTATCACAGGATTAATCGTTTAAAAGAACAAATTACATGCTGAAAGGGGGTGTGGGAAATCACGGAAAACGTCCGCAAAACAAACGACAATGGGACAGATGAAACAATTCACAAGAACGCGTATTTTCAGAAAAAAAAGAGAAAAAAGAAAGATATCGAATGAGGAAATAGGGTGCAGGATATAAAGAAATCTGGGAACTATGTCGAGAATGATATTTTATTTAGGAGGACGTCTTGCGAGGCGTCAATGCGAGCATCACCTTCGGCTGATCTCTGAAGCTGCTCCGGAAGACTCTCGGGCCAGCAGTGCTTGCGCCACTACGCTTCTCCGGAGTGGTCGCCGAGCTGTCACCATTCGTCGCGGGGCTGTTGAAGCCAGAGTCGGTGGACGGAGACTTGGCGGGCGGCATTTCTTGATTCGATGTCATCATAGACATGATGACGTCACGGGCTCCTTGGCATTGATCTTTGTTCTGAGCCATAATTTCAACAGCAGTCATTCCAAAATGAGGGAATCCCTCTGCGTGAACAGTGATAACGCAGTTGAATTGACCTTCAATCTGCTTTTTCATGGCTGCACGGTTGCCGAGAATCTTGCCGACGTCTTCGCTTGGAATCTGAAGTCACACAGTACCGCTGAAATCGAATAAGAGTACTCTTACCCAGTATTTGGCTTTCTCTACGTTATTCGTTTTCGGAGTCGGTGATTGTGGTGGTGGAATTGTGAAATCCGGCTGTACAGTAGGGAACATCAGCTGATTATCGAAACTGGCGGATAGCAGAGTTTCGTTGAAGCCTGGAGGTTTTGAAGGTGGCGGCGGAACAGGTGTCGATGTCAGAATCGCGTTTGGCTCGCCCATCTGTAAAACGAAATTGACCTGAGTGCAACTCCATCGGATTGAATTTCAGATTGCAGTTAAACATCTGCATTGACTGACCGAAAACATGCCGTTCATGAATGGATTCTGACCTCCAATCGGCATTTGGGACTGAGACACTTCAGGATTGAACGAATTGAGATCTGAATGCACGCGATAGGAAATGAATGCGCTGGAAGAACAAACTGTAGCCCATTCTGGTGGTCCGCCGAGCGAGCGGAATTTCGATTTCCAGGGGACCGAAGTGCTCCGTTAGGCATTCGATCATCGCTTCTCTTGCTAAATTCACAGACAGTTCTGCTCCGAATATCGAAACTTTGCCGGTGAAATGTTCCACAATAATGTCATTACACCGAGAACGCCGTTGGAAATCGGCCGAGAAGAAGACGACGACCGCACAATAGGCGCGTGGTAGAATCGTCTGACAGACATTATTACATGACGCATTCAATGCGGCTTCTCGGATCATTCTGAAAGTAGAAAAATGTATTCAAACTTCATATCTAATGCACAATCTCACAGCTGAATGTCTCGTTTTTGCCAGACATCCCGAATGATGGCCTCGATTTGAGTGATGTCGACCGGCACTCCGACCGTTCCGCTGCTGACAGTCAGTGAATCGTTTATGACAGTGATCGTGCACTTGAACTGCCCTTCGAGAGCAGCGACGAGGGCGCACCCTTGCGGTTCTTCAAAATTAAAATTACAGATGGTTTTAGACCGGAAACGTACCCGATACAAAAGCCTTCAGTTTTTGTGGAATATATACTTCTTGTGGTGCGATTGACGGTACAAGGTCCTCCATTCTCCCAAAATAGAAGATTCTGAAGATTTTGCAAAAAAATTTGCAGAAAATAGGTATATCGACAATCACACACTTCTAAAGGGTTTCCGACAAAATACACATTTTCGCTTTTCGATGCGCTCATTTGTTTTCACTGCTCTTTTCGGTCTCCAAAATCACAATTTATTTATCGGAGCACAAAAAATACAGAAAATTGAGTCTTTTTTTGCTGAAGAAGTTTCGGAAAACCTTGACTGTTGAGTTGAAATTCAAACTGAAGCTGACTGAAAAATTGGAGCTTTCTAGGTCAGCGGCCGTAAAAAACGGAGTGTTGTACCGACGAGAGCACGGTAGTTCAAAATTTAGTTTCAGTCCCAATCAAAAATCTCTAAAGTAGTGCTGCGCTCACACATTCCTATTCAATTTTCAGAAACACATTTAATACAGCGTTATCCGGCACATTAACCTTCTATACAATCGGCCCATATTCCGCCAGTTTTTCAGGAATTTCATATTATGCGGCGCAGCTTCAAAAAAACGCGTCAAACGATTTTTAATCAACTTCCTTCGTTGTGCGCACATTTATCAGAGAGCAATGCTTGCCGGGCGACGAATCGAAATGCGCGGTCCCGCCCATCAAGGCCCCGCCCACTCGCAAATGACTACCAAATTAGGGAGGCCCTGGACCACCTCCTCCAATCCCGAACAACACGATTTTTGCACAGAATTGTATGTTGATTCAATGGTTTTGTTAATTAGTAAAATTTCAGATCCTATTGAGCAGTTCCATTAAAATTGTTTTTTTTCAAATTTCTGCCAGTTTCAAACTGATTTCATTGAGAAGTGACGTCGGAGGACATTCAATCCTCAACGTCTTCTAGTCTAAAATAGTCTTTCTTCAGAATTGGGTCAGTGACAATTCAGTGATAATACAATTAGGCTAATTTTCAATTTCAAAACAAATTAGATCGTCCCACATTGGTGACCTTCATAACTTCTGTACATTTTAAATGTTGTCTAGCTCTTTTTATCTCTTTTCTAACAGGGAACAACTCGCATTTCGTTTTCAATAAAATAACGACAAAATAGAGATATTTTCCAGTTGCTGACCCAAACAACTTCCCGAACCGTCGAATGTATGCGAGTAAACGTCGGCAGCGCAATTTCAAAAGGTAAGACAATTTTCTTACAATTAATTACTCCCTCATTCCTTTTTCAAATTTCGTCAGCATAATCATCTTAAGAAGCACCTACCGTAATCCTCAATTCCTTCTTCTCTCTCTCTTTCTCTCTCTCTCGAAATCCATCGGAAATTCTGTCCTCATCCTCGTCGTCGTCGCTTCTCGACACTTTCACTAAATATTGTTGTCTTCTAGTGGAATGTTGAATGTCGAAATAGGGATTGAAGTTCTTAGAAGAAACGGAAGAGTAGACGATAATTTTTAGAAAAGACGGTGCTAGAATATGTTCCAACTTCAACTAGTTAGTGTAAAGGATAATTTCTAATATCAGAATGTGACCTTGAAAGCGAATAACGTATGCCTAGACAGACAGAAAAAAAGAATATAATTCAGACATAAATATCCAAAAATTAATTCTACAAGCACGTTCTAGACCTGGTCATCTGCCCGTAAGGAACCTGATGCTCAGCTCTATTATATTCCACGAAAAATGAAATATAGAAAGAAAAAAGTGAATTCTGAAAAAGCCGGCAGCCGGAAGACATCGTGCTTCTAGTGGCAGATCAGCCGTCGCGACTGGGATCCGACCGCCTCCGGGATGTTCGTGCCATGCGCTCAGATGTGCGTGAGACACGGAAACTGTGCGTGAGGTACACTCTCCGCTCTCCGTCGTCGCAGTGCTGCTCGCGCCGTCGCACTGTCTCGGCGTCGTCGGATCGCGTGCTTTCTCACGACGACTCGCATATCGTGACAATGAAGACTTCGGCGGTCCCGATGGCCGGAGAGAGCGGATGATTCGGCGGGCGGACGCACACGCAAAACTACTAAAACGCACGCCAGTTTATCCAGAATCCCAAGAGTCACTCTTCCAACAGTCTTACTTTGTCGTTTTCCTTCTCCGATTCATCTGTTGCTTCGCCATTTTTCGCTCTCCACCAGATGGTCTACAATTAGACAAGGCGCGACAAACATTCCGTGAAGATGACCATACGAAATCTCTCATCCTCGAGAATTAATTGCCCTCGGTTTCCTAGAATTCGTGAGTGTTTTCCATCGGAGCCAGGTGTGCGATTACACGGACACGGACACGCCATATCTAGGATGGATGAAAAAAGTATATAACTGCGGGAGGGGGGACAGATAATCATACGTGTCTTGGGGATGGAGACACCTGTCTTTATGTGGAAAATGTGTGACATGTTTCAGGGTCCGCGATCCGCCCAAAGCGCTTACCAACACGAATCCGTCGAAACGACACAGAGAACGGTGAGGATCTGTATCAACATTAAATCAACTTTTGTTTCAGACTGAATGGCGAGCTCGAGACGGTGGCGATGCTACTTCCGTACGACGGCTCCACGATCAGCCGGCTCGACAAACTCTCCGTGCTCCGGTTGGCCGTCAGTTTTCTGCAATGCAAAGCTCACTTCCAAGGTATCGTAACTTTCGAATGATGCAACCGTATCCTCATTATGTCACAATGCATCCGTCCTTTTCTTGCGTTCCGCCCGTCTCAGAAGTCTCGCTGATGCAATGTTGACTTCGAAAGGTGCCAATTACTTCCCGTGCGAGCTGTCACATTCCTTCCGTAACCACTCGATGATGATGACCGTATCCTTGACACTCTCTGCGTCTCTCTAGTTTCCGTGGTCTCTCGCAGTCCATGTTTATATAGGAATAGGTATCATGATCATCTTGACATCTTCGTGATACTTGATACGCGAACCTGGCTATTAGAATTCAATTCGATCTACGTATGGAGGGACTGATTCTGATTAACTTCTGCAAACAGAGAATCAGAAATGGTTCGGCCGTTTAGTAGTCGTCATGTCATGTTCGTCGTTGTCATCGTCGACGCCTACATAATTCACTCGCTTCTTTTTCGGCTGCCAACAGATGCGACGGCGAGAGAGCGTTCGGAATGAAGAGAACCGAGACGAGGCATACGGTAGGAGGCGGCAATTAGAAGAAGAAGATGCTCTGCTTGCTCCCCTCTTCTGGTCGCATGTATGTTATGTCTCAAGTGATAAATTGGTCATCTCGATTGAATGCGTGATGATGGGGCGGAGGAGGAGTAAGAGAAAGGGACGGAATGAATGGAAAGAAAGCGAGGGATCGGGGGACTTCAAATTGAATGAGGGCGGATACGGTAGAATTTCTGCTGATAATTTTCCAATACTTATTCCAGCGTGTCTGCATAACTCGCAGTTTCTCTCTGCCGGATTCCCGATGTCGACGCACTCGTACTCCTATCAGCCGCACGCTCCGATGCCGTTCTCCAACAAAGTTCCGACAATATTCGATCCTCGGATCGGAACTCCAATGCTCGACCCGGAAGAGGCAAACTTCGAGGAGATTGCATTGAAATCGCTCGGAGGCTTCATCTTGCTGCTCAACGATAACGGAGAGATCTATTATGCATCGGAGAATGTGGAGGGGTACTTGGGATTCCATCAGTCCGATGTTCTGCACCAACCCATCTACGATCTGATTCACTCCGAAGATCGGGATGATATCCGTCAGCAACTTGATATAAACTTCCACATTCCGACTTCTTCCGCTTCTAATCACTTTGATATTTTCGCTCAGCGTAAGATCTCCGATCCCAAGACTCTACTGAACTGCTCAGATTTTCAGAAAACTCTAAATATCTGGAGCGCAACGTCAATGCCAGATTCCGGTGTCTTCTTGATAACACGTGCGGGTTTTTGGTAATCCGTTCCATTCCCAGTGACTTCCTCTTATCCGCGCCTTTCCAGAGAATCGACATGCGCGGAAAGCTGATGTCTCTGCACGGACTTCCTTCTTCCTACGTGATGGGAAGAACTGCCTCGGGCCCAGTTCTCGGAATGATTTGTGTGTGCACGTCAGTTCAGATCGAAAACTATTCTGGCAACTTTTCGTTTTGTTTCAGACCATTTGTTCCGCCCTCGAATTCTGACATGACGTCGGAAGATATGATTCTAAAAACTAAACATCAACTGGATGGATCGCTTGTTTCCATGGATCAGAAGTGAGTAAAGAGAGATGTTAAAGAATAATTGGGGAAGTTCAGAGTCTATGAAATGCTGGAAATCAGTGAATCGGATCTTCCGATGCCACTCTACAATCTGGTGCATGTGGAAGACGCCGTGTGCATGGCTGAAGCACACAAAGAAGGTACCATTTTCAGTTTCGAGAAGGATTTCATTTTGTGCCCTATTTCAGCCATCAAAAATGGGTCCTCTGGTCTCTTGGTCTATCGATTAGTGAGCACGAAGAGCCGAAGGACCTACTTTGTTCAAAGCTCCTGCCGTCTCTTCTACAAAAACAGCAAACCAGAGTCGATTGGCTTGACTCACAGACTTCTGAAGTAAGGGAAACTGGAAAAATTCTACTTATGAATGTGATATTTGCAGTGAAGTGGAAGGAACGATGCTTTTGGAAAAGAGGAGTTCGCTGAAGGCAAAGCTGCTCTCGTTCGACGACTCGTTCCTCCAATCGCCGAGAAACCTGCAGTCCACGGCGGCGCTTCCACTTCCAGCCGCGTTGAAAGAAGAGGAGGAGTGGTGAGTTGGGCAGATTCAAAAAAGTTCATGCTTCATCGTTTCACATTTCAGTCTGGAGCCCTCCACATCGAACGGACTCTTCTCCGCTCACTCCGTTCCCGTAATGCCGCCTCCCTCGAAGCCTCGGCGTCGGAAAGAAGAAGCGCCGCGCGCGGAGATGATTCCTCTGGCCGCTTCAATCCACACTCCAGCTGCTCCGCATCCTGCTCACTTCGAAATGGCAATGTTCGATCCGTCGTGGAGTGCGCATCATCCGATTCCTGCCACGTGGGCACACGATGTCTATCATCATTATCCGCCAGCGGCAATCGCCTATCCCCATCACGTTCCTCCGGTTGTCGGCTATCCGGATGTACCAATTTCGAACGTTGACTATGCCACGTGGCATCAGAATGGTGGGAATGCGTTCAGAAGTCAAAAAAACGGAAGTTAATTTTCAGAATTGCACATGCAAATGTCCTCAATTCCACACGGATTCGCACCGGAATCCGGAAAGGTGAGAAGGAAGAAACTGGCGGATTAGAAAGGGATTTCAGAAGAATTCAATTTTGACGGAGCCACATGGCTTTGAGTTTTTACAACTTTAACCAAATGTTATTCTGCTTTTTACCAGTTACCAGTTATCAATTAGTTTCCCAGTTATCTTGAACTAAGCATTCAAAAGTTGTTTCAAAAGTATTCCATTACATTTCCATACATTCTTCTAGATACTGCCACACCCGACGATGCACCATTTCCCGGAATACGCGGTCACGGTCCCCGCGCATCTTCATCACCCTTTGAAACAAGACAATTTCCATTTAATCTCCGAAGTTTCCAATCTGTTGGGCAACTAGAAGAGAGTGCGTAGTCCCAGAATAAAGAACGACGTCGTTTCCCTTCTTCATTTACAACCCGCCAAATCCAGTAATCACCGAGATAATCGTCTGACACACTTTTTATTGAAGGTAAATGACGAGGTCTTTCGAAACATGTGTCCCTCGCGTGTATGTCGACGGTTGCCAAGTCGCCTTTTATGGCTCTGTTTCGGTCTTTTCGCGCGGGTGTTGAGAAATGAGAGAAACCAGGAAACGGAAGAAGACGGAGGATTTGGACCAGGTCCGTCAGGTTCACACAGAACTTTTCCCAGAATCCTGAATCCGATGTGCCTGTAGTGAATCCAAGTTCTCCTGCTGAAGTCTTCTAAACATAAAGAATGTCTCGACCAAGTTCCTAGATCCAATAGTTCGGATCGGTGACAAACATCACGTGGCGGAAAAAAACACAGTTTGAAAACCTGGGAATGAGTCAGCCGCCTATTGTGATTGTACCCTGAAACGAGAAGATCCAGTAGAGAAAGAAACACCAGTTTCGCGTTCCCATATTCTTTGTCCCATTTCCCATAGAATCGTTTGAGAACCTTCTTTTGTTCCCGTCAAATGCAATATAAAAGAAGCGCCGTTTGGCTGGCTGCTCTCAGCAGTTTTCATCATGAACTTTGTCACTCTTGCCGCCCTCTTCCTCGCCCTCTTCGTAAGTTGCTTCTCATTTCAGAAGACTGTACATTTTCATTCAGAACAGCGCGGCTTCTCAACTCAATCAAGCCTGTCTGTTCTGTTCGGGAGTACTCAATGTGCCAGAAGATTGGGCTGCGGCTCAGACTCTTCTGAAGTTCGGATGTGGAAAGCTGGGAGATGCCAAGGACTCGTGCGTCAACCTCGTCAATGCGGCCGATCTGACGTCGTCGTACCCACAGATGTACCCGTACATTGTTCAGTTGAAGGACATTGGATGCAAGAAGTACTGCTCTTAACTTTATTGGATCGAACAATGATACAATAAAACGTTTTTATTGGTAATTTATAGGTTAACAAGAGACAAGGGGAAAACGTTTTAGAGGGGAACTTCATCTCTGCTCCTGATGATGTTTCTCACGCAGCGACTCCGTCCAGTTCTTGGTCAAGTCTTCCTGCTGAAATTGATAGAATTGTATGAAAAGTTTGCTAGTCAAAGTACCTGTTTGTCATTGGACTTTGGCATTCCGCCGCCCCTCTTCCGGAACTTTCCGTGCTCATCCACGTCTTCGTACCCCTCAATGTACGTGTCTAAACCTTATTTTTCTACAAATTATTACTCCTCTCGAACTTTTATACCATTGTTCCATGGCGGACGACCGTCCATGGCCGAGCGGTCCGCATTCTGTGGTGCCTTCCGACTTCTCGACCTCTTCCGATCCTTTTCTCCTTTTCCGCCGTCACGATTCATATCCTAAAAGTGATTGGTGATTTGGAAGAATACCGTGAAACTTACAAAGCGATCGACGTGGGACATCTCTTCGTTTAGTAAAAGTTGGAAAAAGAAGAAGAAGAAGAAGACGAGCTTTGAAATGTTTCAAAACGGAAAAGTGGGAAGCGGAGGGGAGAATATGAAAGTGGAGGGCGGAGAAGAGTCGTCAAGGATACCATTCACGCACGAACGACTATAGTCTTTGTTGCTGAATTCAGAGCAGGACATACGAGAAGAGCACGACGAGAAAGTACAGAATTCGTCATTCGAACCAGGTCTGGACTTTGACCTGGTCCAGGAATAAGGCATATTCAAATGAATCAGTTTATTTCGAGATATTTTGAATAGTTAAACTAAAGGTTCGGAAAACCTTTCGGAAAACCGGAAAACCTATTTTTTCCGTGTTTACATACAAATCCACATCATAAAGTTCAATTGTCTACGTAATTTGGATGAAAAGCCGAGGCTCCCTGTAGATCCTAAGTAGGCCGTTGCCCAATCGGACCTAAAGTGCTCATCCGGAGGTCCCGCTTGTCCGACGTCTTCCCCATATTCTGCCGTCACCGAAAACTCCATTCGTTTTCCGCCCGCAGACCCTTTTTCGTGTCTTTTGACGGAAATTAAGGCGGTCTCTGCGTCTCGCCGCCTAATCGACCCACTCGTAAATCAGTTCTCTTTCCAGCAGCAGCCTCCGGAAGAAACCGAGACGTCGTCGTTTTCTTCGTTTGTTTAGATGTCGTCGCCCCGTCGTCCCATTTTCAATTAGGCGGTTTACACGGAAAAGAGAAACAAACGGGAGGAGCACACCAAAATATGCTCATTTTTAGACGCGAAATTTCTGTCACTTTACAATTACGTGCGGCGAAATTATGGAAGAGAAACGGAAGAACGGAAAGAAAAGAAGTTTGTATGTGAAAACACGAGTTCCTTATTCAGATTTGAGAGCATTCCGAGGACTTTTGATCCTGCTGCAACTATCGTAAAAACGACTGTTCATTTAAAGCAACGTATCTCAGCTTCCTGTTTAGATATCGATAAGTGGTCAACTGAAAACATGTGCGCAATGTCTTTATAAGCAATTTATCAGTTGGCAACATTTTGATATCTCCACCGGCCGCTCAGAGATATCGTTTTGAATGAGCAGTAGTCGGGTTCCCTACGATTTCAACAAGTTCTGGTTCGATCTAACTTCCTCACTCTTCCCTACGATTTCAATAGAAATGTCCTGTTCTAAACGTGTCTCCAGATTTCATACTTTCGTGTGTATTCCAAAAAACGTGTCTATATTTTAAGACTTTTTTATTTTCTAGATTATGCGCTTTAATTTTCCCAAGAAAGCAAATAAATCCAAGTGGACAATTGAAACGAAATGAGATGGGAAAAAAAGAGTGAATTGTGGGGGGGAAGAAATATTGTCTAAAGTACTTGCAATTATTGGCGGGAGAAAACCGAGTATAAGCTCAAAACTAGATGCGTCCTGTGTGTGAAAAAGGGCGAAAGCGAAGGGGGGGAATAAGAAGATAGATGACAGTCATGGAACATCATAAAGTTCAGGAAAGGAGTGGGAACAAAAAGAGAGCCTAATTTGCTACAGTAACCGAATGGGATTCTGATGGGAGCGAAGAGAATACTGTACATTGGGGGAGCGGGGAACGAGGGTGAGAGCAATAGAGACCAAATATTCGAAGAAAAATGAAGTTCGACGACCCGTTTGGGGGAAATTGTTCACAAAGCTAATAAGCGGGAGTCTCTACCCTTGGTGGGAGCGGTGAGACGATGTTGGAGAAGAGGCCGGGGATGGCGTCAACGTCTCCGGCTGCGAGTTCAGACCTGAAAGCATTCCACAGTTAACAGATGTTCTCTTGAATTGACAGGATGGTTCCCAGCAACTATACGAACGGATCAATTCGGCAATTTATCATTCGGGAGCTGCTCCCCCATTCCGGAAAAGAGCAGAACACGCGCTTTTTGAGGGGCGCACTAATCCGCATCGGGTCAGTGTCAGTTTGTTTAAGCCCTCGGGTCTCGGGGAGCGTTTCGAACAAAGTTATTACACAAAAACGAGCAGAAAGCCGAGAGCTGTGCCCGGTTTTGTAAACCCGATTGAGAAGACATTGCCCTTGTCACGAGAGAGGTACAGGAAAAAACTTTGAAATTGAAATTAAGCGGATTACGTTCCCACTTTTCTTGTAGATTCTCTAGAGGACACGGTGTTCACACCGCTGTCAATCAGTCGGGCGGTGATAAGAAAGAGTGAAGAATTCACCTGCTCGTTTTCGACTGCTCACCTCCTTCGACAGGTGGAGTTAATTGTGGCGCCAGGACTGGAATCTGCTGTAATTGTGCGGCGTGTTGGGTGAAGAACTGCATTATGAACGGGTTCATGCGGACGAGCATCTCGATCTGTTTCGACACGAGGTTCTCGTCAGAAGGTGTTGGGTACTGCAAAAGATTCAATGTTAAAAAAAACTTTATCCAATTATTCCGTCCCTCGCCTCCCAAGAATATACTAATGCACAATACTATTTGTTGTGAATAAATGCGCTGTCGGCGTTTCTTCACAAAAGTTTGCTCACAAATGATTCATACTAGTTTACATCTCTATAAAATGTGCCGTTACAAGAAGCGGGTCTATTTGCTCGGCCTATAACACGCGCATACTCGTTTTTAAGCCCATTTGAAGCGAGACCATAAAATCTATACAAAAGTTCTTCTTCTCCTTTCTTTCTCAACTCACCTTCTTTGATGAATCGTCATCGGAAGTGACGTCAGCAATCGACCACATCTTCGGTTTGCGCTTCGGACTCTCGGCGCCTCCGACTGGAGATGGAGAATCTGAGAGTTTCTTGGGTGTAACCAGATCGTCGGATCCATGCGAGCCTCCAGAAGGCGTCGGAGAAGCCATGTGCGGTTTGCCGAGCAGCGACTCTCCTTTGCGGTCCGAGCTGATCGAGGTGGAGCTGGACGGGCGGTTCATGTCGTCGTCGTCCTCGTCGTCGTCGTCGTCGCATCCGTCGCCTCTCCTGTTCTGCGGAGACCACGTCATCTTGTTCTCCTTCTTCAGACGTCGTCGGGCGTTTGCAAACCAAGTTGATACCTGCAGAAAATTTGAATTCAAATAGTTTTTTGGCGCCAAGGTTAACAAGGCAAACAAACAGAGCGACAAGTAGCAGATATTTGGTTTGAAACATTTCTCGTACTGTCATCTTTCGAAACACATTAATTAAGCGGGGTGCGATGGGGTGTCATCATCTCTTATCGGCCATCTCTTGGCAGTTTTTCCTTTTTTTTTGTTCTCCGTCGCATCGGTCAGTGTCTATCCCGCGATAGACAACGCGCTAATGTTACAATAACACTGCGGGAGACTGTGTTGCGCACTCTAATCTACACCAATACTAAAACAATACTTTTCTCGCGCGGATGACTGGGAGCCGGATCGCAAGCAGCTAATAAATTGAGCAAACATTTGGGAGTAATTTGACGCGTTACGCGATTACGGTTGCAAAACGATTAACGTGCTCATTGGGCGACGACCAAGTGCTCTTTCTGTTTGGTATCCCGTGTTGCACACTATTGCCACGTATCTTACTAACCTGTGTGAGAGTCATTCTCGTCTGCATCGCCAGAAGTATCTTGTCGCCCTTCGACGGATACGGATTCTTCCGGTGCGAATGGAGCCATTCCTTGAGTGGAGCAGTAGCTTCCCGAGTTGCATTTCGCTTCTTCATTCCCTCCATCGCGTACGGATGGTACATGTGATGTCCGTCTCCGAGCATAAATGGAATCGGTCCCGGACCACCTGCCATGAGCATTTCCGGTTTGAAATCCTAAAAAACCGCAATGATTAAGATATAATTTGGCAAGATGGAAGTTGGACTTACAGCTGGAATTCCTGGTGGGAACACGGGAACTCCAAATCCGGCTAGACTGGCGTGCTGAGCAGCGGCGGCGTGAGCCTGCGCCTGAGCCATCTGAGCAGCGACCTGGGCCATCGCGGCCGGAGGGAACGGGAACTGGCCGAAGAGCGGCGGAGGGAGGATCGGCCTGAGGGCTTCTGGGGCCAAGTTCGGAGTCGGAGACGACGGCTCTTCCTTCATTTCAGATTTCATCTGAAATAATGAGCCTAGAGGAGAACACAGCAATGATTCTTACCTGATTGTTTTGAGCGATGAGCACCTCGGTGGGATTCGGCGTTCCTTGGGTCATTGTGAAGCAATAAAGTTATGATCAGAAGAGAATGAGAGACGAGATTATGCTATTGTGTTCTGAAATGGTGTTATCTTAGAAAAGAGCAGTTTTTTGAGGCGACGAAACGAGAAAGGAGGAGCGGAGTGTGATAAGAGAGGCCGAGAAACTTTGATTGATAATTCGGGAAAGAAGGGTGAGAAACACGAGAAGAGCTGTCCGGGGGAGGGACCTTATGTTCGACAACTTGTTGAGCAATCTCGATCTTCTGCAGATGCCCCGCGGCGGGAGGCTGTCGCCGGACGAGGCCCCGCCCCTTGGCCAATAGAAAGAGGGGGCGGGGCTTAGGTCTAAGCGGTGAAGCGACAAAAAACACGTGCGAACACGTAAATTTGACAAGATTAGGAAGCAGAAGAAGAAGAATTGAATGATCATGGAATCGGAATCGGAATCAGTAGAGAAAAGTGACGACGAGAAGAGAATGGGATGATACGAAGAAGAAGATAAGTAGACGGCGAGAGAATGAAAAATGGGACAGCGTTCAAAAAAGGGAACATGGAAACGGATGTGGCGGATGAGATGAAATTAACGAGGAGCAGATGAGAAGAGGTCAGAAGGCCGACGGAGCAAACACAACAAGATCGGGCGAAGCAGAAGAAGATGCTCGGTTGTAAATTTGCTAGATTGAAGTTTCAATTTAGCAGACGGAAGCGGTGCGTGTCGAGAAGAAGTGGAAGTGGCGAGAAGACAAAGTGCCCAACGGGGGAATCAGTAAAACTATCAGAGAAACAAGGTAGCAGAATGACCGAACACACAAAGGAATCGGACAAAGGCGCGGAGAAGCTTTCTACGACGAACCAGCAGAGAGTGATACATCGAGAAGCCAATTAGGTAATGGTCAGAACGGTCGGGAGGGCAAAGAGAGACATAGTTTAAAATGGCATCTCTTTCTGTGTTGTTGTCCGGTGTAAAGAAGGCGCGAGAGTGAGTGGCCGATGATGATGATGATGGCTGGCGACCAGGTAAGGGCGCAGGCCACGGTGTAATGCATTTACTATTGTGTCATTTGTGTATGTTAACATCTTGGGTCACTTCTGTCTTCGTTTTACAGTCTTAGTTGTTACAAAAAGTGGCAGAAGAAGTTGTAGACACGTAGTGTGTCTGTCACAACAAAGTAATAAGTTGCAAAAGCCAAAAATACACAGGTGTAAATGAGGTGTTGAGCTAAAAGGCGGAAAGTGCACAAGAAACGGTATTTGGGTAGTAGACACCGATGTCAACCGATCATGACGATGATGATGATGATGAGGGGAGGAGCCTTGAGAGACCGCCGATGGGGGCGGGGCTTCCGCAGAGAGCGGAGGGACGGCCGCCCGGAGGAGGGTGTGTAGACATGAGGTCGGCACAATTTATGAGGAGCAGCAGAAGCAGAAGCAGAAGAGGAGCGGTTAATGGGTTTTCGAGGTTGGCGCCGTCCCCGAGCACGGACGGCTTCAGAAGAGAAGAGGAAGACGGCGTTGGCTGTTTTTTGTAAAAACAATGGGAATTACATAGATGAAGTGGCGGAGGGCGACTACGGTAGAATGTTAGTTTAGAGGAGAAAAGGGAAACGTTGTAATTAAAACTACTTGACGGACACGTTCTTTTCCGTCGTTCGTCAGAATGGTCCCTCCAGAATGCCCGTTTGTTGCGCCTAATGAAAACTGATCACCTAGGATCCATTATTTTAAAATGGCCTATCTATATGACACTATAAGATCTCGCGGATTACAGTACTCAAAACATATGAATTACTATTCTTAGAGCCCAGGTGTCGCACTCCTGCCACGTCATGTTTCCCCCCATTCATCACCACGTGGCTGCGATTAGAGGTTCATGAACTCGCTGGCAGACGGGGGTCTCTTCCAGCCTTCTCAGGGAAGGAACTCACGAGATTTATACGAGCTGTATATCATTTGATCAGTGTCACTTACACCATTGTTAACATCTCCCGAGTGCCCCCGGAATGGATTGGAAAGTGATATAAAAACTGATGCGAACCGATTGATACGCGGGACGGATTGGCCATTAGGGTATGTACTAGAAGGACGGAAGGAAAATAGGCGAGCGGAATGTCATTCACTTCACACTCTTTTTTGGGGGTGGGAAACACGACGGCGCACAAACGAACACAACTCTCGAGGATATGAAAAACAATGCTCTCGGTGACGGAGAACACGATAGTTGACAACAGTGCCGTGGCCAATGGCGCCGATGATGGAGCTGCGAAAAATGAATGTGTGTTTTGTATGTCTGTGTGTATGTTTCCTGTGTGCCTGTACGAGCACCGGGGGGAGGGCGAAAATGTTCAAACACTCGACAATCCGTGTTAACGATATGTTTGTCTCAGATTATCGACACTCGAAGGAGAAGCCGATGATGAGAAAGTGAGGTTCGCTTGGCACTTTGATCATCAGCCTACAGTAACCGGCTTTGCAGCCAGAATGATTACTTTCAACTCTGATTCGAAACTTTTATCACCGGAAGATCGCACGACATGCGGATTTGTGTATAGTGACGCAGTTTTCAGGAAGCGAGCTCTTGCAAAAACGCGTGTTTCCGGAATAATCAACGCAGTATTTGTCTCTGAAGAATGAAATCAGATAATGCAGAAATAGTTACCGGGTTTTTCATTAAAAAATTGGACCTTATTCGGTCCAGAGCTCTTTTTTTTTAGGAAGCTTTTCAAGATTGTCATCTACAAACATTTTTAAAGGCGCATAACGAAAATGTTCGATGAGTCTCAACGCGAAGAGACAGAATGATTTACGTGCAACAAGAAGCTCGCATTTTTCAGCACAATTTTCCGAAAACAAACAAAGAAAAAACGTTTTCAGGTCGATCGTCAATTATCGTTGGACTCAAAGAATTCCCACGCATAAAATTCGAAAATTGTAAGTCGATTCTCATCTATTAAAAAGCAGGCGGCCGGTCAGCCAGCAGTCCACGAGCATTGGGGGGCAAGCAGGCGCCAACATGTTGAACATGATGCGCAAAATGCAAATGAGAACACATTAATTTGAGAAAACATATGCCCTCAAAGAAGGAAATTGCTTCAAAATGCGCAAATATCCTGGGCTACTGGGGCGAGGACGGGTCGAAAGTGGGCGAGTAGGAGCTCGATTACAAGTGGTTTCGAATGAGAGATGGAGCTGCGAAGTGTATGATTGACGGGCTCCTTTCATTATTTATCCACTCAATTGGCCGGTATCTCTTTTTACGGCAACTGATATATTGTATTGAGTAGTGGCGGCCTCCGCTCTCTTCGAGCTAGCTCATATTTGTGTGCTTCAAAATGTAGGTGCGGTTGGGCGGGTCAACACCTGTCTGTAAAAGCGAGGAGACTGTAGCCCCAACAGATCGTGTCCCGTGTGCACACAAATCCGCTTAATTAGCAGGCGGCACCGAGGTATCGATAGGTCGTGGAGGTCCTTGTCGGGCAGGATCACCTCGGGACCCAATACACTAATTATGTGATTAGCGCCTTCTTATTCCGCCAACAAGTGTTTGAATCTTCGTTCGGGTCAGGGTTGAGAAGGGGCACGACAAGCCTTCTCGGGATACCTGGACACCTAATTAGGAGGGAAAGATGCGCTGCGAGATGGGAATATTTTGACACCGGCGCGCGACACACTGCCTTATCGTTCATTTCGATCGACGTGATTCGTCTTTGTGTTAATTGCCCACAGAATAATGTTTCGATGGCAATCTTCCATCGTTTTCCAAAGTTTTGAATGCCAAATTAGTGAATTGAAATATGGATTTACAAGAGAGACTGTGGCAGGGAGGGACAACGATTTCCGCAGTCTGATGCAGAGTGATGTGATGTGAGAAACGAAAGTTAGAGCTTGTTGAAATCCAAACGGCATGATGAGAAGAGAGAGCCAGAGATTCGAAAGAAGAGGAAATTGGAATGGCCTCCCAAAGCTGAGCTCCATGGGAAACACCTTTCGGGAAGGAGAACAGAGTAGTTCACCAGGTGCCAGACACCCCCCCCCCCCTTGAAACCGGCATTTCAGTTCTCAGTATGCAATGTATCGAACTGTTCTGTGGTGTTTTCAATAATACGAATCTTCTCTCCAGCTACTTCTCCAAAATGACGCTTTTCAAAAATCCCAGGAGATAAAATCGCTTGTTATCATTTTTATAGCATAGAAATGTTTTGCGGCTTGACGTCTCCCGGAACACATGCAGTGGCTCCATGTGTCAGGTGTCCGCACCGGCGACGAAACAACATGATTCTGAGGAGCGATGTACGACAACCTGGGGCGCCTGTCTCTCCTCCGGATCTCCTCATTCACGCCACGCCCCAACCGAAACGACGTGTCGCAATTGATAAATGGCAGGTCGTTTCATGTCGATCTGTTAGTGTTTTGGGAGAGTGAAATGAGGCGATTCACATACACACACACCCTGTCCGAGCGGATTTGTTTATAATCGAAATTAGTTGTGCTCTTCGCCCGTGTTTATGTTATTGATATACATGCCAATATACACTCAGGAAGCCACACAATCATCGTCAGTTGCTACCTCCAACTAACACTCCAATTACTGAAAGAAAGGTCAAATTCAGAGAGATCCCGAAACACGCGTCGTGTTTCGCAATCTTGGCCCGATCATCTGGCAAGATCTGCTGTAATGGCGAGCAGTTTTGATAGGCAGCCTTGCGCAACACTTTTGATTGACCCCTCACTCGTTGACATCTTCTTCCTCTAGTTCCTGAGAGTAGTGGTGTAAGAAAAGCCAAAGGGGAGTGAGACCAAAAACACTTCATTATCCAGTTAAGCGATGTCAACAGAGAGGGGCACACAAACGGGCGTGTGAACACAGTGTCTACACCTGCTAGGCCTGGAGGCAGTGCGGATATCTATTACGGACGTACTCGTCCGCTGTTTAAATGGCTTTCAAACAAAAGAGGAGAAAGCACAATATGATGTGCATGTGTGCGGATTAGGCGATCATTCCCGTGCACACATCATCAATGCGCAATTTATTGTTTTGCGCAACAAGCTCAGTTAACTCTCTTACCGAGTAGAATAACCGTAAATCCGAGAGAGAAAGTGAGGTCATTGGTGGTGTCATAAATGGGATAAACGGATCAAGAGAGCACATTTTGTTATGACACCTGGATTATTGAGTGGGCATACAGACACACTTGATAGTCAACTAGACTGTCTTGCAAAGTTAGCGCATTCCCATCAAAGAAAATTGTGAAGCATTGCTTATTAAGGTTGAGAACACTCTTGAAATGGCCGTGTCCATGACCGGATCATCTTTAGGCGGACCATATGGGTTAGCTTGTGCCGGTAATTTACAGCTTATGGCCGATTATTTGGGTGCGTCAACGAACATGTGGGCCACCCACAAAAAGTGTCTCAGGGAGGGAGGATTCAGAATCAACACAGCAGATTTATAATTTACAACATTCGCAGCTCTCTGTCAAAACGGAGCACCAGTCGGAGAGCGGGGGATACTAGTAATGATTTGTTCTTGTGTTCGGTGAGATTCTCCCCGGAAGTGATTCTTTGCGTTGCAACCTATGAGAACTCGATTGATATACGGCCGAAAGGTGGCAATATCAGCTGTTGTGACCCGGTGACACGTGCGCAGAGACACTTGCTCGCCAGAATAGTATTATTAATCAGCTTGTTGGTAGGGGAGTAGTAATTAAAAAGTATCCGTTGACTTCAGCAATTGGTAGATGTAAGTGCGAATGGAACGAAAAGAACGGAAAGAACGTGGGAAAGGCCGTGGTGGGGAAATGGAAAAAGAAACGCTGGAAAATGGCGCGTGGGAAGAGCTGGATTCCCATTTTCCAGCCGTCAGAGAGTTGCCACATTTCCAACATAATGCTATATAATAATAATTTGAAGAGAGAAAGGGGAAGTCTCTCTGTATAACATATAAAAGCCATAAGCAGTCACCGTTAAAAGCCGCTAATGATTGAAACGTGACAGGTGACGAGAGGAGATGAGCGTACGCGCGCCGAGACGATCCAACGCCGACGGTCTGTCGGAGAACGTGCTCAAGGCGATTCTGGAGCCGAAAGGATCAGTTTCGAGTTCGGTGAGAACGAGAGAGTGGGAACATGGGAACAAGATGATTTTCAGGCGGAGACCTCAAAGATGGAAGACGAGGATGGCGGCGGAGAGAACACAAACACTGATCGTGAGCCTAGTTTAATGTTTTATAATCATAGGCTTTGTGGTTGGGGCGCGAGAGCGGCCGACAATATGAAGCAATAAAAATGCGTGCATGACAATTTTGTGATTCAGAAGAACGACCCCACCTCCATCTACAACAACACGCGCACCAGAGAGCCAGTTTCCTGGACACGACGTCGTTGTCAACTAGCAGCAAGGTAAGAACAGTAACGAAAGACTAATCCGCCGACAAAGAGCTCATACTAACCTGTTTGCACACGCATAGAGCATCTTGGATACTCGCAAACGTTCCGTCAAAGCACAGATCTCCGAAAGTTTTCTAGTTACCGTAATCCCCGCCGGAAATTTGAGACTGGCAAAAACTAGCGAGAACATGTGTCTAACGGGGACGCGACGGGCAAGACGTGGTGATAGGCTCTCCGGGAGAGGGTGTCATATCATGTAGTCCCGGCGCACTGAAACCGGACACCTTTTCGCGCCTGTGAGCAGTCGTCAGTAGATGCTCACAATCGGCGCGAATAATCACACTTTCTGTTGCCGGCAGCTCTTGCTCTGCGGGTCGGGTACACGCTGGTCGAGATTAATGATAATAGCAAATGAGAAGAAGGTGGCGAGAGGCGGGAGGGGGGAGCGCATCGTAAATCTTGTTAATAGCTGGGTCGAGATCGGTTGCCGGGCCAGAATGTGTTGGACATTGGTTATCATTTGTTTTGGGAAGAGATATGGGTCCCTGCGGGACAGCGACACCTGGCGACTGACCAAGAAGTTTGAAGTGTCTGCAGAGATCCAGAGACTAAAGGTATTCTTCGGAATGTGCAGAACATGATGTCGACAAATTCGTACCAAATGTTGCCGTTTTTCGTTGTCGCTAGTCAGACATGTGTTTTCGAGCAAGAGTTAGTTTTATATGAGATCTATCCAAAAGTTGTGTCATCGTTGAATCGAAACCAGCAAGATTTCCCATTTGAATAGCTCCTTAGATTCCAGAGAGAATCCATTATCGCAGATCGAATTACGAAGAGCAAAAATATGCTTAATTCCCCGCTCGCTATCCTTGGTCCTCCTGGTGGCGTGTGAAACACAAGAAGAAGAAGAAGAAGAAGAATAAACAAGGTATACGGTAGTGCGGTGGATGAATTCTTTTCATTGGACACATTTGTAATGCGCCATGAATACACGAGTCGTCGTTTACCCCAAAACCACACGGTGACTGGTTCCCGGGCGTGCGCCGCGCCGAAAAGTACGGTACCTCGTAATGGTCACACTGGAAACCTAACTAATCGTTGTCCAGAGTCTTCTTCTCTTCTACTTCTTCTTGTTATAATAAGAATATTATAAACGAAATGGAGTGAAATAAAAGGGGGACCAGCAGAATGGGGAAGAGAGCAGGTTTTAATTTCCGTTGCATATGTATCTTGATAATTAACTGAAACATAATTACAATAGTCCCTGACATCGCCAAGGGAATTGCAGTCGGGAATTGACATTTCATGCGACACGCATCTTTCCTTCTGATATTGTATAAATTATCGTGTTAGACACGTCATAATCATAGTCAGAAACCGGAAAGATGAGGGAGCATTGAAAATCGCCTACGGGCAAGAAATGTTCGAAATTCTGAAGTGTTTAGTGGATATATGAAATAAGAAGAAGAAGAAGAGAGCGTTAAAGTGTCGAGTATTATGGGTCTTCAGAAGACACGACCTACTCGTGTCCACCACAATTGACACCCGGGTGTTCTGTCTCAAGCATGGGGCTGGCTCTTTTGGGGAACTAGGGTTACTGTAGCTGTATAGACTATCATTTTTTATTGTGCGAACCGTCGGTTCCAACAGGCGGCAAACGCTTATAACCATGAAGTGATGAGAACTTTGCGGCAATTCCCGCAAAACCCAATTCACGTGTGATACCGTCCTTTCACTGTATTCGGTTTCTCCCGGTTTATGACATGCTTTTGCTCTCGGCCCGTTTTCCCGACAACGATTGCTCTCTCGGTGGCGGCGAGAAGATGATTGATGCGTACAATGATGCGGGAATGTGTGGCACCGAGGCACCTCTCACTCACAACACTAACACACATCTTGCAACTAATCTATCCGGGGTGTGTGTATCAAATCTCGCCTACGGAGCCCCCGTCATTTTCGTCTTCGTCGGGAATAGGTGTGTTCTCAACCACATGTTCGTGTTTTTCCTGTGGAGGAGCAAGCACACTTGGCCTGATTGATCGTCGAAAAGCTGCGAGCTGAGGCTCTCTGAGCACACGAACAGTTTTCTTTTCGTCGTCATCAGACGAGACAAATGACACCAATTGACGAGTTGATAATGTGACCGACAACACGGAATGTGACGATTAGAGGGGAGAGAAGTAGCTCTTGAAGCGGCGAGTCTCAAGTAGGAACCAGATACGCGAGTTTATAAAATGTGTCGAAACGGGAAGTATCACTATATCATATATCGAGGAGGGGCTCGTCTGTCAATCAGTGATCCAGTTGACCTGTCGGCATTGCGTGTCGGATTGCATGTGCGACTCGATTTCTTCTAGAGGGACGACAGATGTAAACATAAACAACCGATGGGCTAGTCGTCCTACCGTATACCTCCGGCTTCTTCCACAAAATTCACACGACGTATGTTCATAGCCCTGTGCTCGGCGATGATTTGTTGTGATGTATCTCCTAGTATTCTTAGGTGGCAATATGAGTGACAAGAACACATGACGCGTGGATATGATGATCCTCGTCGTCTCTTAATTGACTTCTTGCTCAATCCCATCCACACAGTATCGACTCATTCACCGAGTCAAGTGGTGTCGCTTTGTGACCACGAGCCCCCCACTCGCTAATAATATAATGTGCTTGCCTCTTCTTCATAAAGTGTTGATGTGAGAAAAGGAGAAGGGGTGTTTGTATTGGTTTTGTCATTAACCACAAGCCATATGGTTACAATGTGCGAATAAGTGGAGCAGCTTAGTCAGAGGGAGAAATGAAAGAAATTTGATAAATGTGGCAAGACAACGACTATGACGATGATGAGCTCTTCCCCGGTTACCTGCTGCACTTCATTCAAGAGAGGACAATTAGGAGAAGTAGCGACGATGTATTGGTTTTTTGATTTACGACCTGACCACTATATGTGAAGCACCAACCACTGGATGGACATCCGAAACGAATCCGAAACAATTTCGGTTTTGAATTGTCGAATCGAATTCGTATTCGGAAAAGGATTCAGATTCATGGCCAATTATATGAAACGACAATTACCGTAGTAGTGTCTGTGTTCGGTATATGTGTTTTTTTGTTGGTTGCGGCCGAAACCGAACGGATCGAAATGAAAAGAGTAAATGACCAGATGTCGGTGTGTCTTTTGACCGGTCCACACTGCTTGCGCCTATTATTAAGAAATTGGTGGAACGATCAGGAGGGATGCGCCTTGAAAAATGAGTGCGAAACTGTCCGGGCGGCCTTGTGAGGGACGCTGCAGCGGTTTTTGCAAATGGATTAACTGCGCTATGTCGGTGAGCATGAAGAGTTATGGACCGAGGTCAGCGCCGCGGAGGCGACTGTGGGAATGAACGTTGGGATCGGCGGAACATGGAGGGATTTAGTTGAGAAGCATTCAAACAAACTGATTCACAAACAACTCAACTGTTTTTATCCTAATCTTTCTATTTGGGCCACACAGCTTGATGCAAACAGGCTAATCTATGCAATGAGCATACTGTAGGCCAGCACCGATTTTCGGATTTGTCAATCTCGTTTACACCTCATCGCGGGCCTTCTGTCGCCATATTCTCAACGATTTCTAAGTTGTTGTTGACCGGCAGAATGATCCTATTGAAATGAATCTGCCTCCAATTCGACGACGTCTTCCCCTCCTTCTCACACACAATTCTTCTCTCAAGAGTGACTAGTATAGGCTGCTTTTCGCAAAGAAGTCTTCTTCAACTACTACCACCGCCTAAAATATGTAAATCTTCCCACGATCCTTCACAACTCGTGTCGGAGCGAGAAGAGGAAACGGGATATCGTCTCCGTGCGCTATTCTTCTCCTCGGGAATTTGTGACCAGATTAGACGTCGTCGCGGATTCAGATGAAGAGGAGTCACAACAGGGGGCCATTCTCCAGTCCACTTTCAATCGGTTTCGTTTCTCACCAGATGTAATCTTCGGGGGACCGTTGGCCGCGGTTTCGTGCGTTTGAGGTGTCACAACAGATTAGATGATTCCCGTCTTCGGAAGGCGAGCAGATTGAGGTTTCTGTCTTAATTGTTATGGTCGTTTGTGTGCGGCGCTTCCGATACATGAAAGGCGACCACTATTGACTGTTTGTGTCGGGGGCCGATTTGAGCAGGAAACGGTAGAGAGCGATAAGCGGATCGACGGACAGAGCAACTGCCAGACGGAAACATCGACGACTAATTTGGAGAAAAAGGGATCTCGGAAATAACCGAATTCAACCTCAGAAGCACACGAATTCGACGTTGACCTTCGAGATGCAAATCATCAGAAGTGCCTATGTTTTGATAGTAGCATCATCATAATAACATCATCACAGATTGATGACGTCATAAACCGGTAAACAGAATTTACTAATCTCTCAAGTTCCCGGATAACAAAACCAATTGCGCAATAAATAAGGTACTCTTCTCCGGCTAATCTTGATCACATTCGCTCATCAACTACAGTATCCTCCGAGAGACCAACAAAGTATCCAAACTGTACTATCGCGCGGGGGGACTTTCGGCTTCTCGAGTTGTGTTGAATTTGACACGCCAGAAGCGCTGCTAATATTGACTTTGATATAAATCATTTAGGTGCGTAGTCTCTGTGTGTGATAAGTGTTAAGAGATGCCCAATCAAATCACAAGTGAGTAGAGCAAATACTGCTCTTCCTTTGATTCGATTCGTCGGAATCGAGAGAAAAAGAGCAGTCGGTGGGCTCCTGGTGCACCCGTGTTTGTGATTGATTAACTCGGTCGGATGACTTCAAGGGATCGAATTGCAGTAAAGATTGATTAAGACGGCAAACACATTCCAGGGGTACCGTACGCAGGACAGTAATTGGCAGTTGCTTTTACGTGCCGGCGGCATACTGTAGAACTATTTAGTGTGCGTGTCGCGCCGCCCGCCGGCGCAAAAAGTTGTCGAACAAGATGCGATGATTCGACGGTTGGTTTTCACGCCTGTCGTCGGAAAATGACAAGTGCGCGAAACACGGATTACGGTAGTCGGCGGGAAAGTTGGGGAAAGAAAAAAGGATGACATGAGAGGGGTTGACAGAGTGTACTCGGCCATCCAGTTTTTGTTTCTCTGAGTGAATTACAGTTGTCGGAGTGCGGCGAACATGCGTCCAACCAGGGAGGCCGATAATAATAGGAAAGGGGGAACGACTAATGCATCTGCGAATTTATCTGGTCTTGTTGATTTTGGGGATGTGGCGACGACAGAATCAAACGTTATTGCTCTAATTTCAGAGAAGTCTCCACTCGTCCCGTCTGACCCTTTCCGATTCGAAAGAGTTCTTCAAAACAGTCGGTTCTCGATGGATCCGAGCAGTCAGACATGGCGATGCAAATACAGTCAAAAAGATGTTGGAGGAAAAGGTTTTCCCTGCGTTTCTTTCTCAATTACACCCCTACAACTTTATTTATTTTCAGCCGGAACTGGTCCACTACGCTCCGATTTACGGACCTCTGGCACTTCACATGGCGACCGCGCGTGCCGATCGATCGATCATCGTGCTGTTGGTGGCGAAAGGTGCGGACGTGGATGCGAGGGACGCGGTGAGCTCTTTCGCAGATGTTCCTTTAGTCGACGGCTTCTTCAGGTCGGCTACACGAGCCTTCAGCTAGCTATTCGGCGGGGCAATCAACCGTTGGCCCATTTTCTGATCTCGCAAGGTGAGAGATATTGCTAACATCTGTTTTCGATGCCATTCCCATCGCCTACGATCATTTTGTGGTTGCCAGGTAGGTGGGTGTGTAGAGAGGATTACGGTAGCTCTTGCTCTTCACCGCCGTCGGATCCTGCTCCGATCACACTCAACACCGACTCGATACGATGTTTATCATAGCACTTAACAAGTGAGAGAATCGTCGCTTCTTCCTACGGGCGGCCCGCACTCCTCTTTAAAGATTACGGTAGTTTTGGATTGGTGTGAATCGTGTCTGCCGTCTCGGCTATCAGAATGCTCTCTGTTCGGAGGGGCACACCGACTTGATTACACAGATTAACAGAAAGGAAGAAGAGCGCGCGCGGATGCACAAGGAGTTCGCCAGAGGGCCCCCGGTTTATTTGTCTGATTAACTGTGATCAAGTGCTGATTATCGCGCCGTCGCAGAAGCAAATGCACTTGAGAAGTTGTATTGCACGGGTGTGAAAACGAACGAGAAGTGGGAGATGATACGATTGGGGGACAGGAAGTTAATAGGATCACTGAGGGACCGACCGAAAGTAAGTGTTAAATAAAAATAGTTCTAAGAGAGAGAAAACAAAAGGAGATTTAAATCTTGATAGAATTCTCAATTCGGTAGTGTGCATTGAGAAGCTGTATTACTCTCTGGAAGCACTTAGTAAGTTCGAAAGGTAATAACTTTCCAAGGCACTTTCCCAAATAAGAATAGAAACCACTCTTGAACAATCGCATTAAACGACTTCCCTCTCTTTGAATAAAATTGAAAGAAACGCGAGAAAAGCCGGATGAAGAAGTGAGAAAGCTGAGCAGCTCCAGAGGCGGACCGCAGAGGTTCTTCTCTTTTTTCCATTCGACACCATGCCGATAGATTATGTGTGAAATGGCTTGTGGATCCGAGCGGCCGCACCACTCACCCACCTATCCATCTCATCCGTCGGTCTCCGTCAGTGCATTATAAATGGCGAAGGCACGCTCGGATGCCGTCTCACAATGCAAATCGTCACCTTTCCGAGACACACACACACACTGTAATCGACTAATTGGACAGAAAGAAGAAATATGACAGACTTCTTCTCACACCACCTTTTCCTCCTTCAGATTTTGCCAATTTCCGGCTGTTCGGTGTCTGTTTCAAATTGGATCTGTTCTACGCGGGCGAGCACATAAAAGGGATCGAGAGCATCTGTCGCACTGCAGCCGGTTGGGTAACAATACGGCCTTCCGCCACCTCATCCATCACGTTTTTCTCGCTTTTCGATGGCAACGACTATTATCGTTTGTTGACGTCTCATTAACGCCTTGCTTCCAAAGAAACACGGGCCTCCCGAGGGGTTTACTTGTCACCGGAAAACTGAGAGTCTAGGGAGAATCAGCTACTAGTTTCGCTGACCTTTTGGCAGGCAGCAGTTGCGTAGAGTGTATCACAAGGACTGTCACGTCAATTGATATGCAAATGAGTAACAGTTATCGTAAACGCTTGCGCAATTCCATTTCCCCTATCTATTCCGTCACCTGACACACTCTTATTTTCAGGAGCAAACCTCGAGCTCATCGACCCGGAAGGCCTCTACATCACCGAGTACGACGAGTGGAGTGATCAAGATCAGACAGCCGCCGAACAATTCGTCTATGGTACTGTCGGTTCTATTTCTGGCATGTTTGCCTGCCTTTCAAAAAGAGGTTTTCAACACAAGTACTACAGTACACCTAGGGGCAAAGGTGATGGTGGTGCTCGCCGCGTATTTACAGCTGTCAAAAGAGTTGGCAGCTCGCTCGGCTTTCCTGTCCTCTGCATTTACATTTTAAACACCACGTTAAATGTTTGTCTCTGTCCCCGAATGTATGTTTGGTGTCAGTGTGGGTAGGATCGAGATTTTGATCGGAACTTATCAGGCGCTCCTGCTGCTCTCTCTCTCCTTCTCGATTTGTGTGTGTGTGTGTGTGTGTGTGAATTCGAATGTATACACAGGCGTTGACAGGTGTAGGTGCTCTGATATCTGCGTGTTTGTTGGCCCGACTTGCACCTACTGATTGTAGGCTGACTTTGGATAGAAAAAGGGGTTGAGGGATCGGGCAGGGACCTAGTGAGCAGCTAAACACATAGAAGTACATTGTTTTGACAATAATACCAATTTACATACATTTGCATATAAGGAAACTAGAAAAACATAGTTGAAATTACGATTTTTCAGGGAAACCTCTTCTCCGCCCGAAGTCCCACTCGTTCGTCGGCTCTCCGTCATCTGCATCCCTGAAGAGCTCCAACTCGATCCGTCCAGTCCGCCCGTCTTCCACGCCCGACAACTCGATTTGCTCTGAAAAGGACGATCCGAATCTGAAACGAGAAGGAACGCGCCGATCGTGGAAATCGTTCTTCGAGAAGAATCCGATCGTGAAGAAGTTTGGGTCCAACTCGAAACTGTGAATATAAACGCTTTTCGTATTCGCTTCCAAATAAAACCAATGTATTTGAAATTTTCTTTTCCACAGGTGTCACACATTCACACAAAAGAGCTCTACCATCTGCCGTATCATTAGCCGGTAGGACCGCCCGACATATTAGTGGAATGGGGAGTGTTTTGATTGAGAGCGAACGAGACGTGACTGCGGCGGGTGAAGTGACCCGTAAGGCTGAAAGCAATGCCGACGAAGGAGTCGGGCGGCACAGGTAATCGTGGCCGGGCATTAGCAATCAATTCAATGCCGTGTAAACACACCGGATGCACTCATTCGAGTCATCACATACAGAGATTACTGTCTCTCTGTTTTCGACGAATTGTTTGGCTTGCGGCGTGGGAGAGGAACCATACTTAACGGGATTAACTCGACCGGAAGAGAACGGACCAATATGTGCGCGAAAGTTTCGAACGAACGAGGGACTTTTGGAATTCTCATGGACGGAGTGCTCATGCTCATTTCCCCGGCTCCGCCAACTTGATAAATCACCTAAATTTCAATCAGAATCTCGCTCCTTTTCATTCAATTTCCATATTTCGATTAAATTAAAATTCCCTGAACACTTGCCGCCGCGGCTCGCGCACCCTCTCAATTTTTCATTTCGGAATGTCACATTGACGGGCGGCGCCCTTCTTCTTCCCTCAGATCGACCGTAGTCCGAGGGACCAACGGTGTAAAACTCTCGCGTGTTTACATCGGTCGTTTACATCCGAAACGGCGGGCGCCCGGCGACATCCGAGAGGACAGTTGGCACGAGCGACGCTTATCAGGGGATACCATCTGAAGGTGGCGGCTGCTCCCCCGAGCAACAAGACATGACAAGCACGCGAATTGCGGGTTTTTGATGGCTTAGAGTGTACGAACTGAATTGCGTCAAAGGGAACGAAACGGTGGAAAAACGGAGCCGAGGGATCGTAAGCGAGCCCTGACGTCCGACTCGGTTGAGGAAAGATGCTTCCAGATTCTTTGCATTCATTTATTTTCGCAATCCAGATGACACCTCAGCCGACCGTAACGTCTCCATATAACAATGACATCACACCTGTGCGTCATTGAATCGGACGATAGAGATCTCTCACCTCGGAGGGATCATTCCTGATGCCAAGATTAGAATAATGTCTATACAAACACATTGATCAAAAATAACAGAGAGAGAGAGAGAGAGAGAGAGAGAGATAATCCACGCGTCTAATACTGTAAACGTGTTATAATCGCACGTGTCACCGCCATGTTAGTACACCGGATCAGAGTGTGTTTGAGCAAGCAGGAGAAGAAGAAGAAGAACAACTCCGGACCGTTGGTTTTGCGAAGAAGGTCATCGATTGGAAGAGTGATGGATCGGGGTGAAGCGCCCGGAAAGTTGAAAGGAACGCCGGCTCACTCGCATTCATCACGTCAGTTTTTGCGCGGTGCCCAGCCTATTATTCGCTTCGTTTTCGTTTTCGTTTTGTTTCTGACATATGTGCAAGATGTTGGAATGCGCATCGATCTTCGTTTGGCAGGCGAAAGACAGCCATTTGGGAGGAAACGAATCGACTGATAGGCATCTAGGTTCACACCTGGCTGGCATGCAATGTATGGTTTATGGCGGCTGAACCAGTGTGTCGTGACATTGATTAATCTGATGGTTATCTGGAAAATAAAAAGTGAAAACATGGTGGGATGACAGATCGGAAGGCGCCAAAACGGTGAACCTTGAGGGACCGGACGGATTTTCTCGTGGGGACCATCCTAATCAGTTAGTTTTTGATTGATTTCTGTTTGTCTTCCCATCATCCCCTGTTTCCGTTCGTTCCTAATCCGTCCGTGTTCGGTGCAATTCGATACGTGCCGCCCTTTTCCGGCTATTTGTCGCATTGTGCAACTAACGGCCTGGCGGCTCGGCTCTAAAGTTGGCATTTGGCTGACCTGTTCCGTGCCTACAGTTATAATACTTTGTTTGCAAACAACGCCACCTGCATTGCCATTCAAGGGCTCCTTCACACACGAAATTAGCACCGTCCTGGGAGGGGGGGCTGATTTATGTTGAGAGAAACGGAGAAAATTGAATGAAGAGTACGGGAAAACGAACATAAATCTGAAAAGTGTAACCATTGATTATGGACGTACTCAGCGAAAGAGAAGGTCGATTAAGAAAAGTGGAATGTTCTGATTTTTGAGTCGGCGAAGGGACGTTCAGGCATCTGATGAGGTTTCACCAATATTGGAGTAATCTAGGTGACAACTACTGTAACTTTCAACGTTTACAGTTTGTTTAACAGGATACCATGTCATTCGGTCGCCAACAACACCCAATCAATCTTCGCAAGTTCTTACACTAAAAAATTCATATTATTTACAATGGAGTGACGCAATGATCAAGGAGTCGAATGACTGGAAGTCCTCGAAGGGCACCTGTCTCAGTCGTGAAGTCGTCCTCGATGACGCAACGTGGCAGACGGCTCCACGAGTTGGCACGTGTGTTTACAGGAGCAAAGACAGGTGACTCGGCCCCATGAAGAGATCTCTTTCACAGGAAACGAACGAATGTTTGTGCAACCAATCGGCCACTGTAATTGGCTATGCAATCGAGAGTAAATGACGAGATAATTTACTGTCTCCGACCGTTTGTCAGTTTGTTTTTGTCGGCAATCGGTGGTCCTAAGCGGCGTGTTGCGCAAACGATCAGTGAGTCGGAAATGGAGTGATAGAACGGAACGATGAAAGGATGACGTAACGGAAGAGGAAGGAGAGTACAGTATCAACACAAACACTTGCGGGAGGGGAATCAGTGACAGATGGACGGCGGTTATGATGTTGGCAGACTTTCATCTCGAAGGGACCAAGTTGTTGCGCTTCCAAAACCGTCTTGTTTGACTATTTTTCGAGGCCAGAATCAAGACCGGCCCGCGCATTTCGAGGGCCTCGATTTTTGGATCATTTGCAATATTCCCATCAGACACTTGGATTAAAGTATCTTGTTCCAGACCGATCGAAGCATTTTCAGACGAACAATAGTGATTTAGAGCCGAAAAGCCCTGAGGTTTCTGATTCTTTTGCTGCGTTTCAGTTCCATTTGGGACCACGGGCCGGCAAAGCATACGGAGGACTGGACATTGTGAAGCTGTAACTTCTCACAGAAACCTTACATTTACCTCTAACCTGGCTTATTTTGAAGAACACAGTAAAATTGAACTTTTATCAAAAAATCAGAGATCCCTATGTTCGATTTCTGGAGATAACTTGAAAAAACCGAAAGTCCCATGTATGAAAAGCCGGGCCGTGGAGATATTCACATCAAACTCTTCCATCTTCTACCGTAATCCGTTTCCAATATGATTTACCATCATTTTCTATGTCGGTAAACGGTCTGTTGCTCAATCAATTAAGCCAATGATCCGGAAAGAAAGGTGATATCTGACGGCACGATAAAAAGAGTTCCGCAACGGAAGGTTACTGTACATAGAGAAAACACAGATGGACTGCCTCAACCGAGAGTATAGCAGATGTGTTCGGGTGATTTGATTGATGTTGGTGGGAGCATAAAGAAGGTGTTGAAAACGGGATTAAGTAGATGACGTTTATTAGAAAGAGAATCATTGGAATTATGCACATGGCTAGGTACTTGAGCGACGCATTCAGTACAGTTCTTCTCTTGACGTGATGTGCAACGAATGACGGTTCTGATAGGAAATGAAGGCCGACAATGCGTAAAGCACCGCCAGAATGAACGTGAGGAACTGAAAGATGCAGCTGAATCATTCCATTGTGAAGAACTTTGATCTTACCGAAGCAAACGCCCATTCGTAGATAATACGGCATCCGTTGTGAATGATTCCGTCAGATCCGATGTCGTTGCAGTTATTCGACCAACTTCCGGTCGAGTAGTACGCCTCCACAATCGAGAGAATCGCAAAAAGGATGGCACAGACGGCGTTGAACAGGAGATCGGCCTCTTTCCAGCAGAAGAAGTCGAGATGTGTGAGGTGGAGGGTAAAGAAGTAGGCGATGAGGAAGATGAAAGTGAGCAGCATCGCAACGCTTGCCGCCGCCAGAAGCACCGTCTGACCGAACAGAACTCCTTTGAACGGTCCCGGACCGAAGACCGAGGTGATCAGACAGACAATCACGACGCACAGGAACTGAAACAACATTTAATCGCACTGAAACCACCACAAAAACTCACAATCTGGGCGATCCTGAGAATGCCGTGCGGTCCCATACAGTAGTACTTGTCAGTGGGACCGCGAGCACACGACCACACACTCTGCTCCTTGTACTTGGTCTTTTCTCGCGTCGTCGTCGTCACGTACGTCCCGTCGGGCTGTTGTGTCGTGTACGTTTCGCGTCGTTCCATTTCTGAAATGGCTGGGAAAATGAGAGGAATACGGGCCGAAATGAACGAAAGGAAAGGGGCTTGGAAACGAAGTCATTTCATGGTTGGACGCATATCAAAGGGAAGGTGACGATTGGCATGAAAATAGATATTTGAGATGGCGAAACAGCTTTTGAGGGAGACGATTTTGATAAGACAGGGGAGCCGTCAGACTGTCGAAAACTTACCATAGAGCATGGCAGCCGCTCTCAGCTGCCGATAGAGATATCAAAAAAGTTGGCAACTAGAATTACTTAATAACACGTTTTGTACATTTTATCAATTGAACACTTTTTGATATCTCTATCGGCAATCGAGTTAAATCGTAATGATTGACTGACACTCTGCTGAAACTTGAATTTATGTCTATTTTTGAACCAAAAGTTGATTCTGAGAATTACCTTGCCGATTTTTCAAATCAAACGAACTGTTTGGACCGGTTTGGCACACAGCTGATCTATATACGAACTCTCTAGAGTTTTAGAGCCTTCAGAAGTCCCAAAAGAAAATACGTAGAAACTAAGCCTAATAATACAGGCAAAATATTATATACCATTTTCAGAGGACTCTACCAACAGCGCTTCATTCTAATCTTGTGCGGTAGAGCACATTAACCAAAAGTCTGTAAGAGAAGTAAGGAATGCAAAGAAACGGCGTAAAATGTTGTTCAATAACCAAGTTTCGAAACAAAGTTGAGAAACGCTTGGGCGTGGTTCGAAGATCTCAATCTCGGAAAACGGCCGCGCCCAGCCGAAAATTCTCTCGGAGGGAAAGAGTGGAATTGCCGGAAATTGAGCAAACTGTACGTGGTGTTACCATAGAATGGACATTGCAAAGAAGAAAACAAACAAATGAAACAGAGAATTCAGAAGACGACGAAGAAAAGGAAGCGAGGGAAGGGAAGAAGAAGAATAAGAAGAAGAAGAAGCAGCGACCACACCCAATGCGTCTCCTTTTCTTACATTTCTATCGATAATCGAGGCGTTTCTCGTCCCTCTCTCAATCACTTTTCTCTCTTTCTCTCTCTTCTTGACTGGAAGCGTTTGCTTATTTGTCTATACTCCCAGCCATTTAATAGTTGTACTCTCACAAATCAAACAGGCCGTTTCACTCGGAACACACATGAAATCGTACTGCTAAAAAACAAGATGAGAATACGAGAAACACGACGGATATCAGCATGTATTCCTGTCAAGGTCGGGCGGGAAACGGAGAAAAAGAGGGAGAGAGAGAAATGGAAAAGAAAGAAAGAAAGAGTGACAATGAATGATTAACTGTATGATGGGTGATAAGGAAAATGATAGAAACCTGAAAGTTTGTGAACGAAAAAACACAGAAAACATCTGAAAAAAGTCCGGCTCAAAAAGCCTGAAAACTAACAAAGAGCAACAAGAAACTCGCAAAAATGTCTATAGGTCACTAAAAATAGTTTTTTTTTCGAAAAATGGCTGCTCGTGCGTGCTTTTTGTGTCTCTTTGTTAGTCTACATCACAATGAACTCGTTGCCAAAAAATCAAGCGAAATGAATCAGTATTCGTCCGACGGCACGCATCTGAAGTTTTGGCGCACAGAAGGCTTGGGAAGCGTGCCGCCGTCCGCCGCCCGCGCCCTTCTCGGCTGTTCTGAGACTTCAGATGCGTGCCGTCGGATGAATACTGATTCATTCCACCTGATTTTTTGGGAATGTGTTAATTATGTTTTTAAAAAAACCAACAAAGAGACAAAAAGCACGCACGAGCAGTCATATTTCGAAAGAACCTGTTTTGACAGTGACCCCAAGACATTATTGCGAGTTTCTTGTTGCTCTTTGTTAGTTTTGATCATAATGAACGCATTCACTATGACAATGACTAAGATGAATCTGTATTCTTCAAACAGCACGCATCAGAAGTTTTGGCGCGCGGAAAAAAGGCTTGGGAAGCGTGCCGCCGCCGGCGAAATGAGCCAACAGTTCACGGGACGAGGGCCGAACTTCCTCCCTCTCCTCACTGCGCCCCCAGAAAGAATCACCGCGCACTTCACCGAAATTCCGGAATAGTGCCGTGAGAGCAGGACACAAAAATAATCACGTTTTCAAAAAAATCGAAATGTGAAAAAGTTATTCTCATTCTCATTCTATTCTCAACTTTTTCGTCAAAAGCGACACCAACTTTCGTTTTTGTGCAACGATGGCGGATATAAAAGAAGAAAAGTGCGATTTTTCCGAAAAACTCACTAATTTTTGTGTTTTCAGACGACAAGCGAAACTGCAAGACAAGAACTACGTGGACTACCGTAAGGCGGAGATTCTGCACGACATCAAACCGAAGACGAAGGCGTTCAATCTTGCCAAATTCGACGATTCGTTTCCGCGGCCAAACAAGAAGAAGGAGGCGAACATGGAGTTCGGAGAGCTCATGCACAAGTATCTGACGCTACGTCCGGACGGGAGATTCGCCACGTGGCAGGGAAAGCCAACGAAGAAGAAAAAGGAGAAGGCGGCACAGCCGGAGAAGACGGGCCTCATGCAGAAGATGGCGGCGGTGACGGGAGTGTCGAAGCCGAAGCAGGAGCAGGCGGCGCCCGTGAAGAAGGTCAAGGAGAAGAACTACAACAAGGCGGTGAAGAATGTTCTCATGCAGCAGGCGGACTTTGAGGAGGACGGTCAGATTGGGCGGAGAGTTTGGGTAGAAAGATCTGAATTTGATTTGCAGAGATCGACCTGAAACGAGTGAACGAGGCGTACAAGTACCTTCCGAAGGAAGAAGTCGACGCTAAAAACAAGTACACTCTGAACGCCATCGTCGACAATAAACCGTTCTGGCTGGTCGGAGATCCGTGAGTTGAACTTGTCAGCTCATTCGCTCTTGTATCCACTAAATCTGAATCCCCTTACAGAGTGGTCCCGGAAGACGAGGAAGAGGCCTACGTGGATGCTGAAATGCTGACCACCGTAACAATCATTTGAAGGAGGTCCCCATCGGAAATCGTATCTTTCAGTACATGCAAAGTGTGGAGAACCAGGCTCAGTACCCGCACAATCTCGCGGAGCGTAAAGAATTCTTTATGTGGGGACCGACTCCGCAGTTGTGGAACGAGATGAAACACTTTCAGAACAAGTGAGAAACGGAGGAGAGAAACCTTCGGATAACATTATTTCAGGAAGCTGATCATCGGAAACACTCTGAGATCAATCGTGGATTCGACGGCCGAGAAACTCGGAGTTCCCAAAGAGAGGTGAGCAGAAGTTTCCGAAGGTGATCAAAGAACTCGGGATTTCAGAGTCAACAAGGGACACAAACCGATTCTCGAGTGGAACAAGAAGACGAAGACGATCGAGTACGCGATGGACACGGTCCCGCTGGAGAAGACGGCCATCTACGAGGGCAAGCTCGAGAATATCATAAAAGAAGCCGGCAAGAAGGAATAGATCTCAATGAATATTCTCTTTTCCTCTTCTCTAGTTTTTGCTTCTGTTTCCGAAAGGCTTCTTTCTCAGCACCGCTCTCCCTTTCCACCCAAACCTGAACCGTTTATTGCAGTCACATTGATACTCTTCCCCATTGACCTCACTTTCCGCCAGTAAACATGTGTACATTCCCTTCCTCTTATCAGCCACGCAGGTGACAGGCGCATCGTCGAAACACTGCGGAATTTAGCGGGTTCACTGAATACCTTTTTCGTCCTCCTCGCCGAATGATAAGTGTGAAGAGAATGAATGTTTGATAAGCTGTGTCTATGAGTGCCGGCCACAAACTCCTTGAACTTTTGGAACTTCTAATGGGATCCGAATGGTATGAAGTTTCAGTCTTATTAAATTAATATGATCCAATCTGACACGAGGCTTAAAACGCGTCAAATTAGAGTCCAGTGGGGCTGGGAAAATTGCCGGCCCGGACTTTGTAGGATCTGCTTGTGCCAGGTATTTGACTCAGTTGTAAAGATCCAATCGGACCCAAATTTAGCAAGCTTTTTGGGCTTGGAGTGAAGTATTTTGGGTACTATGTAGATATACTAATCTACGGCCTTAAAGCCTTGGTTTTAGTGTCTCCGACTTCCATTTGACCGCAAATTGGCCTCTTTTTCTCTCTGTCCATGGCGGCGCTTCCAGTTGGTTTTTAGTGTCGCGACAATATATATAACCAGCGCGGCAAACTTTCGCACTGTTTGTCAAATGACATCTCTCTCTCTCTCTCTTTTGTGTGACGGGAAACGAGAGAGAGAGAGAGAGAGAGAGAGAAAGAGAGAAAGAGAACGGTGTGATTGTTGAAACCTGTTGCCAAAGGGGCGCCTCAAACTGCGCGCGCGCGAAACAAAGTGTTGATGAGACGAAGAGCGATGACAATGTCGCATTTAATTCTGAATTTCTGGAACTACACTAGCCACTATTTTTCGATTAAATATTCGATTGTCACGTGGTCTCTCAAACGACTGGTCTTGTTCTTTTCTTTTTCGAGTGGCCGGCCGCGTCAAAACATTCTGAAGAACTGTTCCTCAAAGTATGTACCAGTACTGGGTATTCCAACTTTAGCAGGGAAAGCTCTTAACTAATTACACAAACTCTCAAAACTGACTACAAATCATAATTCCTCTGTCTTTCACTTTCACTCTCAATTTCACTTTTCACGGCCCTGCGTTTCATACATATTCGAGCATAGATTTCTCTGTTTTTTTGATAAAAGTGCAATTATATTCTGTTCTTCAAAATGAGCCAGGTTAGAAGTAATCGTGCGATTTTTGTGGGAAGTTACAGCTTCACAACCCCGTAGACTTTGCCGGCCTGCGCTTTTGTCATCTAAACTCTCAGGTCAAAGTCTAGACCAACACGAGACTATGACATACATTACTCATGCCAATTCTCTCGTTTTCCCTTTTGATTCCGAGTTCTTTGAATCTTCCCTCTGTGACGTCTTCTTCTCCCGTCTCGTCAGCAATTCTGCGCAGTTCAATGCTCGCCCAAAGGTTGCAGGTGCCCCCGGAGCTCCCGCTTCAAATAGCTCTCGTGTCCTCTGCTCCTTTTCGTTTTTTTTTTGCACAATCGTAATTACTGCCCCTTCTCCTTCTCTCACTCCCTCTTCTGCCGCTCTCTCGACGTCTCCGTCTCTTTTTCACTTTTGCTCTCTCTCCTTTCCCGTCCCGCTCCCTCCGCAATGCCATCGAAACGGGCCGAAGCGACGACACACAACACACACACATTGCATGGCTATATCAAAAAAAAGTTATTAGTATCTTTCGTTTTTTGGCCTGCACGAATTCCTTCCATAGGCTTCTGGTGATTTTGAACGCGGAGCATCGGTTGGCAATGGAGTGCACTTGCACTCATCGATGATCTTCTAATCCCTGTGACGAAGGATAATCGTAATCTGCAAAGAGGCTTGAGAGGAGAAAATCGAATTAATTTGTGGTTTCTATTAGTATGTAAACTTTGAAATTCGGCCTTCTCTGCCAGTTTATGCAAATGCGAATTCGACCCCTCCCTTCGCATTTTCTTTCTTTCGCTTTCCGAGGTCAGTTTACCACCTCCCCTCATGGTGCTTCGGCCGTTTTGTGGCCATCTTTGTGTCCCCGCTTCTGATAGTCATTATTCGGCTCTCTGCGTCTCGTTTTCAGCAAAGAAGCTCAGCACAATTCCAGCACCCACGAATTCCATATTCTCTTTCTTTTCTGTTTTGTTTGCACTTGTGATTATTCGAAGAGAAGCTCGACGAGAAGCCGGGAAATCGCTTGTTTTTGTGCAGAAGAAGTCTAGTTTGGAGTATAATCTGAATGCGTTGCTGATCTGTGAGCCGCCGAACTTTGAGCATTCCCCTCGACTTGCTTTTCAAGCACTTTACCGTCGTTGGCCTACGGTAGTTGGTTTCCTTGCGGAATGGCTGCAAATGGAACCGCGGGTGCGTGTTTTGCTATTTCCTGTTGTCGTTGCCTTGCAGACCAAACTTGTCGCCTTCTCGCAAATCCACTCTCTCTCTCTCTCTCTTTCTTTCCTCTCCCGCTTCCTCTCACCTTCCTTGTCAACACCAATTTCTTCTCCTTCTTCTTCTTCTTCTTCTTCTTCTTCTTGTTCCGAAGTTGTTTTTTGTGTCTGGCCGGCTCTCGGAGCTTCTCCGTTCCGTTCTCTCCTCTGGAGCAATGCAACAAGAAGCGGCACACGCAAAACACATGGAATTCCTCTCCCTCTCTTTATTTCTCTCCTTCTTCTCCTTCTTCTTCTTCTTCTTCTTCTTCTTTTTGCTTATGGCCCATGAGACCCCGCCACTTGTGCTCCGAAGCTCCGCGCCGAGAGATCTGGCCCCCGTGGTTCCCAGTTTCAGTCCAAAATCCGGCTCGTGGCAAAGAAGGCGTTTTGTTTTGTTGTGCTCTTTTTCTATTTCTCCTTTTCCTCTTCTTCTTCTTCTCCTTCTGCACCCCCTCTTCTGTTTGCTCCGTTTTCCCTTTTCCGGTAATGACTTTCGTTTTCATTTCCGCATTTCAAAATATCGTTGAGAACGATACTCAAATGTTTTGTGCTCTTGAAAAGAGGATTTCGAAAGAAAAGATGACAATTGGATTACTCAGGAGCAGGATTGTGAAATAAAAGAAATCTCGTTCCATTTGCAGAAGTACACCTCCACTTTCTCCGTCTCTCCGAACCATTATTAGATTTCTCCATTTTTCTCGAACTCTTTCAAGTGTGTCTCCTCCTCCTTCTCCCCTCTTCTCGCCGCTTTCCTATTCTTAAACGAATTTGTCAAACGTTCAGGTGATTCGACCCGAAGAAGACGGCAGAATGGAGGACCTGATGATGCCGGGAGGAGAGAAGGTCTCGATGGAGAACTTCGCACTGCTCAGAGTGCTTGGAAAAGGAGCCTACGGAAAGGTGTTCCTGGTCCGAAAGGTCGGTGGAAAGGACCACAACTCGATATATGCGATGAAAGTTTTGAGAAAGACCAGAGTGAGTTTAGCTTACATACCGTAATCCAGACAGCCTTCTCTTGTTTAGGTGCTCACAAAACAGAAGACTCTGGAGCACACGATGGCCGAGCGCCAAGTGCTCGAGCGTCTCCGTGGCTCCCCGTTTCTTGTCAACCTCTTCTACGCGTTCCAAACCGACACGAAACTGCACATTGTGATGGAATACGTGCGTGGCGGAGAGCTCTTCACTCATTTGTGCTCCCGAGGACACTTCGATCTCGACGCCGCTCGTTTTGTGATTGCAGAGTTGGTCGTCGCAATTGACAGTCTGCACCAGAGAAAAGTGATTTACCGAGATCTGAAATTGGAGAATATACTTCTGGACGAGGACGGTCACGTAAAGTTGACCGACTTCGGACTGAGCAAGCTGTTCCTGCCCGGAGAGCTTGATAGAGCCAATTCATACTGCGGAACCATTGAGTACATGTGAGTCGAATTACTGTAGGGATTTCAAAGAAGTTATCGTGAATTGATTCAGGTCGCCAGAAGTGATCAACCGTCCGGAAGGAGGATACAGCGACGTCGTCGACTGGTGGTCTCTCGGAGTGATTTCATTCGAACTGCTCACCGGATGCTCTCCGTTCACTGTCGACGGAGGAGCCAACTCGAGCAAAGACATTGCCAAGTGAGTTCGGATCGCTTTCCCAATCATTTATTTTTATTCAGGCGTATTCTGACAAAGAAAGTGCCGTTCCCGAAGACGATGGACGCGGACGCTCGTGATTTCATAGGATTACTTTTGGAGAAGAAGCTAGAGAAACGTCTCGGATTCAACGGAGTTGATGAGATTAAGAACCACGTTTTTATGAGAGAAATCGATTGGGATGCGGCCGAAAAGAGAACACTGAAGCCGGTGATTGTGCCGAGAATCGGACACGACCTGGACACGCAGTTCTTCTCCGCCGAATTCACTTCGCAACCGCCCCTTTACTCGCCGGCCGAGTCGCCGTTGAACGCCAACACTCTTTTCAGAGTAGGCTGTGATTGTTAGAGCTTTTCCGAATGTTTTATCTTTGCAGGGATACTCGTATGTCTCTCCCTCCGTCATCTTCTCCAATGACAATGTTATCGGAGAGGAACTTCTGGCCGAAGACGTCAATGCTCTTCTCGCCAGTTCCTCCTTCTTTGCCAAGTACAAACTCGACAAATCGGATACCGGACTTCTGGGAAAAGGAGCGTTTTCGGTGGTTCGTCGTTGTGAACGATCGGAAGACGGCGCCCAATTCGCCGTGAAGATCGTTTCGCAAAAGTTTGCGAACCAGGCGCAAAGAGAAGCGCGGATTCTGGAGATGGTGCAGGGACATCCGAACATTGTGCAGCTGGTCGACGTTCATTCGGACCCCCTTCATTTCTATCTGGTCATGGAGATCCTGAGTGGAAATGAATTGCTCGAGAGGATTCGAAAATTGGAACGTTTCACAGAGGTAAAAGAGATAAAAGGGAGAAAAAGAAAAAAAGAGGAAATAATTTTTCAGTGCGAGGCAGCGGATATCATGCGACAATTGGTGTCAGCTGTCAAATATCTTCACGATAAACGCATTGTTCATCGTGATCTGAAGCCAGAGGTAAAAGATCTCAAGATCTTTCAGTCCCATCGCGCTGACGTTTCAGAACATTCTCTTCGAAAGCGTCGACTCGGATGCGCGGCTCCGTCTCGTCGACTTTGGTTTCGCACGCCTCCTTCCGAATCCGATGGAGCAACAACTGAAGTCTGTGCAAGTTCTGCGCAAGATGTACGGTTCCATCACCTCCTCATCCGGTCTCCGCCGCTGCGAGTAACCCTAGTCTAGCCAAAAGTCATTGTGTTTCGTTTCGTCGGCTCTCTTGAATCGCTTTTTCGTTCGTTTCTCCGGGTACTTTTGGTAGAGAGGAAGACGGTGGTGTGTGATGTTTCGTGCATTCTTGCATTCCTTTATACATATCTTGCTGCTCCTATTCCCCCCATCTGTCTGTCAATTTTGCACACACACAAATTGTTTTCTTTTCTCATTTTTTCCTTCATTAACACGTCAAGATTACTAACTCGCCTCTCAAAGTCAAAACGCACGTTTCCCGTTTCAGGACGCCGTGCTTTACTCTACAGTACGCTGCGCCAGAAGTGCTCGACGTCGGGGATTCTCAGCCGGAATACAATGAGCAGTGCGATCTATGGTCTCTCGGCGTCGTCCTGGTCAGTTTTTCGGTCAATTCCCATTCTGCACTCGAATCCGTTTTCAGTTCACAATGCTCTCGGGTCAAGTTCCGTTCCACGCCCGTTCTCGTCAAGAGTCTGCCACTGATATTATGCAACGAATTTGCCGTGCCGAGTTTTCGTTCGAAGGAGATGCCTGGACCAACGTGTCGCAAGACGCCAAGAACTTAATCACTGGTATTTGCATTAGAGCGCACTTCCCTTCCAACCTTTAAAACATTCTAGGACTTCTCACCGTCGACCCGAAGAAGCGTCTTTCGATGCAAGAGCTCACCGTGCACATGTGGCTCAAGTCGTCCGCCTCGATGGACACTCCTCTTCAGACACCGAGCATTCTTCCCTCTTCTGCAGGTACTCATTCGTCCCCATTTCTTTCATTTCCAACTAAATCCACCTGGTTCAGACGAGACCTTCAACGAGACCCTCCGCGCATTCCTCAGCGCCAACCGTGACGGATTCCATCTTCTTGACGTGGCAGCAGCTCCGTTGATGAAAAGACGCGGAATCAAGAGGCAATCCGGAGACAAAGACGGTTCCGGAAACTCGAAAAGGTATGTGGAGCATTGGAAGTTTCAAGAATCCGTGAAAACTTTCAGCTCGCGGATCACGACTTTCGAGTGTCTTCCGGAAGAGCAAGAGATGGAGACGCCTTCCTCGACAAATCGTCCGAACAACCTGGGAATGATGAACTACCGAGAGCCCAATTCTGGAGCCATCCGAGAGACTCGGGGCTCCGACTCTTCGTAACTCGCTGTTCTTTTTACTTTTCACCTAAGCCCCAGTTCTCCCTTTATTGTGATCGTATGACCTAGAAACTTCTAGTCCCTCATTTCCTTTTCCAAATTGCCCTCAAGAATTCTCATCGACCGTTTCGGTTCTACAGCAAAACCTTCTGGAGATCCTTCCGGACCTAGTTCATTTAGTTTTTATGCTAGACTGACGCATTTCTAGTCGTTCTTCAGAATATTGTGATTCGAGCATTTCCTATTCTCTCTCTTTCTCTCTCTCTCTTCTTGTAAATTTACTCATCTTGTAGACACATATCCTCTAACCCATGTAATCGTTTCCTTTTCTCTGTCTGTTTGTCTCCCTGTCCCTTTTCTATCCAGTGACCACTTTTCCGATTTCCACGATGAGCATGAATGACTTGCCAATCGATCCAAAAAAAAAGAAACTATTGATAACAATGAATAATTATATTCTTGCCAACTGAAAGTCTGTTTACTTTTCCTGATAAGTGGTGATGGAATGCAAAACTCCCAACGAATATCGATTGATCAAAACGTGAAAACCTGGCGGAATATAACAAGAAAACAAACGAAAATCGGAAGTTTAGAGAATATTTCTCGCGAGGAGTGCCTGGTGTAGACGGTGCAACGGCAATCCCACCACGTTCGGCATACATCCTTCGATCCCGCGAACGAAGACGGCGCCGAACTCGCCGATTCCGTACGATCCGGCCTTCTTCCTACAATTTTCGATATACTCGGTCAGTAAATTAGTGAATAAGGCGGCCTAGAATTTGCTAGCGTAAATGTTAGGTCATGCTGCCGCAACACTAAAATTTAACGTCTTCTTAAGCTTTTTAATTGATTGTTGATGCCGAAAAGTGAAGAAAACGCCCTTTTGCTTGCGAGAAGATAGGAACAGCTGGTTGATGTGACGTCACAAAAATGAAAGCAAGGCTAGAAAGATGAAGATACAAGGGCTTGATACGAAATTGGCAGTTTTCTTTTCGTTTCTTTTGGTTCGACAATTTGACTCACAGCGGCTCTCCGCTGTCTACGTATTGCTGAATGACTCTGTCGGGAATGTCTCCGAAATGTACGATCGTCTTCTCGACGAGCTCTTCGTATTTATCGGCGTCCCGATAGTGAAGAGCCATTCCGGTGTAGACGTTGTGCGTATTGTTGCGGAGTCTGCAAGAACTTAATGGGCTCGAATAATTTGACTACGGACCGCTTCAAGGTCTCAACTGCGTCATTCGCATCTGTCGGTTTTCCGATTATTTCTCCGTTGAACTCAATGACAGTATCGCAGGCCACGATCACAGAGTACGGCTCCTAAATATTGAAAATTGTCATCGACTTTCCGTTAGCCGCGCTTCCTGCCTCTTTCTTTTTCATTTCCTCCACAATCGTCGCCAACTTTCCCTTTGCGGTCTCAACGACAAATTGTTTGACCGGCAGTGTCTTCGGTAGATTCTCTTCGAAATTCGACACCTTTACGATCACATTTTTGAGTCCCTGAAGATCGAAAATAAACGAATTTCACATTTTCAGATTCTCTCACAATCTGCTGCAGCAGCTTGAGCCGATTCGGCGACTGACTCGCGAGCACAACAATGGCCTCACTCATTCCGAATATTCCGTCGATGGCGAAGCACGTGGATCTGAAATTCCGATCGGCGCTTGTGCTCAGTCAATTATTCACCAAAAGTTGGGGACATCCGGACATCATTAAACAGTCAGAAAGTGCGAGAATGGAAAGAAAAAAGAAGAAACGTGTTGCAGGATGGCAAAGTACCGACGAGATGTGATGTCGAAGAGACTTGTCGTGGATTACGTCAAAGATTTAAATCCAGACATTGACATAGTCAAGGTAAATTTCTTATTTTAGTAAGATCTGTCGAAAAGTTATTTAAAAAAAAAATTGGACCAAGATTGTGATGAAAAAAAGTATAATCATATTGTGCAAAATTTCGTAATGGGGTTATTCAGCGATGTAAAAAAATGAAAAAAAACCAGTGCACGCGTTGCTTTTTTCCCCATTTTTTGACATTGCTGAATAACTCCATAATGCTCATCAGAGATCATCTTTTTCAGCAAGACTCGAAGAACGGAGTGACTTCCTACGAGGGATTCTTCAAGAGCCCGCACGCAATGCTCTTCCCCGACCACATGCCTGGATCCGTCGGTCGGGCGCACTTCCGAGCGCACCTGCCGGACAAACGCGGCCCCGTTTGCATACATTTAGCCGGAACCGGGGATCATTCGTACTTTAGGTGTGCTCTCGCTCTTCCTCGCCTGCCCCTTTAATTCAAATCCTTCCAGACGTCACTGGCTGCTTGCGGAGGATATGCTCAAGGACGGAATCGGCTCGATTCTCATCCAGAACCCGTTCTACGGCGATCGCAAACCTCCCCAGCAGTTCCGATCTTCTCTGGAGAATGTGACCGATTTGTTCGTGATGGGTGCCGCTTTGATAGCCGAATGCAATCACTTGTTTAACTGGAGCGAAAGTCTCGGCTACGGTCCGTTTGCCATTTCCGGAGTTTCGATGGGCGGCTTCATGGCCCAGCTGGCCGGTTCGAACTCTCAACGTCCGGTCACAATAGTTCCGATTCTTTCGTGGACGACGGCTTCTCCGTCGTACACGGAAGGAGCCATCGCCCCTGCAGTCAACTACGGTCTACTCCAGAAGCAGTTGGAAGATCCGCACTATGTGGAAAAGTTACGGAACATTCCGAATCAGAATTGGTTAGATAAAATGCACGAGATGTCTGCGAAGAATGGGCAACCGGAGGCGAAGAACCTGATGCGTATTCTGATGGACGATTTTACGAGTCTGGAGAACTATCCCACTCCCATCGACACTTCACTCTGCCACGTCTTCCTGGCTGATCAGGATCAGTACGTACTTCGGGATCAAGGAACGCCCACTTATGAGGTATCGTTGATTTGAAGATTCACACCAATCATTCAAACGATTTCAGCAACTTTGGCCGAACGTGACGGTGGAGATGATGGAGGGGTACGGCCACGTCACCGCGTATTTCTCGAAGCACGACCTCTGGCGCCGGAAGATCACCGAACTGCTAAGAAAACAGAAAGAACGAAGTGCAAATAAAGCAAAGTGATTTTTCGGAGGCCCACTAGGATATCGTCTTTTTGATTGTGATAATAGAATCCCCCGTCGACTAGAAAAGTGATTATGATCCCGCCAAACAGGTCCCCCACTCAAATGTGCCTTGAAATAGAACTACTTCGGGAATAAATCTATCCGCCTACATTCTCAATTTTCTAAACTATATAATTTAAAACTTTATTTGAGTCTAGAGAGCTCATGGGCTGACCATTTTTTAGTTTATTGTAAAAAGAAAGGAAGAAGATATAAAAAAAAGGAAAAAGGACAAAACGGTTAAGAGATTTCCTACAAAAAGTCTGTGGGCGGCGCGTCGGAAGTGAGCTTTTTTCCGGATAAAAAGAACTTCGACAACGACGACATTCAGAATGGGGGGGGAGAAAACGAAAATACTTATACTAAACTCTCCATTTTATTCTCACAATTAACAATCAACGAGGACAACTAAGTTTGCTAAACCGCTCGGTCGGATCGAAGGAGAGCGCGTTCTTTTGGGATTGGGGGCAGGGACGATGGAAAACAGAGAAACTAGGTGGAGAGGCGGATGCACAAATACTCGCAATTTCATTTAACTTTACAGTAGTCATTTCTCACAATACTCGATGAAATTGCGAGCAAATGTTCGCAGATGGAAGGTGCGGACGAGAAAAGAAAATAATAGATGGATGGGCGATTTATTGTGCCTTTGGTGGTTCTCTTCCCTTGACAGTCTTGAACAGGAACTTCTGCGATTTCGTGAACGACCAGATATGTCTCTTTCCGTAAACCAGAACGATGGCCACGAATGGAATCAGAGCGGCGATCTTAAACAATCCACAGTTCTTTCGATGTGCAAAGAGAAACATACCTTGAGAGCCCACTTCTTTCTGGTGTCGTGGAATGGCTCGGCGGCCCAATGCATGAAAGCGGACACGTCCTTAGCTTGCTGAGACATCGTAGCTGGGGTTCCGTCCTTGTACTCAATTCCCTCGTCGAACAATTGCTGTGGCATAGAGATGATTCCTCCTGGGAAGTATGGGTTGTAGGCCTTTCCGTCATCGACCTGAAATTAAAAGGTTTGGAAAGGAAATTATCAGTTCAGAAATACCTTCACTCCAGCCGGAGCCTCCAGGTATCCAGTGAGAAGAGAGAACACGTAGTCGTCTCCTCCGTGTCTGGCGAGAGCCATCAGAGACAAGTCTGGTGGAGCAGCGCCGTTGTTGGCGGCGGCGGCGGCCTTCTTGTTCGGGTATGGAGCAGGCAGCTTGTCGGTCAAAATTCCCGGGCGCTGGATAGTCGCTCCTTTGTCGTCAACGTCGTTGATAAGAGCATCGGCAGCTTCGGCCTTGGCCTCCTCCTGAAAATTCAGTTTGTGTAAACTTGAGTAGATTTATGATGGACAAGACTATAAGCCTGGGCGCGGTCCGAGCTAACGCTCGGTAGCGGCTTAGCCGCTTGTATGATTCTCAAAACCGCTCAAAAGCTCACGCGTTCATTTATCTATTTTCTTCGTCACAACTATTTCTGTTTTAGAAATGAAAGTGTTCGGACAAACCAAGAAAAATAAAGAAAGAAATAGACAGACTCCGTTGACTTTTTATAAAATAAGAATAATGATACCTCAGTCATGATCGTATCGACGAAATGACGGTAGTGCAAGAATTTCATCGAGTGGCAAGCAGCGCACACTTGCTTGTACACCTCGTATCCACGCCGAACGCTGAAAAAACAGTTATAGCTAAATCTTACGATTACTTACTTACGAAGCAATGTCGAACGAGGAGAATGGGCCGCTGTGTGCCCACGGAAGAGCATACGGATGCACATTATCTCCGCTGGCGCTGACCGAGTTCTCCAAAGCATAGACGAGTCCCATGCCGGAAGCGGCGGTGACTCCGGCGAGAACCGCCAAGCCGCGCTTAAAGATCGTTTCTTAAACTTTCAGAAAAGTTGTTTCATTTCATTTCATAGAGAAAAATTTAACTCGAGCTGGATACACTTTCAGAAATGTGCGAAACTGAAAAACTTTCAACAACTCACTTTGGATCCTTGCACAACGGCACGCTGCATTACGCACCACCTCGATTACCTGAAATTAGCTCGTTTTTCATTCAAATATGAGAAAACTACTGAAAAATCAACGGAGCATTCACAGACAACCGAAATTATCTGCTTCCTAAAAGGGTAATTTCCGGAAGCATTTCTGGTCTGTTCTGTAAACCAATATAAAGAAAATGCGACCAGTTCTTTGAAGCACTAATTGGAGTTTTTTGAAGCCAAAAAAAGAATCGAAACGTTAGAATTCGGCTAGAAAATGCAGGAAAATGGAGAATTTGTTCATCACGGTCATCTTAAAACACGCCAACAGATTGTTGGCACAGTTTGCGTGTTCTCTGCGTCTCTCACTTCCTCACACTCTTTTGTACGATCGACAAGCTCTCTGCGATAATTTGAGCTCGAGCTTCACTCTGAAAAACGAGTCATCTGAAACAAAAAGTGAACATTTTTACGAAAAAAGAGGTATTAAAACAAGAAAACTGCTAAAAGTTGTTTATTAAAACCATAAAAAAGTAAGGTTCAAACGGAATCCGCGCAGGGGTCGAAAGAGATCAGTATAAAGTGAAATGGGAAGATTGCAATAGAAATTTAGAAATTTGGATAACCATGACACCTGTAGATTTGATTAATAAAATTAAGAATCTAATTAATAAAATCAAGAATCGACTGTTCGGCATCTTTGTAGGTGCACTCGATGATTGTGAATTGTCCGGCCTGTGCTTCTTTCTGATCTTGGATAAACTGTTGTTGGAAATTCAGTTCTCCCGAAGCCTGCTTCTTCCTTCCGATCTCTTCCACTCGCAAATAATCCGCAATTTGCTCGTTCATCGGCTTCATTACTGTCTCGTATACCACCCGACACAATTCTTTCTTCACCCGGAACGCCGCCATTGCTTTTGCGAGCACGAAGACCGCCGAGAAGTAGACGATGGCGTAGTGGACGTCGTCGTACTTCATCCGGGCGCACAATGGCCAGAAAGAGCCGAGTTCTTCGTAGAAATAGTTGCAATCGTACATTTGTTGTTTGAAAACAGTAATGATGGCTGCGACGATTTGAGCTTCCAACCCGAGTTCCACTTCTTTCTAAAATGAATAATAAATAGAAGGAGTTTCGAGAATACTCTTTTCTTACTTTCAAACTCATTTTGTGCAACAATCGCTTCAAAAACAGTGGTCTTCTGGCAACGTCAAACTTTTCGGTCGTTGCTTCGAGCAGTTTAATCGCACGTGAGGTCTCTTGAAGACCGATCGAATCTCCGTCGAAAATTCGGAAAGCGGCGAGCCAGAAGTCGGCGATTCTCTCGATTTCCTCCGTTTCAAACTGGCCTTCCAGGTGAATCAGACGATTGCAAATGTTTTCGAATACGAAGAGCATCGAAGTGGCTAGGCTGCTTCGATAGCCGTTCTTCGAGTTGACGAACTCATTGAATTGATCGACTTCGAGGTGAAATCGATGGAACGGAGAGACGACACGTTGGATGCAGAACACTTCGAATGTATTTCTCAGATCATGAAGCACTGAAATTCATTGATAAAAGAAACTATTGGATTGGAAAGAATGCACCGAGGAGTGGGTGAAAAGGACAATTCAGAACGAGTTGTTGCACGAAATCGGGAGCGATATGCCGGTCCGGGCGTTGCAAAGACACGATGCTGTCCGCGATCAGCTTCGTTAGAACACTAAAATTTTAGTGTTTCTGGTGGAAAAGGGAGGTGTGCAACGAACTGAGGCGGAGCTCCGGAGGCTTTTAGGATGTCCGCATTCGCAGCGATGTGCCTTTCGAACTCTGTCGGATCGATCGAACCGGCTTCACGCATCGTTCCCACGATTTTCTTTAACGCCTCCTGCACGGCTTCCATGCTCAATTTCCAGTTTTCTCTGTAAATTCAAGAAAAAATTGCGGAGCCTTGGTCATTTTTGCGTGTTGTCATCATGATACCATAGGTGCACCAGTGTGTGCTTAATTATGGTGTAAATTTTTAAGAACTCAATTTTTCGAAGTTGGGGTGTTAAAATTTGCCGACAAAAAATCTAGCTCTGTTCATTCTGAATTGCGTCTCGGCAGTGAACAAGGTGTCTCCGGAATCAGCGTTTTCCCAGAAAAATTAGGGTATATATTTTAAACTTCCTATGATCATTACGTGTCTCGAAGCTAAACTAAATTATTTTTCAGCAAAAAAGCAGTGTCCCTTTAAGACTCTGCTTACCGCTTCATAACCTCGACAGCTATTCGAGTGGCTACGACCGTCTGCATTCTCAGAATCTTTTCGCAAATCTGTCGCATTTTCACGCCATTTTTGAGAGGATCCATTAGTCGCCGAAGAACGAGTTCGGATGTTTCTGGAGCTTTCGATATCTCCCAAGTGATTATTTCGTTGAGAGCAGCGGAGAAAATGTCTTCGAAGTGATCGGCGTTGGTGCCTTCGAGAAGGTCTTCCAGTGCCACGCAAACATCTCCGATGTCCCGTCTGTCGAGGGCTTTCGAGAGCCGATGAGCGGACCTGCACACGTTCTCTTCGTTGTCCACTTCCATTGAATCCATTCTGATCTAGAAATGGTTCGCGTTGTCGCTGAAAGTTGTTTCCGTTTCCAAAACCTATGAAGTACCTATGAAGGTGATTATATATCCTTGTGTTATTCGAGAGCCAGCCCCACTACGTTGAATTTATTCAAAAACGAGTACAGAAAACACCAAAAAAATGGGAAAGGGGAAGGGAAGAAAGTGGAAAAAGGGAGGAGAAAACGGATAGAAATAAATACGAACAAGGAGACAGAAAACATAGAGGAATTATGTGAGAAAGAAAAGCGCCGACCCATAGGAAGTCAGATAACAATTGACGAATAAGGGGTTACTTTCCGGCGGTGGCTTCGGTTGCGCGACGGATGGCAGCGCGCTTTCCGACGACAGCCTTGAATCCACTCTTGATTGCCGTTACAGAGCATCTGGAGCCGCAGGTGTTGCATTGGAGGAAGAAGAGACGGGTATCCTTGGTGAGCTGGGTGTCCGATGATTTGCAGGTGTGGCACATAACATACTCCTCTGTAAATAGATTTTTGAGTTTTAGTTCGGGAAGTGAATCACTAACTGATGTATTTTCGGAGCACACTTTCGAAATGCTTCTGCAGCCATCTTCCCTTGACAATCAGACAATTACTACCGTCAATAGAACCGGTTGTTCCTAATTCGGCAAGCAAGAACTGCAGTACGTGCTTGTCCTGTCTCTTCATGAGACGGCAGATTTCGAGGAAATTGGAGAAGGCGGTTTTCTTGGATCCGGCTCTACCGACCTCCGGCAACTTAATGGCGAACTTCTTCTTGTCACCGGCAAAGTCTGGATTCTTGTCCTTCATCACCTGGAACACGAGGTTTAACGCCTCGTCGTACGTGTAATCTGGCCAAGCTCCTTTTGCGTCAATCAAGTTTTGTGCGCCGATTCCAATATCTAGAATTCGTATTATGAAAATCTAAATCAGAATACGCATGAACGAACCGAGAGTTGGGACTCTTTCCTCCACAACTTCGTCGACTTTCGGGGCCTTCTTCTTCTTCTTTCCAACAAGTTTCAGCTCTCCTGTAATAAACTAGTTGTGATCCCAATTGTTAGAAAAACAACGAACCGAGATCCTCATCAAGTCCGTCGGCAACAGAAACCGGCGCCGGCTCATCGTCGTCGTCAATCTTGATTGGCTTCTTCGACTTCTTCTTCTTTCCCAAGTCGAGTTGCTGAATCGAACTTATAAATATTTTATCGAAGAATATTTCTTACAAGGTCATCAGCCATTGTTTGTTGTTTTTGTTTGAAGGCGAAGCTCTAAAAGTCAACTTGAGTAAAAACTGAAAAATAATCGATTTTCGCGATTGCGAAGACAGATACGAGCGGAATAAAAATGAAAGATGAAATTCTAATTTTAGTTATGCTACACTTTGTGTTTGTTTTTTGAAAAATACCGAATCTGCGTGTTAAAATTGCGAAATCAAAAAAAAAAGGAAAAATATATCAAAGGCGCACAACGAGGCGCACCGGGCGGGTCTCGCAACGCTTTGTCAGAGTCGGTGTAGATTTACGGGGTGAGACGAAGCTTTTTTAAAATTTGCTGTTCGTTCACCTCATTTCGTGAAATCAATTTTAAAGAACGAAATGTTTTATTGTTTCTCTGTTTATTGTACGGATTATGACAGATTAGACTTTGCTCAATGATTGCCTTAGCTTCAATTCTGATGAATGTTTTTTGAATTGTCTTTAAAAAAAATCGCAAAGTTTTGATAAGAGCTCCAAAATAATAAATTAAATGAGTTCTCAGTTTCCCTTTGAAAAAGCAGCTTGTCATGTGAGCGTGACTCCCTCCAAATCACGCTAGAAAAGAAGTAAGTCGCTACTGAATTATTCCCATGCGAATCCATATCTGCCCCTTCGTGGTCACCCGTCTCAAGTATTCCCGTTAAAGAATCCATTCCGAAAGTTGTTATCAGAATCAGAAAGCAGTCAAATCCGTCATCCTCCTCGTCAAATCCGCCTAGTTCATGACGTTTTTTTGTCATTCGCACACCTCTACAACTTCTATTTTTCCTCTCTTTCCCAAGTTTTCGGCAGGGGGGCACTGGATTACGAAGCACGGACAATCAGACTCGTTATGCCATCCTACTGAGTCTCTTTTGAATGGACGATGAGCAGCGCACACGGGAAAATGGAAATCTGCGCGAATCTTTTGTGTTGCCCGAAGTTGTCGCACGGAGAAGAATTCGACGGAGGGAGCGGGCATCCAGTGTTGCAAGATTGGCAACCGAAGGCACGTCGGACAGCCGGCTCAGCCAGGCATATCGCCAACGAATTGCTGCTCGGGCCGCCGTGCCGTCTCGGCTCTCCGCCTTCTTGCTCCGTCTCTGACCCTCTCTCAAGGCGACCGCGCATAACAGCACATTCTGAACTTTCATCGATTTCGTTCTGTTCACCCATTGTTGCTTTTTGGCTCAAGCAGCCGTTGACGGTGCACTACTCGCGAGCAATAAATGAAATGAGAAATGAGGTCGGAGAACGGGATCTCGGAAAAGAAAAGATGAGAGAACGCCGTATGATGAGCGCAGTTTCTATGCATCTTGTTCATTAAATGTCGTATCTGCTCGGCACATTCAGCTACTTCACGCATCGTTTTGCTTCTTCCTTCTTTTACCCCAAGACAGAAACTAGTGAAACATAATTCTATTGCCTAGTTTTATGTTGAATCTACACGCAAAACAAAACATGGTGACGCATTCCTTTCCCTTCTTCTGACTGAATTTTGTTTTTCATAAAAATCCTAGTTCTAAAAAATTATTTGAGAGTCGCTGTTCTCATATAAAAATGTGCAAGCATTACACTGATGACCACTGCTGACCTTCTGGTTTGAACTGTGTTTGCTCTCTGCAACAAAGTTTTCATCCGATACAGTGCATTGCACTGTTCCACTTTCTCGCTCAATCCTAAAGTGAAAACAGAAGCCAATTTGGCTGAGTCTGTCCGCCCTTCCTTTTTTCAAGAGCACCCTTGGGAGGACTGGCTCTGGACGGCGGTCTTCATTACAAACAGAGCTCCAGATTTATTTCGTCCGCTCACGCTCTCGTTTCCTGTACCAAAAGTTTCTTCTCAACTTGTTCTTCTTGCGAATCTGGAATCGTCTCGTGATCCTTTTTTGTCGTCTCGAGTTCATTCACTCCATAAAAATATCCAATTTCTCGCTAGACTATTTATTATTCCTTCCTTTCCCTTTGTAACATATTTGATTGTCGCGCTAATAGTTGCATTCATTCGACGAATGTCATGAGAGAGAGAGAGCTCTTTTTCGGGCGTCAAATTTTAGCGCACTCCTTAGCCTCTCTGTCGGAACAATGATAAGACACGGACAAATAAGTATGTATAATGAGGCGGCTTGCGGTCTGGGCGTCCGTGTGTACCTCAAACAAAACATTCAAAACTCTTCGCCCGCGGCTGACTCATCGTCGTTTTGCTTGGTGAGCTCGAACCCTCATTTCGTTTCTCGTTTCGCATTCTCATTCTCATTTTTTTGACTAAATTGAAAATTGGTGGGACACGAATCGACAGAGTGACGGGTGCATCCAATTTCCCTCCACCATTCGAAGCAGGAATAGAGAAAGAGATACACGTTTTATGTGCGTGTCTGTCTGTCTGTGTGTGTGTGCATCTCCGAAATTAAACATCAACTCTCGCTCGGTCTTCATACGATATGAGGTCAGAAGGTCGATCGGAAGGCAATGTTTCTCTCTCGGTCGGCAATTACGTGAAAGTAGGACGCTCGCTGTATTTGACAGACACTTTTAGTTCTGAACTGGTTATGTTAGCGTTACTGCATGTTTGAAAAGTATGGCAGAATTTGCTTCTGAGTTCATCGTCTAACGTAGGAATTTTATGTAAGTGCTTCATATGCACAAAGTCATCCTCCTTGACCCGCTTGATCTCTGACTGATATCAGTGACATCTTCTTAGCTGGTTCGTCTTTTGAGTATCTTCTCAGTTTTCGTTGCGCGTTCGCTCTGCTCCCACATATTCGATGCGTAAATATATCTTTCTCTCCCTTGACTACAGCAACACAACCGTTTTTTTTTCTCCTCTCTCCCTTCCCAATACATCTCTTCTCTCCATTTCCACGCCCCTTATTCCTCTTAGACGTCGTCGTCTTCTTCCTCTTCGTTTTCCCACCCCCTCTCCGTCTTCCCTCACGCGACCAATCGCCTTCGATTCCAGATTGGCCACTCGAGCCACTCAGATGTCTTCAGGGGCACCGTCGGGCTCTTCCATGTCAAACAGCACACCTGGGTCTCCACCGCCACGTGCTGGCGGACCGAACAGTGTTTCGTTCAAGTAAGCTATATTTTGCGAGAGATTCCGAACAACCAAACAGTTTCAGAGATCTGTGTTGTCTGTTTTGCTGTCCGCCGTTCCCGTCTTCCATCGTTTCGAAGCTGGCGTTCATGCCGCCGGAGCCCAGTTATACTATCAGCGAAGATAACAAGCTGATACTGATCGAGGGGAGAGCCGCGTGGCCACACGAGCCAAGCTATCTGGCCCAGTGTGTCGAAATGAGAGTGGCGAGAACACGCCGCCGTAACCGAGTCGCTTGCACGATGATCCGTGCAGTTCCAGATGCTCATTATACTCTGCTCTTCTCGCATGGAAACGCAGTCGACCTCGGTCAGATGTCATCGTTCCTGTACGGCCTTGGATACCATTTGCAATGCAACGTGTTCAGTTACGACTACTCGGGATATGGATGCTCGACCGGAAAGCCATCGGAGAAGAACTTGTACGCCGACATCACGGCAGCTTTCGAGTTGCTCAAGACAGAGTTCGGAGTTCCGAAGGAGAGGATCATTCTGTACGGACAATCGATTGGAACTGTTCCGAGTGTGGACCTTGCGAGCCGCGAGATGGTCGCAGCTCTCGTCCTTCACTCTCCACTTATGTCCGGAATGCGCGTCGCTTTCCCCGGAACAACGACTACTTGGTGCTGTGATGCGTTTCCGTCGATTGAGAAGGTGCCACGTGTCAAGTGCCCAACACTCGTGATTCACGGAACGGACGATGAAGTCATCGACTTCTCTCACGGAGTCTCCATTTACGAAAGATGCCCTGCATCAGTCGAGCCACTCTGGGTTCCAGGTATCGTGTTTTTCTTTATTTTTCGCTTAAAGTCAGAAATTTTTGTGTATTTGATCAGAAGACAAAATCAAATATGATTTCAAATGACGTATATTTGTAGGTGCCGGCCACAACGACGTCGAGTTGCACGCCGCCTATCTGGAACGTCTTCGTAGTTTCATTGAACTGGAGGCCGCTTCCACTCGAATCAACGCTCCGATCACCAACGGATCCACGAACAACGGAAGTTCGAGCGTTTCGAACGGAACTTCCGCCTAGTGCTCCCTCGTATCTGCCCTTTTTACTCCCAAAGTCAAACATCCCGATTCTCCGCGTTCTTCCTTCAAATGATCCTCTGTCTTCTCTAAAAATTAATTCATTTTTGTACCTTTCCATATTTCAAATATCCTGTCTCATCCGTATTTTACACCCATCTCATTAGCGCGCGATTTGTACGTGTAAGACATATCCAAATGTGCCCCCACTTCATGCTCTTTTGATTGGTCCAATTATTGTCTACTCGAAGCATAATGACGCCCAAACTCACCCCGTAGTATAATTTCGACCCGATTTTACAAGTTCTTCAGCGCTAACGGGACACTCGTCATCCAACCATTTTAATTTCCGGATTTTGAAGCATAAGTTGCATAACTCCTTTCTGTTCCCTTTCTCGCATTAAAACAGCTAAGAACACCTATTAACTGCTCACTTTTCACTCGGAACAGTACCTGTAATGTTTCCCAACGAATCAAAACTGTCTTTTCGTTTACTTCTTATCTTGTTTTGACTTGAGAAATCACCAGTTGATATAAAAACTTTAATCAACAATTAGAAAATCAACAAGCAGAGTGACAACAAAAAACAATCATGCATTCGAAGTGCGGCCGGCTTTGAAATCATCGTAAATCTCCAGAAGATAGGCTTCGGTGCGTGAAACAACTGCGGAAAGAGCTGAAAATGTACTAGATTCGGAATGTCAGAGACCTATCTGAGTTACCGAGTTCGAAATGTTTCCACTGCACGACGGTCGCCTCGATGCTCTCCCGCATGGCGAACATGGCGGCGGTCCGACAGACGGCCACCAGTTCCGCCCCGGAATAGCCCGCCGTCCTCTCCACGAGCGTCTGAATCGTCGTCGTCGTTTCGTCGAACTTCATCTTCCTCGTTCGCATTTCCAGAATCGCCTGACGTGTTGCTTCGCACGGGAGTCCCACGTAGATGGCACGATCTAGACGCCCTGCACGCAAAAACGTTCGTGTGATCTTCAAAAGGATTCTAAAACTGACCGGGTCTCAAAAGAGCACTATCCAGTTGGTCCGGTCGATTCGTGGCGGCGAGAAGAATTACTCTGCTCGACTTTTCCAGACCGTCGAGCTCTGTGAGCAACTGAGCCAGCACTCTGTCCGAGACTCCCGAGCTCTTTTCTGATCCTCGTGACGATCCGACCGCATCGATTTCATCGAAGAAAACAATGGTGGGAGCGACTTGGCGGGCCCGGGCGAACAGATCTCGGATGGCTTTTTCGGAGTCTCCGACCCATTTACTGAACAGTTCGGGTCCTTTCACAGCCAGAAAGTTCATTTTGGCCTCGTTGGCGAGTGCTCTCGCAATGAGTGTCTTGCTGCATCCCGGCGGTCCGTAAAGAAGGATTCCGGCGGGCGGGTCAATTCCAAATCGTTCGAATGCTTCCGGATGTTTCTGAGGCCAGATGACTGCTTGCTGAATCTCCAATTTCAGTTCTTCGTTTCCACCAATGTCGTTCCACGAGACACTGGGCACTTCCAGAATGAATTGTCTGATTCCGGTCGGACGAATTCTCTTCCGTGCGTCCTCGACTTTTTCCAGATGCGTTGCGCCGCGGGCATACTTTGACGCCTTCAGAAGAGAGCACAAGTCGCCGCCTGTGAATCCGTGAGTGTGACGAGCAACATCCAGATGATGTTCGGCGGGAAATCCGAACAGTGGAGAGATTCTGGAGAGAATGTCGAGACGCTCATCCTGAGTGGGCACAGTGATTTCGGCTTCGACCGGAAAACGGACACGGAATCCAATGTCCAGAGATTCAGAGGACCGGACGGACAGTAGAACACACGTTTTCTCATCGGCCAAGAGTTCGCTCAGCGCTCTGTTCGTCTTCGCATTTTCCTTTTCCACCTCGTTCACATCCACAATCACCACGGTCTCCGTCGTCGATCCGTTCATTTCAGCAAGCTGCTCACAGTTTCCAATAAATGTCGCCGAAATTACTGCAGCAAGCTCTTTGAGCAGCAACGTTTTTCCGCTTCCAGGAAGGCCCCAGATGAGCACGGAGCAAGGGGATTCTTTCCGGCGGAGCGGAGCCAGCACGTAGTCCTCGAGCACTTGTTTTGCAGCGAACATTCCTCCGATTCTTGACAAATCTCTCGGAACCTCCTTCTTCTCAAGCTTCTCTTCTGGATTCTCAGAGTTGACGACATGAAGTTTGTAGTCAACGGCTGTGGAAACGACGATCGGTTTCTGATTTTCGAGCTTCATCCGTTCCATTTTCTGCTCGATCGGCTCTTTCGGAATAACTTTAACTTGCTGACCCAGGTATTTGAGAGTGATTGGCAGTTCGTACTGAATGAACGAGTGACTGAGATACGCCTCGAGGAATCCGGAGAGGGCCGGTGTAAGGGTGAGGGCAGTCTCCAGATGAACTGCCAAGGTCTTCACGTTTTTCACTCTTCCACACGACTCCAGTGTGATCATTCTTTCGCGTGGAATTCTGCTCGTAATAACGCAGACTTTCAGAAGTGACACTTCTTTGCATGGCCACACAATTCCAATGAAGACGTCGTCTGCGTGAAGGATTCTCACGGGCTGCCGGGCGAGGAATCCGAGACTTTCCATTGTCTGTTGGTTGACGAGGATGGAATGCTCCTGGAAAACGATGGGAAGATTTGAAAACTCTATAATTCCTACTAACCTTTTCCCATCCGACAGCGTCTGGGGGCAGGAATCCTTCGGCTCTATCCACGGGGACATTGAATCCACGTAGGACTCCTTTTCGAGCACATCCAATGTCGGATTCTCCGATTGGCTTGCCGCAAAAGTCCGAATGACGAGCCGAATCTTTAGTGAGTACGACGGCTTCGCATTGAGGACACGTCACCAAAATCGGTTTCTTTTTGGAACTGGACATCTGAAAATTTGTTTGTTTTTGTTTTTGAAAACTCATGGTCAGTCAGAAAATTCTATCGTGAACGAGCGATCCTAGTTTCTAGTTTATTATCGGAGCATTTCGGTTTCTTTTCATTTTTGATCGTTTATCGTGTAGCCGCCGACTCCAATATCAGCACGAAGTCGTCCGGAAATGGGCTGTACTCATAGCAAAAACTCGAAATCAAAGGCGGCAAAGGCGAAAAACGAACAGACGCTGGAACGGTCGAACCGTCAGAACATCGTGGCGCATTTCGATGAGACGTGGGCAGAAATAGGTTAACATTTGAATCAGAGCGGATTCAGAAACAAGACAACGCCGTCGACGAGCAATGAATCGGAAGAGCAGCAGCCGATGCAACACTCAAAGAATCTGCTGAACGAAACTGTCGAATCGACATATCACAAGCCGAGCGATCAGGACAAAAACACCAAGAAACAAGGTTTGAGATGAGGCAAGGAAGGAAAAAGGGAACAATATTTTTAGAAGTCAAACTGACGACGGCCTTTCAGAAGGCGGAGGAGAGTTCACCAACTCAGTACAAGCCGTGAGTCTGTTTCATATATCTCAGTCCACATTTGGACGAACAGTCAGCCATCGGATACCGTCGCTGTGGAGAAAAAGGAGTCTCCAGCAAGCACGGCAGTCCCGCCTACTCAACAGAAACAGTTCGTCGCTTCCACCTACTATCCGATGCCGACGGTTGGAGAGAAACAGAAGTCGCCGGAAAGGAAGAAGCCACGGAAGAAGACGGCGCCTCCTACCGTGGAGCAAAATGTCGAGGAGAAGAAAAAGAAGGTGAGGAGACAGAGAATGTACGAAAATGAAATGACAACGGGAGAATTTCAGGAAAATCCTCGCGACAAAACCGTCCCAATTGGCAAGTTTTCCCCTGATAACATAGCTTTCAAAGATAACAAATGGGTTCCTTTCAGGACCAAATTACCGACCTCAGCTGACTCCAGAAGACTTGGAGTGCATCAGACGATCGGTTCAACAGAGAAACGAGAGGTAAGTGGAAGAGGCAATAATTTATACTTGAGAAACAAAAGAATTAGATGACAAGTGCACTTTCAGACGCCAGTACATGATGGCACATCGGAACGAGACGGACGACACGCTGTACGAACTGGAGGTGCGAATGCCGGAGAAGGACTACACAAATCGGATCGAGGCGACGCAGAATTCTCGCGTCTATTGATTAGAAGATAAAGTGTGTGTGCGTGTGTGTTTGGGCACGAGGGTATTCGAAATGTCGCGGTTACTTGGTCAGCTTGTTTGTCAAAAACGTCTTCAGATTTTGCATTTCCTGAAAAGATTAAAAAAAATTTGTACGAAAAGTGGGAGTCCGGGTACCTCTGAGCAGCTGGAATGTTGCACTCCTCTGTAGACGTGCAGTTCGACATTCGGATTGAACTGCTTGATCAGCTGCTCCGACATTTGTCCAATTTGAAGCGGAACGAGGAAGTCTGAGTCACCGTGGCCGAGGAAAATCGGAGTTGCGTTGTTGGCAGTGTACTTCTGAAATACGTAAGATTTGCTGAACGGTATCATTCGGAATGACCTACTCCTGGGAATTTGGTTCTTTGCAAGAAGAACGCGCTCAGTCCGACGATTGCTCCGAGCTTTTGCGGGTAGGTGAGACCGGCGTAGATGGCGAGCGCACCGCCCATTGAGAATCCTCCGACGGCGATCCGAGAAGCGGGGATTCCAGCGGCGACCTCGGCGTCGATGAGCCGATGGACGTACTGAGCAGCCGCCTGGATTCCGGCCTCATCCTCACGAGCCGACGCGTCCAGACCGTAAAGATCATACCAGGCAGGCATGCGCATTCCCATGTTCAGGGTGACCGGTCGCTCGTTGCTGTGCGGGCAAATTGCCTTCAAGTTTTCGTGGCGCACTTCGCTCCGGAATGCATCAGCCCATCCGTCTCCCTGATCGCCGAGTCCGTGCAAAAAGATGATGGTTGCTTTGTGCTCGCCACGTGGCGGAACGACCGCCGGCGATCCATGGGCAATATCGGCCATTCTTGTCGAGTCTTCTTCGTCGGAGGGCGGGCCGCGGAAAGAGCAGAGAAGGCGGGAAGAGAGTGAGGACCCTGGAAGAAAAGCGTACTCATTTAGATGACTTGACGCTTATACATTCCCCGCTTTGTCATGAATTTTTGATTACGGACGCGCGACAGTGTTCGCTGGTTAGTTGAAAAGAAGACGTGCAAGTGGAAACACAAAAGGTAACGGGTGTACAAACCTATTATTGAAGCTAGAAACGTTCTCTGCGCCGATGAAGAGCAGGAGAAGACGGACGACAACGAAGAAGATACGGTCTGCGAAGAGACGACCGACGACGGGAGGAGCACTCGAGAAAAGAGGCCTGCAAACGGGCGAGACATGGTTGATTAGGCCCATTCAGAACGGACGGGGGACACGGAGAGCATGCAGGTGGTGTTAGATGGCAGAGTGAGGGCAATACGGAAAGGGAGAAAAGTAGTTCAGTTTAAAACGGAAATATTGACGGTTTTTAGACAAGTGGCTGGTATGATTCGTACACCTGAATACGATCGCGTAACATCTTCAAGCGCATGTTCTGATTTCTTCGCTTCAGTGGAATTCAGTGAAATGTGAGAATATTCGAGAATTCTGCCCAATTTCGTGCGTTAGAGAATCCAATAAAAAACGAGAAGGGAGAATTAACGTAGACTGAGATCTCAGTCTACTTTAATTTAGATCTCAGTCTACGTCTCATGAGAGCGAAGCAGGTACTATGGAAACGTATTTGTGAAGAGCTCGCGCCATTGGGAACAAAAGATTTTAGGTTAGGGGGAGAAGGGACATAGGACACACACAAAACCTGATAGAAGGACGCAGCGGCTAGTGGAAAGGGTGCTTCTAGACACGCTGATAAGCATCCGACTGCGGCGATCTGACACGTTCTCAGCGGTTTTACTAGGCCGGAGGAGATTGGAAAAGATATCGGAATGGCAAAATAGAGCCACTTTTTGGAAAAAGAAGAGGAACATAGCGGAGTTTTTATTGTGAGAAGTTTATTCGAGCTTGATATGAAGGAGAAACTGATGATTTCTCACGGAAGAAGAGACGATTGATCGATGTGGAATAACTTGAACGCGTCACTCCGTCGCCATTCGGACACAATTGTTTGGTATTCTTCCTGCAATCACTGAATGAATTGAAGCGCCCTTTCTCATTGTTTTCACCTCGCAGTTACTCAATTCCATTATACCAATAACGCCGACGTATGGAAACTTGTTCACGATTCGAGACATCTCCTTTCTTGTCAGCGCTTCGATCATCGGAATTTGCTCGATCGGGCATATCCTTTGAAGAGAATGGAAGTTTGAAGCGGCTAAAATAAATTGGATTCGGAAGGTTATTCAGAATGCCAACCTCGGATGTTGTTTTCATCGAAGTTTTTCGCATAGAAGACTATTTTAACTTTCCCAGATTGTACGAATTTCAGTGTTTCGTGAGCTCCACACACTATCCGTCGTATTTGTCGATTCTAGAAGAAAGATCTTGAACGTCGTCTAAAAAACTATCGAACCTTTTCGATTGAATTTTCGCTACTTTTCCTATCCTTCTGTTCTTTCAACTTTCGCAGCAGCTCAAATACCAGTGAATCGATTTTCGAGCGGGCATTTGATGATTGTAGAATTTTCTTCAAAAAAATTTCAGTTTCTACATTTTGTTTTGGAAAACAAACCAGCAATTATAAAGACAAATCTCGAGTGAATCGGAAAATTCGATGAAAGGTTACCGAAATGGAAGAAAAAATTGAGGATTTTTTTCGGCCGCGGCCAGAAAATTGCAGTTCGCAAATGGGAAAACAGTTTTTAATCGTCGTTTTCACTTGATTTTCTAGTTTCTAAATGAATTGTCAATCAGATTACAGTTCCAGAATGTCAGACGGGCAGTATGGACCAATATCAGCCGGAATTATTCGATCAATTACTGACAAATCGTATGAAAGACGGAAAGCAGCTGCACTTGACGTCGAAAAGTGAGCTATTTTTAGTAAGTCTGAATATCTATACTTAAATTTCAATTGCAGGTTAGTACGAGATCTGTTCAACAATAACCAGTTATCACAACTTGAGCGATGTCTAGCGGTGCTCGCAGAGCTCATAAACTCGGGAAATTCAAATCAACGGAAAGGCGGACTCATTGGAATGGCAGCCGCTTCAATTGCTTTAGGAAACAAGGTGAAAAGAACGAAAAAAGTTTGTTTTTATAATTTTATAGTATTCCAGAATGCTCCGCATTACACATCCAGGCTTGTCGAGCCAATAATCCCATGCTTCCTCGACGCCGATCTTCAAATCCGCTACTACGCGTGTGAATCCCTGTACAACATTGCGAAAATCTGCAAAACGGGAGTGCTCGATCACTTCGGAGATATCTTCGACGTACTGTGGAGAGTAACTGCTGACTCCGATCAGAACGTGAGAGGAGGTGCCGAACTTCTGAATCGGCTGATCACTGAAATCGTTCTTTCGAAAGAAGACTTCGATATCGCAATTCTGATGGCACTCATCAGAGACCGGATTTACACTCAGACGACGTCGAACCGAAGATTCATTCTCGAATGGCTGAACACAATCCATTCAGCACCATTCTTCTCCATCTGCAACTACATTTCCGAAATATCCGATGGTTTGTTCAAGATGCTCGGCGAGCAAGCACCTGCAGTTCGTGACATGTGCGAGAATGTGCTCGGCAACTTCCTGACGGCCATCAAACACAAACCAGACGCCCTTGCTCATGAGGACCGCATTCAAATGATCAACGTACTCGTCGTTCATGCTCACGAAAATGAGCCATTTCTGGCGAGAAAGCTCTCTCTTATCTGGCTGGAAGAGTTTCTGAAATTGTACAAAGAGGAGCTGTTGGTGATGTTGTCGACGTTCCTTGTCGGAATTCTTCCTTCAATTGTGGAGCACGAACTGCGAGCCGACGCTGTCAATCGCTCACTGATGGCGTTGGCCGGGGAAAACAAACTGGATCAGGACATTCTGGACAAAACGATTGAGGTTCTTCTGAAGTACATAAAACACGATATCGTCGAAACACGAGTCACGGTGCTCAATTGGATCCGGCACTTGCACAGTTCGATGGCTGGCCAGATCTTCGTCCACATGCATCTTATTTTCCCTGTTCTCTTAAACACCCTCTCGGATACCTCCGATGAAGTCCTTCTTTTGGATCTCTTCCTCATTTCCAACATTTGCCAATCGGAATTCGCTCCGGATCAAGTAGACATATCGACATTCGGACTCGACGAAAATGCTCTGAAGCAAGTCTCGGACATCTCCCCATTCCTCATCAAATTCGCTCTGAGCCTACTGGAAATGTTCCGAACAGAGCCGTCGTTGCTCCGCGAGCGAGGAGTGCTCATCATTCGCCAACTATGCCTTCTCCTGGAACCCGCCCAGATCTACCGTGTTATCTGTGTTCTACTGGAGCGTGAATCGAAGCACAACTTCGCTCAAGAGATGGTCTCCACCCTGCACGGCGTTCTGCTCACTGCCACCGAGCTTTTCATCCTTCGCGACGAACTCCGTGCGTTGGCCACCGAAACTTCTCGTTCTCTGTTCGAATGTCTCTTCCGAGTCTGGTCGCATCGTCCGATCGCTCTTCTAGGACTGTGTCTTCTTTCGCAACACTATCAGCAAGCCGCGGACGTGGCACTTCTGCTCTCTCAAGTTGACATAACTGTGGATGTGCTCCTGGAAATCGACAAACTCGTCAATCTCATCGAAAGCCCTGTCCTCGCTTGTAAGCTGGGATAATTGTTCGAAACACTTAAAGTATATCATTCCAGACGTGCGAATGGATTTGCTCTCTTCCGTCCACCGCCCGGCTCTCTGCACCGTTCTCTCCGCCCTTCTGATGCTCCTTCCCCAATCGGAAGCCTTTGTTACTCTTCACAAACGCCTTCAGGCCGTCCCAGCCTTAGTCTCAATCGAGTAAGTCTCTTCCTAACAGATGGATCCTCTTCAATATCACTTTCCAGCAACTCTCCATATGCTCCAAAGGTTCCACCGTGCCGCATCGACTTCCCTCCCCTCATGGCTCATTTCAAGGCCGCACTGGCTCGCCGCCAATCCGAAGTCCGCTCCCGCCACAGAGATCTTCTTTCCGGAGTTGTTACGAACATGCGGAATGCGCAGATTTGATTACTTATTTATTCGCTTGGTTTTTTCTTGTCAAATAGCGTGTACACTTTGTGATATGTAAACAATTAACGGCAGCTAATGTATTTGACTAATAAAACATGCTCAAAAGATCGCCACTTAGCAGCTTCTTGTCACCCGGCCCTCCCCCCGTGAGTCGACGCGTGAGCCCGTGGACCTGTAACCGATCCGGCGTTAACTTTTGTTTGTGTTGCTCCCCGATCCCCTCCAATTTATTTGTTCGTTTCGAATCGAACATCCCGAATAGTGTTGCTGCCTTCCCTTCTCGCTCTCTCTCTCTTTTTGACATTCCCGCATATGATTCGGCCGCCCGAATCTCCGGATTTCTCTGTTGATTCTTGATTCGACCAGATTGTTTTCGTTTTGCATGAGCCTTCTCAATTATTGCGTCCGCCACGCGTCGACCGTCGGACTCTTGTACTCGGTGGCTGTTGCCATGGACAAAGGTTTGTCACTTTGTCACGTATGAGCACATTTCGCCGCTCCTAGGCTTCTCCGACTCATCTCAAAGTTTCGACTGGTGGGACCGCTTCCGACACGACCTTCTGGTAGATGGAAAAACTCAGCAGAAACTGGAAATCATTCTCAAGTACCGTTACGTGTTCCCATTTAAAATGTCGAAAACTGTTTCAGAATGTGTGTGATCGGCACGTCGTTTGTTTGCGGCACGGCAGTCATCTGCCTGGTTTTGCTTATGCTTCGAAAGATAGTCAACTACTTTGCAGACTCGAAAACTGTTGTAGTCCGATGTTATCCATAAATTATTATCAATTTCCATTTTTCGAATTCCTCGAGCACCTTGTGTATTGGCCTTCTGCAACATTTTACAACGGAAAATTTGTGTCTTCCCTCGGCGCGCTCTCCAATTTCTGCGTTTCTCCCTCCCCTCCCGTTATCATACACTATTTTCTCACGAGTGCAACTGACAAGTACCGGACGATGTAATAATGCACACGGATTTGCTCGAGAGTTTTGATGATTCACCGCTCTCCGTTCCCGCGGCAAATGTAACGAGCTCTAGAAAATTGGCGTGAGGTTTCGTTGCTTTTCATTCAATTTCGCAGTCGTTTTTGTCATTCTTTTTCTTTTTTTTTTTGTGTGTTAGAAGCTCGCGAACCGACGTCGGCCGACTCTTTTCCGACAACTCTTTTGTGCCCAAAAATTGCGAAAATGGTGATGGCCTAGAATTCGCCAAATGACCGAGTTTTCAGCTTCTCGCATTTTTATGAATTTTGTTTTCACTTTTCTGGGTTTTTTGATCTGAAAAGTCATCCATTTCCCAACTTGAAGCCGCTGTAAATAAGATACTTGTGTCCAGTCCCATCTGATTAAATACTATTATTTTCATCTTGCGCAAAAGTGTTTCAAAACTTTGAAACAAGATGCCGCCAATCTGCATCGATCACCTTTAAGTAACTCTATCTGATCGTTTCGGCTTCCGTCAATGAAGTGAATCAATCAGTCGCTGACTGTCCATTCGATTAAAGACGCGCGGAAGATGCTATCTAATTGCGTGTACCGTCCGTCGACCGTTCCCCGCGGAATCCGTCCGCCAGATGGCAGATGGTCGGCGCTGCTCGATGCACAGCTGGACACTGTTTGTTATGGTTGATTCACATCACTCTACACACTGTTTTATTCTGTTTTTTCTTCTCGTTTTCCTCCCGCATTCACACACCCGGATAACAAAGTTCACACGTCGCCAAGTCTGTCCCATCGTGCGAAGAAAAACTTCAAAAGACACCGAAATGAGTGGAGAATAGTGTGTCGGACCGTGTATACGCAGAGACGCTTTGGTGAACGAATTGAGGGTGTTGCGTGTGAGGGTGCGTCTTTTTTGTTCTCTTCCCATCATCTTTCGAATTGCCCCGTATCGTCTTGCACGCACACACACAAAAGCATCGGGCATGGAAAAGGATCGGGCTATTCACATTCCTTATTCATGCTCTCTTTTTTCATTAATAATTTATACGTTGACATAAGAAAGCGATTAGGAAGACGGGATGGATTTGAATTGTATTCCAACAGGCGGTATCGAAATGTGTAACTGTCACCATCAATTATAGCGGATTAGAAGTGCTCTCAAGAACAAAGACAGACGCCGTTCGTGTGCGGTTCTCGGTGCGTCCGTCAGATGGCGTATTATCTAACCAAAGAGGTTCCGCCTGTTTATGAACCAACTTTTGAGACGAATCGTGTTAAGAGTCTATCAGTCTATAAGGAATGGTTATCAATCCGGTCTGTCCTTTCTCTCGATAATCCGATTTGTGCAACCAGCCGACGCGTTTCGAGACTGAAACGGACCATGTGCGAGATGGCAGAGCAAGAGCGGGAGACGCAGACACGCCCAGTGTACAGTCCTTCTTTGACGTGACACCGCCCGTGCACACATACAGGCCCAAGGGGCCCGTCCTCTCCTTCCCGAGAGCGACCCTTTCGGTAGTCGTTCGCTTTCCGCTCTATTTGTCCGCGTGTGTTTCTTTCCGGTCTTTCTTTCCTTTCCGGTGTCATGTTTGGATTAGGCGGCTTTTGGAAATCCGATACGCATATACTTTTTTTTTGTTATTACTTGCGCATTTCTTTTCGGTAATCTTCGTTAGTTTTTAGTCCAAAAACGGCTTGTTTACATTTACATTCACAATTCCCCAATTCCCCAAAACATCAAAATCGGTCATTCATTTGAAAAATACGTTGGTGGCCCGAGAGTCGAGACGAAAGACAGAAAGAGAGAGAGAGAGAAAGCGATGCGAAAACGAGATTATACCCGGAAAGAAACAAAGTCTGGTGTTGTCCGGCGGGTGCTCGACCATCACCAACCAGCGGGTTCTCTTTTGATGATGAAGTGGGTCCGGGGCTGGCCGAGCCCGCTCATCTTTGCCCCCAGCTCTCAAGAGTCGTCTCTTCTCACCACAACATCCATCTTGTACCCGAATAGCCATGTTTTTCGCGGGTGAGACGAAAGATGCAAAGAAGAAACACAGCTCCAGCCCGAGGCCATCTTCGTCATAAAATCGCCCGAGTCCATAAAACCACGCTTCGGGTCACCCATTGGGCCTGTGTGCTATGCCAATTAATACTTAAGAGGGGCCAATAAACGGCGAAGAGCCAGGCGGTGGCGGTGGAGACCAAAAACACGTGCGTCCCGCCCGTGCCGGTCAACATGTGCATTTCGAAGCTTCACCCGCTACTGACCAATTTAAATTTTACACGGTCGCCGTCTCGGAGCATTTCTTCCGAAAGTGTTCCGGAGGATCCTCGATTCCTTCTTCTCTTTCGTCCGATTTACATAATTCCTTTGGCTACTCTCCTTCTAACTAATGTCATTTTGATGTGCGACCCGCGGCGCGCGGGCACAATTTATGTCTCTATTGCTTTCCACTGACGACCAGAGCGGCAGCTTTTAGGCAAGCAAAAAGTCAGCTCTGGTACTGGTTTTCTTAGATTCAACCGCCGACAAAGTAACATTAATGCCATGATGGCATTATGATCTTACTCATAAAACAATCAGTCCTTTCCAATGCTTGCATTCTTTCTTGTTTGTGTTCAATATTAGTACGATGTTCCACTTTCAAGTTCTCCCTCTATCACATGCAGAATCAATTTATTCCCTTTGGGACAGCAAAAGCGAGACAAAAAACCACTAGATGAGTCACTCTGTGCTCGGCTCGTTCCTCTCCTAATAAGAAATTTCATCATAGTTCCTCTTCACTTTCATTGTTCATTTAGCTCCTTGTCTTCTTCGGCAGAACCGCCCACAGCTTGGTTCATCATGTTGAAGTAGTGATGAAACTGCAGCATCTGGTTGTAGTAGCTCGATGTATCAGGCAACTCTTCCACGTCTTCTGATTTTATGTCGTTGCACACCACTGACGAAAAAGATTCATCGCTGTCGTTCGTCAACGAAGGTGACGGTTTTTGAATCTCTTCGGGGCTCCGGGGCTGAAATCTCATTAATTCTGGAGCCGTAAATCATTCAGTGCTGCCTCGCTCACCTTCAACTCGACACTATATCGTCGCTTGAATCGGTAGAGCCAGTTGGCGTCGAAGAACTTCCGTATTTCTTCGTCCGTCATTTGCGGGTGCATTTGAGAAGCGATGCATTGCGCGTATTCTCTGATCCAAGGATTTGTGAGTCGCTCCCCTTTGGTTTGCCGTCGAACGATCTCTTCGTTGACACGCGAATCCACTTCTACGTACTCTTTACGACTCGTCCGCAGTGTTCTTCTTTCTGAAGAGTTCTTATGTTGTGGATGGGGTGATCTCATGTTTCATACGGCCCGTTCCCTTTCTATCATCAATCAGCCGACTGACCCTTCAAAAAGTTGGACGTCTTCACCTTTGTCGTGTCCAACACCGCCAACGGTATCGTTTTGTTCGTTTTGTCGGCGTGTCGGCGCCCGCTAAAATAGCTGCAAAAAAGAATAATGATGAGGCGCTTGAGAATCTAGGTCATCAGCATTAGAAGCGTACTTATTTCCTTACCGAATGTTATGCTTTCTTCGGAACAGCTTGATCCATCGATCAGAGACATTGAATCCGCAGATCTTGCGTATCTCCCTCCTCATCCATTCATCGCCTGTAGAACGAATCAATGAAGGTGTCACTCTACTCGCTGCCTTCTCTCACACCTCGTTAATTGTTCCCATTCGCCCAAATCTCAATCACCTTTGTGTTGCCTTCACTTCCCACTGGGGACCATGCAATGTTTGCTGGTTTCTGAACAATCGCACAAATATCCCCGTGACAAGTGGTCGGGACTACGCAACCCCTGCCTCGCGCAACCAACCGGCCGGCCAAATTGGTTGGGACAAAATAATGGACAACACTCTATCCTACCCCTTCCTGCGCACTTGGGTCTATCTCTCTTTCTCTCTATCTCGATGACTCTTTCTGTCGGCGCGAAATTCGAATTCGAAATTCGATTGATACGATTTCGGTTATTGTCAACAACTCTGAATACCGTCTAATCGATTTTCTGTTCTGTTTCTGATTCGGTTATTGATCTCTAATCAAAACTTATTAACTCTTGAAATCTCTCATGTCCAACACTACAAACTAGAACATCAGAGAGGAGTTGAATTCAATTCACACTTATCCGAAAAACCAAGTTATGCCTGCCACATCCTGTTTCCCGATTAGTTCCGAAATTGACAAACTCACCGATGTGTTGAGTACTCTGACCATCCTTGTCACACGCTTTCACCTCTTGAGTATAGATCCGGAACAGTTTCTGCTCCAGCTCCGTTTCATCGATTTGCGTCGTCGACTTGACTGCCGCAACAACTGCTGCCGCCGGTGTTGGTGGAGGCGTCGACGTGGACGGAGTCGAAGAACGGCTGCTGTTGTTAGTTGCCATCCGCTTCGCACAACTGAACTATTCTCCTCTTTTCTCGCAACATCACCTTCTTTTTCTTGTCCATCGCCCGTTCGTCGACCCCTCCCTCCGTCGTTCCGTCGCCGTCGTTTGCAAACCTTTCTCTTCTTTTGAGATGGCGCCTGCCGGTTTAGGAACCGTCGAACACAGTGTACTGCGTCCGTATAGTTATACACTTCCATCGCGAAAAAGAATCGTATTTGCATTGGCGCCGTACGTGTTTGTGGCAATTTGAAGGTCGAACCGATTGACTTCTTCTGGGTGGTTTCGGGGTTCGGGTTGGCCTTCGAGTACTTTTGGACCGTGCGTAAGCGAATAACCAAATACGCATAGTTTTCGTCGCTTGTTTTTACGACCTTGGGGCGAAAACGAAGAAGCAATAAAGAGTAAACACCTGTCATCTGCCTCCGTTCTCTCTCTCTCTCTCTCTTCCCCCGCGCGAACCTTCCGATGCATGATGAAAGATCGGAGAATGACAATTCAAATGTGGTTTTTTTTCAGATGAGCTCGAGCAGTAGTGATGAGAACGACACCACAATTCAACGATCATCGAACGGAGGGCTCTACTCGCAGTCTAGAGCCGGCTCATCCAAAAGATCAAGTGTCCGTCACGACGTCAGTGATGCCGAAGAAGAAGAGGAACACTACGCCAGGTTTCGAGAGGAATCGGTGAGATTATTAAAGATCTGCTCAGGGTTCATATCCGATTGTTGCAGGTGATTGACGTGGACGATGCCATCACAGTTCTTCTTTCTTCTCTTCATTTTGAACAGAACCGATCCGTTGTTCCGACCGATCAAGACGATGATGAATTACGAGAATTGCATCAAAAAATATTCAAAATCATAACGAACGAACCGGATTTGCAAAGGTATTTGTGAACATACTTTTTAATGATCTCATTTTTTATCGAGTTCCAGAAGGCGCCGTCTAAAGAAAGCATGGGAAGCGTCGAATTGTGTTCGTGAACAAGTGTATTATCTCCGACGGAAACCCTCAAACCCGAATTCCTCTTATTATCATCGCCTCAGTACCGTATTGCACATAATCGTAAAAGGATCATTTGGAGACGAGTATCGGAAGTTGGCGACTGTGCTCGGTGTCGTGGAAGCTCTTGCCGAAGTGTTGATTCTTGAAGTGATGGTGTTCGGAATGCCGGAGAACAATTCGAACGAGCACAGAACCATCAGAAAGCTCATCGCGAATGCGTTGACGAATTTGACCTATGGTCAGATTCACTCGAAACGCCGTCTTTGTGCCTATGACGGATTCATACGATGCGTAGTTCGAATCATAATCGAGTCTCCGAACATCACTCAAGTGTACGCAGGACTCATTCGGAATCTCTCATGGAACGCCGACTCGGGAATGAGCGAGGCTCTGCAGCCGACAGTGAAAGCGCTAGCAATTGCCGCCGTCTTTGCCAGTGAGAATGGATTGGAGGTGACGGCAACTCTCTCGGCGCTCTGGAATCTGGCGGGACACTCTGTTGAGAACAAACGGACAATCTGTGAGACTCCGAACTGTCTGAAGACTCTGGCGAACCTTCTGTCCCCGGACACTCGCTTCACTTCGCTCGTCGATCCTGCTACTGGAATTCTGAAGTATGTGTCGCAGTATTTATCGAATACTTCGTCACACCTCGAGGTAATTAAAACTTGCAAACAGATGTTTTTCAAACCGTTCCAATTCTTTTCAGCTGCGAAGTGTGCTCATTAACCGAATGCTGACTCTACTCAAGAGTGCCTCATTCACTTGCGTGACTAACACTCTCGGTGCCATCGGCAACTTGATCGCCAAAGATCCGCATATGCAGCACTTGATTCGACAGGATGCAGCTGCCATGCAACAGCTTCACGTGCTCCGGAATTCCAATCGAGATGATATTCGAAGTGCCGTCAAGTCTGTTCTGAACACTCTGAACCAGCCAAGCAGTCATCGATTCGGAGAAATGGCGCATTCTGTTGGACCCGGTGCTCAGTTGCTCGCCGAGCCACAGCTTCAAATGCAGAGTTCGCATCACGCGTATCACGGAACCGCGTCGCCACGACTTTTATCATTGAGGGCAACTCGAGCATCACCTGGAAAGTATATTCATCAACAACAACCGCTGCAAATCGCGACCCCCGACCAAAGATCATGCAGTCTTCCCCGTCACTTTGCAGTTCAGAGGAACGGGTATATGGCGGGAATGATGGCTCAGTCGTACAACCCAAACATGGATCCGCAACAGCAGCAGCAGATGATGTTCCAGATGCAACAGCAAATGGTAAGCCTTAATGATTTTCGTCAAACTAACCACCTTCTAGTTCCAGTCTGACGAGCAGAAGCAGCAGATGATGTACCTCCAGCAGCAACAGAAATTACATCAGCAGCAGCAGTTCCAGCAGATGCAACAAATGGCACAGCAACAGATTGCGGAGCAGCCTGCCGAAGCGGATCTCGATATTCCGACGTCCACAGTGATGGGAACGCGGAGTAACAGCGAACGGAGCCTAGGATCCATGAATCCGGGAAGTGTCATGACGACCGGAGGATGGAATTCCACCCTCGATACAGCAAACAACAGCTCTCGTGCTCTTTCTCCCGTTTCGATGACGGACATTCCGGCGTCGCCAACGATGTGTGCTCAAGTGTACTATCCCGATCAACAACAATCTCAAAATGCGGCCACTCCTTCGAATAACGCCATGCAAAACACCACTCACTACAGCAGCGGATCGGCAAATACGATGACAAGAAGTGACGGAACGACAGTCCCGATGGACAATCTGATCACTCCGACGTATGCTCTTCTGAATCCCGGGAGTCAGGACCAGCAAACACCAAATGCAAATTCCTTTCGGAAAACACCAGAAGATATCGACAGTCCGGACGATGTCCTTCCGGGTCCGTCACTTGAAGAGGAAGAGGGAGATTACGCGATCATTGGGGGAGCCGCCCCGAAAGCGGATGAGGATCTGCTGACTCGATCGATCCAGTCAGAAATGCCGACGTCGTCATCTACACCAAAGATGAAGGTGTCTCCTCGTCTCAACGGATTCTTCTCTCCTACACAGAAATCCACTCCTTCCTCGTCGTCCCCCTGGAGTCATCCGAATGCCTCACCGATTCCGAAGATTTCAAATCATCATCGGACTCATCTTGAAGAAGCCACCGATGCTGATCGTCTACTGGTGGAATCCATTATGGCGGAGATGCCGAGGAGTCGGATAATATCTCCACGATCTCCAGGAGGACAATATCTCGAGCCGGAGCGAAGAAGTCATTCAAAAAACGAGGAAGCCGATCGCCGCGACGTGTTCATCGCATCGCATGAGCCCAGCGATCCAGGCATGAACATGACAAGAGGCTCGGAGAAGATGATGGCGAATCTACAGAGGATGGAGTCATTGGAGAGTCAGGCAAGCAGTGAAGACAGCTTCGGACTGACTTCTGAGCAAGAGGGAGCGAACACGTCATCATCGGCCACGCATACGATGAGAATCGAAGACGACGAAGTTGATGCGTCGCTTCCAATGGACTGTCTGGGTGACGATGACTACGATTATACTGATGATCACTTTGAAGACTACTATGAGGACGAAGAGGATCCCGATGCGACACAATTTGATGACGGGATCGATCCGCACTTGACAATCGACTGTTCGATGATTTCGAGTGGGAGCGGAAGTGGCTCATCACTTCCGAGAGGCGAAACGACCACGACTTCGCGGGATTCGGGAGCACTCGCCACTTCCACGCCGAAAGGATCCGCCACTTCCATTCCCGGAGTGAGGAGAGCCACGAGAGTGGCGACGAATGGAAAGACGAGGCTTCCTGTGCCAAAGACCAACGGATCTCTTGTTGATAAGGTAAGTATTCACACTTTCTTCGGTTCTTTTTAAGCCGATTTTTCAGATCCGCAAACCTGTTGCAACGAGTCGTCCACGTCTTCCACCGAAACCAACGCTGTTGAAAGACAAGCACTATCCAGAGGAAGAAATGATCGAGAATCAGACACGGGACGAGACAATCTACGTGAATGCTCCAATCGTGGAGGCGGAACAGGAGCGAATCTACATGAACGCGATTCGTCGAAATCAACAAAAAAATGATGATTCGTCGTCCATCGGCAGTGGAACTTCAACAGCCAAATCGGCGATTGTGACGCCCTACAATTATCAGAAACCGCCTTTTATCGTAAGTCGGAAGAAAACGAGATTTCTCATCATATTTCAAATGCTTCCAGACTCGAAGCAGTGCAGACATGAACAACGAAAAGAGCGTGCAACCGAATTCGAAGCAGATGCTCGTCACGATTGTCTGATTCCGACTGTTCCCTTCGTTCCTTCCTCTCCTTCTTCCGCACTCTCCCAGTCCTGTTCCCATCCCTAGTCCGGTCGATCCCAGTTGCCTAGTCGTTTCCTTATCTTTCTTGAAACATATCTTCTTTTCTCTGCTACCTCTTCCGTCTGCCTTTCTTATCATCGTCTAATGAACCCGCGAGTAACCATATTTATAGTTTCTTAAACAGAAATTCATGTATTGTTCTTTTTGTGAATGTGATTGATCGCTCATTTCTCACTTCTTCAAGAACCGCCCAATAGCATTTTCGCTATATTCCTAATTCAAGTTTTACGAGTCGTTTCTCTCCATCGCTCTCAAGTTGCTCTTCTCGAATTGTCGCTCGTTTCTTCCTGTTCATATGCGTGTGTGCGTGATAAAATTTTACATTTATACAATAAACATCTGAGTATTTATTCCAGTAACTAGTAGGTTCATCAGTCGTCGTCTGCCGATCCGGAGACGCGATCCGATTCCGAGTCCGAGTCTTTGAATCGTTCCGTTTTCATCTTCTGCTTCAGCTTTCCGACCCAACCGCCGCCGTTCATGTTGTTGATCGGAAATCGGGACGTTTCGGCCAGATTTGTCAGTTGGACGATCAGATTTCCGTACTCGGGAGTGGATTGGAACTGCAGTTTGCCCACGTACGAAACAATGTACTTCATTCCGTGCGGCACCGAATCGTACATTGACGGCACTGAATTTTCGCACTCTACATCAGTGTGTCTTATCGATAAGTTGAACGAAACTTTTTCCGACAATTCTCTCGAGTTCGCTTATCGATAACGCGTCTCTACAGAAATTAGATAAAAACTAACGTTTGTTATTGAAGAAGTTGTCCTTGTAGTGCGTAATCTGTGACCTGTCGGGCTCCTTTCTCCACGACAACGAATCCTCATCGAAAATGTCGAAGACCATGAACAGCCAGCACTCCAAGTCGTCCTTCCTTCCCTGATCAATTCCCTTCATACAGGCTCTCGAGGCGTAACGCAGAGTTCCGAGGAACTTGACCGACTTGCGCGGCGCGCGGTGCTCTTTCGTCTTCGGGTCCAGATAGCTGCGGCCGATTCCAAAGTCGAGCATGAAAACGGTCGGCTCGTCGGGTCCGAATCCGACGGCAAAGTTGGCCGGTTTGATGTCACGATGCAGGTATCCGAGGGCGTGAAGATCACGGACCGCCTGAAAACGCAAACCATTTCATCGTTTCGCAGTCTCTCAGCCTCACCTCCAAACTCTGAATCGCAATAATGTAGGGCGTCTGCTTACTGTTTAAGCAGACATTGTACTTCTTGCGGCAGTCATCCAAAGACGGACCGACGAGGCTCATCACAATGAACTTGCACTTCAGATCGTCGCTTTTTCCTCGGTCGACAAACTCGACAAAGTGGCGCAGACACTTGGGATCCGCCTTCCGCGCGTCCTGGATCGCCATCAGCACCTGCATCTCGACCTTCAGCCGCAGCATCACCTTCTTGCCCTCCTCGCTCTCCGTCTTCAGCGCGTAGCACTTGCTCTTGTTCTTCTCCTCGTACACTTTGTAGACGTCGCCGAATCCTCCGCTTCCGAGCAGGTTGACCACTTTCCAAGTGAACGGACCGTTCTTGATCGTATCGTCCGGATTCATTATCTTCCGGCTGGGCTTCTTCTTTCCGTGTCTGCAATTCGTTTTTTAGAAAAGAATTAAACATTTCCCGTTGCTCTCTAAAACTTTTTCTTGTTAGTCTTTTGCGGACGACTCCGTTCTTGAGAAGGCCTCCTCTGAGTGGGTCGCGACCGAACTTGGTTAGTGGGCATTTGTCAACGATCGGACCGATTTTCAGTTGTATTAGTTAGCAGTAAATAGGCAGTAAATAAAATGAAATGTTGCAAAACAGAAAGATCCGATGAACTGGGGGACCAGGGTGGCAAAAGGGCGAGGCCAGTTTAAGTCGGAGGACAGGATTACGGTAGGCACTCACTCAAAGTCGTCCGCTCCGGAGCAAACGTTTCCGTCCGACTTGTCCAATGCTTCAGCGACCGCCTTTGCTTGTGCTTCTGGAGTGACCTTCCCCGCCCAATCACAAGCTGTTAGATCGTAGTTCTTGGCCTTGGCAGTGCTCTCCAAAATCTCTTTTATCGCTCTAAAACCTTCGATTCAAAAAGTCATCGTCAAGTTGCTCACTGACCCATAATCCGGAGCACTTTCGTATTTTAGCCCGTGAATCAGATCGACCAGTTTCTTGAGCTCTTCCGGGACCACTTTGTAGGTCAACGCTGAAAAAATGATTATGGGAAGATCACAGAAGGGGGGGACTAACGATTGACATGATTCTTGAAGTTCTCTTTTTCCTTTATGAGCATACTCAAATGCGTCCTCGTCATGGTTCTCCAGCTGAGACCATTCACAGGGTCGAGCAAGTCGTAGAGCATGTACATCCAGGATTCCAGGTCGTCCCTCCGTCCCTGCTCTTTCCCTCGGAGTCCGGCCAAACTCACATAACGGGCGGTTCCGCAGTAAGGAACCGTCTGTCGCGCCTTCCGAACTTTCTTGGTCCCCGTCTCGAAATGTGTTCTTGCCAGTCGGAAGTCTGTCATCATCACAATCGTTTCCTTGTCTCCGAACCCGATCGAGAACGTCGCAGGCTTGATATTTCGGTTTACGTAACCCGCTTGATGCATGTAACGGATGGCGTCCAGGCACTGAATCGACACGTTGAGGGCACATCCCGGAGTGAACGTTTTCACAATCTTCAGCACTTCCCCGATTTGGATTCCGTACGCGCTCAGAATCAAGTACTGGAAATGTGTAAATACTCGGATGAGCTCGACCACAAAGTGAGTCTTACGTTGCACTCCAACGTGGTGCTCGTTCCGTACTCGATGCTCTGCACAAGCGGCGGTTTCTCATCCTCTGCAGCCTTTATCGTTTCCGTCAGAATTTCACTCATAAACTTCAACTTTGCTCGGTTGTTCGGCTCTAGTCGGAGCATGTGCACCTGAAAGTGATCAACTCTCGAGAAAAGCCTAAAAACCAGTGTCCTGACCACTCCGTTATCGTCTTTCGTGAAGAACTCTGCGTGTTTGTGCGGGTTCCTGAAGTGTCCCACCACCCGATACTTCTTTCCGCCGGCCGAATCGAACAAGGCCATCTTCGGTTTGATGCTCTCTTCCTTCGTTCCTTCTTTCGTTCTCGACGGCTTCTTTGTCTTCTTCCTCCTCGATTTGTCGCCATTTTCGACGTTCGGAGTCTTTGGGCCGGACGCAGTCGACTGAAAAGGGAAGAAATCCAAAAAAAGTTGTAAAAGTGACCGACCACTGTGGTTATTTTGGACATTGCAGAAGGCTGCACTGTTTTCTGCATTCGGGACGCGTCTTTGCTCTTTGCTTGCTTGCTCTTTTTTGCAGCGTTTACTGGAAAATCGTCGTTTGTCTCAAAAAAAAAACGTGGAGAAAGTCACCTTTTTTGGGCATCTGACTCATTTTCGAGCGTCAATCAGCTTGGTTCAGTCAGCTTTCTTGAATGCGGTTCGACGGACTTTTCAATTCAATACAAAATAGGAATGATTTTCGGAGGGCCTTTCGGGCTGTGCTGGACGAAGTTCACGTTGCAAACTACAACTGAACTTCCAGACTTGACATCATTTGAATTCGAATCAAAATCAGAGTAGCCTGCTCACTTCCTTTTTGCTCTTTTCCGTTCACATTCCCAATTGCCTCGAAAGGCATTCTCATAAAATCTAATACGAATTTGCACATTACGAGTATTTTCACTCTCTTTTATGACGCAAGTATTCGGAGATCGCCACTTTCCCCCATTTTTTCACTTTTTCACCCAAAACCCCAATTTTCATTCGAAGGCGTTTCTAAATCCGGGTAAATTAATGAATTTTGGGCGCCTCCGTCATCCCCCCTAATCCAGTGACATTTTGTTGTTGTTGTCTAGGAAGAGAGAGAGAGAGAGAGAGAGAGAGAGAGAGAGAGAGTACACTTCGACTTGGCGAGACTGAAACCATGGAGATGCGCGACGGAGATTCGTGGGAAATGACAAATGGAATCGGGAGAGGAGAGACGAAGCAGAAGACTGGCGGTTTTTACAAAATCGGGCGAGTATATTATGGGTCTGATAACAGTGTACAGGGATTGTAGGATGTACACTTTCATGTACACAAATCTCTGAAACTGTAGCAAGTGTAAGCGCAATAACGCTGTTTTTTCCTGAATTCCTTTCCTTTTCTCCTTCTTTTTCGCTTTCATAAGCACGCTTTGATAACAATAAATGAGGTTGCCGCCCTTTCCGTATTCCGTCTGCAAAAATCTCTCCTTATACTAAATACCTAATTAAAGATGTTGGAAGTCAGACGGTGATATAGTGGAATGACATCTGGCCTATCCAGTTTTTCCATGTTCTCTCACTTATCAATAAACCATTCAAAAAGAGTGATCGACGTCGCCCCCCTTTCTCCCGTTGTTGGCTAACATAGCCCTTTACGGCAGAAGAATAGCCGCTTCGCCATCTTTTTGATTTCTGTTTACTTGCACTTTCTGGTGGTCACCACTCGCGTGTATTTCAAAAAAGAAAAGAGAAGGGACAGTTCCTGCAGCCTCATGACGGTGACAAACATTTTATATTTTCAAAACATGTAGCATGGCAGGTGCCACTTGGTAAGCACCTGGCCCCCCAACTTTCTCTTTTTGGCAAACACCATGAACGACGACTTGTGAGCTCTCCTCCGCCTGCACTTCCCTTCTCATTTCATTCCTCATTTGCCCGCCCGTCCGCCCGTTCGCTATCCTTCTCCTTCTGCTGCTCTTCCAAAAAGAGCAGGCGGGCCGCCGCACGTCGCCCGGCGAATCAAAAAACGTTCGGGTCACTCGCTCCATCTACGTACTCTCGCCGTCCTTCTCGCCCCGGCGGCTCTTAATTGTAACCGACATGACGCGGACGAAAAAAGAACGAAGCGGAGGCGGAAGAAAGAGAGAGAGAGAGGGCAAAAGCGAATGAATGCAAGCGATACGCATAGACTTTCTGATGAACTTTCGAATACATGCAAGTATAATTGGCTGGAACTTCTAGTTACCGTAATCTCACTCTTCTTCGTCTTCTTCTTCTTCTCCTCTTACTTCTTTTCATACCTTCAGGCTTATCGCCAGTTTAGAAATCTCCTCGGCAATACCTACAATTAGCCCTTTTCCCTCCCCCTCTGCTCACATTCCGCTCGCTTCATGGTGTGTTCTCTCTCTCTCTGTGATCACATGATATCCTCGATATCATACGTTTTCTCCCAGTTTTGTACTCCCTGGAGGTGCTTGTCACCCCTCATTGCGCATGAAGTTCTATTTCCACGTGGGCGTTGAGAGAGAGAGAGCGAAGCGGACACGAAATGTCGAGTTCCCACGTATAACGAGCCTGTTTACAGGTTTTGTCTCTCCGCTGCCCGCTTTCTGTACGAACGACACAGACATTTGCCCGGAAAACCCAACGAGGAAGCAACTCGCACCGCTGACAGATGAGCGAGACACTTTCGAAAGAAAGGTTTCCTCCTTTTCAGTCTGTGCGACTCATTAATCAGAGTTCTACGAGCATGCCTCACCGCTCACATTCATTATCCGTCCGGAAATTGGCTGGATCCGAGTGCTCGTGTATTCCTCTTGTACATTTTCCCCCCTCACCCGCAGTGGAAATAGTTGCCACGTCAACTTTCTGCGGGCTGACTCACCGCACCGTAACCTATCCCGTGCTTTCCGTCGTGTAGGTACTTTCACTTTCATTGTCGACTTGGCCGTCGCATCCAGCAGCTCGCTCCGCCTCGTCCCTCCAAACTCCTCTCCCCGTTCTCTCCGCTTCTTCATATCACCCGCTGTCTTCTCGAATGAACGGTCCACACTGCCTGCTCCCTCCCCTCTCGCTATCACTATTTCGGCCGTCGCGATCACCATCCACGGACGCCGGTGCCCTCACCGATCGGGAGGCGGTCGCTCTGCTCGTCTCAGCCTCTCATCCACATCATCGCGAGCAAATTTCGACGCGTCCCACTTGCAACAGACCTCCGGTCGTCTCGTTCAGTCGCCTTCTTGTTTCGAGTAAGACACCCGCCAATGGGGCAGTCTCCCTCTTCTTCCGCCGCTGACGGAGTCTCCGGCCCGCCGCCCACGGTAAGTCCACGTTGATCAGCAGCTATCATAGAGTAGAGTTTGCCTGATTATGTTCAGCGAACGTTTTGTATTTCGAAAAAAAATAGGCATACATCTTTACGAATACATCTGCAAACGTCTATATAGATACAAAAACATTTATGCTCTGTGCTTCATACAATACGCTCGTCTCCAATAACATCGGCCGCCGCATGCGTTCATCTTTCCGCCAAAGCCATAAATCTGAGAGCTACGCGCGAAGACGAGGTCAGCAATCTGCGCGAACACGTGCTTCTCTTCAGACGGACCATTCCGGCGGAGCGTCTCCGCTTCACCAACAGCAGCAACAGTCGTCAATCATTCCACAAGCAACGGTGAGTCGCTCATCCAACAACATTCGATATGTCTTTATTCTCTTTTTCTGCTGATGATTTGTGCTCTAACAATTAGTAATGCACCCCTCTAGTTTGCACCTTCCGGTCAATCTTGAATCTCTCCTCATTAGTGTACATCTTCTGAGCCTCCTCGTTTAGTTGTGAGATGATTAGTGGGAAAGGAAAATAATTCTGAATGATTTGCACGCTTTTAGGTCACTTTCGACAACATCGTCGACGTTCTCCGCACCACTATCACCGCCGAAGTATGCTTCCAACCGTACCCTCCCGAACATGTTATTCAGAAGCTCTTGTCCATTGATTATGTCGTTCTCCGTTCCAAATTCAATCAAGGGGAGCAGTATCTCTCGTCGATATTGTCGATGCTCGAGTACCTGGCCAGCAAGGGAGTCTTCGATCGAAACCACAAACTGGTAGACTTGGCGATGAGAATCTGTATTGATGTGGCTGTTGCCCTGCCGCAAATACATATGAAGCAGTTCGAAGCGTATGTGAACAAAGCGTCCAGTTACATTGACGGGTATGTGAAATGCCATGTTCGCACGGGCTTGACGTGGATTTGCATTTTCAGTATTGTCAAAGCGAGAGCTGTCCAATACGAAAAAGCGATCGACGTTCACATGCAGTTGGAGGCAGCCGCAAACAAGACATTGCAGGACGAGAAGAAAGCGAGAGACGCTCTCTCCGAAGAGATTGATCGCCTGAAGCAAGAGCTGGAGGCGTTGAAGGCGTCCACTGCGAAGGAGATCGTGCGTGCGAAGCAGAAGATCACGAGACTGGAGAAGGAGAATGACAGACTGGAACAACAAGTGACGACAATGAAAACCACGCAGAACCTGGAGGACCTGAGTCTGGTCAGCAAGAGAGCGCTGAGAGACGAACTGAAAACGTAGGTGCTCGGGGGGAACACTCGAACCATTAAAACGTTTCAGAACAGAACACACCGTGAAAACGTTGAAAGACGAAAATTCGACTCTGTTGGAAGCGTTGAAACTGGCAGGTAGCAACAAAATTGAGTTGGAGAGAGTGGTGGAAGCCGAGAAGGAAAGATGAGTTGTAGAGAGGGGGGACTTGACCTTATCTGTTTTGTTTTACGTCTTTCAGACTGGAACAGCAATTCAGAGCAGTCAGAGAAAGGGAGTCGACGGAGAAAGAGAAGCGTGATAGGGTAAAACTGAACGAAGAACGCCAGCTTACCAACTGCTTGTCCGATGTGATCGGCACGATTTGGCTTTACCAGTTCAGAAATGAGCACGAGAAGGCGGAGAAGTTTGCGAAGATGTCCAAGATGCTGGTGGATTCGAGAAGACACGAGTGTGTGAAGGCGGCGAAGGCGAAACTGAACGCGTTCAAAGCGAAAGGAGATGCCGAACTGACGAAGAAGATCGAACAGGAAATTGCGAGGGGAGAAGCAGCGAAGAGAGAGTACGAGAGAATGTTCGAGACGAAGATCGAAAGCGTTGTGAAGAAGCCGAACATGCCCATCGCGGGCTGTGATATCCCCACGCACGCCACCTATCTTCCGATCATCAGTCCAGAAATAGAGGATGCAATTGACAAGCAGATGGAAGAGTGGAACAAATAATAGCATACAGAAGACGCTTTTTTTTAGACTTATCGTATCTACTTTTCCAGAAGACCCTTTCTTTCCTCCTCTTCTTTATCTCTTCGTTCCGGTCTCTCGTTCTCTTCCCGTGCAAACGATCTTCCACTCTCTCTCTCTCTCTGTGTGCACCTCTCTATATGATACTCTTTTCTCTCTCTCTCTCTCGTTCTGTTTCCAGAACATGCCACCTTATATTAATCGAATAAACATTTCAGATGACCGCTCAATCGATGCTCGCCCTCGACTTCCCACGGCTCAACGAGAACTACATCTCGACCCAAACGGACGCTGTTCTCGTCTTGAAGCTGCTTCCAATGGTAGGTTGTGATATGGGAAAAACTCAATGATAAGTGAGAGGTTGCAGGAATGGAGACTCGAGGAAGGTAAGTTGTCCGCGGAGGAGAAGCTGAGCAATGCCGGTGAGATAAGATAGGAAGGGTCTCGTCAGGAAATACGTTGTCTTCAGAGCGATTCCACAAGTACTACGACTTCATCGGCTGCCATCTCAACTGGATGCTCTACTTCAAGCACTGTGTGCGTTACAGAAATGGTAGTCAGAGGGTATTTCTATACTTCCAGGACCTAATGGAGCCGTTCGTGGCGTCTGGCCAAGTGACAACCCGCCATGACATCAACGCCGGTTTCATTCACGCAATTTGTCAAGCATTGGTAAGCGAAACACTGTTTTTGTTTAACTTTGATAACGCAGGTGCCCCCGGAAAGCAACGATAGTGTGATGAACATAATCAAAAACGACCACAAGGGTTTTATCTGCCATTACGAGATCCTCCGCATGCCGGACATCGACATCGCTGCGGGAATCCAGGCGGTCATCGAGAGATACGTCAGTACTTCTCAGCCAGTCTCTCGTATCATCCTACCAGCCCTTTTTCAGCCGCCCTCGGAGGCCGTCAAGACGAGCTATGATTCTCTGCGTCAGTACATCCACAAACTCCTCGCTCACCTGCCCGACGACTGGAAGTTCATCTATCGCAGCTCGAGCCCGTCTCCGGTAAGCCTCCATCTGTGTTACGCAAGTAAAGTGAGAATTCAGAGAGCTCCGAAGCCGTCGAAGCCGTTCCTTCGCGTGTTCGAATTCGGCGCCGGTGGAAGCCGTCACGTGTTTGTTAGCGAGGTTCAGTGGGTTGTGAACACGCTGAAGAAAGCCACGTGCAAACTGTACACCTACACATTCCACAATCACTTCTTCCCACATCACTTGCTCGACCACGCACTCGGTCTGTTTGGGTTCCAAACGAACGATGTAGAGGTACTTAGACACTCATCGCTCAGCCCAGTCCTTTATGATTTCTTCAGCTGGTTCTCGTGAAAGTGGCCCGAATGAGTGACCAGGAGTACGTGCCGTTCGTGGGTCCGCACGGATACAATGTGATCACTTCGGTCAACCGATTCTTCAATGTCGCCATCTCGTACGGCCGTACAGAGTCGAAAGAAAGGGCTGGATTCGCCAGGAGTTTCATGGAATACCTGACGGTCGGCTCCTTCCTTCCATATATCGTCACATACACGCATAAAGAGATCGAAAGCGTCAATGACATCAGACTCACTTTCAACGAGATGAAGGTGTGACTGTTTACATGCAGATTACAGTTCACTGTTTTTCAATTTCAGGCGTTTGATAAGAAACCGCCAAAGAAACGGAAGTGTACTCCGAAGAGAGCGGCTGAGAAAGAGCCGCCTGCGAGACAGATTAGCAACATTCCAATTGCGGCTCTCAAAAAGTTCCCCAGCAATTGCAGCAAATACGCGATGAAAATGCTTCTCACCTATCCTCATGTAAGCTCGAAATTGCATCAATATTGAGAAATAAGTGACAAGTTTGAGTACGCCCTCTTCCTTCATGAACAAGGTTTCTGTGTGCCGGGCGAGTTCTGCTACGCCAAATTGTTCGAAGTGGATGCCCCGATCGCCGCTTGCCAATTGGACGACGATTCTCTCAAAAAGAGGGTCGAGTTCTACTTGACAAAGAAATGGTGAGATTTGCTAACAGTCAAGTCGCATACCGCCCAAATGATCATTTTCAGCTACACTTCAGCGGTTGTCACTCAGTTCAGAAAGAAAATTAATAATGAGTACGAGAGATTCCCATTGCCAGAGAGAAAAGAGTGAGTTCGGGAGTGCAACTTTTCGGATTTGTTTCTCTAAATGCTCAGAGTGCTCCCAACGCCGATAGAGAAGGATTCGGAGAGGGTTTTCACTCCAATCGACTTCGCCGACGAACCTTCAACGTCGGAATCTCCTCTGGAAGTTAATATGGAGACCGATGTCCCTTCGACGTCTTCAGATACCCCAGAAACAGGGTTGCCTGGTCTTTTAAAGGAGGATGCGAAGCCATCGAATTCCGAACCGCCGACGGGAGAGAACGGAGATGCGACGCCGCCATTTGTGGAGAGAAGGGACAGTGGACACGCGTAGAAACTGTACTTATCGACTGGCCACTAAACTAACTCTTTTCAGATCTACCTCTTCCCTCCACAGCTCCAAATCTCCGACGCCGGCGGCAAATCCAGTCGCTGACACGGGCGGAACCGGTACCAGACATTATACTGAAAAACAGAAGAAGGCACTAATTGAGAACAAGTGAGTAAAAGTGGACAAATGGAAGAAAAAGTCTGACGATTCAGACTGAAAGAGATCCAAAACGAACTGAACACTGTGGATCCCCGATTGGTCGAAAAAATATATTACGGGCAGCTTCTGAATGATGGCGAACAGAAAGAAATGGAGGCGAAACACAAAAAGGAGGTGGCAGCACTGAAGGATAAAATGAAGCAGGCCACGAAAACCGTGGAGACTCAGAAGGCTCAATTGACCGAGTCAGTTGGGAACGTTGGTTATTATAATTGAAATCAGAACTTTAGATTGAAAGAGGGCAAACAGCATTTTGAGAAACTCTACGAAGAAACTGTGAGAACGATGGGCGGGGAGGTGAAACGGAAAGATGCCGAACTTAAGAGAAAGGAGGAGGAAATAGTGGAGCTGAGAACGAAGCAAGTGTTCGAAAACCCGGAAGCGTCGCAAGAGAAGAAGACGTCGAGAGCGAGAAAGTGAGTGGGAGGAATTGAGAACGGTTTGAACTTGCTATTCTTTCAGACAAACCGAGCCAAGTGAAACAAACGCAAAGCTTCGTGAGGGGCTGGCGACGCTCACAGAGAGCAACTCAACTTTGCTTGCTGCGAGCAAAGTGTCGACTCAAGTCATGGACGGACAGAGACGTGAGATTAAAGAATTGAAGCATAGAGTGGGCCAGTTGGACAAAGAGAAAGCGACAATCAAGCAGGAAAACGCTTCTTTGACCACACGACTCGCCGTTCAAGAAGAGAAAACGCGAGGATCTGTCAAGCAGGAAAGGAGCATCAAGCAGCAGAACCATCTCCTCTGGAATGAATTGAATCAGTTACGCGCTACTGTGACAGAACTGCATGAGAAGATTGCGAATCTCGAGGAGACCAAGGAGTTGCTGGTGTCGGCGGCCACACCGACGTGCATGGCTGCCATCAGACGCATAGAATTCCTGCAGGGCAAGCTGAAGAGTGCGCGGCAGGACGAGCTGAGATACGAGCAGGCAGAGCGGCAAATGCTAGACTATTCGGCTATGGAGAGCTCGAATCGATTCAACGAAGTGTCGGCCGCCCGCTGGCACCTGAACATGGCGAGAGCTGCGAAGGAGGATTACGAGCAGAAGGTCTATAGCAGAATCCTGCAGCTTCGTAGAAACATCAGCGAGAGCTTCATGTTCTCTGAAAGCGAGATCACATTCACCTTATATCCGGATCCGTTCACTCCGGAAACAGTCGAGAGAATAAACGAATTGACGAAAATTTATGAGCAGAAGCAGAAGGTTAGCTTGAAGAATTTAGAAAAACATCTACAAAAAATCACAATGAGCTTCAAATTTCAGAATGCTTACCGTCGACCGCACCAGTGAAGCATCTGTCTAGCCTCACACGCCTATTTTTTGGCATATCTTTATTTGAGCTTTAATTTTTATGTTGACTTTATTTTGGCTTTATTCCGGAAATCGGAGCACCGATTTTCTACACATTTGGGAATTCGAATTTTAAACTCGCGGGCAGTGTGTTTATGCAATAGAGCACGTTTGCACTATTCAAATTTTCAGGTTTTTTCAAAAACGCGAAAACAATTCCCTTTGTCTCAGGTTTTTCTGTCATTTTTTGAACATTTCAATAAAAATATATTCCTTATCAATTTATTCGCTTGATTTTGTCAATTTGTTGTGCTGTTGGAGTAACTCAGCTTCAATATTGTGTCGTTTCTTCGGCTTCGTTGTGAAATTCACGTGAAAAGTATGTATTTTCGAGGTGATGACCTCGAATGGGCTCCCTCTCGATGTGGTACTCCGGTGCCTTAATCTTGAACACAATCGGTAAGAATTTAAGTTAAACTTCGAAAATAAGAGTGCATAATTTCCAGACAAGTCGAAACAACTCAACAAACGAGAAGACCTGCTCCTGCGGCGCTCGTCAAAATGATTCTGGCCGAGTTCTATACTCCTCGAGTGAGCACATCTTTTATTTTCTCGCAATTTGAGGCTGTTTGCAGCAAATCGCCGCGATTGAAATAGACAGAAAAGAGTACGGGATGGACAACGAAATTTTCTCCGTATTTTCAAAATTTCACGAGCAATATGGGAAGAAAAATTCTAAACGTATGCCTGAGAAAGCTCTTTTGATGTCTAATAACTTGGTTTTTCGTTTCAGTACTTCTTTTTAACATCTTCAAGCTTGTTGACATGTACATATCGATTCCGGACCTTTACGGTTTGATTGGAAATTTTCAGGTATTTTTTTTTTAAATTTTTGAATTTCGGGTGCTACTTCGAAATAGACAATGTCTCGGAATATAAGTGTTCCGAAATAGGACATTTCTCGTTGAGTTTTGTGTATTCCGATACACTTTTATTCTGAGGCATTGTCTATTTCGAAGTAGCACCAAATTTCGAAAAATTCGTGCATTCCTCAGGTGCCCGAACTCAACCAAAAACCCAAAGTTTTGTCAAAATTGGAGAAAATCCGGAATGAAATCTTCGAAGTGATGCGAATGCAAAGACCGAAGCTCGAGCCACACACACTTTGTATTCTCGAGTACTTGCTGGAAGAGGTGTGCAAACGACACCGGTACACAGAATTTGTACAATTCCCCGTCGACGAAAACGGCAAACTGGAGACGGTTCTCGATAAATTCTTCTCGCTCATTCCAAAAAAAGATTTGGTGCCCGCTCCTTCCGACCACATAATTCACCTCGTCATCGTTTCGAAGCAAAGCTGGCCGGAGCAGGGATACGTCACTACCAAGGAGATTTACAAGTACTTTCCGAGATTGGAGTCGTTCTTCGAGTCGCCCATTGGACAGAGGTTCCAATTGAAGTTTACAGAACATCTCGCGGTAGACAACTTGCTCAATGCGATCACTCCGTTTATTTCTACTTTTCAGCATCAGTTTCCGAACATGCAAAAGAGCATGCTGGATCGAGTGAACGCCTATACTAACGAATATTTCATCTGGTTACAATCAATTATATTTTTTGAAGAGTCACTCGCTCACCTTGGCCGTTGGATGTATCATCCCAGAATGGTCAGTTGGAACATTTAATGTAACTGAAATATTAATCTTTTAGACTCCATTTCAACCAGAAAAGGGTACCATCAAACTGTTCATTCGCGTCATCGTTCAAAAAGTGGACGGAGTGACCAAACGATGCTTCATCTTTCTGGACGAGTGCCGATTCATTTTCGAGCAGCTTGTCGGCATGGGAGTCGATTTGAACAGAGACTTCGAGATGGAGTTTCTCTCGCGCGACGGACCGAACCCAGTAGTCCACAAGATTGCCGAAATCACAGACTGGGAATACGCGAGACGGCCCTTTCAAATGATCAGTTCGATAACGGATCACTTGTTAAGAGGCGTGCAAGTGGATATGCACACGACTAAAATGACGAACGGATTCACACTTCCGACCGTTTCTGCGTACAACACGCACTGCATCCCATCGATCGAAGCGTTCAGAAGAATCGTGGACATTCTGGTGCGAGAAGTGCAGGTCGGAAAGCGCATACCGCTCTTGTTCCAACCGCTCATGAATCTTCTCAAAAAGATGGAGCCCTATTTCGGGGGAACGCACGTTTACAAGACAATGATCGATCGGAGAGTGGCTCATGAGTTGATTCAAGAAGCCAGCGATCTGAAAGACAAGTTCAATGGTAAACTGGCAAATCCGAAGGGAAAACTGGCAGCGGTCAACTCGGAGTCAACGGAAAACGACAGAATGGACGCATTCTTGTCAGTTTATCGGAAGGTAATATGGAAAAAATATATTCATCAGAAAATGACATTTTGCTGTTGCAGTTCCGCCCATTCGTCGTGCGCCATCAGGAGCAGCCAGCTAGTCCGGTACAAAAGGACTGGACGCCACCGGGAGAGCCTACAATCGAAGATATCATCGCTTTTTTCGCTTCCGGAAAGGAAACCAATAACTCGGCGAACTAATAACAACTCATTTCATCCTCGACATTTTAAAACATTTCACATTCACACTTGTTGATTTTTTTCCATAATTTTACCGATTTGCATCTCTACTGCTTCCATTTCTTTTCTTTTCGTGTATTAATTTTTCCATGACACATTTCCTTTAGAATAAAAACCTACCTTCACAATTTTCCGGCAAACTCTTTGCTTCTAAAGAGTTCCTTCTCCTATTGCAGTATCTGACGTTTCCCGACTCACGCCGACCGAATCCGTCGTCCAAAATTGATTGTACCGTTTTCAGATACAAAACCGGCCGGCAGCAGCAATGGGCAATGCACCGGACAGTTAGTTTTTCCCCTTTGATGCACTATTCGCGCGATTCGTTTACGTGCTTTACCGACTCTACCGCTTCCATTTCCGCTGCTGACTACACAGTGGCCACATATCTCCTCTCTCCGATGGACCTCTCAATGTTCTCTGTTGCAGAGTGTTCCAGCATGAAAGTGCTGCCTTCGCCCTCTGCCAACAGAAACACCTCATCGCCCCTGAAGACGTCCGCCGACGACGACTCTCTGCCCGGCCAGCCTTCTCCGAAACGGGTGTCCGAATGGATAGAAAAGGATGCCGGAGGAGTGCGGCCGTCGCTCGGATTCAAAAGCTTTCACGCAGAGAACGCTGCTGAATTCTGGAGAAACGGAGTTCCCGCATGGGCAGCCGAACCTGTGACGCCCACGTAAACACTCTTTTCACCTCGTCTGCCCGCACCCATTCACATTTCCAGCAAGTTCGAGACGGCGCATTTTCCGACAATAGAATCACGAAGCCCGACGTCTCGTTTTTGGGCGTCCAATCGGTTTCAGAAAAGGTAAAACGAATGCGATCAATGAGAATTCGCACACTTGTGCATTCAATCCCCCATTTCTTCTTTTTTGAAAACTGTTCGTAAGCATACATATGCTAATTTTCCGAGATTGTGAAAAGAAAGGCGTGCACACACAAAATAAATATAAATGAGATGTCGCGTCTCGAAAATTCACGTTTCTATTCGAATAATCACACATCTTCCTTTTCGGACCTCGAAATCTTATACAGCGGCGTTTGCGTTCTGAAAATTACAAGTCAGCCGACATTCGTCGTCTTTTCACAATTGTGGGATTACTGTAGTGGAACGTAATTGAAATTTCATCCAGAATTCAACGTTTTCCATCTTTCAGTCCGTTGAATTCTAATTCTAATCACTGGCGCGGAACGCAACGCGTTCAGCAAAAATCCTTTTCGAAAAAGCTGAAATTTGAAGAGGAATCTGAAGGAAATCGGTGAGGGACGAGCGAAAACTGATTAAGCACGTGACCACAAGTTGAGGTGGAAATAGAATATGCTTGACTAATCTGTAGTCGCTAATTATCATCTGAAATCTCGTACATCAACCCAGAAAAAGGCATCAGAAAACAGTAAGAACGTTTTTAGTTGTTAAACTTTCAGAGTGTGAAAAAGAGGAACGAAAAGGCAGACGCTTTTTTCTGTTGGGCGGTGCATATAAATCATTCTATCAGTCAGCCACATATTCCACGCGTTTTGTCCTCTTTTCCCCCTTTTTTGAAACATGTATTTTTTGCAGGCCCGTCTCTTCGTCTTCTAAAAATCGAGTTAAGTCTGCTCCCATCCCGAACAATACGCCCACTTCGGATTCGTCCTTCTCCTTCTTCGCCGTCACCGATTCGACCATGAAACGACAAAAGAAGAAGGAGAAAAAGAAGGCGAGACAGATGAATAAGGAGCAACTGCTAAAGAAGCAAAAGGTATTCCGTTGAGATACGCGCGAGTTTATCACACATTTCTTACTTTGCAGCTCCAGCGCGCGGAGGTGTTAAAGAACTACGAGATGAGAGCGGCGGAGCACAAGAGACTTCTCGCAGAGTATGCTGCCGCGGTAGCCAAGCCAACGGCGACGAAAAAAGAGGCGGGCGTCCCCTCGCAGCCTGAGAAAGGAGACTCGTCGGCTTCCTCTTCTAACCCCTCTTCATCATCTGCTGGCCTTGGTTCTTCCGCTGAAAAGGAGTCGAACGCATCGAGTTCAAAGACCCAAAAAGAGTTTATGCCGAAGGAAATAGAAAACGATGTCATAGCGAAAGAAGTGGAATCAGAGAACACAGAAGACGTGGCAGAAACGGTTGTGCAGCAGGAAGATGACTTCGTGGCTGAAGAAGACGTTACTGTTTATGAGGACGCCTATTCGGAGGATGAGAACGTTGAAGATGAAGTAGGAGACGTTGGTATTGTTGATGATAGGAATGCCGAAGTCGAGGTCATTGTCGAAGTGTGTTCATGCGGAGATAACTACGAAGAGCACATCGAGGAAGAGTTTGTGGAAGTGAGAGAGACTTTGAAAATCGAAGATCAAAATGTGATGATCGAGGACGAAGACGTTGAGCCGGAGGAGGAGATGCTGACTGCGGAGGAACCCGACGAGGAGTTCGAAGTGCTTATTTGTGGACAACGACGCAAAGTGAAGCCGTTCATTCCACGAGCTCATCAGAATTCGTCTTCGGGAGACGAATGCGAAACGATCACTGTCGAAACCTTCTCATCCAACTCAGTTTTCGACATTCCTGAGCACGAACCGATCGTTGTGCCGTTTCGTGATGCGATTCCCGCACCGCCACCATCTAGGCCTCAGAGAGTCACCATGAATTCGCAACCGCCACCGCCGCCCTCTCGATTCATGGCGATGCCACTGCAGATGCAAAGAGCTCCTCCTGTCATCTTTGGTCAGCCCATCGTTAGTTCATACGGACAGTTGCAACCGAGATATTCTCCGATGTACGGACCGTCCCCATTCCCGCCGATGCAGATGATACGAATGCCGCCAAACCCAATGCCAATGCCAGGAATGCCGATTGCAATGCTTATGAACGGGGCGCCCATGTTCTTGCCACAACAGCCAGGGCTGCCTATTCCACCACAAATGCAAATGCAGCAAGCACCCCATATGCTCGTTCCTCAACAACATCCCACTCCGATTATTACCTCCATGATGGCTCTGCCCCAACCGCCTCCACAACCACAGCCAGTTCATCAGAACTGCAACGGACCACGCCAGATCCCTCCAATTCCTCTGCCACCACCGCCGCCCTCTCAAATTCAACCGCAACAGCACCAGCCGCCGCTTCAACCGATGGCACCTCCACAGTCCGTAAGATATCCGGGACAGCGACCACTTCAAAGACCTCGTCGTAAACTGTTGGCTATCAAACCGCCGCCGCCAGCACCGCCGCTTCAACTGCAAGAACCGGCCGCGTTGCCAGCACCGACCCAGCCGGAGCATAAGAATGATCAGAAAGAAGAATCTCCGGTAGAAATAGAAGACAAAGAGAAGGAAGCTGTTGCTGAGCCGGTTGAAGAAGATGTTCCGATTGTGGTCGAGGTGAAATCGGACGTGGAGGTGATCATTGAACGCAATCTGACACGTCAAACTTCGAGTGTGGATCTGAACAGCAATCTAATAGCATCAGTAGTGGCCGTCGTTTTGGACGAATCAGAAGACAAGGAACTTCCATGTGAAGCTGCAATCGGTTCTGCTCCGGATCAACCACACTCATCGCACCAAGAGGAAGATTCTCAACTTCAAACAGCCAACCGTGTGCTCGGATTCTCGAAGCATTGTGAAGGAACTGATTTTGATATTTGGGCCGGATGGACGAACGGTCTTCCGCCCCGCCCGGAACAGTCTGTGCTGGAGCCAGTGTTCGAGAAGATGTTGGAAGAAGATCAGAGTCCGAGCCATCAAGGAACGATAATAGAACCGTTGGTTCTATCAGATCAAACGAAGCCGAATCTAGTGAAGATCTGCAAGAAAATGGAGCCCTATTTCATGTAAGTAACCCTAGTTTCGTTCTCTCACCAAAACGGTTCAATTTTAGGAATAGCCGTGGTTATTGGATGGGAGCTTCCGTGGACAGTGAAATACTATGTGGCATGTTCGAGCAGGCGCTCGGCGGTTCCATTCCGGAAAGTGTTTGGCCAATTCTGGAGAAGGTGTGCTTGCTGAGACCTGGTTATTTTCACATCTTTGACGTCCTCATCGGCAACAGTCTCGAGTTGAGCTACAATTTCAAATGCAATCCTGGGGACGAAAAAGAAGGAGGTCCCGATCCTCTCCACACTCTCTACCAATCACTTCCTCCGGCTGAAGGAGTTGAAAAGTTCTTCACTCGATTCGAAAATAACATTCTGCCGTAAGAAATCGTTTTTTTATAAATCTCTTTTTTATGTTTTCAGAGAACTCAATCCGTTCATCTCGAACCATCTCGTCACAATTCGTGCTTTTGTCACTATCATTGAAATCGTCAAGGAAGATGATTTGTCAGTTTCGGATCTCTACTACCTGGCCACCCTTGTCTTCGGATCTCGCCAGTTCTATCACCGATTCCTCGCCAAATTCACTCAGTTCCATGTGGTCGAGTCCGGTGGAAAACGATGGATTCGCCAACAACCGGAGCCGAACGGTGAACGTAATAAGACACCTTCTATGCTCGGGCAAATGCGTGCGTCGCACGAGAATCGCGCACGCACCGTCACAGATTTCATCTCGATTCTACGCCAACATATAGACGATGTCCTCCAGCTGATGCCGGATAGTGTTGTCAATGATATCGAATTCTTCAAAACGGTCAAATTGGTGTGTGGATGGAATGGAAAACACGAAGAACAAATCTGGGAAATAGTGTGTGAACTCTTTTCAGAAAGGAAGTTAATATTTCGTTTCAGATCACCAAAGATCGCTCCAAGTTCCAAGAGTTCTACGACTCTTTCCGCCCATTCTTCCGCATAGAAATTCGTATGGGTTCAATGTACCTCAAAAAGTTGGCGTACTCCGACGACGATGACGCCACTGACTATCAAACGATGGAAGTCGATGTCGGCTCGCAGACAACTCCACTGATCGGTTTGATCAAATCGGGCGAGCACAAAGAATCTAAATCGGTTTCGTATGCGATTCCGGAACCTCTATTCACTGCGAACATTCCGACTGTCAACCCGACTCAATCTTCCTGCTCAACACAAACGGATCACTTGGATTTGAGCCAAGTGTGGAATCTCGAGAGAGAACTGATTCGTCTTCTGGCTCGCGATAACTCCACCTTCAGCACGTTTATTCAAAGCGATAATGCTCGTGAGATGTGAGTTTGCAAGTCGTCCGTTCGCTTTCACAAAATGACAGATTCAGGTATCAGTTCCTCGTGGATCTCTTCAAACATGCCGATATGCGCTACTTTGCATATGTCATGGAGAAAGCGGTCACCGAAATGCGGCAACAATCATGGCAGGAGACTGTCGATTTGCGGAGAGCGGCCGAAGAAGCGAGACAGCAACTGGAAGTGGCACGGGAGCAACATGAGAAAGAATTCGGCAACATGCGTAGCCGAATGGAAACTATCTCTCGCTTCGAGACGTACGAAGTGCAAGTGGAGTCGAATGCGAGAATAGACGCACTGAAAGAACGGATCAAGCAGATGACACTGGAAAAAGACATGGTGGTGAAGGAAGAAGCGAGAGAAGAGAAGGAGGCGTGCTACAGGGAGATGAGAGAAATGGCCGAGAAGCATCTTCATGAGAAAAGGTGGGGAAGGAACTTCTTGGAGTACAAATCAATTCTTAAATACTATTTCAGGCTTCTGGAAGATGAGGTCAGTCGTCTGAAGCATGAGCTCTCTCGTGTGTTGACCGAGGAAGACGTCAACAGAGAGTTGCAAAATATCGAAGAGGAGCGAGCTGAGGTGGCGGAACGCTACGAAAGGGAGATGAACAAGGCGAGAGCTGTCTGCAAGAACACTTCTCTTCTGCTTCGTGATAGTCAGCTGGAGATCAAGTCACTCCGTGAACAGAATCAAATCCTCATCGCGTCCCAAGAATGTAATGTGACTGCCAGCAATGCCATGCCATTCACTCCGGATCCCACACCGATTCCAGATGATCCTGAAGATATTCCTCCCGTTTCCCCGCCTCCGTTCCAATATAATCCATCGGCTTCTCATCTCCTGCAGTCAGCTGAGAAGATGCTCTCCGAGTTGAATGCCGATCAACTTCGTGTAGATGCTCACGCGTTCCTCGAGCGTTACAACCAAACAAATGCCAATCGCAAAGAAAGAAAAACAGCCGAAAAGCAGTTGAAAGAGTTCAAGGCGACGTTGGAAAGCATCGAATGCAGTCTGAAAGAGAACATTGAGTTGCTCAGACTGAACATCGTCGACGGACTCATTCCGATTCCCGAAGTGCCGTTGCCGTTCTCGGAGAAGGTTACACGCAAAGTTTACGAAGAAGAACAGAGTTTTCTTCCACAAGGAAGTAGTAGACAGCACGGAGAGGTAGGCCAGCAGAGACCTTGGTGGAGACGGTAGATTCCTATTTATTGCACTATATTTTCTTACTTTCTATATATTCCTGTCAAAATGCTCTTTTCGAGGGGTAAGTGGGATCTATCCTTGTTTTTTCTGTCTTGTACATTAATCTCTGATGACATCAATATCGGATTATTTCAGGAAGAAGAGGACTGCTGCCTCATTTGCTACGAAACGGTGCCCGAGGATCCCACTAATATCACGTGCGAAACGTGCTCCCACCAGTACCATTACGACTGTATTTCTCGCTGGCTGAGAATCAACTCGGTGTGCCCCGCCTGCTACCGTGCTCTAAAAGACCCGAATGAGTATCCGTCGCTCGGATGACATCCTCATCTACCCCCAAACTCGCTATTCTCCCCAAATACCCCTTTTGTCCCCTGGATAGTTTTATATTTTAGCAGTAGCCCGTAGTGTTTTCTATTTAAGAACTCACAAACTTCCCGAATGGTTATCACCAATATTTTTGTTTCGCTACTTTTGCGGTCCGAACAGAGACATTTTACTAGTAAATTAAGAGAACAAGAAATCCATTCAAATACCAAGCCATCAATGTTTCAAATGTACTTCTTCAGCAAATACCGTTGTTTCTGATGTTTCATAACAGTATTTCACATAGTTCATTTTCCCCGTGTTTATGTGTTCCCAATTCAAACGATTTTTTCCAAACTCTCATTCGTACTCCCACACCCAGATCCTATTTTTATATTCGCTCCCATGATTTTTTGCGGCTAAATTCATCTTGATGCTCTCTTCACATTTCTCATTATTCTCAGTCGAGTGCCTCCTTTTTCGTGAAGAAGACGAAGCGAAGGCGTCTGTTTGATTGCCCCTTCTATTCGCATTTCCATTTTTTTGTTGGTGCCACCACCACTAAATCTGAACCGGAAATTCCAGAAAGGAGAAGAAGAAAGGGCGCTGACGACCCTTTCTCTAATTGCTTCTGTGCTCTGCGCCACACCACTCTACGCGCTCTCTCGTCTCGATGTGTCGCCTTGTGTGGGACTCCGGATGACACATTCCGAAGGAAGGCGACGGCGGGGTGACATGCATTTATCATTGCCCCACGGAGCCTTTCCGCCTCTCTGACGGCCAGGGAGCAGCACGTTGAGCTCCCACACTCCTTTTGTTTTTTGCTTCCTTCCCGTGCGCCGTCCATTTCTCATGCGGAAGCGAAACCATCAAATGTCAAGCCTGACGAAGTTGAAGAAGATATTCAGGAAATTAACGGCACCTACTTTTTTGTTCTCAAGTGCTTTTTCGCGCTCTTCCGAAATCTTACATTGAATCACGGCCGCTACCGAAAAAAAACGGTAGATCAGGATTCTGCGGTAACAGAAGAAACTTGTAGAAGAAAAAAAAAAGTTTGGAGTCATCGAAATTTTCGATTCGAAAACGGATAGATTCTCACGGTGAAGTAACGCGAGAAAATGGAAGAAAGGCAATGAACACCAAACTTTACAGAAAGACGGAAAGACAGACATAATTTTCAGATAAAACTACGAAAAGAACCACTTATTTTATGCTTTGAATAACACAACCTCCCCCCAGCTTTCCGTTTCCTCTCATCAGACTAATCCGATATTCTCCCCTAATCCGATGGTCTCCTTTTTGTTTCCAACTCATCCTTCCTCTCCCCATTTCGCTGAATTCACGCCCTCTGGAACTCAATTAAAACCCGTCCCTTCTCTCCATTTTATGCACTCTCTCAAGTCGCTCTCTCGATTTAATTTCGTTTCCGGACGTATCTTGTCAGAATCCTCAACTTTTTGTCACTATCCATATCGAATTGGATACTATCCAATTCGAGAGATGTGCGCGGCCGATTTGTGTGTGTGTGTGTTCTCGCCTACGTCATTCGAGAAGACGTCACGAGCGGGGGACCCTGCGAAATTAATTTCGAAAGAAATCTCTAGAAAAAAAAAAGAAAAGAAGGAGTCGTCCATTCTCTTATTTTCCTTTTCCCCAGGGTGGTCGGTACGCGGGAGGGACGGACTTCTGAATGATGCTCTTTGTCTGGAAATCTGAATAGTGAATCCAACTGCATTGTTCGCCCGAACTCTTTGTTCTCTCTGACCCTCCCCTCCCCAATCGTATCCATTCCCAGTTTTCAGATGTGAATGGGAGAAATGCACCTTCAAAGACCTCCCTCCTCATTCTCCACCAATCCGTCGTCTTCTGGACCGAAGCCTGACGTGGCATGGACATCGTTTCTTATGGTTTATGCGTGAGTTCTCTCAAAAGATTCCTCCGGAATTCCATAATTTTCAGCATTCCGTTCGTTCTTGTTCTCACCGTTGCGTGCATCATAAAATGGCGGCCGCTCAGAGAATTTCCAAACATCAGAAGCTTTCTGAGTTGGTACTGTTCCTGCTCCCCGAAAAAAGCGATTCAAGAGCTGGAGCAGCCGGACCGCACCCACATGATTATGTCCATTGATGCCCAGGTATCCCCCTCCTCTCCTTCTTCTCGAGTATTTCTCCGTTTCAGAGCCTCGCTTCCATGTCCTCCGTCATCGATTCTCCACTTCTTGTCCGTCAGCACGACGACGACGGACGTCGATTCGAATCCACTGCCATCCCTTAGACCGAATTCATTCTTGTCGCCCATCTCGCTATTTCGCTCACTGTGATACACTATGTCCATCATAAATAGTTTATCGTCAAAATATGAGTTGTGTTTTATCCTTTGATACCCGTCGTACAAATTGAAAGTTGGACTCGACATTGGAGAAGAATGATAAAAATGGGGGGATCGCATGAGGAAATCACTAAAGAGACTATCGGGGGAACGGCGGCGGAGGAGGCAACGGAAGGTCGCCGACTCCTCCGATGCTGCCGCTCTCCGCTCGGATCGGAATCGGAGGCGGAGGTGCCGGGCGGTCCGGCATGCGTTCGTAGACACTTTCTGCAGATGTAATCGAGTTTTTTGGTGATTCTCTAGAATTGGAACATACCTGCTTGATATATGATCGTATCAGGCGGAGTGTCGTAAATCGGTTCGTGGTCGAAAGAATACAGAATTTGTGATGGAGTTGGAGAGGGCGGAGGCATGGAAGTGTTGAAGATGGGCAACGACGGACGGCCCATTTGGCGACCGATCGGAAGAGTGACGTGGATGTTTCCGTTCGGCAGCTGCTGCAGTTGGAGGAGGTGCGGGGGGACCTGAAACAATGAGAACACGATTAGACGGTCATTCGAAAGTGTGTTACCTCCATATGAGCTACAGTCGGAGCATAATAGATCACAGAGTCCGGTCTTTGTGGAGGAATTGACGGAGTCGCGTAGATGGCAGCATTCGAAGCATTCAGTTTATCACGGGAAATTGAAAGATCTCCATTTGATGGTGACGACTTTGACAGTTTGAGAACGGCCACAGTGAGGCAAGCAACGAGGAGGAAGGCGAGAACGGCCACTGCGATCGTGCCGTCCGTGTTGCTGTTGGTTTGCTCGTGCGAAGTGGATCCCTTGATTTCTTGAAGAGTCGCTACGTCTGCAACTGACCTTTTCATCATCACTCCTTCTTCTTTATAAAGACCCACCATAACAGAAAGGCGTCGCCGGTTGCCATTCCCCCCGATCTCCGCACATCAAAGATTCGGGTCCGATCAGCCGAAATCCCTGATGACACGTGTAATTGGCTGCCGACTCGTAAGTCGTCGATTCCACGTCGACTCTTCCGTTGGCTATCAGCGGAGGCCTTCCACAATCAACGAGTTCGCAAGTTGGTTCGGACTGGCTCCAAGTGCCGTCGGATTGGCAGATACGACGGAGAGAACGATACGAGGGAGACGGAGAATTGGCCAGATGCCAGCCATTCGAGCACTCGTACTCGACCTGCAACCGAGTGAATTGCTTCGGAAAAGATGATAGAAACTGACTTCACTTTCGAAAAGAGTTGTTTTGTTGAGAAGCTTTATCCTTCCAAACTTCCACTGCCTCACTGCTCCACACGATTTTCCTGAAAGTATGCATGGGTTCCAAATAAACCAATTGAATTACTCACTGTAGCAATTGGGAATGCTTCCTGTCCACCTGCCGTTCTCAGCGCACTCTCTTTGCCTGATTCCGTGTAGGTCGTAGCCGGGATCGCACGAGTAAAAGCAGAGAGTTCCGATTGCGTACGAATGCGATGAAAATGTCACTTTCGTGGCCTCGCCCACTCCCGGAGACGTACAGAACTTTGGCTTCGACTGACACAGGAACGAATTCCACGCCGTCTGAGAGGCGGGGACCCACTTCCATTCCAGAGGACGGGCGAGAAGGACAGCTTCAGAGACAGAAGGCACGGGAGCAGGCTCTCCCGGCCAGTCGGCACGGTTGCCCACGCCTTCTCCGTCCACCCACCGCCATTCGGTCATCGAGGAGGAGGCTCCGATCCAGTAGAACGCCTTGGCAGAAGAAGACGCCGAGAGGGCAGTTCGGAGACCTCGTCGCGTCGAATCGTCGATACGGAGAGGGAGGGTGGATCCTCTGGAATGAACGGACACATAAAATACCGAGTATTGAAACCTAAGGTACCTGTCAAGACACTTCCTCTGCGCCCCGAGCCAATCGGTCTGTTCATCGCGACTTGCCGCATAACACATACCCCCGAACACTCCCACCACTTCCATCTGGCTCTGAGCACATTGCCACGGAGACACTGCAAAAGGATCAGTTCGAATTCTGACTGGTTCCCCACTTCCCGTCTCAATGACACTCAAAGTCTAGACGAGAACTCTTCTCTTCGTGCTTCCTCCTCTCTTATTGTCTTTTCTACTTTCCCCCAACTTTCCCACCACCGACTCCCCTCCTCAATGCACAATGAGTCCGAGTGCGATAATCCGTCATGTTCAGTGTCAAACCCTCTCTTTTCTCTCCTGTGCTGACTCCCGAATAAACAACCAAATAACGACTGTCGCGTCTCGTCCGACAATGCTTTTTTGTTGACTAGAGCCCAATTACGGCATACGATAAGCGAATGGCGAAGAGAGAAGGCGAGATGAAGAGACGCGCACATTGCAAAAACACGTGTTTTGAGCACTTTTGGCGGGCTTCTTGAGAGCCAGGAAACTGGAGGGATGCTCACCGGCATTCACTGCATAAACGTTCACTTGGCACAGATGGAGACAACGGGTCGCAGTGATGCGGATTCTCGAGATGTCATCGTACGCACAGGCGATGGAAGTGGTCGTGTTGATGGTGAAAAGCGAGGAATCCACTATGCATTGCTGGAGAAATAATCATAAATGTTATGGATGCAAATAAATGACAACTCACATGAACGGCACCCCCGTTTTCAATCGCTTCCACGGACACAATCGGTGATGACTTGGGCCCCAGCCTCATAGAAATGGACCGGATGGAATAGTCGCCCAATAGATCGACTTCCCTGCAATCAGTACTTTATTCCCCTCTTTTCTTTCAATCACTAACCAGAAGGACTTTGCCTCGTCATTAGTCATTGTGCACATTGTGCCTCCCAATGACATGGCCACGTTGCCGGAAGATTGGGTCACTGGCTTGTTGAACGCCACGTCGATCGCACAGATAGGCGGTTCGTCGGACCAGGAACCGTCCGAAAGACATGTTCGTTCTTCGGAACCGATCAGATCGAATCCGAGAGCACAGCTGGAACATAGAAGTTCAGTCAAAACTTGGCTACTTGAAAAGTTTACTGGCCGTCTACTGTACTTCTACTAACTTTTTACATCTTCTGCGTGTTCTGGAGAGAATATCCGTCATTTACGGTCAAAACTGGGATACGATTGTTATGTTTTGAAAATAGTTCTGAGTTATCGAAGTTCGAGAGAGAGAATACAGTAGATATACGGTAATTTTGCGAGAGTATGCATCTGCTAATGAAATTCGAGATGTACTAAGAATCTTATATGAGCCACTTGAAAACATGCTCTAGAGGAATAATACAAACATCAACTCCAAAAGATCATCGATGAGGATTCTATGAAACTTCGACGTATTTTTTCCTGGCCCAAGCTTGCTGCCACTGAACTTTTGTTCACTTTGTAATCTTTCGAACCTTACGCGAGCCTAATATCATATGACGGTCATCGTAGAGTCAAAAACCAGTCCTAACCGCTTCCGAAATCAATGGCAAAGCGAAAAGTCAAAATTTTCAGGTGGCACAATTGGTGCGCGTGTTCTCGCAGTGACTAATGTGCGCAAATCGGGTCGGCAAACAGGAAACCGATGCGAGAGAACGGTATTGGACATGAGAAATGAGAGTTTAATTTGATTATGTTTACCTGTACTTTGCAACAGTGTCCTTTGCGTAAGGTCCGGGCTCATTGAAGATGACGTGAGCATTCTCGGGCACGAACGGTTGGAGACAAAAGACGGTGGAAGAAGCGGCGGAAGGCGGAGGGAACGAGAGCCCGTCGACGTGAACTCGTCTTCGGAAGAAGAGCAGGAAGAGCAAGGGAAAGAGGACCATGAAGGGAACGAACGAAACGGAGCGCAACGAAGAGTGTGTTGTTGTATTGTGTGTGTACGTATGTGTGTATGAGATATGGCCGGAGGAATGAGAATGTATCTACATACGGTGGCGAGGAGTGAGTGCGCGAGGCCTGTGCGGAGCAAGAATGAGCAGCGGGCGCAGCAGAGGCGGCGGCGGTGAGCGGACGACTCGAGGAGGGCGCGCGCCCGCCGGAGGAGAGGAAGAAGGACGGGCGTAAATACAATGGATGTGTCTGGATGGACGAGCAGACGAAGACTTCACTCGGGAAGAGGGATAAGCGTTGATTGGTCGGCCGCTCGATCGGAGGATTGTTGTGACTGTGCCGGGTGAGCGGCGAGAGCCAAAAAACGGATATTACAGGGGCACCGGGTGAAATGGCCGAGGAGAAAACTGTGCACAGAGCGAATCTTCGGGGAGCGAATAGCTTCAGATCGGGACATAGTTGGAAGTCCGGTCTTACTAACTAGTAAGTTCAGCCTCCATATTTCTACAAAGTTTAAATTACTTTTGCTCCAGAAACCAGTTCAGTTACTATCCAACTTCCTCGATAAACAACTGCATAAGTTCATTGTTGCCCGTTTTTCCATGGTTATGCAATTGTTTCTTTTTTGTCCCATTTCTTCCAAATCTCCGATTAATCAGGTCTAAACTCTCCTTCCGTTTTTCCCCTGTTTCCTCCTGATATTTGTGCCTTCTCCCTTTCCCCTCCAATTTGTTAATCCGCCTTTTCGCGCCTTTTCCTCCTCGGTTTCTTCGTCCGCTCACTTCCGGACTCCACCTCTAACTACCATCCATCCGGGCGGCCGCCGCGCGGAAAACGACGCGTAAGTGATATGGGGAAAGGTTGATTTGTGCTTGCAAAAACGTGGGCAAAAGCTCGCTTCCTATCCGATTTCACTCATGCACTTGTCACTTTGAAGAAGGGGGGGAGCAGGCGGAAAAAGAGCGCATACAAATATTATACAGTTCGGCCGGAGACGCATATCCGATTACCGGACTGACTGGACTATACGCTCTCGAACTTGTACGGGCGACAAGGGGATCAACTTTTACGGAAGACACTGCTGTTTGTACACGTTGTTTCGTTGGCTCTTGTCTAGAGTTAGCGGTAAAAAAATAGGAAGAAAGAAAAAAAAACATTTGTCAGCGGTTTCCTCCTAACGTAATCCATTCTTTCCCTTATGGAATGCTAGAAGTCACGCCTAGAAGTTCAGAAGAACACAGCTGGAAGGACGTTCATACATCTATGGCCAAAAACGGCCCTTGAAACGGGTTCTCTGTTTCATTACAATTCAAAACTACCTCGTGTTGACTGTGTAACAAGCGCGCTCCATTGTGTTCTGCCGTCTGGTATCTCCCTTTTTCCCGCGCTTTCTCTCGTCACAAGATGTGCTGAATAGACGCCTTGCGACACATTACATCGATTCCAAGAAGGAATACGATTTCAGAATAGCATGAGATGTCAGTGAATCCGGTCAACTTGGAGGCGTACTGCTCCGTGAGTGATGAGGTTGCCAGACAGGTCAAAAGGTACCTTTTAGGAGATTTCGAGACTGAATGTAAGCTCTAACGTTCTTGAGACATACTCTAAAAGTTGATTTTCAGCAAAATTCGAACGAAGGAACTCGGACAGTTCGAACGGAAGCGAGAAACAGTTCTGCAAGACGACAGAGGAGAAGAGGAACGTGGAAGAATGGGACGACTGGGGAGATAAAGAAGTGAGACTGAGTGAATGTTCCCACCTGTTCATTCAGCTCTTTCAGGCAGAGAGCACATTGGAAGCCGACGAGTCAGTACGGAACTGGCTGTTCAGGTGCGATCTGAAGACGTACGCGGACGCCGAGTATCTTCTTGTCACGTGGGAATCCAGATTCATTGTGCTTCGCAAACCTCCAGATGGTTCGAGTGCGTTTTCTCTGTTCCTTGCTAATACGGAGTTTCCAGAATCGCAATATAAAGTAGTGTGCAAGCAATACATAGACAGTGACCCCGTGAGCAGCGAGATCACTTCTTCCTGTCTTTTCGGACTCTCGAATGTGCGCCACGACGAACTGCTCGATTCGATTATCGTTGCTCTCGGAACTCTTGACGGCCACGTTTACTTCTTCACGGAGCAAGGGATAATGCTCTATTATGACCGGTTTTCTCTTTACGAACCCGTGAATTCTGTGCAATTCGAAGTAGTCAGGGTAAGTTGATTTGATTAAAAACGAATGAAGTCTTCTGTGTTCAGACAGGCCAGACCTTCTTGGTTGTGCTCACAAAAGGATTCTTCATGGTCAACCCGATATCTCTGAAATCTGTACTCTATCAAGCGAAAGTTCTGATTGCTAAAGGAGAGAAAACCGTGAAGGAAATATCAGAATCCATCGAACTGCAATCCGAACTTCTCGCTCCTGACATCAAGGGAAATATCATCCACGTGGTGTTCACAGGCCTTCACAAACCGTCCACGTTCGAGCAGTACGTCTCCGCCTCTTACGATTCTTTCTATGCAAAAGTGGAGAAGCCTTCTCTGCCCCTCTACTCCACGTTTATGGTCACAACTGAAAAGGAGTTCGCAGTGTTCGTATGGCACGATCGGGAAGAGCAAGATAGACTGTTGGCGGATGTGATCAAATACGGCAAGTCGTTGGTGCCCTCTTTCGGAATTCGCAAGTTCTTCGGAATATCCACGGATCCAGGAAGAGTGGCGGGTCATATGAAGTCGGCGGTGCACGTTCCCACACGGAGCATGATCATGGACACTCGGATTGCACAGACAGTATCTCGATCGCCCGACGGCCAGTACGTGGCGGTGACGGATCGGATGGCACGAGTCCTCGTCATCGATGTTAGTCTTTTCCCTGTAAAGTTTCTATATTTGAGTAGTTTTCTTCAGGTTCTCAGTCGGCAAGTGGTACTCATTCACAAAGGATACCGAGATGCCACAGTATCGTGGATTTCGGCGCCAGAGGGAGAGAAAGTTGCGCAGTTTCTGGCAATCTTTGCTCCGAGACGGTCCCTGCTGGAAGTGTGGACAGTCCTCGGAAACGTCAGAGTGTGCGCCCAGCATGTGCCGTCCTCTGAATGCAACATTGTCTTTGGCGGCGAAAATAAAATGTTATGCGGGCGATGCCACACCCACACGGCCAATAACACCTTATTTCTCGATGAAAAAGGAGAATTCCATCGTCTCGTCATCCCGTTCCATCTTGCGTTGACCAGCAGATCTCGAGAAGATCAGCACGATCACCTTCTTCTCAAACAGTTAGAGTCATCGGAGACAGGCTCGGAGGACTGGTTTCAAACGTTCGCCCTTCTCAAAATGGCGACGTCACGGAAAACGACGTTCCAGAATGCACTTCACAATCTCTCGACCGCAGAAGAGGCTCACCAGTTCATCGCGAGAGTTCGAAGTGTTCCAACTGCAGCTTCCTTGGGCGATCTGCCAAGTGTTGCCGAGAAATCAGTGGGATTCTACGCCAGAATCATTGGAGAAGGGAAACCGGCAATCGGAGAGTACGCAAAGAAGTCAAACTTTGAAATGGAAGCAATTGTGAAAAGGATACTGGAGTGTCACATGGAAAAGTACGGAAACAGGACGGAGCTGGCGGACGAGGTGCTGAAAGTTGGAGATTGGATCAAGCAAATTGACTTGACGAAAGAGAGCATCGACGTGTTTTCCGAGTGAGCTTAAGAAGTTGATGCTTGGACTGGGGATGTAATATTACAGACATTGGTCGGACGAGCACAGAATCCAGCTGGCCAATCTCATCTTCTCTCCACTGTTCGGCTCATTCGAAGTTGACGAGTTCTATGATACGGTTTTGGAGAAACTTCCAGTCAACCAGATCAATATCGTTAAACTGTTTCTTCTCAAATTGGAGAAGACTTCGATTCGCCTTGAATGGAGAACTTTTGATAGAATTGTTGATCTTCTGGTTAATTTGGAAAAAGCCGAAACGGGAGTTCTGGAGATGGTCGACAAGGCAGCGATGGATTCGAAAAATGTGACGTTCGGGATGATTCTGCTGGCGGTTTGTTGGTGTGGAAGGAAAGCGATGAAGAAAAGAACGGTTGAAGTTAGAGAAGCAGATGGGAAAAGGGAAGAGGAAGAAGGAAGCGAGCGAGAAATAAAAGTAGACGATGAGAAGGTTGTGGATCTGGAAGAGGAAGACCTGGCGAATACGACAATCGAGGATTGGGACGCCGTCGCCCCGGAAGCCGAGCACCTCGACAGCATAATGATGTGTCTGCACTGTGTGGCTCTCGCAAAGACCCTCACGGAAGCCGACGAACACTCTCCTCGTGTGGCCGACGTGGCACTCCGAATAGATTCGTACATCAGAGAGAACGTCGCCGAGTGGACCGTCAGTGATTCGGTTGGCACGGATGCCATCGAACGGCTGTTCCCACGTGACCCGGCAGAAACATTGGCGGAAGAAGGCGACGAAGAAGATCGGAGGAATCAGATGATCATTGATTTCCCCGAAGAGCCGGAGACGACAGTGGCAAGGATGTACCAGATGATACCGAGAGTGTTCGAGCACGATCTGGTTGTGGCCGGTTAGTTGATATTTAACGTTCATTTGTACTTTAAAACAATGGACAATTATCACTTTTCGAATCTTGGAATCACAAATTGTAGGCTTTGATATGCAAATGTATATACTCTAGCTGCTGGGCGACTGCGACCCGCGCGGTTTACTCGTCCTGTTGATTTTGGTTTATCAAAGTAGCAAGGATCTCGGTGTAGATCTCGGGGGGCACTGAAATCGGACAAATAATTGTATTAGGAGAGAATTGAGGGAACTCACAAGTGGAGAGGTCACTATCGATTTGTTCCGATGGCTCTTCCGCTCTGATTCTTCTTGCATTGAGCCCGGAGCCGTTCTTGATTCTCTCCCGATATCGCTTATTGTAAATGCGATGGGCGGCCAGTTTCTGTTCGGATGACAAATTCTTCGTCCATTCAGGGATCGGAGTGATTCCGGCCTCGGAATCGTCGTTCGGGTTGCGTTTGATCGGTGTCGGATCCCATTGCATTTCGAGTTTTCCCGTGGAAATGAACTTCTGCTTTGCTCTGTACATCCTCTTCCGCATTCTTTCCCGTTCCCGACGCTCTTCCGAAGTGGTACATCTCTGCCACGGTTTCTTCTCCGGAGTCGTAGAATGTTCGTGCAGACTGGAATGAGTGGAGGAGGAAGTCGTTTCTTGAGATTCTCCGATGTTCCTGATCTCGTACACAGGGGCGCTGTCACCGTTCGGAGTTGCCAATCCCATCATCAGTCCCATCTGTTCCAGTTGAGACATGAACTGCGTGGCATCCAGAAAGCCGTCCGGCGGCTTCTGTCCTTCGACGTCATCTTCAACGTCATGTTCGTCCTCCACCTCCTGCTTCACCAACATCTCCGGAGACTCCGCCTCCGGCTCTTCAGATTCCCGAGACTCCGTCATATTGGCCACTCCGGCCTTTGCGTTCTCCCTATTCAGCACTTTATCCCACTGCGTCATGTCCTTCTCAAGTTTCTCCAGTTTTTCCTGGAACTCTGAAATGTAATGAACATAAGTTACTGCCCAGAGGTGAAAGATAAAACTGACTTTGTTGCATGACATCGGCTGGATCCAATCCTGCCTTTCTCAACTCAATGTCCCTTTTTCTCTGCCTTTCTCTTCGCTTTCTGATCCGATCCTTCTCCCGTCTGATCTCAGTCTGCCGTTCTTTTTCTTCGTTGGCGGCTTGAAGAATAATTCGTTGCAAAAGTTCGACTGGGTTTCCAGGAGTAACGGCTTCGGCTTCTACCCGGACGGGCTCCGCAGCTTCCTCCGCCTCCATCAGCTCCTCAGATTCGTCATCTTCTTCTCCCATACCCCGCTTCCTTGCTCGGAACCTCTGCTGCCTGATCCGATTCGTTTCCCGAATCTCTTCTGCCGTCTTCCTCGGTCCGGAATACACGCGTTCCTTTTTCTCGGTCGTCACCACGGCCGCCCCACTGATCACTTGCAGGAGACGTGCCTCTTCTGAACCATTTTTCAATCATCTTCCGACTATTCTTCCCACTTGCCTCTCTTCTTTGCCCGGAATCGCCTCTGCCGCATCTTGTCCGATTCGCGGCGCTCTGCCAACGTCCGCTTTTTCCGAGAGCCGCCGTCCATCGGATCTGCAATTAGAATGGGGATTCAGGAAAGGAGAAGTACTGTAAGGGAATGGGGAGAGAGAGAGAGAGAGAGAAGGGCGCGGAAGGAAGACCCGAGAGTGTGTCAACAAACAGTTCCATTCCTCCCGGGACACGAATCGATTGTCGGGCGGTGGTCGCGTGTCTCTCGCTCGTTCCGTCGGCCCCGCCGTCCGTCACGTTACCAAGGACATAACACAAGAGGAGGCCGAAGTGGAAGAGACGACACACACAAACAGACGGCGGCGAAGAGCGAAGAGACACAGAGACACCTGCCTGTCTTCCGCCTCTTTCTTCTTTTTCCTCTTCTTCTTCTTCTTCTGCATCCCCTTCTCTTCATTCATTCATCACGGCGTATCGAGAGTCGGCGACGTTTGAGAGTGGTGACACAAACTGAATGATATCGAAGAGGAAGAATGAAAGTAGAAGAAGAAGATGCATAAGAAGAAGAACGCAACGGAAAGAACACGGATGTCGCGGCGGGAGTGAGGAAGGAGAGAGGACAGAGGGACACTCTCCCGAGCGCCCGCCGCATTCGGAGAGCGATTCTTTGTGTGTGGTTGTGTGTATGTGTGACAGACAGACTGGACAAACAGTGCGCTCCCGAGAGAACGACCGATGTGTCCGCGCGGAGAACGGACGGACGGACGGACGCAAAAGTAGCGCCGAGTGACTGGAATGTGTTCGGAGGAAATTGAGGGGAAGCCGGGCGGCAACATTCAATGAGCAACTTTTTATATCGTGGAACTGAAAGCGGAGAGAAAGAACTCTTGGGAAGTGTTCATACTCTTGTGGTCCCATCCCGCAACGGCTTTTCTGATGATGAAGAGCAGGAAATGGACTTGTGGGACCGCGGAGGTGACAGACAGGCAGAGAAATAAACAAACAACAAGAGTGTTACTATCGGATTCAAAATAAATGCACTCCATTGCAACTGTGATCTTCGGCCCGGCGCCATATAAGCACAGGAAAATATGTTCCAGAGTTCAAGAATATCTGAAATTTTTATCGCGGCGTAAAAACTAGTCCCTCAAGATCTGTGGAGAGTTTCTCAACAGAACTGACGCTGAAATTCGCCGATAGTAGTCAAGAATTTGATTTTCGTAGTTATTAAATAGAAGAGATGGACACGAGATAGTGATAAGGTCTAGTTGATAAGCAAATATTCCAGATGTCTGCTGGGAGATGATGTCTCGATGGTTCCGCGACAAAGACTCCAACTTCGACCTCATCAGTGTAATCTAATCATCTTCAACCCCCACCTCTTCATTAATCTTTCTCCTTAAGGAATGCACTGACCTGCTCCCTCAATCGCTCGTCGATGCTCGTCTTCGTCACGGAATCGCGCGTCTCATCTGGGATAAATTCGTCGGCGCCGCCTTCCAATCCGTCGTTCAGTTGGTCGAGAAGACAGGACGACGTCCGAAAGACAGAGAGATGCGGAAAGAAGTCGGATTAGGAGAGGCGAAACTGGAAGAGTTTCTGGTGCAATGCGAGAAGTTACTCGACATTCTGATGGATTCGGTGCGAGATTTGCCAATGCCGATTGAATTCAAACAGGATTTGCTTATTGAGGTGGGCAGCTGAAGGGATATTTTTCAAATTATCAGATTATCTATCCAGATGTCGTACTCTTCCCTCGCCGCTCATCTGCATCAATCCAAGAGTGCTCCCCGTCAAGATCAGCTCTCTTCTCTGGCCTCCCGACAGCCACTCGTCAACTTCCATTTGGTCCTTCATCACCAGCATTTGGCCCTGGCTCTCCGTCTCCAACTCACTGTTGGCCTCCGATTCCATCCTCTTCGCAATCTTTTCTGCGTCACCGGCAATCGAGCATTCTTCGCTCCACTCGACTCACATCCCTTGATCCCGCTAGACAGAGTTGACGATGCTATTCTGGAAAAGAGGCACGCATTTCTGGTGAAAGTTGCCGAGCAAGGAAGCATGGAGGAACGACGACTGGCAAGAAATCTGGAGATGGAATGGAATTTGACTGTCAACGAAATCTCGTTCATGGTAAGAATCATTGATCCGTTTCGGTTCTTTGAACTTAAGTATTTCAGCAAGCACTGTCTTCGTTCCGTCTCGGAAATGACCAACAGGGGACTCAGGAACTGGCAACGTGCGTCCGGGATGACCGATCCGCCGTCGCGTTGGCGAGAGTTCTGGCCGCGAGACTCATCCACTTGGCGACGGAGACCAACAAAAGGTTCAACAGCGCGCATTCGCAGTACCTGTGTGCTCTGGCCGGAGAGGAATCCGCTCGCGTCGAACTGTACGAAGGCTCCGAAGACGATCCGATGAAAGAGAGGAATCCGAAAACGTGGCAGGAAGCGGTGACGTCACTCGGAAGAGCAGCCAACTCGCTCCCTCAATCGGCGCAGGCCGCCATCCCGTTCGTTCGGATGAACGACATCGCAAAAGTGTATTTCGGAGCTCATTGGGTCAATAACTAGTTGCTAGCTTTGCATGTAGTTTTTTTTTAATTTTTGAACACGTTTCAAATGTTCTCTATGGGTTCTTTTTGCCTTTTAATTTTTCAGTAGAAATAATTGTGATAAATACATTCGAGTGCCTGTTCATTTATTGGTTTGCTTTCAAAATGAAACGAAACTTTTCAATAAAACAAACATCTTTCGATTCGAGTGCCCGTTTCTTTCAACATGCCCACTGAATTGAAAATGAATTGAAAATTTATCATTAAAGTTGATAAAATTGAAAATAAAGTCGCTGCCATTTCATTCTCAATTGTGAATATAATCTCTGTGATTGGTTCGTCCATCAGAAATTTGAGAGAACAATTTATTTTATGAGTACACTTTCGGTTATCATAAAATTGAATGAGTCACACTTTTGTTTGGCTTGTGTAATTTCCAACCTTATTCCAATTCAAACAACAAGTTGGCGTTTGGCAATCGTCCCTCGGATGGTGTTCCCTTCCAAATCGTTCAGGTAACAAACGAACTCACTTCCCGGTTTGGTCAGCACGAACTTTTTGGGCCAATTTGACATGGATTCATTTCTGAATTTTTGATCGTTACATGTGGATTGAAAAATGTTTTCAAGCCTGTCATCGCTCGGAACACACTCGAATCCCTTGTCGATACGTCCATCTCCGGACACATTAATGCTGAAGTCACATTCTTGTCCCAAGTCGTATCTTTTCTGAAAGACAAATTCCAGATACAGGTCAAAACTAGCAAAGTACATGAAGGAAGACGTTGATGCCGTTTATCGTGATTTGTGATGAGTAAATATCCAAGAAATGCGCCTCAAGAGCCAGTAACTCTTCGTCCGTAACCGTGCTGCCATCCGAGAAAACCAGTCTTCTTGCCTTCTTCACCTGAACACAACTGAACGTTATTTCAGTATACCGATGGTTCCAACCGATTCCAATTCGGCCAACCCTTTCGGCACTTTGAAACCCAACCGAAACTGAAGCCAATCTATGCTCGGACGGATCGATTTCATCATTTCGATGAGAAGATCTGGGGGGATAGGCCGGATTTCGGCGCTTATTTTCAAGACGTTGACTGTGACGATGCGAGAGAAAACGGGGGGTTTTGAGTGCTGAAATAATGCATTTTGAAAAATAAGCACGAAATTCGACTCACCAGATCCATTTCGATCTCGTCCACTTGATAATGCTGATTCTTGAGCATCTCATTGAGCCGACCGCTGGCCAATTCTTGCCAATCTGAATCTTCCACGACTGTTTCTGATTTCGTCGTCCATCTTGGTCTGAAATGAGCGAATATATCTAAATTCACAGAAAAGTCTCATTCTAACTACGTCTCCTCTTCCAATCTGTATTTTTTCTCCACAAGTGTCCCATTTTCATTCTTTTCAAATATGTCCATCCGGTAACTATGCTCCACTTCCATGCCCTGAAAAAGACTGATTGTGGTGACTGGCTGACGAAATTTACCTTTTTCGAATCCCGATTCACCAAGTACCGGAAGCAAGGGAACATCCACGGAGCACCAGACACCAGGGCTCTGTCAGCTTTGGAGCATCTGGCGAGAGCTTGTCTGAGAACGGAAATCATAGTTCAATTGTGAAATATTGTGAAATTACCTCGCCGGAAAGTCAAGCCAATGCACAACATGGAGTCCTATATCTTTTGGGATATCGCCCCACTCCAGTTCAGACATTGATAGAGAACAAACTTAAAGTCAGATGAAACTATGCACAAGTGAAAGTGACAGTGATATCATGTTGACCCACATTGAGAGATAAGAGAGTAATGTTTGCATGTCGAAAGTTCAAAGTTTTTTTTCAGAATAAATCAGAAGCATTTCATCTCCTTCAAAATGTAATCCTTCCTCTCGGTCATCTCATCTCTCGCCTCTTTTCCACACTTTTCCTCCATCATTCTCATGGACAATCCGATTGTGTTACCTTCTTGGCCAGTTGTCGGGAGCTCGCGTAATTCCTCAGAGCAGGAAGTTCAACTTTGAGTTTCTCCACACCCTTTCCAAACGGTCCCGTCATCAAGTTCAGTGAATCATAGACACTTCCAATGTGGACTCTCGTTTGTTCAAAGTGATATCAGAAACGGAGAAAAAAAGAGAAACGTGATGAACATGAACATGAGAAATAGAATACCTATTCCACGTGGCAAGGCATTCGTCCCGCTCTCCAATCACTCCGCTGATATTTCGATTGATCAAGAGTGCTACAAACTGCCAACAGGATTCTGAGTTCTATCTCGGAAAATGTCTGTGAACAGTGAGTACTCGCTGCTCTCGCCCGTCACCCAAACGGCCATTTCTAGAGAGAAAAAAGAGTGGCAACACACAAAGAAGTCAGAAAACAGTTCATGAAGATGCTCCAACCACTATGGAGAAAAGACAGAAAAAGAAAGCGATTGTGTCATTTTTGTCGATCACAATAAGCAAGGGCGTCATTGGACTACGCCAAGATTTTGTTCAACTGAGGCGATTCAACGATTTCGAGAAGATGAAGGCGTTCCAGACGGCGCAGGACGACGGCCGCAACCGTTACAAAGACGTCGGATGCCTGGACAACAATCGGGTCAAACTGAATGCTCCGTGGCCCCACGACTACATTCACGGCAACTACGTCAGCGTGCCTTCGAATCCGAAACGCTTCATCTGCACTCAGGCGCCGCTTGAGAAGACGTGCGCCGACTTCTGGTTCATGTGTCTCCAGGATCGCGTCGAGTACATCTTCATGTTGTGCAATTTCACGGAGAAGCAGGTGAAGAAGTGCCACGAATACTATCCGACGAGCAAGAAGAAGACGCTCGAGTTTACGGAGGGAAATCACAAGATTACGGTCAAATACGAGTCATCGAACAAGGTATGATTAGTTTTGGAGAAAACAATTTGAGAGTACCATGTTGTAGGTCAAATTCTCAAAGGAAAAAGACAAGGAGAAGATAAAAGTGGTGGTGACAGAGACGATTATTTCGGTGGAAGGACCAAACGATACGTCGATCAAAACGGTCCATTACCACTGGAATGACTGGCCCGACCGCGGCTGCCCTCAGGCCGATATGGCCATTGTGGAGCTGCTCGACAGAGCCAGACACTCGAAAGGACCGATCGTCGTGCACTGCTCCGCTGGAATCGGCCGTACTGGGAGTGTTGTGATGATCGAGTACATGATGGATCAGTTCATAAACGGACAGCCGATCGAGGACGGCGACAAGATCTTGGTCAAGATCCGCGAGCAGCGCAACAACTCTGTTCAGGCATCGACATTACAAACGAACTATTTTCAACTAGACTATTTTTCATTTTCAGACGGAATTCCAGTACTTGTTCGTTCACGAAGTGATGCTCAACTTCTTCGCCTACAAGAAGCTTTTCGATGCGAACGCTCTTCTGGCCGTCAAAGGTTTCTCCGACGAGTACTATAGGGCTCTACGCTGAATCAGTGAAACTTATGAACTCTTAATGAAGCTGTTTGTCACCGGAACGTTTATATTTGAATGATTTGAAAAAAGAGATCAACATTTAAAAACTACTTGCAATGCATTTGACTGAGCACATATGCTTTATGAGTCTCCAGCTCTTCCATTGCTTTTTTTCCACATCGATCCTCTATGAGACTCGTCGTACAATCGTATTCGCCTTGGTACATTTGACAGTTGCCAGGACGCCCCTTCTGCAGTTTGAGGATCACTTTCTGTCCTATTTCAGTTTACTACCTCATTAATAAGATGCCGGGCGCATGGATACTTTTTGAGAGACGGAATATTGGACCGAAGCTGGAAATAAAGAACGGGCGATTTGTGAGGGATCTCAAGCTGCGAACCTGTTCGACGCACTGTCCGAACGGACCGGCCATGAATCTCATTCCACTGCACATCGTCGCCACGCTCTTTTCTCTCGGATGGAGATACTTCTGAGCATCAGGACATTCGATCCCTTCTAGACAATTCTGAAAGAATTGCCCGTTTACCGAACCTACAGTGATTCTTACTAAATACGATTCACAAAGGTCCACATATATTCCCATTTCACTGGCAGGCGGCATGTGAGCCAATTTCTGAAGTTCCGTCGTCAAATTCGACGCGATGTCGGAGCATTTGAACAAAGGCGCCAGAATGGATTTATCGCAATGTTCGGAGGTAACGAGAGGGATGAGGAAGGAGAGGATCAGGCAGAACATGAGTAGAATCGGAATTCGAATTCGAATTCCAAACGACCTCTTCTTTTATAGGAATCATGCGACTTTTGGTCAACACTGTTTTAGAGTTTTTATAGTTTCTCATAGTCAGCCAAAATGTAAAACGGGCGGGAAGAAGAAGAGTGTGTAATTGGACGAATTCAACACGTGACCTTCAAGTGTCTTTCTTTTCCCTTTTTGGTCTCTGTGCTTTTGTGTTGATTTTTCGATTTGTTTGGAGATGCGACCTTTGAAAAATAAACTCCAATATTCAGAGATGAAAACGTGGAAAACTGAATACTCCTTCCCCGGTTTTCCCCATTTATTTCCTCTAACTTTGAATTGAATCTGTTAAAGCGTTTGGCTCAATTGAACACGATTCCAATATGAAAGTAAGTTGAAAGTACATTCTGGAATCATTCAAACAAAACATTCCAGTTCCTTCTCCAAATCCTACACATCATCAACTGGATCGTCTTATCGATTGCCGTTCTGACGGCGTGCGCAAAGAAGAGCAAATCGAATAGCAAGGAAGCGAACAAGAGCAAAGAGTCGGTCGCTGGAGCCGCGCCCGTCCAGAAGCCGCCACCGGTGGAGTCCGTCCAGCTGGCGCCGCCGTCTCCTGCTCCGTCGGCTCCGGAGGCATCGAAAGTAGCCGAAGCTCCGCCGAAGGAGAAATCGAAGAAGGAAAAGTCTAAACGGGAGGAAGAGAAGAAAGAGGAGAAGAAGGAGGAGAAGAAGGAGGAGAAGAAGGAAGAGAAGAAAGAAGAGAAAAAGGTGAGGACGGGTTCGAATCTGTCGAAGGGATTTTTATGATTTCAGGATGATGATGGGTACGAGAACTGCGCCGATATGACTCCTGAGCAGCTGAAGAAGATTGCCGAAGAATCGAACGGGAAGAAGGAGGAGGAGAAGAAGGAATAGCTCGAATGAACTCTTGATATTGGATCTCAATAAAGTTTTGTAATCATGACAGTTTTCCACGTCTCTTCTCTGAACTCTTCCGTTGAACGTGAACTGAACGATACTCCTCCGATTAACGAATATCGTTCATTCCGCACTTCAGAGAAGTTTGCAATGTCGAAGCTTTCCGCTGCTGTTGCCATCACAAGCACAGTCGCCAGCAAAGTGAAAACGTTCGTTTTGGGAGACGACACCGAGATCATCGTCACCTCGCATTACAACTATCCGGTGGTGAGAGTCCTATTTCCCGAAAGTCTCGAAAGTTCTCATTTGCCAGTGGTTCTATGTGATCATTTCCATCGGAATCGCGTTCTGCAGCATCAGCTGCGGCGTCTGGTTCTTCTGTGCCATCTGCAGACTCAGACGTACGTTTAGATTCATATTTTGAACTGATTTGTGGAGCGTTTCAGAAGAGAAGCCATGTAATCACACGTTCCATGAAGCGTACATCATCACAGAAGGTGGGCCGGGAGAGAAACAACAGAAGTCGGAGAAGGTGAAGCACGACAAGAAGTTGGAGGCGTTGGGTCAGGCGGAATCGTTGGCCAAGAGCTTCAAGAGCCGAAGATCGAAGAAATCGACGAAATCTTCGAAGAAGTCGTCGAAGAGATCGTCGAAGAAGGAGGAGGATCGCGAGGAGGAGAAGCAGGACGAAGAGGGCGCCAAGCAAGAGACTCCGTCCGGAAAGTCGAAGGCGTCGAAGAAATCAAGCAGAAACAAGGGAGGACATGATCAGTGTGCGATCGAAATGGGCCAGAATGACGAGGGAGGCAAGCGAGGATACTTTAGAACGGTCATTTAAATGTACATTTCACCGGTAATCTATCATTTTTCCAGCTCGCCAGCGGCATGTACTTCCCGAGAAAGTGAGGAACGGACAGGGAGACTAACAAAACAAGCACCTAGAAGACACCGAACTCTAAGACTTATAGAACCGTAGAGCTCGCTTTTTTGCTAATAAACAGTCGAAAAACCAACCATTCCCTCTCCGAATGGCCATGTGTGTTCGTGCCCTAAACAGAGTTGCGAGGCCGATAATGTTCGCACATAAAAATATGAGCATGAACTATATGCGAGCAGAAAAGTCATAAAAGCGTCTTGTGTTGATGAGTTGGATGGCTCCCGCGACGATCATGCGGCCTACGGTATGACGGACGGGCGGACCAAATGTCAATATGTAAATGGGTCTCGCGAGGAAAACGGAAGAAGAAGGAAGGTTTATTCACACAAAAGAGATAGAAGTCTAAAAGGGAAACGACTAGAAACGGGAGGGATTCATCATCGGGATGTGAAACAGTCACAGAACGCTCGAAATGTTGGCGGGCTTCTTAGCTCCTCGAAGGCAGTGGGAACAGCGGAAGAGTCGGCGGAGGCGTCGTGAGCAAATCGGAAAGGATCGATTCGAGGGGAGTTGTTCCGAGGAGGCGGGAGAAGAACAGCCGCGAGACGGGAAGGGGACGGGTTGATTGGAGCAGTTGGAGGCATTCAGTGATAGTGGAGAACCTCTGGAATAGATGAGAAGGCTTTAGGGATTATTGGAAACAAGAGCTCACATCGGCACTCTTGTTAACTTTGCAATACTCCTCAACAGCCGCCTTCAGTTTGTCCACAATATCGGTGATCTTGCTCTTATCCTCGACCTGCTCATCTTCTGAAAAATGATTGTCTTCTTCCTATCAGATTCATCCTTCGTCATCTGAATGGCGTAGCGGCAACCGAAAAGAACGAACCGCGGAGAGAGCGTGTGAAAATGAGAGAGCGCAGAGTGCGAATCGCAGATGACATGTCGGTTGGGATTAGGAAGGAAGGGGCCCCGAGCAGAAGCGTAAAAACGATAAGGAGGGGAGCGGCGCGCGAGATGCCCCGAGTGTAATCCCTTCGGATTGCCCCACCTCATCAAGCAGTCGGCCAGGGCATACTGTAGGTCACTCGCCGAGACTACGGTAGAAGGAAGGGCTTACCGCAGTTGAAGAGAAGGATGGCGCGGACGGAAGAGATCTCGACGATGTCCAGGTGATACTCACGGATCTTATCGAGATTTGACTGAAAACAATATGAATCCAGTAGGAACGAAACGGGAGATGAACCTGAAATCCCATAAAAGGCACTTCGTCCAGTACCCCGCTCTGCTTTTCTTCCGTCTTTTCATCCTCGGACCTTCCGTTTTCGGACAAGTGCGAAGCCAGATTGGAGCCGAAATTCGAATGTGCGAGGGCGAAAATGAAGATTGGCGTCCAGCTGTGCCGGAGCAGACGCAATTGATCCGCCACCGACAGACTGTTCATGCTCGTGCGAGCCCAGTTCACAGTGGCGAATATCGTTTGGGCGGCAAACTCGAACACGGATTCTGTAGGAAAATTGAATTGGAATCAGATGAGAGGAAAGTTCGGATTGACCTTTGACAAGTGGCTTTGCGAACTGCGCAGCCATCAGAGGATTGAACAGGGGAGGAGCGGGAAGAAAGGGAAACGGACGGAAAAATGGGTTCGGCGGGAAGAACGAGGGAACTTGTACGGGCAGACGGCCTCGTTGAACTGCTGAAACTGCGGTCTGAGTCTCATGGGATCTTCTGCCTGTGTGAGTGATTGCACGTGTCTCTCCGGTTGCCTTTTCAGATGCTCACCTTCTTTGCGCATTCCCATTCGAATGCATTTCTTCAAACGACAATATTGACATTGGTTACGGTGTTGCACGTCAATCGCGCAGTTCTTGGTGGCACGACACGTGTACGAAAGGGAGCGACGGATCGACCTGAGAATTCATTTCCGATTAGAATTGGAGTTTTCTTCCGTTCCGACCAGATCTCTCCATGTCTAGTGAGTCTTTTCGTGATTCTCGAAAGGATTTACCCGTTTTCAGCTAAACTTCTCCTTCTCTTTCTTGCCGTTGGCGTCACTCAATTTCTGACTTCCGTTGATGGGTAACAGTTTATGAAAATATCGGAACAAAAGGTAAATTTCAGAGCGAATGGCCGCGGATCGATTAAACTCGGTCTCGGATTGGAGAGTGGAAAAGGAAAAGGATTTCATGGAGGACCGTCGAGCGGACACGTCGACGAGCAGCCAGAGTACGAGACGGAGAAGAAGTTGTGAGTGAAATGGGAGAAAAGGTCGGGAAAGCATTCAACTGTTCTAGGCTGATTCGGGAGAAGAGAGCTGCTCCAGCGCCGACCGGAGCCAACAAAACAGCGATAAATCCACAGAAAACTGCGAATGGGACTCAAGCGAAAAACGGAAATGATTTGGCACTTGGCCAGAAGAGAGTGTAAGTCCTCGTCAAATATTCCAACCGGATCCGTTCCCCTTTCCAGAGCCGGCTTCGTGAAAATATTTGCCCCCCTGACCGGCTGTCTCGTCTTCCTGTGCCTCGCCAACGTCGGTCTTTTCATCTGGCTCTCAATCACCCTCAAGAAGCTCAGAAAGCCGTGAATACGTGTTTTACCTCTTAAAAAAGCTTTTGCATCCTTCGCAACTAAACTGTCCATAATGTTTTCCACTGGACTTGTCCCCGCAGACGACACAGTCGGTTCCGTCCGCCGATGCGTCGAGCGCAGTTCCGGAGAGCGGAGAAGAGCCGTCGTGGTTCTGCAAAGGATTACTGTAGCTACTGCTCTGGCGACGAACTTGTCGCTCATAATAACTCTTGTTTGATCTTGTTGTACATATAATTACGTCGGCGGTTTTCGTGTCGAAATGACAGGTTGCCGGTGACGGACATGTGCTCGGACGGCAGAAGGCACCCCCTGCGGAGGCAGTAATCGCACCCTCCGACTCATCATTTTATGATCATTATCTCGCGAATAATTCGCGCCAAGGATCCCCGCTCATCCCGCTTTCCCGCTCGGGTTTTCCGTTTTATTAACATTTGACGGGTTCGGATGAGTTATAGCCCTGTCACGAGAGGCAGAGCTATCAACCGAAGGGGACCAAGAGTGACGAAGAGAAGGACGCGCGGTCGGGACGGGATTGAGACGGCGAATTGGACAGATTAGGGCGAATAAAAGAAGCTGGAGGAAGTGGGGGCAGATGGGTGGAGGTGGTGACGTGGCAAATGGGAGAGGGGCTACGAAAACGACAAATCATTCGAACTTCTAAGTTCAACTCTTGTTCAGATAAGCATAAATGCTTCGAACTATCAAACTTTCCCAAACTTGTTTTATCGAAGAAATTTCAGTGACTGACCTCCTTCTTGATATCCATCATATTGGCTGCCAAAATGTGATGCCATCCATTCGGGGCCATCGGTGGCCTCCACGGGAACGCAGCGTTCGCGGCAGCAGCAGCGGCCAACCACGGAAAGTTCGGAATCGGAAGCATCGTTGCTCAGAGGCCGGATGTTGCGACACAGGGCGCCGATGCTCGAAGACGAATTGTGCCCGTAGGGGTTGGGCCAGATGGGTTCGGCAGATATGAAGACAACGACGACGCCGGCGTCCTCCAATTGGAGCCAGAGGGCGGAGACTACGGTAGCCGGGAGCAGATGCTCCGAGTTCTCGGCTCGTAAAAGCGGAAGAGCCGATGGGCGGGCGGCCGGGCCGAGCAGGAGGGCGCCCGTTCCCCGAGATGGTGCCGATAACCGGCGAGCATTTATCATATTGGCGGATGGGTGTGTATAATGGGAAGAAAATAAGGCGAAGGAGATGTCGGTCGACCACTTTGACTACTCGATTAGCACCCATTCGCCAAGTGCTTTCCGCCCGTTTCGGTCTCCGAGGAGCTGTTTGCGAGGGAAATGGGATTCTCGCGCGAAGACGTGGAAAAAAACGGTCGACGACATGGTTCTCGTTTTACTTTTCCACGCTCTTTCTGTTTCTCTTTTTCATTTATGTGTTCATAAACTGTACAGTTTTGTTTTGGTCCGTCCGAATATTGTATCTTTTACGATTTGTGGCTCCGAACAGTCACCCAGTTTTCACGATGAATTTGAGAATTGCGGTAGAGCAAAGTTGTCAAATTTGTAAAAGGATGCTGTCAAATATCGCTACGTTCCGTGCTCCATCTTTTAAAATTCCTTCGAAGCGATCCCGATGACTTTTTTACGTATTTCCTCATTCAATTTTCCTCTTCCTCAAAATATTTTTACTTTGTCACAGAGCTCTTTGTGCATTGTCCACGGCTACCGTATTCTTCGATTTAATTTGTCGCCTTCTGCCTTCTGGAGTGTCGCCCTTTCACGGCGCCACCACTTGACGGCGCCTCGTCTAATTGCACTACACCGGCCTGGCTAATGCGATTTACAGAAGAAGGCGTCGAATGAAGAATTGTGGACAGAGGAAACGAAAATGCGTTTATGAATATTATGAGAGTGGGAGAAGGAGGAAGCAGAGAAAAATGAGATCGGGACCCGCTGAAATGAGCAGAACGAGAGGGGGAAGAGAGTTTGGAAGGGGTAAAGCAGATGGGAAGCGTTAAATAACAGGGTGGAGATTGAAAGAAAAACGGATGGAAAAACCTGGAGGGAGCTGAACGATCGGGACTAGAAAATCACAAAAAACAAGAGAGAAAACAAACTTGATTTGGGGAACTTGTTGGGGAACCTTCTATAACTTTGGATTGTGGAAGCTAAACAGCGAAGAACAAGATGATAAACGAGATAAGAGATGAGAGGAGCAATGATTGAGACGAGGGAGCGAAATCGACGAGCTTCTTGTACTCGTCCATTTTCTCAGCGGGCGTTCTGACAGATGGCGTCGGGGACGGGCGTGACGTTGCCGGAGAGACTGTCGGCGATTGTGGAGTGTACATGACGACTGCTTCGATCTCATCTGACTGATCGTCTTTCGGCATCTGGAAATTGACGTTTTTTCAATCACAGAAACGTTGTTTGGTATTTACCTCGATCATTTTCCTATGCGGCACATACTCTTCACTCTCTTCCTCCGAAAAAGGAAGTGCACGAGCGACTTCAGTGGTCGTTGTGGTCTTGACGGCCTTCTTGAAGTTGGCCGGCGGGTAGATGATGGGCTCCGACGTGGTGGTGGTCGCCTGAGTTGTTGTTGTTGTAGTCGTTTGAGCAGAGAAAGTCGTCGTCTTGTTTGCTTTCACAAAATTCTTCGGAGGATAGACGATCGCACTGAAGTTGTTAATCACAATCTGCAATGTTGAAATGAAAATCGGAACATTTGGGGCGGAACAAACCGGCGTTGGATTCAGATCGAACGGTCTGCGGTGCGGTTGCCAATTTCTGTAGTACTTCTCGTAGTTAGTCTTCGTCTCCTGCTTCGGAGCGATCGGTCGAGCTGTAGTTCTTGTGGTTGTCGGAGCAGCTGTTGTAGTTGTGGTAGTGGTGGTAGTGGTGGTAGTAGTGGTAGTAGTTGGAGGAGGAGGAGGAGCGGTAGTCGTTGTTGTCGTTGTAGACGTGGAAGTTGTGGTGGAGGTTGAGGTCGTCGTAGCAGGAACAGCGTCTGGAACTGGCCACGGACGACTCTCCTCTCCGAATCGCCGTCTCGCGTCGTATTGCGACTGCAGATGACGTCTTTGTTCTTCCCGCTGTCTCTCCACTTCAGCACGTCTTCTGAGCTCCCGTTCTCTTTCCAATTCGACTTCTCTCCGTCTTTCCTCGTACAGTCTTATTCTTTCCTCATGGCTTAGTGTGGTTGTGGTGACTGTCGCAATGGTGGTTGTCGTTGTGGTTGGAGCAGGAGCGGCTGGTTTCATACCAGGCATGGGAGGGGGCGGAGGTGGTTTCCACGCTGAGCCACCGTTTATGGGATTCACGCGACGCCACGGAGGAAGCGATTCATCTTCCGGATTCGACGACTTCTTCTCGACGGATTTTCTCATATCATAGACATTTTCATCAGCTCGGGTAGTCGTCAGAATCTCTTCGCTTGTTCCGTCAATGTTATTCTCATCGTACTCTTTAATCGCCTCCACAGTCATCTCTTCCTCGTCCGATTGACTCATTTCCAGTGGCTCGCTTGATTTGTCGGGCTCAACCACTCGATCCACGAGATCCACGTTGCAATAGTCGCTGTTCGTACACCAGCATTTCGTCTGCAATCACCACAATTGTACATACTTATATGGGTGCGAAACGTGTGCATGCTACACCAACATTTGATACCATACCGAAAGATGTGCAAACAAGGCGCTAGACGGCTTCCTCTATTCACCTGCACCTGCTAATTGCTACGGTGTGGACCGAACGGCAGTATTGAATGGCGTCAAATGTTACTGTTTGTCAACAGAACAGATGTAGAGGATGCATTTACAAATTCATATCTCTCAACTTACCACATCAATTCCTTGTCTCTGTTCCACAGAGCACATTTCCACGTTCGTCCGATCTTTGACTCGAGCACATGCCAAATACTGAGCAGCTCCTCGTTTCACCAATGCACATGCTGCCACCTGAAACCCTTATTCTTATCTTCTCGGGAAACTTCTCAAGCTTCTCGGTCAGAGCAAAGCCGCTCTGTGTATCATTCTTTCTCTCACGATCTGTTTGCAGTGTTCTTTTCTCTTCGGTGATGAAATCAAAAAAAGCCGAAAAGTGCACACCAGCTGCTTCGCGCACTTTTCTTTTTCGGTACACACAAAATAGAGACACTCTACTTTATATTTTTCTTTCCTCACCGAGATCTCGATCCCAATATACTACAAACCACCCGGATCGCACAGTGACACCTGGCATTATCCACATCTGCACAGTTCATTCGGTATGGAATAAAAATGGAAACATTTCGGGAGAAGGGCGAGGCTTTCGAATGGAAAAGATGAGTGACCTTCCCGTTCGTCCCTCAAAGCAGTGGCAGACAGTCAAATGTCTCGGTCGGTGTCAGTTTGTTTTTGGAAGCGCCGCAAATTTGAATAGCGTAAACAAAGTAATTCAAATTAGATTTGAAATTGCGCTCCGATGATAGGCATGGGATTCCGTTCGAACTCACTCCCATGACCTAGTGAGCTTCTGATCGCATTTTCAAGAGTGCGGTAAATAGTCTGAGGAGCGAATTCACACGGTGTAGTGATCACGAAAACAAACTCACATGGGTGGCGTTATTGTAGACCTGGCACCAGGATCCATGACAATCTATGCCGCCTTTGTCGGTCGAACACTGACATCTGAAAATAAAAAGGGTATGAAGTGTTCTTCCTTTTTCGCCTCATCGCCCTTGATATCTGCCGCTTCCGCCAGCTGTTTCAAAAGTTTTGTGGAGTCAGATGAGGCGTGTACGAACGAGTGCGCACAGAATGGTACCAACCACGTTTCGATCCGTCCCTACGCCTGGCTGTTTGTTTTTGGAGACCGTGTGGGAAGAGGGGAGGGATGCTCTCGGGCGGGAGCACAATGAGAAACACACCGGAACGCATGAAAAGCTTAGCCGAAATGTCAAACAGGCAACGCGTACCTGGGCGAGACATTGTGCAACCGGAGGAGATGGAGACATGCAAAAACGACGCGAGCTTGGATTTCATATTTTGACCACCGCGCCTAATTATAATAATAGCCACGAGATGTGCGGCGAAGAGCACACAAATGTTGGAAACGGCAGAAAATGCGCAAAGGTGCGAGGACTTGATCACTGAATGCTTGGAAGTGTTCATGAGACGGGAAATCACCCTCAAAGTTTCTTCCAGATCGTCATCGCCCGCGCGGGCAGTCCGTCTTGCTTTCACCCTCAAAATCGAGGGCGTCAACACGTCCGTTGTGATTGTAAAAGTGACGGCCAGTCGTCCCGATATCTCACCTCCTTTTTGATTTATTTTATGTTCCTTCGCGCGCGCGTGTATCTTCCGTCTATTGGAAGTTGCATAATATCTAAACGTGAAACAACGATAACAGATGCTCTCAACACTTTTGATGATTCTTCTAAACAGGGTCGTTGCGACGGAATTACTATGGAATTAAAGAATAGTAGTGATAAGGGGACGAACGGCGGTTTGTATCGCCGAAATGGAATGAGAATGACTGCTAAATATTTCTGACACATTTTTAGCGGTGATAGGGAAATAGAGCGGAAAAAAAATGCAACAATTTTAGGACATTATTTAGCAGTGATAAAAGACCAGTCACGTAAACGTACACATAATGCTACGAGGCAAAGTGCTCGGAAGATAGAGCAAAAGAACAAGAAGTTTCGAAAGAGAAAGAAGAAGAGGAGAGGAAGGGACATCGGAAATGGAAGGGAGCCCAATTTAGGATTTCTTGCGAAGATCTTCGAATTCTAAAGGACGTCGTCAGGCTCAATCAACTTTTGTGGGGTTTCTCAGTGCTATCGAAATGCGGTAATCGTTTTAGAAGTAAAAAAAAAGGGGTTTACGTACCGTAATGCAGGGACGAGATGCGGGACAAAGGCGACCAGAAGGAATAGCGAAACGGCGCGCATCAGAGAGCGCCCTCGCTGACCAGTGCCGGACTGATCAGAACGCTGACGGTGTGGTTCTGGCTCGTCTGGATCGTCGTCGTCGGAAGCGATGAAAGTGCTCCGATCGAGTAGACGACAGCAGAAACAGGCGGTGAAGAGGAGGACGGGGTTGCGGCGGCTGCGGCTGCGGCAGAGAAGGAGGAAGGGGCGGGGTCACAAACAAATGGGGCGGGTGGGGATGGCGACGGCGAACACGAGGTGGCGAGACGACGGATTGCGGAGCTGCGGCTGATGATCACTGACGACGAGTTCGTGGTCAAGATTGACATGCCAAACAGCCTGAAATTATACGATTTTGGTTGAACGTTTCAGCGTTTTCAGTTTGTGTTTGTGTGTGCAACGGTCAATGCGATGGCGTGGGAGTGGGGAATGGAATGATAGCATTGATAGAAGCATCCACCGACAAGAATCGTTGAGTCACAATGGAAAAATGTTTTTTTTATATTTTGATTTTTGATTTAGAAGATTGGCAATCGGATACGGATAAATGTTTCTCAAAAGATAGGACCACTGAGAACAAGCCGACAAATTGTCTTTTTCTATTTCTGTCCGTTGTTTCCAACGTTCGGCAAGTATAATTTCATTTATTTCGTCGCGCTTCGAAACACATTTCGCATGTTGCAACGAGCTCGAAAAAAGTGCTCACCCGGCAGATTTTACGCGGGAGCGGCATGAATAAACATAATCGAAAAGAATGGTGGGCGGATGGATACGAAATGGGTCCGCGCCTCTCTCAAGACATTCGAATTAGCAAAGGAACCGGGTCCCGCCTGGTTGTATTACGTTTTCGCTATTACTATTTGTATATTTAGAAGCCGGGGTGAGTCTTCCGCTCGTAAGAAACCACGCTGAAATCCGACACTTTCCACTTCTTCCATGGGATCCGTCGGCCCGACGTTCTCTCGAGATTGTTGGTATTGCGCAAACTACAGAGACGAAATTAAAAAGGGCAAAAAATCTTCCGAAAGAAATTGAAAACGGTGATTGTGAGATGCCGGTGGCAGACATCCCGCCGAGAATCTTTGCCATTTGCATATCACTCTCTTTTTTCGCCGCCCTGACTGCGGGCCTACAAGGAAAAGGGAAAGCAAGTCGGTCACTTTCTTTTCGGTGCCATCACATAAAAACAGAGGAAAGAATAAGAAGCGAACGCAGAGTCAACAAACAACCGTCGGCAGGTGTCTCTGCGCGCGCCGACATCGACCTTCACTTGATTCAAGTCTCTTTTTTGTTCCAATTTAGTTATGATAAGACGAATGAAACAGAATTAGCGTCTAGAATTAAATACGAGAACCGCGGATTAAAAATGCGAAAATCGTGAGGCGACTCAAAGGCGCATTCATTTTCATAAAGTTGCCGGTCTTGCAACGATAACCGTACCTTTTTCACAAGTTTGACGTCGAATTCAAATTTTAGATGATCCAAGCAAATATTTTGATGAAAAGCATTTCGCCAACAAACAAACAAATACTTTTCTCTTCTCACCTTTTATGACTCCGCAAGTCAATTTTGACCATCCGCTCTCTTGGCACCATGCCAAACACAACATCGCTCATCAGAAGGCGTCTTTCGCTCGATTTGCTTGCCATTAACGAGGCGAAGCGGGCTGAAAAACATTTATCATTTTCCGACGTTTTCAAAACTTAGAAATCGGTCATTCTCGAAATTTCGTAAGTGCTCCTCTTCGCTCTTTCTTGCCCGTTTCCTCGGTCCGTTTTGTGTACTAACAATGGCCAAATAACAATATTATGCATCGAGTGAGTCACAGTAACCACCATCAAAAAAAAGAAGAGGAATAGGCCCGAAATGATATCGACAGAATAGTTGAAGAAGAAAACATTCAGCAGAATTGGGAAAAGGGAACGGAATCAAAGGTATACCTGCCAGGCCGGTCAGCTCGTCTCTTTCGTATAATTCGCCACTTTGATTGTCACTTGGACAATCGGAAAAGGACGGATTCGGAAAGGCGCACGACTCTGCCTGCGTGTATTTCTGCAACATTAACATCTAAAACACGTCTTTTAGAATCAACCTACTTGGGTCTCTGCGTCGTCGGCACCAGGCAGCGCGCTCTCTTCCTCTCCTGCGATTCCTTGAGATTCCACTTCAATCGCATAGCTTCGGAATACACTTTCCTGCAAATGAACTCCGCAGCTCTCCTCTATAAAATGCTCTCCTTTCCACGCAGAGGCCTGTTCTTCTTCTTCATCATCATTTTCCAATTCGGCGAATCGCAACGTCTTCTTCACTGTCCTCTGTTCTTCGAACTTTACACTTCTCTTTTTGGGCGACACGTCAATTCTGAATTCCGATGCGTCCAAATCCTTCGCCTTTTGAGCCTCCGATTCCTCGCCAATGCTCATCGGATCGTCGGCGAAAGAATGATCTTCGTCCCTAGGTGGTTGGGTCTCCTCGAATGCGGTAAATTGGGCTTCGTAGCCAGTGATAAAATTGAGTGAGAATTTCGACTTTTGGGGTGAGTATAATGGATTTTCTGCTGTCTCCGCCTGTCTGACGGGCGAGAGGTTGTCGAACACGTTTGAGATTTCTGAAATTAGGAAGGTAATGGTAGTCCAAGGACAGTACTGTATTACCTGAAGAGTCCGATTCTGTCGAACTGAGAAATGGATCTTTATCTGAGTCTTCCCTTTCCTCTTTTTCTTCTTCCTCTTTTCTACGTTTTGAAACAGGCTCGATCACATCCAAAGAACGTCTTCTTGTCGTCGTTAATGAGGCGAACACTTGTTCGGGACTCTGACGAGCTTGTAGAACAGGCGGTGAGAAGTGGGCGGATCGACGGAGAATTCCGTTCTTCGGGATGATCGGAGAGATTATTTTCAGCTGGCACATCTTCGTGGAAGTCGGCGTTTTGGCTTCTGACACTGATTTCCGGCCGTTCTCATCTTCGTCTTCGTCGTCGTTGTCAATGAGAGAGGCCATCTTTTTCGAGCTTTCCCTTTTTGATTCTATCCGTCTGATACCATTCTCAAATCTGACAGCCCGATTGATGGATTTCGGGACGACAACCGCAATTTTCAGCTTCTTTTTCTTTTTTGGCCTCCGTTCGTCGGATCCGAACTTTTCGAGTATCTCGCTCCGATTCGGCCGATACGTGGATGCGCAGAGCCATTCGTCACTGTCCTCCTTCCTCAACTTCGCCCCGCCCTTCTCCATTTCTCTGACAAATAATTATAAACTTTGCTTTCAAAGACGGAAAGTAACATTAATGATCAATGCGAACACAAGAGTGAGAGCGAAGAGAAGTCTAATATTCATACATTTACTCTTTTTTTTTTGGAAATATGCATTAAATAAATATTCACACCAGCAGTTCGAAACCTTGACCAGAAACAACCCATAATCGAACCGAAAATTAATAACTTAAAAACAACAGATAATTAGTTTTTCCTTCGTTTCATCATGCCGCTGGAATCTTCAGAGAGCGACGGGAATAAGGAGGAGCCAAAGCCATTCGCGGCAGCGGCTGGCTCCGGGGTTACGGAAGCTCGGTGCATTCTTTCAGCTCGATCCCGCACAGCGTCTCTAAGATTCACCGGGGCATTCGGATTGCTTTCAAGGATTACCACTGCCTGATCGAGGTAGGCGACCTCGTCGTCTCTCTGCAAATGAAACGGTTAAAATTGATAGTTCCCAATCGAAACTGACCGATTTTTTGTTGGAAACCAGGTCGAGAAACTCTTCGACGCTGCTTTGCATCAGAAGGAAGACAGTGTACGGATTGGCGTTCCTCTCGAGCAGTATCTCGGCGGCTCTCTCGCATCCTTTCGCTCCGACTTTTGGGATCAGGAGGAACGATGAGATGAAGGATAGGAGTGGCTTTTCAGGAAGCTCTGCCAGCAATTCGGACAAATATTTCGGGTCATTCCAAATCTTCAACGCCTCCACGTTTTTCTTCTTTTCCAAAATCTTCTTGATTGTCGGAGCCACCTTCTTCTCTGGCTCCGTGTCAGCGAACAGGGAAGTGTATGCGATGAAATACTCGTTTTTCTCCAGTGACGGCAAAACCATTGTCCGAAGGCGAGCGTGGAATTCATCGATTCGAGTTCGCAGTTTCGACAGATGTTTTCTAATTGACATGCACCGTTTTACTTCTGCCATTGGCACTTCGTACATCGGATCGAAAAGGTATTCGACGGATGCCATGTGCAACTGCCACTCGTCCACTTTGTACGTGTTCGCCAACTCTAGTGCATCCTCGAACACTTTGTCGATTGTGGTTCCCGCTAAACCTATGATAGTTTCCGCTCGGTATTCCGCATCGCCCATGAATCTTCTTCGATCACAACCTTAAATATATGCATTTCACAGAAAAAAACGTCCGATATTCTAATCCTACCGTAATCTTCAATTCGGTCAATTGCAGTAACCGACGTGTCATTCTTGTTCGCTTCTAAAATGATGTTGGAGGCAGGAGCGGTGACGAGCAGTGGCAGTGGGATTCGGTCTTCGAGGAATCGCAATCCACGTTCGTATCGTCTTATCTTGTCATTCCTGGTCCAACTCAGCTCCTGACTTTCCTGATTCTCGTCTGGACGAAACAGAGACAAACATAGAGCGAGCGTGGACGATTCGTGAGCGTACAGACGCTTTATCTGAACAAAACATTGATAAATGGAGCGAGCATTTAACACCTCACTAGCTGGTCATCGTCTCTTTTACAATTATTTTCGAAGAAAGTCAACTTCTGCTTCACATCCCCACTGATCTCATTTCTCGTGTTGTAAAACCGCATAGGAGTGTACATCGGGTCTCCGACGACGTTCTCCGAAACGGGCACGTCTTCTAATCGCATTTCCCTCTGCCGTCGCTTCTCGTTCAACCGTTTCTCACTTTCTGCAACCGCATCTACAGTTGCCACGCGATTTTCGTCGCACGCGTTGAGCATCGCACACGCGTAAACATCCTCCATAATGTCGTCGGTGAATTTGCATGAAGACGACATTATCTTCATGCACAGCTGATGGACGACCGGAACGTTCTTCGCCTTCATCACTTCTCCGATGTATTTGCTCAGATAAACGTCGTCTTCTGCGTTGAGAGCAGCGAGAGCACAGTAGGAAATTGCCGTTGCAACGGGCGTATCTATGTTCAACTGCTTGGCGAAACTCAGAATCTTCTTCGCCTGTTTGTAATTGGAACCAATGCTGACAATATCTCGTAAAAGGGTGTCATGATCGGTAAGTCTGGAAAACATTATTCATTTTTCCTTTGCCGATGAGGCGCTCACTTGATTGTGATTGCCGGCTTCGTACAACCCAGTTCGTAGGCCGCCTCTATCGCATCCAGCCATTCCAGCTTCTCCTTCGCTTTTTTTGGCGATATGGGGCGTGCGGCTACTGCGAAGAAGCGTGCTTTTCCGAGAAGAGGATCGTTCCGCTGCGTCGCTTGCGCCATCAATTCATCACTCTTTTCAAGAAGCACGTCCGCACTTCTCGCCATCCCGAGCTTCTTCTCGTTTTGCACATGCTGCTCATCCGGTTTGAGCGTGAGCACGAGATGCATCAGCTCTGGATGGCTACCTATCCGTTCGTCTTCGAGCATATCTCTCGCGAACAGTTCCAGAGCTTCTTCTGTCGTCACCAAGCCTCCGTAAATTCTGAATAAAAACTTTGAGAAAGCCTTTGAGAACTTGCTATTACCCTTTGGCCATATCATAAACATCGTCTCGCAGACTTGTCCAATCCTCTACAGTTCTACAGTTTCCGCATCTCGACAGCTTTATGAGAACTCTTTTCGCGCCATCTCTGAAGCGAACCAATTCATTTCCCTCCTATAATCTATTGACTTACGGTTCTCGCATGCTCTCAAAGATTGCCTTGAACGTCATCTCGACTCCTCTCGACATTAGTGAACCCAGAGACGACGTGACATTTGAGTACTTCTGCACAGGCAAGTCTCCAAGAGACTTCATAAGATCTGCTCCGGTTGAAGTCATGCTCAGAAGGACTTCCAGAATGACGTGGTCGTCCACAACGTCGGGCCTTTCTTCTCGGAATGCCACCAGCACTCGCGTCGTCCGTTCATTCGTCTGTTTCAGCAAAGAGGTGACCGATTCACGAATTCGTTCCTCTACACTTTGTTCGCTTTCCGTTTGATTCACTTTCCAATCGATAAGCCCGACGACGTCTCCAGCGTTCTCAGTGAGCTCAGCTTCCAGCAAATGGGCGAAGCGGTCGGTGAACGATTTGAGGCTGGAGTCTTGGAACGAGGTGATGCTCTCGCTGACTGACGAGCAAATTCTGATGTACTGCGCGTAACGCTCCCACATTCCAAAGTCGTGGATCAGTTCATCGTAGCCCCGTTCCTTGGCTATGATTAGCAAATTGACGCAGTTTTCAGTAATTCCACACTCGAAGTCAATTCTCAAAAGTGTTTCTCTGACCCAAGCGGCAAAATCGAACTCCTCCTCATCAGCAATGTTTCCGACGTTCACATTGCGAACCAAATGTTCCGCATCGGGATGGTCGATCAGAATCTGATGCAGACGCTCGAATATTCCATCATGTTTCTCCTCTAATTCCCACTGCACTTCTTTTCCGTCTTCATTCAGCATCGGCATTAATCTTTCGTATTTGGTGGGCGATGTGCACGAGGGAATGGCGGAGAGAATCCTCTTCTGATGCTTCCTCATCACTTCAATGTTCGACTCGATTATTTGCTCTAATGAATCAATATCGGCGATCTAAAAAATATGATGTTTTCAAGAAAAAATATATGGAAATTGCCGATTACATGTGCAAAATGAAGTGCCGCTTCCAAACAGCTCTGTTTCCTCGCGACCATGTACGCGTCAACGTCTCCTTTTATCCCGCATACTTTCAGAATTCTCAAGTGATGCAACAAACGGATCTGCCAAGTGATACTCGATTCTCCGAGCGACAACCCCAGATCAATAAGTGCTCTGTGCACCTCAAGGTCGTCGCTGTCTGCGTTCGCACACTGAGCAGCCACCCATTCGGAGTCTCCGATCCTGTGTAGAATGTCCGTGACGTCTTCAACGCTTAGCTTGTTTTTCGCGCATTTATCAGCCCATTCCGACTTGAGCACAACGTCGATGTCGATGGTTTCGTAGGTCTCCGCCAGTTCGCGGGCTCTCGCATAGTCATGCTCCACTAATGTCCGATCGAATAGCTCCTGAAGAGTTCTCGTCGGCGAATGAATGAGCGCAAACTCGAATTTGGCCATGTGCGTGGCCATCATCAGCTGCTCCGCCGGCTCGCCCATCGCCATCCCGAGCAGTTTTTTGAACGAATTCCAGACAGTGTAGAACCAGAGCTGTCCGGCGAGTTGAACACGTTTATGGGCGGCCTCTCGGAGCACCGAATTGTCGCCGTCTGCGGTGAGAAGAAAGATTTCACGTCGGGCTGGAGAGATCATGAACGAGTGCTCGTTGTAGATGTCCTTCTGGTCGGTCTCTTCTGGAAATACAATGACTGACACGTAACTATATCAAATGTACCTTGTTGAATTTTAGTCTTGGTTTTCATCGTGTACATTCTCTCCTTTAGATCTTCCAAAGTGCATCGAAGAAGATATCCATTATCATAAAGAACAGCCATGTCCTGAAAAACACTCATTTTCAGAGAAGAACAAATAAAAAAAACCGACATCTATATCCACGAAGCAAGCCTCCACTGGACGAGGTCCGCTGATGTAAGAGAATGAAAACCGGATACGGAGGGAGGGAATTTCGAAAAGATAAAGGGATCCGGAAGTGGCAACCGAGACAAGAAGCTGCGAATCGAAGGAGAGCGAGAGCTTCGGAAGGTAGCACATGGAGGAGGCGGAGAACGGAAAACGGGACCAGATGCCTCCTGAAAACTCTTTGAACGATCAGATGCACTTGCAAAATGCAGAGCATACCTTCAGGAGTGGATATTCGGATCGGCTCAACGTACGGATCCATGTCCATCATCCGGAAAGAGCACAACCCCGCGGGAGGAGTCACTGACTTGGATTCTTTGTGATGAGCGGCCACCAGAAGCAGGCTGTATTGGGGGAGCACCAGGAAAGAACCTGTTTGCCCGATGTCCAATTGGACAGACCACATTCTAGTGTATTTGGAAAGGAGGCCTATTTTGAATGCTGAGAAGACGCCAGAATACTGAAGAACGTAGAGAATCTCGCTGAATTTATCGCTTGATGAACTTGAGTTATTCGGAAGTGTCTGCATTCCGCACACTGCCGTGTTCACGTCGAAAATTCCCTCATGCGCTTCCTGAATTCAAGTTTTCATTTGTTTTGTTCTCAAACTTCAGATTACTCACTAATGGAATGTCATAGCAATATGCTCCCATGTTATCGAACACATCGATGTGTGGCGTACTTCTGGAGGAAAGAAGAAGAGTGCCCGATGAGGAGAACTGCAGAAGACAGTATTCGGGAGATGTCTCTTCGAGCACTTGAACACTCGACTCGTGCTCCAGAATTTCTCCGCTCATCTGATAAATATCCAGTTGCCGAGCGTAGCTCATCAAAGCAACGCGATCGCATTTACTGAATCACTTTGTATGTCCGACAAGAAATAACCGAATTCAAAACAAACGGTGAAACTGCCAGTTTGCAGAAGGGCAGGGATTCCACATAATTGGCAATTTGCACAGGGATCATCAGATTCGGAGTTCGCATTTCCACGTTGGGTGACCATTTCAGAAGATCGTACCTGAAATGCAGTGAGCGAATGTTCTACCACTCGAAAAAAACCTTTCTTTGAGCAGAATCTTCGAATTCTCTTCTTCTTTTTGTGACATCTCCCTGCGCTTTTCCCTTATATGCGCCATTTTGATATCTGAAATTAGGAAATCCTAGTTTTCATTGAAAAGAGCAGAATTCAGAAAGGATAGGGTGTCTGCCGCGTAAATCTACAACGCAGCAGAAGTGCAAACACTTTCACGTTAAATTGCGGACTATCTGCAGCTGCCAATCTAGAATACAACCGGCGGTCCAACATAATAGAACTGGGCAGAATAGAACTGCGACATAATAGAACTGTGTTTTTATGTATTTATATGAGCATTTTGTCCGTTCCTTTCAATTAACTTATGTTGGAACGTCATTTAACCAATTCAGACTCTTTGAGAACTTTATTATTTCTAGTACTTCTGTATCATATATATATATATATATATATCATGACATTTTACACTTTCATTAATCCTACCGAGAAGAAAAGGATAACACAAATCCTGGCGATCTCTTTATCTTCATAAACGTTAGTACAAAAGAGTACAGTAATGTTGGCAATAAATGTTGCATATTCAATGGGTTTGAAATGCAAAATTCACTTTTAATATTCGACAGTGGCTAGTCAGCCACAAAAATTCAATAAATAATACTTAAACAGGGTTATGCCGGGAGGGACGCTTCAAGTTCATCTACCGGGAGGCGGTAAACACAAATACATACGGGAGGGGGGCCATTCGGATAAGGGAAAAGGGGCGTCACGTGAGATGATGGGGGAATAAAGAGCACGACGATAATAATTAAAGCAATAGGAACGGAATATTGGTCGTGGACTGGGAAATGGGGAATGATGGTCTAAAAACATTGGGGAATGGGAGACTGAGAAATGGGGATGCGAGGGTTAGTTCAACAGATTGGGAGAGTACTGGGACATAGGTGACGAACGAAATATGATTTAGTTGCGAACTGAGTCGCGGTCTTCATCGGTGTTTCCAAGTTGTGAGCCGGTTCCTGAAGTCAGTCTGGAAGCCGGACGGTCTGAAGGCGACATCTCATTCGTCAACGTCGATCCTCGGAACTCGTCTGAATGAGTGAATAGGTGATCAGAAGATTCCTTATTTTCAGTACCTCTGGCAAGACTCGAATTGCTTCCGAACCGACGAGATTCGCGGTGCAGAAGTCCCGGAGTGCGACGGGAGGTCGTCTCCCGTTGTCTCATAAGGGAGACGTCTCTCGCCAGCGTCTCGTTCATGTCCACTGCGTCGTCCGCTCTTCTGCGCTCCTGAGTCAGTTTGTTGTTGAGACGATCTCGCTCAGCTTCGGCATCTTCCAGTTGAGCACGGAGCTGACGGATTCTTGTGTTCTGACGATCGATTGCCTGGCGGTTACTCTCGTTTTGTCTCTTTTCCTCCTCGAGCAACTGCTGCGATTCTGCCATTTTCGTCTCCATTCGTCTGAGGTTCCTCGCGTGTCTCATTTTGTCCTGTTCTTCCAACGAGAGCTGCTGCTCCAAGTTGATCACTTTCGTCTCGGCGACAGTAATTTGAGTGCGAAGACGAGCCGTAACGTTGTCTGAAAAAGTTATATGCCTAGTTATCATGAAGTATAACTCACTTTCGGCGTCATGCAGTTGTTGCTTCAGATCTCGGTTGGCACGCTCCAAGACATTCCGTTCCGATTCGTTCCTCTCGCAAAGACTTCTTTCCTGAGCCAATTCCGCAGTCAGCTGTTCTAACTGTTGCTGAGCTTTGCGGACCTTATCCTGAGACAGCTCGGCCTCGGACTGCTCCTCATCTAACTGATCTTCTAAATCAGTGATCTTCTGCTCCAGAATTTTTCTCTGATCGCTGCTGAATGAGGAGGCTCGCAGAGTGGCAACTTCCTCAATAAGCTCATCTCGCTCAGCTTCAGCTCTGCGCTTGGAGGAGTTTGAGGCTTGCAGGTCGGCTGAGAGTCTTTTGATCTCGTCCTCAGAGCTCCTGGCTCTCTTCTCGGCATCCCGCTGCGCTGCTATTGCTTCTTCCATCGCAACACGAGCCTCCGAAGCATCCATCTGCATGTCCTTGTTGCCTAATTGAGCTTTGCGAAGTTGCCTGTTGAGATCGTCAATCTGACGAAGAGCCGCTTCGCTTTTCTCGGTCAACTCGCTAATTTGCACATCAAGCTTCTTCTTGGCAGCCAACGAAGCATGACGAGAACGTTGTTCATTCTCCAGCTCCTCGGTTAGATTGCGGATCTTGGCATTAAGACTTCTCTTGCGCTCCTCCTCCTCTTCCTCTCTGTTGGCCAACGCTCTGTCGAATTCGGAACGCATTGATGTCATGTTCACTTCCATTCTCATTCTGGCATCGTCGGAAAGTTGGATAGCGTCTTCCAGCTCGATGATTTGCTGCTCAGAACGAGCTAGTTCCTCGTCGAGACGGCGTTTCGTCTTCTCTAACTCGTAAACATTCTTTCCAGCGTCGTCTTTGGTGGAAGCCTGGAAGTTACTGATCAACAAAATATTTCATATGTTCATTTCCCACCAGATTGTCAATCTCCAACTTGAGAGTCCTCTTTTCTTTCTCCAACTGCTCAACTTGCTCCTTCTTTTCAGCCAGCTCGTTCGACAGCACCAACGCCTTCGTCTCTGCGTCACGCAACATTTGTTGAGCGGTATCTCTTTCCTGCAGGGCCAGCAAAGTGTTGTTCTTCTCGTCGGCAAGCTGTTGGTCAAACTTCCGCTGCTTCCTCTCCATCTCTCTCGTCGCCGCCATCACGTCCGTCAGCTCCTTCAGCGCATCTTCAGCCTCCTGGATAGCCTTTTTCTTTGCCCTTTCGGCCTTTTCTCTCGCCTGCTCGGCCGCGTCAGCTCGCTCTTTCTCAGCAACGAGCTCCTTCTCTTTTTTCTTTCTCATCTCCTCCATCACCTCTCGGTTCTCCTCGTCCAACTTTTTCCTAGCGTCCGCCAGTTGCACCTTCAGCTCCTTAGCCTCCTTTTCAGATTTTTCCTGGGCAGAAACGGCGTCCTCCTTCGCTTCGATGGCCACGGCCAGTTCCTCCTCAAGCTGGCGAACTTTATTGTTCAGATTAGCACGATTGCGACGGTCTTCCTCGGAAGCCTCGGTCAATTCAGTCAATTGCATATCAAGAGAGGCATTCTTTTTGAGCAGATTCGAGTTCAGAACTTCCTCTGCGCTCTTGGCCTTTTGGATGTTTTCCAACTCATTGTTCATCTAAATGTTCATCTGTATTCTCTTTAGTCACATTATCAGAACGTTTACCTTGGACAACTTGGCCATGAGATCCTCGAGATTGGTCTGCATCTCGCGCATCCTGTGCTCCCTCTCCATCAACGTTGCCTCGGCCGCCTTCCGCTTTTTCTCCGCTTCCGTACGAGCCGTTGCGATGCTTGACAACTCGGCCCGGATGTTCTCGTTGTCAGCCTCGATGGAAGACTTGGACTTGTCAGCCTGCAAAACGATCTCACTAATCAAAAACTGTGGTTGATCAATAAATGACCCAATTGTCGCTCAACTCGAGGAGGAGGAAGAGTGCGGATTGCAATCAAACAAAAGGAATTAACGGTCGGCACCGCGACACAACCACAAAACAGTGCAAATCAGCACGCGGCTGCCGGCAACGGCAACCGGACAGGCATCCAAACAAGCGACGAGAAGCCAATTTAGTGGTAATTCGAGCATGACGCCCTCCGAAAGATGGGGTTTTCCCCTCCTCCTCTTCCACGGTGGGCAAATAGGTAATAAGACAAAAAGCAAATACCGAAGCTTTCTGACGTCTCAACTGATCAATCGTCTCATTCAGTTCCTCGATTCGCTTTTGACCCTGCACCTTTATCTCCTCGATCGTTTCCTCAGAAGACTTGACCGTATCCTCCAATTGTTTCTGAAAGTATCCTCTTTACATTCTCTCATCTCCATCTCACGTCCTACCTGCAAGTGGGCATACTCTTCGTCCCGCTTCGCTCTCAGCTGCGAGTGAAGAACAGACTTGTCATTCGACTCTTCGAGCTCTTGCTTGTAAGACTCCAGCTCTTCAGCCATATCTCTACGGCCTTTCTCGGCTTTCTGACGAGCAGCTTTCTCTTTGTTCGCCTCTTCTACGGCGTCGTCGAGCTGTGCACGAATCTCGCGAATCTCCCGTTCAAGCTGTTGACGAGTCGCCAGCTCTTCGTCGTTTCTGATGTTGATCTGGGACAGTTCGCTTTCCTTGCGCATCAGCTGATTCGAAAGCTCTTCGGCCTTGCGAGTCTTCTCGAGACATGCCTCCTGTTCTTCACGCAACTGAGTTTCAGCTGCACGACGAGCAGTCTCCGCTTGCTGGCGCAACTGTTTCTCCCTGAAAATAAACAAAGTATTACAAAACAGTTAATCTTTATTCTCACTTTTCCAGTTCATCCTTCATCTCGTCAACGGTCGCATCGAGACGCGCCTTTGTCTTTACCAACTGTTTAGCACGTTCGGTTTCGTCGATCAAACGGCACGATAGATCTTCGCAACGATCTTCGAGAGCCTTCTTCTCCTTCGCCAGCTTGACTCCAGAGTCTTCCAGCTCCGCGCCTTGCGTCTCGAGGTCTTTAAGCCGAGATTCGATGGAGTTCTTCTCGAGCAGGAGCTTCTGACGACTTCTCTCCTCGTCTTCCAGATTCTCTTCCAGATGTCTGACCATCTCCGTCAACTTTCTATTTTCTGTTTCGGCCGTTTTCGCCTTTTGCTCTTCACCCTCCAGTCTTTTTGAAACGTCTTCCAAGATAGTCTCCAACTCAATTTTTCTGGCGACAATTCTCGATCTCTCTTCGAAGATCTCAGCGCGTTCCGACGATTCCGCATCCAGTCTTGTTTTTAAAACCAGGCGTTCCTCATCCATCTTCTCCATCTGTTGCTTGTAGTCAGCGATGAAGACTTCCGATCGGCGCAGTCTCTCTGAAGTCGTCTTCAATTCCAGCTCCTTCTCGGCAATCAGTTCGTCCTTGTTCGTCACCTCGAGCAGCGGCTTCACCTTCGTCAGAAGTCTCCACCATTGCCACTCTCTCAGGCGCATCCACGCCAGTCCGTTTCTTTGAAGAATCTTGATGGCAGCATCCTGCTGACGCCTACGAACCATCACACGGCGCCCGAGCCATCCACGGCAGTGAGCTTGGAACGCCTCGATGAGGGAAGAGAGCTTCTGATCGCGCATCTCTTCGAATTCAGCGACGACTCCGGCACGGAAGAAAATCTTTGATTGTCCAATGCGGTAGAGGTTTTTATCTACTTCGAGATACTCCACAATACGGCGTACCGCTTCTTTGCCATCCATGAATCCAGCAGGATTGACTTCTGGAGCAAGCAGTTTTTCGTATCGCTGACGGAATTCTTGGAATGGTAGACGAGTAGGGAATCCTTGACGACATATGCGGATTCCTTCGAGTACACCGTTGCATCGCAATTGGTCAAGAACGAGGTGAGCATTAAGGACGCCGTGCTTCTTCTCGTGATTCGGGATGATGCAACGGACGAAATGCGGGTTCGTGTTGTTGAGAGTGCTCATGAGACGAGCAAGTTGTTCCTTGTAGAGCTGAGAAACGGTGCGGAACATTCCCTTCTTTGGCATTCGCGATCCGAAAACACCAGTATCAGAGGAGGGGTCTGCGGCGGAAAGACTGCACACGTCGGCCACATCCTTCCACATGTCGACGATGAGAGGCTCCTTTGCGATCTTCAGAATGTCAATAACGTTATCGTTCAACGGATCCATGTTCTTTAAACGCCATCCCTCGGCCTGATAGTCGACACGTCCAGCGTAGTGAACAACAGCAAAGTCGCTTCGAGAACGGATCTCTGGCACGACATACTTCGGATGTTGAGAGTGTTGGTCATTGAGACGCTGTACAAAGGACTGATCGCTTCCTTGCGGGAAGAGACAGACGTCGTCGAGGAACGACATTATTCCCATTGGTTTGTCGATCAAATCAATCGTCGGCTGAAGGTTGAGTCCGAAATCGAGAACCTTCCATTCGAGACCCTCGTCCAGGTACTCTTGCTGCTCACGAACAAACATGGTGTTGTTGAACAACTGCTGCAGCTTCTCGTTGGTGTAGTTGATGCACAGCTGCTCAAACGCGTTAGTATCGAAGATTTCGAATCCGGCAATATCGAGAATTCCGATGAAGCTGACAGATTGTTGACGAGTACGGTCGAGGGACTTGTTGAGGCGGTGAACAAGCCATTTGAAGAGGCGCTCGTACGAAGCCTTGGCGATGGCGCCAACCGAGGACTTGGTTTGCTCCACGGTCTGAGCGCGATGAACCAGATCTCGTTGAACCTTGATCTTTGGCTTGAGGAAAGCACGCATCAGCTCAGTCATGTTGACCCCAAGAAGAGAAGCGATTTTCTGGGCGACGGCATCGTTGACCAGAACTGCCTGATCGTTGTTCTTGTTCTCCTGTGAAAATTCCAGATTTCCGAACAGCATGACAGCCGACACGGTGCGGAGAATTCCGCCAATTTCCTCGTCGTTCAGTCCCATGATCGACATCGCCTGCAGTGTCTCCTTCATCTCTGCCGCATCATCCACTCCGGCCAGCTTGGCGTCTCCGTTTGTGATGAAGTTGTACTTGGAAAGGCTGTCTTCGATGAGATACTGTTCTGAAACGAGATCGTTCACGACATTCGCCAATATCATTTTCGCGCTCACCTCTCTGTGACTTGGAGAGTCCTTTCAGCAACTGATAGAAAATGTGGAAGGAGCGTTCGTTGACGGCTTGCTTCAGCACTCGCGACTTCTCCAGCAAGTAGAACTCGATGTTGGCACCAGAAATGCATCCAGTGGCATCGAAATGAACGCGGATGAACTTTCCGAATCGACTCGAATTGTCATTTTTCACCGTCTTGCTGTTTCCGAATGCTTCCAGAATGGGGTTGGCTTGCAATAGCTGTTCTTCGAGCTGTCCCATCACTCGATTCGTCGACGTGTCCAAATCAACCGACGCTTTTCGATATTTCGACAATGACCGATTCGCCACGTAGGCCAGGTATTGAATAACTTTCTTAGTGTTTTCGGTCTTTCCGGCGCCAGATTCTCCCCTGAAGACAACAAATTTCGAAAATGGAAACAATGGGGTATGGGGACTTACGTGCAGAGAATTGATTGATCGTCCCTCTCCTGGAGCATGCTGCGGTAGGCTTCGTCGGCGACGGCGAATATGTGTGGCGGCATCTCCTTCCTCTTCTTGCATTTAAACTGCTCGGCGATCGTGTCCGTGTAGATTGGAATGCGTTTGTATGGGTTTATCACGACACAGAAGAGACCAGAGTACGTCTGAAAGAAATGCAGATGACAGTTATAGTTTGAAAAGAGAGAGGAAAGAAGAGGTGGAAGTATGACAGAAAGTGTTGCAGAGGCGAAACACTGTCGAATAGCCATCTTGAGTTGAAAAACAGGGCTGAACGACAGATGACGTCACGTTCCGCTTTTTGGTATTCCTCGCCTTTTGAACGGTGACGGAATGTGGAAACATACGCGAAAGACGGTGCAAAAGCAAATTTCAGAGGGATGCACAGGCTTTCCGCTCATTCGAAATGCCGCAACGCAGTTCGTCCCACATTCCGGGACGGTTTACCGAGCAAAAGATTTAGTTCGATTTCTGGGAAATCTCGCTAAGCTTAGGCTTAGTATGAGCATCTGTTGCCAGCAAGAGCAAAAAATGACAACCGGCCTGACGAGGTGATTAGATTAAAGCTATAAGTTGAGGGGAGTGACCAGGATTTCAAACTTACGTAGTAGAGATTCGAGAAGTAGCGCTGCTTGAGATTGTGAAGGACGGAAGCCTCGTTGAGACACGTCAGCATGGCCATATCCTCGCACTTGTCGTACTTGGGTGGGTTCGGTTTCTGGCAGTCATCCATAGAAACACGTTGACGTTCGCCGGTTTCCAGAAGTTCAATGTCGACTGAGCCGTCCGAATGCTCGTTTCCAATGACGGCTCCGAGTGAGAATCCGTCCTTCTCGTTGGGCACCCACATCAACTTCTTCTTCGCCCAATCCGCCGAGATCGACGGGTTGAGGAAGTCTGTTTTCGCCCGCAACTGGTCAATCTCATCGTTTCGAGATGTCATCATTACCTTTCGAGCTGTTGCTATATACAAATCGCTGAAAAAAATAAAAATTTTGAAGAGTAGCGGAGATAGCTTTGATAGGGGAGGCAAGAAGGACGACAAGGAACAGTCACCAAAAAACAAACTTTGTAGAAGGAAAACAATATGATAGCCTGTTGTGGAAACGAAAAAGAAGGACTGTATACATTCAATATACATTTTAGATAAGGTTTGAAACACTTTCATGAAGTCACGAATGCAATTTAGAAGAAAAATCTTCGAAATCAGGAACATAGGCGAAAGGAAATTTTAGATTTCAAAAAAGCGACAAACAGAAGGACCTGAAACCGAGCTAATGCGTTCGCTGAAACAAAGTTTTCGTGGCGAGACCCACTCTACTAATCCGTTACAGAATACAGTAACGCTCGGTGGTTTTACTAATTCTATTGGCGATACAAATAACTTCCGCGCAAACATTAATTCGATTATAAATCAAAGCCAAACGCTCGCTATGAAACTAAATGAAAAAACGTTTTCGCCGTAACAAAAGCAGCGGACAGGAATGTGGTTTTCGGGCGTTTCGTGTTCCCACAGAGCTCTCAAACTCCGGTCACAAGACCTTCCCATCTTCCGCCCACTTCAATTCCGATGGGAGGACTATTTCGCCTACTTTCAAGAAATTGCTACACGTTTTTTCTCGCTTTGGATTGTGAAGAACTCAAAAAATGTGGGCGGTCGGGCGTCACCACGAAGGGAGAAACAGACTGGCTAACTCGTAATCGACCCGTCAGTTCATCGCGCAAAAGGACGGCGAAGCGGACGAAAAACGAACGAAACGCAGCTGTCTACGGGCGGCGAACAGCGCACTTCCAGCTGTTGTCTTCCGTCTAACCCTCGTTTGGGCGTCCACCATTTCTGCATTGATAATGTGATGGGAAACGGGACGCATCGATCAACAGTCTTCGTGGGAACCGAACAATTTCCTCTTTTCGGCGTGAATTTCGCAAGCGGGCACACGGGAAGAGAAAGATGCGTCGGCCGATGCGAGCGAAAGGCAAACGAATACCCATTTAGGCCAAGCGGCGAGAACAAACGAACTAAAGGGCGAACACTGGCCGAGTGTGGCTGCTCATGAAACACAAAGCGGTGCCGCCAACGCGATCGAAGGTGCGAATAAAAAGGAAAACAAATCCTTGGCGCCACGCGTATTGACTATTTCCGCGGGTCTTTTCAAATCTGGCGCGCGCGGCAGGACGCCGAGGACGCAATGTCGGTGAACATTCGAAAGCCGTACACCGTCACGACAGATTGCGGCGCTTTCATTCAATTGCATTCAAAGCTTGCTTGATTTTTCTAATTTTAGCCCTTCAAAATGGAAAACGAAGGAGACCCGGAGCCCGCCGTTCCTGTTCAAGAAGAAAAAGAAAATGAAGAAGAGGGAACTATTACCGTTAGAGAATTGGTTGAATTGGAAGAGGCTGCCGAGGTTTTATTCGCTGCTCAGGATCCAGCCGTCTGTACGTTCCCAGAAGTGAGCGACCTTCCGAATCTATTTGAAAACGTTTAAAAATTGCCGATTACAGGGCTACAAGCCACGTCAAACTGTTTTCACGTGCCTCACGTGCACTCCTGCTCCACAGATGGCCGGCGTCTGTTACGGATGCTCTCTGCACTGTCACGAAGGACACGAGATGGTCGAGTTGTATACGAAGAGAAAGTTCCGGTGCGACTGTGGAAATAGCAAGTTTGGAGACAAAAAGTGCACTCTTTACGAGGAGAAGGATGCGGATAACATGTACAATTTGTATAATCATAATTACCACGGAAAGTTTTGCACTTGTGAAGTCTTCTATCCCGACGATGAGTCGACATTCGAGTTATTCCAATGCGAAATATGCGAGGATTGGTTCCATGAGAATGTACGACTTTGGCAATAGTCTTTCAATAAGTCCTTCTTTTCAGCATTTGAACTACAAACAAATAAATCTGGAAGAAGGTCCCAGTAGCTCCGAAGCAATTTCTCAGGGAGAAAAGAAACCAGAGGCTTCTATTGTATGCTGGAATTTTTTTACTCGAAAACAGTGTACTTTTTAGATTTGTGTCTCGTGTGTCCGAAAGATGCCATTTGTCATGCAAATTCCAACTGGAACAGAGCCCTTTTGTCACTCGAAGCTCTCGGCGGAACAGATTGCTTCTGTCGATCCAGCATCACTTGCAATCGAGAAATTCCGCTCCCGTCTGTGCAAATGCACCGAATGCATTCGCGTCTATGAGAGGGCCGACGTGGAATTTCTTCTGGACGATGAGGACGATATGGCCACGTTCGAGAGCGAGTCGAGAAGAAAGGTAGCAGAAAACAAAACGACTGAAGCAGAGGAAATGCGGGAGATTGTGAAGGAAGTGGGAATGGAAGGAGCCAGGGTATTCTTTGCAGGTTTGTAAAACCTTTATTGGATTTTAAAGATAAATAGAAGGATATTTGCAGGTCTAAATGATTTTAAACGTGATCTGACAACGTTCATTAGCACGGCTGGAAAAGACGGAAAAGCGATTACTGCGGAACAAGTGACCACATTCTTCGATGCTCTGAAGGAAGACCGTTTGCAAAGAAAACGGCCACGATACGAATAATTTTCTCAATTCTCCTCTTCCTCGTCCTTAGTTTCCCTCGATCCTTGTACATGTAATCCTCTCGAATAGCCTGCAAACCTCCCTCATTTCGCGCTCTCTATTTTTTACGATTTCTCACCAAATCTCAGCTGATCCACGACGTACGATACGAGAACAGTGGCGGCCCTTAGGCTCTCCCGATGGATTTTCCATCCCTGGTACTCGCGAATCGTCTCCGTTATCGCTTCGCCCAGCTTGTCCCAGTAATCGATCTGTTCATTTTCCACCTTTTGTGCTGTAATTTCCTGTCATTCATCTCACCTTCATCCCTTTGCTTCTTCGGTATTTCGCGTGCTTTTGTCCGACTTCTTGGCATAGTTTTGAGATTTTGTCCGGCTCGTCGAGCATTTGCATTACTGCAAACCTTTTCACTTCACAACTACTTTCCCGGCCCACCTTTCTGTAGAAATTCCACGATTTGCAAATTGTGATATTCACTGGCTGATTTGTCGAGCACTTCTCCGATTGTGCTCTTCCTCGCCATCATCCTCCTCGTTATCGTGCTTCCGCAATTGGCGGGCCCCTTCTGACTCATGTGTCTCCATGCGTTCCGAATTATCGACTTCTGAACAATAAATGCCAACCATTCACGTCGTCACTACTATTCTAACAACGGGTCATCTGTCTCTGTGTTTCACTTACCTGATACGAGTTCAAAATCTGATTGTCCGCTTTCGCCTTCCGGCTCTCGGGTTGTTTGGCGGGAGAAGAAGAGGAAGAGCCCATCTGGGAATGAGGACAATGCTCCGAATGACTCGTCTTCAATTCAAAATGTGTTTCTAATTCGATCTTTCAACAGGCACACATGGCACCAGACGGAATACAAACAAAACGGACAAAAAAAGTAGAGGATGAGGGCGGATCACACTTTCTGAGCTCTCTGTGAGATTTAATAAGAAAAAGAAGTTTTTAGTGATTGAACGGAGACTTTCAGATTTCCAATGTCGGCTGCGATCGCCATCAGATCAGCGAGTGCTTCGTACGCGAGATTCTTTGAGGAACGCGTCGAGTTCACTTCCGTTGTCTACTCGTTCGAGCACCTGAAAGATGGCGTCGCGATGCTCGAAGACAACCTCGATCCGTTCGAAGCGAAGAACATCCACTTCGTAAGCCTTTTCCAATAATTCACCTTCTCTCTCATTTCCAGCTCCCTCTTACTCTTCATCTCATCCGGTTTCTATTGAATTCTGCGCCTTCTCTAATTCTCCCTATTTTTATACTTCTCGATGTTTTCACTGCGTGGATGACGTCACGAGCTGCAGAGATTGTCTGGAGTCGAATTCACAAAAAAAGTGATGGACAAAGGATCGGAGCCCTGGTTTTCAGTCTTTACGCCTTCAACCCGATCACAATAATCTCCACCGGGATTCTCTCGTTGACTGTCATTCAAAACTTTGCGCTTGCAGCTGTGTTCTTATTTTTTGTTACAGGTTTTATTGAATTTCTTTAAAAACTTACGATGTCGCTGCTCTCATTCAGATCGTCCCGTTCTATGTGCTCTGATCATCGGCGCCTGGTCTTCGTTCACCATTTATCCATTCGTTCTCCTCTCCTGCCTCGCCTTCCGATCCAATGGCTCCGCAGTGAAACTTTGTCTGCTTGCTATCATTTCCCTCTTCACTGCTGCTCTATTCTTCGGAATTAACGCCGTGCTCAACGGAAACAATCTCGATTTTGTGAATTCCGCGTATTTGTCCATGTACGTTTGATTTTTCTCTTGTTTTTCTTCATCAATTCATCCAATTTTCCAGTCTGAATTTCTCGAGCATTCAACCCAATGTCGGTCTCTACTGGTACTTCTTCGTGCAGATTTTCGAGCACTTCCGCTCGTTCTACACCCTCTCCTTCGTCTCCCTCTTCTTCTTCATGCCCATCCCGATCACCTTCTTGATTCGTCGCGACGCCGTCCTCCATTTCACGATCGTCGGCCTTCTGGTCTCTGTTTTCTTCCCGTATCCAACTCTCAATCAAGTTTCCGTTCTGCTCGCAATTCTCCCGTTACACGATGCGTACAAAAAACGTAAGTCTTGAGAATACACTCAGAATGGCTTTTTATTTTCGATTTCAGATTTCCGGTATACAATTCTGATCGCCGGAACGCTCGTCTCCACAATCGTTTTGATGCCCGTCATGTGGCACATGTGGATGGTCAGCTCCAGTGGAAACGCCAACTTCTTCTTCGGAGCCACCATCGTCTACAACGTGGCATTGATAAATTTGGTGATGGACATGATATTTGTGTACTCGCGACGACAAATCGACCTGGAATACGCGGATACGGTTACGAAGAACACGAAAATGGACTTTGCATTTTATTGATATGTACAGAAATTGTTTTAAAAAAAAAGTAATGTTTATGTGCGAATGTGATTCATGATTCATCGTGTGTCTTCTTGTTGTGATTGCCTTTTTCCTCTTCTTTTATGCGACTGTAGAAATGACGAGTGGGCGGGGACGTGTCTTGAATACGAGCTTCTTCCTCACCACCGCATTCACCGTCGCTCTTTTCTCTCCATCTTGCCGGTTCTCGTCACTTTTTCGAATCACAAGGAGCGGTCTGTCGACTTTCGATATCTGCAATTGTCCCTTTTTTTCTATTCCCTTCGAAGCTTTTTCTAACAGCGGTAACAACTTTCTAAGCAGAAAACGAATAAATATTTACCTTTCCTTCAAGTGTTTGGCTCCCAATAATCATGTACACGTTGTTGCGGTCTCCCCAGACAATCGTACCTGATGAATAAGTGTCCTGATAACAAGAACTGTCCGCTTCTTACTCACCCAGCTTTTTTCCATCGAAACTTCCTTCCTGTGGCGAAATCGTTCCGTGCAGCTCAATTGCCATCCATTCTTGAGTTCCTTCTCTGAAAAACGATAGATATTTTAAGAAATTAAGAGTGAAACGTACGGAGTTGGTACGAATTTTATCTGCATTTTCAGAATTCTGCTTTCAATGCTGGTTTTGTTGAAATTGGGTCGGTCGATTTTAAATTTGGCGCATTCTCAATAGAGCGCGCTTGCCATCACTTCCCGCGATCCCCGCTTCATTTTATTTGACTTCCACTCGTTCTCACGACGTTTTTGCGCACTTTTTGCTTTCTCGGAAACGCGGAACTGGTTTTGTACAGTTAATCGATTCATTTTTCTATCAGAAATCTCTCGTCGGAATGGACAGTATCTTCAGCGATGACGAGGAATTCGACGCTTTCCGCGATAAGCTTTTCGACGGGCAACTTGAAGATGAGGTTAGTCCGATATTTACTTGCAATTAGAATTTGAACTTTGATACTTTGTAGAACGAAAAGATGGTTCCAATGTTCGGGATGTACGCACTTATCAAAATGAATAATGTGCAGAAACCGCGAGAAGATCTCTTCTTGAGAGGAATGGAACCACCTTCCGATTATCGAGATCCGTATGAGCAGAATAGTTTAGAGCAGAAGAAACCTGTATTAAAAGTGAGCAACTTGTCTTTTGTCCTTTTCGCTAGTTGATTCTCTTCAGAAAGCTATTTTTGCTGACGATTTTTCGTTCTTCGGGATGAAACAGAAAAAAATTAATTCTGAAGATAATAAAGCTTCAACAGCCAACGACTGCGTATCCCTTCGATCGAAACTGCTGGAAAAGCTGAAAGAGCAGGATGAGGCCAAGAAAGCTGCCGACGAAAAAGAACGCGACGAAGAAGACGAATATGGGTACGTTATTAATTGTCAAAATTCACAATTATGTCAATGTTTTTAGACCTGCAACTTCGCACCGAAAGCCATTTCAGCAGCGGGAGACAAATGCCGACACCCCGAGACCGGTGCTTCGGAAAAGGAAACGAGCAGTTGTGAGCAGTTGGTGTGGCGAAGATTCAGATTCGGAGCGAGAGACGTGAGTTGTGCGCGAACGCCCATCTGTCAACCTGCTCCATTTCAGTCGACCACCCTCCCCAAACTTGCGTTCTCCGCGTAAGAAGAGAGTCTTCCGGGCATGAGAGCCCTCCTGGCCTACATTCGATTTCTGCGTCTCCTTTGTTTTCAGGTTGTTTTTATTGATGATCTCACACGCACTCCCTCATTTATTATTTCTGATCATGAGTATTTGTAATGACTGACTAAAGTTATTCCAACCCACTTTTTAAACTTCTTTTCAATTCGCGTTCCACTCGCATAATTATCTTCTTTCTTTCAAACCTACTCACTGAGCCCATTTCCCGTTCGTCAGGCGATTTACAACGAGTCGCCGTTTCTCGGAGGAAACCAGGCAGCGCTTGAATCGAAGAGAGCGTCCAGAGAGGCAGAGAGCCGATCGAGCAGCAGCGACAGCCGACCGGAGGACAAGAAGAAGAGCCCGTACGGCTTGAGCATTCCGAGCACTATATCCCCCGTCTCCATTTGATTTCACACATTTTTTGGCACTTTTACGACAACAATGGGAAAGAACTTTGGTGAGTGGTACTTTTTGTTCAGAGAATTACATTGTAACTAATTGCTTTTCAGATGAATCGGCTCTTTTGAAGTCGTTGGAAGGACTTGCCGACGATGAAAAGATTAAGAGATTGGTAAAGAAATTGGGCGAGTCGGAGAAGAACAACTCGGATTTGAAGACCAAACTTGTTAATGTAAGACTGTGTCGAAAGTTAAATGATAGTTTTAATCTGAATTTCAGTTCGACAAAATTGTTAAACTCAAGGACTTGATGGAGAAAAAGTTGGAGAAAAATAATCAGGTGAGAATTCAACATTATTCGTATTTTTTTAGAACCCATTTTTCAAATCTCTATTTAGTTTGCGTGTCAAGTGGCCGATGACGTCACACGGGATTTTTTTTCCGGCAGCTTTCCGAGTGCGAGGGTGTTTTGAGAGAAACCACCCTCGCAATCGGATATCTCTCATTCTCTTTGAGATCGTTTCATAAAATGAATGTCTGCTCAGGTGCTTCTGCGAACCGAGGAGGCGAAGAGCAAGCTGGAGGAGCTGTGCAGGGGACTCCAGAAGGCGAACCAACAGACTCGCGAAGAATCGATCGCTAAGATGAAGAAGCTGGAAACGGAGAGACAATCGGCTGTCGAGCAGCTGAAGATCACTCTCAAGGACATCGAGAAGACGATGGCGGACGGACGAAGCAAGTCGGACTCGCTGGCTGAGGATAACAAGAAACTCGGCGAGAAGTTCTCCGAAATCGGACAACAGTACGAGGAAAGAATGCGAGTGGTCGACTTGCAATTGCAGAAAAAGGAGAAGTATTGGGAAGAGTTCGGAAAGACCAAAGATCTCGAGATCAAACTGCTCAAGGCGAAGCTGGATGCGTCGTCGATTCAGATGAAGAAAGCTGGAATGGAGAAGGATGAACTGGCTAAGATCGTTCTGGAAGAAACCGCCCGTGTTGGAGGAGCTATTGAGACGGAGAAGTTGCTTCGCGAGCAGGTGCAGGAATACTCGGAAAAGTATTCGGAATTGACTGGATGCCTCGCAAAGAGCAATCAAGCCTTTGACAAGTTCAAGAAGGAGATTGAACGAGTGAACCAGAAGTGCACACAGATCGAGAAGGAAGGGCTCAGTGTCAAGAAGAAGTATCAGGATGCGAATCAGTATGCGCACCTCTAGAATGCAAGGTTCTAAAAGTATTTGTTTCAGGAAGATTCTGGTGTTAACGATGACGAATCAGGAGTACACCGAGAAGATCGCCGCGTCGGAAAAGAAGATTCAGATGCTCGAGAACCTGTGCCGCGCCCTCCGAAAGGGCGAAGCAGAAGAATCGGAGCCGGTGTCCACCACGTCGAAGTGAATCGAAACGACGTCTACAACAATCGCTGGTCCCCGGATCTCGTGTACATAATATCAAATACTGTTTCTTGTTCTTTGCGTCCAATCTGTTTATTTCTATTCTGAATGCAGTCCGAATCCCCCAACCCTCATCTCTTCTCAATACATCCCAACGTCCCCCTTAAAAAAGTAATTTATTGGCCCATCATAAATATTTTCACATAAAGTGTATTTAGAGGGGTTTTGTTTAGAATTTGAGACGGAGCTCGCAAGGAGAGGGGGCAGATTCTTGGGCGTCCGGCAAACAATGGGTCAATGCCGGCACGTGATCACAGATTCCTTCCCTTCTACGTCATCTTCCCCGCCGACGTCACCTAGTCCTTCGAGGGCCACCTCGTTCCGTCCCAAAAGAATATCGCGCGTTCCGATTGTTCTTCGACTCCTTCCGGATCACTCGGAAGACAGGAGGCGGAGGAAGAGGACGGGCGGCACGGAGCACAAGAAGAATGGAGACATCCGAGAAGCAACGGCGGGCAGGCAAAAAAGCGACGTCAAAAAGTGATATGAATAGTGTAATTGTGTGGAGAAGGAAGGAGGAAGGCCCCCCGACGAGCAGCAGAAAGAGCACAGAAGAAGGCAGAGGCGCCGCGACTGCAGCACCCTCCTTCGCCTTCTTCTTTTTCGCTACTGGCTCCTCTCTTCTTCTCTACTGCTTCGGGAGGCTGGTAGATCCAGAGAGATTTGGTCGAGACGCAACGGACTCCTCTCTTTCTGCTCCTTCTTCGCCGAGAGAGGGGCTCATTTCTCTGCCCACCACCCTTTTCTCTGTGCTTCTCGGCCTCTCGAATCTCTCCGACGCGCGCGGAGCCTCTCCTTTGCTTATTCGCTCGGACGGCCGGGGCGGAGAGACCGCCACCGCCGCCGCACATTTGTCGTCGCGTCGAGCATCCATCCGAGAGTCTGCGTCTCCGGACGACGGCTCCCACACCGAATGTCTTCACTTTTCACCTACTCTCGCATTAACTGGTATGTCGTGATTCCCTCCGGAAAGAGCCCCATTCTAATGCAACTTATTCAACTGGAAGATTCTCGGAGGGGGCACTTACTCTTCCTCAACCCTCCGACAATCCTCTCCGAAAGTTGCACTTTACTTTTTGTTGCTGCTTTCGTTTTTTGCTTACGACAAACAATACGTCTATAGATATTCAGCAAAGAAGAAAAAGAAGAAAGAAAGAAAGAAAGAAAAGGAGAGGGAAGAGGGAGGATAGCCGAGGGATATGTGTGAGCAAATAAAGCCGCGGCTCGGCGGGGCTCCTGGCGGCTACCCGGCTACCATCCTTCCTTGCTGCTCGCGCGAGCCATCTCATCACTCCCATACCGGCCATCATTTTATCGGTGATGGCGGCGCGGCGGCTTCCGACCTTGAGCTCTCCGAGCCCGAGCCGCTCTCAAGTACCCGTTTCTTCTGTTTTGTGTGTGTGTGTGTGTGTGTGTGTGTGTGTGTGAGCTGGCGAATCGGACGCAGTGAGTGTGCAACTGACTTTAAACAAAAATCGGGGGCCCCGGCTCGGCCAGGTTCACATTGCCCGCCGCCGTCTTCTTCCATCCCGAATCTTTCTCTTCATCAATCTTTGTTTTCTTTTCCGCCCCCTTTGAACTCTTTTTCCGTCGTCTCCGAGCCAAAGTCCTTTTGCGACAATCTCCTGAAACAGAACGACCAACAATCATCCTCTCTTTGTGCTCTAATCTCTTCTCCACATCATCTGTCTTCCGGGGGAGCTCTCAAAAACCTCTCGTCGGCATTTTTTCGCTTTTTGTCAACTGCTCGAGGTCTTTTCCACCACTTCCAATTTCATAAGATTCTTTCGCAATATCTCCGTCCATCCTCTCATTACCTATCAACCTCGCTCTGCAAATATTTCTCATTTGATTGCTCTCCCAAATTAATTCTTCAGTGTTTCCGGCCATTGACCTCTTCAACGTTTTATTCTTTTCTGTCCAGAAACCCTTGTTCTTGGCAGCTTCCAGAACGTCTTCATTCTCTTTTTTCTTCTCCTCGAAATTCGCAACACACTTCTCTTTCTTTTCCATCGTCTTCTTCTTCGCTCAGAAGAGAGGCTTCTGAAGAATCCTTTCGGAAAATTCAATTCCGCCCTCTCCTCCTCCCCCTCGTTTCTGTTTTCGCCTACTTCTACTTCTTCTCTCCATTTTTTCTTCTTCTTCTTCTGCTTCCCTACAGCTCCTTGTAAGGGCACCTGCTGGCTGGAAAGAAGCCTCCTCCAGGGGCAAACGGAGGAGCAAGAGAGCAGCAGAAGGAGAAAGAGGGCCGCCAGGCTCTTTCTGTGTCTCGCTGGGAGAGCAGTCAAGCGACTACGTCTTTCACTCAATGAGTGAGTGTATTTGTGCGCCGAGGAGACCTCGGCAGCAGCGGCTCGAAGGGGCTAGAGACACGAGAAGGCCGCAGAAAGCAGCGGCGCTCGGTGAGAGCTCTGCACGAGCCGACCGCCTATTTCAGTCTATTGATCTGTACCCTCACTTCATCCGAATCTTCCTTTCTCTATCTCTCAATGATCCGATCTGATTTTGTGGTTCGACACCTCCCAACTGTTCGCATTTCCAGGTCAAGATTCGTGTAGACGTAGGTGTGTCAGCAGTGCGGCAAATGGGAAATGAATGGAGGCAGATTTGACTTTGACGACGGCGGAACCTACGTAGGCGGATGGGAAGAGGGCAAGGCGCACGGTCACGGCGTCTGTACCGGTCCACAGGCGAAAGGAGAGTACGCGGGCGCGTGGCACTACGGATTCGAGGTGTCCGGAGTGTACACGTGGCCCTCCGGTAACACCTATCAAGGACAGTGGCAGAACGGAAAACGGCACGGATTGGGCGTGGAACAGCGGGGGAGATGGCTGTACAAGTGAGTTGTTTCCGTCCTTCGAGATGTTGAAAGAACGATTTCAGGGGAGAATGGACTCAAGGATATAAAGGACGGTACGGAGTGAGACAATCGGCGAACTCGCAGGCCAGGTATCAGGGCACCTGGTCGGCAGGATTTCACGATGGATACGGAACGGAAATTTACGTGGACTCGGGTGAGTAAGACAAGCACTCAGTGAGAAGTGGACGCGCCTTTGCCGCCACGTCACATAAATATTTGCACACTTACGGTCGGATGTGATAGATCAAATGTTGCAGGAAGTTATCAAGGTCAATGGCTTCGAGGAATGCGGCACGGTTATGGAGTCAGGAAAAGTGCCACGTACGTAGCAGCCGCGAAGTTCCGATCGAAATCGCAGACGCATGCATCGTTAACGAGTCTGAGGAGTGGAAGAGTGGAAGAGGAGAATGCAGAGGAACATAGGCATAGTAAGGGAAACTTCTGGGAGGAGAGAAATGAACATTTGAACTTTAGAAGAAGGACTGTCCGGACGAGGAGGCTTTGTGCTACGTGCCAACTCAGCAGCTCCGCAGCGACGACGAAGATCCCTTTCGGAACGGAGTCTTGCTGTCAAACGAACGCTTTTGTCCGGATTACGGATCAAGAAACAACATTCGACTGGAGACATCCATCAGAGAGTGGCTTCAATGACAGGAAGCCTTCGATCGAGTGGGTCCACGATGAGTTGCACTTCGGAAGATTCTCTTCATCATCACGGCCTCCAACAACCAGAAGAAGAGCCTGTTGAAGAAGCAGCCGTTGAAACTTACATGGGTGAATGGAAGAATGACATGCGAAGCGGATTTGGAATCTGCGAAAGAAGTGACGGATTGAAGTGAGTGATCAGACTTTGGAGAACCATTATAAACGAACTGATGTTTAGGTACCAAGGAGAATGGGCGAACAACGCAAAGTGTGGCTTCGGAGTGACGACGTTCAAAGACGGAACGAAAGAAGAAGGTCGATACAAGAACAACATCCTGATCGCTTCTTCGCGACGGAAAGGAGTCATCTTCATGCGTGCCTCCAAGTTCCGCGATAAAATCGAACAGGCGATTGAAGCGGCGAAGAGAGCGGCCAGCATCGCCCATCAGAAGGCAGACATCGCTGCGAGCAGGACGTCGACGGCGAAGGAAAGGAGCGAAAGTGCCGCGTTCCTGGCCAGACAAGCGTGCGAAGACTCCGAACTGGCAAGAATCCACGCGAAACAGTTCGACCCGAGCTTCAAACAGCCGGGAACCCGCCGTCTTCTGAAGGACAACAACGGCGGAGAGTCGTTCGGAACTGATCTCTCGGACGCGATTTCGTACTCGAGACATATTCCGTCGCGTCAGCACAGCAAACAACATTCCTTCGAGCAGGTAATCAATTCGTTCTCCTCCGCATCCGTACTGTATAAGAGTGTTTCAGACGCTTTCCGTTGACATGGCTGATGACATGACACCTCCGTCGAAGCATTCCGCTTCTTATCACAACCACGCCCCCAATACCAACCACGTAGGATTCCATAATCCGTACGGCTACCCAGAACCCTCTTCGTCGCAACTTCAGACGCCCATCGACTCCCATGATCTCTCCCATTCCTCCAATCGCATTCCAAACGCAAATGTAGCCATTGCCTTCGTAACCGCTCAGTCTTATCAATATTTAATTCAGGATCACCTTATTCCTTCCGTTTCTGTCGTTCAGGAAGAGGAGAAGCCTCTGGTCCTGCAGCAGCAGTCGCATCTGCAGACATCTCAGCCGGGCCCTTCCAATCTGAACGCACAGCCACCGAACGTGATGTCGTCGAGGTTCTCATTGAGGTGAGTGGAGCATCTGGAGCACGTCCATCTGGAGCCATTAACTCGTTTGCAGCGACGATCATTACGATCAATATGTGATGGCTGGCGGAAGCAACAGCCAACAGCAGCAGCAGCAGCAAAAGCTGCGACGCAATCGGCCATCGCTCATGAGACAGGCGGATGTCAACGAGTCTTGTGTACGTTTCTTCGCCGCGAGTCGAGTAGAAGAAGAGTGTTCATCTTCTACTGCTGTCTCGTTACGCTCATCCGCTTCCTCCCTCACACGTATTAGTCGTTGTAAAGTAGGCGAGAGAGCGGAAGAGCCCCCGGAGACGTAGGCAACGATGAAATCGATTTCAGACTGGTGGAGGCGCTGCGAGCGGGCTCAATCGGAGGTCGACTCTTGCCTCGGCACGAGATCGAAACGGCGATGCCAACCATCCGGGGGCCATCGGAGCCGCGCACGCGGCAAAGCTGCAATCGGCAGCCGGAGACGGAGATAACATGGGAAGTCTGCCGAACCTCGCCGAACTTGAAACTCAAGGGGTATTGACTATTCTGAAGGAACACGAATGCGAAGTCTGAATGATTCCAGGTGCGGATGAGGAGAGAAGAAGCGGCCCGTCTCGCCGGACAACGTCGACAAGAGGTGCTCCGCGAGCAGGACGAAGCCGCTCTCCTCCGAGCGAATCCGCTCCGACACTTTCTGCAGCCAGCTTTCAGAGTGAGTCGAAAGATCATTTTAATGAATGACATCTGCAGCGAAATCTCACAAATTCCTCGTTTCGCCGTAATTTTTACAACGCAGAAAAGTTTACATAAGTGTTTTTCTGCTCTCTCTCTCTCTCTCTCTCTCCCTCTTTCCACTTTTCACATAAATCTTGCAGGCGTGGCTGGTGCGTTGGCGCATTCCGATCCTTCTGGCAATTGCGAACATTTCGTTGCTCATGCTCTTCTATCATCTGCTCACTTACGAGAAGAAGAAGAAGTCTTCTTCGTAGGCACTTTTAATATATTTCCATTCTCTTTTCCGGATACAAAAACGCTCAATTGTCTTCGTCTTAGGGGTACGGTACAACTCAATAATTTCATAAATTTAAATTTTAAAAGCTAAAAAAAAAATCAAAAATCAGAAACCCAAAACGTCACTTAAAAATGTTCCCCCGTTCTTTCCAACCTTCTTTCGACGAATAATTGTGAGCGGGAAATTGTGATTTAGTTTTCCTTCAATTGATTTGGTGCTCTTCTGGAAACCTTCTAGAACCCGTCTAGACCCTTCGCTTCCCTTCGGATCCCCCTGATTCTTTCCCTCGAACGATGATATGGTTTCTTCTTCATTTTCTCGCACGTATTCTTTTTATGTACCATTTTCCAATGAGCGGCTCAAAGTGTGCTCAGTCGTGCGCCCTGACCGTCTGCAGCTCACTTTCCCGTCTTCGAGCTCCGAAGGCTTTGCCTTCAGTTCTCGCACTTCTCTTATAAGTTTAATATATTTGGTTCTCAAGATGATTTCGGTCATCATTCAGCAAAAATTAAGATGTCCGAAATACTCTTTTCACCATTTTTCCCTCATACATATGAACGATTAGACATGTTTTCGCTGGTTTTGAAATTGAAATAAAGTGGAGTTATTTTTTGTTTTTAATCTGATTAAAACAACTGATCACAGAATGTACACATAAAAGTAGTCAAACGGCCAAAAAAAAGAGTGAGCAAGAGAATTTGGCATTATGAAGAGGTGAAGGCTTCTCTGGAATGGGTGAAGAGAAAATAGCAGGATCAGGATCAGAGATAGGATTCGTTCTTCGACAGACGGATCGCCGGCGTCATTCCTTCCGTCGTCTCCAGAAGACGGACTGCTCGAGGGAGCACCGGGGATAACTCACCGCCCTCTTCCTCCGGCACCTTTGATAGTGGACGTGCTTTCCGGGAAGAATGCTGAAAAGACAAAGATGAAGGAAAATGTGAATCCGCGGCTTAAACCTTGTCGTCTTTTCCAGAAGAACTTGATCCAGCCTCTTCCTCGTCTCCGATCAAACTTTCCATCCTTCGCTGCGCTGTCACTACTTCGTCGATCTTATCCGAAATCTGCTTTATTGCAGTTTGTCGGTCTTCGGATGTTGTGCTGAAATATCGACTTTTCCTAAAGCTGAAACCAACCTCTCTGGTCTTACGACTGATCCGCATTGATCTGTGTGATGAGCATTTTCCCAATGTTCGACAGCTCCTCAATGTTATCTCTCAGCCGTTTTCTCTCTGTGCTCAACGTGATCGAGTTGAGCCTTCCACTAACTCGGAGCCGTTCTCGTAGGGATTTCTCAATCTCTCCCACCTTTTCCATCATCTGTCTGTGAGTGATCATAAACGATTCGACCACATTCAGTCTTTGTTCGTTCTTCCGGATCGCATCGTCCAATTCTCTCCACGCACGCTCCAGTCTTTCTCTCTTCTCGTCACTCGAACTCTCCTTCATTGCCGCTCTTTCTGTCGTTTTGGCCATCGACAATAGCTGCTTTCCGTACTGGTATGTGCTCTGAAACACTGAAAGATCCGGAAAAGTTCCTGAATGTCAACTCACCAATGCAGTCTTATCCAGGTTCTGTCTGTCATTCCGCAGATTCCTGACTGCTTCCTCGTGCACATCCGACAGACTGTACTCCTTGTGCAGCGTCTCCTTGAGCTCCCCGAGCCATTTGATCGCCTGATCACAGTCTCCGTAGGTCGTCACTAATTGGATCTGCTGCTGCTGCTCCAATCGCTTTACACTAGCTAGTTCATTATGCCTGAATAACTAGTCATCGAAACAGTGAACGATTTCAATGCCAACCTATTCTGTTGTTTAACTAAATCGCTCAGACTACGGTCTATGTTAACTGTGAACTCTTCGCACGGAAGAACGTCTCCGAACTGACGGGCCTTCGTCGCCGTTTCTTCGCCGGCGTCTATTGCGGCCTCGCATGCACTATCTGGAAACGGAGACTTCAGAAGGTGCCCGGATACTACTATTCGACGCACTCATTGAGTTCACCAAATCGTCCAATTCCTTTTTGGTTTGTGCCAATTCCTCCAGCGTTTTCGCTTTCGTGTCGTCCTCCGCACACACCTTCTCGAGCATTTGATCCGATTTTTTGTTGAACTGAAAACGTATTCTACAGTTTACTCAAATCTTCACTTTTTTTTTTAACAACCTCGGCAACTTTCTCTCGGAACGTTCTGTTTGTCTGCGAGAACTGTGATTGTGCTTCGACTCGATAGGCAAAGTGCTCTGCCACGTCACGGATCTGTTGTCGGGTTTTCTGAAGAACTATAGCCACCTGGGGACAGGCGGCCATCAATCGGGTCGCCATTTCTGCCAACTGCTGACTTTGCTCCTCGATCTCCTGAAATTTTGGATTGATTCTTTGCCCTTCAATAGAAATTACTTTTGTCTTATTTCCGAGCTCCTCATGCTGCTTCACAAGACTTTCCGCCTCATCCAGATTGTCCGCAATCTGGCAGAGAGAGTTGAGCCACTTCTCCCCGGATCCCTCGATCCAATCGAGAAAGTCGGAGACACCGGCGGTGTGATCCTTGATGAGTCCGTCTTTGCTGTTCTCTTCTTCCTTTATCTTGATGTCTTTCAAGGATTTTCTCAAACTGTTCGCCGCATACTCATCTTCAATTCGTTTCGTAGCTTGCAACTTTGAGATGAATTCTTCTACTGAAAATGAGCAAGTTCCAAGAAAGAATTTGGTACAGAAACCTACACGAACGATCTTCTTCTGTATTGTGCTTTGATATGTCCGCGTCTGAATCTGCCACGTAGTTCTGCCACTTTTTCACTTCCTAAAATATCTCTCTCCTACTGTTTCATTACGTCCTCTACTCACTAATCTCGTAGCCAGCCACGAATCAGGGTCATAACCTAGAGTGCCTCCGAACTGTTCTGGCAACTGATTCACATCGACGAACTTGGAAAGTTTGTGCATGGAGAGCAAAACTGTCTGGAAAGGAGAACGTTTAAAACTCCAAAGAATCAAAGAGACCTTGAGAGTGTATCCGCTGACAATCAGATCGAAGTTGATCTTCTGTTGGTCTAGAAACTTCTCCGGCTGGATGATGAGCACTTGTCGGACCTTTTTGTATAGTGCCTGCTGACATGCTCTCAGATAAAACTTTAGTTGTTTCAGCTGAATGTGTCGGGTGTCCAGAAGTACGGTAAAAAGAGTCGACGGCGGCAGAGTGTCCGAGAGAAGTGCCAGAAGGGAAACGAGGTTTTCGTAGGAGCATTCTTGCACTTGTGACGTCGAAACTACCATCAGAGCATTGCCTTCCCTGTCAGTGCCGCCTGCAACTTTTCACTTTGACATTCCCGATTTTTATTTACTCTCTGTCTTTCTTTTGTTACATGTCAACTACAACTATTGTAGACTGTCAAGTTTTCCGCAATAGATTGACGAGTGATAATTTTACGGCTTCTCCTTCTTCTTCTTCTAGTTTCTTGTTATCTCCTACAGTGTAAGAAAGTAGCGTAACGAAAGAATGTTCGTCATTTGAATGCGTGGGTGATTGCCGTGTTACACCCGTGTTTGGGTGAAGCCGGGGCGCGCAGAAGGTGGAAGAGAGAGCGAGAGAACTGTGTCAATAGGTAACGGAAGGCGGATTGATTGATAAACAGCGTAAATAGATGCGAGAACAGGGAACATTCCATTGCCCCAACCCGAACTAACCTGGAACGAAGGCGAGCCGGTCGAGCACGTGCTGACGTTGCTTTTGCCAGTTCATCTCGACGAGGATCCCAAGAGTTTTGGCAGCAGGCCAATCGGTTGTTTAGCGGTGGTGTCGAACAAGACGAAGACGGGACAACGGGCGGGAAAAGGAGATGAAGAAGAGAATAAACAAGGGGCGAAATGAAGAAGCGGCGGAAGGTAGGAGGTCGCAGACGGGACGATCGCTGCGCACGCAAAGACCGTCTACGGAGGAGGCACGCAGATGAAGGATGTTACAGTTCTACTGCTGCTAATTGATTAATATTAGCCATCTTTCCTCGTCTCTTCTCCCTTTTTTGACGCCTCCCCTCAAGATTTTGACGCTAATTCGGAAATGCAAAAGAGGTCGAATGATGCTGATTGGATTGGCAGTTGCAGTGGTTTTTGTGATTGACAATACGATTGATACCGAGTGGAGAATGTGAAGAGGGGCAAAAACTTGAAGACTGGATCCATTCGACTAAGTTTGAATAGATTCAAACCGCACCAGATTAGAGATGTGTATACATGAACGGAGAATGCAAATGCGAGTGGATTGGTCGAATCGAACGAAATCGTAATCCAGGAACAAGCAAGATACCCTTTTAGATCAGAGCTGGATGTCCGTTTGATCTGAAATTCGAAAAGTGCATAGAAATGCCCATCTGGAGCCACAGTACGGTCGAGTCACCATCTGAACAGTTTGATTAACTGTATAAAGTTGTTCTCCTTCCCTTATGTAACAGTTTCCTATCCAATTCCAGAAGGAACACCACAAAAACCAATTTTGTTTCTCTGATTCTCGAACCCCGCCATATCACATAATTGAGGCCTTTTTGGTGCATAACGGAGCCCAGTCCGTGCCCTATAATTATGAATCATATGAATCGGCAACTGTCGCGACCGCTGCTCCATGAGCACCGTTCTCGACCCAGTTTATTCTAAACAATATGCTTCAATAACTATACAATCTCTTTCCCAATCAATCAATTCTAATCACGCAATCGATACGAGTCGATCTGGCTGCGCGCCAGAACGACCACTCTCTCACCACACGCGCCGGCGAGAGACGCAGACAACTAAATCACCGTACTTTCGGGCGCGGCGAGACCCACGCGATCATCAACGTCGTCAAATCCTAAAATAATTTCAGAATATTGAGGGAGGGAGTGAGCCTCAACATTCAGTTGCTTTCACTTTGAGTTCAAGCTTGCGTTGGTTTCCAACCACGCTCTGAAGAGAGAGAGAGATTGTACTAAACACTAAATGACCTAAACACACTACACTATAATACAATCACTCCTTCCTCCCTTTCTTTCCCGCTCCGCTTCTCGATGTCTCCACGCCCGGGCTTCGCTGGCGACTCCATCGTCACCTGTGGCTCTACAACGATTGCGGAGCTCTTCCCTTTTAACCTTTTACCTGTTTTCCCCTTTTATTTACCCCTGCAGTAGCCGCTTGTCAAGTTTTTCCGCACAAACCCGCTATAGCGTTTCTTGACAATAAACAGTGCGTCTACAACTCGTTCACCTCTGGAAACAGGCTAAAACTGGGACGATCCGGGGAGGGAAGAGTTCTACTATACCAATTACCCCTTTATCCGCGTCTCTTGATTGGCATCCCCAATAAGATCCGCGACATGGTGCATCGACCGGTTTTTTATCGTTTTCTTGTACTCACCACGAGAAACACGTATAAATCCGTCGCAAACGAAAAAGTCAATAATTCTCAACGAATCTCTCGAAATTGCGATAACCGGGCTCAAAATATACGAACAATGTGTCATGCACATCTATATTTCTCCAAAAAGTTCTAAATCTCTATAAAAGCAGCCTAAACTCCACAAGGATTTCGTTATCAAGGCTGCAGGCGAAGTCAACCATCGCATCTCGGCCTGGCGGCGAGAGAGTGGCAAGCGATGGAGGAGACGCAGACACTCAGACGGGTGTCGACGCCTTGCCGCCCAGAGTTTTGCTCAAGTTCACCGTCGACAGGAACTTCAAGCGTTCTCGAATACAACAATCTATACGAACCACTGAACCCTAAACAAAAATCTATTACTACATCTAGTTCTCTTTCCGATAAACCAACTCTATCTAAACCTCCGTTCCATCTAGAGAGCGACAAGAAGCAGAGAGGCCGAGGAACGCAGCAAGCGAAATCCTCCTGCCTCCGACAAGGAAAGAGTTGAACGACTTCATTTCGGAAGGACACGAGCTGTTCGACGGAGAGTTAGAGTGGTCGACGACGGGAGAAGGCGACGACGAGCAGAGGATGGAGGACGTCGAGGATGTCGACATGGCAGGGCTCGACCGGTTGTTCGAGCGTGAAGGTTTCGAATTCCACCTGATCGAACCAGCCACGCCCGAACCTTCCGCCGCTCCAGAGCCTTCGGATGCCGCCGAACCAGCAATCATCTAAATTTCTAAATACAAATCTCCCCGAGACTATATTTCCCACTCACAAACCCTTCTTTCAAAACAATTCTCGCTAAATCTTGTGTTTCCCAAACAATATTACTAAAGTTCCGGTCCCAAAACCGGTCCAACCTAGTGTGTGCTAGACTCTGTTATTTTTCGATACGATAATCAATAAAGTAACATCAAAACAATCAAAACAATACACAAAAGGACGGTAGAGGAAGACCAGCCCGGTCTAACCCCTCGCAACTGTCCAAAGGCCTAGCCTTTTTCAAAATTCAGCCTCGTTTCCCTCCTCTTCTAGACCAACTACAGTCATTCTTCTAATTACGTGTACTCCGTTACAGGTTCGAAGGTTCAAAAAGACAATGACAATCAAAAAGGGAACGGGGGCAAAACAGATATAATCGATATCTGAACTCAAAAACAACTGCTAGCGTTATTCAGGGGGAGAGACGTCACCCCCGCCAGTTACAAAACCATCCTACGTTCTCGCTTTCGGCAAAAAGGAGAACGCACTATAGGATAAGGACTCCAAAACAGTCAAAACAGGTTCCAGAAGTCGCAATTCTAGAACTATATCAAAACCAGCCAGAAGGCCAACAACGAAAGTTGGCAGGCATTACCAAAACATCGACTATACCAAACAAAAGGGACGCGGTCCCAAGATATCCAAAACGTCAATAGTTTCCCAAACTTTCTGCTATTAGGACTAGTTAATTCCATTGTCAGCTAGTTCCTTCCTTTCGACCCCTTTTGTTTTTTTTGCCAGCGCCCGCCTGATCAACGGGACCGTACAATTACATTCGATAAGCTAACTACAAGCGGGGGAACAAGAAAGCGTTTGCAGGTATCTACTTGGTTAATCAGTCGAAAGACTTGGAGCGTACGCCGCGCTCTCCCAAATCTATCATGTTCGGCAGCGACGATGATATGCAGGACTATCCAGCTCCGGGAGCCAACCATCGTCCAGGTGGAAGGTCCCCTATGGGACAAATCAAAGGCCAATTCACCAAACAGGCCAACAAAATGAAAAGTCTGGCCGACAATGTCCAGGCCATTTTGGACCAACAAAACGAGCCAGGTCAACCAGCGCGAATCAATGCTCTAAAAAAGAAGCTGGTCAAAGGCCTCGGCGAAATTTCGAACTACAAACTATCTATCGAACAAAAGATAAACGAAAACGAAATGCTCAAACAAAACAAGAACGACAATATCAAAACAGTGCAAGAGCATTGCGACCAACTAAACTACGGAGCTATACAAGCTAGACTAGGTGAACTGCTAGCGAAAGTCGAACGATTCTTGCTCGAGTCACCACCTCCCCAGGGAGAGGATCTCGACGAGGAAGATTCGGATTTCGAACAAGCGATGGGCATACTCAACCCGGCCGACCGAACTCTCGACGAAAGCCGTCAGGAACCGGCGCCACGCCCTACAAACTATCATGCCACTCGCAGCACTTCTGGCCAAGGACTCCCACCGCAGCAACCTGCCAATCGAGGACGAGGACCCCAGCTTCTCGCTATTCTGCAGCCTGCCAATCACGGTACATCGGGACAAGGACTCCATCCTCCACCGCAGCAGCCTCCGTCGCAGCAGCCGCCACGGCCAGTCAGCATCAACAAAGTGGAAGTCGAACGCCTACAGACCGAAATGCTAGGCCAACGAGAAATTATCCAAGCGCTCCAACAACAAATCGACGAGATGAGGAGAACGAGCCGTCAAGCTCAGTCATCTCACGGCTCGCCCTTCTACCAAGAAATGGCAAGACCAACAACTCGTCCAACAACTACTATCGATTCGGTGCGCGATATTCTCGACACACTGGACAGCTTTTCGGGAGAAGAACCGGACAAATACCCGGAATTCATAACCCAATTTGATCAGCTAGTCAACAAAAACGAAACATTCACCGACGAGACTAAATACTGTATCCTAAAGAAACTACTAAAAGGCGACGCTAGATTGCTGGTCACCACTACTACGTTTTCCAAAGCAGACTACGAACAGACTTTGAAACTACTCAAAGCCACGTACTCTACTGATAGACGTCCCATTCTCACGGCGACGTTCCGGAAACTCCCTTTCCACGCCTCCGACTTCGAGGAGATGGAGAAGGATCTGGCCAAGCACATCATCACCGCCAACCGTCTCAAACTCTACAATATCGATATCAACCATCCACTCATCATCGAGGAATTCATTAAGAAGACCCCGAACCCGATCATGACTCACGTCCTCAGGCAGCTTCGGACCAAGGAGCTCTCTTTCGAGGATGTCACAAAGACGGTCAGAGAGAAGATCATGGAGATGAGATTCATCGACGATGCATCGCACGACCAGAAGTTGCGGGTGTCAAGCAACGAGGTGTGCGTAGCCCAGGTGCCGGAAAGGAACGGTTCCTCAAAATACTCAAAACAGAACCGCTTCAACAAACGAAACAAAGACAATAGCAATGACAAAAAATCGAACGAAAACAAAACGACTAAAGGTGGTTCTCGCACTGACAAAGAAGGGAGCTCGGGCAAACCGAAGTGCTTCTTCTGTAAAAGCGCGGATCACCACCCGACTAAATGCACTAAACCGGCAGACGAAAAGAAGAAGGTGATGAACGAGGAGAAGCGGTGCCTAAACTGTGGTACTCAAGGCCACGCCCGAAATAACTGCAAATCCTCATTCTCCTGCTTCTTCTGCGGCAAAAGACATTTCTCCGGAATGTGTGAGACCGGAGACGTGGCTAACCAATACAATAGGATGAGCGAAGAACGAAAACAGGAGCTGAGAACATTTTTTCGTGGCCCCCACGATCAATAAGCGGCTCCGGGCAGGCACGGGAGCAATCCATCCAAATCCCGTGCCAAAAGCTGACTTGCCCACGGCACCTATTCTAAAAACTATAACTAAAGAATCTTCAAACCCTCCCAAAACCCCGCCCATCCAAATCTATACATGCGAAATAAAGGATGCTCACTACAGACTTCCTTTCGTAGCTCTAAAAACCCCCGACAATCAGACTCTCTTAGCTCTGATTGACACAGGGGCCTCTAGATCACTAATCTCAGAATCAACAGCTAGAAAACTTTCTCTCCAGGTCATTCAGCAAGGAAACATGGTGGTCACCGGTATCAACGGTAATCACAAGGTGACTTCTTATTGTGTAAAACTGGAGCTGAAAGGAGACAACAACCAAGTGTGGACTACTAAAATCGCCACACATCCTAACGTTCCAATCCATTTCCAAGCCCCCGACTTCTCGAGCCAAGATATCGCGTTTCTCAAGAAACAGGGTATCGAAGCCTCCGCTATTATGAATCTAAAACGCCACAATGGTCAGACTATCGATCTTCTACTAGGCAACAACTTTATCGCAAAAATAAGCACTATAAGTAAACGATACGAGCTACCAAGCAGTAGAATGCTCGAAAAGACCCCGCTAGGTACCATTACATACCCAACGCCAAACAACGAATTCTCTATATCAGTACCAAACAATTCAACCCTCGAAACTACAGATTACTTCGCGCCTGCGATAATCAACGCTCTCGAAACTAAAGAATGCGAAGATTTGCAAGACGAAGAGTTGGTACGAAGGGTGGAGCAGCTGTTCGAACTAGAGCACGTAGGTATTCGCCCAGCGGAGCAGTGCGAGGAGGAGAGAACGTCGGACGAAACTTTGATCGAAAAGACTAAAGAAGAAGCCGCTGTCATCGACGGAAGAATTCACGTATCCTTCCCGTTCAATGGCAGAGAGTCTGAACTAGAGGACAACTATCCAGTGGCTAAACGACGACTAGTATCACTACACGGAAACCTACTAAAAGACAAAAAATTGCTAAACGATTATGACCAAACGATAAAACAACAACTACTATCAGGTATCATCGAGCGAGTTCCGGGAACAGCCAGAAGACGAAGAAGAGGAAAGTTCTACTACATTCCTCACCGAAACGTCATGAAGGCCGACTCGATAACCACAAAACTGAGAATAATACTAGATGCATCTAGCCACATGAAAGACGAACTTTCACTAAACGATTGCGTCCTCCCAGGACCATCTATACTACAAACAATCCCAGGAATTCTAATACGTTCCAGACTAAAGCGGTACCTGATGATCGCGGACATCGAAAAGGCTTTCCATCAGGTCCGCATCAAACCAGAATTTCGAGATTTGACTCGGTTTTTGTGGTTGAAAGACCCAAACAAACCAGCCACGCCAGACAATATCGAAATATACAGGTTCACTCGACTACCCTTCGGGATGTCGTGCTCTCCGTTTCTACTAGCAGTCACAATTCTCATGTACCTAGATATCAATCCCCACGAAATCAACACGAGAATTCTGCAAAACTTGTACGTCGACAATACGGTTTTCACGACCAACGACGAACAAGAACTAGAACAGCTATACAAAGATTCTAAAGAAGCTTTCAACAAAATGGGGATGAATCTAAGAGAATACCAAGTTAACTCTAGCAAAATCCACGACAAGATCCTAGAAACAGATAGAGCTCAAAACACGGAGTGCAAGCTACTAGGTCACGTATGGGACAGCGTAGCCGACACTCTAACTATAAAAATTGCTAAACCACCAACAGAGGCACCAACCAAAAGGAAGGTTGTATCCTTTTTGGCCTCAACGTACGATCCTCTAGGACTTCTTTCCCCAATAATAGTCCCAATCAAGGAATTCGTACAAACTCTGTGGGAAGAACCGACCGCTTGGAAGCAGTTGATTCTGAAAGCATCTTGCAAAAGATGGTACGAACTCATCGCGTCCTTTACGCGAACGACGTTCACCATCCCAAGACAGCTCACAGAGTACTACAACTACAAATCGGTCAAAATAATGATGTTCAGCGACGCATCGGAACTACACTTTGCAACAGCAGCCTACCTACACTACGAAATCGAAGACAGGCCTCCTGTAACCAAAATCATCTTTGCAAAACCAAAAGTAAAGCCGAGAAAGTCGAAGCTAACAATACCACGCCTAGAATTACTTGGCATTCAATTGGCTGTCAATACAGCAACAATGCTAGTCAGAGAGATCGACGAGACCAAGCTGACAGAAGTCAAATTCTTCAGTGACTCGACAATCGCTCTCTACTGGATCCTCAAACGAAGCAAAGTAGTTCGCTTCGTGGACAACAGAGTAACTAAACTACATCAAACAACCGAATTACTAGAAAAACAAGGTCTGAACCCGAAATTCTATCATTGTCCTACAGAATTCAACCCAGCAGACGTGGCTTCGCGAGGAACCACAATCGAGCTGCTACTAAAGGACGATATGTGGTTCAACGGACCCGAATTTCTCCGAAAACACGAAAAAGACTGGCCAACGAAAATACTGGGCAAAGTCGACAGTCCGACAGAGTTCAGAGAGAAGCTAGTCTCCAAAAACGAACGAAAGAATCCTAACAAAGTACCAAAACCAGCAACAATCGCAATTGCCGAATCATCGACAGTAACCAGATCTATAGTACCGTACACAAGAACGAACTCATACCAAAAGTTGATATCTACTATGGAGAAGGTGTTCAAATACCTGTTTAGAGCCCTACCCCACAAGAGATGGGAGAGTGAGCTCATGCAAAACCTAAAAGCAACAATATCACAACCAATACAACACCGAAGATTGGTGCAATCCTACATTATAGCAGATCACTACAAGGACGCAAAATCCCGGTTGGATTTTTCCGTTCCAGCTTCTCTGAAAGCAGCACGTGGAAGAGACGGCATATTCCGATACCAACGCCGCCTGGATCCGACTCGTCACCCAAGAGATTCAGTCAATCCGATTATTCTGATTCGACAACACGAATTGACAAGGATGATAACGCGAGAGATCCACAAACTCCACGCCCACAATAGTCAAGCCTACTTGATAACTGCTATACGAATGCGATATTGGATACCACAAGTGGGTATCATTGCTAAACAGACAATAAACAGGTGTTTCCGGTGCAAGAAACAATCTGGCCTACCGTACCAATACCCAATATCCAAGGTACTCCCTCTGTGCCGCACAGTTGCGTCGGCCCCATTTGCACACGTTGGAATAGATTACTTTGGTCCTATATACTACAAAAGCGCACAAAACACACCAAAAAAGACATGGGTAATGTTGGTTACATGTCTCATGGCTAGAGCTGTACACCTAGAACTAGTCATCGACAACTCCACGGAAGCGTACCTAGCCGCTATGATACGGTATTGCGCTCGAAGAGGAGTCCCGAAAACTATACTATGCGACAACGCACCCACGTTCAAGCTAGGAAACAAAATGATCAACAACGATATCAAGGACAAACACCACGCTAGCATCGAATTGACTTCATTTCTTGCGTCACAAGAAATCGAAGTCAAATATATCACACCCTTATCACCATGGATGGGGGGTATATATGAGCGGGTAGTGGGGATAGTCAAAAAAACAACTTTTCAAAACTATCGGTCCACTAAACCTAAAACTATATCGACCTGAGCACCGTACTGACCCAAATAGAAAGTGCAGTGAACAGTCGTCCTATAACAGCCAACCCAACACGAGCAAACGACCAAATTGCTCTACGACCAGTCGATTTCCTGCTCCCCTCAGTCAACCTGGCACTTCCAGGCATGTCTAAGGTGAACTGGAAGCCCGGAGTGACGGAGAAAGTCACTCGCCGCCACATGGAGGGCCTCCAGAGCGTCATACAAGGACTGTGGAAAGAGTGGAGCGAGCAATACGTCATCAACTTGCGAGAGTCACATTCGAAGCCACGCAGACACTCGGCGACTACGCCCAGAGTCGGACAAGTGGTACTAGTGACAAACGAGAACGCCCCTCGCCATCACTGGTCACTAGGACTAATTACCGAACTAAAAGAAGCATCAGACGGCGAGATCCGAAAGGCCGTAGTCAGATGCAAACGAAACTATATCGAACGATCTATATCGCACCTGATTCCCTTGGAAGTACCCGAGGAGAACGAGGAGCAACCAGAGAACACCGAGAACGATACCGAAACTCTAGAGGGTCGTTCCGAACTCTCGCCTCTCAATATGATCCAAACCACCCCAAAATCGAAAACTACAGTAATCCCGTCCACGCCCACAACGAAGGCGGACGACGGGTCCCAACTAAATCTGAACCACCCAAAAGACCCAGTTTGCCCCGAAAGGTCAAACAGGGGATAAACTACAAAAACCCTAGCTGGAGGGTCAGCTTTCGGCCGGGGGAATGTCGCGACCGCTGCTCCATGAGCACCGTTCTCGACCCAGTTTATTCTAAACAATATGCTTCAATAACTATACAATCTCTTTCCCAATCAATCAATTCTAATCACGCAATCGATACGAGTCGATCTGGCTGCGCGCCAGAACGACCACTCTCTCACCACACGCGCCGGCGAGAGACGCAGACAACTAAATCACCGTACTTTCGGGCGCGGCGAGACCCACGCGATCATCAACGTCGTCAAATCCTAAAATAATTTCAGAATATTGAGGGAGGGAGTGAGCCTCAACATTCAGTTGCTTTCACTTTGAGTTCAAGCTTGCGTTGGTTTCCAACCACGCTCTGAAGAGAGAGAGAGATTGTACTAAACACTAAATGACCTAAACACACTACACTATAATACAATCACTCCTTCCTCCCTTTCTTTCCCTGCTCCGCTTCTCGATGTCTCCACGCCCGGGCTTCGCTGGCGACTCCATCGTCACCTGTGGCTCTACAACGATTGCGGAGCTCTTCCCTTTTAACCTTTTACCTGTTTTCCCCTTTTATTTACCCCTGCAGTAGCCGCTTGTCAAGTTTTTCCGCACAAACCCGCTATAGCGTTTCTTGACAATAAACAGTGCGTCTACAACTCGTTCACCTCTGGAAACAGGCTAAAACTGGGACGATCCGGGGAGGGAAGAGTTCTACTATACCAATTACCCCTTTATCCGCGTCTCTTGATTGGCATCCCCAATAAGATCCGCGACAGCAACCGAGCCGTTTTATGGTTTTCATGCAAAACGCATTTGCTCTTTTTTGGTTTTGCCAACGCGAAATGTGTACTAAAAATACAGTAGGGTCATGCTCGTTTCTTATTTCAAACCTTTATTACTCACTAGCCAATTATCATCAATGCTATGGAGCTACTTGGAGGGGACCAATTGAGAATGAAATCAAACAATTCGGTACCTTGCAAGCAGCTCTACAACACTGAAAACGAATAGAAGACGTCGTCGCGGTGGGAGATGAAGCCCGAAGGACGGACCAACTGAAAAATGGGCCAGGAAGGGAAGAAAGGGGGCGGAGTCTGAGTGGAAGAGGGGCGGAGAAGTGGACGACGACGGAGCAGCAATTGAAGTGGCGGCGGAGGAAGCAGCAGGGCGAAGTGTCAAGTGGAAATGGAGCCGATGAGTATGTTGACTCAACACGTTATCAATTTATTAGCAGATATCTATCAGTCGGCGAACTTTGACTTTGAACTGATGGAAAAATGAAAACAGAGGGAGATTTGAAAAGGATTTGGGAAGTTGGAGGTTGCTGACAGTAAGGACGCAGATGTATGTGAAATAGTTAGATAATTGTTGGTTTCCAGGAATCCATAAGTTCATATGACAACTTTCTGCAACTACAATACTCCAGTTTACGCAGAACCATACAGGCTCGAAAACCTGAGAGCATCTTTGGAACAATGTAATTCATGTTATGGAAACCGAGATTCCTGTGTATTGTGTTCGTCTTTGAAACTTCATGAAAAGAGCCGATGCGCTCTTGTTCTTGCACTGCTTCGGTTCATATTCAGCAGCTAAACTTCTCCTGAACTTTTAAAAACATCTTTAAAAACAACTCTTCGAATGTTTCAATTGAGCCAATTACTTTTTCGCCATAGAAGCCGCTCAGTGTTCTTCCAATTCCTTCCCCTCCCTCCCCTTTGCCCATCGGCTAAATCCAATTGCATTTCTCCAAACTCATCTCGAGTCGGTCTTATTCAATAAGTGCCCCATCGGACTCTCTCCAGTACCTGTTGTCCCTTGTTATGCTCCGTGGATGAGCCGACCTAATCTATTGCACGGTGGGAATTCGTAGCGGGTCTCTGCGGCCCACCCGCTCTCTCCGCGGTTCAATTTTCGCCGTCGGCTACGAACCAAATCTTCTTTCGATTTGCATTCCTTTCCAAACTTTTCCAAACATTTGAGGAGAGCATGTTTTATGGGAGAAGAAGGCAGGCGAATCGGCAGTGCTTTTGAACACAACATAATTGGTGAACCCGAGGGCAATGAAAATCAGGAATGGGGGAGAAGAGAAGGATTAGATGATGCCGACTTCTTGGAGCCAAACAGCGGCGAATATTATGATGGCGATGAGGATCGGAACGCACACGGCAATGCAGACGATCCAGCCGATGGGCCCTGAAACCCGGGAGCTTCTGAAGCGTTTCAGGACGAAATAAACTCACACTTTCTCTTGTTGTTCTCCGGCAAGTACGTGGTGATTGTGGTTGTTGGACGGGATCTCAGTTCACATGCCAATTGACCTGAAAACGAAAGTTTTTAGAGGAATAATTACGATAAAGATAAAGATACCTCGGTCCGGAGGAAGATCTCTTCTGTATTCACAAGCGAGTCTCGCGTCATCTCTAATTGGAGTTGAGAAGCGACCTGCAAATGGTGCCTCTATTTTTGTTGTCATAATAATTTCGTTCTACTCACTCTGTTCCTGCTGGATTGGTTCTCTCCGATACTCGCACGCCAGATACTCCCTTCGCTCTGAAAAAAGGACATTTGCGATTTCACGGATCGCCGAACACTGACTAACCGTTTGGCGGCTGCGGAGACCTTCTCTCGTACTTTTCGAATGTTTCCCGCGGGTCGAGCATCAGAACTCCACTGTAAAAACGAGAAACATTTGAAAACTCAACATCACTCGACGGTTGTATACCCCATGAACGACGGTTTCACATTTTTGAACGGATACGGCTCATTAGTCAAATATTCAACCATGAGGAGAACATCAAATGCTAGGGGAGACGGAGGGAAGAAGGAGGAAAAAGAGCACGTGCTGAGTCGTCATAGAAACGGGAAGCAAGAGAAGAAGAAGAAGAAGAAGAAAGCGACAAGAAGAAGAATGAGAAACAATCGATGGAAAGTGAGGAGAATTGGAAGATGGTGGAGGGGGAAAGCGTCCCGAGGTCAGGCGGCAATTCAAAACAGGTTGCGATCGGAAAACGGACGAAAGAGTGAGAGAGAGAGAGACCACTGTCGAGTGGCCGGCATTTCAATATGCGAATGAATGACCCGCCAAATGAAATGGGATTCCCAACTTGTGACACAACCAATATCGGGGCAATAAAAAGAATACAGTGCGAACCGAACTTGTTATGTTTTTTCTTGACTTTACAGAGCTCTGCTCGACCAAACAGCGGACAACTGCTGTTCTCTGCTTACAGGGATATGCTTGGAATTGCCACCTTCGTCGCCAAATGGACTGAACTGATGGACTACTAGTTGACTGACCGAAGAGTCGCGCTGCGCCTTACTTTTTAGTTCATACTACTAGTCCCGTTGCAGCAAAATCCGAGTTAGAAATAGCAAACTGTAACCGTGAGCTAGGAAAGTTGAGTATCGCTATCCGCTGAGACGTGCGCGTAGAATAGTGCCGCGATATTGGGCACTGTTGTAGAATCGTGGACCATTTGGAAAAACCGTGGACCGAAAAAAATGACACGCGCGTGACTCTGCTCGCTCGGAGTGGCTGCGGACTTCTGCGGCAGATTGCTGCCCCTAAGGACATTCCAGCAATCTGAACATTTCCGACTCTTGTGCTCGTACCAAGTGTTCTCGTGTATTCAATTGAGACAAAACTAGAAGAACATAGCCCATAGAAGTAATGGAGACATTTGGGATAACCTGACAGCCTGTTACAGTAGCGGTAAAGTCGGAAATGTCCAGATTTCTACCCCTTAAAGACATTACAGCAATCTGAATATTTCCGACTCTTGTGCTCGGTGCAGGTATTCAAGTGGGCCCAATTGAGTTAAAAGTGAAGAACAATGACAAAAGGAAGATATTCAGACAGTTAGAAGGACCTAACAACCTGTTACAGTCGCGGTAAAGTCGCAGCCTCTTAAGGACATTTCTGCAATCTGGACATTACCGACTCTCGGGCTCGGTACAGGTATCCTTCGAATCCCGCCCCATCATAATTCCACATAGAGAAGCTTGGACGCTCGGATGGCAGGTACTCCGAGCGAGCAGAGCCACTTGCGTGCGATCCTTCCATTTCGCCGTCCTCTCCCTGCCTTTTACGTGCTCCTGCTGACATTTCGGCTCGACAACAAAACGTCCCGGAGACTGATTGGATGATGGAAAGAGGAGGGACACGGGGGCTTCTCTCCCATTTCTTTTGTGACTCCTGCCTCACGACGACGCGCATTATCACAGCTGTTTGTTTGATTCCGTCCGACAGGTTCCCGTCCGTTTGGTATTGATATGAGATGTTGCACGGGCGGCACGATGAGTTGGGAAAGAAGCAGTCGGCTAAAGTTTGAAGCGCAGTCTCGGATAAGGATGCATCCGTACCAGTGCTGGAAACGTGCGCCTAAAATACTTCAATACTTCAAGTCCAAGAAGCTTGCGAAGTTTGGGTCCGATCGGAATATTGTAAATGGGACAAAAGTGCAGACACTTCTCAGACTAGTTTACAGCGGTTTTTATCATCCATTCTCAATAAATCCGACCAGGAACCATTGCTTTTCTGAGGGGACCCTTCTTTATTTTAGGGAGCCCATATTTCTCCTGGAGGTCTGAGAGGGACCTTATTTTCTTTTTTCTTTTTCTGGGGGGACCCTTGTTTTACGCTAGTACCATAGTTCATCTGCCTGGCCTTATTTTTAAGTTTTGCGGTCCCGCCTCCTCCACCTTTGTGATCGTCAGAAGTCAGCTCTCTCTTTCTCTCTCCCTCTTCCTTCCTCTGACGTTATTAACAGAAACGAATACAGTAACATCGAGAAAAGAACCAAACTAAAGTCCCCTTCAAAAAACTCGACTTTTGAGGAGCGGGACATCGCAAAGTTTCGGATGTCTTCAGAAGAATCTCACGTCATAAACCTCCTCCGGATCTCGTCTTTTTGTCGCATAGTCAACATATTTATGCGTATATATGTAAGCGACGAGCGTTTGCAATCATTTTCCCATTTTTACGACCTTTGTGATCCATATCAGTCGCCGGTGCGTATCGCATATCCCCGTGTCTCTCCGCCCGCGCACGATCGACCATTTTTTCGTTTTCTTGCGGTTCCGTGCGATTAAATGAGTGATGAAGAACGTCGAATCAGTTGATACACACACACACAATCACAACACGCGATACGGTTGGCACTTTCGTTAGTTTCGCCGTAAAGGGTGAATGAATGAACGAGTTTTGGGTGTGGGGAAGTCGCGGCGGCGGAGGTGAATGCCAATCTCTTCTCACTTTCCTCACTCCTTCAGTTCCAGATCCAGCGGGCGCCGATGAGGTCAATCACGCACCTCATTTGTCTTTTTACGAACTGATCATCATCATAGGCATTCGCTTCGATTCCGGCGCCGTGAAGTAATAAGTGGACAAAGATATCTAGGGGTCTTCAAGAGGACTGTTCTATTGATGCGTATAAAGAAGAAGAGGATCAGAAGAACAGGTGGAAAGGGACGACATCATCTGAAGGGACTATCAACTTTGGATTACACTTCAGATGATCAGGTGTCTTTACAGTGTATCTTACAGGACATCTAAGTCATCAGAGTTCACTTGGCGCTTCGCCCTACGCTGTTTGTCTTTCAGATCTTCTCGAGTCTAGCCTGGACGTCAACGTTTCTCGAAAGCTTGTCATCGGCAAAGGACAGCTATCAGTGAAGCCGATCAATAGCGGCCTCTGCTTGCTGTCCCTGCCTCTCCTGATAAGCTTCATCCCGTACGCGGTCTCGTCTGTCATCCTAGCCGCAAGCTTCTTATTCTCCTTCTTCTGCTTCATTTTTCTTTTCTTTCCTTTCTCATTTCAATGTTTTTTCACTGCCCACACCATCTTATCGTTCTATGATTTTGATTTTGCCTCTCCTCCTCCTCCAGATGCCATCGTTCTCCGTCCTTCGTTCTCCGATCCTTATCCCCTTTTTCAGCTTCTTCTTCTTCTTCTTCTTCTTCTTCTTACTCCTCTCCGCCCTTGTTGCGTAATCCAGATCGGTATCTCGGCCACAAACGAGCCCGGTTTTTCCAAGGCCGGATGCCGCCACCATTTCGGAAAGGCTTCTCCTATAATTTACAAGCATAACAATGAGGTAGACGTCGGACGTCTCCTCGACCGACAGTTACTCGCGTAGTCCAGTTTTACGACACTTTGTCCCGCCGCTAAACGGCCCGATAATTAGGAGGAAGCGAATGAGTGGAAGGAGAACGTTGGCATCATCAAGGAACGGCGCCCCGATTTTTGCGTGACGTGGCATTTTTCGAGTATATTGCGCGTTCAAATGACTGAAACCTGTCCGTCAATAAGCATAAAGTCTTGACGTCCGAAAGGACAACAGGTTGATCTACCTGCCTTCCGAGCTTCTCTCCATGAAAACTGTCAGGTCTCCAGAGCGCATTTCCCGTCAATCCAAGCAAGGACCTAATAAAGCTGTCCCTTTCGTGCTGAGACAAAACACCTGCCTTTCACTTTTCCCCCAACCACATCAGAAGCTCACATTGACAGTTTGATCCTTCTCCAGACGACCTTCCCATTCTCCTCAACCATCTGCTTTCTCATCCGCACTTTTCTTCTCGTTTCCCTCTTTTTCCGTTCCGTTCGTCCTCTAAATGCTCCTCAAATTCCTTGCCAACTTTCACTCATCGGCCATCGTCCTTTCTCTTCCGCGCGACGTCACACGCTTACACTTTCGGTCCGATGGCAGACTCCGCCCACGGTTCTGCCCGACTCCGAAAGCCTGTCACCCATTCACTCATTCATCCCTTTTTTGAGATATTGTATTCGCTCGCGATAGAGAAACAGTCGGCCCACTTGACGGTCTCGTTCGTCTCCTTTTCCACCCTTTTCGGCGTCTTCGTCTACCACCACAAAAAAAAACGATGATCGTGTCATCATTTATCTGCGTGATTAATTGGCTGATAATGCATTCCAAAACTATCCGTTCTTCGAGGACCGTTCAATTCTGATCTATGTTCGGAAAATGAGTTGTTTTGATAATATAACAAAAGGTATTGAAGCGAAAAGAAAAGAGAAGATCGGGATCGGGATCGAGATTGAAACCGCTAAGGGATAGAATGCTAACTTTGATAAAAACATTCACTTTCTTTCTCTCGTCTCATCTGTTCACCCCGATAAGGCCAACGAATCCGGGTTACTTGCCAGTTGATTGGTCGCGCCGCTTTCCTTTCTGAAACCCCCATAGTTTTTCATTCAATCTACTCTTCTGATTATGAGAAGAAGAGTTTCAGAACCAGTTAAAGCGCCCCTCTCATCTCATTATCAATAATAAGCCTCTCTTTCCTCTTCCTGTCTATGCAATCTGGTTGATTTGCCACTGCCGCAGAAGCCTCCAACCGGCCCCGTCCGATGAGGCAATCACTTGTCTCCTTCTGCCATAATCCCTCATCCATCGTTGTGTCACCCAACCCACTGCTGACCTTACAGGTTGATGAGCGTCTAGAGTCATCCGATGCGGTATTTGTGCAAGTCGATCCTTCTGGCGGTGCACACGATACTTCTGGCCTCCGCCGCGTCGGACCACGAAAAGTACGCGTTGCTCCACGTCAGTGCTCACGATGCGCCCGCTTTGCATCTCATCAAACAGCTTCAGTTAAACGACTACAAATATGATGTAAGAGTCGAATATTTGAATTCCATCAACGAGTTGTTTCAGCTCGACTTCTGGAAATCTCCTTCTGCCATCTCTGAAAAGGCTGATATTATGGTGAAACGTGGCAAGTCGGAAAGAATGCTCCGTCAGATTCTCTCATTTGCCAATGTGACTGTGTCGATGTCCGTCCCTGATGTCGAAAAGTGAGCGGAGCAGAACAGAGCTGGTCTGGTGGAAACCAGAGATTGTTTTCAGGTTGATCATGAGAAACGAGGGTACAACTTCCAAATCTCGTCTTCCATCTTTCATGAAATGGCTTCATGACGATCCGATTCTGGACAGTGAGCGTAAGTTGCGAAGCGCAACCCTCCCCATTCTAAACATCTGATTTCCAGCTGACCTTGATCTCACCAAAGTTGGTACCCTGAAGAAGGCAAAGTACCCGTTCGGAGACTACGCATCCTACGCGGACATGGTCAAATACATGAGGACGATCGAGTTCTACTACCCGCGCATTGCCAAAATCGTTCGGATCGGAGCGACTCACGAGGGAAAGCCGATTGAGGGATTGAGAGTGAGTTGGAAAGGATACGGTAAAGCGGAAAAGGGAATCTTTCAGATCGGAGCCAATTCTTCGCAGAAAAAAAGAGCGGTCTGGGTGGACGGCAACATTCACGCGAGAGAGTGGGCCAGCAGTCACACCGCCCTTTATTTCATTAATCAAGTCAGTACACATAACTCTGACTCTGACTGAACCTTTTTCTCGTTTTGCAGTTGGTGTCCGAGTACGGAAAGGACGCGCAGATCACCAACTACCTGGACACCCTGGACTTCTACGTCGTGCCGTGCCTCAACCCGGACGGCTACGAATACACGCGCAGTTCGCCCATTCCGAGCGTCCGTCTCTGGCGCAAGAACCGTTCTCCGGAAGTGTGTCGTCCTTCGCTTTGGGGCGGAGAAAAGTGCTGTCAGGGAGTGGATCTCAACAGAAACTTCCGATTCCACTGGGCCGAAAAAGGCTCTTCATACGAACCGTGCTCGAACATTTACCACGGAGAGGAAGTATTCAGTGAGCCAGAGACTAAGTAGGTTACAGAGAATGCGAATTTGGTAAACACGAAGAAAATTGCAGAGCTATTCGAAACTTCCTGGGAACTCCGGACATGAAGGACCGTCTGGATGCATTCGTGACCCTCCATTCTTACGCACAGTTGTGGATCTATCCGTACAGTCACAAAGAACAGAGCTATCCAGAGGACATCGGAGAGCTCAGAAAGACCGCCCGCAAGGCCATCAACCGTCTCTCTCGCGTCTACGGAACCAACTATCGGATGGGAACAGGAGCAGACACTCTTTGTAAGAACACTATATGTCTCTCCGAGTCAATCTTCCCTTCTGTTTCCAGCTCCGGCCGCCGGTGGATCTGATGATTGGGCAAAGTCGGCGTTGAGCGTCAAATACGTGTATCTTATTGAGCTCCGTCCACAAATGGAATGTAAGAGAACGTTGTCCAGATAGCAGAATTCGTAATTGCTCGTTCAGTATCTAACGGATTCATTCTTCACAAGAAAGAGCTGATTCCAACTGCAGTCGAGACTTTCGAAGGATTCCGCGAAGTCGTCGACGCTGTTCTCGTCCTCAACAATGGCACGTCAACGTCATCTTCAGGAGCAGCGACAACAAGAAAAACAATTTCGGATTTGCAGATGAGAAAGCAGCAATGTAAGAGAGGGAGAGTGGAAAGAAAGACTAAAATGTTTCAGATCGCATGCGTCTTCTTGCTTCTCAAAAAGAAACCACTCGGAGCAGCACGACGAAGTCAACCACAACCACGAACACATCCACGACATCCGCAGCAGCAACAACGACAACTATCAGCCAAGGTAATTGTCATTTATCAATTCCTCGAAATATCTTCCTATTTTCCAGCCTCATCCAAGACAAGTCGTCACTTCGACCGTTTCACCGCCGATCCGAGCTCTTCGACGCGTGCCCGTCCGACTCCTCCGATGGCCCCGCCCACTATGACCGCTTCCACCGAGTTCTCAACAACGACGACAGAACGAGAGGACATCACCGGCGTCGCTTCTTCTTCGTTGGCTTCTCGAGCCACCACTTACGGATACTACACGGCCACAAAACCATCGGCGTTCCTTGATCCAGAGTGCAGAGATATGCGGTAGATGAATAACTTTCCACTTCTTTCCAAACACATTCTCTTGCAGTTATTCGTGCGGATTCTGGCTGAAAAACAACAAGCAAGTGTGCGAGGAGCAGCAGTCGTTCATGCGTGCTCAGTGCGCCTACACGTGTCAATTCTGCACGTCGTTTATCAAAAGACACTAAACAGTTCCTCCCGATTCGCACCCCGTTTTGACCGTCTTTCGATCTCTTTCTCTTTCAAAATTCCGCTGCCTTTCATTGGGTATTTCCTAATTTATTTGCCTCATTAGTGACCATCTAGCGATACGAACAAATCAATAAATTATTTTCTGATTACTTGGAAACTTTGAATAACAAAACGATACCCAAACTCGATTTCGCGGAACCTGATGACGGCCGCCCGACCATTTTCCGATTCGGACAAGATCAACTCCCAAGAATTGGCTGAGCTCAAGTATACACAAGACCCGAACGTGTTCTGTCCGTCCATTATCTCATTTCGCAGTAAAACCAATTCATTTGACGTTACCAAAATCATGCAGCTATACACATTGAAAAGAGGCGATAATATAAAAAAGGCACTACAGACAAATAGGTGAGCGCGTGGATAACATTGGCGGGGAATCGAAACAATAAAACAACCGTGGGGAAATGCGGTTTTAAAGAGATTGAATGCGCTTCTCCTGGGCGTCCAACTCGGCACGAACCGGCTGTGGAAGGTCCTGTCCGACTTGCTGTTCGAGGAATTTGCGGACCTCGACCGAATCCTGCTTCCAGTAATCGGCTGGCACCGACATGAGTTCGTCCCAGTCGACGTTTCCGAGTCCTTCCAGGTTGATGGATCCCTTGGCTGGAACGGTACCGATTGGGGTCTCCACTCCGATGTTCTGCTCTCCGTCGAGACGCTTGATGATCCAGTCAATGACACGGATGTTGTCTCCGTATCCTGGCCACAAGAATTTGTTGTTTCCATCCTTACGGAACCAATTGACGTGGTAGATCTTTGGCATCTTTCTCGTGTCAGTCTTGAGGTCCAACCAGTGCTGAAGGTACTTTCCGAAGTTGTATCCCATGAACGGACGCATCGCCATCGGATCGTGCATGACAGTCTTTCCGGTGTACTCGGCGGCGGCGGTAGCTTCCGACTTGAGGCAAGCTCCAGTGAAGACTCCGTGTTCCCATGAGTTGGTTTCGAAGATAAGTGGCACTCCTTGCGGACGACGTCCTCCGAAGATAATGGCCTCGATTGGCACTCCTTGTGGGCTCTCCCAGTCCGGATGGATGATTGGGCACTGGCTGGCTGGAGCGGCAAAGCGACTGTTGGCGTGAGCAGCGACTCCTGGGTCTCCAATGTGCCACTTGTCTCCGAGCCACGTGGTGATCTCGACGCTCTTGTCGGCGATCTCGTCCTCGAGTCCCTCCCAGTAGTACTCTCCGTTGGCGGTCTCGGCAACGTTAGTGAAGATCGAGTTCTTCTGGAAAGTGGCGACCGCCATGGGATTCGTCTTTTTCGACGTTCCTGGAGCAACTCCGAAGAATCCAGCTTCTGGATTAATGGCATAAAGTCTTCCGTCCTCTCCGAACTTCATCCAGGCAATGTCGTCTCCTACACATCGGACCTTCCATCCTGGAAGAGTTGGCTCAAGCATGGCCAAGTTTGTCTTTCCGCAAGCGGACGGAAACGCGGCGGCGATGAAGTGTTCGCGACCGCACGGGCGGGTCACTCCCATGATGAGCATGTGCTCGGCCATCCATCCCTCGTCCTTGGCGATGTTCGAGGCAATGCGAAGAGCGAAGCACTTCTTTCCGAGCAGGGAGTTTCCTCCGTATCCGGATCCGAACGACCAGATCTCGCGCTCTGGCGGGCGGTGAGCAATGAGCACACGCTCCGGGTTGCAGGGCCAGTGGTTGATGACGCGCTCTGATAATGAAACGATTTAAAACTGATCAGGTTTATGATATGAACTCACGCTTAACTGGACGTGGAAGTCCGACCGAGTGGATGCAGCGGACAAAGTCTTGGTTTCCGAGAGCATCCCAAACCTCGTTGCCGACGCGAGTCATGATTCTCATCGAAAGAACCACGTAGTTCGAGTCGGTCAATTGCACTCCGATCTTTGACAGAGGTCCTCCGACTGGTCCCATCGAGAATGGAATGACGTACATGATACGTCCAGCCATGCATCCTGGGAAGCGAGTGTCGAGCTCAGTGGCCAGGTCTTCTGGAGCCAGCCAGTGTCCCATGATTGGCTCGACGCCTTCTGGGGTATGGGTGACGGTGTCGTACTTGTTCTTGGTGACCATCCAGGTCTTCGACTCGACACGAGCAACGTCCTGAAATAGAACAGCATTAAACCCTCAATTCATTTGCTATGAGCTACCTTCGGGTCGGTTCTACAAATGTAGTTGTTCTCGTAGGCGGCCAGCTTGGAAAGCATTCCGCGCTCAATGAGTTTGTCGATGAGCTCGTCGGCCTCATGCTGACTTCCGTCGCAGATGAAGATTCCACGTGGACGCATCAGCTCGGCCTTCTCGGCGATGAAGCGCTGCACCTTGGCGGGCAGAAGATGGAAGTCTCCCTACAAATTCAATTATTTCCTTCCATTTCAATCCCATTCTCTGCACCCAATTCATTTCAGTTCATTTCCTTTGCTAATTCGAGAACAGCGGATTACACCGAGAGCCCGCGGGGTAATAATTCCCGCAAACACATTTGCTGAATTCATTTCTTCGACTACAGAATTGCCTTATTTCGAGGTCACCAGAAGCAAAGTTCGAATTTCGCCGCACCAATCTTTCTTTTACACAACAACCTTGCTGTATCATTTGAACATCGACCTTTTACCGCTGCCATCGTTTCGATGCTATCCGTCGTAACCTGTTTCTGCACACCGTCTCATTTGTTTATGATTCCCGATCGATCGACCTGGGGCAGGTCGAGGGCACCAACTGCTGCTTCAGGCCCCGGCTCAACTTGTGGCCGATTGCACGCAGGCGAAACACGAGCGGAGACCCCGAGCAGGGGAGCCGAGTTGCAAACAACCACGTTTAAATAGAAACTCAGACAAATGGACCCATTTTTCAGTGGTCAATGTGCACCCGGAAAGAAATACGTGTCAAACAAGACTTGAAATTATATTTGCAGCTATTTTGAGAAAACTAAGTTCCCAGAGCGCGGAGCGCCTCCGAGCCGGCATGTTTTCTTGGTTTTGTCAGGGAAAGAAGCCAAATCGCAGCATATTTATTGACGAGAGAGCGTTTTCCTTTTCTGCGAAAACGGATGGCCGTGTTGTTTACCACTCGGCAGACACTTTTCTCGTCTCTTCTGGAATATTCTATAGAGTCTCTCTATTTCGACGAGATACACAAAAAGTACACAAAATGTCATCGAAACGGTGAAGATTGCGTGCGACCAATCACCCCACGTGAGAGTACTTTGCGCTCTCGATCGAGAACAGTTTGGAAAACCCCGCCGCCGTCGTCCTCCGTCTTGTGGTGTGATATCAGAGCGAGTGATAAGGGATCGTCATCGTAATGGGTTTCAGGAGATCACTCCTCGTTTCGTCGACGCACGCTGTCTTCGGCCTTTGACGGTTTGTTTATTTCGACAACCAATTGAACAATCTTATTGGCAAATATTTGGTTTTTTACCCTTTTGTGTGGTAGCTGCTGTCGGCAAATGGCATTCTTTCAACTGCGAAAATGGACACGAAATTGGGCCTATTCTTCTAGAATTTCTTATCGCACACAATAGCTACAGAATAGCGCTCGTCGGTGTACTTTTACCCTTGTTGTGCTAGTTCTAATCGTTTTGGTGATGTGTTGCATTTTTGGTATCATATCAAAGTATGAGAGCGGCGACAGCGTCAACAAGTTTGATTGCCAATTCCCCATGGCAAGTTCCCTTTTATGCTCACCTTGAGGATCGGGACGTGGCCGAGACGCTTCATGACGACCTCGTTGACGACGTAGAAGGCGTCCTCCGAGATTTGACGAAGCGATGCATTGGCGGCGCCAGTGTTCTGCAAAAGCGGAATCTGAATACAGGGAGGAAGTGGAAGTGAGTTACCTTGTAAGGGGTGAGAAGGTTGGGGTCGACAGACATTCTTACTCGATTATTCAGACACACCGACCGTGCAAAGGCTTGTGGTGTGAATGAGGGGCGCTGGGAAGAAGACGGCAGGGGGTATCAGTGGCCGTCAGGAGAGAAGGGCCCACAGAGACGCAGGAGGTGCAAGTGCACGCAAAAAGAGGAGACTCAGGCAATTCCTGGTCACCAGATCGAGGCTGCCTCTCGGCCGACTCCGCCCAACTTTTGTGTGTTGTTTTTGAATTGAACGATGATGTTCAATGTGTGTTGTATACAGCGAAATGCGGAGTGTGCTCGAGGTGGGGTGACTGTAAGAACGAAGCGGATAATGATGTCACGAGGGAAGAAAGGGCAATTAGACGGACGACTTTATACGATTCATTCAGCGGAGAAGGATGCGAGTGTTCAATGGACGAGAACACTGATGTCTCCTGCGCACACAAAAAGCAGACGCTGGGCCGGTCGAAAAGGCTCAACAAGATCGAAAGTGCAAAGTGTAGTGAACTTTAAACGTTTTCTGAATTATTTTCTGATTAGGACAATCGAAACACTGTTTTATTTGTTTACTGAAACACAATTCATATGAAACTTTGGCGCTTTAGCGGGCGGTCCAAAATCTTTCAGATTGCAATTGCAATTGTCTGCAATCGCCAGCATCTACCGTAACCTTTACAAAAAACAATAAATATATTTATTTTTGAGCAAACTTATAGAAATTCGGATGTTTTTTTTTTGAGCAAATAAACGTTTTTGGGGTACAACTGAACGGTCAGTGCAACTGAGCTCTACAGCGGTAGCGCACTTGCAGTGACCGAGAATCAGTCTGAAGAGAAAAAGAAAATCGACAGCAACCTGAATCGATAACAGAAAGTGTGAATTTCTGGGAATAACGACAGAAATAAAACGAATTACGATTCTCAGATGGTGCGAATACTTCTGAGAGAACTTGAGGCGAAACTATAATCGGTCGGAAAGACTAGAAATTCAAGAAAGTTCGGATTTTTGTAAAGTGTTTTCAGAGATAGACGTGGACAGAAGGGGCAGTGGAATAGAAGATTTGAGCGGGGGCGGAGAGCGACACGTGCACCATGAAAAGAAAGAGAGACTGAAGACAGGGAAGCGTTGTACGTAAATGGGAAACGTCGACCGGATGGGAGATTAGAAGCAGAAGAGTCGGGAGATTTACAGGCTGATCAGAGCATCGTGACGCCGTTCATCCAGGAGAGTACAAAGTCGGCGACGAAGACGAAGAAGTTTATGAATGCGAGCACCTGGAACGAGCACATTTGAGTGGGAATGTCGCTTGAGAGCACGTACGCAAGCAATGATCCATTCGGCACGATGGCAGACGAGGTTGATCCTCGGCCCGTTCGGAGGGTAGCAAGCCGCGTAATAGGCTTCGACGAAGCCGGCGAGCAGCCAGAAGAAGACGCCTGCTGCGGAGATCAATCCGTCCTGGAAGTGATAGTCATAAGGCGAATAAGTATTCCGAACGACTCACAACTTTCTTCCAAATGTGCACATTGCTGGCGAAACATGAAGTAATTCCGAGCACTAGCGAGAAGAACGAAAAAGAAACAGCAATACCTAACACTAGTCCTGAAAACTATCGGAATTGCGAGAGAAGTCTCAATCAGAACCCTACCCTGCCATTCTGTGTTTGTTCGGATCACAAAATCGTGGAATGAGTTGCCCTTCATCGGCCCCAACACCAGTCCGATCACTGCGACTCCGAGGATCTGAAATACGCACTTCGCCGTCATCTGAATCCCTTATTCCATTAACTAACCACTTGGACTGCTTTCGCTGCGAGCCTCGCGAATAACGGATAGTTTTTGTTGTTCAACGCGTTTTTCGGATGCATTGTCGACGGTGGATACGTTGTGTAGGACGGCGCGTAAAAGGGCCGTAACCTGCGAAGAGTCATTGTCTGCTGCTGTTGCTGGAAATGAAAAAACGTTATCTTGTTGGCTGTTAAATAACTTACACTTCTGTGTCCTACTTCTCCATAATAATTCCTATTGTACGGTGTGAACGGATCCGGCCCTCCTCCCCCGAAATCCGTCTCCTGGTACCTTCCCATCGGCGGCTCTCTTTTCTTTCTGTACATTGGCAACGGCTTCTTCGCTGGTCCCGAATACGCTTTGAACTGTCGCCGATCGAATGCCTCTGCGGAGACTCCCCGTCCTCTCCGACTTTCCGCTCCCAACGTTCCCATCGTCGGCGCTGTCGATCGAGGTCTCGAAGGCGCCGTCCGGGATCGTCTGGGCGGGCTGGGAGCAGGCTGTGGATAGGGTCGGTAGGCCCCAGAGGCCCCTGGATATGGCCCATAGGCACCCGGATAGGCGGAAGCGGGCTGGTAGTTGTAGTGAGAGTAACTGGGATAGCCGTAGTACGGATACTGCTGTTGCTGCTGCTGCGTGTCCCCGTACGTTGGGTCTGAAACGAAACTTGTTGGCTTGATGACAACTGACTAAGTTCTACTCGCCTATGTATCCATTCTGACCGTACGGCTCGTGAAGGTACGCCGGATTGTACACACCGCCCATGTAGTAGGCACCGTTGATTGGGTGCCCCAACGGTTCCTGGAAAGAGTCAAATGTAGGGAAAAAACAAAACAAGAGATAAGTATTATCAGCATCGGAAAAAGTTGGGTAAATTCAGTTGATAACGGGGATTTACTCCTTCGAAAAGTCTTCTTCTTCTTCTTCTCCGGCCGCTTACCTGAGCGTGTATGCAAATAAGCGGCGGAGTTTGCAACAAGCTGGAGGCTCACAAGTATCTGCTCGTGCACTGATAAGCTACACGCAACACTCTATTTGCATAAAGAGAGACAAGTTGGAGGGAAGATAATTGGGGTGGGATCGGAATGAAGACGTTACGGTGTTCTGACGGTTACCAAGTTTATAGCGAGATCGTCACGATTTGAGGATGTTAAAACCTTACAAAAGCTTCAGACAATTACCTAAAACTAAAAACCTAACTGACATTGCAAAAATAGACAAAGTAGCATTCAGCGCGTTTCTTTCCTAATCCTCTTTCATTCTGACGACTCTCCGTTAAAATTGACCTAATTTCTCGCAACTCTCGGTTTTAACATGTGTAAATTAATGTGCGTATGTGTGTGGCATTGGAAAAGATGGCATCTGGGTACATACATTCGAATTGGCGGCTCCTCGGAAGAAACCAGTTCGTCCGAGCCTTCCGGCGGACTACAATGCACAGTAAACACGCCGAATCCCCTGGTGTTCAATGCGAGCGAAAAGTGTGAGAACGAGCAAAAAACAAAAGAGAAAAGGGATAAGGAAACGCGGAACGGAAATGTGTGATAAGAAGCGGATCGAGTACAAAAGAAACATTCGAAATATTCAAACGGGGAATTTCGGAAGGAAAGCAGAGCACTCGACGGAAAGAGAGAATGATGAGGCGGGCGAAGTTCGGCTTGTAGTCAGTCAAGTATGTCGTCAGGCAGCCCCACCGCGCAAATATTCAAATCGCAACAAGACTTGTACTGTTGCGGGGGCGAGCAGCCAGTGAGCACACTAAACAAATCAAGGAAGACACATCTTTGAACTCGGTCGGTTTCGAAAAGGGCACTGGCGCGGAACGATGGACATCTGGCATGCTTTTGAAGAGACAAAAACAAAAAGAGTTCCGGAGAGCTTTTCACACATTTCCAAGAGGGTGTAACGTAACATTCTCTCTAAAGATTGAATGGAAGCCTAGAAGGATCGGATGAAAATGAACAAAACTGCAATGGGAAATGGTCAGCAGATCTGCCATAAATAGAAGACTAAGTGAGAATAAGGATAGGCGTATCGGTGTGGATCATGTTTCATTATCACATCTGTCCGCTCGTCCACCACCACCTCCTTCCTCTTCTTCTTCTTCTTCTCCTTCTGTCCACTTTATACTGGAAAATGGTCATTCCCAAATGGAATGATATGAGACTTTAGGAATTTAGGAATCGTTCAACTTCTTCTCTTTGTTTTGACTCATCGGCGGCAAATTGGCTCGTAAAAGGGACGGTAGTGTAAATTTACGGTCGGCGATACGCAGCACGAAGACGACGTCGTCGCAGGGAGTGGAGACAGACACAATTAGCCGAATTGTCTCAACCGAATTCCCGACGAACAGAGGAGAAGGGGAAAGCGCACGGAAGACGAGTAATAAAGTTCGGAATGAACGGAACATTGGTCAAAAAGTGTGCCGGATGATATGCGGGACGAAACGGTTCCGGAACGAAAGGGAAAGGGCGAAGGAGTGACCGCCGGGCGCGGCCGGCGGGCTCTCGAGAACACTTGTCACGCTTAACACTTGCTCTTTCTCCACCCAGCGGCCGCCTCCTTCCACGTCGGATTAGAGGCTTTTGGCAGTGAAGGGCCATTGAACTGTTGGGCCATTCACTCGACACGAACAAACTGAAATGAAAGGAGCGACGGGGCGAAAGTTGCACGGATTAGAGGATTTCGATTCGATGCGAAGGCAGAGAGAGAGAGAGAGAGAGAAAGAGAGGTGGCAAACGGAAGTGGATGACAAAAATGATGTCGATTTACCTGTCCGTAGTCGTAGGGAAAGTGTTGTTGATAGAGCGAAACATCTCGGAAGGCGGAGGCAGGTATTATCTGAAAGTTTAAGCGTTCCGGCTCTGCTCGCAAGTTCGTGGACTCACCTTGACTGTACCTGCCCCATAAGGGTACTCCATCGGATGGTTTCTATGCGACAAGATTGACCATTATCATGGGCGAAGACACAGAGAGACGTCGGATGAGAGAAGCGGGCGTCCGTGTCTGCAATCCGAATCTTTGATTCCAATCGGCGGCGCGACACGGTTTATGATTTTTTGCGGTGTACGCCATGTACGGATGGCAAGCAAACAGATTTAGAAGAGATAAATGGATTTGGATTCAGATGACGGTGGAGTTCGAAGAGGAAGAAGGAGGATATCAGAAGGACGAGACGCAGAGACGGCAACATAACGAATTGACCCAAAGAAGGAACGAGAGAGACCCGAACACAAATTGCATACAGGAGGAGGTTGGATTGCAGGGAAACGAAGAAGAAGAGGAACACACAAAAGAAGGCGAAAGGTATTAGCCACCCGGGAGAAGGACGGGAACGGAGAACGCAAGAGGAACGAAGACTCGGCGTGCCGAAGGCTTGAAGTGGCAGTAAAATGGATGAATGACAAGTTGAGATTCTGTATGCCAAGGTAACAGACACCCGGATGAAAAGAGAGTAGGCGGCGAGGAGAGAGAGAGAGAGGCAGGAAAGACGGTATATTACCTGTCATAACTACTACAAATTGACTGGGCGGCAAGATTGAATACGAGCGATAAAGTAGTACAGAAGAGACGTTGGCGATGGTCACTCCAGAAGAAGAAAAAGAAGAAGAAGTAGAAGCCACGTCACAAGGGAGGGGCCACCGATGGAAAAATGTCATTTTAATGGGAAATCACAGAATTGTGATTAGTTTTTGAATGCGACGTTTGAAACGAACTAGCAAGTTAAGAAAGATCGTCGATCGGGAATCGGGAATCGGGAATCGAGAATCGGACATCGGTTCCCACGGGCTGCGGGGGATAAACACAGGCGTGTGTCGTCGGTGGGATCCAGAACCTACCGGAAGGGTAATGAACGAGACCGACGGGCGGTCGCTCCTCTTTTGAAGGCGTCAAGAGGAGAGGAAGGGGAGAGAAAGAGGAAAAAGAAGTTGGGGATACCAGTTCGGTGTGAGATGGAGAAGCAAAAAAGGTTGGAATGGATTAATTAGTAATTAGAGTGACGATGATTGGATGTAATGAGGAGGAGTGTGAAACGGGTGTGGTCTCGTTCGGATCACGGAAGGAGAATTTGGTTACCCGCAAGAGTCGAGTGCTCATTTCACAAATGAACACTTGAAAAGCGAGTCGAGTCGCAAAAAGGTATCGGCAAACAAACTCAACTTCATCTTCTTCTCCTTCTCCTTCTTCTTCTTCTTCATCTTCCCCTACTTTGCCTCGTTTCAATTTCACTCGCCGCCCCTCCCGAAACTATCGATATATGACGTGTCTGTGCTGTTGCTTTCCGGGTGTGAACTGCCCGTAACTGCGATTAGCGAGAGAGTGTGCGAGACGGAGGGACGCAGATAATCCTTCCGGAAGCAGACGGTGCGCGGGCGCGCGGCACTACCGCTGGAGACAAAAAACCGCATTTTATCAGCTAAGCGACAAAGAGCCTCCCGCCAGGAGCATTGTTGTTGTTATGATATCTGAAGAAGGAGGAGATGGGGAGGATCATGAGGAGCATTGAAACACTCGCGCATAGACAAAGAAACTTGTGAAGATTTTGAAAGTGATCAGAGTGAATCGGAAAAGAGTGGAAGAGCAGGAGTACATGAGGAATAGCTCCAATACCGCTCCAATATAGCTCCAATAGCTCCAATGTATATGAAAAAGTTGAAAAAGAAATAAAGTGCAAAATGTATTTTTGAGCAATTTATCAGTTGACAACTTTTTCAAATCTCCACCGGCAGCTGAGATAAATCGTTTTGACTTGGCAATATTGGGATGCTTTTCTATTACTGGATTTACGGCACACAAGAAAATTAAGAGAACTACACTCGAATGAGTAGAAAGGAGCTGAAACTGCTCTTGAGCAGAATGAGAGTGATGAGCAATGGTATGACTTGGAACGTGAATCACTCTCGATCAAACAGAGCACAACTGTTCGGTAACAATACGGGAAGCTCTTTTGAGAACTCATAACCGTGCACTCGAGAGGAAAGGAACACAGTTGAAAAGAGCATTTACGAGATGAAAGAGTGTAAATGATCCGTTGAGAAGTAGAAGGAGAAGACAAAGACAAATACAAATAAGGGGGAAACAAGTAGAGAACGGAGCAAACGGCAAACAAACTTTCGACGCGAACAACATCGGTCCGAACGGCGGACAACTACGAGAGACCTAATCAATCGGCCATCAATTGCGAGAGGGGGGCGCCGCGGATTAGTACAGTCCAATTTGCATATATCCCGAAGAGCAGCGTCTCCTCGTGTGTGCTCAGATTGACTGGTGCGTGGAGCTGCCTGCTCTGCCTGCTGCTCCTGCAAAATGAGCAAACAGAATGATAAACACACTGTGCTTATGCACGAGTCCGAAGGTGTCCGACGGGGTGTCTGGATCGAAGCCACGTGGCGAATGATGTCTGGATTACTGTATTTCAAGTGAAACGCCGGTTGATTTGGGATTTGCGCTTTCGGAAATACTAACGTTTCCGAAAGGTCCCCTAACTTCCGATCTTTGGAACAGATTGATTTCCCATTTATTTGTGTTACTCATCCAATTGTATTTTTCGTCCCTTTTCGACCACAATCACATGCTCTCCAGATACATTTTCCTTCGCAACTTTCGCTCTTTTTCAATCCGCTCGTTTTCATCTTCTCACACTGTTTGATTTCGATCGGCTCTCAAGTCTTCTCTCCCTCTCTCTCTCTCGTGGTCAGTAGCGGCTCTGTTTGCTGTGGGGAGCCATCCGCCCTCATGAGATGTGGGCGGAGAAGTGATAAACGGATGAACAGGAGCGGGGAAAAGGCACCGAGCGGCGGATATGAAGAGACCGACATCCGATCGGATCAGTTGGGACTGTGACTCATTCCGGAGGGAGGCTCATCGAACATTAAACTTCGCATGGGCACAAAGCGGAAATAGATTGGCGAAAAGGATCTGTTGTTGTTCTGCAATACGTTCAAAATTCATTAATGTGTCAGAATCATTTCGTCACCAACGGAACGTGTTTTGTTATTTGGCTCGAAGTCCGAAGCCCGAAAATTACACGTCGATAAACGTTTATCGAATTTGCATTGCCCACTCCCCTTCGGGTTAACTCAATTTATTTCGTTTTCCTACACACATACTAATTCCATAACTCTTTTTGTCGGTCTCGATGATTAAGCACATTTCCCGCCGGCCGTACGTACGCGTACTCCATTTTTTCTGATCGAAGCTCTCAGAAAGCTTCTGGTGACAATGTCAGACTTTATTCGAAATCCAACGCAAATCGCAAGCGGAGGCGAGAGTCCAAAAAGTGGAGAACAAAACACCTCAAAGAATGAATCCATAGACGGGCATAACGAGGCGGATCAAAAGGGGAATGTCAGCAGGAGATATGACAGACAATTGCAGACGGAATGGAAGAGAGAGAGAGAGAGAGAGAGAGAGAGAGAAAGAGAGATCCAGCCCTAGAGATCTAAAAGAGATTGGGGAGTTCGTTCGGACGGAGAAAGAGGAAGAGGCTAGTCTTCGTAGGTGACCATGACTGGCTGGCTTCCGGATGATCTGGCCTCTCGCACCTTTCGGAGAGCTGTGATCGATTCGGCGAGGTTGTCAATGAGATTTTCTGAAACCAAAGAGTATTGGGAAGATCGTGAATCAACGTGCTCACCTCTGTCCTCCGAAATACTTCTTTTCATGAGTCCGAACTCGGTTCCTCCGATTCTATCGAAAGAGCGTTTCCTTTTGGCTCCGAAGAAGTCGCTGGCGTCCAAACGGTCAAAAGCCTTCTTTGACGGAAGAGAGACAAAGTGATACGGCTCGGCAGATCGCTTGAAGATGCCTCCGGCCTCGTCGTATCCTCCGTACCCGAAGCCGGCGTCGTCATCGTAACGATCCAACCGCTTGGCTCCAAAGGAGAAGACGCCCGAGTTGTCGAACCGGTCGAAGGCTCTCTTGACGAGACGCCGATCTCTGGAACGGGGGGTATTCAAGAGGGAACGGTTCGGGGAATGTGCTCACCCGGAAGAACCGGAAGAGGGAACGATCACATAGGGATAGGCGGCCGCGAAGCCGATAAGAACGCACTGCAGAAGGAGCAGCTGGATTGGAGATAAAAGCTTCTGACTCATGTCGCTTTTGTTACCTGGAACTGAATGATTTGATGGGGAGTGAATGTTTTCGAATGAGGGGACGGATCCCATGAGGAAGGTAGAAGACAGAACAAACAGAATGATACGGGCGGGACAGAAACTGATATATACACGAAGATGACGAAAGAGGGCGGGGCTAAGGCACTCTGATGGAACGAAGTGACTGCAGGAAGGAAGCCCTTCCGGTCAGACTCGCCCTCTTTCATCACGATTATGTAGTTGCAGAGGGAGATGACGTGGATTCCTCTCAGCGACGGTAATTGTAGTAGTGCTCCAGGATTCTGACATGAAGCCGAACCACCAGAGGAAAATGACGTGGCAAAAATGAAAGAGGACCCGAATGCTCATGTATAAATAGCTTTTTGAAGTGGATCGGATGTGTGTGAAGTGTGCGACCACACCCCTTTACGACTTCTCAAAAACTGACTGGCTCCTGGCAACTCGATACCACTAGTGACGTGGCAGCGCGCACTCGACACGCGGCGCCGTCTCTCACGTTTAGAGCGCAAATCAATGCGGGAAATATCGAAACTTCCCTCTTGTTTTTGCCCGAATTCACGATCTACGGCTTCACATAAAGAAGCCCGGAGAGGAAAATAAGAGTGCAGGTGCAATTTCAAATTCCATTTCACATTTTACTGGGGCAAAAAGTGAGAGGAATGTGGTCGGCCGGGGCGGGTTGATGTTATATTTGGCGCAGGCGTGCTTCTGATTAGTAAACAATCAGCAGAAGACGTGCTCGTCGAGGCGATAACTGTGTGTGATCATTCTTGAAAGAGATGGGTTTCCGTCCGGAAACAACTCGACTCCTTCCTAATGTTTTCGAGCTGCCACCGAAAAGTGGGCGGAGTCTTTCGGGGCGCGTGGAAAAGTTAATTGAAAACTGAGGAGAAATGCGGCTCGAAGAGCACATGTCAGACAGACGGATATTGTTCTCGAAGTGTAACGTTTCAGCTGCTTGACGTGGCACTACGGTAGGCACTGTCTCGAAATGAATTCCGGGAAGAGGAAGAGGGAAGAAGTTAGAAAGGGAGATTAAAGTCTCAAAAAGAGAAGACTATGAAAAGGGAAGTAAGCCCCGGACTCATTTGTGCTCTCAAAAAACTACACACGTATTCGGTCGTCGGGAATCCAAATGCCGAAACATTGTGTCCGAGTGAAGAGGGAGAGAGAGAGAGAGATATGGTTCTCTGAGCTTTTAGTCAAATAAAAAGTGGATGCGTCCGCTGGATTGGAAACCAATTTCGTAAATTTATACGAAATGGGAAGTGACGTGGCACTCCGCCCACCCACCGCCTCCCGCTGACTCACTCCCGGGAGCCAAACAAACAGACGGGAGCCAGAAGGAAACGTGAGAGAAAGGCGGTAACTTCTCATATTCCCCCACACTAAACAGCTACTTTATTTTCGAGTTTTCAGTTTTTAATGTCATCCTTGCTGCTATATAAATACCTAGAAGTGGCAGCACTTTCCAGAAATTGTCGGGAGACGGTCGCCCGAATGAGTCACTCGTTCCCAGCCGAACAACTTGCCTTTCCCCTCCTTCCGAGTGAATAAACTTCGCCCTTTCCCGCTGATTCTATTCTCGGAGCAAACGCCCCCGCGCAGACAGTGAAGAAGTGCGCATGACGGGAGAAGTTCTCCTCTCCTTTCCGAGTGTGTTTTCTTGAACAGTTCAGCTGAATTTCCGATTATTAACATGCACAATTCGCTCTCTGAACCTGGTGCACCAGCATTAGTATGCAACGGAAACACGACGACGTCGATCATTGACTGATGCGATTAGACGAGACCATCGCGAAGAAACAGAGAAGGAGGCCGTCGATACAAAGGTGTCGAACGGAATGCGGAACGAGAAGACGTGCGTGACGGAAGGCCTCCCCGGGGGGGCAAGCGACACAAACTTATGATTTGTTTTTGTCTCTCAACTTTTTTGCGGAGATTGATGCATGAAAAAGTGAATTGAAAACAATGGAAGAAAAAACGAACGATTTGGATCTTTAATGGTGGTGTTTTGACACGAGAATGACACCCCGAGAGTCCGGTTGAGTGAAAAGTTAAAGCCAATAATAAGAGACTCTTTATTTTCCGAAAATAATCTAGTCTCTGAATTCCCAGTTGGAAGTTCGGATGATAGTCAACTTGGGAATGGGAGGACGGAGTGCAGACCTGGCTATTCTAGGAAGACGTGAAACTCTGAAGGATCATATTGGAAAGAATCTGGAACGATTGGAAGCTAACTACAAACATCTCAGTTCGCCTACATTCTATTCTAGTCTAGTGTGTCTTTAAGGGGAGAATAATCGAGGAGTAGAAGTCATTCGAAAGTAGCCGTCGCTTTTATGCTTCAAAAAATATGCGAGTACGTGTTAGCGAGTGTCTCCGGAGAGCCGCGCATTATCAGCTGACCAAATGCAGTGCATTGGAAGGGAATTCGAATGGAATATATCAAACGGACGAACGACTCGTGTGCACCACATTCCCCACTGCTTCATATTTCGAGTGCGGCTCATTTCCGGCGGGGAAATAAATTAAAAGTATGTGTGTGTGTATGTGCCATCCGAAATGAATTAAACTGAGCGCACACATACTTGCTCACTTTGCGCTGGCTCCAGAAGTTTCGAAAAAGGAATACGGTGGGCGGGGGGAAGAAACAAAGAAAGTGAAGTGGAGTGATTGAGTTGACGAAGAAGCGGAAAACGAGGAGATGAGGGGGAGGACCGATGAAAAAGAGGTCTGACGATCAGAGATTGGCACTAGTTTCTGCTTCGGAGCAACGGGGAAGTGCCGCAGGAAATGGGCAAAAGTGGAACTCATCGCTTCTTATTGAACTTGTGCAAGCGGAATGAACATTTTGAAAATGTCTGCCAGGAATGTTGCTCCGAGAGCAGCCGACGTCGTCTGTCAGAAGGCAGGCACGTCGACACATCTCCTGGGACCTTCCGTCGCATTCTATTTCGGACGGATTCTGGAGCCCACGCGTTGGACTCTTCAGACAAACTCATCTGTTGACACACCCGAATTCGTCGTCCTTCATTCATTTTCATCTCGTGATTCGTTACGTGAAGATGATGAAATCGTTTTATTCCCCCCACTGTATAATCTCTTTTTGATCTCAGGAGAAGCATAATAGCGAAGGCGAGGGAGAAACAAGTTTGGAGACTTGTTGATGGGCGGAAAAGTAAACTATTCGGGATTGAGGAAGCACTCAACGAATTAGAAGACGTTCGCACAATAGGAAGAGGCCTAAAAACAAGCAGATTCTCATCTGGAAAATGTGATTTCAGAAGAACTCGACAGACAGATCAACTATTCAATGATTGCAAAAACAAGATACGGGCTCAAATTAGTCGCGAACGTTGGTTTTTCTACTAGAAATTCAGTTGCTCCAGGTGAAAAGACTAGGAGCATTTGTTCTTGTTCTACTCCAAACAGCGATCGAGCCGAGCAATCGAAGATTTTGAAAAAAACCAAAGTACGATCAGTGTTTTTTTCAGAAGAACTTTAGATGATTTGCAAAACAAATGGGAAATATCAATTTCGGAAGAAACTCGGAAAAGCACCTGGAAACTTCAGATCTAAGGAACGTTTGCAGAGCTCCGAACTCTAAAAAATAGTACTCGAAAAGCGCGAATGTCTGCTTGTGCTAACTCGATTATCGGGCCCTTTTGAGCACATGGGCTCCGCCCGCTTGTGACGTGGCATCCGAGATTTCAATTTGATTTGTTGTGCTCAGAGAAGAGAAACAAAATCGAAATGGGCGAGAAGTGCGTCATCCGAGGGAGGGGCGACGACTGGAATTGCCGTCCGAAACGGATAACTTCGGATGACGTGCCGAGTGGGAGAACAGCGGCCACACGCAGGTGGGAATGCGAGTTCAGTTTCAGACAACTTGTTGATATTTTCGTAGATTTCTCAGCCATTATCAGCATAGCTTTTAAGGGAAAATAAACAAAAAGGAATTGAACTGAAAACCGATATTCGTCGTGTTCTGCGAAGGAAATGACCAGGAATGATGATCGGAGGGATCGACGGACTGTACAAACGTGTTTCAGCCTCCCTCTTCCCAATTACTATACTACATTACAACTGTTTTTCGTAGAATTCACGGCATTTTTTTTACAATTTTCTAAGTTTACTATGGGTTCCTTTGCGTGTGGTGTTTGGTTTGTCGGCCGGAAGGAAGGAAGGAAACGACGAGGGTGTGGGTGTGAAATTCATTTGGGCAGGAAATCGAATAGGTATTTGACTGAAAGGGTGCGAAAAAAAAGAAAATGCTCAGAAGTCGTACTCCTCGTCGGAATCCAATTCGTTGCGCCGGCGGTCGAACTTGACGGAGGTGGCCTTCTGGGTCTGCGCCGAGACGCGCTCCATCAACGCCTTCAGACCCTCGTCGGTCATCTTTCCCGAGAGCTGTCCTCTTCTGAAAATCTTTCTTAAAGCATTTGGATGCTATTTCGTGCAAACCTGGCCATATTGATCAGAGTGGCTTCGACCATTTGCGCTTTTTCCGGTTTGGCAACCGCCAGATTGCTCAGTCTTTGCATGGCTGCTTGATCCAAGATCTGCAGGATCTCAATCACTAAACTATTTAAAATCGTCGGTTTACCTGAGAAATCATGCTATTCTTGGCGGTCTCTTGTTTTTCAGCCTGCTGCCGAGCCTGTTCCTGGGCGTCCTGCAATATAATTACTGCTTTATTTTTCCGATTGTTCAATTACCTGGGACGGCATGCTCGACGCTCCTTGAGCCTCCATTTTTGGAAGATTTTGAGTTCCCTGAAATTTATAGAAGTTAATGAATTGTGCTCAAATTAAGTGAAAGATGGATAAATTCGAGAGTTTTCGGTCAGGCAGCCGGTGGGCAAACGCGCTCCACCGCACTTTAATGTCTGCGTCTAGTTATTTCGACTAGTGTATGATGGAAACACTGCAGAACAGTTGATCAAAATAATAAGAACAGCGCCAGAAAAGATGGAATCAAAACTTTACCCGAAAAGTTAGAAAATCGCAGAAATAAGAGCATCAAGTGGTTAGCGCCGAAATTTCAGCAGGCACATTTTTGTTGTGTGCATTGCGGGACCATGAACGGCTGAAAGTCTACTGCGCCTTTAATACAGTACGTGACTTAAAATTTCTATTTTCATTCAAACTTTACTTTGGGGCCTATTATTGCTCCATAATCACGCCAACAACACATTTTGTCAAAAAGTCGAAATCGAAATTGTTTTAGTCAAGCCTAACAAGTCGGATATTACCTAAAATCCGCTTGCAATGGGTAGGAATAAAAAAAACGACAAGAAAAGAAAGGTAAAATTCGACTAGCTCTCGATAAAACGCTTAGGTTTTGGCAGAACGAGCAGCGAAAGTCGTCAGAAACATCGAAAAGAAACGGTCCAAACACTCGGTCTTCGAAAGAAATGGGCGTTCCGGCGATCGTTGAACAGTGATAAAATTTAAGCACAACGTAGTCTAACACGTCGCTTTTTCAGAATCGAGGAGAGGTGTGTCACGCCGACTGCCGTGTCTAGTGTCAGCAGCGAGGATCAGGCGAACATCGAAAAGGTGTTTTCTACTCTCCACGTGACTCCGGAAAAGATCGACCAGCCAGCTGTTGTTGATGAACAGACGGAGGAAACTGGGAACGAAGAGAAAGAGATTGTTGACCGCGAGGTCGGAAAAGAGGCACTGGAAGATCGGAAAGTAGAAGCAGGCACCGAAAAAGAGAAAATAAGTAACGGAAATGAGGACGAAGCGGTCAAAGAAACAGAGGAGGAAAATGTCGATGGGGCGGTCGTCACCGAGCAGATCGTGCGAAGCCGCAAGGTGTCGGAGCAATCGGAAGACGAAAGCGTGCCGTCCGTTCAAGAGAGTATTGAGGATTTAGCTCCAAAATATTCGAGTTATTGGGAAAAGAAAGTAAGCTGAGCAATTATTTCGTCTATATCCGCAAATTTCAGGACGAAGAAGTCAGTTATACTCGCACCATCTTCCACGTTGTCTACGGACGCAAATTCGCCGCTTTTTTGAGTTTAATCGACCCGGAAGTCAGATTCACAGTAGAGGCAGGCCCGTGCAAGACGTTTGACGCTGAAGGAGTCAAGAAACTGACAGATAAAATGATTGAGGAGGGATTCGAGAATGCGTGGCCGTTCGAAAAATCATTGACAGCGTCCACGGAAGAATTGCGTTCTCTTTTCATGGAGATCACCGAAAAAATCAAGTTCTGTCTCTGGTTGGCATGCGCAGAGCGTGGATATGTGTTTAGATTCACTAGGCGCGGTGATCAGCCGATTTGGAGCGCTTGGGGCAAAGTAAACAGATCTAAGTGTGGCAATTCGGTTCAATCACTTTTCAGGGAATTGATCCACTCGACGAGCTGAAAACCCTCAAAGCGATTGTGGCCGAGATGAAGACTGCGATAGAGAAGATTGGAATGGCAACGGAAGAGAGCCGTTTTTGGGATGAGTCGAGCGCCATATTCGAGAAAGTTCTACCGGCTCTGGAGAAATTCGATTCGAAAATCCTATCTGATCACGGAATCACAGATCATCTTTCTTCTATATCCGGCCGCATTGAGTATGGCTTTGGGGTCTCGGAGCAAGAGATTGACGAGATGTTAGAGACGAGTCTCGTCGAAGAAGGATTCGGAGACTTCACGCAAACGGTTCTTCGTTGTACGTCTGTCTTTAAAACTATCAAGCAACTGAAAATGTGGGTATTTTCTGCGAATGATCATTTTGATTCTCATTTTTCAGGATTCTCAAGCAATTGCCCCGAATGACCACATTCACTGACATCCGTGTGAAACACTCTGGAATTCAGGCGATCACACATATTCTTTCCGTACTGAGTCTTGACGAGGTGGAAAATCTGATTGAGGAGCTGAAGGACGATCCGAAGCTTTCGGTCGAGAAGCTGTTCGGCTTTGAGCCTCACAAGTTCGAAGTTATTTCGCAAAATGAAGCGAGACGAACCCACTATCTGAAGATATTCTACACGGCCGTGGGGGAGCACAAACCGAGAGCCGATGTAAGATCAAGATCCAATCAATTTTCAGACGGAATAGACTTACTTTCAGTTTGTGTTCGGTTATGAAAAGCTCATCGCAGCCCTCATCTGCTTCTATCTGATCCTTCCGGCTTACGAAATCAATGTGATCCTCTTCAAAATACTTTCCACGAGATCTAGAGAAAATGAGTATCATCTTGATTCCGACCGAAGATTCATCATCGATGTAAGTTTAATTCAAGACTGTGAAATTTGCGAATTTGTTTCAGTGCATGCACTCGCTACCGCTTGTCCTCAGAAGTCGACTGGAAATTGGAAAAGAGTTTGAAAAAGGAGAAATCACAGACGACGACAACGAGAGCATGTACTTCCTGGTGAAAAATTATCTCCGATCGAGAGACATCAATGAGAGTGAATTCCCCGAGAGATTAAACCGTTTTATATCTTGTTCGTTTAACAGTTTGAAATTTTGCATGTCTGGTTTTTCTCAGTTACGGGCCACGATATGCGGACGATTGTCAATACTGAACGAGTCTTCCGAATGTGTCTTACGATGGTCGAGCGTGGAGAGAATCAGAAAAACGCGGGTTTAGCTTTGAAGCTTTTGAGACGGCCTCACTTCCACAAGTGCGGTATCTCGAGGGAATTCATACAGGATCTTCTCGTTTTGGCGCTAACTAAGTACAGTCTTCCGGATACTAAAGTGCAACAAGCGAAATACGATTTCATTGGTATGCCCCAAAAAGTGTTACGAAAGTCGTAAAAATAGATTTCAGACAATGCGTTTGGGATTGTGAAGAGTTTTGTGGCAGACCAATCCTTGAAAATTGACGAAGCGGTCGTTGCGGAGAGATGGACGGTTTGTTCGTTTCGAAAGTGCTAATCAATTGCAACTTTCAGAATTTGGGTCATCACTGGTTCTCCACGATCTATTTGCTGAGTATGCTCTCACCAATCGCGTTCGATAGTCTGAAGATAACGTTGCCTTGGGTGTCGGCGAATGTGTGGGACGAGGACGAAAAAGAAAAGCCAGCAGACCCGAAAAAATACGCAATGCTGGCCAAGGTGTCTCTTGCCTGGCCGGCGAGCACGGATATTGAGGTTGTGTCGAAAGCCGTCGGAAGTAACAGTTTATTCAATTTTTTTCTGGAAACGTTTGTACTTTCAGAATATGTTCCGAGCGAGATCAGTCGTGTCGAGTTGTACAAACGTATGGAGGAGTACGTTGCTCAATTCGAAATCGATAAATACTGGAAAAGCGTCAGAATTCAAAGAAATTCTCTCTCATTATCTAATCTTTCTTTTCAGAAGCTTATCGACTTGTACAAAACGAAAGTCAAGTTCTTGAGTCCTCTAATCGACAAGAAAAGCAAACAAGATGGAAAAGAGAAAAAGGAGGATACTCTTGCGAAGGAAAAAGAAGAAGAGGAAGAGGAAACCGTAAAGCTAGATGAGAAAGAGAAAGAAGTCGTAGACCATACAGAAGAAACTGCAAAAGTGGAAGAGAGCGAGACTCTGCACGACGGGGAATCGGAGTTAGAAAATACTGCTGATGAAGCGGATGTCGCTTCGGAAGCGAACGTTGAGCAGGCGGAGCAGGAGCCGAAAGCCGCGGAAGAAAGCTTGAAAACTTCGGATACTCAGAAGATAGAGATCAATGAAATTTCTCGACAATTCGAGAAGTCTGAGGAACAGGAACATATGGAGCGCTTTTGCGGTTTTTACCCAGATGAAATCTGGCAAACACTGCCTGAGCCTGTCAAAATGGAAATCAAAAGACAGCGCCAGATGCGGAACATCTCCATCCAGGTAATCCGGCGACTTCATCAAGGCTGTTGAGTAAACTGGTTTCAGAAGTGATCGAGATTCCGTGTGAATGTCGCCTCGACATCTGTTTTATTCTTTACTCGGCTTGTTATTTTTGTTCGCTAATAAACATTTCTGTAAGAACCCGTAAAACTTCATCGCCTTCCTTTTCCGAGTTTTCTTCTCAACATTGTATCTTTTTATTCAATCTTATAGTTTTGTATATTTTGTAATAGAGGTCCGGAGTGGTCGGAATGACGGCAAAAAATAGCAGAGTGGCAAGTCGGTCGGCAATGTCCAATACGTTGGATTCGCACGCGACCTGGGACAAAATGCCGAAGCCCTGTCACCAGAAGGAGAGAACGTTTTATAGTCCCGAGAATCCGCATCCCGACGCTGAAAAATATATGCACGAGACACGCACCACCGGAGTCTACCCGGACATTTACCCGCCACACGTGTGGTTTAGTTTTCCACTCGAATTTAAAAATGAAGTTCGCAACCGCAGAAGTGGGCTCTCATATTTTTGTAAATCGCAAAAGCCTGATATTTCAGAAAGTCATTTCCGTCCTCAATACTTGGCATCTGATGCTCGGGATAAAATATCGCCAGAGCAAAAGAGAGAGCACAAAACACGTCCGGATCAACGGAGAACACAATACCAATCCCAACAAGTACCGATTCACCTGAAATCCCACGAGGAGGAGCTGTCGGATGACAATTTCACTGCTACTTACGATGCGGCAGTTTGGAGTGCTCTTCCAACTGTTATCCAAGATGAAATCAACAGACAGCGCAAGCTGAAGCTCCGTAAGCATTGCCTTTGAATTTTTCCGCACAACTGTTTTCAGAACGTGCCAGCAACATGCCCTCGTTGTGAGCCCGTTTTTTCAGCATTCAGCCCATGTCACACTTCGCTGTTCATAGTTATCTGCAGTTTTAATGTTATTATTCATGCACCATTCAATGAAAACGTTTTACGTATCTCTTTTTCCTCGTTCCTACTGTGTTTCTGTCAGCATCTTTGTTACCTCTTTTATTTCCTTACCATGGGCTCATCAGGTCAGCTGATTCAGCTGCATGGCCGAATTGAAAAACCACGGCCGCCGGTGCTTTTCTGTTGCAGCGAGACGAAAGTCGTAGGCTTTTATTGCTCATTCTAAGTAAACCATTTACAGCAAAATAAAATGCATGAAACAAAGAAAACGTACGATTTGGTCAACAAATCGGAGCAAGTTTTGCCGTTCGAGGCGGAGCAGTTTCCTGCGATTCTCCGCCTCGTCAAGTGAGAATTTCAGCTCCATCTCCCTATTTCAGAGTTATCGATTTTCAGGTGGAAAGTTCTCGATATATGTGTGCTGAGTGTAACTTCACATTCTATCGGAGAATTCGAACGATTTCAACCGCTCATCCCACGTCATGAGCTACAAATACTCGTCGAAAAGATAATGAACACTGAAATTCCGCGAGATCCGCTCTTGGTTAAAATTGCGAACTCGAAGCTGGACGAAAAGACGAGAAAACAGGCGGAATGCTACATGCAATTCAAGTCTGAGCACGCATTTCAAGTGGAAAAGGTGAGAAGATGAGAGGTGATTTCCGGAAAGAAATAGATCAATTTCAGAGGAAAAACGTCGAGTATTTCTTCAGAAACGCTTTTTTCAATGAAGAAGGGCTGCGTATTGCGGATCAGTTGCTTTTCGATTACGATCGTAATAATTCTACTCAGCAGCGCCCCGTTTCCATTTTGAATTATTCCAGAGAGAACAAATAGCCATCTTTACGAATATCTGCACATGACCAAGATTCCTGCCAACTGGCACTCCTATCATACGTTTATTGAAAAGTTTTTTAACGAGGAGGAGCTCGAGAACCCGATCGCCGTTCAAAAACTCGATAAAGTGGTCGGATGCGCGCGGGGCAATTCGATCCTCGATGACTTGAACGGAAACAGCTTGTTCAGCAGCCACTACATGGATTTGAAAAGTCGCATGTCACGTTCTGAATACGAAATTCAATCAAATATCGTGAGGAAAGTGCTTGATGAGGGCCCCAACTACAAGATTCGGAAGGAGAATGAGATGGGAGAGCCGAAAAAAGAGAGTGCGGTCGACACGAGCAGGATCAATACAGAAAACTGGACAGAGCACAAGTAAGCGAGAAAAAAGTATTGCAAAAAAGGGATCATGTGAATTCAGAACTCGCATCTTATTTCTGTGCATTCCGGGCTTCAAAATCAGCGCTAATAGTGACAAGAGTACTCACGAGGACTGGTATTACTGCCTGATGGAGTCGATGAGCAAGGACGCGTGCAATCGGGCCTCTCTCTTCTTCCTCAACAGAAATTACGAAGCGGATCTATGTTAGTCTGTCGGTTATTTGTCTTTTTAAGCATTGTGTTTTGAGTGGAGAGAAAGAGCGAACGAGAGCGTCAGAGACTTCTCACACTCAAGGGAATCACAAAGAAAGAGGAAGGCATCGGAGAAGAAGTCGTCACAGAAATCCGCCGGCAACCCAAAAAGATCGAGTATCGTGAGTATTCATTTAAGCAATCGTTTCCTATCATTTATCCGTTCAGAACCGGATGTGGAAGTGGATTCTCTGAAGCTTCGCTCCTACCAAGAAGAGCTCGTTCAGCCGGCTCTCGAAGGACGCAACTGTGTGCTCGTGGCTCCAACTGGATCAGGAAAGACGGAAGTGGCTATCTACGCGGCATTAAACCATATGAAAGAGCGGGAAACGCAAGGGAAAGCCTCCAGAGTACGCGAATTCGTCTCGATCAAATAACTGATTTTCTGAATTCAGGTGGTCATGTTGGTTCCAAAGATTCCACTTGTCGGCCAGCAAAGGGATCGTTTCCTGAAGTACTGCCGTGGCCAATACAGAGTCGACGGCTTCCATGGATCGGAGAAAGGATCTGATGGCATAGGAAGACGCGACGAAGTGCTTCAGAGCGACGTTGTCGTGATGACTCCACAGATTCTGATGTAAAACGGCACATCATTTTTAAGATATTTTGAAAATATGAATTTGTTTCAGTAATATGCTGCAATCAGTTCGTCGAAGCGAGCGTCTCTACGTCTGCGACTTCTCCATGATCATCTTCGACGAGGTTCACAAAGCGACCGGCAACCATCCGTACGTCGGAATCTCGAAATTGGTGCAAGAGTGGGAGCACGAGAAGCCGCAGATCATCGGTCTCACGGCATCTCTGAACGTGAGCACGACCGGCAACATCGATCAGAACAGAATGCTCGAGAGCATATATGAAATGCTCGCATTGCTCAACGCACCGAGTCTCAGTACGATTATGAAACCGGAGAACATTGAGGAGCTGAACGGGAAAGTCGGACGGCCTGATGACAGTCAGTTTCGGTCTCCTCCATTCCTGTTCAACCCATTTCCCTTTCAGCTGTGGAAGTGTGCGAACCGCCTAGTGATGAGCGATGTGTTCTCCGCGGAAACATCCAAAAGGCTCTGTGTCTGTACCATACGAAGTTGTGCATAGAATTGGAAAGACTCTCCACCTCGAAACACAGCTCCTCGTCAATGTACAACTACAAAAACTTCAAGAAGTTCAATCTGAACAACTATGAAAAATACGAATCACTTCTTCAAAACGTCATTCAGGACTTGAACAGAATGAACACGGCTGAGAAGGCGAATGCTCAGTTATACACGAAGTACATCAAAGTAGGAAACGATTCTTTGCAAAATCTTTCAATTATTCCGTTCAGGTGTACGTGCAAGCGAGGGGAATCGTGGAGGTTATGCCGCCGTCGGTGGCGTTCAAGTACATGCAGGACTCCTTCCAAGTTTTGGACAAAACGCATACTTTGGATCAGTTCGACGACTTTAGCAAGAACTACGAAGCACTGAAACGGGCGTCGAACGAGGATGCCAACCCGAACATTGTGGTGAAATTGAAGGAAACGCTCGTGAATCAATTCCGTAACGTTCCCGAATCTCGTGCGATCATCTTCGTGACACAAAGAAACACTGCTCAGAGAGTTTGCGAGTTTTTGAACGATTCTGGAGTGATGAACGAGTTTAATAGCGGAGGAACAGTCGTTGGATACGTTCTTGGAAGCAACAATCAGGGAATTGTGCAACAGACCGCAGAAATGCAGAGGCTCACGATCGAACGATTCAACAACGGAAAACTGAAGGTGATTGTGGCCACGTCTGTCGTCGAAGAAGGTCTCGACATTGCCGCCTGTAACCTCATCATCAAGTACAACTGCTCTTCGGACTCTCCCATCCAACTCATTCAGCAGAGAGGACGTGCTCGTGCGAAGAACTCGCGTTCTGTGCTGCTTGCGGTGCATAGCAAAGTCAACGATAAGGAAAATAATGCGCTGATTGCGGAAAAGCACATGAGGCACTGTGTGAGCACGATCATGAAGAGCTCGCAGAAGACATTGCAAGACAATGTTGAACGGCTGAAGAAGAAGATCGAAGCTGAACGACAGAGAGAATTGCAAGAGATGCTCAGTATGAGAGCCAGACACGAGAACAAGATGTACGACTTGAAGTGTTGCAACTGCAGTCGGAGCCTGTGCGAGGGCAGCAAAATGCGACAGATCTTCTCGAACTACATGGCAATGGATCCTTTCGTTTGGGAGAAGCTGTTACTGGAACCCAGAAAAAAAGAAAGAAGGAATAATCTCCTGTCCGAGGATACTCAAGCGCTCAGCAACATTCTGTGCCATTGTAAGCAGGCGATCGGAAAGGCGTACAAGATGCGGTGGGGATAGATGGGCGGCAACTGATTGTTGGAATATTCTTTCAGAGGAGTCTACCTTCCACAGTTGGACGTCAGAGCCATTTCATTCCTGGAGCGTGGCACAGGTCAGTGTGAGACGAAGGCCAAGTGGTCGGCCGTCGTCAATGAACTGTTCTACATTCCCGAAGCTCAACAAGGAGACTTCGTAAGTCAGTCTGTCGTTAAATTTATATCATGCATTACTTCAGGAAATAATGTTGAATGCGTTGGATGGATCGGAAGATAATTTGGTTAAAAAGCGGATTCTCGATTTGGACTCGCAACACCACATGAAGATGATTCAGGAGGAAGCTTTGTAGGCCTAATCGCTATAATTAATCACATTCGTTATTTTCAGCAGACAGGAAGATTTTGATAGAAAAAAGCAAGAGCAGAAAAAAGATGTCCGTCAGCAGAAAACGATATATAGTGACGACGAAGAGGAGCCGAATCAGCAGGAGTCGGAATACTGAATCACTCGATCCGTCAATATATTGCCATGTTTTTTGTTAATTTTTTGTTGTCAATATTATTCGATTTAATTTAATGTTCATGTATGCGCCTATAAATTTATCGGGGAGCATAGAATAGGGTTAGTCTTGATCTTGATCCTGGTTCTTCACGTTGTAAATGGCGATCGCTTCCTCGAGCAGCTTGATGCACGCCGCGTGATTGAAGTGTTTCGCGTCGTCCAGCGGGCTTCTATCATATCGATCGTGCGGGTCCGGATCCTGCTGCCACTTAGTCAGCACGTACTCCAGTGTGACGACGTCTCCTTCGGCGGCCGCCACGTGCAAAACCGTCCGATTGTCGTAATCCTTGCAGTGAATGTCGTGTCCCATCAGCAGAAACCTCTTGATCGCGGCGATGTCGCCCATCTTCGTCGCGTACATGAACTTGTTCTGTCCGTCGTGCTCGTCTTTCAATTGCCGTCGCGGATCGATCTTCTTGTTGTCCGAGTAAATGAGGCTGTCGTAGTTGTGGAAGTTGTACCTCTGCACAAGATGCTCCGCAAACTTCACGCCCCTCACCGTATTTCCGAGTTTGTCGAGCCGCGGACTGTACAGAGCAATGCCCATCACATTCGGAATGACAATAATCATGTCGCCGGACACTCCCGACTTGGCCGGAAGTCCCACGTGGAATGCGAACTGGCCGGACCAGTCGTACATTCCGCACGAGTACATGAGCGAGAGGGTGTCCCGGCAGGCACTGAAACAAGGGAAATGATCGTGATGGGTTGGCGGAGCTCACCGATTGTTGACTACGCGCTCTCCGTGCATCGGATTGACTCCTCCGTTCGCCAACGTGGCAGCCATCACAGCCAGCGAGTCGCAGTTCGTCTCGATCGAACAAAACTGGAAGTAGAGGTCGAGAGTGTCTTGCAGATTGAGATCCTTCGGGAACACTTTGTGCTCGCGCATGTAGTACGAAAGGGCGTAGTTGCGGTCGGCGGTCTCTCTTTCCGAGAGGAACACCGAGTTGTTGAAGCCGACGTATCCGTTTCCAACGAACTTTCGACACGCGTGGATCATCTGGAATAAGGGAGAACGTCCGAGAGATCGGAGGGAAAAGATGGGCATACAAAGTCGAATCGGTCGGCGAGCGGCAGATTATTCTTGAGAAGAGAAGCGACCACAATGGCTCCTGCATTGATCAGCGGATTGTGTGGTTTCTCTGCAGATTGAGTAATTTTGGCGGAGCACGCATTTCCCCTTCTCCTTCTACTTACTACCTTAATCCCTCACCACTCACTGTTATGATCCAGACTGATATCATTGAACAGTCTTCCCGACGGCTCCTGTCCAACGTGTGCGTGCAGTGCCTCCGGTCCGATTTCATCGTGCACCAGCGCATAAGTGAACGGTTTCGAGACGCTCTGCAGGCAGAACGGCTTCAACGCGTCGCCCCAGCTCTTGCGTTGTCCATCGATCGTGCACACCGACATCGCCCAGCTGTTTGGCGGCACTCTCGACAACTGAGGAATGTAGGTGGCGAGTTCTCCGCCCGTGTAGTCCCTGCACTCCTCGAACAGCTCGCCCATGTCGCCGACAAAGTGCTCCCAATCAGGGATGATCATCTGCTTCTTTAGTGCCTTCGTCACCACGCCGATGCTGCTTCCGATGTACTTCTTGAACGTCTCCTTCTCGAGATACATGTGCTGGCTGCCCCAGACGAAGTCGTCAAGCATATCCGCGTCCTTGATGTTCTGTATCATCTTGTCGATCCGTGGATCGTCTTTCCGGATTCCGCTCTCCAAGAGCGCCTTGAAGAATCTCGGCAGGTAGACTTTTCCGGTCGTTTCATCCTTATAAAGATCGAAGAGCAGTTCCTGTTGATGGTTTCCACACATATCGTAGGACATCGAGCGGCACACTTTCACATCACTGATCACCGTATTCACTCGGTAGAAACTGAAAGCAGGCAGATTTGTTCGGGATAACATTCTCAATTTCAAGTATTCCCTTGATTCCGAATGATTCTGCACGCTACCCTTGCTTAGCGAGCCTCAAGTAATTGCAGCATTTCCAATTATATTCGCCTTCGCCACTAATGTCATTTCTGCAAAAGGGACCTCTCTCTCTCTCTCTCTCTCTCTCTCTCTCTCTCTCTCTCTCTCTCGCTGCCGCAACACTTTCCTCCATCTATCCACTTTTCTCCGTTTTCTCGCCCACTTTTCTTCCCCCCTCACGTCACACACTTTCATTGACATGCTTTTGCCAAAAGTAATCCAAAAAGCCCTTTTCTGGCCGTGCTTTTGTGCGTCGCCCTCGAAAGAGCCATTACGTGTCTACTACGAGCGACCATCATTCAAAAATGAGGAGGAGAAGGAAATCAAAGAAAGGATACAAATGAGCAAAGAAGGCCCACATTTGCATAATGAGCTGTTTTACGGCGGAAAACCGAATCGATAATGTAAAATAAAAAGTGGATGAGTAGTTTTTATAAAAGGGTAGAGGACCCGCAAGAATCTCCGGTTTCTGCACTCATTTCCATTCGGTTGAGTGCTTTCACAGTGACGTGGCAGCTACAAACTCACGGCGCGGAACGTCAGTTTGAGGCGTTATGTGCTCCGAGATTTCGTAATATCTTTTCGGCTTTTCGGCAAAGAAAGAATATGCAGGCGGGCGGCTCAAAAAAAACTAACGAAAAAAGAGAGAAACGAGATGCCAAAACGGAAAACATACTTCCGAGGATGCACCCGGAAAACGGAAGTTGAATACTATTTTGTGCTCAATATGTTAAAGTACGCGCTTCCGTTTCCATTCCGGACACTCTCACCTCGGTTTCGTGAATGCGACGGTCGGAGTTTTCGGTTTTTCGACTGAAGAGCCCGGCTGATTGGTCGGAACATCCACCTCCTCTTCCTCTTCGCTTTTATCCATGCTTGATCTCAGAAATCGGAGCAATTTCGGAAGTGTCGACGACAGAATGGCGACTAGGAGGGCGGCGAAGAGGGACTCCGAATAGTTGAGCAAACACGGCGAAGGGGCGGAGCAGACGAGGACGGCGACGACGGAGGAGCGAAGGACTTTGCGGATTCAGAAGGTGGTACGGAAACGGAAGAGCGGCTATCGATCTCGAATGCATTGAGGTCCTCTTCAGCAGTGAATTATTCAGTGAACATTGACATTTTCTAATTTGACTTGGGTTCTGAGACGGCGAGACAAGAGAGTGAAAAACAGAAAACGGACGGAGAAGAAATGCAACGAGAACACAGAGAACACCCCAATTTCCGAGTGATTCAACTCACAGCAATCTTCCAATCGGATTCTTCGAATGATTGAACATTCTTGAGATCATTTTGAGCTAGCAAGTAGGTAGTAAGTGGCCTGAACGACACTTCGATATGCCTCGTTTCCCGCATAGTTCTTACCACTTGGCGGCGAGCTTAGTTAGATGTTTGTTCAAGTCAAAATGAAAATCTTCCTCCCCCACCTTTTTCTTATCTTTTCCATGACGTGGGAAACGAAAAGTCTGACGCGTTTCCCGCCGTTTTTTTTTAGTTTGAGACGGAAGAAACACAGCTGTTCTCCGGCGTTGGCCACGCGAAAAATGTGCATCTTTATGCTTTTCACGTTTAGATCACAATTGTTTTTTATTGCATCTAGGTGCTATTTTTAGATCGTTTTGCACTCTCTTTCTTGTGAGTCGGCTTTTCAGTTTTGCAAATTTCCAATTTAAAATTCCCTCCTAAATTTTGCTCGTAAATTAGGCTGCACTCAGAACCGCCGTGTTTGCGTATGCTTTCTCGCTTTATCTTTTTTTTTCTCTAAATGAAACGTTTTGATATATAATTAGAGGTGTAATACGTGTACTTTATTCATATTTTCTCAAAAACAATGCAGTTCCGATTCGAAATCCACAAATTTTCAGTCATATAGAGTCTATGGACCACGCCGATTCACAAAGCGCTATTTCCACGAATTCGACAACAACGAGCTCTTCAAAATATGAATCACCAGACGAAACATCTTTGGAACAACAACTCTTGTGTGAGACAAAAGTGAGTTGTACACGGAAACTTTTAACAATAAAAGTTGCCATGCCAGGAGGAATATCCATTGAATGAGTACCTTCTCGAAGGAATTCATCAAGAATCTGCGCAAAGAAGTATTCTCCTGAGCCGACAATCCTTCAGTTGCTCCTTCGGATTCGCTCTTCAATCTTACGTATTCAAAAGAGCATCTTCGAACAGCTACGAGCGCATTACCTACGTGGATTACGTCTCAACGGACAGTCCTGCCGATCGGTGCGGAGTTGTCAGAGGTATATTTAAAATACTTAATTTGTTTTCATTTTTTCTTTAAAAAACCATTTCAGGTGATATGGTTGTCGCTGTAAACGAGAAAAGCGTGGTGACTGCTTCGCATGCAGAAATTGTGGATTCGATAGCCCAGTGTCTGCAAGTAAGTCTTGTTCTCGTGTTCAAAGATGTCGCCCGGATTGTCGAGTTGAGCATGCGCTCTATCCAACTCCGGTTTATGCTTGATATGAAGATGCGCGAGTTGAAGTCGTTGGAGGAGAAAGAGAAAGAGTTGGAGGAGTTGCACGGTGAAGAAGAACGTAAGTATCGTCTTTTCTCGGTTTGAAACACCCGAAATTAGTTGCAGATATTGAAAATGAAGACGAAGAGAGCACACTGTATGAATTAGACGAGGAACTGAAGAATGTGCAGAGCACACAAAAAGCGGAGCCAAACGGAACCGACTACCGTCACTTGATTCGCATAAACAGCAGCACGTCGGTCGGAACGCCGCAGGTCACTCGTCTGTAGCACAAGAGATGTCATCATCAACAACACGTTATGGGTTTACTGTATATTTGAATTTCCTCCTGGTAGCTGTACATACATTCCGTTTTATTCCATTCCAGTCGATCCCCTGTGATCCCCACTTGCCTGTCCGTCGATTATTGCCCCCAGTCACACTGTTTCATAATGAACATATTTCTATTCGGAAATCGTGTATCCTTTTGAATTATTCGTTCCATTGGTTTTCAAACCAATCTTTATTTCCCGAATGTATCATCACAACCGCTGAAATTTCCATTTTCGTTGCAGATGCACTCACTGACGAGGATTCTTCTGAACCGGCGATCCGTGCTTTCGCAGCCGGCTCTTCTCGTTGTCAGGTATTCATTTTCAGCATAATTGTCGAAAATTAAAGTCCGCATTTGCAGACACACGTCGGCCGGTCCTCCTCCAGCCGCTCCGGCGAAAGAAGGATCCTTGACCTACAAATATGAGGCATTCATTGGGAAATGGCCGAAAGTGTTGGCACTTCACAGAACTGTACTCGAAGGTTCGCGCTGGTGTTTCGCCGATGTCAAGATGTATTTCAAAACGAGAAAAGCGGTGGCGAGTGGACAAAAGAAGCTGACGGATTTGAATGTGGAGGAGCTGGAAACCCTCGTCCAGGTAGTAATCCAACCTTTGCTTCTTCGCCTCTCTTTTCAATTAGTTCTCACATTTTCATAAGTAACTCTAGAGTGGCAGCGAAGTGCTCAAAATGCTCACGCTGATTGTGATCCTTCAAATCCCGGGTCCAGGCGACATTCTAATTCTTATGTTGTGAGTTTACCTATTTCTAACCTCTTCTTTTTCTTTTTTATGAGTGTTGTGATTCGGTCGGGATGGGCAAACTCGCAACTAAAAATCGACCGTTTTGAGTGTACTTCCTCCGAATTTTTCGCTCTCTTTTCAGATGCCAGTCGAGGGTCCCAAAATGGCGATCATTACTGCGCTTTTGCCCATGCCGTTGACTGTTTACGTCTTTGCATTCGCCGTGTATGTCCATTTTCACTTTTTTCTTCTTCTTCCTAATCCTATTGTTTCAACACTTTGTTTTTAGAATCTTCTTCCCTCGTCTCGTGCTGACTCGTCACTTCTGGTCCGACGACCAACGCAGAGAATTCTTCCAGTTGGAAGTCACGAGAGCTCTGATCAGTGGAGAACAGCTGCTCAAGGCTTACGGAAATGTTTGAGGACGTACAAAGAATGCGTCACCGTTTAATTTTTTCAGCCGTCGCCAACTGATGAGAGCCGGTTGAAGCCGTTAGATAAAGTGGATAGCAGTGAGTCGGTGAGTTTGCGCGCAAGTTGTACACAAAACAATGGGAATTCTCAGCTGCTCGTCCATGGGCTCCATTCGCTCTACCTGCTCCCTGGCTCCACGAAGCGAATCGCGAAGAGAATGGATGCGCTGCGAGCCCTCGATAACCTGCTGCCGGCGGCCATCGATGAATTCAACGAACGGCAGCTCATTTTCGTGAGTGGGCCCGCTTCGTTTTCTTCTCGAGTCTTTCCATTTCCAGCATTGCTACATCCGTAAAATCGACATTGGCAAGAAAAGTGAGACGGAAATGCGAGAATCGCTGCGGGAGTATGTCAAGTTCAGTGAGTGCACAACCCGAATTGCCGGCAATTTGGAGCTCGGCCGAGTCCGCTCGTCTCCCTCCAATCTTACTTCTTTTCAGCGTCTCGAATGCCCAACAACGCCTATCTCTACGCGTCGGCGCTATTCAAGCAGAAGTAGAAGAGAAGAAACGAGCGCGCCGCGAAAACCCTAAATTTTCTACTTTAATTTATAGGCATCCACAGTTGTTTCCTTTTTGTTGCAATGTAGATTCTCCCTCTGTTGAGCCGTCTACGGGACACGTTTCGTTTTTGTTTCCCTTCTTTTGTCTTGTGTACATGCGTTTCACCTGATAACAGATTAAAATTGGAAGGTTTCTATTTCAGTCGCCTCGTGTTTCGTGCTTTTGCCCATCTGTCCGGCTTGCGTGCAGTATTGATATCTCCTATTATTATTATTATTATCATGACGATTCTAGATAATGAGGTAGAGAAGGTCATGCGACCTTTAGGGAACGAAGTCTGTCAAAAACAGCAGTTGTTTTCATAAAGTTTATTATTAGCTGAAGTTGAAAGAAATGGATAAACTGAAGGCCGATCGAATTTCAATTTTGCTCACGAGGAAGTTTTTCTCTTCGGATACACCTTCAACTTGAATATAATATTTCTCAGCCTTTTCAAAAATTCATTTTCTTTTTCCCTCTCTACCTCGAGATTATGTTTCCGGCATAATCCAGAGAGCGGACCCAAAAGAAAAGTCATAAAAAGAGCAATGTATAAGCGAAAATGGGTTGAGAGGGCAGCTCATCGTGTCTGCGTCTCAGCCTGCTCCATGCTCTACTTCTGTTTAGTTGTCGAAGGAGTCACTATCTTTTCTGCGTCTCCGAGCCGCCAAAGCGATCTCGGGAAGGCCACCAGAAGCATAGCAAGAAGAGCCGCTCTTCTGAATTATTCCCCGTTGTGTCATTGCCGCCACGCCTTCAGGCCGTTGGTTGACAACTCGTCACTCAACCAAAACCCCCCTGCGCTGCTCCTCGTTTCGTTGCACTTTTTGACGAGAGATACCAGAAATAATTAATTTGTATTTCAGGAGCTGCGAATGATAAGACGCCTTGAATAGTATGGAGAAGACGACGGCCGAATTGGGATGGTCATTCGATCCGAAGGCACGACGGGTGAGTGGATCACGTGTGGGCTGCACCATGAATGGCCAATGAGTGCCCGGAACAACGGACACGGCGCTCACCTTTTACTCTAAAAAACTCTTTTTCTGCCAAAAGCTAGTCTCGTCATTCCACATTCCCGCGACGACGTCCGTCTCTAAGCCATTCTGAGCCCGTAATCTCGGATTTGTCTTCTGTTCGTTTATTTCAACTCATCATTCGGCAAACATTTTCCGAAAAACCCTTTTTTGTGCAGTTTTCTCAAAATCCAGATTATGCTAACAACTGCATGAGTTCAGCTACACACAGCCGGATGTAACCATAATTACGAAGGGGAAAAAGATGTGCGGTGTTCGTCCCTCTCTCTCTCTCTCCCTTTCCTTTTTTCTGTTTTGCTCGTTTTCTGGTCTGCTTTGTATAGTGAAAGTGAGCCGGAAATTGGATTAGACGCCGCCAAACGCCACCTTCCACCCCGTTTCGCCACGTCACACGTGCCGCGTTCGCACATTCTCTTGCAACCATTCTGATCGATGAGCCCATTCGTCTTGTCTCGTTTCGAAGACGCGCCGCTTAGAAACCCATCTGTCAAATGTCGATATAAATTTGATAAGTGACGGAATTGGAAGCTCAGTGGCTCCAACAAACGGCTAGTTCGATTGGCAGAACGAGTCCGCTCGCTTTGTTTCTTTCTTTCATTCTGTGTGCACGCGAAATCTTAAATTGTAGCTCGCAAAAGTTGTTTTTTGACGTGAATCGTGAGAACTCGCGTCATTTCTTGAATGATACTCGCAGTAATCGTAGCTAGTCACTTGGTCTTCAGCTGATTATACCTTCCCACCTCAACTGATATTTTCAGAGCAAAGGTCTCTGGATGGAAGAAGCCAACCATCAGCCGTCCGTATCCCCGTCGTCTTCTGCTCGGATCCTTCAGCCCCGCGCGATCGCCGACCTGTTCACTATCCGACCGCTGCGAACGTGGGATCGGACGGCTGTCGAGGCTCTGTGCAACGAATCGTTCCCCATCCAATACCCGGACTGCTGGTACGATGAAGTGGTGTCCGGCGGACTCCAGTCGACTGGATTGTTCGACGGAGAGAACTTGGCCGCAATGATAGTTTCGGAGACGAAACATCTGTACGATTGCAATCTTGAGGTTAGAATTTTCCAGGAAAATAAGACGTCTAACGATATCTCTTCAGGATCAAGGAATTCTACCAGATTCGAACGCGCAGGTTATGTACATCCTCTCGATAGCAGTCAACAAGAAGTTCCGTCGATTGGGTCTCGCCACGCGACTACTCAACAACTTGTTCTCCACGCTCGTCGAGCAGCCACCTTACCCTCGCGCCGTCTTCCTGCACGTACTCTCCACCAACTCACCGGCGCTCTCCTTCTACAAAATGCACGGCTTCGAATTCCACGATTCACTGACGTAATAATAATGTGCCTTTTGTTTACAAAACTCGCTGTTGCAGAGAATACTACAAGATCGGCGACGACTACGCCGACGGTTGTACATATGTGAAGTACACGAACGGAAGCCGTGCTCAAGCCACCTTCTCCGACGTCTGCAAAACGTTCGGCAACACAATCTGCATGCCGCTGAAAGCCATTTGCAAAATGCTTTCCTTCTGAATATCCCTTTTTATTGCACACCCCTGTACTTACTGCACTTTCGCATTTTCCGCTGTTCTCGACGAACGCGTTCAGGTAATTTCCATTTCTCAGCTTCAGCTATCTGCCCTTTCAATGTGTCTTCTCTCCCTCTCTCTCTCTCTCGCACCATTCATTTCTTGTACCTTTTTGCTCGAATCTATCGTCTCACTATCAGATACGATGGTTTTATTCGGTTTCTGTGGCCTTCATAACAAATAACGAATTCAATAAAACAATTCTTCATGTTCTTGAATATATAATTTTCTTTGTTGCTGGCTGCAAAGCGGCTTCCTCATGAACAATGTTACCTGCAAAACGAAGTAATGAGACAACAAATATCTGATTGTGGAGACTTACCAACTGCGTAATTCTTCTCAAGTCGGTTCAGTTCTGCCCGGACCGCCTAAAATCGGAAAGTGAGTTAGGCGCACAATAACTTCAAATTCACCTGAATATCGCTTTCCACTTGCTTCTTCAGCTGCGTCGCCGTCGCCAACAACTGAATATTATTGTCTGCGGCTGATATACTCGACTCGTATTGCGAATTGACTCTCATCAAATTGAACAACTTCACATTCCAGTAGAACATTTGAACGTCGTTCAGTTTGACGAGCTCGTCGTTCGCAGTGAACAACTGGCATCCGAGGTCGAACTTTCTGATGATCGCATTGATCGAATTGAACGTCCAAGCCTCTGCTAATGTCATTTTATGCGAACCCATCGTGAACTTCTGACTGATCTCCCGAGGGATATCCGGCGGAAATTTGCTCAGAAGCTTTAGCTGGACCATGTGCACTGCCACGTATCTCTCCTTGTTCCTAGTAACTGCTGGAAGCTTCAGTCCGTCTATGGTCACCCAGTCCCACGCGGAAAGCGTCGCTATGAGGTTCTCTGTTCCCTCGGAAGTGCTGCTTGTGGTACGGTACCGACTGGTGGGCGAAGAAGTCGTCTGCAACATCTGAATTCGAGAATGGACTGCTAGTGCCAGCAAGCAAATGTACCTCTAGTATGGCTCGTGTCACAGGGGGATGCTCGCCCACTTCATCCTGCTTCTCCAGCTTAACCGGCGACGAACAGTCCGATTTAATGTTATCCACGTCAATCTCGGGGCTGTGCGACCTTGCTTTTGCTCCATTGCGGCTAGCCTCTTGAACCGGAGGAGCACTGGCTGACGTAGAAGTGTCCATCTAGTGATGACTAAGGAAAGCACTAGCCGTCTGCCGTCGTCCGCTTTCTGTGCACGTCTGCCTCTCCGTCTTTATCGATCCTTGCACGGTGAGTGTCTGCGTCTCTTCGTCCCGGCACTAGCTTCTCCATTCAGTAAATTTCGGCTCAGTTTATTCATACATTCAACGTGTGAAATCATTCTGTGACAGCCTAATTTTCATTGCATTTCAAACGTTCGACTCGGTTTAAAATGGGTAAGTTAGTCAATTTGGGCTAGTTTTCCGTCGTTTCGTTCCAAGCCACTCACAATTCTGCATCATTTGTACATGTGTACTTATCAGACAGAAAATGGGTGACAGCGATAAGATAAGTAAACAAAACATTGTCGATTACATCCACAATCAACCCCAATTCGAATGTGCTTAGTTGGTAAAAACAAGGGATCTTTTACATTGACATAGCAAGTCGTTTCGCAATAGTTTGTACTGGAGGGTGTCAGGTTATTTGTTCTTCACCACACTGCCTTCGGGATGTCGAGGAGTGTGCAAACTCGCTCGACCGCACCGTCTTCACACGGGCAGAGAACTTGCCCTTTCTATAGACTCGGTATAGATTTTTCATAGCGAAATGAGTCTGAATTGCAAAAAGACAAACAAACCACAGCTCCCATTTTCTGCACTCTCAAAAATGTACCCTTCCTGACACTCGCGTCTTTTCAGATGAACGACGACAATTCGAATAGCCAATTCAGCGTGACGTCTCCACCAATGCTTCCGAACGGAGCCCCTCACCCGCACACAATGGATGATATTTTCTCCCGCCCGTTGACCAATGAAGGTCTCCAGATGATACTCGGATATCTCAAACGGAATGGACTGTCAGAGACCGAGGAACAGTTGTCCAGAGAGGCATCTGCAATTTTGAAAAGTGAAAATTCCAGTGGTCTACCCCCTGAGTAAGTTTCAGCCATGTTAATCTTCTTCAAAAATGATAGTTCCAGAGAAGCGATATCAGTTGAATTCGAAACTTTTGTGCAGCATGCCAACGCTTGCACTGACGTCGTACAAGCAGAATTCAGTCAGTTGCTTTTCCCGATCTTCGCCCACTGCTACATATCGCTCGTCGAAAAGCACGTCGCCACTGCTCGCATCTTCTTCAATCGATTCAAAATCTTCATCCCGGAATGCTTCTCCGAGTTCGTTTACCAATTATCTCTCATCGAAGACGCAATGACGTTGCGAGCCAGTGAGCACGTGCACATTCTCCGCGAGAACAAATTTCTCGTTCGGATGTCGAAGCCAGCGTTGAAACATTTGGAAGTGATTCAGATGCGGGTGATAGGAGTGAAGAATATTATTGCAAAGCATGTCACAATTGAGAGTAAGTTTAGATTTAAAAAAAGCTTTGCACCATAGAAAACTTTCCAGATTCCGATGAAGTTTCGAAAAATCGAACCACAATTGAGACACAAATGGGCGGTATTCTGGGAATGACGTCGAAGAACGAAAAGAGGCACAAAATGATGTTTTCTGTTGTCAAAGACGATTTGATGTTGAGTATTGAACGGAAGAAAGTGAAAACGAAGGACTTGAAGGATATGGGAAAGAAGATGCAGAACGTAGGTGCTTAAACTTAGATTCCATTCACGAGATATCCATAGTTTCAGTACTGCCCACAAGCTGATCGCATTCCCCTTCCTCCAATCAGTGAGCACCTCCGAGAAGAGCGGAAAAACTGGCAGAGAGACGTCAACAAAATGGCCATAATCTCTCCAGAAACACCAGTTTCCATCTGCATGTACACCACGTGTAACGCCCCGATCGGTGTCGCCTCTTGTGATTTTTCCGACGACTCCAGCTTCATCGCAATGGGGCTCTCCGACTCGTCAATTGTCATAAATGCTCTGGACCCGATGAACAAAATGAAGAAGCTGCATGGGATGGATGTGCTCGACAAGATCGACATCGAGACGGCCGACAACGTTCAATCGCAAATGTTCGACCTTCAAGCTTCGGCGGGTACTTCACGGTTAACGGGACACGGAGGCCCTGTCTTCTCAGTTAACTTCTCTCCCGATCGGCGACTTCTTCTGTCCTCTGGAGGCGATCGGACCGTTCGTTTGTGGAGTTTAGATACTCAAAGAAATGTTGTCATCTTCAGAACGCCGAGTATTATTTGGGATGTGAGTTGCTTATTAATAACATCCCAAATACTTGTTCATCTCACACTCGTTTCAGGCTCAATTCTGCAACCGTGGCTACTATTTCGCGACGGCTAGTGTCGACAAGACGGCCGCAGTCTGGTCGACAGATCGGATGCATCCAGTGCGGATATTCGCGGATGCTTACGGAGACGTCGGCTGCGTTGACTTCCATCCGAATTGCAATTACGTTGCCGGAGGCTCAGACGATCGATACGTCCGGGTGTGGGATGTTCTGACGGGCACTCGCATCCGAATCTTCGGTGGTCACAAGGCATCCATCATCGCCGTAAAGTTCTCGCCATGCGGTCGATACATCGTCTCTCTGGATGCCATCGGAAACCTCATGGTTTGGGATCTTGCCTACCAGCGCCTAGTGGCTGCTGAGATTACCGAACAGGCAGGCACGAAAGGATCGATTTCGTTTTCTCGTGACGGCGGTGTGTTCGCAGTTTCGCACGGAAGCTCGAACATCCATGTGTACTCCCTGGACACTCTCATCACGACCGTTCTCGCGTCCGGACCGGCAGACGCTCACATCGAGCCAAGGTGAGTTTTCCGCCCATTCTCCTAACTTGCATAAAAATGCGAACTTCAGAGTCAACATGGATGGCTTCAACATCGGATCGTACCCGACGAAACAGACTGCAGTCGTCGGACTGCACTTCACGCGACGCAACCTTCTGCTCGGATTCGGTTGCTTCGGACAATAGAGATCGTCGATTCAAAAAATTATTTCTAATTTAAAGCTCTCAATCATTACGCTGGTCCAAAACGAGTTTATTATCTTCAGAATAACATATACCAACATGTACTACTACTGAAATTGTCTCATGTGTTCGAGCAGACACTTTTATACCTTTTTTCGTTTCTTTTTCTTCTTCCTTCATCCCTCCCTTCATCAAACGTTCCAGATGACGTCTTTCGTCGAAGGGTTGACCAGCCCCGAGATGGAGATCGCCGAGGGCGGAGTCATCTTGGATAACAGAACGTGAGTTAAAGTACTACCTTTGAAATCACCTGGGAATGATTGCTCAGGAGGTTCGCCGACTTGAAAGCAATGCTCGACAGTAACAAGGACAATTTGAAGGTCGACGCCATGAAGCGGATTATAAATGTGAGCTCTGTGATAGTTTGTTTCCCTCTCACCATCAACTATCGTTTTAGTTGATTGCCAAAGGAAAAGATGTGAGTGAGCTATTCGCCGCTGTCGTCAAAAACGTGGCGGCAAAGAACGTGGAGCTGAAAAAACTCGTCTTCGTCTATCTCGTTCGTTACGCCGAAGAGCAGCAGGATCTCGCACTCCTCTCCATCTCCACTTTCCAAAGAGCTCTGAAAGATCCGAATCAGCTTATTCGTGGAAGTGCTCTCCGAGTTTTGACCTCTATTCGCGTTCCGATGGTCGCTCCGATCATGCTTCTCGCTATCAAAGACGCTGTGCGAGATATGAGCCCGTATGTCCGGAAAGTGGCTGCCCACGCCATCCCGAAGCTCTACTCTTTGGAACCTGAGCTAGAATCCCAATTGGTCGACTGCATCGACTTCCTGCTCGCTGACCGGAGGAGTCTTGTGCTCGGCAGTGCCGTCTATGCTTTCGATGAAATCTGCCCGAGCCGTCTGGATCTTCTGCACAAGCATTTTCGTGCTTTGTGCCGCGGACTGGCCGATGTCGATGAATGGGGGCAAATTGTGATGATCAATATGTTGACGAGATATGCGAGACACGAACTGGCCGATCCGGACAAGGGACCGCCCGATTCGGATATTGTTCTCCTGCTCAATTCTGCCCGTCCATTGCTTCAATCCAGGAACTGCGCTGTCGTGATGGCAGTCACTCAACTCTTTTATCACGTGGCCCCAAAAGCTCAGCTCTCACAAGTAAGACAAACAGTTCCATACCTTCGCACTTTTAGTCATTTCCAGATCGCCCGTGCTCTGGTTCGACTGCTCCGTGGCCCCCGCGAGACTCAATACGTCGTCCTGACGAACATTGCAACGATTTGCGAACGCAACCCGGTAGAGGAAGGGACATACGCCATCTCAAAAGTGCGCTGATCACACAACTGAAAAGCATGAATATGCAGCAGCATGCGAGAGAATCGCTCGTGATTCTCGTGCCTCATGAACACACCCTCTCATTTGTGTTGTCGTTTTTGAGTGATGCTTGGTTGTTTATCAGTGGACTTGTGTCGATGGAACCATCACAAACTAAATAAGCACCACCTTCTTTCAGACAATGTTCGATCCATTCCTCAAATCCTTTTTCGTGCGTTCCTGCGACAGTTCCCTCGTTAAGCAGCTCAAGCTCCACGTGCTCACCAGTCTTGTTTCTGAGGCCAACGTTCATATCATTCTGAGAGAACTCCAGGTAACTTTGTGGTTTATAGTGCTATTCAAGTTTCAATTATCAATCAGACATACGTTCACATGTCGGACCTGGCATCTCCTGCTGTCGAAGCTATCGGGAGATGTGCCGTGCGAGTGGGAGCGGTGTCGGACCAGTGCATGACTGGCCTGGTCCAACTCATCTCCTCTTCCGATGAGAAAGTTGTCTGCTCGGCTGTCGTCGTCATCAAACGTCTTCTCCACGCATCCGCCCCCGTCAACTTGCTCTCCCGACTCATGCGACTGATGCCGAAAATGGTGGCCGCTCAGGCGAGAGCTTGTGTCGTCTGGCTCGTCGCCACGCACGTCGAGCAGGTCATTCACATGGCTCCAGACCTTCTCCGTTTGATTGCCAAAAAGTTCCCAACTGAGAGCGAGTTAGTGAAAGTGAGTTTATTTCGTCCTTCATACAACAATTCAATATCGTTTTTTGCAGCTTGAAGCCTTGAAACTGGCGGTCAAGCTTTGGCTGGTGAAGCGTGAGGACTGCGAGAAGATCGTCCAGTACGTGTTCCAACTGGCTCGTTTCGATCTGAGCTACGACGTCCGCGATCGCTGCCGATTCCTTCGGAATTTGATGTTTAACACGGAAATTCTTTCCCAACACATGGAAGAGATTTTCATGTCGAAAAAGCCTGCTCCGGCGCTAATCAGCAGCTTCAAGGAGAGGGATCAGTTTCAATTGGGATCCCTTTCGCATGTGCTCAACCAACGATGTACCAAGTACATCAACCTTCCCGATTTCCCCGCACACTCGAGTGATCCAAGCCTGAGAAAAGAGGTTCACGCTTCGACGGAACTGAAGTTGGATGAGGACAGTGAAGAGGAAGAGGAAGAAGATGATGAAGACGAAGAGGAAGACGAGGAGGAGGAGGAGGAGGAAGAAGGGGAAGAGGACGACGCCGATGAAGAAGAAGAAGAAGAAGAAGACGGCGATGAAGAGGACGAGGAAAGTGAAGACGAATCTGAAGAGGACGAAGAGGAAGAGGAGGAGGACAGCGAAGAAGAGCCGCCGAAGAAGCCCACCAAGAAGCCGGCTCCAGTGAGCACCAAACCGCCAGGAGTCGTAAACGGAAAGTCAAAGTCAAAACCAGAGACAAACGCGCTCGACCTACTCATCGACGTCGATTTCTCGGCGGCAGGAAGTCGACAAATTATGGATTCATCATACGTGGAAGAGAAAGAAATCGAACTGCTGAATGTAATCGAAGGAAACGGTATACAATTGGCAATCAGTTATCCCCGTCTGAATGACGGGCAGTACACGGCGATCCGATTCGGAGTGACAAATAAAACGGAAGAGGACTTGACGGGGGTTGAACTGAAGTCTGCTGAAGGTCTCGACATGAAAGGCAACTCTGTGATCGGAGACATTCCGGCGGGAGCACGTGTGTCCGTTGATTTGCTCGTCGATTTGAACGATAGTGCGACGAGTAGAGAATGGATTCTGAAGAAGGACGATGGACACGAGAAGCACTTCAGATTCGAGGTAAATTTGATTATTTATCTATCCCCAAATACTTCAGTCGTGTCTAGGTTCCGTATGGAGAACAAGTGCAACCGATCCGTCTGTCTCAAGAAGACATTGCGAAGGAGAACAGTCGATTGGGCGGCCTGAATCGACACGTCATCCAGTTGGAAAAGCCGGTCGACGGCTCCACGGTCGCCAGATTCGTCAACGGATTCTCTGCCGATCAGAAGGTGTTCACGTGCCAGACACGTTCTCGGAAGGACGTCTGCATTCTCACTCTCTCGGATCGATCTATCGAATGCTGCTGTGATAATTCGGTCATCGGACGGATGCTGGCGTTCGCCGTTTCAAAAAACTGCTAGCTCGCATTCAAAATATGTATTTAATTATTTAATTTATATGCTCACTTTTACCGAAAACATTCCATTGACTTACTAATTTATTTGGTGACGGATAAATGATTCTGAAAGGATAACGGGAGGAGGCACATTGAGTTGAAAACGGAAGACGAATAGAAATGGCATTTTGAAAAAGGGTTGAGCAGAAAAGAAGGCGGAAACGGAAACGGGGGCTAACTTACCAAGTAGTACAGAAATGGACATGCTACACGATGTCATGGGGGTATAAAAATGAAAGAAAAGAATGAAGCGAAGGTCCCTGAGAGTGAAAAGTCACAGTGTGCGAATAGAATAAGAAATCGGAGAGGAGAGAACAAACTAGGCCCGTGTAGTCGTGAGGTGATTGGCGTTATTTGAGGTTCCGGTGACACGGATCGTCGACAGAATCGAGTCGAGTCTTTCCACCTTTGTCATCAGATCCTTGACGATCCGATTGATGCACGCACCAGCGCCGGTCCCGGAAGATACGCGAGCATTCTGTAAGCTAGGACAACTTTGAACAAGAAAGATCATAAAAGGGCACACAAATATTAGTGCGCCTTCCGGAGTCACTGCTCCAAAGGGAGCAAACGCAAACAACTGCCGCACCTTCGCCTGAATGTTCTTATTGTCGTCAATGCAAACTTCCTCGATCTTTGTAATCGTTTCCTCCATGTGGAAGTCGTCGTGTTGAACGTCTTCCATATGAACATCGTCAGAGCCTACAAAGAACGAACGCATAATTTTGAATGAAATAAAGGATACTCACACATTGTCAAATCTTCTTTGCTTGGACCAGGTGAAGGCTCATCTGGTAGCACTTCTGGGTCGTTGCGAAGCGGTTCGACGACCAGACGAGGCCTTTCGGTAGTTCGGAGCTCCTCCCGCAATCGGTGCATCTCCTCGGAGGCCACCTGTCTCTCGTACAATTCGCTCTCCAGCATGGCGATCTTTTCGATTGCATGGTCGAGTTTAGTGCCGAGATCGGATGCAAGATATTCTTTGTTTCTTTCGGATGTCTCGAGCACGTCATTCCGTTGCTCCAGCTTTCGAATCCGCTCTTTCTGCTGCTCACACTGCTCACGCAACTGTGTGTTTTCTCTTCGCAGCTGCTCTTCTACCTGTGCCCATTGAGCTCTCGACTCTTCTGCTCGATCCTGCAAATTATTTGTTGTTTCCGATTATAAGGAAGAAAAAACTCTACCTTATTTCGCATTTGATCATTGGACAATTGTTGCATTCGGCTCTCCGATTTTTTCAGCTGATTTCTGAGATCGTCCACTTCGGTGTCCATCATTTTTTCAATTTCCGACGAACTCGTTTGATAGTCGATGAATTCCTCACGCATTCGCAGAAACTGATCGAGCAATTCATGATGCGACAATCCGCGAATCTGATCCTCTGAGAAATCCATCTGAATCTGAAAACAAACGATGGGAATCGAGTTTGAAAAATGTAACGATGGACGAGAGGCGCGAAAAAAGGGAAAGGAGTGGACGAACATCATAAAACCACTACGTAATACCGCCCGTAAACACTACAACAGCCGGGCACGTGTGGACAAAAAGCAAGAGAACTGGTCTCACCGCAGAACCAGAAGCTGCTACCGCAAATGGCCGTTTTTTGAAGGACGGATAAGAAACCATGCGGGCGAACGGTCGAAGACGGCCGGATTTCGGAGGTCGCATCTGATGGATAGCCCTCTGTTTGTGACGGGAGGACACGTCGGAGAAGTGTTGTCAGGACCGAAATCTCACAAGTTTTTGACACAAGGCCCTCGAGCAAACAAAAAGTTGGCGATGGTGGTGCTCCGGCTGCTCGCCTCCTCTGTTTGTCCTTGCTCCCACACTTCCGCCACAAAAAGCCGAACAGCTGGTGTGAGTCTCAAAGGGCAACGGCGCCAACCATGTCGGATTTCCCGATTATGACAGATTAAAACAAGTCTGATCGACTCTTTTTACGACAAAATTGAAATTGAGGGGTTTCATAGGAATGCGGGGCGCGCGAATTATGCCGAAATTCACAAAATTCAGGTCAAGCGCACGATAAGCGGGGGGAGCGCCCCGAGGGCCGTCTTATTACTGATAACACAAATATTGACGGTTGATAAAATCGATGAAATGACTCATTTAGGCACTAATTGTATTAGGTGAGGACCGAACAAATGAGCGGACAAGTGGGCAAAAACCGGTCGAAGCATTACGTGTTCATTTTCTGGCAGAATGACGAATCATCGGATACCGAATTTCCGAATCAGGATGGCAATATAAAGGGAGTGATGGATGCGGGGGACACGTCACGGGACTGAACCCACGCACGGGAATCATCTCTGTTTTCCCGCGGCGACGCCCATCGCCACTCCCAACTATCAAATTGAATATTCGAAAATGTAAATGCAAACAGGCGGCAAACAGTCTTTGAAAGTTAGCTTTACAGGAGTTACGATAAAAATGAACAAACTGTATTTGAAAAAGAGAAAGAACGGACGAACTGTGAGCGATATGCTTCTTCGATTTCTCTCGGAAAAGACCTATCAAATCAGTGTTTGCCCTCTCGTGAAGTGCCAATGAAAGCCTGAGCAGAAGGGTGCTTCTGTTGACTCTTTGCCCCGAACTGATCACTAAACTTTTTGTTCAGAAAAAGCTGGGTAAACAGGTGTTGGGAGTGCCGCGTTTAGTAACACGAGAACAAACGAAAACTCCGAAATTGGTACGATTTTCAAATTCTGGGGAAGGCGGGGAAACGATGAAATCGGGTGAGTCAGCAGGTGCAAAGGAGAAAAGTAAAACAGTATTGAGAAAGTGTAAGGGCGGAGAAGAGGAGAGAAAAGAAGTGAGGAGACACGCTCTCGCGTAGCTAGGAGGAAGCGGAGACGGCGAGAGAGCGTGCGAAGGGGGGAGGGTGCCGACACGTTACACGCGGTGACGATCGATTTTCGTGGGACGGCAGCCGTCATTAGAAGACACATCTAAACAAAAAAGAATAAAGCGACGGAACTGGAAGAGCGACAGATGTAAACTTAGCCGCCTTCTGTTTACAATTAATTTCGGTTATTCACTGATTTCTATCTCCCACTCTAATTGGAAAACGGAGGCAGAGACGAGTGAAAGTGACGCTCTAATTAGCGAATTCTTTGAAGCGAATTACTTCTCAAGGAGGCGACAGATGGTAGAAATAAATAGAAGGCGAACTGTGAAGAGCGAAAATAAAAAGGTTCTGAATACTAGAGTAACAAGAGTCAAGTGTCATGCAATGAAAAGCAGTTGGCGTGCCGATCTGAAAAGTTCTATAAAACTCCATCCATCGAAAAAAAACCCGCTTCAGAAGGCGGTCACGTGAGAGCAAAGAGACGAGAGAAGCAACGAGTTTGCAAAGAAGAGAACGACGTCGCTCTGTCCGATTTCATCTCGAGAAGGAAGTTTAAGGCGGCGGCGGAAGACGAATTCCAATGCGGAACATTGTCTGATTGAAGGACGCAATACGACTTTAGATCCGATTCAAAAGGACATCGTTTATTGCGTTTAATAGTTGTATTATAGAATCGAAATAGTGACAAAAAGTAGATTTAATGTGATTTGGCAGAGAGAAAAGGATACTGAAGAGGCATAAAATCATCCACGACTACTTTCTTTGTCTTCAGGTGAAGGCCACTTCAGTTGGCCTGAATTTCAATCGCCTTGTGGCACAAATCGGGAGAAATTCTCATATACATCTTCGTCGAACTTTTTCCCGCATCCACCTTCTCCAACAAAGGATGACAACGAAATCGTTTTGTTGTTGGGTCATGGTATCTTGATGACAGATTCAAGTAAAAAGAAACCACACGCACCAAGGAATGGAAATGTGTATATACGGTATATAATATACCACGGATATCTGGTGTGGATATCTGGACAGAGGCGCGGATGGACAGAAAAAGTTGCATTGTTTTTATTTTACAATAGAGCAATCAAGCAAGGAAAGCAATTAACAAACAGGGAAATGAGCACACGGAATGACGGTCCTTTAGCCAAGGAAATTATTGCATCCTCACGAAAGGCGGGACGATCTTGCTCAATTCCCGACGGCTCTTCTTGATGGGCAATGACAGTCGGAGAGGAGCCCAGCACTCTCCCACAGGCTTTTTCTTTTTCGGGGTCTCCAGGGCGCGCGATTCCCTCAGATTGCTCTTCTTCATCCTCGAGATCTTCGGAGCCATTGGGGTCTTCAGCGTCCTCGAGGCTTTCGGAGTCTTTTGGAGCTCCGTCAGCTGGGTGGATCGACGTCTCGCCGCTTCAACTTTTGGCTCCACTGGCCCGACGAGGGAGAAGCGGCGTCGGGTCCATGTGGGCTTGGGGGCGGTGAAGATCTCAGCTGGAGCTGCAAAAGATAACGAGTTCGACACTGAATTGTTGATCGAATGATGATGTGAACTTACCGATTCGCTCCTCTGGGACTTCCACTGGCTGCAGAGTTATTCTTCTCTTGCTGCGCGGATCCGGTCTTTTGATGACCGAGTCGTCCGTGTCGTTTTCCGAACGGACCACTTTCGACCATTTGACTGGAGTGGCGCAGAGCATAATGATCGATTATCTGAAAGGATACAAGGTACAAGGGAATTAGAACGAGAATGCGTGGGTGTACAATGAGAAAGATGGAAAGGAGAGGTGATGTCTGAGAACAAGACGAGAGGTCCCTTAATGACTGCCGGTGCGAGCGGTGCCCGGTGAGGGGGCGGAGTCAGACGAGCAACGTGGGTGATGACAGAATACGTTCGTTTATCGCTCCGCCCACGATGGTGCAACACAAGATAAGGGCACCGATAAAAATATCAAATATGAAAGAGGGGAAAAGTTGTGGATAAATGAACCAGAAGTAGTGAACCATTCATCAGCCACAGTATTGTAGAACTTCAAATTTAGTATAGTTAACTGAAAAATGGTTGGAGAGAACTCTCACAATAAAAGTGAATGGATCTATTAAACGAGCTGTCGATCGGACTTGAAAAAGATGCGAACAGTCTTCGGATGTTTGAAGCTGAGCTAGAGATCCCATAGGCTCACAGACATACATCGGACAGGCTCTGCTGAGTAGGATTAAAATTGTACCACCTGACACGTTGACCGTCTGAAAGTGTGAGCAATTAGCACTTCTCCGAGCAAGACAGAACAATGATAATTCACTTTTCGCACCATCTGTTTCATTTTCCACACAACTTCTGCAATCCTCACTTTCCCAGATCGCCGTTTCCCTTCTCAATTAGCTGGGGTTGTGCAACAAAAGCCGACAAATACAGGCGGTTCATCTCTCGTCTTGCCGCCTCGTCGGCTCTTTTCATCTGAACATAAACTCTCGAGAATGGAGGGCCACGTCGATTACGTAATGGATCAGGATGCATTCTTTCTGTAGATAATATCGTTTGTCCAACTTGTTCGAGCACCGACAGACAATTAGATAAACGGGAAGGAGATGTCGCGTCAAAAAGAGGACACAGGTGGAACGAGTGACAAAAGGATGACGTGATATGTCTGGAATGATGGATACTCAAAGTTTTATGTGAACTCGGACTGACAAGTGACGCCATTACAACCGTTTATGGCGACTGAGAACAATAAGACGACGACGACAGCGTGGATCAGACTTCCCAGTGGTAATTAGAGAATTCTCAAAAAGTAAAAGTTCCTGAGAGTTCTTCGTGTTCAACACGGATGCTTCTCGGTCGTCTCCGTTCCGTCTCACGGTCACTCCCTTCCGTCGCCCCGCCTCCTGCCACCCGCCTGCCTCCCTGAAGGCCCCCGACATTCCATCCTTCCGACTGTCTCTGCTCCCCTCTTTCAACGCAATGAAACGGACGACGAACGATCAACAAGCCTCGTTTCAATCCGACTATTTTCTGACCCAACTCTCTCATTTCACCGAGGCCAAGTTCTCGTTGTTCGAGCACGCTCCGCCCGCCGAAAGAAGGGATCGCTTCCGGAATCACGTGGAAAGAGAGGAGATGCCTTTGGTACGTTTTTTGTTTTCTTTGCAAATATTTCGATCCGGAAAGCTTTAGTAGTAATAAATTGACGTAACGGAATTAGAATCAGACTGATAATTCCTTCCGCTTGCTTTTCTCCTTCTTATCACTGCTGAAATATGCACAACGTTTCATTTCACCACCTTGGCGAAGTGATCAGATAAGAGAGGGAATAGGAATGACACGGTTAGATGACAATCTCCGGAGGACACAGATCCGTTCAGATAATCGAAGGTGTCGTTTCAGACGTTCTGCAAGATGGGCATCAACATTCCGGTCAAGTTGGAATGGTCACAGACAAATGGCAATGAGGTGTGCGAGTGCGAAACCCTATCACAAACCAATATTATCTGCTTCTAGATCAGTTTTCGTTCGAGACCGTTTGTTTTCAATGGAATCTGGGTGAAAGTTGTCGGCACGATGAACACGGAATCGTTGGACGGAAGAGTCCGCTTCGAGCGTTCGCAACGTGAGACTGCTCTTCGTTTGACACCTCAAACTGTGGGGTTTCCAGAAGCCGAGGAGGAGCCCTCCGGCCTTACCGAAGCGGAAATAGCCGCTCTCCGCCGAGACGGTCTGCCAATCTGATTCCCCCTGTTTGCTAACTTCCACTTGTATATTTCTACTACGGGTTTCCTGTGATAACTTTCTCTCTTTCGATATGTTTGCTGTTGTTGTGATCTCGGTGTCCCCACACGAATAAAATTGTAACATTTGAGTGTTAATGTGTATTCCACGTTCGTTCGTCCCCGTGAACTTGTTACAATAGTGCACGACAGCCGCGTTCCGCGAAATTCAGGTGGCGAATGAATGCGCATGTCATTGAGAAGTGTTGTAAAACAATTCACTAACTCGTCGCGCATTGCCTCCTTTGACTCTCTGCCGACACGACAAAAACGCGAATTGAAAAGCAATAGAACAGGTGTCGGCAGTGCATTTGGGCAGCTTGATAGATCTTTTTTATGCATTTTCTGCGCGTCCAGATTTTCGCATTTGTGCACTGTTAATGCACGGTCTCCAGAGCTTACGATGGGCGCAAGTGCGCCCCGCCGAATAGAGAGCGCCGAATAGAAATTTGAATTTCGCGCGATACATTGGCGCGAAATTCAAATTTTTATAGAAACATTTGTGTTTTGTCAGATTAGCCACGGAAAATCGATAATTTCTGATTTGTCTCTCGGTAGACCGATTTTATAGGCTATTACGATTTTTTAAGCGCAAGAGCGTTAAATTTGGTCAAATCGCAAATCACATTTATCCGTTTGAAGGTGAATTCAGTTGCTTTTCGGTAGTTTTCGCGGTTCGAGCGCTCAAAATGCTTGTATTTACGTGATTTATTATTTTCAAAACCAATTCTGTCTGAAAACGGTCAAGAAAGCGCAAAATGAGAAGTGCGGGTTTTAGGTGGCGATCGGCGGCGAAGGCGAAAAAGCGAAATCCGCGAAAAATGCGCCAAAACGTCATTAACTTTGAGAATTAGTGTGTTTTCATGTCGAACAATCATTTTTCATCGCCGTTGACAACAAAAATCAGAGAAAACCTGCTCAATTCATGAAAACGCCATTTGGCCGAGGCCACGCCCATATTGTCAGCTCTGGAGACTGTGCAATGTGCGTAGAATACTGTACATTTGACGCAACACTTTGATGACATTGACGTCTACAGTAGTCGATAATTTAAAAACATTTTTTTGTTTCTGTCCTACTGTTGAAAAAAAAGGTTCGACATTAGAATCGGAGTTGGCAGTGAGCCAAGGACACGCCTCCCAAACAGTTTCCACTGCAACTGCCGCACGCTATTTGGGGGCGTGTCCTTGGCTCGCTGCCAACTCCGATTCTAATGTCGAACCGTTTTTTTTCAACAGTATTTATTTTTTTTTATCTCTAATATCCCGTTTTCAGGTTATTCTCATTATCCAAAAATGACAACAACGCCTACGCGAACGAAAATACTATCTCCGAGAGTCAAAGAATCGGAGCCAAACTCTGCGATCAGACGTCCATTCCAAAAGAAGCGAATCGCGTCTCCGATCCGTTTCAATCCGATTTCAAGAATTTGTACGATTCCGCTTCATCATTCACGAATTTAACATATTTTTTTAGCGTTGAAGGAAGTGCAAAACGCGCCGAAAGTGAAAAGAGTACGCGAGTCTCGCCTGTTTCCGGCATCGAAGATGAGTGGCGATGAACGCGATATTCCGCTTCCGGGCGGATCGCACGAAACGCCGAAAAGGTCCAGTTACCTGCTGCCGATTCCTCGTTTGCAATTCGAAAACGACGATTTCATGGAAATGTTCGCAGAAGAGACGGAAATAATACACCGGCGTCCAGATTCAGTGGCCCTTCTCGCAGAATACCTCTCCGCGTCTTTCCATACTCTCACCACAGAACCGTCCTCTTCCGATTCTGAATATCAGCACCAAAATTCCGAATGTTCATACGTAACGCTTCGTCTCACAGCTCCCTCGGAAATCATAAGCAATACGCAAAACTAACCATCACTGTTTTTCCAAAGCTTTTTACCCGTACTTGTGCAATTTATTATTTATTCCGCATTGATCTTGGTTTTATAGCACATGCTCAAAGAAGTCACTCCTTTTACTATGTTAATCAATTGCCTGATGTAGTCGTCTAACAAAAATGGCCTTTGAATTTCAATAAATTGTATTATCATTCAATGTCAGCGGAGGAAAATTGCGATTGGGGTCAGTTTTGCATGTTTATTGTACAAAAAGCTAGCTAATAGTAGATCAGTATATGGGGAACGGGCGAATTTTTCAGCCCGTTGAATAAAACACGTTCAATATTTATGCAAATAGAGGGGAGGGCAATCCGTTCACTTTCTGCGCAATTCCTTCACAGCTCTCATGTCCTTGGCGATTCCACCAATCTCTCGTTTGATTGCCTCTTGCACGTCGGCGCCCAGATTCTGGAAAAAGGATTCCGTAAGGGTTGTCGGCACGAGTGACTGACCGGAATCGCCGCCTTCAGCTGCTTCATCTCCTTCTTGTACTTTCTGATCTCTTCCTCGAGAATCAGATTGTCTTGGTAGCACCGCTCGAGTCTCTCCAGAAGCTGTTCAACAGTCTCGTTCTTCCAATTGGTCACATCGATTCCCTTGAAGAGGTTCAACTTTTGATGGAGGAAATCGCGGAGGGTTCTTGATTCGGTGATCAACTGCACAAACGACGTTTTGAGGTCAGGAGCCATTGCGGATGAATTCTCTTGAGCCGCCTTCTTGAGCTTCTGAACGATTGCATCGACCGCCATCGTCGACTCGTGCAGCATCTGACGCGTCGGGCAGTGGAACTCTGGAATAGGAAGGATTCTGACGGGATGGGAAACTGGATTCGTACTGGAAGCCGTTTTTTGTGAAGAAGTTCCAGGTGTAACCGTGGATTGAGTGGGCGGGGCGTTCTCCTTGTCGACAGTAAACTTGTTGGCTTGCTGCTTCTCCTGCTCCTCCTTCTCCAGCATATCATTGACTGCGGCCACTTGCTTGGCGTAGTTGTGCTGAGTGGCGCGCTCTTCGGTCAAACGAGTGCAAATCTCTTCGCAGGAGGATCTGATGGAGGAGACATCTCTGCAATCGAAGTTTATACTTTTCAGTTTCCATTTCTAAACTAACCCATTGACGATCTGCCGTTTCATTTTCTGCTTTGTCAACTCTGACAACTCTTTCTGGATCCGGCGCAATCCTTCGACAGCTTCCTTCGTAACTTCATCTTGAAGTTTCGCCGACTCGATCTCCTTCTTCTTTGCCGCAATTTTCGCTGCACAATCTGTCGACTGTTTCTCGTAGACAGTCAGTCTTTCCAGCTGATTCTCCAGCTCCACAATTTGCTCAATCAGTTGCTGCTTCTCGTTGGCACCTGCCTCGACCTTTTCCTCCGCTTCGCTCGTTCTCTGCTTCAGTCTTCCGACTTCCACGTGCAGTCTGTCCTTGTAATCTCGCAGCGACTCCTCTTCGGCAATCGACAGTTTCAGCTCGTTCTGAAGTCTGTCGATGATTTCCTGGCACTCGGCCACTGCCTGCTCGCGAGTTTCCATCAGACGTCTCTCCATCTCGCCCATGTAGGCGCTGTTCTGATCTCCAACCTGGTTCTCGAGGGCGATCAACTGCTTCTGAGTTTCGCCGAGCGCAGCAACCACATCGTATCTGTCTCTTTGCTCCGTGGCTATGGTTCCGAGAGCCTTGTCGAGTTCCTGGCGTGCCTCGCCGAGTTGCGTCGAAAGAAGATGATGTGTTGCTTCGAGCTCGGCGAGTTCGTGAGCAAGAGCATTCTTCTCAGATTCGACCTTTTTCAGTGTTGCCTGGCAAACTTCCAGCTCTTCAAAGTTCTGCGCAGCCTTGATCTGCACATCGGACAGACGACTTGGCGAGCTATGAATTGGAGACTTCAACTCTCTGGCACGCGCCATTTCCAGTTCGTTTTTCATTTCCGCCAATTCCTTCTTCAGTTTTTCTACTTCGACGGTATTGTTGGTGTCGAATTTGAAGATGGGGCTATATGAAGCATTGAGCAGCGAAGAAGAAGCAATGTCCTCAGTACCCGGAGCGATGGAGAATCTTCTCGAGACGTCATTCAAAAATGAGTGGCCGATGATGGACTTTTCGAGATTCGTGAAGTTCAAAGATATGTTCGTCAGGTCTCTTTCGGCGGCTTCAAGGTAAACGGACACGTCCGCATGATCACACAAGCTCGTCTCGAACGCCAATTTCATCTGTTTGATACGGTCGGCCAACGGACTGCTCGATCCCATCTTCTCGAGAATGTCCTCGAACAAAGCGGCGGAAGACTTGAGACGTTCGAAGAGGCGGGACAGAGCATCCCTGATCTGCGTCATCTTCACCTGCATCTGCTCCACTTTCACGTTCGCATCGTGGTGTCCCTCGAGAAGAACGGCCGACGAGTCGAGAATCTGCTGAACATCCTGTAGGAGCGGCATGTGCGGCGAAGCAACGAGAGCCGACGCATTCTTTGTCGAGAACGAGTTATTCTGTATTTGATCTGGCTGCTGACTTTGCAGAGGTTTCTGGGACTTCGGAAGCATGAGAGGCGAGTTCTTGAAGCCCTTTTGGCTGAGGAACGACTGAGTAGCATCCCGATCGGGAGGCGGCATCGACGAGTTGAAGCTGCTCTCCATCGTATTCCGACTTTGGCCGTTTTGCGCCAATTGGTAGGCTGCAAATACAGCGTCGAATTCTTCCTTCTGAAATGTTCCAATTATCCAGGGTTTTTTTGTTGGTTTTCTCACGTTTCGCTTTGCAGCAGTCGTGTCCATCAACGGAAGATGACTATCCTGAAGATCTTCGAACAAACTTTCATCTGGATGAATGCGCATGGACGTGCCGCCCGTCTCATTCTGAGTATTTGCCGAGCCGAGGTGGTCGGCAGTAGAAATTCCAGCTAGCAGGCGGCTTTGTCCGAGAGAAACGCTCAGATTTCTGTAAACGGATAACTAGACGATTATACCATTTATTTGCAATCTCACCCATCCCCTCCAGTCAACTGATCACATCGGATTCTCAATTCCCGGTTCTCGGCTCTCAATGTATTGAGCTCTCCGTTAACCTTATCGATTTGAACTTTCAGCTCTTCGGATGTCTTCCCAGCGACCAGCATTGAAGAATTGTCGAACGTGACGTTCTTTCTCAGATGATGAAGATCGTACTCCAGTTTGCTGCACTTGTTCATATACTCGACGAGCGCCAGTCCCGCCTTCTCGCACTTGTCATTGGCAGCCGTCAGTTTAGTCTCGAGCTCATCAATGTACTTGAGCTGTTCCTCGACCTCCGGCTGACCAGCTTTTTCAATAGCAAAAGTGGTGCTGGCTGCTCCGGCGGGTCCCAGAATGCCATGACCGGCAGCTGCTTCGAGTTGGACGCGCAAGTTCTCAGTCTCAGCCAGACGAGCTGACTGTTCTCCGAGCTCTTCTTGCAGAACACGAATGTGATTCTCCAATTCGGTCACTTTAACAATCTGGGCGTGAAGTTGATTCTCCAACTGACGCTTCTGCTCATCATCGGCAGTGAGCGTGAAATTCGGATCGTCTTTCTTCATTATGTCATCGAGAGTTCCGCGCAGAGAACCGAAAGTAGTATTGTTAGCCTCGTAAGCCTGAGTTTGCTGCTCGAGCTCTCTGATTTTCTGCTCCATCACCGCCCTCTGGACATCAAACTCGGCGGCTTGTCTCGCAAAGGCAAAGCTTGAGGACTCAGCTTTCTCCTGCAGCTGCCGCATTTCTTCCTCCATCTCGACGAACTGTCTCGATTTGTCTTCCATATCCTCCTGGGCAATCTTCAGCGAAACATATTCGTCGAGTACTTGTTGTACGGGCGCAGCGGCCGCCTGCTTCGCCTCCAGGTATCTGCGCTCGAACATTTGCACTTCGCACTGAAATGAAGAATAATCAAACTTTCATCCATTTCGCCCCTTCTCACTCTCATCGTGTACATTTTCCCTTTGAGCTCTTCATTTTCATGCCACGTCTGAATAATTGGGATGCTTCTGACGTTAGAAGCCGAAAAAGCGCCGGTCAGTCCGGGCTTCGGCGTTGTCGATTTCGAGCCAGTTCCCTGATGCTCGACAACGGCCAGCGATGGCTGAGACATGGACTTGCGTGGTCCTGAGAACAACCTTTTGTGCTCATCGAGCTGCCGAAAACATACCGAGAGTTTCTTCCATATTCGAGTCTTCCAGGAGCACCGAATTATCCTCCATTGCAGAGTTCGGATTTAAAACTTCGGGAAAAATTAAAAGGAAGATTTGTTCGTTGCTATGGAAACGTTTCGAACACGCGAAAAGCGCGCAGAAATTTTTAAAACCCTTAAATTCCCGCCTAAAATTTCGCAAAAGAGCGCGCTTGCATCATGAAACGTGTGCACCCCGCTTGCAAAATGTCGTGCGGCTGTATGCAAAACCACAATTTTTGGTGACACGCCCTCTTTTTTTCAAATTCGAAGAGAAACAAAATAATTTGTTTATCTTTGTTCATACTTTTTTGACTATGTTTTAGTTTATACCGAATCTGAAACATCTTTTCCATCCCAATATACTTGAAATGTTCAGATGGAACTGGTGTATGGTTCCGAAATCAGCTTTGTCGACGGGTTTGCCGCCAAACCGGCGCGAACTTTCGTGGTGAATACCAGTTAGTTTTTGAAACACATGGAGGAGTATGTTCTTTGCTTGTTACAGACGCGCCACTTCATTCTAATGGATTCGATGTGCCACCTTCCGGTGGAGTTGCGACATTCCCGCATAGCAGTAATTATGCTGACAGAATCTTCACTTGGTAAGAATGCGACTGTTTCTTTTACTATCGAAATCTGCAGGCGTGCTGTCGGTCAAAAGCTGTTCATCGAAGAACGTTCTTTGATATTTCCAATTTGCGATGGAGCTTTGTGCATTGATTTCACACGAACTTCTATTATTCCGGGAACTTCCATCACCATTTTCGAGGAAGGAATTCTCAGCATCGTGGTTCCGACGGCGTCGGCTGTTCATCGGTTCTACGCAAAACTTCACTCCAAAGGACGCGATGTATAACAAATATTCATGGACTCCAAAGATCTTTTAATTTTTAGACGTTTTCAATTCTTTCGCGAATTAAGGAGGAAGAAGAGTTTCGTCGTTTTCACACAACTCATGCGATCTCAACCCCAGGACGTCCTATTCGGTCAAGTTCTACTCATCATCCCTACAGAAACACGGTAAACTTTGGAATTTTATGGAAATTATCAGACTCTATTTCTTAGATCTCCTACGTCACCGCTGAAGGTCAATTGGTGGTAATCTCTTTGGGGTCTTTCACTGATTCGAGTGACAAGCACGAGGAATTCACGATCGGAGAGCTTGGACTCTTGGGAAAACTTCTCGGTGGAAGAGACACAAGAGTCAGCGATGCATGTGTCGTGAGGAATAACCGCGTGCCGACGAGATATTCGAAAGAACGGAAGAACGCGGCGACTTCTGATATTGTGATAGCTGTGACCAGAGACGGATGGGTCCAGGCGTGGAATGCCGATACGAAGAAGCAATTGCCGAGTACTGTCGACCTGAACCTATTCTTCGCTTCAGAGGGCAAAATTTTCAAACAGGCGCAGTTCTCTTCGGAACCGTCTGACGAAAATCTCGATGTGGAACCCTCAGACACGTACTATTCGATCAAAGCGTATTCCTTCGACGTCGACACTCTACTTGTGGTCGGCTGTGATGTAGTAATTGCTGGGAAAAGTGTCGGAACACGAGTTCACCTTCTGAAAATGGCAGAAGATCAGTTAGTTCATCTGAAAATGTTCGAAACGACGATGTCCGCTGACGAGAGACTCGTTGACCTCGAGCTCATTCAGACTTATTTCCCATCGAGTGAGGCGGCACATGATCAATCGCAAGACGAGTAAGTAAATTCAATCCACCATTCCTTAGGCTCTGTTTCAGTGAGGAGTTCAACAGTACAGCTGCAGCTCAGTTCTCGCTGTCCGCTCTGTTCAAGAGCTCATCGGCGAAGAAGAGTTATTCGATCAAACGTGTTTGCTTTGCGATCGACTGGAAGAAGTCTCTGACGTTCACCCAGTTCGACTGGCACGCAGTCAAACAATTTACTTCCCCAGCGACTACCAAAGGAGAACCGTCTGCCGATAAGGACAGAGAAAGCCATCCGGAGAGACCGTACAATTTATCGGCTGACTCGAGCATCGAAACGCTTGTCGACGTGGTTTTTGACACCGATTTGTACTCTTTCGATGTTGTATTCCGTGCTGTCCAAGTAATCCGCCATTTTCATTGCTCGAATGCATATAATATGCTCTCAGATCGTTTCGGATAACTACCGTGGTTCGAGTTCCCAAGTGCATCATAATAACTGGTCGGAGCTCTCGAAACTCGTCGATACATATCTCACGTCGATTGAATTCAACCGAAAGTTCCAGCAAAAGACGGATAGAAGCATAAGGCTGAGACTGAATGCTCCGCAGGAAATACAGACGACCGCTTTGAAGGAGTAAGTCTGAACGGCGCTCTTTTAACGTGTTCAATACCATTTTTCAGCTTCTGGTGGGCTCTGTTGCGCGCCTGTGAGGAGCTCGACTTTGCTGCTCGCGGAGCCATCGCCCTCGGACCGATGCAGTTGGCTGGAGATCTCAAGATTATGGCGGTCGTTCACAAAGACCGAATGACGGTCCTTGGTGATAATAACACCGACTTCCTTGATATTATTAGTTCGGATAGCATTCCGAAATCAGGACTCGAAGAGAAATACCGGAAAGTTCCAAACAAGCAGTTTGTCGATCTGATCGAGGAGGCGTCGGTTTTCGCTGACAGAAGAGTCTACCTGATGAATCGGGAGAGAGCGAGAATTACAAGTGCCAAGCACGGAATTCCGATAGTCGACGACGACGGAGTGGAGAATGCGTACGACTACGAGACGGACGGTCGATTCATTACCATCAAAACTGCACTGGAAGCACCAATTGTTCAGCTGACCGCTGCATTCGTTCAATCGGCCACCTACGACAACTCGAAACCGTTCGGAGATCCGAAACTTCAAGTGTTCGCTGGCACATTCACTCAGAGCTTGGTGTCTGCGAACATTCGAAAGACGGTCGAGTCGAGAGTCTATTTCGCTCTGACTCTCCAAGCACTTCTCAATGCCATCACTGAGGTAAGGATTACACGTTCTTTACAGTCTCATCAACCTCTTAGAAACTTCAGAAGAAACTCCGCGCCGGCGCAGCTTCATTCGGAGACGTTGAAGCACTGTGCTGTGAGCTGAGAGAGATAATCCGTGTTTACAGAGAACTCAATGAACAACTCGATCTCAAAATCTACAAGTAACTGATAATCAAATGTTTCTCAGCTTAAGTTAATTGTTAACAGGAACGGAGCAAAAATGAGCATCGGAACTTGGTTGACATCGGACACTGAAGGCCTTCTGTTGATGAAAAGAGAAGGCGGATACGGACCGAACGGATACGACGAGATCTGCGAAAACGATTTCAACTGGTTCGTCGGAGTGGTCACTGACGCGGCAGTCCGAGCTCTTCTCACCTCTTCCGAAGTGCTCGTTCTTTTCCGCCGTCTCGTTATGCAGAAACAGTTCAAAGTGCTGCTAACCATCCTCAATTCCTACATCAGCGAGACTCGTGCTCTGAAACCAGCAATCACATTCTATCGTGGAATAGCTTACTCTGGAACTGATCATCCAGTCAAAGTACGTTGGCTTCACATTGATTCGAGCCTGTTAATTGCTTATTTTTTCAGGCCCTCAACGCGTTTCAATCTTGTTTGGATGCATTCGCCGACGGTAATGTGGCTCTCCGGAAGGCGGTATACTATCTCCTTCCGAAAAGAATCAATGTTCCCCGAGGAACTGACCCGATTGACGTGATAGGAACATCGGAGTACTTCCTGACCGTAGTCCGTTTCCTGCAAGAACACGGACACGCGGAGGAAGTTTGTTCCGTTGCGATGAAGGCCATCGAAAGCCTTCCGATAGAAAACGAAAGTGTGCAGCTCATTTCAAACACACTGTTCAATCACTTGACGAACCGCCGCGAATGGTTCCAGGCTCTCAAGCTGATTCTGAGAACGACGTTACGTGCGGAGACCAGAAGAGCATCTATCTGTGAACTGCTCACACTGATGCTTGCCGTCGGAGAGTGGGAGTCGATAGCGACGATGAAGTTCGGAGTTCATGAGCTGATCGTTGAGGACTTCCTGAGAGACGTGGCCAGTCGTCAGTCACCAACCGAGAAAAAACACCACTTTGAACTGCTTTTCGCATTTTATATGGCCCGAAAGGACTTCAGAAAGGCGGCAAGCGCAATGTACGAATATGCCAGGCATATCGAAACGGCGGCCTGCATGACACCCGAGCTCCTTCGTAGAAGACGTGACTGTCTGGCTTCTGTACTCAATCTGCAGTCCGTGCTCAGTATAGAACCAGAGGGTATTAAACGGAGACCGTTCGTTTCAACTTTTTTTTATTTTTAGAGGACAGACCAATCTACGACGATTACACCGATACGAACCTCGTGTTTCCGAAGCCATGTGATGAAGAAGACGATCAAACTGTAGAGGCGGATAATTCTGGCGGAAGCCTTCAGAAAATACCCGCCGTTCAAAAGCTTCCAGAATCGATTACCGACAGTTCCGTTTCCTCTCCGGAAACAGATTCCGGGGGCTCACACACACCGTCTTCTTCCGAAAGCGTCGATCTTGAGGCTTTGAAGGCTCAGCAAATGACATTCGCGACGGGTGAGCAGATGGAAACAGATGAGAGCGAATCGCCAAAAAAAGAGAGACCACCACTGAGCAAGAGAAGAAAGCTGCTAGTGCTGACAGAGAAGGAGTCAGTTTTTTTAAAATCAAAAATCGACCGTAAAGAGTGTATTATTCTTCAGTATTCGCGCCGAATGGGTTCTGTGCTCTGCTCGCGTTGCACTGCTCTCTTCCGATCAGTTCAAAGGAATCCCACCGATCGATCCGGCCGAGCTGTTCTCTCTTCTTGTCGACACAATGTTCTTTGATGAAGCCTTCGATATTGCCAGGTTAGTTTCAACATCCAAACAGATTATGTTCAACCTCCGCTTTCAGACAGTTCACTTTGGATTCTCGAACGCTGTTCTTTGCCGCGACTCGCGAGGCCATCATGATCGATGCTCTCCGCGACGATTTGAACATCGAGATGGCGGCCACCCAACAAGCCGGGTGGGTCCGTCTCAACAGAAGACACTGTATGGCTGTCGCCACTGCCGAGGATCACTGGGCAGTTGTCAGAGGGCTTGTGAATGCAGCACACGCCGAATGGCCCGGAGACTCACGACCACTTCGAGGAGCCGCCGAGGCATTTTTGAGCCACAAACTGAATGTTCCCTACTGGCTGCACAGCATTTATGAGGTTTGTGGGATTCTATTCCGATTTTTCGAAACCGTTTCTGTCAGAATCACGACGCGAATGACTACATCCGATGCCTCGTTGATTACGAAAATTATTCGACTGCCCTGCAAGTTCTTGGAGAACTCGTCGAGCGAGAGACACTTCAGGCTGCTCAGCCGAGGAGCCGAACATGGCTTCCGTACGGAGTCATCGACGAGCTGATGATCAGAAGTGCAGATTTCGTGCGAAAGCTGAACGTCATGACGCCAGAAGATCAAGTACTGGCTGCCGAAGTAGCGACTCTGAGAAAGAACGTCGACGGGAAAATGGTGGTCTACTTCCGGAAAGTGGCTGACTTCGAGCAGGCGCAGCGGATGGCTAGTCGCTTCTTCAATAAATGATTCCAATTGCAATTCCTTCATATCTTTCGATCGTTATTATTTCTTTGCGCCACCTTGACCGGATCAATTAATTTTCCTTTAGTATCCTCTTATCTCAATTTCAATTTTCGGTTCCGGTTTTTATCTCACACATCCTTAACAGGTTTTGCTCCACTTTTAAATTATGTATTCCATTATTGTTGACTGTTTCACACTATTGTCCTGGAATGAATGAGTTACGATTCGTAGAGATAGAGCTCAAGAAAAACGGAATAGTCCGGAAAACATACTTCTCAGAGCATTCATTGCACAGGTTTATGTAACAACTTCAATTTTCGCAGATGGACACATTCATTCTGTCCTCCGATTCCGACGACGACGGACCGCCTCCGCCGAAGAGAAGATCGGTCGAAGGCGTGCCGAGAACTTTCGACGGCGACAAGAAGATCCGCTTCTCGTTCGGCGTCTCCAACTTGTCGATGAATCCGGAGGAACAGCCAGAACTCGCGGAGCAGCCAGATGACGTCATCTTCAAGACTCCACTTCGCAAAAAAAGCACCTTTTCCTCGAGAACTCCGAATTCTCTGCGTCGTCGATCCGTCTCAATGAACTGCATGAGTCCCGCGGTGCCCAGTAGAAACGAGCCGTCGACAAGCGAAGCGTGCTCCGCTTTCGTGCGGAAAGACTACAATTTCGACAAGTTGAGCAGTGACGAAGAGGAAGAAATCAGTGAGGGAAAACAAGAAGACAACTTGGATTTGAGGGCCCTTCTCAGTCCGCAAAAGAGCAAAGACGGAAAAGGGAAGAAGAAGGAGAAAGTGGAAGAGGTGCAGAACGAATTCTTCGGAGTCTACTGCCTGATCAGTCGGAGCGACCGTCCGTGCTACAAGAATCGTTGCTACATCGGCTACACAGTCGACCCGAATCGTCGGATAATGCAGCACAACGGCGGCAGAGACAAGGGCGGCGCGAAGAAAACGGACAGTAGAGGGCCGTGGGACATGGTGTGTGTCGTGCACGGATTCCCGAACCACGTGGCAGCTCTCCGCTTCGAGTGGGCGTGGCAGAACCCTAGTGTTTCGAAGTCGTTAAAAGAGAAACAGCTGAAGAAGGAGAGGAAGGAGACGCCGTTCGCCTATCAGTACTTTTTTTCTGCTTTATAATTACTCTTTCTCGGTTTCAGACTCCGTCTCGCTTGCGAACTAATGAACAGCGAAGCATTCAGCAGATTTGCGCTTTCTTTCCGATGGCTGATTCAGGTATACTCACTGGTGTTCAGCGAATGCAATTTATAAGTTCAGGCAGAGAAACTACCGTTTCCGCGCGTTTGTGAACCGCCCAAACAGACCAAAATCCGGTACGGAAAAGTGAAAAAAGAGATGAGTTTGGTGCCGTCGAAGCGTGAAGACTACGTGGAAATGGGCGAGTGTCGGATCTGCGGGAACGACATCGATAAGGTCGGAATCCTTCTGTCTCCGTCAATTAATATTCTCTCTTTTCCAGGTGTGGAGCCTCGTCCGATGCATTTCTCCGTCGTGTCCATCGCATTTTCACTCGAAATGTCTTGCTGAAAATGGGCTGAAGACGAATGACGAATATTCTGAGCACGTCTTCCCTCTGGAAGCCAATTGTCCGACTTGCGGGCACTTTTATCTGTGGGGCGACGTCATCCGAGAGCAGAGAAGGATCACTAAAATATCTGCAAAGTGCCCGGAAGAATTTCAGAATCTGGTCGTGCGTAAGGGCCTCCCGCATCGAGAAATCAGCCCATTGAACAAATAACCCTATATTTTGAATATTTACTAGTATTATCATCGATCTACTAAAAACTCACTCCGAATTGCATTTAACATCAAATGAATAAGTTTTTTCAAACTCGAAACACGAAGTAAACATTTATTCGATCAGTACAGATATCAGGACAATGTGAATAGTTTTACACAATACAAGAGGTAAGAACGAACATGATTCAAATAGGCACAGTCTATTTAGACTTCTTCCTCGTCATCCTCGAAAATGTTGTGAAGGATTTGAGCTTGACTTTCTGTAATTTGTCACTTTTGTTTCAAACCGTTTTTAATCTTTGTAACCCACTTCTTGTTTTGAGCTCTTCTTTCTCGGTGATTGCCGACACATCAAGAGCGAACGTCACATTGTTCGGATCGCATTCGTCTCTTCCTCTGATCGGAGTCGAGCACTGTCTTCCAGCGCCCACTTTGTTCTCATCGAACACCAAAGGAGTCGTTCCGCGCGGAGTGGCCATCGGCGCGTTCTCTTCATTTCCTTCCGTTTCTTCTTCGTCCTCGTCCATCGCCTTCCGTTTGTTGCTCTTCTTCTTCTTCTTCTCAGCTTCGTCTTGTCTCTCCGAAGGACGAGCACGATGACTTCTTCGCACCGTGACGTTCATCGAAATGTCAGCTGGCTTCTCAGGTGACTCTGTAAAATAAAATTTTGCACAAATTGCTAGAATCGTCACTAACTCATCACAATCTTCGGCTTCTTCCACACTTTTCCATCGGCATCGACAGACTCATCCTCATCATAAGTCGGTGTCTTGCGACGACGTGCTGAAAATGCAATGCGCGTTGATATGCCTGTTGATATAATTGAAAGGATATTTATCAGTTCGAAACGAGTTCTATTGGAACGTACATTTCGATCTGTTCGCCTGCTCTTCTACTGCAACTGCTGCAACTGGCTTCTCCCGGTTCTCCGGTTCCGGCTCCTTCAATTGCTGCGCTTCAGGCTCTTGCTCAGTTTCACGTGACTTCTCTTTTTCGACATCTTCATCAGCTTCTTTCACTTGTCCAGTGACAGTTTTCTCCGCTTCCTCGTTTTGCTCCATCGACTCGTCCACAATCGTTTTCTCTTTTTCGATTTCATTTTCACCGGCCACAGTCTTATCCACTGCCTCACTCATACGCGTATCTGGGATGAAACGAATAACATATTTCCATTGAGATTCTAAAATAGCAACCTTCCAGATTTGGAGCATTCAGTCGCATTTCGTTGCTCTTAATCAAAGCACCAACAGAACGACGCTGAAAACGTGGTATTTTTTAGGGAAACTTCTTTTCGTTTTACAATCTTTCGAATAGTCTTCGGTGAGAGCACTCTCGTCTGTGGTGTCTGCTGGGATTCCGTCCTGCTCCTGAGGGCAGTTCCCGGAGTCTTGAGTCCTTCGAGCAATTGTCTCTGTGGCGGAGGAGTTCGCGTTCCGTCCTCCGAGGCGATCTCCGGATTGTTTCGCACTGGCGAAGTCATCTCAACGTCTTTTGCTGCTTCCTGTTGTTGTTGCTGCTGCTCATCTTCCTCTCCAGGCTCCTTTCCGTCTTGCTGTCGAGCAATGAGCTTCTGCTGCTTGTGGAAGTCAGCCACCTTCTTCAAGTACTGATCGAGAATCTTGTTCGCCTCCTCGTTTCTCTGCTTCACACGTTGCAACTCGAACTTCATCTCCTCCTTGAGCTGTCGGTTGTCCTGGAGAATCTTGTCCAAATCGTCCTTGTGCTCCATGCAGATCATCCGAATCGCCACCAGACACTTCCTTTGCAGTGGCGAACGGTGCTGGTTGAGGAATTCTCGGAGTGCCAGAGTCGACGGAACGATCGTGTTCATGTATAAATCAAAGTAGACCTTCTGCATGAACGCAGCGGCCGCCGCCATGGCTTCTGGAGCAGGATCGTCGACTGCGTTCTCATCTGGATTCCTTCCAATGTCCATCTTTACTTGCATCTCGGTCGAAGCCATAATCTAGAAGAGTGCTGATTAGAATTCAGTTGACATTCCATGAGCTTACCAGAAGGGCGTCATCCAGAAGACACTGCACATTATGATCGCTGAAGTCATATTCGCCGTTGACGATCGGTGTGAATATGCGCTTGCAGATGCTAACTTTCACGTCAAATCTGGCTCTGTCGTCGAGCGATTCAATCATGAAAGTGTAGATGGCTATGCGCGATGGTCTGGCGAGAGGATCTCCTCCTCCGATTGCCACGTCGACCTGTCCTCTGTCCTCTTCGTCGTGGTTTGTTCCGATCAGTCGCTTGGCTTGAGTCAGGGCGAGCATATATTGAACAAAGTTGAGCTTGAAGAAGGCAGGCTCTTCCGATTGCAATACTTCACTCTGAAATTAAAAAAAAACGATTGTTTCAGAATTCAGACAAGAAACGGACAATATAGAGTTTCGCGTCGTTGCGAACATCTTCATTGGCGTCAAGAGTGGCGAGCATCATTCGGATCATAATCTGCAAAAATAAGAAGAGTCAGTTGAACTGTATAAATAAGATCCCGACCTCTCCATTGAATCGGAAGATTCCGAATGTGATCAGACGGGCGATCTGATTGATAGCGTGACGACGAACGAGAACAGAAGCATCGCAGAGGGAGGCAGCGAGCATCGGAGCGTACCGATCTGTTTTGAACGAAGCACAGATGTCTCCGATGGCGACGACGATGTTGGAGCGAATTTGGTGGGACGGGTTCATTTGGAGTTGTTTCACTAGCATCGGCATCAGTTTGAGAAGACGATCGTGCTGAACGTTCACAGTTTATTAACAGCCTTTCTGTGTAAATCTTACCGCCAGAATCATATTGGCCAAAGTGATCACACTGATAGCTCGTACTTTGTCACTGAAAAGCAGACCTTCCTCATGAGACAGCAGGCCTCCAGCAGTCTTTTGTGAAGAAGGGAACTCCGACATTTGTGTTTGTGGACGGGTTTGATGAACGGAAGGCATGTCCGGGTTGATTGCAGACGCGTCAGATGTTTGTTCGTCTCGAGAGTTGACAATCAACGAAAGCGTCTTTCCGAGGCGTTCGTGACGTGGAATCAACGAGGGAGAGAAGGAGAACACCTCGGAAGCCACGTTGAGGGCGATAATAAGAAGACGTTCCTGACTGTCAGCGACTCTTTTCCACGCCTCCTTATCTTTGAACATTTCAAATGACTGAACAATTGTGTCGAAACATTTGATCAGCAGACTATCCGCAAAGTCTCGGAAGGCAGGACCGTCTGAGAAACAGATTTAGTTTTTTATACTTCCGATAACTCACTCTTTGCTCTGTCTCCAATTCCGTCCATCACTTTTCCGAGACAATGATACACACTTTTTGCGTGCGACGCGTGCAGACAATAGTTCTGGAGTGTGCGTTGAAGCGAGCGTTGGAGGTCTGTTTTTGCATCCTCCTCAATCTTGTCAACGTTGTTTTCGATGACATGCACCATGTACTGGACGAGATTCGACTCGACAGACAGATCCATCGAATGGAACGCCTCGACGGCGAAATCGACGTTGGCTTCGAATTGGACGCACAACTGCGAGAAGACCATCCACGTTCCACTCTGCCGTTCTCCGCCCTCCACAATGTGCCGTTTCATCGACTCCATCACCGATCTCTTGACTAACTTTTCCCGCACCGCATCTTTTAGAGTGGTCATCAGATATTGTCGATGGTTGGTGACCGACTCGATGGTATCCAGAAGGGTCCATGTCAGATCGGAAGGATTCTCGAGCAGGGGAGTCAGAACTTTCATGATCAACTTTCTCGCGTGCTCCGTGACGTCACTGTCTGTGTCATTGAGCATTGTGATCAATGAATGCAGCCATTTCGAACTTAGACTTTCTCTGAAAAGGATGAATTTATGGTTGGAAGTTAACAAGACCGACTCACTTGAAAGTGATGTTTCCCTGCAACATTAAATCTGTGAACACTTCCGCACTCACTTTCCTCACTGACACTTGCTTATCACGACACAGTTTCTGTGACCATTTGCCATTTTAACCCGATTCACAATAACCGTTTACCTGGAGAGTTGAGAGCATTGTGTCAAACTTGACTTCCTCTTCGCAGAACATGAGATAGACTCTGAGCAGACCACACGCTCCCTTCTTCACCGGTGCCTTGTCATCTGTAGTCAGCCGCCGGATCATCATGTAGATGATGTCCTTCTCAACACGGGCGGCCCCTTTGTTCAAAAGTTCGAGTCTGTTGATTTTCTGAATAATTTCTTGCTCGTCTCGCAGCAAATCGTGTTTTCCTTTCTTTGATCCTCCATTTTCCGATTGAGCCGAAGTGTCGAGAAGCTCATTCAGATTTTCGCCCGCTTCTCCGAATTTTTCGTCCATTTTCACATTCGTCTTCTGACAGCATTCTTGAAACGCTTTTCGGTGCACCGGAGATGAGAGAATCTTGGCGAAGCTACTGATTCCATGGACTCGCATTCCGGCTGTTTTGTCGAGGCAAGCAGCGTAGATGATGTTGTAGAGGATTGAGCATGCGTCTTCTCGAGCGGGCGTTCTATAAACTTCGCATTTCTTTATGAAATTGTGTCTCCACTTACACTCTGTCCTTTGCTTTTTGCTGCTCTTTCTTCTTTCTCCTCTCTTCAGCTTTCAGTTTCCTTCTCCTGGATGTGTTAGCATCACCGTCACTGTCATCGTCAGAATCGCTGTTCTTTCCTTTCTCTCCTTCGTCCTCTGAACCCTTGTCTTCTTCTTCTTCATCTTGCTCCGCATTTTCCAAATCCGGCACCGGTCCCGGATCCGGAGCAGTGAAATTGTACGCGAAGAGGAGATTGTTGGCCAACTCATTGGACAGAGACCTCACATTACTTTTGCCTTTGAACAAGACGTTCATCAATTGTACGAAGTCATAGACGAATTGATAGGGAAGCGCTTCTAGAATTTTGGTGAGAGTCTGAGCAATGTTGGCGCGGAACTCTGCGTATTCGGGACATTGAGCGTAGACCATTGCAACTACGGATTCGATGAGTTTGAGCTCTCTGGCATCTGGATTTCTGCCGATTCTGGAGACAACGAGACAAGCAGTCAGCTCTCCGACTTTCTTTCGTTCTCCCGAAACCTTCGATTGTTTAGTGCTTTCGTCCGGATATGGAAGAAATGCGAGACGTGGACGAATCAATCTACCGTATGCCTGACATAAATACTCGAGTTTTTTTCTTTTTTTTTCTAATCATGTTTACCAATTCTCCTCTTGTTTTGTACTTGCTCTCGATGAGTGCATTCACGAACGAACAGTACCGATCCATGAACCGATCGAGAGATCTGAACTCGCGCACAGAATTGGCACGATACGCGCGTGGAGCTGCGCGAGTGTCGAGATCCAATCGGGGAATATCTTCTATCACCTCAAGAGTGCTCATAAGAGTGAGTTGATCGAGACTGAACGAGTCTTTGACGAGAAATCCGAACATTTGAGTGGTTAGTTGATGCAGGAAACGTTCTGCAGAGTCGACGGCTATCCTCGGGGGACCGATCTTGGGTTCGGCAGCAGCCGCAGCGCCCGTCTCGTCGGCTGCCTGCTCCTCAGATCCACTTTTTCCTCCTTTCTTTTTAGCGCCCGTATTTTTTTTCGCCGCGACGGTTTCACCTATTCGGACTGTTTGACAGCAATTGCGAATGAGCTTTAGGCATTTCTGCAAATTGTTTATCTCGATACTTCTATCTTTTTTGTGTGAACTCACTGAGTAGAGCCCAGGCTGGAAGAGATCTTGGTTCGAATGTGGCATCGCACACATTGAAAGGTAGACGCACGCAGCGAGAACTGCTCTTTCAACTTCATCTTCAGAGCTTTCCGACCGGATTCCACTCTCTAGAAAGTGCCACACGAACAGATTAAATTTCATTGTCGCCACAGTTCCTTCTTCGAAAACGAGTCGGATGTCGCATTTTTCGTCGGAAAGCAGAAGGTTTTCGGCTCTTTTTTTCACTAAGTGAGGTGGACATTTGTTAAGTAATCTTCAATTAAAAATACTCACATTCTTTGAGAATTTCTGTTAAGTCTTGTTCGAAAAATGTCAAATCAACCGCTTCGGTGAATGTCTCGTGATCTTCGTAGTTGCATTCGGCTGAAGACGTTGCGACAGAGTCGTCGATCTCATTGAGCGGAGTTAAATGGGTTTCGAGGCACTGTGCGAGTTCGTTTCCACTAGTAGTTGTCATTTAATTCTAAAATTTGACGAGAATTAAAGAAGAAACTGCAAAAAATTGAATGGCGTGACCGACCCATCGTCGCTTCAAATTTGCCGCGCGCTAAGGTTTCTAGTCCACGGCCATCCGCTTTTTAGGCCATCGTTCAGTTTGCCGACTGCCGACACTTTCTTTTCTACTTTTTTTTGCAAATAAAATTGTTAACTTGTAGCATGATTGGGCGAATTGGACTAGGGAGAGTAATCTCGCGCAGTTTGGCAACAGCTGAACCGGCTTCCCAGTCGAAAATTACTATCCAACCCGCGATCGAGGTAAACTTTTTTCTGTGAATTTAGTAATTTTTTCTGGCTTTAGAGATCCCCCACTGACATTTTAAATGCGTTGTCGGAAACGGTTGGGCAAGACAGTACTGCTCCGCACTTTGCTTACATCGATGACCCAATCACCGTTCCATCGACTCAAAATGCCAAGAAAACTTATTTCATGGCAAAGGTATGAAAATAAATGGAATGTGACTGATACCTTTTTGTTGCAGGAATTTGGAAAAAGAGCTGCTCGGGAACTGGCAGCCGAATGGCCGACTCTCTTTGCATTTGACCGAGATCAGCCACGTCTTCCAGCCTTCCGTCCAGAAAAGCTCCCGGACCCGCTTCAAGTGGATGCCACTGAAAAGAATCTTGCGACGATGATCGAGAGTCGCGAAGTGCTCGATGCTTGCATGCTGTACGAGCGAATGCGTTCGGAGAATGTGGAAATTAGCGAAGAGACACAACTCAAATTATTCCGTCTCGTCGCGTACTACAATTCTTCGAATATTCCGTTCTCGGAGTGGACCGAATGGGCGGGAATGCGTAATTTTGGAGAAGAATCTCAAAATGCGTGGAAATCGGGCGGAGTAGCTGATCTACTTTTCGAGACACTTCCGAAAACTGACGAGACTGTTTCTATCATGATCGCAGGATTGTGCAAGTTTTCGGATCACGCGAGTTTGGAGAGAGCCCGCGAGCTTTACAAAGAGCACAAAGCAGCTGGAGGATCGATTCGAGGAGAAGCGTTCGACGGATTGATCCGCGTGTCCAACTACGGCGTTGCCAAGAAAATCGCCGCTGAGATGGCTGCGAGCAAGGTCGCTCCTACTATTTTCACCTTCAACGCTTTTCTCTTTGCGGCTTCCAAAACTGGAAAGTTTGAAGAACGTTTGAAAGCGTTTGCCGAAACTCTGGGAGAAATGAAAGCTCAAAACGTGGAACCAGCTCTCTCCAGTTACTATCTAATTCTCAAAAATATAATTGACAACAAATTGACGGAAAAAGACAGGGTGGAAACGGACGAACAGAAAACTGCCTACAAGCGGCAATTGACAGTAGCTGTTTCGTGGCTCAACGAGATGCAGAACAAGATCAGTGCGAAAAGGCTTAACCCGGTGACCACTTCATGCAATCTTTTCTTCGCCGAAGCGATGGGCATCAACTACAGAGCTGCCAACTTGAAGCTTGCTGAGAACCTTCTCTCGATCTACCAGTCGAAAAACAACGAAGTGCAGATGCCCACTTTCACCATCGAATCCATGTTCTACAATCGATATCTGCAGTTGGTCATCGAGCAAACAACTTCTCTGTCGAAGATTCACGAGCTTTACAAAAGCCACGTTCCCAAACTGGTCGGAGTGAATAACTCGTTAAGTTCGCTGGTCTTCCGCAAGCTTTCCGCTTCCACCGATCGTAACTGGGCACTTCTGAGAAGACTGATCGTCGATGGAATCGCCGGAGGACAAATGAACGGAGCACTTGGAGAAGAGATGCGCAGACAATTAAGCAATGTCCAGTTGCATGTAAGTGAAGAAATAACTGGTTTTATAATACAACTACTCCCTTTTTAAGACCTTGAATACTAGCGAAAGAGAGCAGTTCACTGAGCTCGTTCAGAAGCTGGTGTCCGTTTGGATCGAATACAGTCAGTTCACACAAGGAAACCTGCAAAGAATGCAGAGAAAACTGTCGCCCAGTCAGGTAAATAATTGGTCAACTTAAATTCGCCATCAAAAGCTCGTCTTCCAGATCTCAGAATGCGCTCTTCTGTTGACGCGGATCGGTGAGCATCAGAAGGCATACGAACTGCTCGACTTGCTTCTCGACGAGAATGCGAGTACCGGAGAGGAAGCTACCGTGTTCCCACGAGGATACGCGAAGCCGTATGCAATGGCTGAACTGTTCGAGGATGCTCTCAGAAGAAAAGACACTTACGGAGCTGCCACGTGTCTCCAGATTATGTCTCTGACTGCGAACCGTGCCAAACTCGAACCGCTGGCAAATCGGATTCTTGAGAGGTGCAATGTGAACCCGGAACAGACAAGGATTCTGCAAGGTTTCGTCCGTCTCCGTCCCCAGTGAGGCAATCTTGTTATAGTGTAGGATAGTATCCGTTTCGCTGTTTTTTCTGTTTTCTGTTCTGTACTTGAGTAAAAATCATCCAAATTGTTACGGATTTGGGTTTGTGCGGAATCAACGGATTATTTCGGGGAGTACTCAAGCCGTAGAATAGATAGAATAGTAGTAGAGAATAGGTGAGAGAGGGGAATCAGAGTCAGCGTAAGACTCTGAGACCTGAGTGAGTGAGATACTCAAGAGATACTCAAGAATTATCATCCATAATATCATATGTCTAGAAAGACGCAACACAAATAAACACAGTTCTTCTCAGGCAGGTGATAGTTTATTTCGGAAGACGTAAAGAATGAGTTCAAAAGCCAAAAATGTTCGGTTTCCTCTTGCTCTTCTTCGCAACTTTCTTCTTGTCATTTTTGCTCTCAATTTTTTGACACTTTGATTTCTCTTTTCCGGAAATTGTCTGAAAAGTGATTACTCTTTTTATCCATCGCCCAATCTCCGTTCTGCTCACCTCTCTGACCATCACGCTCGGAGACGCAGACTCTTTGCGTACGTGGTCACTCCGTTTCTCGTCCTTCGTCTTGTCGTCCATCGTCGCCTCGTCGGCCTTTCTCTTGGACAGGGCATCCTTCGCCAACGGATCCTCTCCTTTCTTTACTGCCTTCGACACCTCCTTCACTTCCTCCGTCTTCTTGGAGCCCTTCGATGGCGCATCCTTGTCCTTCTTCTCCGCCTCCTTCTTCTTCCGCTTCTTCCGTTCCTCTTCCTGCACAATCGCCTCCGTCACCTTTCTCGTCACATCCGCGTACTTCTTCAGAAGAGATTCGAAGCTCGCGTCCTTCTTGATGTACTTCTCTTCGATGAACAGCTGGATGATGCAGACGATGAGAAACACGTATTGCAGTTGACTTTGGATCGATCCGAGACGCATTTTGCGCAGTCTCTTGAGAACTTCGATCATCTCCAGGCAGGCGTTTTCTCTGATCATCACCGCCGCCAGATGGATTCCGATAAAAGTGGAAGTGCGTCCTACGCCCGCAGAACAGTGCACGACCATTGGTTTTCCGTTGCTCTGAACGACTGCTTCCGGAAAAGAAATATCGGGAGATTCACCTTCTTGAGAGCGCCTTTGTACAGTCTGATCATCGGAATCGGGTCGAGTGGAGCCACCTGATCATGCCAATCGTGATACCAGTAATGATGAACTAGATGTTTGGCCGGGTTGTTCCTACAACAAATATCATCAAATTGAATACAAGTATGTCCAGTTTCCCCGTACTTTCTTTGCACTTGCAACACGGTGTACTTTACCGGATTCCACGTCTCGACGGCCTTCTCGATCACTTTCACCTTGTACTCTCCGAACTCTTTCTCCGCCGAATCCGAGTAATATCTCTGGCACTTCTCCTGCTCGTCCTCCACGTACTGACAGAGCATCACAATAACTGGACACTTTTCGGTGAAAATCATGTGCCAGAAGTCCGCAATCGTGTTCTTTATGGGCCCTTGCGTCGAGATGAACTGCACTTGATCGGGCATTTCCATCCAGGACGCGTGGATGTAGTCGTTCGAACTGTCGCGCTCTTTCAGCACAACACGGTTCTCGTCGGCGCAGAAGATGTGTCTATATCTGAAAATAACTGCGGATGAGAGTGAGAATTGAAAGTTTTCACCTGTTTTTGTCCGTCATTTTCTCGGAGACCGCACTGCTTACGTTCGGCCGGAACTCTTTATTCTCGCGGTATTCCTGCGTGATCTTGCTGATGCGGGCCGTCTTGAGCAGGTTCCTGCTCCACGCGACGCAGTTCTCCGTCTTCTCGTCGCGCTTCTCCTCCGTCGTCGGCACCTCGTCGCCCTGCGTCTTGTCGATCCGCACCGATGGATACTCGCGACTGCGCGGCTTGTCGTCCACCTTCTCTGCGCTCATCGACACCTTATCATTGTAGCCTTTTCCCTGATCAACTTTCGATTCCTCTGTGCTATTTTCCGTTCTGTCTCACCATGATCTCTAACTTTCTTTTTGACGCCTCTGTTTAGCTAATCTGATGTTTAGAAATAAAAAACATTCGACGGATTCTCAGTTTTTCTCTCCGGAAAACGTGGTATTCCCAATCAGAGATCTTTCACGTGTCCTTCGGTTCCCAGTTGGATCCTCATTCCTGACCGTCTATTTCACAAAATCGTGCAAAATAAAGCAAAAAGATGTGCATAACACGCAAAACCGTCAAGAACAATACCGAGTTGGACCCCGCCGGCGCGAAGCCGAAAAAGAAAGTTCTTCTAAAGAAGAAGGCGGCGAAGAGCGGCTCGACCGAGTCAAAGTCCACGGTCTCGCCGGCCGTCGCCGAACTCGCTTCGCAATTGGAGCAAGAGAAGAGAACGGTCGACGAGACGCCGGTGGACGGAACGGCGGACAAGGTGGACAAGGAGAAGGAGAAGGAGCCGGCCAAGTCGGGCGATAAACGGCCGGGCCCGAAGAGACCGAGCGCCGACGCGAATCCGCACAATTCGCTCTCCGGGGTTCGAGGGAACACGGGCGCTAAGAAGAAAGCGAGGAACTTCAAGTGGGGACAGGTGGATCGCGATGAACTCTCGGTGGGTTAAGGTACTTGGTTGATTTCACTCAAGACATTTTCCAGATAAACAATGAAATGTCCGAGTATCTGGAGAACGCGCAGTTGACGAAATTGATGTCGCACGCCGATGTGAAGGCTCTGATGAACAACCAGAATGCGCCGGGAGCGGATGCGGAAGAGAACAGCTGTCGGGTAGGAAGAGGGGTGAAAGCGGATTGAAAGAAGGGAACAATTAAGGATACGGTGGAAGAAGTCGACAGCGAAATGGAGGAAATGGCGTTCCCGCCACTGCTCGCTCCTATCGTTCAAGAAGAAGAGAAGGGATTCGGGCTTCTCCCGCATCCGCAAGAAGCGAAAAAAGCAGACGGCGGCGGACAGAATGACACCAAAAAAATGGACGTTGTCATCTAAAAAACAAATGTGTGAATAAAGTTTGTTAAAAAGAAGATTTATAAAAGAAAATTATTAACTCAACAGATCACAAAATAACAAGCGATAACAAATTCACGGGAATACGGAAGGGAATGAAGATGCCGGCGCAATGAGCTCCGGTTCTAGACGGAAGAGCGGAGGCATCGGAATGAGCGATGGTTGCAGATTTGGATCGAACTGAAAAATAGAAAGACTTTAGTGCGAATGAGAAAAGAGTCGTCTCACTAGTGCATAAAGTGGGCCTGGAAGATGCTGAATTGACAGGTTCTCCGGCCAGATTCCCGCTTTACTCTTCTGCAACTTCAATGCGAGCTCGTCGTACGCCTTTCTCAGAGCAATGGCTTCTCCGAAATGACCGACTGCCATCAGCACAGGAATCAGTTGTGATGACTCTTCTAAATTTCACACATTTTGCCCTGCAGTCGTGCTGAAGAACTCACTTCCAACCTGCTCCAACCAACGATAGTGCTCTGCGAGTGTGTTAAGCAGAGCCGAGTCTTCGTACTCTCCGCCCTCTTTCAATGAACCTTTCTTCTTCTCAATCTGTTTTCGTCTTCTCACAGTCGATGCCATCGATGCCTTCGAGGATCCGGACCTTGAACTGATACTCGAGATAACCGAACCATCGTCTCTCAGGTCGTCGACCTCGCCTGCTGCGTACTGTTCCACTCTCTTCAGCTTATTCTCTCGCACCACCACTAGCCGCTTTCTGTACTTTTCGAACTCTATCGTCTTTCTCTCTATATCCATTATCAACTGCTCGTTCCTTCCCGCAGCTGCTTTCCTCAAGCCTTCCTCCTTGCCCACTTCCACTTCTCTGCTCGCTGCCGTCCATTCGAATGCATCACACAAGGCCTGAACAACTTGAGTGCTCGGGGATCCTGCCAATTTCAAGGCCTTGGCCAGTGCTTCCGGCTGTCTTCCTTCTCTCAGAGCTGCGCTCATTTTGATTGCGTGGATCTTCAACTTGCCCGAATCGACTCCAAGTCGGCGAGCGGATGAAACCAATCCATCGACATCTCTCGACATTTCCCAGCATTTGAGAGTCTTCTCCGAGTTTCCGGCAATCTCATAGAACATCGCCGCTTCTTTCCAGTGAATCTTCTTTTCCAGTTCGATCGCGTACATTTCACAACAGCCTTTGTACCGTTTCTCTCCGGGTTTGACTACAGTCAGGGCATTCTGATGGAGGTTCTCTCTTTCGATAATTTCCTTCGTGTCGTTCCACCAAGTTTCCTCTGAACCTCGTTCTTGGCTCGAATCAAGCACCAGAAGAGAGGCGATCGCATCAACCCACGCTCCTCTGACTACATTGATTCTGTAGCGTCTCTCCAGAACACATGGGATTCTGTTTAACTTGTTCAGCACCGGAAGATATTCTTTCGGGTCGTAGTTGGACGCTTCTGCCACTTGTTGGGCTAGTTTCAGATCGTACGTGGAGAGGGCACAATTGAAGAGTTCTTTGGCAGGAACAAAGAAGGAAATGTGATGGAGGCTGTTGCGGGTGAACACATCTTTTCGCGTTTCTGAAACAATGGAATTACAGTCAAGTCAAACGTATTCATCTGCTACCGATCTTCTCTACGTGTTCTTGAATCTCTTTAAGAGCATCATTGATTCTGACAGGCTTTGAGCGGAGAAGTGAAGTGAGCAGAAGCGGGAACAGTTTTGTCTTCTTCTCAACGTCTTCCAACTTTTGGATGTGCTGATGAATGGCCGTGCACAAGGAACTTCCTTCCTCGTTGAAAACTTCCGTGCAACTGACTATCAGTTGTTCCAGAAGCGCTGAATCGCTCGTCGATTTGAGCCACACTCCCACGTCGTTCTCCAACTCGTCGCCTTTGTATGTCATGGCAAATGACATGTCCACTCGGTGCTTCTTCATCCATTTGAACGCCGGAATATAGTCCTTCCGATCGAGGAGTTCGCGCGTCTGAGCCATCACGTATCTCCTTGGCTGGATTGTTTCCAAGTTTCCTCTCGCTGCTTGCAGGACGACGTTCGCTGAATTCGGATCACAAGCTACGAGTTCGCATCCGGCTTCCACGTCACGCACGTCTTCCAGTGCCTTTGCAGTTTCCACGTCGACAAATCGAAGTTTGTTGTCAAAGTCGATGAGCAGAATGTCAGATTGACGGGTCAGAATGGAAGCGGTTTCTTGGGAAACTCGAGAAGAATCGATGTACAAAACAGAGTCAGCGAGAATGACGTGGCGATTTTGAGTGAAATGCACCTCGATTGCTTCGAACTTTTCAATTCGAAACAGTTTTTCTTTCGTGTCCAAAACTAGGAAATGTCCGTCGTTCACAGCAATTTCGACTTTTTTTGTGAAAGGATTCACACCGATCCATCCAATGTTGTCACTTTCGAATAGTCTGGGATAGCTTTGTACAAATGAATTCTAGAGATTCTAAACGTTACTTTTCCGGGGAGACGCCCACTCTGCTGACAATGTGTTTTCCGTGATTGACGGACCAGACGATGTATGAATCGGTGAGCTCGTCAAATACGAATCCACAGATCAAACCACTCGAAATATCAGATGGAAGATCGGCAGAAATGGAAAGACGGTCACTGTCGAACTTGTATCCATCAATATCTTGACTGTCTGAAGAAACACCGGACATTTATAGACAGGAACCGAGTGACCAACAAGAAAGAATCTGCCGATTGGTCGTGATGACGTGAACGCGGCGAGCAGAAGTGTTTTGGGCGACAATATCGGAAGGACACTGGATGGAATAATCGGACATCGGAGGAGGTACGACGCGTCGGCACAGCGAATACATTCTCAGCTCATCCGTCGACACCACCACATTCTGCGAAAGGGTGTCGGAAAATGAGGCGACCAGACCGAGATGGATGGAGAAGAATTGGCCAGAACCGAGCAGAACTTCCACATTCTGGCTTTCCGCAGTGCTCCACTTCCAGGTGATCGCTTCATTCTCTTCGAGTGTCCAATTGTATTTTCTTGTGAATTCGTAATTGGAAAGATTCCAAAATTCCACTGAAAAATTCAGAATTTTAGTTTTTAAATTTTAAATGCAATGCAATGCTCACATGTCTGGCGAATCCCAGAAGAGATTTGTATCGCAAGAATGAGGCCAGTCGAATTCCACTCGATTCGTTCGATACACCTTTTGCTTCCGTTGTGGTTTCTCGGATATTTGACGACGTAGCTGTTCCTGGTCTCTCCGTTACGCTCGTAGAACACCAGACGATCATCGGAATCTTTTTCCAAAACGGAAGACACTAGAAGGTTGGCGTTTGGTTTGTGGGCGAAGCAGTGAGAAAGATAGATGTTTCGAATATTCAGCATATTTAGAATCTCTCCGTTCCGGTCAAAAATCTGGAGAAAATATTAATCCGGGCTGATTTAATAGGAAATACCGCCATATTTCTGATGTCCTGCTGATCGGAGTAGAAGGACACAGCCACAATTTCTCCGTCCCATCTCCAATGAACAGACGTTCTTTTCGAATGTTGTTGAAGTATTTCCCGCTCCTTTTCGGAACTCTCTCCTGGCTGAATACAGTTTGAATTATACTTATTCTAAACTGAAATGTTCCACCTTTAACTTTCCAGCTGATCCTCTGAACTGTGTGCTCTCAGATCCCCATCCAACATTCACTGGTGCCGATTTTCTATCGTTTTCCGAAAAGTGAAGAGGTCTCTCGACAAATGGAACTAACGAAGGGTCGGACAGATAAAGAGTATTATTGTCAGCGAGAGCAAGAGTCTGCTCATCTGCAGTCCACTCGGCGGCAGTCACCGTCGTGTCGGAAATCTCTGCCACATCCAGCTCCATCACGGCTCCCTCGTCGACAACAAGAGCCCGTCCGTCAGCAAGAATTGCCACGATCTGACTTCCGTCTGTTCGAAACTAGAAAAAATTTTAACATGCTCAAAAACAAATTAACTTACGTTCAATGAAATGACGCTGACTCTTCTTCGCTCATTTTCCCAGTTGATCTTGTTGGTCACCTTAACCATTTGGTTTGGATTCAATAGCAAATTTGTATTACTTACATCTTTGTTTTCGACCAGAATCAGCTCTTTTTGTGTCGAAAAAGCAAGAGTCTGAAGAATTGGGTGCACGGCGAATTCGTCTGATCCTATAAAAGAGTTTGTTTTTGTCTGCATCGAATTTATCTTCCTCGCCTGCTGTATCTGTGGCATAAAACGCTTTCACGTTCAGTATTTGATAATTTTTCATTATTGTTCTGAAAAAAATTTTGTTGATAGATAAAGCGAAAATAGAAGTTGAAATCGAAAAAAAAACTTCCGTGGCCGAAATAAATTCGCGAGGGACTAGGAATCCAGAGAGCAGCAGAAACTAGTCCGCCCTCGATTCCAACCAACTTTACCATATTTGGCAGTTTCAGCCAATTATTTCAATCAATTTTTCACTAAAATTGATTCAGAAACTCATTTTCCCTATTTTCATGCTTTAACTTCTCGTCAGTACTCGATTTCTCTTCCGTACGGCTCTCTCCAAATAAAGTAAAGCTATGCAAACAAGCCAATAAAACATTACGAAAGCACACTTCTCCTATTGATTTCTTCAGCCGCGACGTGCTGGGTACTCAACTGGGTTTTTGATCTGAAATGCCGCATACCGTACCCGGATGTCTTCATCCGAGCAACGGACGCAATGCCATCGACTGGTACGTCTCATATTGTATAGTGTTCTCACACTGACAGGTGCTTCCAGGAACGATGGCGGTCTGATTGCCTATGGCTCCCACAACGTGATATTTGTGGTTGATGTTCTTCGATACAAACGAATCCAGTCGATCGAACTACATCAGTCGGCTATCAATATAGTTCGTGCCAAGTCACGGTTGTTTCTTCATTCCTCTCTTTTTCCTTCAGGTCCGATGGTCTCCTGCTCGTTCTCCTTTCGCAGAGTCCTCGCCAGTGAGGTTTGCACCGATTGTCGCAACATCAGATATCAGTGGCCACATTGTCGTTTCGAATGCAATCACTGCAGCTCAGATTAATCAGTTTTCTCATCCAAATAGCTCTGTGCTCCGTAAGAAAGTGTTCATCCGGCCTGTTATGCTTCAAAAAAGGTACTTTCAGAAATGTCTTGGTATCCATGGAAAGATATTTCCCGTGATTTCCTTCTAGTTCTTCACTCCTCAAGCACGTTAGTCCTCTGGAATACGGCGACCGGAGAGAAGGTCTGGACGCACACTTACTCCCACGTTCCCCTTTTCGACTTTACCGTTGACCCGTTCTCAATCAAAAATGTTATCTGTGAGTTGTCCAATGTCACTGTTTAGCCATTCCGTTGCTTTTTTTTCAGTCAGTAGCGCTGGGAACAAAGTTCTAATCTGCTCGGATATCGCTCTCTCCGAACCCGCCTCATCTGGTCATTTATTCCAAGTTGCCTCGGAAGATTCTTCATCGTCTTCCGCCAACACTAACATCTACCTGCTCACATATCACAAAGCTTATCGCAATACGGTTTTCATTGCTATTCATTCTAGTGTAAGTTGGGAGTCTCTCAAAAAACCTCGTTCCTCTCGTCTCTAGCTCTACCTAGTCAATCCCGAACTAATGTGCTGTCTTTCGCGTGTTCCCATCGAGTCGAACATCGTCTCCTGGATGCCCTCTAGTCGTCGTGACGCCCTTTTCGCAGTGCACTCCAACGGAGCAACCACTTTACGAATCACCAAATTCGAGCCAACAGAGGAAAAGAAGCCTAACGCGAGTTTCTCAATGGAAAAGATCTGTCAGACAGAGTGCGTCCGTCCGATGAACACCCAGAAAATCGTGGCCGCTTCTCTCTGTCCGACCACTCAGTCCACCGTTTCTGTGCTTTATCAGAACGGAAAACTGGCATTCTGGCAATTGAGCAACGGAAAAGTTCCACTTTTGTACAGAGCCGGTTACATTGAAGACTGTCTCGAGTTCAACGAAAGCCTGTCCACTAAGCCTGTCGGCGAATTGAGGTAAGTTAAAAATCTGAACGTCTTTGTAGTTATTATAAATTAAGCTTACACCAACTGAGTCAAATGGGCTCCCTTTCTTCCGGGGTAACGTGTGTCAGAATGAGGCCGATGGACGAGTTAACCAAAGTGGAAAATGATCCGTTCGGTAACTGCCTATATAAAGTTCCAACCTTGAAAAGCTGTAATTTCAGCAAACACAGCCCTCGGAACTCTTCATTTGGCCGCAGTAGGCACAAACACCGGAACCGTCCATTTGGTCGACGTGTTCACTTCGCAAATCTATCGTGACTTCTCTGTGCAGACATCGCTCGTAAAATGTCTTGAATGGGGAGGCGTTTATTCGCTTGTCACAGCCGGATACAATCATTCGTTGAGTACGTCTCAGATCGTTCGTAATGACGTGTTCATTACGGACATTCGAACGGGACTGGCGAGAAGAATCCGTCCGGAAACCGACGAGAGTCCGATCACCCTCATTCGAGTCTCCTACTATCACTGCTACCTGGCCATCGCATTCCAACGAGAGCCACTCGAGATCTGGGACTTGAAGGGACTTCGACTGCTCCGGAAGATGAGCAGAAGCTGTCCACTGATCATCGACATGGCCTGGTCGAACAAACACCACGGAATCAAAACGACCGAATCCACTCAGCAGAGCGTCTACCGAGAGAATCTGGTGCTTCTCGACTCGGAGAATCGCATCTATCACATCACTCTCCGCGGGCTTCATGTTCGCGACGGAAAGATGGTCAACACGCAGTGGAAAAGTGCGAGTGCTCAGATTTGTGCGATGACGTGGAAAGATGACATGCTGGCTGTGGGTGACGTGGAAGGAAATCTGGTGGTGTGGGATTTGGGCAGGAAACAGTCGCGACAAGTAAGGGACGTCTCCCACTCCCGGGTCCTCAGAATGACCTTCTCCCGATTGGCCGGAGATCACACGATGGCCGTGCTTCATTCGAAGGAAGTGACTCTCTGGGACACCGAGGCAATGACCCGCATTCAGTCGATTCGAATGGACGCCTCGAAGCTCTGTTTGGATGCGGATCTATGCGGACTCTCGCCCCTCGTGCTCACCAACGACAACACACTCAGATTCGTAGTGTCGAATTCGAAAAATCAATCGATTCCTGAGAAAGGTACACAGTGCATTCACGGGGTTAGTCTAACTGTACGCTTTCAGAAATTCCCTTCATTTATCAAGAAGATGCGATGAGCATTGTTCGCCAACGATTCGAAAAAGGAGGCAGTCGGGAGAGCTCAGCGGAAAGGAACGAAGGGGAAAAGACAGACGACGATACTCTGGAAGACGTGCTCTCGTGGCTTCAGGCGCAGAAACCTTTATTGATCGAAAACATGGAAGTGGATGTACCGAAACTGAAAATAGAGAAAACCGTCCGTCGCTTCATGGGCGATCACTTTTCCGTCGACCTTCTTTCAATCGTTATCGATCGATTCGCTCCCTCTGAAAGCGACCATCTGGCTCCGAATCTGCAAATGTTCTGGGAGAATGCGAATTTTAAAGAACGAGAGACACGAGTGATCAGCATTGCGTGCGCGGCAGAAGAGGCGATGGAAAGACGGCTCGTCGAGCAGGCAGTCGTGGTGGGCGGGGCTGCAAAGGAAAGAGTGACCGACCGACTGATCGTCTCCGCTGATCTACGATACGCGAGCATCAAAGCCGCACTTCTGGTATCTTGTCAGGACAACGAAAAGGCAAAATCGCTGATAAAACTGATCGCAACCAATCTCATCGCTTCCGATTTAATTGAAGACGGCGTCGAACTCCTGTTTCTGGTCGGTGCAGGAGGCGATGCTTGCAAGTATTTACAGTCGCAGAAACAGTGGACAAAGAGCATCGTTTACGCGAAAGTGAGCTTAGGCTATTCGTTTTGAGATAGTAATTCTGTCATGTTTCAGATGGGACTGGACGATCCGTCGGAAGTAGAATCAAAATGGATCGGTCATCTAGTGGAAGAGGCGAAACAGATCCGGGTGTTGGCCGACGCCTCCCGTCGCAATTGGCCAGATGTGGTGGAAGCGACGTCTTCTGCCGACGCTATTCTCGCTCGTCTCATCCTGAGAACGACAACAATCACTCCTCCCCGCTCGTCGTGTCCAACTCCGTGATAAAATAGAAAAAAAACGCTCAATTCTGATGTTAACTAATAAGTCAATGTTTGTAGATTATATCTTGCTAAACATTGTATGAATGGGTTTTCGCTTCTTGTTCTATGTTTAAAGGAGAAAAATTGAAAGATTCATCTAGAAGTTGAATAAAATTTAAGTAATTTCACAAGTGTGCACAATCTGCGAGTGTTGGTGAAAGTGTGGTGCTGATAAAGGGCGGTAACTCTTTTGAGGGTATTCAGGTGCGTGCGTGCTTGTCATCTCGTATTCGAAAGGAAAAGAAAGACATAAAAGTGAGATCTACGAGAGCAAGTCGTACTAACCAAAAACGGACCTAATCAATTGTCAGGTTATGTGAGAAAAATGAAGACAGAAAATGAGTTTATAGTCTTGTTTAGATGGTTTCTGGTCAACAGACTAGATCCGTGGTTAATTCAAAACAGTTAAAAAAGACGAGTAGTTAACCCGCTACAAACAAATATAGCACGTAATCGACGAGGGGCAATGAGAGAAAGCGGATCAGACCGGCGAGCCGTATTCGTCATCCTCGTACTCTTCGCGGCTACCTAATCCATTCGCACCGTCGGCAATGTTCTGTTCGCCACGCGGATCAAGCTCGGCGGCCCAACTGTAGTTCAGCAGAGCCATGTGAGTGTTGCCCATTCGCCGATGTACTCGTGCTAAACAAGGGTAATTCTTTTCTGAGCCTTCATATTGTCTTGTTCTTACCGAGTAAATGGAAGACAAACGCCTCATCAGGCGAGCTCGCTTTCAGTTTGTCCAATTCCAGCAGACATTCTTCGTTTCTTTTCGATTCGAACAAAAGACGTGCTCTGTTGAATCGGCATGCGACGTCGAGTGGATTGAGAGTGAGAGCACGGTCGATGAGCACGAGGGCAGTTTCCACTTCTCCCCGCTGCTGCTCGATTTGAGAGAGGGTGCAGAGCATGGCTCTGTTTGTCGGATTGATTGAAACTGCCTTCTGGATGTTGGTGAGAGCCAGCAGATTCTGCTCTTTTTTCAGATGAACGAGTCCGAGGCCATACCACGCACGATAGTCTCGTGGTGACAACATCAGGGCAGACCTAAGAATAAACAGTTTATAAACTATGAATAGACTAGCGAATGAGTAGTAGAAACCGAACCTGAAAGATCCGGCAGCCTTGTCGAGCTCATCCTGCACAATCAACTCGTGCCCGAGAAGAGTGTAGGCGTAAGCGAAACGTTTATCCAATTGAAGAGCCCTTTCCATGCACTCGATGGCTTGTGGATGCTGTCGTTGCAGAGAAAAGCAGTTTCCTGCGGCACACCAACTTTGTGGTCTTTCGCGGGAATCGGTCGTCAGAGTCTGAGAAAGTGCGGACAACGCGTGAGTGTCCTGGAGATGCCACATCGAAGTTGACAGCAGCTCAGTTCCGTCAACCTTCCACTTCTTCCGATTGTGAAGTTCTTCGAGAATGATACGACACTCTCGGTACTCGGATTGTTCGAAGCACGCTCTTCCCAGCTGGAGGCGGACAATCGACGCGTTCATAACGGTTTCTTTGTCGAGTTTCGTGAACAATTGATCAGCAGATCTCCAGCTGTAAGTGTTAATGGCTTCTTCAATTAGTGCCACATGCTGATAAATTCCGAAGAAATCCTCTGCAAAGAACAAATTAATTATTGACATTTCAGATCCTCTTACTGTATTCGGAGTTAAAAAGCTCCACAGAGTCCTCCATCGGCTCGTCGACGGCCATCGTAGAAGCGGCGGATTCTGTATTCGTCTGAGCCATGTCGTCCTCGGAGGGGCGATCGCTCGATGTTGACGCCACCTGTAACTGCTAGAACAGCTTGAGCTACTCTTCCAAATAATATTTACGGAATTTGTCGACCCCGACAGACTGCGTGCCAAATTGGAGTTTCTCGAAACCAATGGTTGCTTCTCGTTTCGTTTTCTCTGACTTGGCGTCTTCACTTTGCTAGCGTCAGCAATTCTGGTCGAAGAGCGCACAGGATTGGTCTACAAAAAAATGTCTGAATTCTGCTCTGAAATTTGACTATTTTGTACTCTCTGAGCAGAAGCAGTTCCTCTTGCGGATGCAGCGGCCCCACTTCTTGTTCTTGTATTGGCGGCGTTTGAGTTCTCCGTGTCGCTGTTGAGAGCAGCGCTGAAATTCAAGAGCCAAACGTTTCAAAAACCACCTTCACACGAACTTTGAGCGATTTCTGGAGCTGTGAGTAGCTCGAGCATGTGGTCTTTCGGGTGCTGTGAACAGCGCGGACCGCGAAGCAGCAGTAGTATTGCTAGGTTCGGCACGACGCGTTTGCATCTCACTGATGCGGGAGCTCTTCCGAGGAGCAGTCGGGCGATTGCGACCGGCGGTCGAAACCGGTGTCTCCTGACGAGAAGGAGTATTCGAAGCAGAACTCCTCATCTCACGACTGGTGACCGAGCTAGGTGCTGCTGCTGCTGCACGAGCGGATCTCCTCGTGGAAGCAGTTGACCCTTGACTACTACTGTTAGCAGACGTCGATTCTGTTGACGGTGGGGTAGTAGTAGAAGAACCAGTGCTAGAACCACCACCAGAAGATGGAGACGTGGTTGCGGACTGCATGGTCGTCGCTGGGCTGACGATAAGAGATTCATTCCTGTAAGACTGTGTAAAATCAGCTGTTATGATTTATTTCTTACGATTTTTCATTGTGCTTTTCAAATATTTGTGCGAGTTCTTGGCCACCGAAGCGTAGATAGGTGACAATGGCTGTCCAAAGCATGATGTTCTCTTCTAGAGCTTGCTGACAGGAAGCAACGGCCATATCCCTGTGGTTCTCGTCACTAGAATACAATTTTCATGAACCGTTGAATCAGAATTAAGCAGAGCCTTACCATAGCATTTGAGCTTGAAGAAGCTTCGCATGAGCAGCCACTCTCGGCTCTTCCAAGATTTCAGGCTTTATAAGCCCGTCGTCATGCTCAAAAAGGGCCCCACGAACTTCGTCAATTCTAAAGAAAGCAAAAAAGTGAAAAAGAGTGATAGGGACCGCTTACTTGTTCAAATCGTAAGACACTCTTGCGAACAAGTAGTGAAGTCTTGCCCCGGATAATTTCACGGAACGGAGGAGCCCATAACATTCCTGTTTTCGATTGGCTCTGTATAAACAATCTGCATACAATAGAAGAGCGTCCGGACTGTCGTCTAAAAGAAGAAAAAGAAGACAGTAAGACACTAATCTATCATTTCTTACTCCTCTTTTCAGTCTCATAGTACAGTTCGGCAAGAAAGATTGCATCGTCGAATGCATAGTATTTGAGCATTTCGTTCACTTCGTCCGGTATGCATCGGCTCGTATCAGCCGGGAGCCGCCCGAATATTTCTACTACACGCGGCTGTGTCGCTGTCGAAAGAAGTCTTTCGACGGAAGCGGCTGATTCTGTCATATGTGAATCTGCTGCGAATTCTGTAATTAGATGTTCGCCATCGTGAAGGGAGAAAATCTGAGAACATAATACGATAGAGCACATATAAAAACCATCACTTCTTTAATAAGTTGCCCGCCTGACTTCACAACCGATCAATCGATATCAAAAGCGTTGCTGGAAGCGCCCCCTTCTTCCCCGCCAACATGAGCTGTATAGATCGATTAGTGAAAAAGTGATTGCGTCAGTGTGTAGATCATTTTCAGCAAAGTGTGGGCAATAAAAAGAGGCGAGACGGAGCAGAAGCGACACAAACATGAATTTTGCAATCTACAACGACGGGAACTTTAGTTGTACATTGTCGTCGAGTGTGGCGTATTAAGCTGTCCGTGTTTGCGTACATTTGCGTACCGTAGTCTCTCAATAAATGTTTTCGAAAATGGATGCATTGGGAATCCTCCCTTGCCTCTTTTTTCTCATTTTCTATTTCATCTGGGTATTCAATTCACTTCTAACTATTTCAGCGCAATATTTGAAAAATGTCTCTCGCCGAGGAATTGGCGGCCGATTTTGAGAGTGACGACGAAGATGAGTTGGATGATATTCCAGATCTTGGCGAGAATCTGAAGGCAATTTTATTTTTGTTCTGTTTTATAAAGAAATTAAATATTTTCAGAGTGTGAAAAAGGAAGAGCTTGACGATGATGATGATATTGAAGAAGCGACAGAAGAAGCGATGGATACTACAAAATACGCATCGGTTCATGATGTTGCCAAAATGGCTAGATCCGCAGAGTAAGTCAATACTTCATGTTACCTTTTCATTTTCTTGTTTTCAGGTACATTGCGCTTGTCAATCAGTTAGAATTTGAGCTGGAACGGCCGCAAAGCGAAGTGAAGGTGACAGCTCCGTTGGAAGCCGATCCCCAGTACAAGCTAATTGTGAAGCTTTCTCACGTAAGTTCTCAGACTGTTTATGGATTTTCTAACAAAATTTTGATTGTTCTCTTTAGGTGGCTGCTGACATAGACAACGAGATAAATGTCATTCACAAATTCGTTCGCGACAAGTACGAGAAGAGGTTCCCGGAATTGGAAACTCTCGTTCCGAATGCTCTTAACTATCTGGCCACCGTCTTCTCATTGGGAAACGATATCAGCAGCAAAGCGCAGAAGGATCAACTGAGTCAAATCCTAGACCCTTCCACTTGCATGGTTGTCAGTGTGACTGTGTCAACGACTCAAGGTGTGAAGCTGGAAGCGGATGAATTGGCGACTGTCATGGAAGCTTGCGAATTGGCTGCCCAGCTCCACAAAAACCGAATGGAAATGCACCATCTCGTGGAACTGCGAATGGCTCTGATTGCTCCAAATCTGGTGGCTCTTCTTGGTGCGGCCACGACTGCTCATCTGGTCTCTCAGGCCGGAGGATTGGCTCCTCTCGCGACGATGCCTTCGTGCAATGTCCAAGTGCTCGGAAAGACGAAAAGGAATCTCGTTGGATTCTCCACTGTCTCCACGAATCCACATCATGGTTTCATTTATTTCCATCCTCTTGTTCAACAGATGCCCCCTGACTTCAAGAATAAGGCTGCCAAGATTCTCGCGGCGAAAGTCACACTCGTCGCAAGGATTGATGCTCAGCACGAGTCATCGAACGGACAGCAAGGTGCCGACTTTCTGGCTCTCGTGAACAGCAAATTCGAAAAAATGCTCGAACCACCACCAGTCAAAGCGAACAAAGCGTTGCCGAAACCATTAGATAAGGCGAGTAAGAAGAGAGGAGGACGGAGAATGAGAAAAATGAAAGAGAGACTGGGAATGACCGATTTGCGAAAGAGTGCGAATCGCATGAACTTCGGAGAACTCGGCGAGGATGTGATGCAGGAACACATGGGATTCGATCTGGGACAAGTGAAGACTGGAAACGTGACAGGTGGAAGGATCAGACAAGCAGTTGTGGATCAGAAAACAAGGGCGAGAATGTCGCAGAAGATGATGAGGCAGATGGAAAAGCAAAAGGCGGCCGGAGGAATGACCAGCATCCGAAGCAAAGTGGCCGGTACTGCTTCGTCGATCACGTTCACGCCGGTCCAAGGACTAGAGATCATCAACCGGGCGGCCCAGGAACAGCAGCCAATTGCTTCCACCTCCAATTACTTCTCTTCCTCCGGAAGTTTTGTCAATATCGACCGAATGACGTTGTAATCTTTTTTGTTTCTTTCTTGATACTCAGATCATATAAATCAACTTCATTGAGATAAATCGAAAATATTTCCGACTGGTGGGTGGACTTCCACTGCCTTTACCTCTCCTCCCAGCTGTCTTCTCATCCAATTCTTCCAGTAAATAACCTTTTTATCTAGTAGGTGCCATTGACTTCTGACCCTTATGCAAAACGGGTTCGCTTTTTCCCTTTGCCTTGTTGCCTACTTTGCTGACTGCCGAAAAAGCGGTAACTTTGATTTCGATCTCAGTCGGCGTACCCTGGAGTTTGCTGCTGCTTCTTACGCTCTTGACCCGAGGGCATGTCTACTAAAGAATAATGCGACATTGCTGTTTTCGAAAAAAGTCGAATGTGATTATCTACGAGACGAGGTATCCAGAAGGCATTGAATCAGAAGACGTTCGAGTTTCAGTGCTGGAGTATCGTCGCAGCCGACGAACAATACATATTCGTCGCATTCAGCGGAACAAAGTCGAAAGAGCAACTGGTAACGGAGCTGGTCGAGAGCATTGGCCGGCCGAAGCACAAGGTATCTCGGGTTACCGTTGTCCGACCACAGAACACTCATTTATGTGCTTTCAGTTGCACAATGCGGGATCCGTTCACTACTACTTCTATTCGGCCCTCAAGACGATGTGGTCCCCAATAGAACAGCTGCTTCGTGAACTGAAAGGCGAAATGCCGGATCACAAGATAGTGTTTACCGGGCATTCTCTTGGAGGAGCCATTGCAAGCATCGCCTCGACAGTTTTCGTGCGCAACTTTCCCGACGCTTCTCGCAGAACACTGTCAATCACTTTCGGACAACCACGTGTCGGAAACCTCGAATACGCAATGACTCATGACAAATTGGTGGCCGCTGGAAGTTGGAGACTGATTCACGGAAGAGACATTGTGAGTCATTCGCGTCCCGTCCTCATTCATTTTGTTCTCCCAGGTCGCCCATATTCCGTTTTGTGTCGAAGGCTACGCTCGTTCGTGTATTCCGTTCTACAACCACGGTTCCTATCATCATGGCGTCGAAGTGTGGTTCCCAAAAAATATGACGAACCAGGACACGTTCAAAGTGTGCACCGGGAGCCCGTTGAACGAAGACAATTTGTGCAGGTAGGCAGAGAAGACGCGTGATCGGAAAACAGAGATCTGGGAACTTTCCAGCAACGCTCAACGATACTTCGACATCAACGATCACCTCTTCTACTTTGGACATCACGTCTCGGATTACGGCGTCAATGGATGTGTAGACCCGCCAGTCGAAAAGAAAGAAGAACGTTTTGTATATAATAAAGATTTGACCAACTATTTGGCGGGCGGGCTGGGCTGCGTCTAATGTTTGGTTGAAAAATCGGTTCGAGTGAAGTCACTCTCCCGCTCTCACGTACTTATTTCTCCGGACGTTCTTTGGGGAGGCAGAAGAAACGCGAGGGAAGATAAGACGGCCGCGAATCGAGTGTAAGAATAGAGAAACAAAGGGATGGGTCGAGAAGAGTGAGGACGGTGACAAAAACCACCCAATTCTGTTGGTTATTTTTCATCATCTCTTCGTTTTCTCTTTTATTGTCGCTCAAAGCCTGTCGTCTCTCCTCCCGTCTCCTCAATCGACAATATTTGTTTTTGTTCTATCCATTTTTTTATTGATTTCTCCAATATATTTGATAACGCGTCTCCGTGCCTTGATAATAATCATGTCGTCATTCCGGCTAGAAATGTTGCAGGACGACGAGATGCCTGGGCCGGCCGGCGTACCGCAGCGCAAAATGACATACTTCGTGCCGAAGAGCGGTCAGTTCACTTCACCCCTCTCCCGTATCGATTACCGATTCATTTTTAGACAATTCAAATGAGCAAGTGCGCGTGCCCAATGTGATCGCTCTGGTTGGGCTGCCAGCCCGTGGAAAGACGTACATCTCCCACAAACTGTGTCGTTATCTGAACTGGATTGGCATCAAGACCAAAGGTTTCCCCTAATTCGATCGAATTCAAACCAGAATTCGAATTCCCACTACATGATACATTTACAGCATTCAATGTTGGCGAGTACCGCAGAAAGGCGTGCAATCTGGAGGAAGAGGGCGAGTTTGAGTTCTTCTCGCCAAAGAACGCCCGCGGTCAAAAGATTCGAGAGTACGGAAAGATGTCATTAGTGTAAGCTGATCACATTTTGATTGTAGTGAGTGCGCGAGGTTGGCCATCGAAGATATGGGGAAGTACCTGGACAATAAGGAGGGAGAAGTGGCAGTAAGAATCTAACAAAAAAGAGCGCTCGGAAAGCAGGTTTTCACAGATTCTTGACGCGACGAACACGACAAGAGAGCGCAGAAAGTTGCTGATGGAGTTCTGCAAGAACATGATGCACGAGCCGCCGTTCCGTGTCTTTTTCGTCGAGTCGGTCTGCGACGACCCCGTGATCATCAACTCGAACATTACGGTAAACAAATCTTCATTTTCAGACTAAATCATCATTTTCAGGAGGTGAAAATCAATTCGCCGGACTACAAAGGGATAATGTCACAGGAAGAAGCGAAAGAAGACTTTCTGAAGCGCATTGAAAACTACAGAGTGCAGTACGAGCCGCTGGACGAGGAGTTCGACGAGGAGCTCAGCTACATCAAGGTGATAAACGCCGGCAAATCGTTCTACGTGCACAATGTGAACGGACACGTGCAGAGTCGTGTAGTTTACTTCCTTATGAACATTCATCTTCTGCCCAGAAGTATCTATCTGTCAAGAGTAAGTGCATTTCATTAGTTTGATTTATCATTATGGGCCCGTTCACAGCACGGAGAAAGCGAATACAACCGGATTGGGCGCCTCGGAGGAGACTCGCCGTTGAGCGAGAACGGACTCAAATACGCGGGGAAACTGCGAGAATACTTCGAGAACGAAGATCTCGAGGACTTCCGCATATGGTCCTCGCAGAAGATTCGTGCCGCCCAGACATCTGCCCATCTCAAGGATCTCGCTGGACACACCGAGTTCTGGAAATGTCTCGATGAGATTGACGCGGTTTGAATTCTATTGGGAGTATTCTGAAAACAGTGATAATTATTCTCAGGGAATCTGTGAGGGACTCACATACGAAGACTTCGAAGCTCGCTACCCGAAGCAGTTTGCGGAGAGGGACAAGGACAAGTATCACTACCGTTACCCGAGCGGAGAGTCGTACGAAGATCTGGTCGCCCGTCTCGAACCGGTTATCATGGAGCTCGAGAGACAGTCAAATGTGCTCGTCATCTCGCACCAAGCAGTCCTTCGCTGCATTCTCGCCTACTTCACCAACAAGAATCGTGACGATCTGCCGTACCTGAAAGTACCTCTCCACACCGTCATCAAGTTGACTCCGAAAGCCTACTCTTGCGAGGTCGAGCTCTTCAAATTCGACATCGAGGCCGTCAACACGTACAGAGAGAAGCCGAAGTAAAAGATAGTCGTCGCATAGGAACTATCATTTATCCACTTTGTACATTATTGATTCCCTTTCCCCTTTTTTCCTTTTCATTTTCACAGTCGGGAGTTACTATATTGCATTTTCCTGTTTTTTGAACTATGGCCTTCATTGATAATCTCACACCGAGGGATTAGATGTTTTCCACGTTGTGCTCAATTTATGTGAACGATAAAAATAGAATCAGGTATACTTTATTGAAAGTTTTGTGTGGCCGCAGCTCCTAGTAATTCCTAACGTTCCCAACATCTGACTGATCTTAACTTTGCACAGAATGTCTCATTTCAATCCGCAATCCGCCTTCTTGGCCAACTTTGGAAGTCCGATTCCTATTAATCGGCAGAAGACGATTCCGATCGAAACGGAAAAGTACGAGGGATTCTTCCGTTCAGTCTACGAAACTCTGACGAATGCGTCGTCTGAAACACAAAAAGTGATTCATTACCTTTGCGAAAAAGACTTTGTAGACGTCTGCAAGTTCGTTTACAGTCATCTTTCATTATTTCAAACCCATTGACTTCAGATATTACCTGAAGTTCCGTCTCGACATGATTCATCTGGTCGCAGTCGGGGAAAAGTCGAAGGACTCTGTGAACAAGAAAAGTCTGGAAGTCCACAGTCAAATGCCACGTGCCATCTCGACCATAATCAACTCGATCGGGATAGTGAACTGTGCCCAAGACACGTTCACTCTTGTGCCCGTGGCCACCGGACTTTCGGTGATCTCTCTGAGTCACAACGTGAGAGAAGCGTATTCCCGTTTCGTACATCATCTGAAGGATCACGATAAAATTGTAGTGGAGGAATTCAGCTACTCGCCATTCGGAACTCCATTCTGGGCTCTGAATGTCCGTGAACCATGCGGAAACAAGCTGAAGGCTCCCCGGGAGAACGTCGTCGTCCGCGCATCGTTCTCCGAATGGACTGGAAGAGATGCCTTGCTGGCTGCCATTATGCAGGTCCCGCTCGAGAATGATGTGCTGAGTCCGACGGAACATTTGAGATTTGAATCGCCAATCATTCACAACGTCTTCCAAATGCGAAAATTGTTCTTTCACAATGGTATTATCTGATCTCAATGTTACTTGTTTATTGAACAAATTTGAACTCTTTTGATCCATATCTTATTCAATACTATGAGTAGTTCATTTCTATGCAATATCAACAGGTGCCGGTCCTCTCTCCGTCGCATTTTCCTTCGTTCCTTTCGGAGTTTCGATGTCTGGTGTCGCCGCGAGAAGAGGCCTAGAAACAGATATTGTATGGCTCAAGATCTTCGTTCTCACCTGTACTGCCAATCGTACGGTTCTCCTTCTTTCAAATCGGACGGATTGCAATCTTCGATCAGAGCGAAAAGCTTCTCGTAATCGGGGATATTGTGGTAGTTGAGCGACTCGATGTACTCGGCTGCCTTCGTCATCTTCGGCTGCTTGTTGCACAGTTTTTCTCCGACATGAGTCTGCTTCAGCTTGATGATATCATCCTGCGTCTTCACATACGACCATGGAAGATTACCGTCTCCGCATTCAATCTATGAAAGTGTTTTTGAAGAGGAACTCCTGAGAATCGAAGAAAAAACTGACCGTTGTGTAAAGGAAGGCGACCAGATCGTTGTTGGGGCCGAGATCTCTGCGCGAGTGAGCATCCAGACTCATGTACCGGATGGTCCCACGCAGCCCGACGGCGCCTCGCGGCTTCCGAACGATTCCTCCCTTGTCCAGATACTGACGGGTCAGTCCGAAATCGATGAGGTAGATGCGAGTGCAGTCGATCGCTCCGATGCAACAATTGGAGGGCTTCAGATCGCGATGAAGAAACCCGGCCCCGTGAAGCAAAGAAAGGGAGCGGAGCACTTGAAGCATGGCTCTGTAGAGCGTCCGTTCGGAGATTTTTTTGTGAGGAAGCGATCTGCGGACATCGGAAAGATTCTTGCCGATCAGTTGCATCACGATGAAATGAGACTTGATGTCGCCGTTTTGCCACTTTCCTTGTCCAAGAATTTCCGGGATTCCCATCTGGAAGGAGGGTTCGTCAATTGAGAAAACCTAAGTACTTACACATCCACGCAGAGCCAGGAGCACAGTAATCTCCAGTTTCATTCTGCGAATGTCCTGGGATGCGTGCTCCACTTTGATGGCGCAGTCCTCTTTGCGAACCTTATCATAGGCCCTGCCAAGTGCTGATTTCCCCTTGCATAGTCTCTTGATGAACTCACTTGAAAATCTGGGCAAAACCTCCTCCACCAATGATTCCATCCACATCGAATCTACCCAAAAGACATGATCCTTCAGAGATGAGACTCTGACAGTCCATTTGATTGTAAACGGCACCCGCTCTCTTCTTCTTCTTCTTTTCCTCCTTCTTCTCCTCTCCTTTCTCCTCTTTCGGTCTGCTTCTCTCTTCCTTTTTATCCTTTTTATCATCCCGTTTGCTCTTCTCCTTCTTTTCCTCCTTTTTACTTTCCTCCTTCTTTTCTTCTTTCTTCTCATCCACCTTCGCTATTTCCAGCCCGTCCTTCTCGTCCTTTTTTTCGATGGACATGTTCGCAATCAAATTTGCCGTTTTCAGATAGACAAATGGTAAAATGAATCTTTCCTTTTCCCCAAACTATCATCGTGATAATCTAATCTTCTTTATTGCATGTTCACGTCAAGTTTTAAAATATGTTGCAAACGCAATATTCTCCGCGCTCGGTGTTTGCGGATTCGCAAGAGTACACGGACTTTTGACTCCGCCCAATTGCAAACCCTATGGCGCGTTTTCAAAACCGCAGATTTGTTATAAATTTAAATAATATTCAAACGTAGCGATTCTGCGACCCAACTTTCAGCTAGAAAACAATTCCGGTTATTAATTTCCCACGAATAATTTAGAGTTACAGGCTTATAATTAATAATTACAAGATCTTCTTGCAAGACTTCGAAATTATGACTTAAAATTGAAATGTATTTTCGCGCGCTATTTAATTTTTCCCAACCGCCAAGTATTCATAAACCAATAGTATTGCCACATTGAGTTCTTGGTGTATTGCATTGTACAGAAGAAGGGTGTAATGCGGATATCGATCGGTTGTTTTCGTAGGGACCCCGGGTCATTTCTTCTCTCACTTTGACCTCTCATCTACCAGAATCCTTTTCTTTCCCACTCTTCTTTTCATGTTTCCTTATCAGTTTCAATTCTACCCCAATTTCACTACTGCATGCGGGCATTGCAAATAATACCTCCTCAAGAATCGTTTTTCCTAATGGGGTTATTCAGGCTGTGAAAAAAAGGTTTTTTTTCCGTTTTTTTACGTCAAAGAATCCAATTCAGCGATGAAAAAACGAAAAAAAACATACGCTGAATAGTCCCATAAGTATCGCTTTCAGAATTTCACATTCTACTAGTTCTCAATCAGTTGTGTGTTCAGGGATGCCGCCACGTCGTGGTCGTGGACGCGGAGGATCCACAAATGAGTCTACCAGGAACGAACCGATCCCGAGAGTCGGTCGAGGACGTCCGGCCGCTGCTCCGGTACCTGCGCCGCCGGCTAATGGCAGAAGAGGCAGAGGCCGTCCAGCTTTGAATGCAGGAAGAGGACGAGCTCGACAGGCTCCGGAGCCGGCACCAGAGCCAGCTCCAGCTCAATATGCGATTGCAAGAAGGGGCAGAAGCCGTCCAGCTTTGAATGCAGGAAGAGGAAGAGCTCGTCAGGCTCCGGAGCCGGTGCCGGAGCAAGCTTCAGCTCAATCGGCGATTGCAAGAAGAGGCAGAGGACGTCCAGCTTTGAATGCAGGAGGAGGACGAGCTCGTCAGGCTCCGGAGCCGGCACCAGAACCAGCTCCAGCTCAATCGGCGATTGCAAGAAGGGGCAGAGGCCGTCCAGCTTTGAATGCAGGAAGAGGAAGAGCTCGTCAGGCTCCGGAGCCGGTGCCGGAGCAAGCTTCAGCTCAATCGGCGATTGCAAGAAGAGGCAGAGGACGTCCTGGTCAATCGGCGAACACAAGAAGAGGCAGAGGCCGTCAGACTCCAGCTCAACCGGCGAACGCGGGAAGAGGCGGAGGACGTCAGGGTGCAGCTCAACCGGCAAACACAGGAAGAGGCAGAAGACGTTCGGCTCAACTTGCGAACACAGGAAGAGGGCGAGGAAGAGGCGCCGTCAGAGGGGCCCAAGCTCATATTTTTTTGCCGAATAGACGGCCGATGATACACATAGGTGAGAACGCAATTCAGAACTGATCTAAACTCTATATTCTTCAGCTCCCGGTGTCGGCTTCGTTATCGACCGCATGGAGTGAGTTCTATTTAACCATGGAACTTCTTTCTATAGTAATTTTAACTTTAGAGGAAATCTTGGCGTCCTTGTCGAAATGGCGCACCAAATGAGAGCAGGGTGGGCAGCGAACAACTTCACAGACGGTCCACCCATTTTCGAAGAGGACCGCCCGATGTACGATGATGAGATCAGCAACTACGCCAACAACGATACGACTGTGGTGCCGCCGCCGACGGTTCAGATGTACAAAGGAAAACCAATGGAACCGTGAGTGACTCTTGAACGTCTCCTAATTTTTACTGTGAAATTTCAGGGATCCCACTTGGGGAGACTGCACTATCTGTTTCCAGACGCCAGTCAAACCAATCGGATGCAAACAATGCCTCCGCTTCATCGGGTGCTCTGAGTAAGTTCTCTCTTTTCGGACTGATGATTCGAGCACTTACATTTCCAGTTGTGTGAGCCGTTGGTATCGCGCTCGCGTTGATACGTACGGTGCATCCTCGTGCCCGCTTTGCCGTGCTCACTGGCGCCTTAATCCTCTGACCAGTAAGATGACTGTTATCGACAGACTTCGTGCAAGAAACGAAAATAAGCTGAAAAAATCTGCTGCCGCTGCCAGTTCGTCCTCCCTTTAATCAGCTCCATTCGCCGGTCTTGATCCAACATTCAAATCTCATCCCCACACCTCTGTTCCATTTCGCATTATTATCATTCATCATTATCCGTATCATTGTTATTAAAAGAGATTAAGTAATATACCGATGCCTCATTACCATTTTTCTATGATGGGGCTATTCATCGCATGTTTGTTTTCCGTTTTCTTTTGTTGGTTTTTTACATCGCTGAATTGGCTTTTCTGGCGTAAAAAAACGAAAAAAAAACGGAAAAAATCATTTTTTTCAAAGCCTGAATACTGTCTCCTTGTCCAAGCCAAGAGACGAAAAAGAGAAAGATTGCCCAAGGGGGGGAGGGGGGCGCGTGCTATTCGGAGGCGGTGGTCGGTCGGCAGGTAGTGTCCCCGCAGAGGGAGATGCCGGAGTTACGCCCCCGCACCGCTCCCGCATTTATGAATTAACGGCGGCGACTGTCCCCTTACACTTGTCCAAGCCAAGTCCAACCGTCCGAAATGGCCCCACCAAAACCGTCCGCCAAGGGAGCAAAGAAAGCCGCCAAGTCTGTGGCCAAGCCGAAGACTGACAAGAAGAGGAAGCATTCCCGCAAGGAGTCCTACTCTGTGTACATCTACCGTGTGCTCAAGCAGGTCCACCCCGACACCGGAGTTTCCTCGAAGGCCATGTCGATCATGAACTCGTTTGTCAACGACGTTTTCGAACGCATCGCCGCCGAAGCCTCTCGTCTTGCCCACTACAACAAGCGGTCGACGATCTCTTCCCGCGAAATCCAGACGGCCGTCCGTCTCATCCTTCCGGGAGAGCTCGCCAAGCACGCCGTTTCTGAAGGAACCAAGGCCGTCACCAAGTACACCTCCAGCAAATAAGCTCCCCGAGCTACAAGCTGGTCCACCGAACCCAACGGCCCTCTTTAGGGCCACAAATACCACACAAATCCATTTATGTACTTTCAATAAAAATGTTTTCATTATACTTTGTCAATTATGTTTCAGAATCAACAATCTTTCTCATCAAAAAGCTTGTCCTTTCAAACTACCGTAACATCGTTATCTCTCTTTCATCTTTACAAATGAAGGGTGCAGGAATCGTGAAAGTGTTTCAGAACTATATTTTCAGGTTCAAAAAGAGCTTAGAAAGCGAATTACATTAGATTGAGTTTCCGACGAAGGCAAGGCAGATACAGATCCAAAAAACGAAAAGGAATCTGTTGATCATCGATGGGTGTTCGAACATATTGCACGTAATTCTTAGATATATTCTTAGATATGGTCATGGAAAAAATATTATGGCAATTAGGAAGGTTGGTTCTCCTTCTTCAGTCGTTTTTCGATACTTTTCATAGCGCTCACTACCGGACGGTCATTCCACAGATTTCGACAGAACGGACATTTCGGCATGTCCGCGAATTGAGCGGCGTACAATCGATTGACACAGCTGAAAGAAGAATATATTCAGAAATGAACGAGTAGAATTGGTTCTCACTCTTCACACCCGAGAAATTGGAGGCATTTATAACAGCCTTGAGGTTTGATCGGTTCTTCTGAGCACATGGTGCAGTCACCCCAGGTTGGATCTCTGAAAACAGGGGAACATTTCACATAGAGTATTCACAGAAAACTTACGATCGAATCGGTTTTCCTCTGAACGTTCTCTTCTTCGGCGGAGGCACCACACAGTCGTCGTCGTCGCTGTCGTCCAAAATAAGTTCGTTATCGAATGCTCGCAAATCTTCCAAGTAGACGCTTCGAGCATCACCGAAGCCGACTGGCGACGCGTCCGGCGCAACTGGCCTCTCTTCATTATCACTGTCGTCAATGGTAATTACTTCAACTGATGCAGCAACTGATGATTCACTCTGAACAGGCGCGCTAGAAGTTGTGGCGGATGTCGGAGCAGTCGGTGCATTCTGATCTGTGTCGTTCCTGCTGATTGCCATAAAAATGCCGCCTCTTCCTTCTATTCCTCTCCCATTCGATCCAGCGACCACTGAATATCCTTCAGGCAGAGTAGGTCTCACCCGTGACGTACTCGGTGCGTTGCGAGACACTCTGTTAGTTGACCGGGGCATTTCACCGTGCTGAGAAGGTGTGTATTGATTTTATTTAAAATAAAAAAAGAATTATGTGACTATTCAGCAAAGCAGACAGCGATAAGAAAATTAAGATAATTTCGCGTGGCCAATACGCCTTCGTCGATAAATGTACGTAGAGAATAGAAAAGTGTGAGTGTATGTACGCACACACGCACGCACGGAAAATCAATATCCGAGAAGACAGCGTTTATTAGAAAGAGTGCACAACATTAAAGCGGATTTGAGAGATATGTGGCCCTAAAGAGGGCCGTTGGGTTCGGTGGGTGAGGTGAGAATGTCCTAAAGATCAGACTTGAGTCAGAAATTTAAGCACGCTCTCCTCGGATGCGTCGGGCCAGTTGGATGTCCTTTGGCATGATGGTGACTCGCTTGGCGTGGATGGCGCACAAGTTGGTGTCCTCAAAGAGACCGACGAGGTAAGCCTCGGCCGACTCCTGAAGAGCCATGACGGCGGAAGACTGGAAGCGCAGATCGGTCTTGAAATCCTGGGCGATCTCACGGACAAGTCGCTGGAACGGCAACTTGCGGATGAGGAGCTCAGTCGACTTCTGGTAACGACGGATCTCACGAAGAGCGACGGTTCCTGGACGGTAACGATGCGGCTTCTTGACTCCGCCGGCGGCCGGCGCAGACTTGCGGGCAGCCTTCGTGGCCAGTTGCTTTCTTGGAGCCTTTCCTCCGGTCGATTTACGGGCGGTTTGCTTGGTACGAGCCATTGCGTTAGGTTGGTATCCGTTTGGGTGGACAGTGGGGGATGCGCGTCCGCCGTCTCTTTTTGCGCGGTGTGCGGTGCGGGGGAGGAGTCACGGGGCGCCTCCGCCTTCGCACCGGAGGGGGCACAAAAGAGACGCGTAGACAACCATTCCCTATCTCAATTGTGAGTCTTCAACAACCGCTGCAACTATGTCCGGACGTGGAAAGGGAGGAAAAGGCCTCGGAAAAGGAGGAGCCAAGCGCCATCGCAAGGTTCTCCGTGATAACATCCAAGGTATCACGAAGCCAGCCATTCGTCGTCTCGCCAGAAGAGGAGGAGTCAAGCGCATCTCTGGACTCATCTACGAGGAGACTCGTGGAGTTCTGAAGGTGTTCCTTGAGAACGTCATCCGTGACGCCGTCACTTACTGCGAGCACGCCAAGAGAAAGACCGTCACCGCCATGGACGTCGTCTACGCTTTGAAGCGTCAAGGAAGAACCCTGTACGGATTCGGAGGATAAGTCGATTTACCGCCCGTTTCTCTACAACCAACTACCGAACCCAACGGCCCTCTTTAGGGCCACAAATATCAAATCCACAGAATTTCTGATAATAAACGTTTTCTTACTTTTATTCAAAACCTTTCAGCTCATTGTTCATTGCATCCCTCTTGTTTTTCTTTGTCTTTGTTCTCTCGCTGGGCCAAGCTGGGGAGTGTGACTGCAGCCGAAAAAGATTTATCGGACAGTGACGGCTGGAGGTCATCAGCCACATTTGAATTCTTTTTTCATTTCATTTATTCATCGTAGAGAAAAAAGGAACACCGGTAAAAAGAGGGGAACACCAGAAGGATAGGAAGGGAAGGGAACCATCCCCGCAAGAGGAGGGCGCCCTTGGTAGGGGGTACAGGAAAGTGAACATTACAAGTGGAGTTAATATTTGACAATTGAGATATCTACGAGTGATTGGAATTGGGAGGGGGAAAGGAAGGAATTACAGTTATTGACGATAGCATTCCAGAGGGGGACAGTTTTAGTAAAGAAGTTAGGAGTGAGGGGGGAAACACAAGTGAGTAACATGGGGCGTCGCTGTGAGGAGGTAGAACGTAAAAATTGCTAAATTTGGGGGAGATAGGCATCGCCTGTTAAGATCTTATAGAGGAGTAGTAGCTGGGATTTGAGTCTGCGCTGGCAAATGGAGAGCATGTTGAGAGTTGCGAGGCGGTCGGGGTAAGAGGAGAACGGGATATATTGCAGCGCTGGAGGATGTGGCGCGAGTACCAGCGAAGGAGTTTTTCCAGGGAGGCGGCGAGAAGCGAGCGAGGAGAAGGAGACTAAATCGCCGAGCAGTATTCGAGAAGGGGGAGAACATAGAATTTAAACAGGAATATATAGAAGGCTGAGGAAGACGATTTGAACGATTTGGCAAGCTGTTTGGCACGGAGCAGAGCTATTATAGGGGCACCGCACAGAAATGGCGCTCTGTTGAGAAACTCTTTTTGCAGTGCAAATTGAGCGACCTCGGGGCCGAGTTTGAAAAGTTAAGCCACGTTCTCAGTGGAAAATTACTTCGCGGCCTAGAAATTCGGCCAGATTGCGAACAGCGCGCCCTTTCTGTTCGGTGCCCCTATAATAGGGAGGCAGTGCGCGATATGTGGCCGCGGTAGGATAAAATGTTGTCAGTTACGAGGCCGAGGTCCCTGACTGAGGAGGGGTGTGATATGGGGAGACGGGCAATCGTGTACGTGTGACGGGGGTTTCTGGACCCAAGATGCAGAAGATCCGTTTTATGATGGGCCAAGGGAAGGGAGTTGGTGTCTGGCCATTCGACAATTAGGTCAATAGCACACTGTACAGCGGACGGAGAAGATGTTGATGTCGTCGGCGAATGCGGTGAAGTGGACAAGTCCGTCAAGTCTGAGCAGTGGATCATTAATGTAGATGAGGAAGAGGAGGGGACCAGAGACTGTGCCTTGGGGAACACCAGAAGGGATCGGGTGTTTGAATGGGTCGGATGCGGAATTTACTAGAACGGAAAAGGTGCGGCCGGCGAGGGTGTTCTCCGTCCGGAGCAACATTTTGATGTCGTTTCCAGTAAAGCAACCCCCGTGGTACGACTTTCGAACAAGTTTCAGATCTCCATAAATGATCTTATCGAAAGCTTTTCTGTGCGGGTCTTCAGATGAACTTCCACTTCGAATGTCAGCCAAACTGCGCTCGATGAGTTCAACATTTTCCAAAGAAGTGCGCTTTTTCTGCTCCACTTCCATCAAATCGGTCAGAATTTTTGATGATGTGGCCAAGCTAATTCTTATCAGCACAGCCGTAGCAAATTGCTTCTTTCGGATTATCTTCAAGACATAGTTTCCGTTCGGTGGTGACAGCTCCAAAACACTCGAAATGAACCACCTGATCACATTTGCTGCACACACAAGACTTCAATTGTCTCGTGTAATCTTTCCTTCGTAGCTCATAAAGAAGACAAGTTATAGCATCACACTTTCCATGGGCTGGTCTTACGAGTCTTCTACTCTTTTCAATGCTCGCCCAAGTGTCGTAGACAGCTCTCACTTCCCGCTCATCTTCACAGAACATGTTGACCATGTTATTCTCATATTCCAACGAATCTTGAAGAGCTAATTCTGCAGAATCTCGGTCAATTCGTTTCAGAACTAACTGCTGCTCCACTTGACTGGTGCAGCAGTAGCAGGGGTGGGTGGAAGTCGGACCTTTGCGTCCAAGAGCCGCGCAGATAAACATGTTGTCTCCAGTGAGGAATTTTTTTTTCTGTCACTGGGCGGAACTCGATCATTCCACGTGCCATTGCCATGTCGAGTTCTTGAATTCTGACGGATGCCACTTGAACGGGTTGTGTCCACCACCACGGTGAGCAGTGCATTCTGATTTTGAGTTCGAGCGATTTCCGCATCCAAATTGCTTCGGCTGTGCATATAGAGCGTCCACCGAGACAATGTAACGTTCCGTCGGAGGATGAGTCAAAGCTCTCGGCGACATAGAGATTTCCGTAGCGTAAACTCCATGGAGATAACGGGTCGGAGCGATTGACGACGTCGCGTGACACACGGACTGAGCCGGCGGCTGGTAGAAGAATATAGTCGGCGTCGTCGAAGTCGCTGTTGCTGGCGTCGGGTACAAACTTTCGTGGGCCAGCGAAGGAGACGCTGGGGTCATCGAATAGTAGATGTTCGTTGGCATTTGCTAGTAAAACAATTGCGACGCCGGCGGAGCGTGCGTCGGAATCTGGAATTCCTACTTAAGTAGGCTGAACCCGTCGGGGGAGTCGGGAGCGGGGCGGGCAAGCCTCCAGGTGGTGTCCACGTCCACATCAGCCTTTTTCCTGGAAAAATAACAACTTTTCGAATTTTTTCAATGCTAAACAGAAAAAACACAGAGATTTACGACCGGAAATATTTGGTAGAACGCAAAAAACAATGAGAACAGCATGAAACCCGCTTTTTGGCCTTAAAAAAACTTCGGCCATGTTTTGGTACCAAAAGTAAACTGGTGGGGACTAACTTTTTTTTGCTATTCTTTTTTTTGAAAGTTTTTTAATTTAGAAGAAAGGTACGCGGATGATTAAAAATTGTACGGTCCAGTTTTTGAGAAAAATCTGGAACACCTGTTCTGGCCTAGTAGAACGGCGTGACCCCGCGACCACGGCCATGGTCGCGGACTAGAAACCAGAGACTCCAAAGAGAAATCACCGTGAAGGCGTAACTAGCTCGATAGATTGACGGGTTTATTTAGGGATCCGAACGAGGTGGAAATATCACGAGTACAATTCATGAGGGGTCGTCGGATGAGGCGGAGCTGGATCGGCTGGTCGGATTTTTTTTAAAGATTGTTGATTCTGAAACATAATTGAAAAAGTATAATGAAAACATCTTTATTGAAAGTACATGAGAATAAATGGATTTGTGTGGTATTTGTGGCCCTAAAGAGGGCCGTTGGGTTCGGTGGACCAGCTTGTAGCTCGGGGAGCTTATTTGCTGGAGGTGTACTTGGTGACGGCCTTGGTTCCTTCAGAAACGGCGTGCTTGGCGAGCTCTCCCGGAAGGATGAGACGGACGGCCGTCTGGATTTCGCGGGAAGAGATCGTCGACCGCTTGTTGTAGTGGGCAAGACGAGAGGCTTCGGCGGCGATGCGTTCGAAAACGTCGTTGACAAACGAGTTCATGATCGACATGGCCTTCGAGGAAACTCCAGTGTCGGGGTGGACCTGCTTGAGCACACGGTAGATGTACACAGAGTAGGACTCCTTGCGGGAATGCTTCCTCTTCTTGTCAGTCTTCGGCTTGGCCACAGACTTGGCGGCTTTCTTTGCTCCCTTGGCGGACGGCTTTGGTGGGGCCATTTCGGACGGTTGGACTTGGCTTGGACAAGTGTAAGGGGACAGTCGCCGCCGTTAATTAATAAATGCGCGAGCGGTGCGGGGGCGTAACTCCGGCATCTCCCTCTGCGGGGACACTACCTGCCGACCGACCACCGCCTCCGAATAGCACGCGCCCCCCTCCCCCCCCTTGGGCAATCTTTCTCTTTTTCGTCTCTCGGCGACTCCTCCTCCACACCGCACAGACGCCCAAATAGACGCTTGTCGCTCTTTCCGATCAGATAGTTCTTCAACTACCAACAACCAATCTACACCATGTCTGGACGCGGAAAGGGAGGCAAAGCCAAGACCGGAGGAAAGGCCAAGTCCCGCTCATCGAGAGCCGGACTCCAGTTCCCGGTCGGACGTCTTCATCGTCTTCTCCGCAAGGGAAACTACGCTCAACGCGTTGGAGCCGGAGCCCCAGTCTACCTGGCTGCCGTTCTTGAATACCTCGCCGCCGAGGTTCTCGAGTTGGCTGGAAACGCTGCCCGCGACAACAAGAAGACCCGTATCGCCCCGAGACATCTTCAGCTCGCCGTCCGCAACGACGAGGAGCTGAACAAGCTGTTGGCCGGAGTGACCATCGCTCAGGGAGGAGTTCTTCCCAACATTCAGGCCGTTCTTCTGCCGAAGAAGACTGCCGGAGACAAGGAATAAGGACATCCTTTCCACTCAATCTACCGAACCCAACGGCCCTCTTTAGGGCCACATATACGAATCCATTTGTTTCCTGTCTTTATAAATATTTTATTTTATTTAGCATAATAGACTGTAGTTGCAACGGACCATATTTCCAGGAATTAGAGTCAACTTAAGCTGTTCCATGTGTTTGTGGGATCTTAGATACCAGTGTTGAGCGGAATTCCGTCTGCCGTCTTCCGTTTTCCGTGTTCCGTAAGAAAAATTTTCTTCCGTCTGCCGTCTGCCGTCTTCCGTATTTCAAAATTCCATTTCCGCTCAACTCTGTTAGATACCAAGTTAGATCATCTCAACAAAATGTTCACTCACGTAGTTCTCATTACGTGTAATTTCAGATGACGAAAGCGGGGACAATGTTGGAATCTTTTTATTTCGTACGGGTGCACGATAAGATTCAAACAAATACCGGTGATGAACATATTTAACAGAGTGAGTGCTATTACCGGCATCCATTTCCTTATGATCTATTCAGAAAGTAAAACCTGAGAATTCAAATCAATCCAGGTCTAATAGCAAATCGTCATCGTCATCAACTCCTAAAAAACAGAAAAACCCGGTTTCGGAATCAGATTCCAAAAGCGAGAAGACGGTGTCCGTTTTAATATTCTCGGATCCTCCTATTATTATTATTACATTTCCAGAGTTACGAAACCTGGGTCTTTTCGGAAACGAGTCGATGCCGCGTCAGCAAAGTCACGTGTCGAATCTCCACAACAGGAGAAACGGAACACGGCTCAGAAGATCAAGAAAGCAGTGGCCAGTCTGTCGCTGTCGCCTGCCAGAAATCAGAAGACCCCGCCGTCGGCTGGAGAAGATAGGAAGAAGCACGCTCCCAAGTATGCGGATTAGCAGCCAACTCGTGAGAAACTGACGTATTCCAGAAGCGAAAAGGACGCGGAGAAAGTGAGAAAGTCGAAGGAGTATGCGTCACTGTCACTCAGTGGAAGCAACGAACTCTCGCTGAAGCACTTGAATTCTGAAATGAAACCGCTGAGAAGCGAACGATCTCTGATTGGATTGGACGGAGAATCTGACTTCGCTTACGACAGAAAGACGGTGACGAAAAAGCCGACTTTCAGTTCACCGTCATCCGTTAAAGGATCCAGTTCGCAAGAGGACAGCAGTACTTCGGAGGTCAGTGATATAAATCAGACTCCGACAGCGTCAAGACGTCAAGATTTTCAGACAAAAGACTCGATATCATTGGCGGAAGATGAAGAGCAGCGAGACACGTTCAAGAAGTTGTTCAAAGAGCTCGGAATGAGCACTCAGAAGCTGACACTCGATGACTTCCTACTCGACTTCAACTCACTTCCCGGAGACCCCGCTCCAGAGCAATGCACCGCATACAACTCGCCACTAAACACGAAGAAAAACCGCTACACAAGTGAAAAGCAGCACACAAACCCTATTCTATTTGTGTTATTCTTCAGACATTCCATGTCTCGACAGCTCCAGAGTCCGTCTCACATTCATGGCCACCAAAAAGGAGCCGAGCAGCGAATACATTCATGCCAACTACATCAAGAGCGCATTCCTGAAAAGAGAATACATTCTGACGCAGGGACCGAAGAAGGAGACGTTCGCGGATTTCTGGAGAATGGTGTGGCAGGAGAAGTCGACCGCTATCGTGATGCTCTGTCAGTTTGTGGAGACGAACCGCGAGAAGTGTTTCGAATACTTTCCACGAAACGCGAATTGCACAATGCGTTTCGACAAACTAATGCTCACTTACGAGGAATCGACGGTCCACAAGAGCATGGTGACGACACGACTGAAGCTGCACTACGAAGGAGAGTCCCGTATCATCACGCATTTTCAATGGAAAGAGTGGCCGGACTATCAAGTGCCCGGATCTTCGGAAATCATTCTCAAGATTCTGCGGAAGATCCGAGCGAAGAGCACGCCTCCGATCGTCCATTGTGCTGCGGGCGTCGGCCGTTCGGGCTCGCTGATCTCCATCGAAATCGCGCTCCAAGCAATACACAGTCACCACAAAGTTCCTGATATCAAACAGGTTCGCGATCCCACATTCCAAAAGTTTCCATTTTTCTGTTTCAGATTGTGACCGACTTGCGCCTGACTGGCCGTGCTTCCGCAGTGCAAACTGTTCAACAGTACATGCTCATCTGGAAAGTGGTCCTCGATTTCGGAGTCTCCAATAAGTTGATCGGTGAAGAAATCGTCGGAAAGTTCGCTTCCACGTATCGCAGATCTTTCCGCTCTTACACCACCTCATAATTCGATTAATTTTCTGTGTCAACGTTCTTTTACATGAACATACGTGTCACACTTTCCGATTCTAGACCATGGCAACTTCAAAATATCTTGATGATATCATATACAGTGGCAATTGAAAAATCGTAAAAACAAGTACAGTTATTCGTCCGTTTGTGTTTTGTCGGGCTTCAACGACGCCTCTTCCTTCTGCTGTTCAGCGGAAACGCCCGGAGGAGAGAGGGGCGCCATCATGTTTATCTTCGAGACAGACGCCTTCTGTGCAAGTTTACGAGTCGAACTATCCGGTGTTGACCCCACACGAGACTTCATTTTCTGGAAATAAAGACTCAGAAATGTAAAGAGTGATATGCCTACACTTCCGTTCTTCTGAATAAGGCTCATCGCTTTCAGAGACTCTCCGGTGTACGTCTTCTGGGTCGGATCCTCGGGAGACATATTCTGCGTTGATTGCAATGAGGCGGGCGCCATTTTTTCCTCTACCAGTGTCTTATCTATCAGTTTCGCCACAACTTCTTCCAGATCGTTCAGTTTCTTGCCCGTGTCTCTGCCTTCTCTGGGCCAATTCTCTTGCTCCGGAAGACGTTCTTTGGTTCGAAACTCGGCGATCTCATCCATCATGCGGTGCGTGTTGAGAGCAGTCACTGTGGCATCGGGATCCGGCAGGATTCTGTTCACCAGTCCGGCCATCTGGGGGTTTTCGATAATGGCCTGATGCACTTTGGTCACTTTCACAGGAACAGCCGATCCGCACATCGGATTCGCACCCTCACGAACCACAGTTTGCTGTAACGAATCAGTTTTCAATGCTTTATAAAGTTGAGGACTTACCAAATTTGTCGGCAATCTAACTTTCATATGAATCAACTTCGGAGCTACATCGTAGAAATCTTCAAGGTAACTGAGCGAGACCATCAGATTTCTGTCGATCAGCGCATTTATCTCGAAGTCATCGTCGTCCATTCCGAAAGGATTCAACATGACAAATGCGGTTTTGAGCCAGCCGACGAACACGATAAACTCGCAAATCGCATAAACAGGCAAGTAAATGTCAATGTCTGCCTTCCAGGCGGTTTGTTCCTCATAGTTCGGTTGCGAGCCGATCAACGAGATTATGAAGTAGCAAATGGTGAAAATGTGGACGGCCTGCACGTAGACCAAAGGGACCGTGATGTGATCATAAGTGAGTATCTCGTGAAGCTGCTGCCGATACGCGAGAATCGTTTGAATCACTTCCGTGTAGTGGAATTCGTCGATCAAACGTGCATTTCTCGCCTTTTTCAGGAGATCTAGAGCCCATTCGATGGGCAGCCACGGCCGCATTGACTTCTGAAAATCAAAGAAAGAACAGAACTTGTTATGGGGTTATTCATGTGAAAAAAAATGATTTTTTTTCCGTTTTTTTTTCGTTTTTTTTACGTCAAAAAACCCAATTCGGCGGTGTAAAAAAACGAAAAAAAGGAAAACAAACATACGCTGAATAGCCCCATTAGATATTGAGCAAAAAAACGACTTACTATGGCCTCTTTGAGTTTCTTGTGCTCTTCCTCTGTGAGAAGAGTTGGAATCAAAACTCTTGTAGTTGCAAACCTCTTCTTGACTCTCTCGCTCACATCCCGGAACACGAGCACATACGAAGCCAATAGGTACCGCATAAAAGTCTGACGGTAGGCTCTGTCATCTTGCTGAAAACGACTATTTTTCGAGTAACCTGAAATTCGATAAACCTCAAATTTCTTTCCACGGCTTCTGAGATAGGCGGCCAGCTGAAGTGCACATGTATCCGGCCAAGGAATCGTCATGAAGATGCTCCACCATCGTGTCGAAATGTACGTGACGAAGAATCCAAGAGCAAATGTGAGCACCGTCCGAGTCTTTTCAGAAATCTGATAATATATGGTTTCGAAAATAACTAACTGAAAGTTGCTTACTTTTCTACAGCTCAACACAATATGCTCGAATGTCTTGGCACTATCTGTACCCATGAGATAGAATTCATATATATTTCTGATGTAAACGTAGAAGAAGAGCCAGATGAGCAGCTCCGTTATCATCGCTTTCCAGATACTTCCCTTCCAACGTAGAAGCAGTTTGAGGAAGATCCACGAGTTGGCAGTCGCCACATCTCTCATGTATCCGACGGTCATCGTGAGCAGCAGAATACGTATAATACGAACGAGCGGCAACGCGCTCCAACGTGTTAATTCACACGTAACTTTTGGAGCTCACGTGAAATCTCGGCAATGGCCGTCAACTTTTAAGCGAACTTTGGAATGCGTCGCATGTTTTAAACAAAACTTAAACACAAGAGGTACCGATAGAAATGGGCGTGTTTGCCGAAATCTTAATTTTTCAGCTGATAACGATGAAGTTACCGTTTCTGACCAGACGCATGGATCAATTGAGAACAATGTTTTCGAACTAGGAGAATGGTATTGATGAAGAAAACATAACGACGGAATTGGTCGAACTGATTACTGAGGAAGGTTTTTGTTCAGAAGGCGAAGGTATGTATATAGTGTTTTTTTTTTCGTTTTCTTGTCTAAATTGTATCCTAAATCCTACTACACTGACCGCAAAAACATGAGTTAGCTTTTATGAGTGATTTTGACAGATTGGGACGATAATTGGCCCTTAATGTGCCGTTTTATTGAAATATATCTGACATACATGTGTTCCTGCTCCAATCCCTATTGTCGCGACCGCTGCTCCATGAGCACCGTTCTCGACCCAGTTTATTCTAAACAATATGCTTCAATAACTATACAATCTCTTTCCCAATCAATCAATTCTAATCACGCAATCGATACGAGTCGATCTGGCTGCGCGCCAGAACGACCACTCTCTCACCACACGCGCCGGCGGGAGACGCAGACAACTAAATCACCGTACTTTCGGGCGCGGCGAGACCCACGCGACCATCAACGTCGTCAAATCCTAAAATAATTTCAGAATATTGAGGGAGGGAGTGAGCCTCAACATTCAGTGGCATTCACTTTGAGTTCAAGCTTGCGTTGGTTTCCAACCACGCTCTGAAGAGAGAGAGATTGTACTAAACACTAAATGACCTAAACACACTACACTATAATACAATCACTCCTTCCTCCCTTTCTTTCCCGCTCCGCTTCTCGATGTCTCCACGCCCGGGCTTCGCTGGCGACTCCATCGTCACCTGTGGCTCTACAACGATTGCGGAGCTCTTCCCTTTTAACCTTTTACCTGTTTTCCCCTTTTATTTACCCCTGCAGTAGCCGCTTGTCAAGTTTTTCCGCACAAACCCGCTATAGCGTTTCTTGACAATAAACAGTGCGTCTACAACTCGTTCACCTCTGGAAACAGGCTAAAACTGGGACGATCCGGGGAGGGAAGAGTTCTACTATACCAATTACCCCTTTATCCGCGTTTCTTGATTGGCATCCCCAATAAGATCCGCGACATGTTCCCGGTCGATGCACCATGTCGCGGATCTTATTGGGGATGCCAATCAAGAAACGCGGATAAAGGGGTAATTGGTATAGTAGAACTCTTCCCTCCCCGGATCGTCCCAGTTTTAGCCTGTTTCCAGAGGTGAACGAGTTGTAGACGCACTGTTTATTGTCAAGAAACGCTATAGCGGGTTTGTGCGGAAAAACTTGACAAGCGGCTACTGCAGGGGTAAATAAAAGGGGAAAACAGGTAAAAGGTTAAAAGGGAAGAGCTCCGCAATCGTTGTAGAGCCACAGGTGACGATGGAGTCGCCAGCGAAGCCCGGGCGTGGAGACATCGAGAAGCGGAGCGGGAAAGAAAGGGAGGAAGGAGTGATTGTATTATAGTGTAGTGTGTTTAGGTCATTTAGTGTTTAGTACAATCTCTCTCTCTCTTCAGAGCGTGGTTGGAAACCAACGCAAGCTTGAACTCAAAGTGAATGCCACTGAATGTTGAGGCTCACTCCCTCCCTCAATATTCTGAAATTATTTTAGGATTTGACGACGTTGATGGTCGCGTGGGTCTCGCCGCGCCCGAAAGTACGGTGATTTAGTTGTCTGCGTCTCCCGCCGGCGCGTGTGGTGAGAGAGTGGTCGTTCTGGCGCGCAGCCAGATCGACTCGTATCGATTGCGTGATTAGAATTGATTGATTGGGAAAGAGATTGTATAGTTATTGAAGCATATTGTTTAGAATAAACTGGGTCGAGAACGGTGCTCATGGAGCAGCGGTCGCGACACCTATGTCGTTAGACCTTCCTAGGCGGAAAGATGGAGGCACTATAAGTCATAGATGTTTATAATTAGTTGCATTATTTAATAGTTGTATTACAAGGGTACAAGAGCGGGTACAAGGCAAATTCAAGAATAAATTAGATTATTAAAAATAGCAAAAACTGGTTACACTTTTGTTGGTGGAAGGTTAAAATTGATCGCAGGGAGAAGAGAATTACTCAGACTCAGAAAGAAGCCTCCTCTTGCAGAAGCACCTGTTGTCGGAGCTTCTCGAGCTCCTGCGACACCTTCTGGATCTCGTCGTCCTTCTCGTCCAATTGCTGGTACAGCTTTACCCGCTCCTCCTCGTACTTCTTCTTCTCCTCGTCCGTGATCGGTCCGTTGCCGGAGATGAGCATCGGCGGTGCGGGCGCGATCGATCTTTCCATAAGTGGAGTGGAACCGCCCGACACTTCCGAGACTGCCATCTGCGCCGTCTCCGACAGGTTGATCCATTCCAATTCGGACACTGATTCGCCGGCTCTCCAGCGGGAGAGTTCCAGGGCGGCTGCTTGGAGAAGGGTTGACAGGCGGGTCACCTAAAATCATTCATTTTACACAAAATAACTTGAAAAAATTTTCTTGTCCAAAAGGGCAATTACACCAAAAAAAAAGCGTACCTTCTCGCGCTCCTTCTCGTATCGGCGCTTCCACTCCTCGGCCGTCAGCTCCTCGTTCACCTGCACCACATTCTTGATCGTCTTGGCTCTCTGTCCGAACAGCAGCGTCGACTTGGTCTCCGCCTCGTTGAAGTGCGACGGCGACGCGCAAACCCTGTTCTTCGTCATCATCTCCTTGCCCTCCTGCTGCTTGTCGTCGGCCTCTCTCTGAATGCGCGAGTTCTCTTCGCGGATGATCTCCTTGTTCTCGCGCATCGTCTGCAGTGCCTCCTCTTGCAGAAGCACCTGTTATCGGAGCTTCTCGAGCTCCTGCGACACCTTCTGGATCTCGTCGTCCTTCTCGTCCAATTGCTGGTACAGCTTTACCCGCTCCTCCTCGTACTTCTTCTTCTCCTCGTCCGTGATCGGTCCATTGCCGGAGGTGAGCATCGGCGGTGCGGGCGCGATCGATCTTTCCATAAGTGGAGTGGAACCGCCCGACACTTCCGAGACTGCCATCTGCGCCGTCTCCGACAGGTTGATCCATTCCAATTCGGACACTGATTCGCCGGCTCTCCAGCGGGCGAGTTCCAGGGCGGCTGCTTGGAGAAGGGTTGACAGGCGGGTCACCTAAAATCATTCATTTTACACAAAATCACTTGAAAAAATTTTCTTGTCCAAAAGGGCAATTACACCAAAAAAAAGCGTACCTTCTCGCGCTCCTTCTCGTATCGGCGCTTCCACTCCTCGGCCGTCAGCTCCTCGTTCACCTGCACCACATTCTTGATCGTCTTGGCTCTCTGTCCGAACAGCAGCGTCGACTTGGTCTCCGCCTCGTTGAAGTGCGACGGCGACGCGCAAATTATGACCGTAGTCCGCGAGTTTCCTTCGAGCGACTCTTGCAGAATGCGCGTCAGTTTCGAGTCACGGTACGGCACGTGCGACTTGGTTCCTTCGGCCAGCGCCGAGATGACGATTCCGAGCGCCGTCAGCGACTTGTTAATGTTTTTGGCCTCCTCTAGCACGGTTCCCTGCGCGCCCGTCTTGCTCACTTTCTCCGATCCGGCCAAATCGACGAGGTACAACTTGCCCGTCAACTGCTTTTTTTCGTCGTCTGATGCTCCTGTTTGACGGTGATCAGGAAGACCGAGTGCGAGCGGGAGGAGTGCTTGTTCAGGTCTGCAAATTTGCAATTTTCTCTGGTTCCTAATGTTTTTCATGGCTTTCCACAACTGGAAATTTCGGAACAGTTTGATAGTGAAATCACTGAAAATCGAGCATTTTTCAGGTCCGTGCTCATATCTCAACTAATTCCGCCCGTTTTTCAGTTTAAAATGCACACCAAATCTGCAACTCCCACGTTTTTTTCTTGGAAAAAAACATAGCAATATCGAATTTCCCGCCTCTTTTTTTCAGTTTAGGAGACTAGAATTGTTGAGGGGCACATACTGGTGACGGCGACCATCCGGTTCGACTTTCCGTCCTCGATCGCCTGCAGCACTTCGTCGGGACTGCCGACGAATCGCTCGGTGGCGCCCTTCACGTACGGAACGCGCATTTTTGTCCTCGTGAATCGACAAATTCACTTTTTTTCCGGGTCCAACAGATCGCGAATCTTCTCGTTGTAAATCTCGTAGTAGGAGACTTTGATGTGGAACTGTAGGTCCTGGTCCATGTTGTAGATGTGGTTGAAGATGTCGGCGACGATGCGCGGGATGATGCCCGAAAGGTTGCCGTCGCCGATGACTCCCTCCATCGTGTGCGTCTTTCCGGACGACGTCTGACCGTAGGCGAACACGGTGCCGTTGTAGCCGGACAAAACATCCTGCACGATGTGATAGGCGGCCCATTTGTAAACTTGCTCTTGTGTCGTGTTCGGTTTGAACACTTTGTCGAACACGTACACTTTTCCCTGCAAAAATTTGGATTTTCACGAGAAGAACTTCAAAATCCGCCCCACTATTGTACTTTTCC